CAACAAAGAAGGACGCAAAATAGATATCAACAAGGTTGCTAATGTGCATTCATGGACACCACCTACCAATAAGAAGATGGTTCAACGCTATTTAGGCCTCTTCAATTATTTTAGGGAGTATATACCCTTGTACAGCTCGCTCACAGCACCTCTAGATGCCCTGCGCAATGCCAAAGGCACTTTTGATCTTAATAAGGAGCAAATGCGAAGCTTTAACAGCATCAGATCGCTTATAGCCCAAGCTCCAGCCTTATCGTTCCCTGATTTTACTCAGCAATTCTTTGTAGCCACAGATGCCTCTAACGTAGGCATAGGAGCTGTCCTATATCAGCTACCGGGTGGCAAGGAAGATGAAACCAAGGTCAACTACATATCCTTTCAAGCCAGAGCATTGCATAAGCATGAGAAAAATTACCCAGCTTACAAGAAGGAACTCTTAGCAATTATTTTTGCACTAATGAAATTTCACCATTACCTTTGGGGAAGAAGATTTACATTATATACTGATCACAGACCTCTGACGTACATTCATGAACAGAAGGAGTTGCCACAAATAATCCTGAATTGGAAGGCCACTCTGCTCAACTATGATTTTGAATGTATTTATCGTCCAGGCCTGCTGAACATTATTCCAGACGCATTATCTCGCGCATTTCCTGAGGAATTGTGGAAGTCTCCTAAAGAAGAACAAGCTACATGTTCTACGAGTCGGCAGATTGCTTCTATGAGGCGAGAACAGAGACTACCGAGAATGTTCAGGCAGCTCCACAGTCATCTGATTCGCAGCAGCTGCCTTCCACTCTACAGGTTATTGATATAACTGCTCCTTACTCTCATCAACTTCAGTTGGAGGATGCTTCTAGAAAAATCATCCAAGATCCTGAAGAAAAGCTTCAGCATCTTCGCCTAGCACACGAATTCGGTCATCCTGGAGGAAATGCCATGGTTACTGCTATCCATGCTAAAGCTTTACTTGGCCTAAATTGAGAGATGATTGTCTCAAATGGGTTAGCCAATGCGGACCATGCCAAAGATTCAACATAGCTAGAAAGGGGTATCATCCTTTAACTGCCATACATGCCAGACTCCCAGGGGAACACATAGCATTCGATTTAGCCTCATTTGAAACCAGTTCCAGGGTAATAACTACGCTTTAGTAGTGGTTGACATCTGCACAAGATTTGTATTCCTGGAGCCTCTGCCTGATAAGGAAGCCATTACGGTGGCCAGCACCCTCTTCAAGCTATTCTGCTCTATTGGATTCCCTAAAATTATCCAAACTGATAATGGCACTGAATTCGTCAATGGAGTGTCACGTCTCATAACGCAAAAGTTGCAAATAGAGCATAGACTCTCCACGCATATCATCCAGCTCGAATGGTGTAGCGGAGAGGTTTGTCCGCACATTTAAGACATCCTCAGAAAACAACTCGAAGGCATACAGATGATTGGGACATCCATCTTCCAATGGTTCAGCTCCAAATGAATACTAGAGTCGCGAGTCTGCATCATTCAACGCCATTCTCATTATTCTATGGACGCTCATTTGCAGGACTAACGGATTTTTCCTCAGCCGAGTCACATCTCCTGTCTGAAGAAGAATTACAGAACAGATTGGAATATCTCACCGCGTTAGTTTTCCCTGCTATCGATGATAAGAGTTCTGACACGCAAAAAAGAATGGTGGAGAAATTCAACAGGACACACAAAATCCTTCAGTTCCCACCTGGAGCGTTTGTCATGGCGAAGGAAGAATTGCCCAATGGTAAATTAGCACCTAAATACCAAGGCCCATACAAAGTAGTGGCTCGTACCGAAAATGGTGCCTACACTCTGCTAGACGCTACCAACCAGAAATTGGCTCGTAATTATGCTCCGAGCCAGCTCAAAATGGTCACTCAAGCTCTTGATGCTCCCAGTGAAGAGTCGTATGAAATAGAGTCTATCGTTGACCACGAACTCACGGGAAAAGGAATGATGTATACTGTAAAGTGGAAGGGCTATGACTCCTCATACAACGAGCAAATTCCCTATGAGAATTTTGACTCGGACATCATCATTCGTCAATATTGGAAGAACCTAAGACAGCAAAATCCTCATATTAATGACAGAAAGAGGAAGAAGCAGCAAAAGAATAACGCATCAGAGTCAACAAGACTTCTTAAGAGGAAGCAGAGACAACTCACCCATAACCAGACCAAACGGCACAAGCGTCATGTAGCGGCAAAGCTGTAAAGTGCAGAGAGCTGTTATATTAGTAGGGTTGAGATAACTGGAGTTTTTGTACAAATAAGTTTTCTCCAGTATGAAGAAAAGAGAGCACACACTCGTCCTCATTTCAATATTTTTTTTTTTTTTTTTTGCAACGCAACAGTCAATAAATTTCAATTTAGCAACTATCAACTTTATTCTTTCCCTTGCAGCATTTGCAACTAGCAACTGGATGTGATGGCAACTGAGAGTTAAGAGAATCTACAACTTTCTCTACCCGTATGCGCATAGTCTTATACTTCTCTGATTGCTTGCGCAACTTAGTATACTTCTTGTAGAGGCGTTCATACCTCTTAGCCCATGCGAATTCTCTTTGGAGGCGGCTCTTCGCGGAATCATCGCCACTCTCCGCCATCAAACGTCTTCTCTTCCCAAGAGTCGTACACACTCCACAGCTTGACAATTCTGCTTCACTGCTTTCGCTGCCTGATGACTCTTCATCACCAGAGGGCTCCTTTCGCTTCCTGATAGGACGAGGTCCTGGGATTTCCAGAGAGGCTGATCGGCTCCGTGCCTCTGGGTGGTAAAACTGATAGTGTGCCTTTTTCCAGGCACGAGTCTCCTCGTCACTATCCCACAGATCCTCCTCACCCTCATAATCCTCGTCGTCCTCAGCGTCATAGCTGCTCTCTTCCTCAGTATCTCCTTCGAAGTTACTGCGATTCTCCACGTCTGCAGTCTCTGTTAATATGAGTGAAGACGGAGCTGTTGAAAGCTCCGTAGGGATAAATTCATAGTCCTCATACTCATGTAGAGTTGAAGAGTCAGACAGGGGGGAAGAGGGAGAATTGTTAGAAGGCATATTGATAATTGTCTGCTGATGGCTGTTATAAGGAAAGTAAGTAATGAGTATGTGTCCCTGCAAGAAGGTGTTTGAGTAGCAAAAGTGAATACTGAGGAATGAAGGAATGAGTGAGCGTTTGAAGTTTCCAATCTTCATTCCTTTTGACCTTAATCTTCTTCATTTGCTTCGTGAATCCTCATTCGTCCTTCTGGGGGGAAGTGGATGGCGTGATCTTTTTGTGATCCCTGTTTGACAAAGGACCAATGAGATTTCTACATTTTTGACATGCTGAATAATTACTACCCACATCTCCTGTATGACACATCCTGATCCAATGGCTGTTATATTTCCATGATCCATTTGCTGACATTACTTTTTGAGATAAAGTCTCTCTCTAATCACAAGAAAAGAAATATCAAAACAAGTTTTAAGAATAGACACTGTGAAGTCTCACGTGAGGTTTAAATTTTTGTCCTCAAGAGGTTTATTTTTTTCCTCCTACCTTTCAACAACAAGAGGTTTTTCTTATTTTTCCTCAAGGCCTTTAGACAAGACGCCAAAAACCCTACATAAAATCTGGGGGGAAGTTGTTACGTCCTGAGGCTAGGGAGTGTACCCAAATGGAGCACTCCCCTTTTTATTCATAGATCAGAGCAATTAGTGACGGCTATGTTGGAGCCTATATAAGGCTCCGACCTAGCTAAAATAATAAACAACTTTTGATCTCCTTGACTTCCGATTTACCATAAAACATATCAGTAATGCCTGACACACCAGCTGCCTTGTTTTTGGGTGCATCCAGGACCACAGCTGAAAACTCATTTCTGCTTGGTGGATCCATCAGACCGTCGTACCATTCACTCTTGATCCACCTCTGAGGGCTATATTGCTTCTGCCATCTCGAACCCGGCTCTAGCGGTTTTGACGGCCTACGTCCGTGCCACTTGTCGAACCATGCCCGTACCTTCTCTTTAACTTGCTGTGGCTCTAGAATATTCACTGTGACACCGCCTTCGTCGTCCTGAATCCGGTCTATTGTCACTTTACCTCCACCACGTCCCAGCACTTTGTCTATCATTTTCCCTGTTGCCGACTTCAACTCTCCACAGCGTTTCTCTATCAGGCCATTCATCGAAATGGACACTTTACAATTTTAGGCATTTTTTTTTTACATCATCTAGAGTTAAGGGTAAACGCAGCTTATAGAAGCAAGTCACAACGGGATATATAGCAATATTAAATATTTAAACTCCTCAGTGAGATTGAGAAGGCGATATGGCCGAGTTGGTTAAGGCGCCAGAATCAGGATCTGGTTCGAAAGAGCGTGGGTTCAAATCCCACTGTCGTCACTATTTTAACGAATTTCGTTTTTTTTTGTTCGACAAATTTTGGATGTTAGTTACTCTTTTTTAGCACAACGACTAAGTTTTTAGTACCCGTATAAGAGGAGGAAAACCTTTACAGTTATTATGGCATTCTGGAAACCAGGAACTGTGGCACCAGGCAGGTGGGAGTGAGCAACAATGGACGAAGGGCATTAACCAATGCCATGCCATGTCGACATTAAGCGTCATAATTTTATCTGACATGTCAATACTCCTTTTCGCATCACAGGAAGTCTTGTTGATAGGGAAGCTGAAAAGGATACTGAGGCTATTGTTATCGCACATTCAGATGCAAAATATTCGACCTTATCTTTGAGTGATCAGCGGAAGCAGCTTCCTGTTTACAGTCATCGTATGATTAAAATATCAATAGAAAATATAGTGATGAAAGCTAGGAATTGAAGGTTTTTTGTCTGTTAAAAAAAAAAAGCCAAATCATTGTCAATTCTAATACTTGCCTTTTGATACCACAGGCACGGAGTTCTTATACCTAATAGAGAAATATCAAGTCGTGGTTCTTGTGGGCCAGACAGGATCAGGCAAAACAACACGTGTGTGGCATGGCGGAAAGCTTTATTTTATTCATTTATTTGTTTTGTGGCGGAAAGCCAACCGTATTAACTTGCAATCCTACACTTGTTGCTCGGATCTTAGAAATACCACAATATCTGCATGAAGCTGGATGGACTGCCAGAGGAAGAGTTGTGGCATGCACACAACCTCGTCGTGTGGCAGCAACAACAGTGGCTCAGCGAGTAGCCGACGAGATGCGTGTTCAGCTCGGTATGGAAGTAGGATATACTATCCGTTTTGAAGATTGCACCGATCCAGGCGGGAAAACGCGGATTAAATATATGACCGACGGAATGCTTTTCCGCGAAGCGCTCATGGATCCACTGTTGTCTAAGTACAGTGCGATCATGCTAGATGAAGCGCACGAACGCAGTCTTTACACCGATATTTTGATGGGCGTCCTAAAAAAGTATGTTCCAAAAAAGCCAGTGCAAAGGGTCATTACTCAAGGTTATAAAGAAGTAATGTTGTGTCTAAGAACCTTTGCCTGTTAAATATTAGGATTTTGAAGAAAAGACCAGAGCTTAGAGTCATCATTTCCTCAGCAACACTGGATGCTGAAGCCTTTGCAGCCTTTTTTTCCACGAATAAAACGCCTGATGATGCTTCCTTGGACAACACTGCGATTCTTTCTGTGCAAGGACGCATGTATCCTGTAGATATTCACTATCTTGCTGAACCAAGTTCGGACTATATTGAGACAGCGATTCAGACGGTATTTGATATCCACACCAAGGAGCCAGCTGGAGATATCCTTGTGTTTATGACGGGACGCGAGGAAATTGAACAGGTCGTTAACGAGATACGTGAGAGGGCTACGACTCTACCACCAAACAAATACGCTGAGATTCTCGCCCTACCAATTTACGCGGGATTGGCGCCAGAGGAGCAGATGCTTGTATTTGAATTACCAGAGAGGGGGGTTCGAAAGGTTATAGTTGCCACCAACGTTGCAGAAGCTTCAATCACCATCCCCGGGATCGGATTTGTAGTCGACACTGGTTTTGTCAAAATCCGAGCCTACAACCCCAGGACAGGGATAGAAGCATTAACTACCACCAGTATATCACAAGCTTCTGCAGAACAACGGTCTGGACGCGCAGGACGTATTCGGAACGGTAAAGCCTATCGTCTCTATACTGAGCAATGCTTTCACAATGACATGCGAGTAGCCTCTGTTCCTGAGATTCAGCGCTCAAACCTTGCAGGCATGGTGCTACAATTGAAAGCTCTAGGAATAGAAAATGTGCTGCGTTTTGAGTTCATGACAAGTCCACCAGCAGAAATGATGAGTAAGGCACTGGAGTTGCTCTATTCATTAAAGGCATTAGATGAGTATGGACGACTCACTATTCCATTGGGAATGCGTTTGGCTGAGTTTCCGTTGGATCCTTTGCTTGGGAAAATCTTGTTGGATTCTGAGAAGTTTGGGTGCGGCCAAGAAATGCTCACGATTGCAGCCATGGTGTCAGTGCAAGTAAGATATATATACTTATTTAGTTATAGGATGAAGGAAAAAAAAAAAAAAAAAAAAAAAAAACTAATAGGTTGATATTTGGTCATAGAATGTTTTTGTGAACCCAACGAGTGTGGCGGCAGAAGAGCAGCATAGGAAATTTGGTGTAATGGAAGGAGATCACATTACACTCTTAAACGGTAGGTCGCTTAATACATTGACAAAGGCAACTGTCAGATCATTCATATGAGTTTATTATTATTTTGAGTATTATTGACCTAGTTCATCTTCTTACTCCATAGTTTATAATGCTTTTGTAAGCCGTGGAAGGAAGTCGAGCAAGTGGTGCGCTAGCCATTTGATAAACTTCAAGGCAATGTCAAGGGCATTGTCAATCCGATCTCATCTTGAGCGATACTTGATTCGGGCACTAAATCTTCAGGGCCCTCATAATCTATCCAGCTGTATATCTGGGCAAGGTGCGCGGTACGATGAGACTCAGGATGCAAGCACTATGATCCGCAAGTGCTTGGTCTCTGGATATTTTGCGCAGGCTGCCAAGATAGCGCCGGATGGAACCCATTGGACTAGCGTTCGTGAGTCGTCAACCCCTAGATTTTCCTCATTGCCTGGCTATACACCGACGAAATTATGGATGCATCCAACGTCAATCTTGTTCAAGCAGGCGCCTAAATGGGTAATATTCCATGAAGTTGTTGAGACAAGTCAGGCCAAAGCATTCATGCGTGAGGTTTCTGTAATTGAGCCTGAATGGCTGGAGGAGCTTGCGCCCCACTTCTACCAAATTAAAAAACAGCCCTGAAATTCTAATAAATAGAGGTCACACCCATTTTTTTTCCTTTTTGCATGCAAATGTTTGACCCATGCAGTAAATAAGAGGCCATTCCCTTCATTCGTTCATTCGTTCATTCGTTTATTCACAGCACACAACGCACACATACCCTCACTCCCTTGCACATCTATGTCCATCATGGGATCTTGTTTCAAGTGCTTGGTACGATTAAGTCCTCCTACTTCCATCACAAGGGTTGCTCGCAATCGTGCCTGCGCAGCCTTAGTCCCAACATTTCTCGGTTCTACTCAGCGCGCCTTCGCTCGTTTATCAAAGCCTCGGCTCTACAGCACCATCACGTCTGCAGCCCATCGTCATTCTTCTTGCTTACAAAGCTCACCGTTTGTTATTTCCTCCATTCCAGGGCATCAAACTCGCCTTAACAGTAGTTCCGCTGCAGCTGTTGTTACTTCAACTCCAACCGAAGGCACATCTTCGAGCATAAAAATCCATAATCCGCAGATCGATGAATCTGGAAAGCAATTAACGCTGGATATTACGGATAAAGCTGTTAAGGTTTGAAAGCATTTCGTAGATATTGTCTCCTTTAAAAGGACAGTGCACAATGCCATTGTCACTCATGCATCTGACCGAAGAAAAAATACCCCTCCCCTGGATTTTATTCACCACATTATGGCTTGGAAATAGCAACTGAAACGTATAGCTATTAGAGACCAGAATCCATTACTGGCTCTGAGAATCACAGTCGACTCGGGTGGATGCCATGGATATCAGTATCTCATGGATCTCACTGATACAGTCAATGATGATGATGTGTAGGTTAATCATTCTAAGTCATGATGTTTTCTTTTTAAAATTTATACATACACTGCATATATTCTTTGAACTCTCTGGTCTTCCTCTCATTCTTATGTTATATTTTTTCATGTTTTTTCTATCATTGAATAGCGTATTCGAGAAGGATGGAGCTCGTGTGATTGTAGATACAATAACATTACCCATGATCAGTGGATCCAAGATCGATTTCATTGAGGAGCTTATCGGGTCTGCGTTTAAAGTCTTGGGTAATCCCCATGCAGCCCACTCATGTGGATGTGATACCTCATTCGAGATCAAGATTTAGCTTAGCATGATATATCTATAACAAACACAAACTAGTTCTTCTGTCTGATGCACAGCTTAACTGCCATTTATTCCTAAAATAATAATAAAAGACAAGGACTGTGTTCTAGTGACCTTCCGTAAATAAATATAATTTAACGCAGTCACTATTTTTTTTTTTTTTTTTTGTCGATTTGAAATATGTAGTATCCAGAATTCTCTCTTCAACTTTACAAAGGTACATACACTCCTACCATACCCAACTGCCTCTTGGTGGTTTCATAGCAAAGGAATCAAAGGATAGCGAAATAGCGGACAGGACGGACACTGAATAGCTTAACACTCTTGCCTCTTTCCTCAATATAAAGAGAACTGCTGATGTCAGGGACCATAGGCATATCGAGATTGGCAAGGGCTCAAACCTTCTCATTCACTCCAGTAGCTAGAACTACGCAACGACTCCCTCATGGCTACTGTCTATCCCCTTGTATACGCCAGCATCGTCTTCAAAGAGTTATAACCTTAGAAGGATATGACAAGCATGTCGGACTTATTCTCAGCACCAACACCAGATCAATATCAACATCCTCTGTTGCTCTCAAACGTCGTCCCCAGACAATCCTTAATAAGATGGCCACAAAGCGTGATCCCCAAAAAGCCTCTGCAAGCTCGACAAGTCAAAAAGCTACAAAGGCTCTTTCAGGATCTGCATCGATAGAACACCCAACCTATATCACCACGCCCTCTATATCGGCCAAGGAAATGGTCAAAGCAATAGAGTCAAGTCGATATGGATCTGCAGCGAAACTAACACCATCGTGGACTCAGTCAATACCAGAATCATCAGAATCGTCAGAATTATCAGGATCAATGCCCGCAGGCTCACTGGGAGTCGATCCGTTTGTAAAAGCAGTAGATCCTTTTGCTAATCAACTTGAAGCAGCCATCGAAGCCAGCAAACGTATCGCGGATATTCCTCATGAGAAAGCTATTGGCACCACAAAGATGGTCGGTGTAGACAGCGCTCGAATCCCAGATGTTCAAGCAAAGTACTTGCTAGGCCCAGCACGATGGGAATCCGTCATGGCAAAAAATGTGAAGATTAAAAGTAATGAACAGCCGGGAAAAAAAAAAAAAAAAAAAAGTCAGTCTTTTTTTTTGTCCGTGTATAAGAAGCAGCTAATCAACGGTAACAACTGATGGTTTTAAATGATAGATGTTACTCCGAGAAATAGACCCAAAATCGCGACACTGGAACACGGTTTAGACAGAGTTCTATTCAAGTATGTTGTGTGTTACTGAAATTACATTTTTTAATTTTTTTTTTTTTTTTTCTTCCTAATCGATTGCCTTATTATTGAAACGTTGATATCCAATAGTCCTGGCGTCCATTGGCTGCAAGATCCACGGTCGATGGTATACAACTTCGATCCCTATTTACGATCGATCTGTCAACCTGAAGATTTCGATTACGACGCTTTACCAGCTTACAAAACGTCTTCTCTGGATCCAACTTTGTACAAAATGGCTTTGAGTCATAAAGCAAAGTACACTGGATCAACATCGTCTATGACTACCATCCTTTCACAGTTCTACTTTTTGATTTCAGGATGGAAACCACTTAAAACAAGTCATCTCTCTGAAGCATTTAAATCACAGGCAAGTGGGCTAGTATCCCTCTTTCTTTCCTCAGTTTCATATGCCAAAAAAAAAAAAAAAAAAAAAAAAAAAGAAACCCTAACTCTTCATTCCGTATTGTGGCTATTTGGTCACGATAAAAAAACTATATAGCCAAAAGGTTTCACCAGACTTTCTCGGGCACCCGCCACAATCCAACTTGTATATAAAGGAAAGGGTGTTTATGCAATTGATGCGGACAAAACATTCGATTCGTCAACAGTCCTCATGCAGCTTGTAAGTTCTATTGAAAAATTATGATAAAAAAAAAAAAAAAAAAAAAAAAAAAACAAAGAAAATCTGTTGATTCATTCATGTTTCGAAATATATCTATCATCTAGGGTAAATCAATGGAGAAAATGCTGACATCGACTCCAGAAGAGTTTGCAAGGTTCACAAAGGCAAATTCATGGCAGGTGACGAAAGAAGAAAGAGAGCAACCTGAGGCCTTCAACTATATTGCAGTTGACAAGTTCCTTCTGCGATCTCAATTAGATTGTGAGGATCCTCGACTGCCTGGTAAAACCTTTGATCTTAAGACTCGAGCAGCTGTAGCCATCCGTCTCGATGTCCATAACTATGAATTAAACCAAGGATACCAACTTAACAAGTTGCATGGATATCTGGAGAGCTTTGAACGTGAGTACTACGACATGATGCGATCAGCGTTCCTCAAGTATAGTCTTCAAGTGCGTATAGGACAGATGGATGGCATCTTTGTGGCCTTCCACAACACGGCTAGAGTATTCGGATTCCAATATATCTCTTTAGATGAAATGGATTCACGGCTGTTTGGCACGAGCGTCATGGGAGACGAGTGTTTCAAAAATCAGCTCAGACTCTTGAACAGGACATTAGATGAAATTACAGCAAAGTATCCCCATCAAGACCTCAAAATTACAGTCGATACAGACGAGACAATTCAGACTATGAATGTCTGGGTCGAGACCATGCCCTTAGGAGCAGCCTCGTCTCCAAATGGACAGAATGCAGAGGTTACTTTCGACGAAGATGGTATTCTAGAGATGCAACCGGGTGCGGAACTAAGTTTGTGGCAAATTGTTTGCTATTCTGACATCAATGGTGTACCTACAGTTGGACCTTTCGAGTTGAGTGGACGCGCCGCAGATAAATGGGAACTCCGATACAAGATCGCGGAGCTGAAGAAACCTCATATGATGAATGAGTATCGTCGCATGAAAGCTATCCAAGCTGAAATCTTGTCAGATGATGAAGAACGGGAGTTTGCCGTCGCTGCTGCTGCTGCTGCGTCAGCTGGCCGCAAAATTGACAATATTGAAGGCATTGGGTTAGAGAATAAACGTGAAAGAGTGGCCTCTAAGCGTGACCAAATGAGGGCTATGCTACGCCGAATTAGTGAACAAGGCAGGGTCAAGCAAGAAAATGAGGAGCGGCACCAGGCAGACAAAGAGTTTTTGGTATGGGAACCTAAAGGTTATACTAAAATCAAGAATCTTCCAATGTCATCGCCTGTGGCTGTTTCAGAACAACCTCTACCAAAAAAGGAGGAATCCGAGGATGTAGTTCAATCCAAGGTTCAGTCCTCTTCCCAACCGTTCATTAAAAAACCAGAGGATGAAGTAGTCATTGAACCATCACCTACATCAACAGCAACAATATTGTCAGCGCCGTCACCACCGCGGCAAGAATCAATAGCTGCTAGACTGGTGCGTCGACTGAGAGAGTCGGAGTCTGCATCCACAACTGACTCTCTCTCTGAAATCACGATGGATGCGCCTTCATCTACGATCCCTGCGGCCTACTATCGTCGTGGTTATGACAGCAAATTGATCAAGCTTGCTATCAAAGACCTACTGCTTCTTCAAAAGTCAATGTCCGGGCGGTTGGAAGACAAGGAGGAGCAGAAAATGCTTGACATCATCAAAGAGAGACATAGCTGGTTGGTGACTAGCTTAAACCCTTTCGATGAGATCCGACTCAAGCTGCTGCAAATCCCTCCTAATTTTGAAGAATTCGGTCAGCTCGATAGAGAACACTTGTTGCGTATATCGAGGCTATTTGGCCAACCAACATATCTTCGGACAGACTTGCTCACGGATTATTCTCTGCGCCGTAATTTGATGCGGGTCACTCCAAAGTTCCGTTATAGGCTCCATTTGGACTACTTTCACAATTGGATTCACAAAGTTGCAACACAGAAGGGGGATGCACAACCCTTCAAAAGCATTAATGATTATCTGTCCCTGGACGACGAAGATGCTCTGATGCGAACTGCGCATGGATTGAATATCACAAATAAGATGATCACTACACATGAGCTCGCTCAGGGTTTGGATAGGAAGAATGCAATCAAGAAGGCTGTCCTCACCCAAATCTTTTATGCTGAGAAGGCTTTTACGGATGCAGAGCTCCAAGCGATCGGTTTCTACCCTAGAATTTTTGATGCTGACACATTCAAAACGAGTCGAGATATCCTCAGGGGTATTGGTAGAAACTACAAGGATATCAGTCAGCTTCCTAGGTGGGATTCGCCCAAAGAAACCGTTTCCGAGTAGTCAATTAGCATATTATGAAATGTATCACATAAAGAAAGCATAATTATTACAATAATGTCATCACTTTAATCACTATAAGTCAGGCTACCAATCGACTTTGCATGCATTAATGGTGGCGCCGTGTTTGCTGCAGTAGCCCCTATTATCTAGCGCAAATGCCCAGTTATGTTTGTTACAGTAGAGTGTATTACCCACGACAACGCCCTGGACATATGTATCAAGGCAAAGAGATGTCATCAGAAATTAGTTCAATGTACAAATTCGTCCCTGTTATCCCCTTCATATCACATAATAACACCAATTCTCGAAAAGATTTATCTCTTGCAGGCAACAAAAATAGATTGTACCTTCGTGGCAAGATCAACATGTTTATGTGGGCAGTATCGGTCCACCTCGTATGTGGTTCCGTTGCCTGCTGTAACACGAATACGATTGCCCATAGGCTGGATCCGACCTGGACCTGGGAGCAGCGCCGAATTACCGGGCGTCTTGAGCATGGGTAATTGACTGGCTGACATCTTGGGTTTCTTGGCTTCCATCTCTACCTCAGAGTCTGAAGAGGAGGAAGAAGAGGACGAGGAGGAAGAGGAGGAAGAAGATGATGAGGAGTCTCCATCGCCCTTACTCCTGTCTTTATCCTTAAGCGATTTTTCCTTTCCCGCCTTGTGAATAGTAACTAATCCTTCTGCAGGTTGTTTGGTCTCTGATAATTCACTATCACCAGCATCAACACCAGCACTAGTGGTTTGTTCATTATCATTTGTCACTCCATCATCCCTATCCTTTAAATTCATTTTCTCCATCTTTTTTAACTGTTTTTCCTGTAGCTTGCGCTTCTTCTTTTCTTTTTTAGCCTTTTTCTTCTCTTTCTTTAGCTTGTAATAATCTAAAAAGGAGTATTTGATCCGCAAAGTTATTCAGCGAAAACGTACATTAGTTCCTTGTACTGGAAGTAAAGTTTTTTTTTTTTTTTTTTTAAAAAAAAAAATAATAAAAGTACAAGAAAAAAAAATGGTGGCTAGTCTAAATGACTCCAGTAACGTGGTGATCATTACATGTGGAAGTTGAATGATCTATCAACTCCAGAATCCAGTGGGAGGGTGAGCAGACGTCAACTCTCAGGAATATTTGAAAAGTTTGCCGTTATCGAAAGAAAGAAAGAAAGAAAGAAAGAAAATCATTTTGGCCTATTTACCAACTGCTGGATTGACTGCTTGACGCAATAGGTCCTTAACAATTGGGAGTAATTCAATTTCCTAGATGAAACGCGTATTATAAAGCGAATTGTTAATCATAAAGATTTTTTTTTTCTTTTTTTTTTTCTTGATACATATCTTCAAAATACCTTCCAGCTCTGAGGTGAGAGGATCCGTAGATCTTTGATAGTGTAGAGTCTGTTTCTATCCAAAATGGCCACATCCCGTTCAATATCTCTTGGAGACCATGACCTTTCGGCTCCAATTTGCTCTAGAAGGGTTGATGCTTTCTTTTTTTTTTTTTTTTTTTTTTTTTTTTAAAAAAAAAAAAAAAAAAGATCATAGAAAGAAATGTATATTGTAAACCAAAATGACCCTAGATCATATGAATGTTTTTTGTATATCCAAATTATCCACGCCCGCTATAGTTACCATTGAATCTGGCAAGTATTTTTCTAGCAAGATCAAAAGTCTGTCATTGGTGAGTGAAACGAATGACTGATGTAGTGTCATGGTTAATAGTAATATAAAATACATCAGTATACCTTCGTCTACCGAATTGACTGCTTGTTCTGGTAGAGCAGCCATGTAAGCAGCAAAGATGGATCCTCCCCCCATATTGTTTTTCTTTCCCATGATGTTTTCAAAATAATAAAAATGAATTGTGGAATAAGAATGTGCGCACTGGAGGTCTAGCCCATGTCCGAGTTCATAAAAATTTCCGTGGTCACTTTTGTCCGAGATTTTAAATTTTTATACATGACATCAAACATGTATTTTTGGTGGCGTTATTGCAGAAATGTTGAAGTTGTCAAAACATCGGTGTCGATCTTTGTGACACCTGTCCCCAATTAGGTTTTAAATAGTCTCGATGATCTCAAGTTTGAGAAAGCTTGCATGTCTCATTATTCCTTTGAAGTTTATTTATATTTACACTTTTTTATGATCCACTAACACTGTCGCTGTCTATGCAAGGCTTCCTGCACGATGGCATCCACTTGCTCCTCAATCGTAAGATTAGATGTATCTAGTTCCATTGCATCTTCTGCTTTCCGGAGGGGTGATACTTTTCGTGTCCGATCCAACTCATCTCGCCTCTCAAGATCCTTCTGAACAGCTTCAACATCCAGTTGTCCCTGTAGTTCTGTTGAATCCGCAGCGTTCATAATCAGTTCCTGAAGTCGACGCTCAGCTCTTACACGGCTATCTGCCACTAGAAACACTTTGAGGTCCGCATGAGGCAAAACCACCGTGCCAATGTCGCGACCATCCATTACCAGACCTTTGGGAGTGCTTAACTTAGCAGCGAGTCCACTATTACTGTTGTTATTGTCATTCTTGCTGTCATTAGGGCCCTTCACGTGAGCATCTGTCGCCCCAAGGTTACGAACCTTTTGCAACACTGCTTCTCTTACATTGCCAATGGCTGCCACAGCTGAAACATGTTTGGAGACTATCCCTGTTCTGATATCTGATGACACATCTTTTGAATTCAAAAACACTCGAGTAGTCGGCAATAAGAACGATCTTGTCGACAAGGACGAAGACGGTTGTCCATTGTTGAATGCTGGTGGAGGCTCTGCAAAGACAGTCTGTAGCTGAATTACGGACCGTTCTGCAATATCAGAGATCTGATGGTTATTGTTGGAATCTGAAGGATCAATACCTTTAGAAAGAGTTGCAAACGTGATCTGGACAAAACACATAATATTTTACGAAGTAAATGATTGAGCCTCAATAAGTTATGAATATCATGTATGTCATACATGCAAGTTTGAGGTCTTACACATCTATAGAATGCTCCTGTATCGATATAGTCAAAGCCAAGCCGTTGCGCCACTAATTTGGCGGTCGTACCTAAAAAATAAAATAAAAAAATGTCCTCTTGTGTTAAAAGGGTTATTCTAAGGGGCTCTGAAGGTAGCACATAGATGACCGAAGCACTTACTCTTTCCAGATGCAGCAGGGCCATCGATAGCCACCTGAAAGGGCTTTGTTCGAACTGAAGTTGAAAAGGCTCGACAGAAGGCTCGGTGCCGTAACATTAAAAGTTTAATCATCTTTGTTGCTTACTTCGATCGGATTAGTTTAAAGATGAATGAATGAGTCGCTGAAACCAAAGACAAACTTTTTCTTTTGTTGTCCGCCTACGATCGACTCAGTACATGTCTAACATCAAAAGGGATCCATTGTTTTGCTTGTTATACTGTGACTGGCCAATAAAGAGGAATGAGCGTTCACAAAGGAACCTTTTTTCAAAGATCATTGTTCTTTCTTCTGCGTGCCTCATATATTCAAATATCATGGTCGATCCCAAGAGTGTATCACAGTACTATCGAAAAAAGCTGGAGCAACATGAGCTTACGCCTGAGGAATGGTCAGCAGTGCGATACGCGGTTATCAAACATACACTCATCAGTACGTTCTAGATTATGTAATCTTTTTTTTTTATTTTTTTTTTATTTCACATGTATATTTATATTATATATTTTGACCGTGTAGTCCTGATAGTTTTAACTAATATTGTCTTACCCTTCTCCAGCTGCCGGCACAACTCTTACATTAGGGATATCAGCATTTTATTATGGTAAACGATGCCGATACTGCCGAAGATTACTCTAGACTCCTTATTTACGATGTGTGAAAAAGAAGCTTAAGAAGACTCACTGTGTGTTCTTTATTTTGAAATCGCAAGCTCGATCACGCTCATGGAGCCGTACACGATCCCTAGCAATGGCCACTAGTATGTTTATTTGGAAGATATGAAAACATACTCGCTTAAACGCGCGAAATAGATCATACATTATTAATCTTTTTTTTTTTTTTTTTTTTTTTTAAAAAAAAAAAAAAAAAAAAAAAAAAGCCGGAAACATTGTAGGGCTTGTTGCAGGAGGAGCAATCGCTATGGAATCTGGCATGAAAACAGTAGAGAGCAGACTAGAAGGATCAGGATCGGAGCTACTCTACTTGATGGACCGATATTCGTAAGCGGCGTTATCAGTAACGCTACTCTTGAACAAACCAAAGATATGTCGTGAACAGTAAAAGGTATAAAGCTAATTAAAGTAACAATAATAACGGTGGTTATGTTGATAGGAAAGCAACCCTGAGAGAAAGACTAGGAGACAGAACGACTGACGGCCTTGGGTCCTACGATGACAATACTGGCGACCAAAAGCTATCTTCGCCAAAGATGATTGGCATCCAACAAGATTCGGAATAATCATGATATGAATTAAATAAAATATATGTTGGGCAAGCACCTATACCATCATGCGCCATGTTTACAGACATGCTGAGTCTCCGATTGAGTGAAACTAACATTACGGTAGCAATAACTCAGCTCAAACAAAAACAAAAAAAAAAAAGCTATTTGAGCTGAAATCCAAGGTCTGACTCAAATCCTTGTTTAAACAAACCCACCGCAATGGCCTTTGTCTGACATTTGGCAGTCTTATAAATCCGTAGCTGCGTGTATCCTCACCCGGCTATACTGCGTATAAATAGATGGAGCTCCATCTCGCTGCTTTGCCTATTTTCTTTTCACTATTCGTTTTTTTTTCCTTTTTTTTTTTTTTTTGTTCATTCACCATGGAAAACTCCATTTTAGAATTCAACAGTCCAGCAGAAATTAAACAAGTAAGCTTTTTTCAGTTTTCAGTTTTATTTTAAAAATAATTATGATATTAACAAACATTTATGCACAACTTACATACAACCTTATTCAAGGCTGCTGTCACCGTGCGGCAGACATTCAACAGTGGATGTACTCTGCCTCTACCATTTCGCCTTCATCAACTGGAGCAACTATGGAAATTACTGGATGAGAACGAAGATCTTATCTGTGAGGCCGTGTACAAGGATGTCCGTAAAAGCAAGGCCGAGGTTACTTTGGGAGAAATATTACACACAAAAGAAGAAGTCAACAAGGCCTTAGTGAATTTAGAAACCTGGGCAAAAGATGAAAAAACAAAGCCTGTTTTGGTGAACAGGCTGGGAACAAAGTGTTTTATGAGAAAACAACCAAAAGGTAATTTTAATAATGTACATGAGATTTGTTCAATTTTTTCAATATTTGATCTGGGATTTTAATTTGCCCATCTGAATAACCATACATCAAATTATAGGCGCTGTTATGATAATCTCGCCCTGGAATTATCCCGTGTACTTGCTTTTAGCACCCTTTGTGGGTGCCATCGCTGCAGGTTGCACAGTCATAATGAAACCATCCGAGTCTGCACCCAACTCTGCAAAGTTGCTAACAAAACTAGTCAGACAATATCTTGATACCAGTTGTTATATCGTCATCAATGGGGCTGTTCCAGAAACAACACAGCTCTTAGAATACAAATGGGACCATATATTCTTCACTGGCTCCATCCATGTCGGAAAGATTATTATGAAGGCTGCTTCAAAACACCTCACACCCGTCACATTAGAGCTTGGAGGCAAATCGCCTGTCATCATCGACGAAAATGCCGACATTAATATCGCGGCTAAACGAATTATATATGGCAAGTTACTTGCTGCTGGTCAGGTAAATGATATAAATATTCCACATCGTGTGACACCTTTATTTTAATTTTTCGAATATCCCCACACTGACAAAAAAATCCATCATTGATGTAGACATGTATTGCGCCAGATTATGTCTTAATCACCTCCAAAGCCGAGGCAAAATTTGTGGAGGCAACCAAGGAAGCACTGATTTCGCTCCTCGGTGAGAACCCAAAAGAGTCTAGTGAGTTCGCTCGAATCGTCAACGAAGACCATTTCAAACGACTAATCAGGCTTTTAGAAGAAGATATGACCGGTGAGATTGTGATCGGAGGTCAAGTGAGTGAAGATGATCTCTACATCGCTCCCACAGTAATCAAGAACGTAGGCCGTAATGACGGCTTAATGATGGAAGAGATCTTTGGTCCTATACTGCCTATGATCCGTGTTAGCGATACGGATGAAGCGATTGAATATATCAACGCTCACGATGAGCCGTTGACCCTCTACCTCTTTTCTGATAATAAGAAGTTGATCAACAAAGTGTTAAACTCGACTCGTTCTGGAGGCGTCCTTGTGAACAATATTATGACGCAAATCATTGAGACGGATCTGCCTTTTGGTGGATTAGGCCCTTCTGGCATGGGTTCCTATCATGGGAGAGAATCCTTCAACACTTTCACGCATACACGATCCGTTATGGTCAAGAGTCTGTGCCCAGTCTCTGAGATATTTTCGAGGGGACGCTATCCTCCTTTTTCGGATAGTAAGATTGCAGTTATGAGGGCCATTGTCGAGAGTGTGCCCCCTTTTAAACAAGGCTTTATCAGAAAGTATTTCAAGTGGATTGTAGCTGCCGCGTTGTTTGGGATTATAGTCCGCAGACCCTCATATGTGCTTCAATGCTCTAAATGTGTTTTATAGGCCAACATAAAGTGAAGAAATAAAGAGAGAGCCAACTAGAATAAAACTAGATTTTCCCATCTTCCTCTTTCAGTTTCCTGCTTGTCTATATAATTGATATACATGACCAATCCATGTTTCTCCAATGGGGTAAATTGTAAATTTTATTGCGCTGATTCTAAACATTGCTGTAATGGCTACAACCTTCTTTCATAGGGCTTCTTCTGGGTAGGTTGAATTTATGGAGCAAGCTGTAAAAGTTCAAATCGTCGCTCATCAAAAAAGCGGCCACACACCTGTCGCCCCCCAAAGAATCGTCCATCCAAGTCTTTAAGGGCTCTTTCTGCTGATGCCATTGTGGAAAACTTTACAAAGATACGCACAGCTTCTTCTGGAGGTACTTTTCCGTTTTGGACCTCAAAAATCAGACATCGGACAACGGAACCATATTTTTCACACTCTGTAGCAGTCTCCTCCTGTAATGTATCATCAACCTCGCCTGGCCCTACCATATTGGTCAATAAAATTACAGTGGAAGGCGTACCTAGCAAAAAAAAAAAAAAAAAAAAAAAAAAAAAATACAGTTTAGCTGTTGTTCTTGTACAATCAAGAAATGCCATTAATACAAAAACCAAAGATCCGTTACGACATTACCTTTTGATGATGCTTGAGCAGGAGTGGTGATGAATGGACTCCGTTGCTGATGCTGTCCCTGTGCAGGCAGAATAGACTGCTGCGGCGCCGTAGCATTCATGGAACGCTGTTGCTGGCTTAAACGAGCGCGACGCAGGAAAGCATCTTCGCCAGAGGCGTCATTCATGATAGCAGAAGCATGTTGCGACACTGCAGAGGTGACTGTATGTGTCCCTTCAGGTATGCGCGCGGAAACCAGTGGTTCTGTGAGACTAGGTGGGGGAGCAAATGCTTTATATTGGGTTGTTCGCCCATGACTAGTCTCACTCCTTGGAGAAGGCGATCGTTGATAGCCACGTGGACGCTGTGAGCTTGACGATCCTCTCCTGGAGATGCGTGGCGATTGTGATCTGGACCTTGACCTGGACTTGGACCTAGATCTAGAGCGAGATCTAGAAGTAGGACCGCTACTCCTGCGTCGTCTACCTCTGCTCCTGCTCCTGCTCCTGTTCCTGTTCCTGCTCCTACTCCTGCTCCTGCTCCTGCTCCTGCTCCTGCTCCTGTTCCTGCTCCTGTTCCTGCTTCTACTTCTGCCTCTCTGATAAGCAACAGTTGATGACGTTGGATAGCTCGGCGGAAATGCATTGTATGGCTGGTTCCTGCTGTATCCAGAAGGATTATCAAAAGTTTCAGAAAGGGCGCGCGAGTCGCGTATGGGTGACCGTGATCTAGATCTAGATCTAGATCCTGACCTTCTGCTTCGATGCACTGGGGAACGTGAATAAGAGCGTGATCTCGAATGAGAGCGATGTCGAGAGCGTGTACGAGAGCGTGAACGAGAGCGTGAATTGGACAAAGATCGTGATCGAGATCGAGAATATGCTGATCCACGACCTCTGCTTTCCTGCTTTCTCGATTTCTGTCGCTCTTCTTGGCATCGCCTCCAATCTTCCTCAAAAAGCACCTTAAATTCCTCATAATCATTCGGCCGGGCAATGTCATAGTCGTCATCAAGTGAAATGGGTCCAGATTGACCTTTGGTAAGCGCCTTCTTGGCTGACTGCTTCCTAAAGGCAGCCTAATAACCGAAAAAAAAAAAAAAAAAAAAAAAAAAACTTTCTTTTAAGATGCTTATCTACTCATCATGTTATAATATAAAAGACCTGCACAAAATAACATAATTTCACTGTCCTTACCAACCCTTCATTATCCTGACGTTGGACCTGTAATGTCCTCGCTTTAAGCCAGCTGTTCTCATCCATGCTACTCTCCGTCGACAGAGTTGATGTTGAAGCACCTTGACCTGAGACAGTTGATGTTGATGCGGATGGTCCAGAGGCTGATGGTGGTGGAAGTATTTCCGAAACCTCGGTAGAAGTTTGGGCTACAAATCCAGCAGGGATAGCTTTAAGAGCTGGCTTTGGTTTAGGCGGAGCCACTTTCCTGTTCAACATGGGCTTGAAGCGAGTAATGGATGCAGACCAGCCGGCTGAGAGGAATAGGGAGGAGGAATGATATGAAGGAATAATTCAAAGGCGCCTATTGTTAGCGAACATCTATTGCTACGAACATATATAGGTGGTAAAGTATTGATGGTGCGCAATATAAAACATATTGTGCGTGGGTGCCTGATGTGCGGCAAGATATGACATGGCAGGGTTTTTAGTTCTCTGCAGGGTCAAGTACCAGGGAGAGCAGGCTTAGAAGTAGCAGTCAAGCCATTGGAAGCACTATCCTTTCCATCGGTCGGTTGATTCTTTGCAGGACTCTCCTTGTCTCCTGATGAGACAGGAGGAGGCAAGTCTCCGTAGAGCGACATTCCGAATGTGTGTGTCCAAATCTAAATACGTTCCAAGTCTTTTCTTTCTTTTTTTTTTTCGGTGTAAGATTAAGCAAAAGAGCAAAAGTTTTCGTGAAGAATGAAAGAAATGAGAAGGACAAGAGTTTGTGTGGGAGGTGGCTTATTTCAACCTCCCTGTTGTATACACGTGAAACGGATCTGATTAACGGCAAATTCATTGCCTTTTTGCTTTGCAAGCAATTTATTGGCCCAATTGGTTCACGATTCCTCACATTCATCTTGACAGCGCGTGAAGATCTGATTTCTTTATTTTTTTCCTTCCTTCTTTCCTTCTTCTCCGCATTCCCTTCTTCCTACTCTAATAAATACCATGAACACACTTGCCTTCAGGGCTGCCCTCAGGTCAACTGCCCGCGTCACACGCTCTGCAAATACTGTTATTACCCCTGTTACCCGGGCCTTGCCTTCGCTCCGTCAGACTGCACGCACTTATGCCTCTGCTCCTGCACATCACCCCGTTGCTCAACACGCATCTGATGCTCCTTGGGTGGTAAAGACCAGGATTATGGAATAATTTATAGAAAGTATAGGACTACTGATAGAATCACAGCTGATTTTTTTTTTTTTTTTTTTTTTTTTTTTTTTCATCTGACATATTTTTATCTTGTAGATCGGATCCTTGTTGGTCTTTGGACCTTTGGTATGTCACTTCAATTGGTTTGAAAAGAGCAAAAGCAAAGAGCATATTGGCGATAAAACGACCTACTGTTTACACTCGTTCCTTACAACATTCATTCTCCTTACCACTGTCCGCCTTCTTCGAACCACTACTTTCTATTGTAACATTTATAGCTCTACAAATTGACTGCCCCACCTCCAAGAAAAAAGACTGGTGAAGTCGATCATCATTCTCATGTCTCCTTTTCCACGCATAAGGCCGCTAAGCAAGAGCCTGAGTCTGATGAATCAGAATCCACTGAGACTGATGCAGCTGCCTCTACCTCTTCACCCAAATATGAAAAGGATTTTTATCCTTATATCTTGATTGGTAACTCATGGACAAAAAAAAAAAAAAAAAAAAAAAGAATGAATAAGAACCGTACTAATCAATCATACTTCAACACTTGCTAATTTTCTTTTTTTTTTTCTCTTAATCGTGATCTCATAGGCGCTGGTACAGCCTCATTTGCTGCCATGGAGGCAATTCGCGAGAAGGATCCAAATGCAGCTGTAAGATGCAAAAGAGAGTTTTGATATTGGAGGCTATCGATAGAATACTTGTGAATAAGCTTGTTTGTTCATGCTTTTTTTATTTTTTTTTTTATTTTTTTTATGTCATACTTTTTACATCAAAATCGTTGCTCAGATTTTGATCATTGGTAACGAGGATATTGGACCCTACATGCGTCCACCACTCTCCAAAGAGATGTGGTTCAACAAATCTGAGGAAACGACTGAAAACCTCTCGTTCAAGGATTGGCAGGGCAAGGAGCGCAAGTATGCTGGAGCTACATTGTTTAACTTTCTATAATAATGGGATCTTGAATATTACCAATTGAAGATTCTAAGCAATTTTTTTTTTTTTTTTTTTTTTTTTTTTGATAGCATCGTTCTTCAGGGCAAGGAAACCATTGAAACTTTGGACCAGGAAGCTCTTGAAAATATTGAGTCTGCACAGAGTGGTGTCAAGCTTCTTACCGGTATTACTGTCTCAGACCTCAACGTTGCAGAGCAGACCATTACGTTGGATAGTGGCAAGACTCTCAAATATGGCAAGGTTCTGCTCGCGACTGGAGGTGTTCCCAAGACTCTGCCTGTGCTCCAAGGTGCTGGAAAGGACAAAGTTACTACGTACCGTTCAGTTGAGGACTTTAAAAAGCTGTATGCTCTCTTAAAGTCAACAAACAAAAAGATTGTCATTGTTGGCGGTGGCTTTTTAGGAAGCGAGTTGGCTGTGGCGATTTCAAACTATGGCAGGGATAAGGAAGTGAAGGTCATCCAGATCTTCCCCGAAGATGGCAACATGGGATTGGTCTTCCCTCGATACCTCTCCAAATGGACTACATCCCAAGTAGAACAGGAAGGTGTGGTCGTTAAGACCAACTCTCGTGTAGCTTCAGCCAAGACTGTGGACGACCAGGTCGAATTGACGCTCGAGTCTGGCGAAAAGATCTTGGCCGATCATGTCGTAGTTGCTGTGGGCATTGACGCCAATGTAGAGCTTGCCAAGAAGGCTGGATTGGAGCTGGATGAGATTCGTGGAGGAGTTGTCGTCAATGCAGAGCTTCAAGCCCGCCGCAACGTCTATTGTGCAGGTGACATGACCTCTTTCCACGACGTGACATTGGGTCGCCGCCGTGTAGAACATTATGATAACGCCATCCTCGGTGGCCGCGTTGCAGGCCAGAACATGGCTTCAGATAACTTGCATAAGACATACAAACATCAATCCATGTTCTGGTCAGACCTTGGACCTCACATTGGTTATGAGGCTGTTGGTATCCTTGATTCGAAGCTATCAACTGTTTCGATCTGGACCAAGAAGCCCACTGTTTCAGATTCAGCAGCTGTGAAAGAGGAATCTGGAGAAACAAAGGAATCAAAGACTGAAACTACTACTGCTGCGTCTGAAAAGGAGGGTAAGCGTGAGAGAGCGACTGCTACCCCATTGCCAGCAGAGGCTGTTAAGGTAGAAGACAAGGAGAAGTACAACAAGGGTCTTGTTTTGTATTTGAAAGATAAGAAGATTGTTGGACTCTTGATGTGGAACAACTTTGGAAAGGTGGATGATGCTCGCAAGATTTTAGGACAGGTTTATGACACTGAGAAGGTCGAGGCTCTGGTGAAACCCTTTGGGATTCATGAGGATTAGATTATAATGAAGCTTGTTGGAATAAAGAGATTTTTTTTTTTTTTTTTTTTTTATTTATTTATTTTTATTATTGTAGAAATGTGAAGAAGAAAAGGTATTACAGAATGAAGGAATATGAAAGGCAAAGTTGTATACGATGACTATGACAATGAGTTATAACAATGATAAGGGGTTATAGAATGGGAGAGGATTTCTTTAGTAGCGCTCCTCGTAAAAGTTGGCTTGACCATATGGCCCGGTAGCAGGAGAGTTATTGAAGCGTTGGGGCTGACTATACAAGCCACCGCCAGCCATCTCATCCTCGCCCAAAAGTTCCTTAACCTCCCAAACATTCTGTTTGGAGCCGACGGAGAACTCGAGATCTTCCTTGGTGATCGAGTCCCAGTATTTGTAGACCATCATCACACTTAAAAGGGTGGCGATGGTGCCGAAAAAGAGTCCATCGATATAATGCTTTGCAAAGTTGCAGATCTCAAGTGAGAAAACATAGAGGATGACCTGTCCGGTGGCGAAGAACGCAATACCGAAAACAATATCGCCCAGAGGCCAACGATCGTCCAGCGTGTTGACTACGAGCACGATCTGAAGAATCACATAGATCAACAGGGCCGCACCGTTGAAAATAAAGAAGACAACCCAGAGAGCCACAGGGTTGGTGGGTTTGAAAGGTCCCAGACCAAGGAATGTAGCGATTGACAGGAATGTAACTGCTGCAAAAACCACAAAAGATGAGATGCGAATGGACTATGAGATGTTGAAATGGTAAGTCAACACAGTATATAAAATAAAACAGCATGGTTAGTTTTAGCAATTTTTTGTTTTTTAACGTAAAAAAAAAAAAAAAAAACAAAAAAGAGATCTCCCGTCAGAAGTGTAGCCATTCCATTTCAAAGGACCTACCCAGAGCGAGAGAGGAGTTCCATCCTCAGCAAATTGAAAGCCAACAAATCCGTTCAAAAGCAAACACCAGAAGGTCGCTGATATCAATCCAAGATGCGCTCCAGCAAAATACTATGTAAAAAAAAAAAAAAAAAAAAAAAAAAAGCCTCAGTTATCTTTAAACTTTTTTTGGAGTTTTGAATGTAATAAAAGGCAGCAACTTTTTTCCGATAGCAATGCATGTATGAGTTTTCCACGTACAAGATAGAGATCACTAGCGGTGGGGATGATTCCAGAAATGAGAAGTAGATCCATGATGGTAACCAACATATAAAGATAAAAGAACATGATGATCTCTTTGCGACCTATTGAAGAAAAAGAAGATGAAGAGGAAAAAAAAAAAAAAAAAAAAAAAAATCCCAGACATTTTATATGATGAGTTTAGGTTGTAAATGCTTTAGACTGAATGTTCATCTGCTTTTATAAGTAAGGAGATAATTGCGGTTGTTATTAATGATATTGCTCTTACCAACTGCAGTGTATTTTGACCGAATATGATAGATCATGATGGCGGTCATGACCAGGGCAATAATGTGGATGATTAAGGTTGCTACAAAATCATGAACAATTAGAATAAAGATGTCAGAAACAAAGTTGTGCTTTAACGAATCATATCATAATGGTGCCCTGACACATAAAGAAAAAGGAATTTAGCTTTTCGACGTACAGGGCTGAAAGATTAGCGTATCGGCCAGCTTGACATTACGTGAGTAGCAGAGTGGCTCGATACCATCAGCAGTTCCGACGAGTGGACAGAGGGTGAGCGAGACCCTGGAACAAACGTAGTTGAAGCTGCCAAAGGCAAAGTTGAAATTCGGTGTGGATGACATGGCGCCAAAATATGCTTCTGCGCGAGTGTTATGCTATTCGATTGCTTGGTCCTAAACATTATTAAAAAAAATATATATATATATATATAAATGTAAATATCAGAATGTTATTGGCCTCTGAATTCCCCCCCTTTTTTTTGGAGGCACGTTGCAATTTAAACCGGAGATATGAAGCGTGCGCGTCGGGTGCCATCCAATTGATGTCATGTTAAGCAAGGTCACTATATTATGATTTTTTTGCTAATAATAGGAGGCGGAGAAGGGGAAGGGGAGAAAGACACAGATGTGGACTGATTGGCAGTGCAAGATGAATGTCAAATTACTAAAAGACTGGAATTAAATGGCACAAGGTTTAAGAAGGTGCGCCGGTAGAGTGATAGAGATATTGAACATCCAGTCTTTGGGGTTGTTAAACAGTCGACTGGTTAGCTTTTGTATGAATTCCAACCACAGCTAATGCTTTTTTTTTTTTTTTTTTTTTTTTTTTTTTTGAAAATCAGATAAAAGCAGAACCTTCTAGGACCATATATAAATGGTCTATGGCTTAATAGTTATTAGTCCGAGGTGAGGAGTATAAAGGATGGGGATGGGAAAGAAGAAGGAGAGTTTTGGAGGGAGATTATAATAGTTGAAAGAAGGTCAATGGGTAAAGTAAAGATGATGAAGCGAGTAAAGCATTCCCAATCATTAGGTATGATTTAAGGAGGGAAAATAAAGATGAATGAGCAAAAGGGGATATTGTGAATGGGAAAAGAAAGAGAGAGTGAGGGAACTGATGAATACCTTTGCGCTACGGGACTGGGCTGAGAGTGAGAGTGAGGGTGAGAGTGAGGGAGAGGATGAGGGTGGGGGTGAGAGTGAGAGCAAGAGTAAAGGGTGAGAGAATAAAAGGGATGTATTTGATGAATAAAAGAAAAAGAAAGAAAGAAAGAGAGTGGTGGTGTAGTAGGAGTGAGGAATGTAGAGATCAAAAGCAATGCATTCCGATGAAAAGAAGAGGAGAGAGAGAGAGAAAAAGAGAAAGAAAGAAAGGAGCAAAGGAAAGAGAGAGTGTGGTAAGCTTTGTCAGTCCTGAATCCACTCTGTAATCCAGTCATTTAAAAAACCAAGGGCCATTCCATGTTCATCAATCTCTCGTCAGTCTAATTTTATACTTTTCACCTGTACATTCTATCGTTCAGATAAACATTTAATCATTTCGTTTCATGATGAGAGGCAGAATCCAAATCTCTTTTGCACTCGATACATGTTGTAACAAATGTGTATAACATTTATACATAAATATAACATACTCTTTGTACCCGACTCTCTCTTCTCTCTTCTCTCTTCTCTCTTCTCTCTTCTTGTCTCTATTTTCTTTTTTTTTTTCTTTTTTAATTTTATTTTTAGCTGGATACTCGCAACGCAGGGCCCATGCCCACTGACTTCATTACAAAAGTTTTTTTTTTTTTTTTTTTTTTTTGCCTTCTCTTCATCTCCACAATGTCCAATATACACAACAGACAAAACATACACATGTACAATGTATACATGTGTAGATACATGCGTATATTTTTATGAAGATACATTGTAGTTCCTCCAAGGACAGAAAACTGTTTCAAAAAATTCATCCCACGTGGCTGGAAACAGTTTTTCTTTTTTTTTTTTTACAATCTACACACATCCACTTCAAATATATATACATAATGTTATGTATGTAGTATGATCAGAAGTTATGGTAATAAATAATCTTCTTTTTTTTTTGTTTATTGAGTAATTACTAGTTTGTCTGAATGGGACAAAGAAAATAGGAGATCTTTGCGAGTATTTTTTTTGTCATTGTTGTGTAGTGTGTAAGTTGTAGCTGGGGGTGTTTTTTTTGTTTTGTTTTGTTTTTTTTTTAGTATTTTATATTGTGGCGTATAAGGCAAAAGAAGAAAGATGAGTAAGAGAAAAATGGTATGCATATTGTAAGATTGTAAAACGGGATTACTTCATGATCAGAAAGCTACATGATCAGGCAGCAACAACCCTTCTCATCCTTATCTTCCGATTGATTGCCATATCCTTGTCCCTGTTGAGAATATCCATAGCCTCCACTCTGGGGTTGGTTATGTGTCTCCTTGTTGAAACGACGGATTTCACGAACAAGGTTGTAGAAGGATTCATCCACGTTAATCCTCTGCTTTGCTGAGGTTTCAATTAGACGCGAATTAAAATTCTTTGCCAATTCCCGACCCTCTACATAGATAAATATATACCATCATCCAGATATTAAAACAAAACAATAACAATAATAATAATAATAATAATAATAATAATAATAATAATAATAAAAAAAGAGAGAGAGAGAGAGAGAGGCTGAATGTGAGCATCAATTGAACATAAATCCAAACAGTATGTGAAACAGCCAGGAAGAGCACACATCATGAGCGAGAGAGCAAGATTTTTAAAAGAATGCTGTTTGATACTTCTATATGAATACATGAAATATATACACACATTACAAAGAAACATACCATGCGTAGAAACCTGACGCTCATGCTCAAGATCGCACTTATTGGCCACTAGGATGATTGGGAAAAAGTCCTTGTCCTTGACACGCAAGATCTGATGATAGAATGTCGAGATTTCTTCAAACGAGTTGCGCGAGGTAATCGAGTAGACGAGCAAAAATCCCTCACCTGTGCGCATGTATTGCTCTCTCATCGCACTATGTAATAGAGAATAGAAACAACAAAGAACATGAAGAAACATCATATCAGAGCCAAAAACAAAGATATTAAATGTATACAGGATTCTCTTCATTTTGTCCCACCTGGAACATGCCAGCCTTTTTTCCTTTTTTTTTTTGTTTCCGTTTCCAATCTCCATCTTTTTCACTAGACTTTTTTTATTATTCTCCAGCAACAGAGCCCAATTTCATATCATGATCGGGAAGGCCTGCACAACCACGTTGAGATTTAAAAAGAGCCATTTTAAGAACAACGCTTTAAGGCCATCAGAGTCAACCATAAGAAGGGAAGAACATCGCTTCCTCATTAGGATACACATATACATATACATATACATATACATATGTATATGCTGTCCTTGATCCCTATATTCACTGTAGCTGTAGATTTTTGAAGATCTTTGTTGTTTGTCTTTTTTACCTGTACTCCTCCTGGCCAGCAGTATCAAGTACGTCAAGAAGGGCAACTTCTTCATCAATCACGCATTGTTTGCGGTAGGAATCTAGCAAAAAAAAAAAACAAAAAAAAAAAGTATGTTTTTTAGACTTTTGAGCACATATTCAAATGCTGACTTGAAAAACCATGATAAAAGTATATATTTAAATATAAAAAAAAGTTAATATCGTGATGAGTACCTTCGATTGTGGGATCATATTCGTCCACAAAGTGAGATTGAATGAATTGAATGGTCAAGGCAGACTTGCCAACACCTATTGTATGGGTCAGGGTAATAAGAAAGGATATTAATCTGTTAGCAAATCCATGGGCAGTGATTAGGTTCGAGTGATTGACAAAAAAGAACAAAAAGAACAAGGGAGAGACTGAAAGCATGCAAACAAGGGTTTAAACAAAGAAAAAGAGAGGGAAATGATGCAGGATGGAATGGATGCGGAGTGTACAGAAGTGGATGGATAGTGTTCATGTTCATGCTATCGGTCAAAAAAGTATAAATGCCGCAGAGCGGCGTAACCATTTTTGCAAGTCAATAAGGTATCGTAAAGACGGCGAAAGAGACGAGTATATGGAGCTAGGAAGGATAAAGAAATAAAATAGAGCAACAACAACAACAACAACAACAACAACAACAACAACAACAACAACAAAAAGATAGCAATGTGTTTGGGATGGAATAACTTGTTCGCTTGCTTTGTTCGTTGCAAGGAGAAGTGGCAAGAGAAGAGGTAGGGAAAAGCAGGGGAAGGGAAAAGGGAGTGGTTGCGAAGGAGCGCGGCAAAAATGGATGGATACACGAGAATAGATATATAAAATATAGAAAGAAAGAAAAAAAAAGATGGAGTATAAGATAGGAAAGGTGTAGGAGTGAGGAAGAGTAAATGATATACCTCCTCCGCCAACGACGACGAGCTTATACTCGCGCATGAGTTGATTTGGTTGTTTAGCCATTGGGTTGAGCTTTTTGTTTTACAGCACTGGATGATCAGCGAATGAATAATAAGAGTGGTTTGTGTTTAAAATAAAAGAAATGAAGACGTGAGTTGGAGGAGGAATGAAGCTGAAATAATTAAATAGAATGGAAGGAGAAAGGGAGAGGAGGGTGATGAGAGGGTAATGAGAGGATGTAGGGGGTGAAGAATGAGAAAGAATGAGAAAGAATGAGAAGGATGTGAAGGATGTGAAGGATGAAGATGATGACAGAAAGAGAACGAGAGGGCGAAAAAAGAGAAAAAGAGAGAGAAGAGATTGAGATTGAGAACAGTGGGAGCGAGGAGATTTCAAAAAAAAAAAAAAAAAAAAAAAAAGTTAAAAAAAAGAGCTTTTTTTGGACATGTCTCGTTGTGTCTTGCTTGATTTCTCGCTTGTGTAATAATGAAGGATGTCTCTCTCTCTTTCTCTCTCTCTTCAGCGCAGGACAGGAAATGAAGACAATTTCTTTCTTTCTTTCTTTCTTCTGGCCAGTAAACAGGTTCTGTGGCAGTATGACAGACATGCAGGGGAGGACAAAGGAAGAAGGCAAGTTGGCCCATCTTGGTTGGCACGAGGCGTTTAGCGAGCTTCCTTCACTTGTGTATGTAATCCAGGGGCTAAGTGACAGGACATGACCAGTTTCGATTTAGACCAACCTTTCATATCTGATTGTTTTTTTTTTTTTTTTTTTTTTTTTTACTCTTTAGCATGCCTTTCTTGTCCACTCATATATTGATAAATGGTGTATAACTCTTGTTCCACCAAGGATCTTTTTGTGTGTATATGAAGCTTGACTACGAAGGCTGTGTTTCATTTTCCATGAAGAAAAATAGGGTATCGATCGAGCATTATCTGTTGTGCCATGCGAGAACCATCTGAGCTCGTGTAACCCGAAGGACAGAGTCCATGACAATACTCACCTTGGTGCTTTAGCCTTGACACAGATCCCTTGTACAAAAGTCTGAAAAATTCAGAGCCAAAAACTCCCTATTCGCATAGACATCATCACGTTGGCTCTTGTCTTAAATCAGTAATGACTGTTGCAAGTTTTCAGGCATCACTGTTGTAAAAATAACCCAAACTTGTAATTGATAACGGAGTGATGAAGGTGGTTTGCTGCCACAGTAACGCTCTGAATTATACAACAGTAATACTTTCAACAGCAACGTCCGGTAAATCTATCTTGTTTGATTTTAATTAACAGATCCCTTAGCCCTGTTTCTCAGCAGTGATCAAGTGGCTTCATCTTATGATCACAATTGGTCAAGGTCAATAAAGCACTTGGTCTCTCGATCTCGACCACAAACAGGACTTTGTCATCCCACTATCCCACTAGCCCACTATCCCACTATCCCACTATCCTACTATCCCACTATCGGAATGTATACTCGATTCCTTCCACCCAAGGATTGTGCAACGGTTTTGGCCTATATATGCGCACAGACTGATGTGTCAGAAAATCAATAGTAGAAAATACTTCCATTGCTGTCACATTGGAATAACTATAGGAATAACTAAAGATTGTTCATAAAGTTGGTGCAAAGGAAGAAAAAATGCGGGTTTGGTGGCTCATTATTTTTCATGGATAAATCCTTTACGATATTTATTAATGTTATAAATATATGCCTGAATATTTAAATATTTTACTGCAGAAAACAATGTTATCCTGCAGGCTGGATCTAACAATCCGGAGGCACATGACAAAGTATAGAAACGCACAATTGCGATGATGGTGGAGTAACATAAACAAAAAAAAAAAAAAAAAACGATGGTGGAGTTACAGAGATGGCCATGTCCCCCCCCCCCATACAAACTTTTAGACAGATTAGTTGATCAAAGATTACCCCGAAATGGAAAGTCTACAATTGTAACAACAATCATTAACAAACGATTGTAAAGAATAATAATTATCGCTCTCTCTGGCCTTCGCCTTTATATCCAGTTTGAGCAATCGTCTTATACTTGCTCTTCTGAAAGTGAGCATAGCTAATAGCTATGCCATCTCTTATCAGGCGCAGCCTCCTAAAGATCTTTGACAGTAAACTAAGCAGCCCCCTTGTTTTTTCATTCGAATGAGTTCAGACGTCCCATGGCTCCCTGTTATTGTCCTAGGAACAGTGCCATCACATTCTTTAACTTCTCTTTTACATGGCGCAATTTCAATACGACGAACGCACGTCGTTTAAATTATAAAGACTGTCCAAAGAAGAATTTTGCCACCTTATCCATGTCAAATTAGCGCCCTATTCTATACCAATCTTACCTTTCTCTCTTTCTTTCTTTCCTTCTTTCTTTCTTTCTTTTTTTTTTTCACACACTTTTTTACCAATTCTCAAAAAAATACTAGTGGGCATTTTTTTTTCTTGTATTTTTCAGAGCCTGCCCCATGCATGAACGGCCAGTAGCATTATTGGCGACGCCGGCGTCAACGATCTACCTACATATGATTGGTAGACAGTAAAAGAAAGGAAAGCCAAGAAGGAGTTATGTTGCCATCGGACATGAGCCAGTGAAAGAGCTTTATTTAAATATTATACTTATTTTATCTCATGTATTCAGACGTATATAATATAAGAATGTAATATTATTGCGCCCTTCTACGATCAGAGTGGGTCAAAGATTGTTCTTGCGCGCACTTTTCTCCAATTCATATTCTCATAATTGCAGGTGACATGTATATTATATATATATTGTCCTCGTCATTTGGTCATGCACATATTCTAAAAACATATAATTATTGAATTGATTTGGTCGGCTCAGAATTTTAAATGAGTTGGTGGCCAAAATCAGCCACCGATTCAATACACAAATCCCATTCAATGTGACGCGCTTTTTCTGGGGCCAATTCAATCAATATATTTTTACAATATGTGCATGACCAAATGACGAGGACAATACAAATACATTATTGGAGCCCTAATTGCTCTTTCTTGATCGCCTTTTAATTTGGCTTTTACAACACATCACTCTCGGCTCTCAACTTCCCAAGAAACATTATTTTTTTTTTTCCTCATTGCAGGAGACAGTAACAGCAAGTCGGAAAGAGGGCAGTCAAGCGACTTTCACCTGATGCTCACTCGAATTCCTGACTTGTTCTACTTTAATGTCACTTGCTAAAAATTGGCTGGACTAGAACCAGAGGCTACTTTATATCTTTCTGTCATCAATATCTCCAGCTGAAGGCCCTCATACTCAACTCTATTACATCAGAGCTTTTAAAAGGTCTGTTAGTGGTTTACAAAACAGTGCATGCGCTTGTTGTGTATGTTTACGTCCTTTTTTAACTTTGTTGTCAGCACAATTAATTTTTTTTTTTTTTCCTTCAAAACACATTTGACGGTGGCAAAAAGTGAATTTTGAAATTAAAGAAAACTGACATGATAGATTATGAATGAATAAGAAGAATTGTAAATGTTACATCCACACCGACTTTTGTCCAGCAGCATCCTGTAGAGCCTTTGATACAAGGAAGATTCAGTCTGTGACATGTGTTTTGAACTATAGCAACCCAAGCAATGCATACTTGGGGCTCGGAAACAAGATTAATGCCACGTTAATAAACGGTGTTGGAAATTATATATAAATGAATAAAAAGACCGTGTGGGCGAGCCAGATGGCAGGGGCTTTTTTTTTTTTTTTTTTTTTTTTTTTTGCTCTCTGTTCTGGCCATTCTATTGTATATATATAAATGTACATGTACATTTAATAGGAATAATTAAATGAAGATGACGGACCAAATGAATGAAAGGACAAAGGTTGCGCAACCTTTCCTCACTTTGACCGTGTCATGCAATATGATTATCAGTATGAATAAGATGATAAAGCCGGAGGAGCAAGGACTGAAAGGAAGAATAATGTGAAGGGTGAATTAAAGAGAGAGCCAAAGCATGGGACAGTGAACGGTTGTTGATGTGAAAGAGAGCGAATGCTTGATTTGAGAGCACTAGAAAACTTTAATGTTCCCCCAATGACACGCTGACGATTGAACTCATCCTGGCCCAACCCCTCAATTCCTATATTTCTCATCTTCTACTCAATCACCCGCATTCATTCGAGCATAAAATTATCCTCTCAGCTTGCGGAATAGCAAACCGGATTCTGCATAGTCAATCTTGGCTCTCTTTTTCTTTTTTACTGAACTGCTTTTTTTTTGGTCCCTAGTTCGGGCACTCGACCCATCACCCTTCTCGTGGTGCCCGTCGTTTTATTCTCATCGCCCGTTAAAACTGCTTGCTGTTGCAAGTGTTATTTTCTTTTTGATCTCTGTGGTGAACAGCATTGATGACACTTACATCTGTGAACTCATATTTTACCTTTTTGAGTAAGACGAATGCAAAGTCTATGAGAAAGTAAGGAGGTGGGGAATAAAATGAATGTTTAGGAGAGAGAGAGAGGCATGGGTATCATGGGTATGCACACACAGCACCTCCTCTCAAATAAACACACGCATACACGCCTTCTTATCGCCGGGTTCGTGCATCATCATCTTTTTTTTTTTTTTTTTTTTTTTTTTTTTTTCCAAGGCTTGGGGCGAATGGGATAGATGTGTGAATTATAGAAGTTGGTGGATTGCTAGGGAAAAGCTGTTGTTCCATCCTCCATCCTCCTTTCTCCTCTCTCTTCTCTCTTTTTTTTTTTTCTTTAACAAAAAAATTTTTTTTATATACTCCTTTCCTCTCTTTGTCCTTCCGTCAACCACATCTCATTCTTTGTTTTCTCATTCCGTTTCTACCCAGTCTCGGCGTCATTTCTGTGTAGCGTGAACACCATTTATTTTTCTTTACGACCGACAGGAAAAGAAAAAAGAAAAAAGAAAAGCCAAAAGCCAAAAGCATAACACTCCTCCAACGCCACTACGCTTTCGTTACTATTCCTACTACTATTTACCATAGTTCCTTTTTTTTTTCAACGTATAGCAATTGCAAATAGTTTAATGAATTCATTTGTTTTCTTCATCACCTTCCTTTTACTTTAACTCATTCTCGTGAGAGGTCTCCTTTTATTTCTGTTTCTTTGGACCGTCACTGTTCCAGAAAAATTATTTTAAAACACCTGTTTCTTCTTCCATTTACACTACGCCTGGCTCCTGGCACCGCTCGCTACTTCAGGTACCAATCTACACTACGAATTGTTTTTTTTTCTTTCTTTCTTTCAAGACATTCCGTCTACGTTTACTGTATCAACTCCTCCGTTGTGCACTGTCTTTATACCCGCTCTCTCTCCGAAGCAATTTTATCTGCAGCATTTTGCTCCTGTCTACCGTAGACACTCATTCATCTCATAGTTCTCTTCCCCTTTCCTTCAAAGAAAAAGCAGTTTATCCTCCAATGGCATTCGCCTCATCCTCCTCACCCTCCTCATCGTCATCATCCCCACCAGCAGGGGCACCAAGCGTAGTCCTCGGTCTTCCCGGGTCAGAGCTCCAGTCGAATATGGAGATCAAAGTCAAAACGAAAGCAAGGGCAGGATCTGAATATGAGAATCCTACTGTTTATCAAGCACATTATTCACATGAATTATCAAGCTCTATGCCAGCAATCCAGCACAGTCAGACATTCCATCCAATAATAGATTCGGCCCACCCTGTGCATCCTCCACACCCTCTACAGCCTGGCCAAACCCTTGCGGAACAAAACCTTCGAGCTCAGCAAGGCTTGACAGGGTTGGCAATTATGACCCCAATGTAAGTTTCTTTATTTTTTTATTTTTTTTTATTTTTTTTTTTACAATATGAGTGGAGATCGTCGGTTTATTTTTTTTTAAAAAAAAAAGACCAGAGCCAAAGTTAAGAATATTCTCTGCCTATGTGATTTTATGCATTAATGTTTGTTTGCGTGTGTTTCTCCTCTTGATGATTAATGGATATGAAATCTTGCAGGGGAAGGGGGAGGAAAAAGGCTTTATAATCGAGAGAGAGAGAGAGAGAGAAAAAAAAAAAAAAAAAGTTGATACATGACCTGACGTACATTTGGTGATGTAGTGCTCCACTGCTGTGTTGGAAGGAAAAAAGAAATTGCTCTTGACAACAATCAGCAAAGGCTTTTTCCTTGATTTTCCAGCCAGATTAGCCTCTTGACAGTGGAGTATTAAGGAAGAAAGGACAATGTAAAAGACACAAATGCAAGTGGTGGGAAGTGTGATCGATACCTTCGGCCGAATACACATGCATAACAAAGGGCTGTCTTTGCTTTGCGAACGGACATTCACTCTTTCACTCATTTGGCATGGCCAGTGCTCAGCCTATCACGCGCCTTTCTTCTTTGAATTGAGAGAAAAAAAATAAAATAAAAGTATCAACCAATGGTTGTGTACGATGCAAACGGCTCATATCATTCCACATCATTCAATTTAATAACCAAAACAAAACCCGTTTTTTTTTTCTTTTTTTCTTTTCTTTTTTTTATTTTTATTTTTTCTTCTGATCTGTTAGAACGGAACATCATCGTTACATGGGCCATAGCAACTATAACCAGGAGCAGGATCAGAGCACACACTCTCAGTTTGATACTGGGTATCAATCTTCAGAGCAAGGACAAACACTATTCACGAGGTAAATATTTATGCTCACAATCATAGTAATCAGCATTAAACTAGCGCCATTTTTTTTTTTTTTTTTTTTTTATCTTTTTTTTGACATGGGTGTGTGAAAATAATATGCGATCGGACATGTCTCGGATATGCAACTTGATCTAATCGTCACTACGACCCATCCTAGACCTGATTATGAAAATATGGACCATCGCTACAGTCTTCCATCATTCCCGCAAGGTATAGTCAGGACTGACAATGATGGATCGTCTACTTTCAACCCCTACGCGTAAGTCCTTAGACTCTGTACAAATCTTTTACTCTTTGAAAATCTGTGCCTCAATTAACCTATTTTATTTCTTTTATTTTCAGATCCAACACAGATGGACCCATCATCCATCATCGCAATTCCATCTCTGGATCAACCACCGTACCACACCCTGTTGTCCGAGCTCGTCGGGCTGGCTCTCTCGCCATGGTTGAGGATGGTCCATTCTTTTCAAATACAAAGCAGTTCTATAGCCTTTACAACATGAATCAGACACAGTCGTAAGTATTCTTTCATGTTTACATGGCGGCAGAGAAATGCTTTTGTTTCGGGAGATATTCTGGACCTGCACTTACATTGTAGTTACTATTATTATTATTACTACTATTATTATTACTATTATTATTATTATTCAAATTGTTTAACAACAGGTATAAATTGCGAGTTATGGCCAGGATTGACAGAGGATTCTTTACAGCCAACAAAATCTGGACATGTTATCGCCGGAATTATTTTCAAGTCAGTACCGCATTTAGTATCCTTGGTTTTGATCACTCACAAGAGTCCGAGGTACCATGCCTTATCGAATTGAAGGATCCTATAACGAGCCCAGATCAGGGTGAGCTCAGTGCTCAACGTGACACGAACAGCATGATTGGCTCATTGGACGGTCTTCGTCTGAATGATCATGGTGCCTCCAGTCATGGTACATCTCGACTGGCGGTAGTAACCAGTTTTTCCATCTGCATCACTTCCAAGATAGCGAGTACAGACAAAAAGATTGACCTGATCCAGCACACTCCCAAACGTGACAAGGGACCACAAATTGTCCCTGGTCTTCGTGCTGTTCGAGGCGGTGGTACCTTGACCTTGACAGGAGCTAATACAAACCAGACTGTTGTCACGTTTGAACGTGTACAGTTCAAGACAGCAACCGCCAATAACGGCAAACGACGTGCGGCGCAACAGTTTTATATCTTGATGGTAGACCTCTATGCACACACAGAGGATGGTCAGGTCTTCTGTGTTGCCTCCTCACAATCAGACTCTTTAGTGGTGCGTGGAAGAAGTCCAGGTCATTATATTGACACTCCTGAGAGGGATGAAATTTTGTCACCTAGTTCCGCAGGCGAAAGGCGTCTTTCTAACATCGGCCAACACCCATACCATTTCCCAGGAACACACAGTCGAAGCCATAGTATCAGCGCTGGCGCTGGTATGAGCGTCGACGTGTCTTCTCTGGGCTTTGGAGGTGTAGAAGGTCCACTCTCACCAGTCTCACCTGGAGTCACCAGCGAGTACAGTCCTACAGCAGCACCTACACCATCATTCTATCGCTATCCTTCTCATCAAAGTGCATGGACCGATGGTTCATCTATGTCCTCGCCTTCTTCGACTTATGAAGCTTCGGCCTTTTCATCACCCACAACCGGATACCCTACCATGCACCAGTATCAAGGTCAGCATTCCCCGCAGGAGCATAGCCATTCATCATACTTTACACAACGACAGCCAAGTTTCGGGTCCATCACGCCCCGTTTGATGATGGGCCCCACAGGATTGAGTCCAAGACATCCATTCGATAACCAGCTTGAGCCACCACAAGAAAACTCGAACGAACAGGATGATAGTTCTCGTGCTTACTTTAATCAGAGCTACAACAACCCTCCGCAAAGCAATGGGTTTGTAGGTGTAAGTGCGGCTGGTGCTCCTGGCGGACTCTCGGATCAGGTGTTTGTCAAGACGGAAGTTCAAGAGAGCTACTTTCCATATCCGAACTCGTTCACAAACTCTTCGGGACATCCCATGAATGAATCTGGCATGAGTGTAGGCAATAGCGTAGGCACCTCAGCAGGAGAGCCAACACCATCGTCAACGTCTGCATCTTCCGTTTCATCTTCTTTTGGCTACACTGTACAGGAGCTCGGAGGAATGGATGCACACTCACCACAGCCGGCATTGCCCCAGAATGGACTTTATGAAGGATCCTTTGTATCTGCTGCAAACCCATACAGGACCACAACCACTGCTGGCCCACCTTTGACCCCTTATGGTCATCATAGTGAAATGCAAGGCGCTGCTGCTTCATTGTATCAGCATGGACAAGACCATCACAAAGTGGTCGCATGGAGCTAGATAAAAAAAAAAAAAAAAAAAAAAAATAGACAGAAAATTGCATTTTATCCATAACCATTAATTAAAGTGACCGTCTTTTTTCAAACGTTTGTTATTGACTAAAAGGAAAAAGGAGCTTCTTTTACTCTACAGTCTCCAAATTCCATTCTGCAACCTCATGCTTTCATCAACAAGAAAGTACCTTACATCATTTGTGCCTGCAGTTTATAGTAACTGTAACATCCAACCGCTGGCGCTTAGTTGTAACAAGCAGGGTTTTATTAGAAAGCTCTGTGTGAGTAGGGCATCACTCCTTTCAAGACCTGAGGCTGAGGTTATTACATCAAATGATACAAGTGATATTCATCAACGGTCATCAATAGAGGATACAAAACATGTATACACTCGTTCGAAAGATGCATTTAGTGATTCGAATACTATGCGAGAAGCAAGTGATCGTTGGGGTCTAGATGTCACTGAGTTTGCTTCGCTTGTCTTTCCAGAGGGTCGATCCAAGATCATGGAGGAGACCAAAAAATTGACGGCTGCCAGGATATCCAAAGGTCATATTGGCGAACGGATATCAAAGTATGAACGTAACACTTTGCGTGATCAGCAAGCGAGGGAAGTGCTCGGTCAGAGGACTAATCATAGATCTTTGACTCGAGGCCGCCTCTCACCAAACCCACATCTTCACAAAGACTCTAAGGGTATGAGTGAAGAAGAAAAAGAAGACTCTATGCCTCTCTGGATGAAACATAAATTGGCGATTAAAGAGAAACTGTTAGGGAAGGCATGGATCCCACAGAAGAGGATCAGTAGACAAGCTATGGAGGAGGTTCGATATCTCCGTAAGCAAGTAAGCGTAAAAGTTTTGCAACAATGGCACATCTTGTAGAACTGCTTTTTTATTTTTATTTTTATTTTTTATTGTCTTTACCATCAGTATATATAATCGTTATTATTGTGTTATTAATATTATTACTTTTTTTTTTTTTTTTTTTTTTTTTTTTTGTTTCTCTTTATTAATAGTTTCCAGAAGAATGGACTACTGATAAATTAGCCAAACATTTTAATATTTCAAGTGAATCGGTGAGGAGAATTTTAAGGACAGATTTCCAACTCAGTCCTGAGCGTGTAGCTGAGCAGGATGAAGCCAAGGAGCGGATGAGAAAGGAAAAGGTTGCTGCTGCGCTTGAACGCCTTAAAACTGAGCGACATGCTCGTTGGCTGGAGATAAAAGCAGAACGTCGACAGATGCGACTAAGTCGAAATCCACCTGTAGAAGGTCGAATTAAACTTGGAGCGCCCAAGCGATCCATCATTAATGAATAAAGTAATAATAAAACAGTTGCTTTATGGATTCTGGTGGATGACTATGAACGGTAGTCATGATACTCCTATGCGGTTATATCTTTGATCTACCTCGTCGCTATTGGTGACCATTATTAAACGTGAGAGCGTCCAGGTGTGAATGAGCTATATCTCTAACTTTTGAGCTGGTTCTCGATTAAAACCAAGCGTTGTATTGGTTCCTTTGTACAATGGACTGTATCACCTCTGCTTGAGCATTTCATCATCATCTATTGGATTTTTTTTTTTCCTTCCATATGGTTGTAAAGCTAGCTCTATCTTTTATCGCGCATGACTCTCTCAGAACTTTCAGTTGGGCATGTTAACATCTTCCGTATGAGATCAGGATTGTCACTTATTCCTTTCCCCTCTCAAAATACCTGATAAACATCATAATTTAGGTCTTTATTAGGCGTAGGCTGGTTCTATAGCAACTAGGTAAGGATTGGATGGACTGGAGCCAGAGCCTGTCAAGAAGGCACTGATTCGGCTGATAAGTGCAGCCAACTGGCTCTGGAGAGAGGTAATAAGTGGGTGCTCAAATGCGTCTGGATGTCCTGGATAGTTTTCTTGGTCAGAATAAAAGTAGTCACAAGTCGAAAAAGGAGGACGCGTTTAGGGGGTCTGTGCCTGTCTTCGGTAAGGTGCTGATCGGGAAGGATTGGAGTAAAGTTGAACAAATGATGGCTCTAACTCCTTCTCTCTTATTCCCTTTGATCTTTGCCCTTTCCCTTTGAATTTTACCCTATCCTTAAAATACACCCCCATCCTATTAAGCTCGGAAGACATTCAGACAGTCTTCATCCACATCTGATTATCCCTATCGTAAAATGCTCTCTTCAGAACAACATGGCTTCTTTGAGGATTTCTTAGACTCACGTAGGGCTGGTAAAATTCAATTGCTGTGTAAATTTTATCGACTCTGCAAATCCTCATTGTCAATACAATGCCTAAAAAACCATGCCTTTTTTTTAAAAAAAAAAAAAAAAAATGCTAATTGACTGATTCTGTTAGGGTGGCGTGATTACGAAGAGGATGAAAGTAAATATGTACAACGACATCTCCAAAGCGATTGATTAAATGTAAGAAAAAAAAAAAAAAAAAGAATTAAAGATATTAAAATGACTTTTTTTTTTTCTTCTTTTTGTTCATGAAGCTCTGTATTTCAAATTTAAACGCGACGGCGGGCGACGAAGAAGAAAGTTAATCCTGGCCTTTAGTCTTTGGTTCCTTTCACTGCTCGCTGTGTTTCTATTTTTTTGGTCCCGATACTCCCGTTCTCCCAGTAAGAAAAAAAAAAAAAAAAAAAAGACGCTTTCAGTCTGGTATATCCTCTACAGCTTTTACAACGTATTTTGTTCAAGTAGACGATGTATCTACCTCCGAAACAAACAACGTGGGCAACCAAGATATTCCTGTCTGGCAAGAGCTTAAAGCCCCACGTCTGTGGAGTCTTGACACGCAAGACGTTAGGAACCAGAAGGTGGTCTATATCAACAATGTTGACTTCCAAAGTATGTATGTGTGTAGCACTTTATTATTATTATTGTTTGTTATTGGCGTTGCTGTCGTTTGTTGACGCATAATCACTCTAAATCTTTAGGTCTAATGTATGGAGGTCCATCGGTTACTCTGATTGACCATAAGGTCCAAGACATCGGCCGTAATGGATGTCATGTTGAGGACCACCAGAGTGTTATGGGTAGAATTGCTATTGTCCAAGATCCTAGTAATGCCTGCGATCTTTGGACAGTGACTGAATATGCTCAAAAGGTAAAAAGGCTGGACATCGATGTTTAATACGCCCATCGAGCGTTTAATGTGGCTCACTTTTTTTTTTTTTTTTTTTTTTTTGTAGGCTGGAGCCCTGGCTGTTTTGTTTTATAGCACAAGTGGCCAACTACTCTCAGGCTCAGTTTTACCTCATTCTTGGAAACAAGATGATCCCTTGAGTTCTATTCCTGTCCTATCAATTACGCGTGACTTGGGTGCTAAACTGATCGAGGGCAAATCGACATTTTTTGTATCTATTGTAACAGACATTTTGAGCGGAGCATCGAAGGAATCAGAAGTATCAGAGGAATCAGAGGAATCAGAGGAATCAGAGGAATCAGAGGAATCAGAGGAATCAGAGGAATCAGATGTATTAGAGGTAGAAGTGCCGCCATCTGACGAGCAGGATGATGAAGACCTCGATACTATAGACAGAATAGACAGATTACTCGCTCCTCTTCTCAAATTTTGGGAAGACGTGAAAGCTACTCTCACGGCGCCTTGGGCATGGATCGGAGAGAACGTCAGCATTTGGGCTCCGTGTATTGGAAAGATAATTTCATGGATATGTGTTGGAGCTGTTTTCGGCGCCGTAGCATTGCCAGTGGCATTTTTTCTGTTGACTATTGCGCTTGGATTTGGAGCCGAGGGGATCTATGCTGGAACATGTGCGGCTACATGCATGGCCTGCTATGGAGGTTATGTCCCTGCTGGTGGATTTGTAGCATATATGCAATCAGTAGGCGCCTTGGGAATTGCGGCTGCATTTAGCCCATTTACCTTAATAATCGGGGCCATCGTTGGCTTATTTGGAGGCGGTTATTATGCCAAAGTTATTATTGACGTATGCTCAGTCACTCCTTAAGAGTACCTAGAGATGTAAATAAACAAACGCAGGGTCGTGAAGTTCTATTCTGATCTCTTGCAGATGACAGTATAGATTTTATTTGTATTTTATTATGAGTAAGACTATCACAATGCGATGTATAATCTTGGCTTTGCTTTCGCCTTAGGAGTAGCTCACAAAAAAGGAAAAAAAAAGTTTGAAGTCCAAAGAGACAATGACGGGATTAACACGTTTAACGGTTGTTGACGACGAGCTCCAAGAACTGTGTAGATCCGATGGATTGCAGAAAGCAACATGAAAATGTATAGGAAGAATGTGAGAATGGGAGCGTACTAAAAGCATCGGACGATCAAGATAATTCAGCATGGTAATATAGACGACTTGATACTGACCTGCTCGTACCCAATAGTGGCGTATCCTTTACCCTCCCGATCAATTCTCTTGAAAGCATCCGTAAGACTCTTGACAGTGACCGCAATCTGGACAAAGTTATCGAAGGACACATCGCCGCGACCTTCAGGTTTTTTGCCTAAAAGGCATCAGTATCAGGAGTCCATTTCCATAAAGTTTTTTCATCTTTTTCCTCCTCCCTCTATTTCCTCTCTCATAATTAAGAGGAGAGAGGGAGTTATGCACATAAACAATAATCCCAGCCCGCTCTTTTTTTTTTTTTTTTTATACGGCTTAGAACCTACCTCTCTTATCATATTTCTTGATGATCAATTGTAAAAAGTGGTCGGATAGATTGTAGCCAAACGAATGCATAGCTGTCTTGAGCTCGTTGAAATCAATGAAGCCGCTGCCATCCCGGTCAAAGGCACGGAAGCATGTGCGCCAGTCCTCAATGTATTTCCAGAGACCTGCAAACTCAGGGAAGGTGATAAGACCCGAGTTGTCTACAGAAAAAAAGAAGAGAATAGGCGATTTCAATTGATGAGCATTCGTACTTTCTGATTCCTTTTTCGATTACACGACACATGTCATGGTTATATAAACCTAGTAAAGATGATTACCAGTATCAAACATATTCATCATCAAACGGACTGTCTCGATGTTGAATGGGCTCCAGTCACCTAGCAATGTAAAGGAAAAAAAAAAGGAATGTCAGCCTTTGTCCTGGCACTTGAATGATAATGGTTACTATCCATTGAAAAGTAGAAAATGCTCAAACCCTAAAGTACTCACCGTTAATAAGAGCTCGCTGCAACTCTTCAGTACTCAATTGACCAGAGCGATCAGAATCAACGGCATCAAACCAGTATCTCAAGCTGGCCTCAGGAGTCGCAGGAGGAGCTTGTTCATTGAAGGAAAAAAAAAAAAAAAAAAAAAAAAAAATTAATGGTGGGAATAAAAGGTAAAACAGTTTCTAGTAAGAGGGATCAAGGATTTTCCATATTCCTTGCCTACAAATCAAAGGCACGACCTCTCATTTCGTGATGTCTGACCAGTAGACATCGGATTTGTGGATGATGATTGAATTGATTGTATCCCACTCCAATTTTTTTTTTTTTTTTTTATGTGCCTCATTGCGTTGAGTTTGTTATTTTTGCTGTACTTATGCCGCGTCCCAAGAGAGAAAAGTAGAGGAGGAAGGAAGAGTAGTCATTTCAACGATTCTGTATCTCTCATAATGACATACCTGGGGGCTGCTGGTAACCCTGCTGACCGTACTGATTATATCCCTGCTGTTGGCCATAGGGCTGTTGCTGCTGATAGTTGTAGGCCATACTTTTTTTAAAAAGATGGAAGTGATAATTTGGAAAGAAGAATGAAGAACACAAAAAAAGACGACACAATGACCTTATTCGGGTCACTTGCTCTCAAATTCCTTATTCACACGACATTGCTTGCGTGTTCGTGTCCAGCCAAAAAAAAAAAAAAAAAAAAAAAAAATGGCAGTGCGAGCAAATGGGGCTAAACTGAATAGTTTAACTATAATTTAGGCTGGCAAGAATGAAGATGAATGGGATAATGTGTACTATGGAATGTATTTGATGGAACGATTCAATATAATCACTGCCATGCCAAGAATGCTTAAAAGGACAAGAGCGGTAATCATTGTAAGGGCAAGTATCGGAACGACGAGCCCTATCAAGCATATCTGTCGAGATAGTTAACCAGTCTGTACTTTTAAAATGCTTCAGACTGAGACAAGGAACAATTACTTCAATACACTTGCCTGCATCATCATCAGAACACTCCCACTTATGATAAAAAAGCCCAGGTCAGCCATCAATAGGCTTCCAAAAAAGCATGTAGCAGGAAGGATACTCAGTATCCCACAACCCAACATGCTCATGCGGACGAACCACGGTGACTCCATGTATTTGCGATAGAAAAAGCGTATCAACGGCGTTAGATATTGCTCAACTATTCCTGGCAATTGTAATGTCGACAACACCCATTTGGCGCCCTGAGTGATTGTGGCCAAGCTGTCCTCAACCACTATCTCCACAAGAGGATAGCTTGTCATGGTGGATGGTCAAATGCTGGAGACTAGAGCTTGTCAGATTCGATCGGAATATGAAATATAAAAAACCCTTTTTGAGAAGGCAATTTAAAAAGTTGATCAAAAACGAGCCGCTAACTTCTAGTTTATTGAATGAAATGTTACAGTATTTCTAATAATTACAAATATATCTTTGATAAATCACTTCTACTTGGAGTGCGAGCTCAGAGGTGAGGATACATCTCCTCCTTGTGCGGCAGCATTCATAAGAACTTCGCGTAATGCCTCCTTCTCCTCAGGGGTCAGACCTTTGAGTTCATCCAGATTAGGTACTTTGGCTTTGGGAGCTGGTCTTCGGAACGCAATCTCAAGTTGTATCTTTTCATTCTCAGTCAACGCCTCCGACTTTGCCAGCTCAGCCTTGGATGGCATCAATGGTTTGGGTGCTCTTAATTTCTCGCTAGGATTGATCTTAAGTGAGCGTTGATGGAGAATAGCCTCTTCCTTGTCCAAGAATGACTCCGAAGTAACCTTGAGACCTATTAGCTTCATTAACAATGGAACCTTTACACGGTAGTCTAGATGGCCTTCCACATGCGACGTGAGATCCATATTGTTCAATCCTGGAACATTTTTGATTGGTCTAAGACCAGCAACTGTGCCCAACCCTCCTGTTGTCGCGCGGAATAAGAATCCTAGGACCCAGTCATTCCGGAGATAGCCATTCACAAACTCGCCTGCTACTGCACTACGGGCCTGACGCCACTGCGTCTCGGATGCTGTGATTGGCGCTCCAAAGAGATACGCGTTTTCCACAATTCCAAATGCATCCAGCCGTCCAAGCTCCATCAAGCAGTAAAATATGACACGCGCACCAAGACTGTACCCAACCTATAAAGTTTGAAATAAAATAGGGACATAAATATGGGGGTCGGGTGTCTGATGAAGTCACTTTGCAATCGTGAAAGGTTAAAGTGGATGGATTTTGTCTATGAATTTTCCTTACAAGAGTCACTGGGCGGAAACCCAGATAAGATCGCATTAGAAGAGAATCCGCCAAGACGAGTCCAGCTAGCTTGGCGCGATCCAACGCAATACTCCATGGGTTATCGATGAGATATCCAAGGCGGGTTAAAGCCATAGGCCAGGCCAAAGCCGATAGTAAAGCTGAGAGAAGAGTATGCTTTAGAATCTCTTGTGCCGTTAGGGTAATAACCTCAGTTGCCAGCAAACTTAAAGCATTTCCCACTTTTTTTTTTTTTTTTTTTTTTTTGGGGGGGGGGGAGGGAGTGGGGGACATTGTCATGAATAGAGCAAAACAAATCCAGTTAGCACACCATTCATAATTTGCTTCAACATGAGCCTTCTTGAAGTATGGAGAGTTTAAAAATTATAAAAAAAAAACTTACATTGCATCAACATATCTGGTTCCCACAGAAGCGCAAAGTGATCCCCATTGATCGGATCAAGGGTTGAAAAAGGTAATGATGCATCCTCTTCACCAATATCTAACCAGCCAGAGATCGTCAAAATTACATTGACTCTTTTGTTATCATGGAGGGCCAGGAACTCAAATCGGTCAATGCCTGCAGTTCGCCTAGCCATCTTCTTCATTGCAAGTCCAGATCCCGTCACTGCAGCCCCGCTCGTAATAACAGCGACGCCACCACTGCCAGCGAGGAATGCGGAGGCTGCTGTTGCTGTGGCTCCTGTGATATGTGCCCCTGCCATGACTGCACCAATACCTGCACCAATGACAGGAGCGAACAAACCAGCTGAAAGTCCCAAGACAAGCCCACCACCCACTGTTGCTAATCCCATCATGATCATCCTCTTTTTACGAATCTCATTGTTCCTGGATTTCGTATCTGGCTTCAAAAGACCGTCGCTGGCTGTGGTTTGTAATTGCTTCATGATTCCTTTTTCAAATAAAACGATTTCGTCCCATTCAAGTCCAAGATGAGTCCCGACTGCCTTGAGCAACACCCGAGCACGGGCATCATAGATAGAGTCCGAGATAGAGATCAAAAAGAGATCTGCAATTAATGTCCAACGCAAGTCCACAGTAATGGCTTTTTGACTGCCAATAGACAGTCTAAAGCCATTTGGAGTGTCATAATGGCGAATCGGGGGACGACTTGCTGAAGTTGTCGTGGGCGATGTTGCCTCCTCTTTCTCTCCATCAATCTCCGATTTGCTAGACTCACCCATAGAGGCTTCAACAGGGGAGGTATTATTAGAAAAGGTACTATCGGAGGAAGGTGAGAGTGGTGAAGTATTGTGAGGCTTGCTATTCTCCCAGATCGGGTCATTCTCTGATGGTAAAGATGGCGATGGTGGCTGCTGCTGGATACTGTTAAGACTGCTTAGGCTTGTAATCGAGGGCTGTCGAGAATGTTGAGAAGAGGCAGGTGAGGATCCATTGAGTGAAACATTAGTTTGATCCACCTGCTGTGAGGACACTACGCGCTGCGTTCCGTCTGCAACAAATGACTCGAGAAGATCTTGGGGCTGGATCATCATTTGAGGCAACTGTGCAATTGTTCGCTGTGCTATTGGTTAGGAAGCGTTACAATAAATTTTTGTTAGCCAATTTCATGATAGGATCGCCCAAAAAAAGGTTAATAGCCAGAGGAATAGTGTACGATATGAGTATGAAAAGAGAAGAGTAAACAAAGAGAGGAGAGCATTATTTGATTATTTGATATGAACACGATGTGATATGATTTGATGTTTAGAATGCTCCGAAAAGAATATTACTGGAATATCAAGTATTAACCATCTAAACATTCCAGAAACCTACTGTCTGCATCAATGTCCAAGTGCTTGTATAGACGATAAATGAGTTTGGAAACAAAGCTCTCGAGGCTTTCCTTGGCATGAGCAGCTTCAGTTCCTTCAAGAGCCAGGAAGAGAGTGTTGGCTGTTACGAGACAGAGTCCCACATAAGCAAATGCCTGTCCCTCCGTGAGAATATCCTTGGATGTGCCAATCTCAGAAGGGCGACGAGAAGAAGAGTCTGCGAGTGTAGAGGACGAAGATAAAGAAGATGATGAGACGGACGTAGATGTGGATGACAATTCTGAGGATGAGGATGACAATTCTGAGGATGAGGATGATGATGATGTCAGTGTTGATGTAATGACATTGGAGCTGGCATCGCTTGCATCGCTTGATGTTACTCTCAGGTCACCATTACCACCATAATTGTCGTCCAAAAAAACCTCAGTCTCTATGACCTCATGAGGGTCCATCTCTTGCTCATTTGGAGAAAGTAATGCATCTGGTACTGCCATGGCCATCCCAACAATCTTTTCGATAGTGCTCTCAGCAACGGTCGCCAGCGACTCATTGCTTTTCTTAAATGTGCTATTGTCAGCTCCACGAATTGTTGTGTGATCATGGCCATGTTCCTCCATATCGAAGTCATCGTCATCATCACCAATGAGTTCACTATTCTTGGACGATGTACTATGTTGTTTTGGGCTATTATTCATATAAAATACGATAGCGTCGTGTGGTTCTTGATGCACGGATGCCTCCTCCGCTCCTGCTTCATCGGTGTTTGTTACTCTATTTCCAGAATTAGAGGTTGTATTTGTTGTTGCAGTTGTAGAGGTAGTTATGCTGGCAGTCTTTTCCGGTTGCTCGTCATCAACAGACTCTGCAACACCTGCAGAAACAGCCTCGGTCAGGGTCTATTCGAATATGTGATATTTAATCTTTTAGTGCCATACTATTTTTCAAAATTTTGTTTCAAACAGTAATAATAAAACTGGCGGGAATGGAAAGTTTTATCATTGTGGCCTAGTTGTATGAATAAGTACCTCATGTGGTGGGTTTAAGTCTATAGCAGCGACAGTAATGGCAAGCGAACCATCGTTGGTAACTGTAGCCGATATGGGGTGCATTGCAATGAACACAATGTAATGGTCAAATTAAATCTTATCACAATGAAAGATATGAAGTCTAGTAGACAATAAATATGATATTAACTAATAGGTAAAAAAGGAGAGAAGGGAAAGAAAAAGGGAGGCGGATGGTAAATGCTATAGGAGTGGGGATACGGGTGAGAGTAAGTGGAGAGGTTAGGGAGTTGAAGAGGAGAGAGAGGAGTGATGTGAGAATTCATCAGAAACATATAATTAAAGAGCACTCGGACAACGTGCCAGAGTTGTGTGCTTGGACAAAAGGTAAATATCCATTTATAAAATAGGCCAGGTCATTCTGCCTGATTTTGTTTCTTTCAAACAAAGAAAAAAAAGAAAAGAAAAGGCTACCTCATGTCTTTGGTCCCTTCAGATGCATACAATGCAGACAGGTGTGGCTCTCCTCCCAGCTGACCAGAATTAGAGTACATCTGTGTAAAGATGCCGATATGCAGTAAATGCAGTACTATAGAAGAATCCAATTCTCTTGACCGCTTGCTTTGGCGAATGCGACCTTCCCTCAAACGACGGGATAAATAAAAAAAATAAAAAAAAAAGGATCTGCAGTGCAGGAAAACTATTTTTAAATTGATTTCCCCCTGGTCGAACAAATCTAGACAGACAGATTGGTACGACAAAGAACAGACAAGTAACAGACACAATCAACACCAGCAGGCGCCATCATTTTCATATTTCAAAACAAACAATGCACATCGATGTCATGATTGCACAAAAAGAAGCGCATGTTAAGAAAAACAGGGCAACGCACCACAATGTAACATTAGCTGTTCGAGGATGATACATGTTTATGTAACAGAGTTACGAACTAATCATGGTTTTTGGCCGTATGCAAGATAAACTCTAGAGAATGTATGGTAATGATCCATCTCAGCCCACACTTGAGTCATCATTTCGTCCCATTCTTCACCTGTGGTCATCTCGGCTCCAGAGACCGCAATATCTTGGCCACGTGCGATAGCATTTTCTAATTCTGCTTGTAAGACTACAGGCTTGAGTGCTTCCATCTCTGCCTTCAAGACATCACGCCATAAAATGCCGATTTTCCCTCCCCAGGGTCCTATTGGGATCTCAACCATTATCATCTTTACATTTTCACAGCCGACGCTTTTAAGGACCTGGTCCAGCCTCTGAGGAAGATGTACATCAACATTCCGGTTCTGAGCAGTTTCATTTAGCATTGTCAGAAACGACCTCGAGACAGGGCCTGGGCGAGACCAGATAGGGTCCACCTCAGAAAGTTGGAGCCATCCTTGCCCACCGGGAAGGACACATCTGTACATGTCTTGCACAACTCCAGGCCAAGCGTCCTGAGTGAGGCCTAAAAGCATGTTGCGTTGATGTACTAATACAAAAGAGTCTGAGCAAAAAGGAATCTCAGGGTCAAGGATATTTCCCATTGAAAAATGGGCATTCTTAGGGTGAATTGCTGAAGGATACATTGGCGAAATGTCGAAGCCATAAAAATCGAGATTCTCATACTCAGTTGCCATTTCCTAAAAAAGAGAGTAAAATTGTTATTGTTATGATTAATGAAAAAAGTCTTTCTCATACCTGGCGACTAAATGGTGCTTGCATTGTTAAACAAAACGATGTTGAAGCAACATACCATAACCCAAGTGCCTGGGCCGCAACCACAATCAAGGACTTGACCAGTAACCGACGTGTCGATGGGAGCAATTACGTTTGATCCAAGAGCATACCGAATCACATAGTGCTGTAATAGCAACCTATCGTAAACATCCAGTCATATGTATAGATAGGGAAAACCGCGCAATAAATTAGCGCATAGATTGATTCAACACAACTAGCTCAATGGTTTACATGCAATCAAGCTATACCTTTCGCTCTCCTGCTCATCGCATGGTAGGAGGTATGGCAAGGTTTTATCTGGATGATACTCACGTCCCCTAAGAAGACGTCTAGACGGCAAAATCTTTGAAGCCAACTGACCTAGTGTAAACCCTAGTTTGTTGGACTTGGGACTTGTCGATGATGGCGCTATTGCTTCCGACGTAGAGGTCGCTAGAGGAGACGCACTGGGGAAGATGTGGCTGCTATTTTGCTGCGAAATGGATTTGAAGTCCGATTCTGTTACTCTTCCTACTCCCAAGTTTGACAGTGAAGAAGAAGAAGAGTATGGAGACACGTTGGTCATAGCCAGCATGTTAGCATAATGTGACCCCGTGCTAGAATAAGAGGACATTGCCCCGTTGTAATTGGAAACGGACGATTCTGGAGGCGTGGCGCCATTGCACTGCATCGATTGGTTTGCCAACGCCACTTGGGAGTGTGGCAGATTCTGTAGTCCTGTAGAGACTAGCGGTCCACTAATATTTGCTTGACGCTGAAGAGAGGAAGCTGAAGAAGCGGAAGGGGCGGTAATAGATTGACTGGCATCACGGTTATGACTGCTATTGTTGTTAACAGCTCGGTCTGGGTGTCGAACTGGTCGCCATGTTTTAGTTTGTAAAACCACTCCAGTAACTTGTGAAGATAAATCATCCTGAGATAGCCGAGATACAGTTGAAGTGTATTGTTGTTGTTGGTGTTGGTTCTGCTGGAGAAAGTGTTGATGGTGCTGCTGATGCAGGTGTTGTTTCAGCTGCTGTTGTTGCTGTTGTTGAAGAATTAGCATTTGTTGGTACTCAAATTGTTGCTGCTCAAGGAATTGTTGTTGCTGCTGCTGTTGATATGATATAAAATCTTGTACAGTGTAGTTGCCATGTAGATATAGAGGAGTGGCGATGTTTTGAGCTGAATGGTTACTGTGAAGCTCCATCTCGACCCATTTTCCATTGACAAATGTTGCGCAACCTAGGCCAGATCCTATTGAGTGTACTGGAACATAGGTATCGGACCCAGTAGAGTCTCCACTGTTTATTCTCGACTCTGATGCCGTGCTAGCCCTAGGGCTTACGCTTAGGCCACCAAGCATCATGGGTAGCGGTGCACTCATTATGCCTCCTGAATATGGGTATAAAGAGGACATGGAAGATGCTGCTACAGCAGCATTTACGATCGACAGATTAAGGGAGGATGTTGACGAACTTCTGGAGAGAATAGAAGGTGGATGAGAGATTGGACGATCTTTACGTGGTTTACTAAGAGCCGATGACACAGATACAGCCCTGTATATTTGTTTATGCTGTTGTAGTCCATCCCAGCTGGATGGCAAAGTGTTGAATTCTACTGAAGTTGGTGAAACGGGTACTGAAGAGTCGCTCCCGCTCTTGTTAGCATTGCTTGTGCTACCCTTTTTCTTATATGCTTTGGGAGGGATCCTGTAAGACTGAAAGACTTCCTTGTCATTTGCCTCAAAGTCATCGCCTGATATGTTGGCACCCATTCTAAGCTCTGTTGATTATGAAAAAAAAAAAAAAAAAAAAAAAAAAAATGCACACACACAAATAAATACAAGGATAGAAAAGAGAAGCTTGAGATCACGCGAAAGACATTGATTATGTTTGGTAAAGATCCCGATGGAGTAGTGAATCCTGAGTAAGAGTAAGGAGGAGAGTAAAAGTAAGAATTAAGGAAAACAGCCAGGAAGAAGGTGTGTGAGCGCAAGGAACAGATTGATAAAGAGTTAGAGCTAGAGAGAAAGAAAGAAAAAGAGAAAACACAGAAGATAAAGCCTAGTTGAAGTAGACCCGGAGATATCGCCATGCGGATTTGTGTGGGATTGCAAGAGTTGTTCACTTGATAATGTATGCTGGCTGCCACGTTAGCACAGTAGGACAGTAAGCGCTATCTTCTGTTTATTATATCGCAGACGTTACCATGTGTCTGAACGAATAAACAAACAAAAACACGCCCAGAGAACTGAAAACAATGGTATGTCGGAAGTAACACAGAAAGACATCTACGCTCTCTCAATGACCGACTCAATTGACCCTATCATTCTTCAAAAGAATAGCTCAAGGATTTGTCTTGGGTCTCATCTACCTCGCTACTCGTCCCTTTCTTTCTGACAATAGGAAAAAAAAGGGGGTAGAAGGCAGAAGCGTTGATTGATTGCCGTTAAAATTGAGCAGGCAAACAAATAAATAAATAATTAACGTGTTTGCAATCAAGCGTGTAATATAGTTTACGGTCGATCTTCGTGGTCATGGTAGAGTCAATGATTTTAGTCATGGCGGGTGAATCTTGAACCTGTATCTCGAGAAAGCGATAAGGGACAGTCGTTGATTAGTTCAAAATCAGTTTATTTTGAGCAGTGAGAGTCGTACAATGCAGGATGAATTATGGTTAATGTTGAAGTGGATCATTAAATTTACTGGCCAAAATCCCCTTGTACATGTGTGACATACGACGTTCAAGGACAATGATAAAGAGTAACTTTACTCTTTTATGTGTATTAATACATTATCTTTTGTTGTAAACACGTTTTTCATTACTCTGCTTTGCTTCTCTTCTCTTCCGATGCTCAGAGTTAACGTGCTTGATATCTCTCATCCACTCCCCGCTTTCTTTTTCACATTCACTTCCTCATTCGTCTACTGAATCTGTCCGTCCAATCACATTTTTAAATACCCTTTCCCACATTGCTTGTCATTTGTCAATTCAAAATCCATATTTTTTTTTTTTTTTTTTTTTTTTTTTTTTAATTTTTTTTATTGGTGTTGTTACTCTTGAATCATGGAAACGACAGAGAAATATATACTACAAACGACATATGTCGGAAATCGATCAAGAATAGAAGAATGGTAGTGTTGATGACGATAATGATGGTACATAGAAAAGCAAATAAGACGGAGGAGTTAGACTGTCCACAGGGGTGTGGTAAAATTACAAGAGAAAATGAGAAAAAAAAAAAAAAAAAAAAAAGTCGATAGCAGCAACAGGAGAAAAAACAAAAAACAAAAGGCATAATGAAAAACAAATATATCACTCCCCAAAATGTCCATATTTTTCTTGAAAACTAATCAATTCACCTGTTAGTTTCTCCATCAAATCCAAACTAGTAACCATGGTAGGCCTTGTACTGCTCTCATACTGACTATGATCATTTAAGGAAACGACGCTGTCGACCTCCATTAATTCAGCAACACCACAATCAATAGTAGGCTGGTGAGGTGGGGTCATCGGGGCCTTATCCTTCTTGAAATCAGACTCTGTTGTACTCAAAGCTAAAACCATGTTTTCTTCGACACCATTCTTAAACAGTGATTTTGCCACTAGAATCTGCTCTGATCCATCTCCATGTCCCAATTCGTGCACCGACTGTGGAGGAGTTGAAAGCCAGCGAGATTCGGTATCTGAAGAGCCAGGCTTAAGTGCTTGCATTGCAGTGTCAACAGTCAAGCCAGACGACTTTGCTTGTGGCACGCATGCCATTTCTTTGAGTATATCATGCTTCGCCTTATTTTGCAGCTCAGTCATTTCCACTTGGACTCGGCTGATATACTCCAAGAGTTGCTGGGCGCGCTTGTTCATGTCCTTGAAGGTCATTCTTGGGGAGGGATATTTAACCTTAGTAGGAGGCGCCGGCTGCATTGGCTGAGGCGTGCCTGAAGGAGTTGGTGTATCTGAATCGCCAAGATGGCCCTTTTGAGAGCTTGGTCGCTTGATAGTTGGATGTAGTAGGTTAGAATTGTCACCTTGGCTGCGATGGTTGTTAGAGCTAGGTTTAAAGTCCGTAGTTGCATCTATGAAAGGGATATAAGAGCAAAGCCATGTTTAATATTGGAGGCCCAATTGCATAGAAGCACTTCAGGTTCTTGTCATGTGATTGTGCACACACCCGTAGTATCCTGCGCTGATTCGTTCTGATCAAAATCTGGTTCTTCTTGATCTGAGCTGTGGGACTGTTCGTCTAATTGTGGTGTGTCTGATTTAATTGATTTTTTTCGTTTTACGTGTGATGTAGAGCCTATTGATCCCTCAGGAACGGTGCGGGCGCCTTTCTTGCCACTCACTCTGCGCGTTAATTGCGTTGGTAATGAAGTGGATTGGATTGACTCCATACCATTCTGACCGTCTTGACCATGCATGGCCTCTTCTTCTTCTATAACTCCTGGAGAATTAGGAGGAGACTGAGTGGAGGACAATTTGATGGTTTTCTTGGGCTTTACTGTACGAGCTTGAGTCTTATTCTTGCCTTGTGTTGTCTTTGGTGAGCTGCTTGTAACACTCGCTTGCATTTCCACATCTTTTTCTGCTGCAGCAGTATGACCAGACTTTTGATCCCCAGCCTGTCCATTGGCATTGCGAAGAGTGTTTGGGTTATCATTGGGGTCGACATTACTGTCCATCCTTTTCCGGCGCTTCGAAGTTCGATGGTGGCCATTGATAAGGTTCTCGCTGTCGTTGTTCGTTTGAACGCCTGTGTTGTTGACTGGCAATAGGTGGTTATGGTCGTCCTTACTTGAATACTCCGCTGTGTGATCCATGAAGAATGCGGCGTCCTTGGAATTCATGGTGCTCCTCTTTTTGGACGATTTTGCCTTTGTGCCTGTAGTAGATATCGAAGATACTTGCGGGGTAGCATTCTTAATATTTGAAATTCTATCCAAGTGTAGATGTGAGAGGAGAACAATATAAAAGTGAGCAAAAAAAGAGGACGCAAGACTGCGTTCTGTGCGCAATGGGAGAGAGAAACGGATAGGGGGTCTCTTTGAGGATTAAAGTCAAACTTACAGTTGACCGTCTTGTACTCTATATGGATGGTTCTCTGGACGACAAGCGTCGCAGTAGTACTTGTCAGGAGTGACCTCACCATCACCTAGTCCAACACATGGACAGTGTTGCCAGACCTTGCAAGTTTCGCATTGGATCATGACACCTTCATGGTCTAATGTTTCATGGAATATTTGAACATGAGTTAAGTATAAGTAATGGTGTGTATATTTGTGTGATCAATGTGTTTAGCAATGAAAGGAATAGTGTCCTCAGCATGCGCGAGAGACCAGGGATGAATGCTAAGAAAAAACTTGGTTCACAAACAAACAAAAAGAAATACAAAGTGCGTCTGATGCACGCGTGAGAATAGGTCATGTAAGCATGGAAGAATGGTGTCTGAAAAGCCTTACGTTGCTGATTGCAGACACAACGAGTCTGACCACCGTCGTCGTCTTCGACAATTTTCTTGCTCTTGGGATTGCCACTGCGATGGCTTCTTCGTGGGGATGCTACTGTCGGAATGACGAGAAAAAAAGAAAAAAAAAAAAGATCAGCATCGCGTCCAGTTGAGTGCGCACACTCGGTGCCGTTAGTATCTAGACAACATTGTTTGGGAGGAAAAACAAGTAATATCTGATGTGCGAAAACATAGGACGAGATGCATTTGGTACTTACATGGGATGCGAGCTGTCAGGATCGGGAAAACAGGATGCAAAAGGCATATAGTAGAAAAAGAGAAAAATGGTACAAAAAGTGTGAGAATCAATGGCAGCAGAGGGAAATGTCAAAACAAAGATCGAGCACAATTGATTTTGCATACCCATGTGGGAATCGGCTCGCAAACACGATTTCTCAGAGAGGATTCAATGGGTACGCCCCAAGCGGAGAAGGTGAGAAATAAAAATAAAAAAGAAAGTAAAAAAAAAAAAAAAAAAAAAAAAAAGAAGAAACGATACAAAAGGGATCCGAAGGAAGAAGGGAGGAGTGTTGGTTGGAGGTATTGAATGAAATATGATGATTCCGCGAGCTGCGGCGAGTGAGAATCAACTATGAGTGAGATGTGAGGATAAGGAAAGGGTAAAAAAAGAAAAAAAAGAGGCAGTGGCGAAACGAAGCACAAAGAATAGTGACGACTAACAGTAGGAAGCAATTGAGGGACCAGAGAAAAGAGAAAAAGCGAGTGAAGAGTGAGAGTGGAGGGTGGGAGTGGACAGAGGGAGTGGGAAAGGATGTGAAAGGCAACAAGTCCGAGAAATAGAAGAGAATGGGACGAAGAAGGAAAATTAGAGAATAGAGAGGAGTTGTGCCGGGGTCTTTCAGAGGGCGTGCAGTGAAGCATGAAAAGTGAAAGGATAACCCTGTCAATGAATGGAACGAATAAGTAAGAAGGGAGCGGAGTGAATGTGCATGTGGGACTGCATTCCTCATTCCCAGTCCCAACACAGGGGAGAAAGGGTTGAATTCAATAGGTTTGTGTGAATGTGCAAGAGTGAGCCCAAGAGCCAAATCTCTTTCAAAACTGGGGTTGACTTCTACAGAGACACTGAATGGATGCTGTCGATCTACTCTGACGCTTTGTTAATCTATCCATAGTATTAGAGGAAGATATGAACAAACGACCATTATCGTAAGACAATTGAGCGAGAAATCATACTGCATGGAATCTTCTTTGGTATACTTTGTGCCAAAAAACTTTACTCGAAAGATTCATTGTGGGCCGAAGCTTTGCCTAACTCAGGAAGAAGCCATGTTGATCCATCCAAATCCCTGTATCACCCTCAGTTAATCGAAATAAAACAATGGCTCGAAGACGTTAGCAGTGTCGCGTCAATGCCTCGTTCGATGGCATCACATATTACCCCTTAACTCTAGTAAGAGGTTATAAAGCTGTCTCTGTCACGGTGATGAACTTGTGATTGCCAATCCACCTACGGATTCTGTTTTCATTTCTAAAGCGTTCATCGTTTTCACTTCTGAAGCGTTCACCGTTTTCCTTGCTCATAGTCGATCACGGTCAGGATCGAGTTCCTTGTTCCTTCTTGTCTGTCTGTCTGTCTGCCTGCCCATCCGTTGTCTTTCACTACAAGTCAATACAACCATCTCACAAAATGGATGAGCAAGGTGACTTTCACTATCTGATGGCACTACGCAACGCTTAGGCTGACATATTGACCAAGGACGGCAAATCAATTTAACACAGCAGCCTCATGACATGACACAAAATCGAACACAATAGAGCACTATTATCTGGAAGAAGAAGAAGAAGAGACTATTACTCAAGAGGATTGTTGGGCTGTGATCTCGTCCTTCTTTGAAGACAAGGGTCTTGTCAGACAGCAACTTGATTCTTTTGATGAATTTATCCAGAATACCATGCAAGAGCTAGTTGATGAGAACTCAAACTTGATTTTGCAAACGTCGAGCCAGCACACTGGCGCTGAGGGCGATGTTACGGTATGCATCAGCATCACTTATTTCCATACTGCCGCATTTGAGACGGCCTTTTTTTTATTAATCGAGTTGATCGGTGCAAAACTTACAATGCTCTCATAGAAACGTTATGAAATCAACTTTGGTCAAATCTATCTGTCTCGCCCTAGCATGACCGAGGCGGACGGTTCGACACAGCCAATGTACCCTCACGAGGCGCGTCTCCGCAGTTTAACGTAATGGTTCTTCTTTACTCACCCCAGGTTGCTTACTACCTGATAGAACTTAAATTCGTGGAATGAATCTGTTCGTATGAAATTGACCTAACACATGTTGGTAACTGTGTCCAGCTATGCAGCACCATTGTATGTTGATATGCAAAAGACTGTCAAAGTCGCTAACCCTCGCCATGAACGGAACAAGGACAAGATGAACCCCAACGATATGTTCATTGAGGAAGAAGGGAACGAGGGTAGTGGAGCAATGAATAAGATATTTATTGGGATGGTTCCTATTATGCTCAAATCGACATATTGTATGTTGACAGGGCTGGATGATAGTGAGCTTCAGAAGATGAATGAGTGCCAATATGACCAGGTAGAGACTATCTTTTGGCTTCATTTCCTTTTACTGTCTATGGGTCGTCCTCTAGGGACATTTTCCTAATGAACTAAATCTGTGTCTATGCCAATAATTCTTAGGGAGGTTACTTTGTGATTAATGGCTCTGAAAAGGTGTTGATTGCCCAGGAACGAATGGCAACCAATACGGTATATGTGTTTAGTAAGCCTCAAGGAAATAAATACTCGTACACGGCAGAGATTAGGAGCTCTATGGAGCGAGGATCCAAGAACGCGTCTCCATGTTTTGTTAAATTGCTTGCTCGTTCAGCTGAGCGTGCTGGTACTGGGCAGACGATCGAAGCGACATTACCATACATTAGAGATGGTGTTCCAGTGGTGGTTGTTTTCCGTGCACTAGGTCTTGTCGCTGATCGCGATGTTTTGGAGCACATCTGCTATGATAGGAATGACTATCAAATGCTGGAAATGTTGAAACCATGTATTGAGCAGGCGTTCGTTATTCAGGACAAAGAAGTCGCACTCGATTATATTGGCAAGCGTGGAACGACTGTCGGAGCCACCAAGGATAAGCGAACCAGATATGCTACTGAAATTTTGCAAAAGGAATTTCTACCTCATGTTGGAACTCAGTCGCACAACCAGACCCGTAAAGCCTATTTCTTTGGATATATGATCCATCGCCTACTGTTAGCTGCTCTCCATCGTCGTGATGTAGATGACCGTGATCATTATGGAAAGAAGCGCATGGATTTAGCTGGGCCTCTTTTGGGTGGACTTTTCAAAATCCTGTTCCTCAAGCTTACAAAGGATGTTAGCAAGTACCTCCGCAAGGTATCTTGTTATTTATTTAATTTCGAGGTCTTGTCCGAATATTGCGTTTAAAAAATGCTCATGAGCCAAACCCTGAATGAATATCCCTTAGTGCATTGATTCGAACAAAGATTTCGTTCTTTCGGTGGCAGTAAAATCAAACACCATTACCAATGGGCTCAAGTACTCGCTCGCAACAGGAAACTGGGGGGAGCAAATGAAGGCCATGCAATCCAGAGCTGGAGTATCGCAAGTGTTAAACAGATATACATTTGCCTCAACTTTATCTCATTTGCGTCGTTGTAATACGCCAATTGGGCGTGACGGGAAGATTGCTAAGCCTCGCCAATTACATAACACTCATTGGGGTATGGTTTGTCCGGCAGAGACACCTGAAGGTCAGGCATGTGGTCTAGTCAAGAACTTGGCACTTATGACCACTATTTCTGTCGGCTCGCCTTCAGCGCCCATCATTGAGTTTTTGGAGGAATGGGGCATGGAGAACTTGGAGGAGTTGACTGCGAACAATATTTTGGATGCAACTAAGGTCTTTGTAAATGGTGTCTGGGCTGGCGTTCACCGTGATCCCAGCAGTCTAGTTAGTACACTGAAGCGTCTCCGTAGAAACCTAGATATCAACCCTGAGGTATCGATCGTCAAAGACATAAGAGAGAAAGAGCTTAGGATGTACACGGATGCTGGACGATGTTTGCGACCGCTGTTCATTGTCGAAGATCAAAGACTTTTGATAAGGAAAGAGCATATAGATGAACTCTCTCAGCCTATGTACGTTAACGAGGAGGGCAAGACAGTGGTAGGTGAATAGAGAGTGGAATTACTTCGCATACTAAATAACGTGAAAACCAACAGAACTCCTTCTCTTACAATTACTTTTTTCTTTACAAATTTAGGAACCCTGGGGTTGGAATGATTTGTTAGCCAATGGTATTGTTGAATATGTAGACGCAGAGGAAGAGGAGACTATCTTGATCTGCATGACCCCGGAAGACCTTGTAGAGTCTCGTCAGACGCATCATGTAAAGCAACCAAGAGATGCATCAGGAAGGCTCAAAGGAGCATCCTCTGTATCTTTGCATACATGGACACATTGCGAGATTCACCCAAGCATGATCCTGGGTATTTGTGCTAGTATTATCCCCTTCCCCGATCATAACCAGGTACGTATGGGTTTATGTCATTCTGCGCATGTTGTAGTTCAATGTTACATTGATCCCGACTCCCGTATCTAATATGTATACCGAACACCATCCGCTGTCATAGTCACCTCGTAACACCTACCAGTCTGCTATGGGCAAACAGGCCATGGGCATATACGTGACAAACTACCAGGTTCGCATGGATACACTCGCTAATATCTTGTATTACCCCCAAAAGCCACTCGCAACAACTCGCTCAATGGAGTATCTGCGATTTCGAGAACTGCCAGCTGGTCAAAATGCCATAGTTGCCATTCTCTGTTACTCGGGATACAACCAAGAAGATTCCGTGATCATGAACCAGTCTTCGATTGATCGCGGTCTGTTCCGTAGTTTGTATTTCCGAACATACATGGATCAGGAAAAGAAAGTCGGTATGACCGTTATGGAAGAATTCGAGAAACCTACACGAGAGCATGTGCTGCGTTTGCGCCATGGGACGTATGAAAAGTTGGATGATGATGGTCTGATTGCTCCTGGGACCAGAGTCTCTGGAGATGACATCATCATTGGGAAGACGAAGCCTATTCCAGAAGATTCGACTGAGTTAGGTCAGCGCACAGGATCCCACTCCAAATTGGATGCATCAACGCCACTTAAAAGTACAGAAACAGGTATTGTGGATCAAGTGATGTTGACGACCAATCATGAAGGTGTTAAATTCGTCAAAGTCCGCGTTCGTTCAACTCGTGTACCTCAGATGGGAGACAAGTTCGCATCTCGTCACGGTCAAAAGGGCACCATTGGTATCACATATCGTCAAGAGGATATGCCTTTTACAGCAGAAGGCATCACACCCGATATTATCATCAACCCACATGCCATTCCTTCTCGTATGACTATCGGGCATTTGGTGGAATGTCTACTATCTAAAGTTTCAACACTGGAGGGCAGTGAGGGAGATGCAACGCCATTCACTGATGTCACTGTGGAGGCCATATCGGAGGCGCTTCGAAAACACAACTACCAGCAGCGCGGATTCGAGGTCATGTACAATGGACATACAGGACGTAAGCTGACAGCACAAGTCTTCCTGGGACCTACATACTATCAGCGTCTGAAACACATGGTCGATGACAAGATACATTCCCGTGCGCGTGGCCCCGTCCAGATTTTGACGCGCCAGCCTGTTGAAGGAAGAAGTCGTGATGGTGGTCTTCGTTTCGGAGAGATGGAGCGTGATTGGTAAGAAAGACATGCATTACTCATACCGAACATTCGTATGTCATAATGGACATTTATTTTGCTATTAACGATGATCTTGGTAAATGATTTTAGTATGATTTCCCACGGAGTGGCCCAGTTTTTGAAAGAGCGTCTATTTGATGCATCAGACGCGTATCGGGTACATGTTTGTGACCTTTGTGGACTCATGGCAATTGCATCACTCTCCAAGAACAGCTTTGAGTGCCGAGCCTGCAAGAACACGACAGAAATTTCACAGGTTCATATCCCATATGCCATGAAGCTGTTGTTGCAAGAGTTGATGGCTATGGCAATTGCGCCTCGCCTCTTTACCGTAGATTCGAGTTTGAGACAATAGTCGCATTTTTGCATACTCAAGGGGGTTCTGATTTGAAAAATGCTCAGCACTTTGAGAGGTAGTGGCAGATTGTAGTGTGGAAAAGGCTTTGTCAAGCCAATAAAGAAATACACATGAACAAAGCTCATTGCAGTTTTACCGTGTCGATGACAATCAGACTACATTTGAACAGATGTTTCAGGCAAAGCTGTAATTTTTTATTTTTATCGTGCTCCGGATACTGATCTTGATGCAGTAACCGATATTTTACATCTTTACATTGAAATATGTATCCCACTGTTTACTGTTCCTGACAGGGTTTTTTATTACATGATCTGATCTGATCTAATCTGATCATGTTGACGCCCCAATGTTTCTTGCAAGGCTTCCTACTTTTTTCTTATAAACACCATGCCATGCTCTAAATATTACATTGCAGACGAAACGCGAATAATGTTGAAACTATAAGTATAATATTTGTTTGTTTGTTTGTTTGTTTGTTTGTTTTTTTTTTGTTTTTTTTTTTTCACATTCCAGTCTCACATTTTTTCCTCTCATTTTTTATATCCGCGTTTTAAGAGGAGATAATCAGAGCATGTCAACTGCCATAGCTCCTCAACCAGCCCATGCAAGGGAAATTGAAATTCAGTATGAAGAGGTTGCTGTATCCAGCAATTTAACCAGAAAAGATACGCTCAATAAAGAAGTTGAAAGCCCAGAGACAGTTCCACCGCTCTCCCCATCATCATCACCCTTTCCATCTCCAAGCAATTCCTCGAGCTCCCCGTCCTATTCTATAACTGCATTGCCTCCATCACACCTTCTATCCTCTACATTATCACCATCATCATCGGTCATTAGTCCATTGACGGATACGGCGCAAGACTTAAGTGGTGATGATATCGAGCGACTTGTGATTCAGAAGCAGCATCAGATGGCATATATTCAGAAACAGCAACATCTGCAACAAGAACAGCAGAGGCAGCTCTTTTTTCATAATCATCGAGGAAATTGTTTAAAACCACTAGTGCAGCGACAGTGGTCCCGTAGATCGCAGCAGTATGAAGGCCTAGAGGCTCGAGATGCGCTAGATAACCATAGCGGAGCTATACCCAAGCAAGACTGTGGGCAGAGTATATCAAAAAAATATGGGCATGGACGCAATCATGAACTGGACTACAAGCATGAACAAAACACTCGGGCCATTGGAGATACCTCAACCTCCAACTATAGCTCAAGAGGGCCATCTAGCTTTGATCTCGTCGATGATGTCTGGAGGATGGTCTTTTACGTTCTAGCTGGAGATTGCAAGGACCTTGGGCGACTCATGGTCGTGAATAAGCGATTTTACAGGTATTAATTAAACTTTTTGATTCCTTGGAATAAATGCTCCGGTACAACATGACATTATATGTACAAGGTTTATTTTAAATAGAATTCATTCAGGAAAGCATTCAAAGAACTGGAGACTGGTTTATTGAAATACTTTTATTTAATACTGGGCTTAGTCTCATTGCGAATGACGCTGTGCTGTGGAAATTGACCTATAAGCTCACAGTTTCAGGATCAATCTTTGCCAATCAAAAGCTTTTGCTCTCACCCACTTGGTTCCGAGAAGAATATTATTCATATTGGCGTCAGCAAGAGGTAGAAGACACTGATCAATACAGAAGCGAGAATAAGATCCTTGACTCAGGGACAAGAGGCTCATTACCTATGACCCCAGGCTTGCAGTTGCCATCACCACTCGTGTTGCCACATCATCGAAAGATTATCCAGACAATCACCACTACAGCTTCTGCTTTCATTAACTCTGGCGCCGCTTCCACTGCCAGTTATCCTGATGCATTGGATGCCCAGACGTGCTCAATACCAGGATCATCATCAGTTTCTTCTTCTTCCTATCGCTGTCAGGAGATGGTTGCGAGCTCAGTGCAAACACCAGCCTCGATAACTGCGCTCCCTTCAGCCCCACCATTCCAGCCTAATTTACTACCATCGGTCTCTCAAGCAATATCGCCCTCGAGTATCCCATTATCTGCAATTCAACATCACATTCCAAGTACAACGTTGATGCATCACTCTCCCGCTGTGTATTGGAAGCATCAAGTGGTGGATTGGCTTGAGCAAGAAAAACTGCGGTGTCTCCGGTTAGGGTTATTCTGGGGATTCAAAACTGCAACATTGCGGGCTCATCGTGGTAAAGATGTACTACGTTATTAAAGAATGCAGGAGTCATGGCATCGAAGCATTCTTAGACTTTTTTTTTTTTTTTTTTTTTTTTGCAACTGTTGCAATTGAACTATTGTGACAAATCGAACTTGAACAAATAATGATTTATAATATATACTTTCATAACGATAATAAAATACGTTCTGCTGCTCGGTTCTTCTAAAGCTTTGAAGGAACCAGCACTACCTTTTTATTTTCAATCGCAAAAAGTATCATCTGAATACCAGAGGGCAGGTGGTAATGGAGCAGGATAAGATAATAACCGCGTATATTCAATTCCATTTAAGACGAATGAGTTCAGGTGAGTCAAGGTCTGGAGATGCATCAATAATTTCTGTAAGAAGTCAGCCGACACTTTGGGAAATATCCTTCCACCTCCATACTGTTGAATGCCCGTGGTCCCCATACCAATGACATTCATTGCAAGTGTCGCATCTTCTACAAGGCCGTCACCCTCTTGATCATTAACTTCCTCCCTCTGGTTATGGTTTGAATGTTGCCTACTCGTGCCAGCAAGAGCTGCTGCTGCAGATTGCCTGCGCACGGCTTCCATTGCAGTCCAACCATGCTGCTCTGCCACGATGATGTTATCCTCTTCAGACAAAGCAGACAAAGGGCCGTGCGTCATGGCATGTAGACCCAGTAGAAATAAACGATTCAACCGCAAACACGCCCAATTAAACGAGAAGAGATCTGGAGTGTCCAAGTGAGCACCATCGATCGACAGTGCTGTGATTTGAGGGCAACCCATTAGGATCCTCTTCAGACTACCATGACTGAGCGCATGATGCCTCAATATCCGAAGATCAAGGATCTCCAGTGTCGAAGAATGCTTCAGCAAGGCTTTTGTAAAAAGATCACCTAAGGAGGGGATTCGGATCTGTAGCTCTACCAGACGGGGAATACTTTCGATCAGTTTGGCATAGGTAGCTTCGTCTTGAAAGATGTCAACTGTGGAATAAGTAAGAGCCGTGAGAGAAGGACAACACTCTTGTAGATTGAGGGTTAATTGTTTTAGATCCCCATCATGGGATCCCATCCATGAAAGCTCTTCGAGAGCTGGGCAAAGCCTGACTAATGCCTCCAATGCCCCACTTTCAACATCCTTGCAGACTGTCAGGCTTGTTAACTGGAGCAATTTTACGTCCTTTTCATTATCGTCATCATCCGTATCAGTCACATTCACCTCTATGGCACAAGCAGTGCCAGGCTCCTGTCCCTCCATTGGCCCCAATTTTTCAAGCGATGTGGAAGCTGTGCTCATTGGGTAGATTTCTCCAGTGACAAAGTCAAGTGCAATCCTCCTTAGTGATGGGTTTTTCCTCAGAAGCCTCATAAAGCTGCCATCGAGTTTCCAGCACTCGAGGTGAAGATCATTAAGACGATTCATTTTCGTAGAGAGTGCAGAAGCATCGAATAAACCATAGTCATCACGGTGGAAATCTCCGCCTTGCCAATGAAGACTCTGAAGACGAGTGTTTTGTAGCACCAGCGCCTTTGCCCATGCACTGTTATCAAGGCCTGTAAGGTCGAGGTGCAATAGATTATGAGGGAGTAATGACAGAGGGATAGAGGCAACCGCAGGATTAGGACGAGAGAGTTCAAGAACTCGGATATGTTTGCCATGACGTGAGAGGATATTGGTGGCCAGAAGCGGGGTGCAACCACGGAATACCATATCGTCGAACGTGAACCAGAGAAAGGGCAAGAGAATATCGTGCCATGTCCGGTTGACAAGAATGCAGTTAAAAAAGGTTTGTGGAGCAAAACTGGGGCGAAATCTTGATCTGTCATTACAGTCAGTGCTAGTGCGGTCAGGAAAGATCCAAAGCGGAATGTAAAGACCCACACGAGCAAGGATCTCTGGAATGTCGAGTGGATTCAGAGGAGTGGTCATGACATTGGCATGGAGAAGTTGAAAGGATTAACAATGATGAAAGGCAACAAAGAGCAGATGGCTTGAAGAATAAACAAGTGATTTCAAAGAGAGAGAGAATGACAAGAGAGAAAGCATGCAGTGAATGTGAAGAACGGAAAAGATGAGGCTGTGGGAGCAATGCTTCGCCTGTTTGGAAATTTGTGCAACTGTTCTACCCTAATTGTGTCATTGTATTGCACAACTGTAGTACAAATTCTCATCCCATCTGCTTTATTTTTTAATCAAAGAAGCTGAATTCGGGAGGACGTGTTAGTGTTTTTAAAGGTAGCGAAGCATGGACCCTTGGGAGATATGCTGATCGCACCTCAAGTAGTGGGTTTGTCAGCTGTGACAGCGAGATGGAGCCCGGTGGGGTCAAAGGCCTTGTCGGCGCTTCAATCATTAATGGTCTCTCTGTTGTACCATTAGTAACGATAGTACCAGTAGCAGCAACTGAGACTTGTCGGCGTCGTTGACGTTCTAGTGCTGTCTGATGGTTGATATATGGTGGTGCACGCTCTTCGCCGCAAGTTACGCATTTCCATACACAATGCCAGCATCGATCCTGTGGTGCGTCACACATACGACATCGTTCAAGTTCCCACACAATGTTGCTGCATGACTGTGAAGACTCTGTTATTGTTGAAGGTATAGTTGTAGTTGATGCAGTGATATTTGATGTAGAAGGCACAGCCCAATGCAAACCTACGTTAACATGAGTCGTATTTGGCTGTGGAACGACTGCGCTTGTATTCATCGCTGATGTGACCTCCTTAAGTGGTAAAGGACCCGGACACAGACCAATGTCCAACTGAACGCCAGAAATCCTTCCGGATGTCTGCTCTGTTAAGGCACTGTCATTATTTGTGCTATCTTCGTCTCGAGCTTGTGTAGACACTATGGCAATAGCATCTAGGATCTGTTTGAACCCTGTAACATCCTCTTTAGTCATGTAAGGATGGAATACGTTCCAGCGCCGGAGTTTGAGACTATGGGGCATAAAGTCACCATTTCGGAGCATATCCTTAAGAGTATGTGTATCTGTGGCAAGGCTCGTCTGCTTGCGACGATACCTAGCAGAAAGAATCTCGAGATGCGGGAACTTGACAAGCATGACGAGGGGAGAAGGAAATTGTGGAGAGTCCGTCGCGTCCATGTTGATCTACGGTTTGTTAAAAAAAAAGGCTCACGTGCTTAATACATTGATTCAGATTCATTCCAAAGCACTTGACAGACCAATGAGTATTTTGGGATCTATCACCTCTCGGACAAAATCGACCAACCCGTTTTCCTTACGAAAACGTCGCAGGACAGCATATACTTCGGATATTAAAGATCGACTTCCTCCACGATCCTTATCCCGATCATTCTCAGTATGCTTGAGCCGATGAGCAGCATCCTTGTCAGCGTTAATGGATGATGGTGCAGATGTCTCCGATTCAGACTCTGATCCCGAGGTTGAAGATGTTCCTGACTCTGAGCTTGATCTTGAGATAGAGCCTTTTGGATCAATGGACTGCCGGAGTTTTCTATGGTATGACTTTGAAAATTGTGGGAAAGCAGCAGCATTGGTCACTGTTGTGCTGTTGGCATTGACGTTGCTGGGGTTATTAACGTCAATCATGCCATGAGTGAGAAGTGAAGGTCCAGGGTTGGGTTGCGGTGTGGCCAGATCAGCGTATTCGCTCAGGGGCATGAAGCGCACAGTGCGCCAGATCCCAGGAAGAGGCAACAACAGTGCACGGTGGTATCTGCAGGTGTCTAGAAAGCGAAAGATGGAGAGAATGTCAAGATAATCAAAGATGTCAAGGATCAGTTCAGTTGGTAGCCGAGCAAAGACAGATGTCTGTTGGATGGAAGGTGAAGCAAAAGTAGACATGGTTATGAATGGGAATGGGAATTTAGGCAATCGAAAATGAAATGCTATTGTGTCGAACGATTGAATAATGCCTTTTTTTTTTTTTTTTTTTTTTTTTTGCTGACAAACTCCTGCTGGGACTGCGAGAGGACTGCCTGTAGAAGGCTAGCTAGAACCAGATCAATAGCTGGATCCTTTTTTCATCAGACAAGTCAATTAAAAGGATTTTATTAAGCAAAAGTCCTGTAATTGACTTGACTAATCAAAAACAGGATCCAGCTCTGATGTCTGAAACACCCGCCACGTAATGTAGGGATCAAGCTTTGATCCCTAACCAGAACAGGGGAACACAGTTCTAAAGGGCTTTATGACCCTTCGCTCTTCCGCAGTTTTCTCCCGCAGTTTTTTGTTTTAATTTGTATAATAGTTGCTTTAGTCGTCTATATGTATTCGCTGCGGCAAAGCCCAAAGAGCTTCAAAAAAAAATTTTTTTTTTTTTTTCTCTTCATTCATTCCATTAACCCATCAACATCTTCACAAGTATGTCTCGTCCAACTCGAACGATACAGCCCAAGAAGGGCATTAACAAGCGCAAGCTTATGAACTCAATGGTCAACATTCCAAGCACCAACCCAGACCCGCACTATCGCTACAAAATGTATTGCACTGTTGAATGGTTTTCACAAACAGGGATTTATTATCAAGCGTTTCTGTCAATGAACTCACAGAAATGTCTTTTTTAAACTGAATGTTAGGCCTGCGCTTGAAATTCGCATTAATCCTGCACGGATCAGGACTAACAACCTGAAGAGAGAGCCTGTCGAGGTCCCTGCCTCAACACAAATCCAAAACCTAGCCCCAATTGCCAAGGCTCTCAATCGACCCGTCGAATACCTTTCAAAATACTTTGAGCTTGAACTCGAAATGCAAGGCGTCATGGAGGATCGACAACGCTGGTTCAAGCTTTGTGGAGGCGAACTCACTGAACACGAACTCATGATGGTTCTCGATAAGTTTATCCGACGATTTGTACTTTGCTACATTTGCAACAACCCCGAGACTGCTTTAACCATCTTCAATAGCTACATTGTGAAAGAATGCGGTGCCTGTGGGCAAAGTACACGTGTCGATCGATTCTCAAAGTTGACACGCTACTTGCTTCGAAACAGAAACTTTGGCATAGGATTTGCGCCTGTTTCTGTTGATGCTACGAGGTAAATCATTGACGCGTTCACTACATGTGCTATATTTATCCAGCCAAAGAAAATTAAATAGCAGACTCGCATAATTTCTCCGCAGGTGTCGGTTTCTGAAAGAGGGAGTGACCACGACAGCAAAGGGGACGGTCATGAATGGCGCCTCAGGATTTAAGAATGGCGTCAAAGTTGCCACGGATGCGGAAATAGAGGATAATGAGGAAGACGATGATGAAGATGATGAAACGACACAGGCAGATTGGAAGCTCGATATCTCAGCTGAAGCTGTAGCAGAGCGAAGACAACGAGAGTTAGATTTGATCACTCGAGTTGAAAAAATCATGAACGCTGGCATTGGTGACAAAGCTAGAGGTCAGTAATTCGGAGTGAGTGTATCAGGACAATTGAAATTATATGAAGAGTGTTAACCATATCCGTAACGGACATATGATCAATTTGGCCATGATTAGATCCCTACAAAGTCTTTGAAGAGTTCGTGACATCACCCAAAGATATAGGACCAACAGCAACTGATCAGTCATTACCAGATTTAGAGGAAGTTTTAGGAAAGTTTTATACACTTGACTTGGAGAAAGGTGGAGCCATCTTTGTCCTCGAGAGCCTTCAGAAACGACAGCAGGAAATCGCGAGAGATGCTAAGGAAAATATCCAAGAGGAGACATCTGAGACTAAGGTTGTAAGACGAGATGATTACGACGCCATCATTAAGGTGCTCAAAGATAGTTTGGAGCGTGAAGTGATTGTCACGGGTAGTTTGGAAGAGATTAGTGACGAGAGCAGTAGTAGCGACAGCGACGACGACGATGACGACGAAGATGATAATGAAGAATAAAACAATGAATCCATTAAGGCTGAGACAATAATGCATTGTCCGCTTAGGAAAAAAAAAAAAAAAAAAAAAAAGGAGGAAGGATATTTATATGACCAAGGAATAAATGCTTTTTCCCTTTTTTTTTCAGAATGGTAAAGATACAGGATGGAGTATGGATGCGGGACAAGGTGGCGTCTGTCTCAACGCCCCTCTCTGCTATCTTTAGAATTTGCAAAGAATGTAAATCTTTATTGTGGCACAAATCTGGGTATGGAAAAAAAAAAAAAAAAAAAAAAAAAAAAAAAAGATCAGTATATATATTATATATATATATATATAGTCCGCACAGTTTCGTTGGCAGCGATCAACTGTAGCAAGCGGGCAGGATGGGTTCAAGGAGTAAGAGAGGGAAAGGGAAAGAAAGGCTTGGAGGTGTTTGATAGAAATGATTGTACAATTCTCCTATCCTTGCGATTATCAAGGATAGAGAGGACCTTGGAAATGACACAAACAGAAAAACAAACAAGGTCCTGAGCATTTTTTTTTTTTTTTTTTCATCGTTCCTGAACATGTTGGCGTGTAAGTTTTAAGCCTAGTCCAGGTCTAAGCCGAGTGAGACCCATGTCTTGCATCTTCTAGCCTAACTGAACAGCAGAATGAATTTGAGAGCAATTTTAATAGACGAGACGGGTAGAATTATAATTAGATGCGGATTTGAAAAGCTTATTCGACATTGTTAAATATTAATCAAAAAAGATATTGTTATTGGCCCCTCAGCCAAGAATGATCGTGTTGTGCAAGTCCAATAAAAGGTTACGTCTCCTCCCAGCCCTTGACTTCTTCCTCCTTGTTCATCATTCCTTTTCTCTCCCTTCTCATCTCATTCCCTCAGCTCCACTCCCTTCCTAATTCTCATTTTCTGTACGACCCAAAACATTTACGCACGTAACACAGCCGTTAATATCTTCTTAATCATTCATAATGAAGTTCACTGCCTGCCTCGCTATCCTCGGCGCTACTGCCTCTCTTGCCTCCGCCTTCGTCAACCCCAAGGAGCCTTGGGGTCAGTCAAGCTGGAAGCCCGGCACCCAGGTCAATATCACCTGGGATGAAGATGGTGTTGAGCCAAAGTTGTCCTCTAACCCTGTGGTCGATATCTTCCTCAACACCGGTGCTGACCAGACCAACGTCAAAATTGCCACCATTGCTACTGGCATCGAGGTTGGCAAGACCAACAGCTATCTCTATACTGTTCCCAACGTGTCTCCTCCCGGAAAGAGTAGGTCATCTCTTCTATTTATCTATTATATGCATTCCTTTTCATTTTCAGCAGCGGAGGTAGTTACTAGTGCAAAGCAGCCTTTTATACAGCATACCTCATTTGAAGCCTTTGTCGAAAAGACAGCAAAATCGATGTTTTGGTATTGGATGCATGAAAAGATGAAACAGTGTGAATTAATCGGTGTGCTATTTACCAGCACAACATCTCGAATCTCCAACGAAAGGGCGACAATTGAATTTGGATTTGGACACAAACCAAATGGAGGGCATGTAATCAAATATTTGGAGAGCACACAGCCAAAGAGTGGAGGCTGGTCGTGTGAGGTCGATGGAGGCACTATTTTACATTTTACAATTCATTCATTAATGCTACTAGAGCTTTGACCAGAGCTGGAGATGACCCTGTTCTGACGTGTCTTTACTTTTTCTCTGTAATTTACTATTAGTTTATTTCTTGACCTTTGTCGCCACCAATGGTCCGGGAATGGCCTGGAGTACCCGTTTCACCATCACCGATGCTGCTGGTGAGGCCGGCACCTTGGCTCCCTCCGCTCCTGTCGGATCTAACCCTGGCGCCATCGGTGCCACTGTTACTGCCCCTGTCTATCTGAACAGCCCAACTGCTGTCGTCCCTGCCCCTTCTGCCACTACCACTGCCCCTGTCTCTGGCGTTGGCGCTGGCACTAACCCCTCCTCTCCCGCTGGCGCTAACCCTACTCCAAGCAACAAGCCCAGCAGTGCTGTTTCTCTTAGCACCTCAGTCTTGACTGCTGCTGCAGCTTTCGTCGTTAGTGCTGCTGCTCTTGTCCTTTAAACGATAAAGAAGAGTTTTAATTAACCTGTGTGCTATTATGTGTGTACTGTCATAAGTCGTATCCCTTCCATTTCTTTCAGAATTCATACCCACCATCTCTTCCGTGATCACCTTAAAATATTAATAAAAAAACATAAATTGGTCATTTTACAGCAGGGGAGGAGACCTCTGACCCTTGCCATGTAACATACTTCTCTTTATCCATCGTTGTACTGTTCATTTCTGAAGCTCGGATCATGTTTACTTCTCTTGTCACACCAATTATCAGGAACACCAAGACTTTTTTTAATGACATGTTTTCCTCAAGGACTGAACCTGAACCCCCATGTGAGATGATGTAGCATATCGTTGTTCCAAATGAGATAACGCTTTGAACGTTACATTGCATGGAGCTAAAGTTTGTAGTTGGGTTTGAGGGCGAAAAACACGAGACTCGCTGAACACGCCATAATTTCCGTAGTGAAGCCATATTTGTTCTCTGGCTGGGCGAGCTTCCCTCACGGCAACTGCCATGTTTTGCATCTATTACACAATCCTGGACTCGCACCATACACATAAGCACGTTAAAAGATACTTTTTTCTTCACGACATCAGCGCCTTTTTATCTTTGTCATTGTATAGACTAATGCGATGTTCGGAGGTGAAGATGAGAGCCTGTATAAGGTTGGGAAAATATGTTAATTATTGCGGGCCAATGCTTGTGTAGATTGGCAAATACACAAATTATGGATCAAAATTATGTAGATGAATACTTTACATTACAGCTGTGAAAACCTTGTGCTTTTTTATTTTTGAGAGCCGTTGGACAGAAGGCTGAATTTGCAAAGCAAGAGGGCGCATTGAAATATATAGTAAATGATATAGATAACCACAAGTGAACGAGATTCTTCATTCTAAATCGCAGGCCATTCAACGAGAGCAGTGCCGATGGCTGTTTTGAATTTTCAAACTTGAAGGATATGAGAAACCATATTGGCGTGGGTCACCTTTCCTCCACCCCTTTGTCAAAAAAAAAAAAAAAAAAAAGAAAAGAAAAGAAAAGAAAAAGTGAGCAAAAGAGAAGTGGAGTTTGAGAAAATGGGGCATCGGTCTAGTGCTCTCAAAAAAAAAAAGAAAGTGACAATCAACAGGAAATGTATACAAAATATACAACATCAGCAGCGTTGAAAACAATCAGCGCCAACATTGGAAGACATGAAGGCAATGATAGATTAACATGATGTGAATTCAGAAGCAGGGTAAAAGCACGCGCGGACGCTTCCTGCCTACATTGCTCACTTGTATCTCCTTCTTCGTTTTCTCTTTTCTTCTTCCTTGTCCATTTTACCACGATCCAATTTCTTTCTCTGTCCCTTTCTTTCCTTTTTCCTTCCCCTGGCTCTCGCTGCTAATTGAATCCATTCCTCATCCTGTTCTCCCATTCCATACATTTCATTTCACTTCAATTCATTAGCACTCCTACCACGAAACTTACTCGTCCTCTGTCACTTCCATCATGCGTTCCTCCAGCATCATCTTTGCCACTGCCTTTCTCGCCTTCATGGCAGTCTCGAATGTCTCTGCACAGGAAGTTCAACAGCCTGAAACACCTGCCCCATGCTATCAGGAGAAGTGTACTCCGCTGATTGAAATCCTCAAGGAGTGCAAAATCAATGTCGACCCCACAACTGGCGACATCACCTTTCCTGTTGCTGACGATACCAAAAATGAGACCGACAAATGCTTGTGCAAGCAGTCAATTGTCAATGCTTATGGTAAGAGATATAGTCCTACTAATAGAAAAGCTGAAAAGAGATCATGGCACACATTTTTTCCGACTCTAAAATGAGAATTAGAAGTGCGTTCGTGCCATGATTGCTCAGCCAATTGTTTCAATTGGCTTCAATAAAATGTCAGGCACAAATTCATTATGCAAAAAACGCGTAGAATTCAAAAAAAAAAAAAAAAAAAAAAAAAAAGCTACAGCGATCAGGATCGATGATTTTGAGTGGATCGTGGTTAAGGAAATAAGGAGACCATTAAAATGGATAAGACCTCAGAAAAGAGGAAAAATGAGAGATAGTCAATCCAACTCCTGGCCTCCAACTTCCCTAAAAATGAATTATTTTTGAATGAAGGAAGACACATTCTGTGTTAATAATGTTTTTTTTTGTCCTGTCCCTGAATGAAATAGACCCTTGCTATACCTGCGGTGTTGAGAACCAAAAGATTCAGGAACAATTTTCAACCACCATGCTTGTGGACACTTGCAACGCCAACTTTGGTGCTAACACGGTCAAGCTGCCTGGCTCTACTGCAGCATCCTCATCCATTCATGTTTCTTCTCTCGTCTTGTCTGCAGCTTCGATTGTCGTCTCTGTGGCTTTCCTTGCCTAAATAAGCATATTATTTTATACGCATCCATTTTGACCCATACAAGTAGCAACAATATTATAATAAAAAACTATTCATTTATTCATTCATACTTCACGTGTTAATGGTCTGCCTGATAATGTAAGCACCATACTGACTGACCCATATACCTATGCCTCTTTCCAAAGCTTACATCCAAAGATAAGTCATAGTAAATATAACCCGATCTTTACGTAATAAACCTTTCTGGAGACTCTGAAGAGGTAGTAGTCCTCATCGATGATGAGGATCTACATCTTTGTTGTCTCTGAAGCCTTCGACAGTCGATAGTGAAAGGCCCTTAATGGCTCGGTTAGAAACACATGTGTCCATGTGTCCGTGGGGTGCCCTGAAAAATATTTGCTCCATGGCAAAAGTCGTTCTTTTTTTTTTTTTTTTTTTTTTTTTTCCTTCTTTCTTTTTCTAATCATCACGCAAACTACATTCTTTATTCACGCCATGAACATTGCTTCTTTTCGTTCTAGCCATCAGGCTGCGAGGTACTCTTCCATCTATTCAGACCAAAACGCCGTGTTAACATCAACTCATCGCGTGATAAAAATAGAATGTGAAAACAAAAATACAAAAACACGATATGAGTTGCTGAAACAAGAGTTGGAGCAACTAAATGATGCCAATCGACTTTTATCTGGTTAATATAGACTCTTGACTAGCCTGACGCGCTCGGGTCAGGGCCGAGGACGTATTGCTGCCTACTCCACGGCTGCTCCACATTCAGTCGAAAAATCTTTTCAAAACCAGTCCAGGGTGCCTCGTCTGCCCATTCCTTCCTTGGCAGAGACAGCAGCACGCTACAAGAGGAGTCTTATCCCCATTCTCGGTGAGGCAGAGCTAGCGAGAGCAGAGAAAGCTGTGGACGAGTTTGTGAAGCCAGACGGACTAGGCGAAATTTTGCAGGGGCGACTCCGCACATTGGACAAGACAGAGAAGCATTCATGGCTCGAGACCATCTGGCTGAATAAGGGATATCTTGAATGGCGAGAGCCTTCCATGATTAATGTCAATTGGTGGGCCCAGTTCAAGGATTCGCCTTCATTCAACTTGGAAAAAAATCCAGCACGTGGTGTGGTTTCGGATGTACAGATCCAACGCGCAGCCAATTATGCTAGTTCGTTGCTCACATTCAATGATCATGTCAATAATCAGACTTTGCCGCCCGAGTACCAGCGTACTGCACCACTCTGCATGAACCAGTACAAGAATCAGTTTGAGGCTTATCGTGTCGCAGACTTGCCTAGAGACAGGATTGTCACGACTTGGCCAACGACTTCCGATTACATTGCTGTCATGATGAGAGATCAGATTTTCAGGGTGCCCGTTATCGGCCACAATGGTGAACGTGTCTCTATTCAAGCAATTGAGCAGCAGCTTAAACACGTGGTTGAAGCGGTCAACAACTTGCCGGAAAAGGAGAAGCAACCTGCTATTGGGGTGTTAACATCAGAGAACAGAGATACCTGGGCGAAGGCTCGGCATACTCTCTTGGGTCTTTCGCCCCAGAACCATGCTTCTTTGAGCGTGATCGATCACGCATTGTTTGTAATTTGTTTAGACGACTACAGCTCAGACAGAGACATTGATGTGTCACACCACAATATCTTCCATGCTGGAAATGCCCACAACCGGTGGTTCGACAAGTCAATGCAATTCATTTTCGAGAGCAATGGCCGCGCTGGCATCAATGGAGAGCATACTCCGGCTGATGCAGTCATCCCTGGACGCATTTTGGATGAGCTTGTCAAAAAGTATGGGCTACAGTAATTTTTGCGGACGAAAAAGGGACACTTACGGCTGAAATATGAAGACATCAATCTCTAACATGTTTCATCTTTTATATTTGTTTAGTGAAAAGAATGCTGAGCCCAAGAATCCTTCAAATATCCGGCTCGCTCCAATTGAGCATATCAAATTTGTAGTTAATGGTGAGATCGAGGCTACCATTAAGCAAGCAGAAGTTAATGCCAAGAAAATGATTGACAATGTTGACAGCTGCTTGATTCATTTTGGAGAGTATGGTTCCAACTGGCTAAAGAGTGGTAAGTGTATTGGCGAAAAATCTTGCGTAATAGGCGAAATCCGAGGTTTGGATTGTTTTGCATAGTCTCTTTCGTGTGGATGTTATAACTCAACAACATAAATGTCGCTCAATTACTCTTTCATTTAAATATAGTCAAGTGTTCGCCCGACGCATTTGTGCAGATGGCACTTCAGCTGGCTTACTATCGCCACTATGGCACGTGGACCCCCACATATGAGTCCGCATCGACACGCTTGTTTTTGGGTGGTCGTACAGAGACTGTGCGCTCGTGTTCTGTGGAGAGTGTCGCTTTTGTGAAGGGATACGAGAGCAAGAACACTGATGTAAGATGAGCGAAGATTAATAACGACCATTGATGCAGTGGAGCTTCTACCCATCGCTCTTTAGCAGTAATGAGCTCTAGTAACCCCTCATTGTACTTTTGTTTATAGACCACGGAGAAGCAACGCCTTTTGCAAAAGGCTATTCAATCGCATCTTGAATACATGATGGCGGCCTCGGCAGGCAAGGGTGTTGACCGCCACTTACTGGGTCTTCGCTCAATGATGCAAACCCCTGAGGAACAGAAGCAGGCTTTAATATTCCAAGATCCTTCATACATCCAATCCATGTACTTTAGAATATCTTCGTCCAACATGTCTCCTGGTGACAACTTTTGGGGAGGATTCGGACCAGTGGTCCCTGAAGGATACGGGATTAACTATGCGATTGGCAAGGAAAACATCAAGTTCTCAATTTCGAGCCTGAAGAGCTGCAAGGAGACCAACTCGCGAGAGTTCAGAGAGACAATCCTAAGTGCTTTGAAGGATATGAAGAAGACTCTAGTATAAAAAAAAAATAAAAAAAAAAAAGAGGGAGGGAAGATAGATAATGGGACGAGGAATTCAATTGCGTATTATAAAAGTGGACGCAGTGTCCTTAATAATCAGCCAAACATTCCCGCTTGATGAAAATTAAGGAAATGCATAATATACAAACAGATTGGAGAACGGATATAACAGAAGTCGTTAAAAATGATTCCTCTCCTTGATAACATTCAAAGGTATGGAAACATTGTATCGCTTTCTTTTCTTTGATTCTTGTCCCCATACTTCTCGCAGCTTGTGGTAGAGAGATGACACCCCTCTAGAGGGGACCGAACGGATCAGTAGGGAGACAGTGGGCTTGTAGGAGATTATAGACGCTGAAATTCATACGCTTACATGGTTGTTTATTAGTGTCATGATTTGCGCGGCCAAGGCTCACATCAGCACTGTGATATATATCCATACTGTCTGTCCATCTGTTAAATCATTGATTTTTCATGACCTGTGGAAGTAAATAGCAAAAACATTCGTCCACAACATGAAGAAACAAAGCTAGATCTTTTAGCAACAAGTGTCTCATCAGTTTTAATTGACTACATTATGGTGGATGTAATCCAATCCGTTGTTTGTATTGTCTAAAGTTCAAGACCTACAGGTACCGAAACGCCATGACTGGCCATAAGGTTTGGGATACAGGCATTTATATCCTCAGCCTCAGCCAAAGGGTACAAATGGGATCTTTGTTCTTGGGTGAAAGATGAGCCATTAGATTAAGTACAAGCTCATTAAGCTAAGAAGGCAAGCGAAAAGAACCAGTAGAATATAGGACACAAACAACTAGGGTGGCAATGATGCGATAAAGCCACGAGCCGACATTATCGGCAAAGGAGAAATATACAAATGGACTAAAAGTATCATAAAAAAGAGAGGAAAAAGTACATGTAAAGGATAGAACATTCTGGTTTTGTGGAACACGCGCTCGTTATTGCTTGGTCGACTTAATAGAGCGTTTACTATTTTCCAGACTCAACAGAGAGATTCTATGCGACGTAGATTGTAGGTTGTAGTGCAAATGTGCGGGAAAGGGTGGGCGTAGTTCATTAAATGCATTCATATTAGTTGATTGCAAGCGAATCCAAATATGGTCCACATCCTGCTCTGTCAACTGTCGACTATCAAAATGCTTTGGGACATGTGTCCTCTTTTTGTCTCCTGCCGATTGACGAGAAAAGAAATCAACCAATAAAACTCTGCATGATATCGTGCAACGGAGTCACACGCATGGTGCAGCAGCCTGACAGCCATTGGTTCCACTCCCCATTCCCAATGCGCTCTGACTCCGACGCGTGTGCTTTTCAGTCTAGGTCGCGTTTTGAACATTTGCAAGAATGTTATGTGTAATTTAGTTTGTTATCATGAGCCAAACAAACAGGCAATACACTGAGCTCTATCTTGTCAAATATTTCAGAAAACATGAGTTTGATGTTTTTTTTATTTTTTTAAGGATCAATTTCCCTACATTAAAATATATACACATACAAAATAAAGCACACTTGCTGAACACAAAGCTGTTGCCCTCGCCATGCTTGTTTATTTTCAAACTCTGTGATGCCTGGTTTATGACATGTAGATGTACATTATCATGCGAAAAAACAACAAATGTAATGGTATTTATATATATATATATATATACGTTAGTGCTTATTGATGTTATCATTTATTTACTTTCTTTGCAATCGATAACTTTGCAGGGTAAATGAGTTGAAAATTGGACCGTCGTCCTCCATTCGATTGCCCTTAACTTTCCCACCAACTGCTCATGGGTAAAAAAAAAAAAAAAAAAAAAAAACAACGCTAGCTTTGTGGGAAAAAACTTTCTGTATCCCTTACTTTCTCAGGAACGCCAACACCTTAAAGAAAACAAACACCTGTTTAATTTTCCCAACCTACAGCTCCGTTATGCTGTGGTATAATGGACTATATATCCTGTCATGCTGGCAAGGTAATGTGTGATATATAACTAAATATCATACAAGGATTCGTGGCAAAATAACAGAAGGTGTACATGCTCTTCATGTACTTTTGGACTTTCATTATTACTTGCTTACATATCCTGAGATATCCCACGAAATTGACCGAAGCCTCTTCGATGAATGTACAAACTGTCATACACGTACGAAGATGTCACCATCATCCAAACAGAAAAAGGAAAAAAAAAGACAACCCTGTGTGTAATCGAATAAGGTGAGAAGTAGAAAAAAATTGGGAGCCTGCTAGCGGCCAAGCGGCTGAATGTTTCCTCGGTTGTTGTTTATTGACATGGTTTGTATACAAATATTGTTCTTGTCAATGCGGTCTGATTTCGCGTAACTATTCAGGGCCAACCAAGGGCTCGATTATCAGAACCCTGAAGATTAGAAATATAATCAATTAAAAAAAAATAAAAAAAAAGGAACAGTACGAGGGCGCAAAAAAAAAAAGTCATCTAACCCTGCAGAGACACATGCATGCGACCTGATTGCTAGCTCACACAATAGTTAAATAACATCGTCCTCATTTTATTGGTCTACACCTTTCCTGGTTAGTATATCCGTTATTCATTATTATTTGTTTTTGGCATCTCATAATTGAAAAATTGTACTGGAGTGAAAGGACAAGCCTATCTTTCCCATAATTGTTTACTTTCTTTCCCATGGAATTTTTTTTTCTTTTTTTGTTAACTTGTCAGCCAAGTAGCTCTGACTCAACATGCAGGACGGCTGTCCAAAGGTCCTTGGATGAGAGTGAGCTTCATGAAGTATAGGCCATAGTCCTCAGCATTTGGTTGAAAAGAGTTGAAGATTGCGGCCGAAACTTTATGCATCTTCAGGGGTCCAACCGCAAAAAAGAATTCACTTGCATACCTGAATGTTTCAATCCCCCTTCGTTTTTATAAAACCTCAATGGTAATTGGCCTTTGAAAAATAAGAAATTCATGTCCAAATGTTTACGTTAGAATAAATAGTTTATTTTGTAACTGAATATGCGACTACATTGTCCAAACAAATATGCCTATGAAGAAAAAAAAACTACTCCTGAATTATGTGATCGTAACGAACTGACAGCGGCTATTTATTCATTTAAAACGATTGATGGTCCCTTTTCTTTAAGGCTTTGTTGAATATAAAAGAAACACTTTATCCCCCTTCCAAAGCACTTTTTTTTCTTTGATTTCCCTACCCCTCAAACACCTCTCCTACTCTACCCCCACAAACACACCGACACTCTTTCTTTCCAGGGAAAAAAAAAAATGAAGCTGCCAATCTTCTCTCTTTCGGCCGTTGTGGCCCTTTCTGTTATGCTGGCCCCTTCGCCTTCATTCGCTCTCCCCGCACCAAGCAACGGTGTTACAACATTTGTCAATCACCGTGTGGTCCGTATCCAGGTCCGTACTGAGGCCGAACTCAAGACTTTGGCCGCTAATGAGGACGCTCTTGGCTTGGATTACTTCACTCACCACAAGGGTGTTGGTAGCACTGTTGATGTCCGCATCGCACCTCAGTTTTTCTCCAAGTTCCAGGGCCTCAAACTTCAGTACGAGACCTTGATCGAGAACTTGCAAACCGTGATCGACCAAGAGCATCAGGAGAACGTGAAGTACGAGCAGACTTTCACTGCCAAGGTCCAAGAAAGCAAGAAGAATACCAATAATCTAAGCACAGTTAACAAGGCCATCGAGGGAGCCGATGTCTATGCTGCTGCTGATCTGTGGTTCCAGGGATACCATTCATTCGCTGAGCACCAGAACTGGCTGGCGACCCAGATTGCTAACAATCCAGGCAAGGCCACTGGCTTCAGTGCTGGCAAGTCGTTCCAGGGCCGTGAACAGAACGGTATCAAGATTGGCAAGGGTCCAAACCATATTGTCTTCCACGGCACACAGCACGCACGTGAGTGGATCACTACCATGGTTGTTGAGTAAGTTTTATTTATTATTTTTTTTTGTTTCATTTGTTTTAGTAAAAAAATATCAAGTTACTTAACATAATGTTGCTTGCGATTGACACATTAGATACATTATTGACCAGTTGCTGAAGGGCACCGACTCTCGTGTCGCGGGTTACTTGAACAAGTACACCTTCCACATCATCCCTGTGATGAACCCTGACGGTTTCGTTATCAGTCAAAGCTCGAACCGTATGCACCGCAAGAATGCCCAGTCCAACGGTGGATGTCTCGGCACTGACAGTAAGTCGCATCTCTGTCTTTTTTTTTATAAAAAGGAATGAGCTTCCAAACAACGGTTCTAATAATTCTTTTCGACTCCTTTTTCTCAAAAAAGCCAACCGTAACTGGAACTACAAGTGGGGCACCGGTGGTTCGTCCACTAATCCTTGTGCTGAGGACTACATGGGCCCCAGTCCTTTCTCTTCTCCTGAAGCTCGTAATATTGGCAACTATATCAGCTCACTCCCTAATGTGGTCTCGTACATTGACTTCCACTCGTACTCTCAGTTGTGGATGGTTCCATATGGCTACACAGCCCAGCGTCCTCCAACTTACAGCTACATGAACGGTCTTGCTCAAAAGGCTGCTCAGGCCATTGCTGCGGTTTATGGCACCCAGTTTAGAACCGGAGACATTTACAACACCATCTACCAGTCCTCAGGTACCTCTGCTGACTATGCTTACAGCGTCGGTGTTGAGGCTCCTTTTGCTGTCGAGCTCCGTGACACTGGTCGCTATGGCTTCAGCCTTCCTGCCAGCCAGATTTTGCCCTCGGGAATCGAGACCTGGGCTGGTTTCGCTGCTATCCTGGACAACATCCAGGTCTAAAAAACAAATGACGAAATGAGAGATGAGCAAGATACCTGCTGCGCGGTGTATTTTGCCTAACATTTGACACAATCACTACACATGTATATAGTATTTCTTCTGAATGGGGCGCTAGGGAAGTGCAAGAAAGAAATTTCATGAATTTTGAAAGTTTGTGTCCCTTAAAAAATAACAGTAATAAAAAAAAAGTCCTTTCGGCCGAGCGGGGCTCGGCTCTTTTTTAAATCACCAGCTAAAATTCAATACAAAAATGATTTAGTCCCCATGAGAGGATTTGCATTAGAAGAGTCTTTTCAGATTGAAATAAGCTTGTCACAACTGTGAGGCTCGATTCCCATAAATGAAATGATTTTTGCTGAGCAGAAAAGATCTTTGTACTCACGGGTGATTATTATTGTCGTGGGCATTGTTTTTAATCAAGACAGCTCACTCTACAAATCGACCCAAGAGAAGGTCCTTTTAACAAGTGATCAGTTCGACAAGCTGGAGCCCAGTTGCCCCTCCTTTACGGAGGAATGGTCTGGATATTCCTTACCATGTCGAATACACTTTAATATTTAACACACAACATAAACGCGGCACACAGCGAACGATGCAAGTGTTTTTTTAGGGTAGATTGGAGCTATTATTCAGAAATAGCAGTTTAGTTTGGTTTGAGCACATTGGAGATGGAGTTCCGGAGCAAAAATGCCAGCGAACAGATCTTTTTTTTTTTTTTTTTTTTTTTTGACTCCATAAGTCCATGTATCCTCGGGCAAGCAATTCAACATTAGGAATGGTCTAACTGAAATATGGCGGTGTTTTTTGTAGTATTATTTTGCCCATTAATTATTGAATTTTTTTCTTGCCCTTCAAACACATAAAAGCTGTATTGATCTAATTCTCAATGCTTGCACATTTCTCATCCCTTCATGTCAAAGAACACTGCTAAGAAAGGTATCATTTGTTGCAATACATTTTAGTTACTGTTTTTGGTTTCATCAGTAGATCATACAAATTAATGGTAATTGTCGTTCTCTGTTCCTTGTTCCTGATAATTTTTTTTTTTCTCATTGTGTAGGAAAGGGTGTTGATAGCTCTTCGGCAAAAGGGCCTGCCAAAGGAGGGAATGCTTCAGGTGCAAAGAGTTCTGGAAGTCTCAATAACAAAGGCGGTAAAGGTGTGCCTCAGGACGAACCTGCTGCTCCTCAGATATCAAAGGCAGTCTTCCCAGGTTGGACAGGGAAAACACCATCGTCACTGCTTCACGAGCATTGTCAGAAATTGGGCTGGGAGAAGCCAAATTTCGATGTGGTAGGAATAAATTTTAGAAAGAAAAAAGTGCTTATTTACAACTGTTCACATCTAAATGGATATCTACATTTATCATATTGAATCATAGACACGCAACTCTAGAGGATTTGTGGCAACAGTAATTCTTGGAAAAAGAAACAAAAAGACTGGACAAATTGAAACTGCAACGTTTACACCTCAGGATATCTATAAACCAACAGCAGTAGAGGCACGGCACTATGGGGCTACCTATGCTCTGCATAGAGTCAATAGTCATAAGAACTTGATGATGGTCTTACCACCAGGTCCTCGTGACCTTTGGTCACAGCTGGATGCTGAGAAAGCAAAGGCAGGTCCCAGCGAACAACATCTCTATCTTCCAGACCCTTTTATTAGTCAGACGGCAAAATTACAACTACAGCAACAACAGATTCAACAGGCTCTTCAGGAGCAAGCGAGGATTAGAGCAGCTACCCCTGTCAAAGATACTTCGCAGGAAACCGCCGTCAACTATGGTCCTAGTGAATATGCCAGTCGATCATCGCTTACTGGACAAGCTGATGATGAGAAACAAAAGAAAGCATGGGACAAATTGCCTATGGTTCATATGAATCAAGAAATGCGAGCTGAAGTCGAAGATGTCATCAAGAAGCAGATGGCTGGTGAGCTATATCAAACCGTATGTGGTGAAAAGTCGCTACTTTGATCCATTACATGCTACTGGAGCAATTGTGAGTGTCGGATCAAGTTCTAACTTCCAATATACTTCAATGATTTGTAGTACATCGAAGAATATGGTACTCATGGTGAACCATTATACAACACTACCCTCTCGAAAGCCCTTACACGCATGGGCTTCCGCGATCGACATATTGCTGAAGCGATGCAGTACTGCAATGATCAAGCGTCTGCTTTGGATTGGCTCTGTAAGAAAGATGATTGTGTACAGCCTATGGAGATTCAGAGGTATTCTTTATGCTTCTAGTGCATATTTATTGACGATTACTCGAGGCTATCATTAGGTTTACATGTGCCAGAGGACGATCTGCCTCCCAGCTTCCTTCAGTCCAACTACAACCCCACGATCACAACCAGCAGTCACACATCGGTATCTTTAGGCCGTGAGTACGCTATTAAAAGACTTTCAGCTATTGGATTTACATCAGCTATTTGCGGACAGGTATATGATATGGTTGGAGGCGACGAGGATAAAGCTATGGATGAGCTATTCAAGCGTCTTGCTTTCCCCAAGGGGCAAATCCCTGAAGACATGGTGCAGGACATTCCAATGGAGCCTGAATCCCCAGAGCAACTGCGTGAGCTTCGAGAAGATGAGATGCTGGCGTTAGAGAGTATCTATGATGACCGCTTCACCCGTGATGGCGATTCCTGCGCGAAAATTAAGCTCGAAACAACGTTGCACAGTACTAAAAATGCGCCAAAGATCGAGCTCGAGATCCGGATACCAGGATCCTCAACTTATCCTTTCAATCAGCCGCCTCTTTTCATCATTAACGAGTCAGATCTTCCATCATACCTTCGCCTCAGTATCATCCAAAAAACCATGCAGTACGCCTATCGCGCCATGGTACAGGCCATGGGTGGTCCAATCGTTTATGATGTTGTGGAATGGGTCCAGGATAATCTTAAAGATATCCTGGATAATCCACCCAGTCTTGTACAGCTCACTGAAGGCCTCATCAAGATTGATCTTACTCAGGATACGGAGAACCAAGAACCTTTGGCTGCTTTGAACGACGGAAGTGTAGCAGAGCCACTTCTTATCAAGCCCACAAACATGAAGCCTTCTCCTAATAGTTTGCCAACACAGAAGGACAATAAGAGGGCCATTCGCCGATTAAACATCAAACCTAACAGTCCGGGATCACTTACTATGCTAAAGGAGTATGAGCAGCGGATGTCAAAGGACATTTCCTTCCAGGCTTTGCAGATAGCGCGCGCTAAGCTGCCTGCTTGGGGCTTCAAGGATCAATTGGTGAAGGCAGTGAAGGATAACTCTGTTGTAATTGTGTGTGGAGAAACAGGGTGCGGTAAGACAACACAGGTACCCCAGTTCATATTGGACAACTGGATTCAAGAGAGTATTGGAGAGTATGCCAATATTGTTTGCACACAACCTCGTCGAATCGCCGCTATAGGAGTGGCTGAGCGCGTGGCTGTCGAACGATCGACTGATATAGGACAACAGGTTGGATACTCCATTCGTGGAGAAAACAGATCAAGCAAAAACACTAAATTGCTATTCTGTACAACTGGTATCCTTTTACGTCGTTTGCATTCCGATCCCACGCTTCAAAACGTAACACACGTTATGGTCGATGAAGTACATGAGCGATCTGTGGATTCTGATTTCTTGTTGATCATTTTACGAGATCTTATTCGCAAACGCAACGATCTCAAGCTAATCCTCATGTCCGCCACTATCAACAGCGAATTCTTTTCAGGGTACTTTGACGGATGCCCTGTGATTGAGATTCCTGGATTCACTCACCCCGTGGAAGAGCTTTATATGGAGGAAATCGTTGCTCGCACACGCCACACACCAGACTTTAGAGGAACAACTGTAAAGCGAACCAAGATGACTGAGGCTATGGAAGAAGAGTGGGAGAAGACCAAAGCTGAGTACGAGAGCGAAGGTTTTGACGCTGAGACGATTGCCAAGGTCAAGACTATGGAGGCATATGCTGAACGGATAGACTATGAACTAATCACTGCAAGTGTGGCAGATATTCTTAAACGCAAGGAACCAGAGGGTAGCATTGATGGGGCTATCCTCATATTTTTACCAGGTATATTACTATTACATACGCTGATTGCTGGAATGGTTTCCCTTCAGGTTGATTTGTTGAATTTGTGGGGGCTTATGATTAGGGAGGCTAACATATTTCTATATGTCGTATGCTGTTGGTTCCAGGTGTGATGGAAATCAAAAAATGTATTGATGCATTGACACTCTTCTCCAGGACTGTGACCCAGACACTTGATATTATACCCCTACATGCTGCTCTTACGCCGAAGGAGCAAAGTAGTGTCTTTGCGCCGGTTCGCAAGGGCGTGCGAAAAATCGTTGTCGCGACCAATGTCGCTGAGACTAGTATTACCATGTAAGTTTATCAAAATAGGAAAATATTTAGAAATGTGACTTTATTCTTTTTTTTCTTTTAACTCCTCTATTCAATACTAGGCATTTGGATTGCTCTAATACCACTTGAAGATGAAATCTTTAACAATATCTTTTCATAATCTTTCCAATTTTCATAGAGATGGAGTGGTATACGTCATTGATTCGGGACGGGTGAAGGAGACAAGAATGGAGAACAACATGACCAAGCTAGTGGAAACTTGGACATCTTTCGCCTCTACTCGTCAGCGCAAAGGTCGTGCTGGACGTACACGTCCTGGTATTGTGTATAAATTGTTTTCCAGGAAACAGTCTCTCAAGTTGGCGCCGCAGCAGGATCCTGAGATCTTACGCATTCCATTGGAGCAACTCTGTCTTTCAGTGAAGGCTATGGGTGAGAAGGACGTCGAAGCGTTCTTAGGTAAGGCCCTCACTCCACCGTCCCTATCAGCCATTCAGACAGCACTCAAGGCACTGGAGGATCTCGGCGCATTAGATAGCGTTACGGGAGAATTGACCCCACTAGGAAGGCATATGGCAGATATTCCAGCTGATCTACGGATCGCCAAAATGCTTATCTTTGGAGCCGTGTTTAGATGCTTGGAGCCCATTTTGATTGTGGCTTCATGCATGAGTGTCAAGAGTCCATTTGTATCGCCCATGGATAAGAGAGATGAGGCTCAAAATAAGAAGATGCAATTTGCAACAGCCAAGTCGGATCTTTTGACTGCGTGGAAGGCATATGACACATGGGAAAAGATGAAAGACAATGGTGCCAGTCGATCTGAGCTCAAGGCGTTTTGTGAAGATAATTTCCTATCGACAAATACACTCTTTGAGATCCAAAACCTTAAATCCCAATATCTTGAAGTCTTGGATGACATCGGCTTCACCACTAAAAATCCGTCCCAACCTCAGAATCGCCGTCGATCAGAGAGATGTTCATGTGGAGAGGATAATGTCCACTCAGATAACATGGCACTGATCAAAGCCATCATCCTCTCTGGTTTGTATCCAAATGTGATTAAGATCAAGATGCCTGATGCCAAGTTTGACAAGATGATCGCTGGGGCTGTTGAACGTCAGACGGTGACGAAGGAAATCCGGATGTTTACTAAGGATGATGGACGAGTATTTCTGCACCCATCTTCGATTTTGTTCCAGACAAACCAGTATCAAGTGCCCTTCTTGGTCTATTTCTCCAAATTAGAGACTACTAAGGTCTTTGTTCACGATGCAACAATGGTGCCTATGTATGGTCTGTTGCTCTTTGGAGGGCAGGTGCAAGTCGATCATTTGGGTCGCGGCCTCGAGATTGGTGATGGCTTTGTTAAGCTAAGAGCATTTGCGCGTATCGGAGTGCTGGTGAACCAATTAAAGAAACTGCTGGATGCTATCTTGCAAGCCAAGGTCCTGAATCCAGACCTGAAGGTTTCAGATAACCCAGTCGTTGAAACCATGATCAAGCTAGTTACCACTGATGGTATTTGAGCGTGAAATACACCATCAATATTGCATTTATTAATTGATAACAATAGACAACACTTAGAGTAAGACAAACAGCAGCATAACAGTTATCATACATATACAAAGAATTACTAGATGTGACAGTGCAGAGCATGGCCACCTATTTGAAAACATGCATTATTTTGTTTTTTTCCTCTCGGAAATGGTTGGCTATTAATTGAATAGACGAATGCCGTGTAACACAACCATCGAAGAGAACTGCTGAGAAAGCGCCTTTAAAGACTGTGTGATTAGGCTCGTAACCAGCCTACTGTGTGATGGAAGGCTGTTGTGGCTGACCATTAATAGTTACATACGTAAAGTTAATTATAAACATAACTATTCAATTTTCATTTCATTCATTATCCACTAATCGCGATATTCTGTAGATCCATTGTGGAAAGCCTTTTAGTAGTCATAACGCTCGTAGAGCCTATAGAACTTGAGTCTGGCGGCAATAGGACAGATGGCATACTCGTCCAGCGTGAGATGTTTTCTGCATCTAACAAGTCAAGGAGATCAAAAGTTGTTTTTTTTATTGTTGCCAGGCGGGAACCTTTTATTAAGGACCCACCATGACTGTCACACAATCTTCCGACCTTATGAATAAAAATGGAAGTGCCCTGAGGTGCACTCCCAAGCCTCGGTACGTAACACAGCAGTCATTGCGCTTATATGGTGGCCACTACTCTGGCGGCTGTTGCTGCTTATTGCGATTCGCAATCATTTTATATGGGTTTTTAAGATTTTTGCCTTTTTATTTAACGAAGATCCCTGGATCATAATAAAGACATCTTTTTTTTCGTTCCCATTACTTTCGTATTATAATCCTAGTATATACATTGGACAGTTGAAGGCTGGGGAAAGGCTATGTTTTCTGACGAGTGTGTTTTCTGTAGGCTGAAGCCTTTCCGAAAAAGATATTACTACAATAGAATGTTCAATCATGGATTCCTCTCATCGATGATAAAACGGTACAAAGGAAGGATTTCATGTGCTATTGTGGGAATTGTGATATTGACAAAGATTTGTTGAATGAACTGATTTCGATATTGGGGTCACTGTCTAACCTTCGGAAGGTAGATATCCAAGGAGAAACTTATATAGATAATATAGCTGCGAGTTGGGTTGTAGATTGGTGCAGGTTGCCCTATTTGATGGCCATGAGCATCAATCTCTGAGGAATCGCTCAGACTATCTCAAATTCATCCGTTAGCCCAACCCCTGAACTCATCAAGAGGACCATCAAAGCGATTTCAATAACTAAGAATCGACATTTAGACCTCAAGGTGTCAGGATCGGCCTATGGATATATGGTTGAATTGTCTCTATTTGAACGATCCCCATTATTGGAGAATCTCTCGATATATTGATTAACAGAACGATCCATTCAAGTGGTGGTGGTGAAGAAGATTAAGGACGGTATGCTCCAGAATCTATAGCACTTTCAGATGGGAGGAGTAATGATGCCAAGCGGAGATGTGAGCCTTACATTGGATTTGATTCGATCTATTGGGCGCGGTTGCAATTATGATCGTAAGAGTAGTCAGGACAATGTTACCACAGACACCCTTGACAGCAACCATGTTGTAACAAACGATAGCAGTCTTATAGATACCGAGGAAAGTGGAATCCACTTCGACAGGCCCATTATCGATCTGGTCCAAGCATTGGAGTCGGTTGACGGCCCTGCATAGGTTGTGGATGTTTGAATATAGGTTCTATATCAAGAGTGGATTACGGGGGCCTCAAGCGTGTTGAGCGTAGAACAAGGAGATTGGGTAATGGAGCATTGACCTAAACTAGAGGAACTTTGTCTACCAAGCTTACGCCAGGCAACTGAGCCATTTGTGCAAAGGATAAAAGTATTATCCTCAGACCTAAAGTTTTGATATGATGGATCCGTTCTAAACTTTAGGAGCTGATCGAAAAGATATATTTCTAGACTATTTCATCACGTTATAAAAGCAAATGCGCCGAGGATTTTTATTATTATTAATATTATTGTTATATTCATTATTATCATTACAAACAAAGTAAAATACAATAGGATATTTGAAAAGGAATAAATAAACGTATTGTCATGAGTTATCTATGGCCTGACACATTCTATGCTTAGCCTTTTTTTTTTTTTTTTTTTTTTTTTTTTTTTTTCACATGCGAGCTGCCTTCTCTTCGCCAACGCCTTCGTTCAGGATCAAAGGTTCACTCCTGCGCAAGACTAGCTTGCGGTTGTCAGCTGTGACTATGGTGATCGTCTTGCTCAACATACGGACACCTGACCCTGCCAGGGTTGTTGTACAACTAGAGGTAATGGGACTAGTGAAAAAATTGTTAGTCGGCGATGGTAGCGATGGTGGTGGAGGAGAATAAACTTTGCTTGGAGTTGTAGCAGGATGAATTGGGTTCTCATTAATCATTGTCGTATGGACGATATTGTCTGTTGCGCTGCTGTTGCTGTTGTTGCTGCTGTTGCTATTGTTGTTCTGTGAATACTCTCGAACTAAAGCGCTGTGACTAACAAAGGATGAAATAGTCCCACTTGCTATGGATTGAGGAACCGAGCCTGAGCTTTGCTGAAATTCTTGAGCACAACCCGAACTAGCCCTCGACAGCGACGTGGTCGATGAGATACGGGCTACGGGCAACCCCAGAGTATAAGTGTGCGATGCGGAGGAAATTGAAGATGACACAGTCTCCGTAGATGCAGTCCTGAGCGTACTTGTTGAAAGTGATGCGACCGTTGTGAATGAGTTGCTCGGTGATCCATAGAAGAGCTCCGGTTCAGTATCATGATGAGTAGTTGAACTAGATCCTTCAACAGCGACAGAAGCACGGAACCCATTTGTTGCAACAGACGCACTTCCACTTCGATTTGGACTGACTTCCACGGACGGATTAGCTGTAGATTCAGCACCAGCGGCAGGAGCACCAGACAGAGCTTCAGTCACTTCGTCACTTGCACCTGTAATGTTGCCTACAAGCGTCGGTACCTTGTCCAAACTAGGGAATCGCCAATCAGAAACCATTGGGGGTAAATCAGTGACAGCCATGGAACAAAAGTCTGGGTACTCTTCCTCTAGTGTTTCCTCTGGGAACATCGAAGCAATAGGAGTAGGAGCCGGAGAGGGAACTGAAGGAATAAGCTCAAGTGCACTACTGTCACAGGATTCAATAGTGTCGGGGCGAGGAAAGCCAGGGGACTCAGTGCATTGAACTCCATTATGGCTCGAAAGCAGGCTTGGCGACGACAGTGAAGACTCCATTGTTTGGTAAAAGCCCGTTCTCTGTGGCTGCTTTCCAAATGAAACCGATGGCAATGAATGGAGGCTTAAAGGAGAAGTATCTGTCTTCCTGTTATATGATGCGGACGATGAAGAGGCAAATGATGGCGATGATGATAACTCTTTGGGACTCAACATTTGATCGAGCTTTTGGTACATGTAGACTGGAGATGATGATTCATACGGCCTCATATTAATGTGGAAGACAGATAAAAAGTCTGTTACATCCTCGTCGCTTGCTGAGGAGCCAGAATGGTCTGGTTTCTTGCCTTTGATGTCGACTCCTCTTTGGGAGGTCAAGGTGGAAGCCAACGAGAATGATGATAAATTGCCAGATGGTCCCAAGCCAAAAAATGGTTTCGTCGTAGATGTGTTGTGGCGAAATGAGATTGATCTTGGCCTGGTTATGGCTGTATACGATCCTTTCCTGCGCTTCTTCTTTTCATGACGGCTGCTGCCATTAGCCTTTGCCATAAAAATATCGTGGTGTTTTTGATTCATATGATGATTGGTTATTGACTGCCGATCAGAGCCTTCGCATGAGGATGGCAAGGACGGCGATGATGCCGAGGACGAAAACAACGACAATGGACTTGCGAATTGGCGTGGCGTCCCATACCCTGCCTCATGAGGCCCAAAAAGGGGTGCTTTTTGTGTGGATACAATATGGTTTCGAGAGAATAGGCCATCATTATTTCCTGTAGCAGTATCTTTTCCATTCCGCAGACTAATACATACAGGCTTTGGGGACGCTGCTTGCATAGCCGCGGGTGAGTGGCAAACGGTCGATAACTCTTTATCTTCTCCAGTCTTCGCTATAGGTGGTGCATAAACTGAAGCTGATGGAAGCTCTGGGGTTGCTACCCTTTGAAGTACGCAATGAGGCGTCATTGATTGTTGGTTGAGCAGAGATGCTGTTCTGTCGAGCTCTAAGCCTGCAGGGTTGAAGCCCCTAAAGTCGTTCGGTTGGTGAGTGCCAAACCAAATCTCCGTCTCTGTGTCTTCAGAAGTAGATCTTCCTCCTTCACATCGATTTCTTAAGGACCCAGAACGACTCAGGCCTATAGCAACTCCTGGGGTGGCATCACTGCTCAATGCTGAGCTTGATCCGTTCCTATTCCAGTCAAGAGCTACTATGCCTGCAGGTGGCTTTTCGATATCACTAAAAGTTGAACCGAGAGCAGTATGCGGTGGTATTGTTGAGGTGGGTCCCTCAGACGGCTGTTGCCGACCGCCTGCTAGCGCATCTAGTTGACTGGCCTGCCGTCGCCCTGAGACCCGCAAAACTTGCACAGTATCCTCTGTTTCGCTTTCGTCGTTCTCTGAAGCGTATCGGGTGCTGCTGACTTGTTTGACTTGCACATCCAATGATTTCGCACGAACTTCTGGAATGTCCTTGATCTTTTTGAGAGTAGGGTTTGCTTGAGATGACATAACAATGCGAGGCTCCTTCCTTGCTGATGCTGGTGCTGATGCTGCGCGACCATTACCTTTGGTGTTTTTTTTCGTCTTTTGTTCGTCATGGATGCCTTCTACGCCAGTTGGGTTTGATTTTATATGGGTATAATAGCCGCGCCTATGACCAGCACAAGCATGAATACGCTTTCTTGTTTCTGAATGAATGATTTTTGTATTTTCGAACCTGGTACAACTCTGCATATTCTTTTGAGGACGGATGCGAGTCATCGTAAGCTCGATGACCATGCTAGCCATCCTGAACAGCACTACTGCCACAATCAAGTTTGCCAAGAGCAGCATGAGCACCATAAATGAGGATTGCCCAAGCTGGCCAGCTTGTGAAATTACAATCCGGACACTAAAAATATTCAATTGAAAATGGATGTAGAGTTACAAAGTAGAAAGTATTTTTAGAACCATTGGATCATTGATGTCTAACGTCGATTGCAGTTAGATATTATTAGGTTCTCAAGGAAATAAGGAACAATAATTTACCCTTGTCGAGTGATCTCCACTTTTTCGCCATTCCGGAAATTTCGGATTGTCTCGACGACCTTGTAGTCCTGATCAGAGACCACTTTCGGAAGATATTCATATCTGGTCTGATGAGGACTCCATCCTTTGGCGGAATATTGGATGACCACCATGACAACGACACCCATTTGCCGAACAGCCTCTCCAGAAGAGGCATTAGGAGCGGTGGAGGGTTGGTCCAAGTCTATACCAGAAGCCTTTAGGAGGTCGTCCATGGTCATAATGTCAACAGAGCTAGATGGATGATTGAAAATATTTTTGTCCCGATTGCTGTTTTCATGACTCGATCCTGTGAAGGTTTTTATAATCTCTCCAGTTTGAAAGTGGCGCAAAATACCTGATTTCATGTTTGATGATCGCATCTGTGCTCCTATGGTTTGTCTATGGATGGAATGTTCGATCACCAGTGTGAATCTTTCAATGTCCGCTACCATGGAAGCTGGAAGCAACTGTGTCGAGGTTGCTTCTTTGTGCTGAACACATTCAGGAACTGTCGGCACATTGACATCACAGGCTGACCGCATCAACCCTGTTGTGGTCATCGTCATAGCTGTATGAGGGAAGGATCGATTAGGATGCTGACTAAAAAAAGGGTTACTGTTATACTGGGTGATTTTAGCGTGAGTTGTGATCAATGCGGCATTCGTGTTTGACTCGTATAGAATATCATTTTCATCCCAATACACACATGGTTGTGCGGTATTTCGACAATATAGCGGCGTAGAAACTCCATCTGAAGGTGCTTTCAAAGAGATTCGTATTGCACCTGGGTAAAAAAAAAGCGGAGTAATAAAAAAAACAAACAAACAGGGTGTTAGACAGATTGGCTCGTGTTTTTTGTGTGTAACAACAATGCCAATGACGTACTTTGTACAACCAATGTTAGGTAGCTTTTTTTTTTTTACCATTGATAGTATTTTCAGTTTTAAAGTAACGTTGCTGAAGCACGATGATCGCTGCAATAAAAAGCAGCGTTGTGGTCTGGAACAGCTTATTCAGTCTACCAAGACGAAAACTAGACAGGGATGAAAAATAACAAACAAAAATGTCGCTTTAGAGGATTTTCTATGCTTCTTCGGAATCTGTATGAAAATGAAAATTGAGATTCAATTCTAACTGAGGTAAAGACAACATCGACAACATGATAGAAGTCTAGGGAATATCGCGTACAAGGCGCGCAACATTTTACATTTAAATGAAAATAGTACGCGTCAATCAAGAAATTAACCGCGTCATTTACGCGTATCTGTGTTCCAAAAAAAAAAAAAAAAAAAAAAAAAAGTTGTCCAACCTTCTATTACTATTTTTTTTCACTCTTTGTTCCATTAGAATGCTTTTGATAATCTCCCATGTCCTTCACATTATCATAAGAAACAGTGATTGTGATCAAATGATCATGAGCGTGAATTAAAAATAAACATAGGCATATGTTTGTCTCGTTTTCTTTTTTCCCCCTCCTGCTGCTTTGTCGGTAACGAATGGAACCCTGCATTGGCGATTTCGTAATGAGGAAATAGGAAGGAAAAGATAGAACAAATAATAAACCACTTCCGACTATTATAAAAAGCATTCATGCCTATAATCTGTCTAACAGCTCTCTCTGAATACTTACTCTTGTATGAATGTTTTATGGCTACAACAGGAATTATAAATGAATATAAATGTTAATACAAATATGCTCATTCGTCATTTTTTTTAAAAAAATGGTCAAGAGCTGCAACAAGTAACATGTAAAAGTGATTGTGTTGTAGCAGTTTTCAAGAAAGGAAAGGTGTGGAAAGGACCCTGTCAATTACATGGGGACACAAAAATAGAGCTAATTGAACCTTTTTTTTTTGTCCTGTGTACCTTAAGAATTGATCTGTGGCAGCCATTCCCATGCTTCCTTCATGAGACATCTTGTCGATGGGTGTGAAATGTAATTGAACAAAAAAAAAAAAAATAAAATAAAATAAAGGAGGGTGAGAGAGAGAAGGGTTGAGTGAAACTGAAAAAGAAGGAAGATTGTCGCTCAAACGCTGGTCGTAAAAAAGAGAAAATTTGCACTGGTAGTTTTCAATAAACGAATGTGGTCATAGTAAGTGATCAATGCGAGCGATAAGGGCGATCCTAAGGGTATAAGCAGGAGGTGGTTTACTTGTCAGAATGTCAAAGCATCAAAACGAGAATAGATTCAGAATTTTGACTGAGAGGTCGTCGAATTTAATGAGAATAGCGGATCAGAGAAAGAGAGAGAGCAGGAAACAGGTATTATAGGGAGTCGGAGACGTTGCAATAACTGATTAGGCACATAAAAAAGAAAGGACGTAAGAGATAGAGGATGAAGGAATGTGTCGTAGTGTAGAGGACTAGAGTATAGTGGTGATGCGATAATGATGAGGATAATGTTGTCGTTCAAGAAGAAAAAGAAAAGTGATGCAGGCTGACGGGAAAAGTGAAAGAGAGAGTAGGAGGACAAAGCGGATGACAAGAACTAACAGCAGAAAAGGTTGGTTGAACAAAAAGCCAACAAAATGAGTTGGGATGATCCGGAATGCGGAGGAAGAGGGACTAAAATAAGAGAAGGAAAGGACGATCAAGAAAAGAAGAAAAAAGAAAAATGGCCAAACGGATGCATGGCAAAGCAAGGGCATGCGTATGTGCACATGAACATTCATTGCACAGAAGCGCCCATCCTTCCCCCCACATTCATACAACACAGACACACCAGCCTAAGGATAGGAGTGAAATAATTGGGTATATACTAATACTTTTTTTTATTTGATATCCGGATATGGAGCATTCGATGCATGGATATATACAAATGTCAATTGAAAATGATATATTTTTTGAGCAGGAGCCTGTCTTTTTAATTTTAGCACAGCAAGTAGATCGAGTGTTCTATTATATATATATATCTAAATATATTTCCAATGCCATCATCCACAGAGATAATTTACTTCATTGTGGGACCATGGAACTATCATGTCGGAAAATAGAAATAAAAAAAAAAAGCCGACAGGCTATTATAAAAAAGGGTGAAATCCAGAGAGAGGAAGACCGAGATTGAGCGTTGAAAAGGGCGAAAGCATGTACTGAACAAAGCAGGAGGACAATGTGGCAAAGTGGTTCGGAGTTGATCTTCAAGGGGTCACTCTCATCTGTCAATGTATTGTTTCATTTCTATTCTTTGATGTGGTTGTCAATGGCCTATTGTCATTGCCATTGCTATAGTCGACTATCCGTGAATATATTTGTTGATGTCTCTTCTCTGCTGGTATAAAGCCGTGGTTTTTATCTTTCGCAGCAGATGATCATCTTTACTACTCTTCTGTATTTTTACTTTGCATCTGCATCCATTTGTAACATATGGTATATATACACAGAAAACAGCCGTGCATTTGAAGCAGACTTTCCCGTTCACATTCAAGCGTATGCTTGCGAGCATGACGAAGAGCTACTGTCAAAATGTAAAGTAGGGAAAAGGGGAATAGCTATTGAGATGACAGATACCCCTAGTCTATCTAGTGGTCAATTGAATTCGGGAACAATTCGGCAAGAGCTCGGCATGTCTAAGTCAACCAGAGGACTGAGCACCAGTAACGTGCCCATTTCATGTGAACAATCTACAGAGCTACTTCACTGATTCATGTTTATTGAAAAGAGCCCACTCGCATTGCCAACCTGTGTGCCACGTAGTCAAAACAATGCACCGCCACGCTTACACAAATGCGCCACAGCGCGGTCAAAGACACCATGGAGACCAAACACCCCAACTTTTTTCTTCCTTACTTTTCATTTTGCTCTTCTATCTTCTTGCCTTGTTTCTCATTCCTTTCTTCATTTCCACTTTATTCTTTCATTCTTAACTTCATTTCGTCAGATGAACTCTCTTCCAGTTGAAACCTTTCAATTGGTCTGCTCTTATTGCAGTCTTCATGTGCTCGCCAACCTGCGACTTGTCTCCAGGGAGTTCCGTGACCTTGTTGATGGTTCATTGACAGCCAGGAGGGCATTTGCGACGCCTAGCAACGTGATTGCACCCAGAAGCGAGCATGATCCTACTGCCTGCTATATTCGCATCGCTCTCAACCGCCAACATAGTCCTATCACAGCCATCTTTGACCGATATGATCCACAACATAATTACTTGGAGTTTGTACAATCTGCACCTGCTGCGATTGAGCATTCTGGATTTAGTCCATCCGCGCAGGGAGAAGCAGTAACCCCCAGGGCTCCTAGCCCTTACAATGATTCCACATTAGGACGACTTGATCTTAATCTATGGGAACAGCAACAACAAGAACGAGCAGTAGCCACAGCCACAGCATCTGATGCTCCTGAGGGGCCGAGCCCTGGCTCAGTACAAAGGCCACGGAGCTCCAGCATCGCTCCAGCATCCTTTATCCGGGGCACAGAACAACAGATCCAGAATGAGTTGACGAGCAGTGGCCCTGTCACGCCCTTATCTCAAATAAGACCCATTCGCCATGCTCAAACATCTTCATTTGGTATGTCATCGCCGCCCTCATCTAATCTTATAGGCCCAGGCACTATTTCTGCAGGATTACCAAGAGATGCTGCTAATCAGAGTAGCAGTGAAAACTACATGACAAGGTTTGCTCGGATGGTCCTAGGTACGACAGGAACAGGGCCACAGGCGAGTCAGACAATGCCGGGTATGTCAGCCACACAGCTGATTGAGGAAGCACGTCAATTGATTCATACTGTTGAGTCGGATATTCGCACGTCCAAGAAGCAGTACAAATTTTTATTGACAGAGGGAGTTCATCATGTGGGAGACAATGGCTTCATTATGCGGTATACAATCTCACAGGGAGCTTCTGTACCAAAAAAGCTTCTTTTCACGGTGAATTTCATTCGAGTATCATGGAAATGGGTCTCTTCTGGCGTTCTTACTAATTATACAGCAACAACAACAGACCTTATGACGTTGGAGGATCCTTTTCCAGACCAGAGGCTTGGCAGGATGTATGCGTCACGATATAACCAGCTCTTGCGGGAGATCAAAAAACGAGAGTTGGATCACTATGTTCGCGGAGAACTCGCATTAGATGGATACGATGTAACACTCTTACCACGGGACTTTATTTCCGTGAATTTAGTATCAGCACCAGTTCTGGCGTGGATTACCGGTTGGCATCAAAAAAACCGAAGGGGACACCAGCAGACCGCAAAAGCTGCTCCTAATGAATTAAAGGCAAATGTGGAGGAAGATGGCCATGAAAAAGAGAAAGTGGATGGTGAAAATGATTCAGAGGCCGAATGGGAGGAAGTTACGCCGTACTCCAAGCTTGGCAAAGCGATAGGTGAAGCGACAATAGATAAGGGTATGGAGAAGAGCAAGGAGGATGATGAAGATCGGAATGCGCTCGATAATCTTTTGCAGAGTATGAAGCAACAGCTAGGCTTCTTGAACTCAAGGAATATCTTGGAAGAGATGCTTGCAATGCAGGGTTATCCACGCGAGCTTGTATGGAAGTATGGGATTGTGCGTCGGGAGATGATGGGTAGTGTCCCTGAAGTGGCGCAGGCAAGACAATTGCTCCAGAAGATTATCAACAGTGAGAACAACAGCAATAAGAGAAGTGTTCAACATGCTCCCTAATAAAATGGACCATAATAGATCTCACGTGGAATGAGAATCTGATGGTTGCACAGATTTGACGCCATCTTATCCCATCCCATCCTTCTTGTCTTTTTTCTTCATACTTTCAACTGTCGTATTTACAGCTCATTAGATCTCATTCCTTATTCCATCTCACTTTGTTGCATTTCCCTACATTCAAGAAAAATGGTGACCACTCTAGAGATGTTGGCTGCAACTGTGCCTAACAGTGCTAACCTATCAAAGAACCCTCCCTCCCCTTCTTCAAAATCAACCACAAGTACAACGGGAACAATCGATGATGATAATGAGAGCTCTTCTCAACACATATTCACTGTCGCAGCTCGCTCTTTAAAAGACTGCGCAGATCTACTTTTGTCCATCAAGGATGCGGTTGCTGCAGAAAAAGAGGCTGAGCAGGACGAAGGCAAACACTCAGATGTAAATAGCAAGAAAGAATCATCGATCAAGGCCATTACGCCTTGTAAACGTTCTGAGATTTATACTAAACCATCAGCCTTGGCCTGTCAAGGCACGATTGGAAAGCATGTTCGACACCTCCATGATCACTACCGTATTCTTCTCACTTCTTATCCTCCATGCATGGTAAGCACATTATAAAGTTGGATTGCAATGCTTCTCATTATGCTCTAAAATTAATGCCATGATGAGTGGATGACGCAGTCTAAAGATACATACAAGGAGGAGGAGGGTATCATCAAAACGCTTACTCGTTTACTCGGTAGTGCTGTGCATGGGCCTTCTTTAAAGTGTGGGGGGATCAATGGTGTCACGCGCCTCCAGAAACACAACCACACGACTTGACTTCTACTCCACAACAAATTTGTAAATTTGTACATTTTTACGTACCATCTCCTTACAGCCCGGTCTAGAAAGAGAAGGCTCATGCTCTTTCTACCAGTTGTTCTCGAGTCTAGACAACAGCTGATTGATGTCATTCCTCTCTCTTTAATCTAGGGCTCTGATAAGCATGAATGGTCTGTGGACTATGATCATCGGTCTCGGGAGGTAAAAAGCATGCATTGATCTTATTATGCACTCGATTATATGGCCATCTAACCATGGGGGCCAATACCAACTGCTACTCGGATTTATTTTTTATTTTTTATTTTTTATTTTTCCTTACACACAGATCCCTATGGAAACAGATATCGACGTCGCTATCAGCGAACTTCAAAAGCTGCAACATGCACTCGAGCGGTGTCGGTCACACCCACAAGAAGCATCATCATTGAAGATGACAACAGACTTATCTAGTCCGGTAAAACTTCAGGCTACCATTGATCCTTCACATGCACCTGTTACTTTCGAAACGACATTTGGGCGTGAGCTCTGGTTCTGTAGTCTTCATGCGGTAAATAAGATGCATCCTGGGCTGCAAGAAGAGTGTCATAAATGTAATCATCGAGTAATAACAGCATATGCTCAATATCTTTAATCTCAATAACTAGGTCCATCACTTTGCCATGATCAAAGTCATTTGCAGTGAATTCGGCATAACATCAACAGAGGGATTCGGTGTTGCGCCTTCAACTCTCAAAAACAGGATGAAAGCGTAGCATAATAACCGATTTTTATCCCATTTTTGCTTGACGAAATTTTGAATTAGTTATTTTCTATTCACAGATTAATAAAGGAACTGTGATTTGGAAGTCGCTTTGCCCTTGAATTGTAATTATCTCTGTTTTCCCTTTAATCTTAATTAGAATATATGACGTCCATGAAAGATGGCTAGAAGGGAACCTGCGTTACTACCAGAGTTTGAACATCGGTATACTACACTTAGTTCCATATCTACCTCAAGGTTACGCATTATGATGATCATAGTTCTCTCCAATGGATTAAACAAGTCAACTAAGACCATCTAGTTTTCAGATTTTGCTTTTCATCCCCTGCATCACTTCACGGCGAAGCTCATTCCAATCTGCTCCAGAATAGGTCTTAGAGGAAAAGCAAATTAATCGAAGCTGAATCTTCGAACCCAAAGCTTCATGCTCAAAGATCTGAGCATCCTCAAAAAAAAACTTCATTCCATCCGAGCGATATTGCAGAAGAGGAAGGTTGGAGGGATCATGTCTCAGGCAACAAGAGTTGGATTCGTTTATGGTACTGTTTCTTTTCGGCACTTTAAATAAGAACAAAAATAAAAAAGGATATAGTTGTGTATATGGAGAATGCAGACGAATGAGGTGACATTTAGACCCACCCTTCCGCTAGAACACAGAACAAACTTAGTGAAGAACACATGTGTAACATTCCGCATGGTTTTTATGTATGCCACTATTTCACGATGACATGTAGTCCAACATAAATTGTTAGATGCACGGACATCAAGTCGTATGTTTATAGTCTAAACTTATTGCTTATTCAAGTCATTTCTCTCAGGCGCCACTTGTCTATATGAAGCTCGCAGAGCTTATATCGGTATGTGAATCTCTAAAGATCCAGGATACACCTTGATTTCTACCAGAGGTATTGGTATCATTGCAGATCTGATTGGCCCGATTTCAGCTTGTTGCTTCCCACTGTGCTTGTTTTTGATTTGTAAGGAAGGTCACCGCGTGGTCTTTGCTATCTATGATGTGTCAAATGTCCTTACTTCAGTCCAGCCTTCATTAGTACATTAGTATATTCTTCTTGAGTGATGTCGCATACGTTCTAGTCTGTGCTGTGTCCATTAATCGTCTGGCCACGTGTAATGGTTGAAAGAGATATTCTCGGAGATATTCTACATGTACAAGGTTATACATGTGTATCAAGGGAATAAATAACTGGTCTGATAAGTTTGTTTGTTGTTTGCTGGACTAACTTTAAGTCCAGTGGATCTGAATGCGCGAAATAGATACAGCGTTGGTTTTTCTCGTTCCATAAAACTCATATCTAACCCAGAGTGCCAACATATCCAGAGACATTACATCTCATTATTCCATAGACAACCAACATAAAGATTTGGAAACACAAGAGTGTGGTCGCAGCGCGCTTTTAAATGACACCCACACAAAGCATATCAGGAAGCAAAAAATAAGTTGTACAAAGCATAGAAACATATACAGGGACGAGACTGACTAAGAGCAATGATGATAACGACAATGAACAAGTATTGATGAAAGATCAATGAATTATTTTCGTACGACCCAAAGGCGTCATATGATCCAACGTCTTTGATCCAACCAACGTTTATTGAGTTTGCCTCAATTTTTCTTCTGTAGTACTGAGGTAATAATAATGGAAGTGGAGACGATAATGTTACAAATGGGGAAATAAAATAAAAAAAGGGGGGAGAAAATAGAAGATTGTAAAGTAATATTCTGATAGACAGAAGGGGTTTTTTCCTGACATGAACAGAATGTCTGCCTCAAAAAGGCTTATGTCGAAATGGCATTGTTTGACTGGGGAGCGGGTACATCAAAGAAATGTTTCTCTCTTGCCTCCTGGATAAGAGCTTGCTCCTCAGGCGATGTTACTTTTTCATCAAACTCATACTCATCTTCATCTTCAACTTCACTTCGAACATCCTCACTATTCTCACCCCTGAGTACCTTCATAACCACACGAATGATCATAGCCAGCCAGAACATCAAGACCGTATAAAGAGAGCAAAGCAAGACTTGAAATCCCTGAAGAATTCGAGGTGTAAAGTACATCCCCTTGGAGGGATCCCAGATCATGGTCGCATACTTGGGAGCCTCCACAAAACAAGACCAGATGATGACACCATAACAATAATGGCGAGTCAGGACCCAGGTAAAGACAAAAAATACAAAGCCAATGTCTGCTAATTGATCCTTATGCATGTATTTGAGCATCTTGCAGGCTGCAAGTACAATGTCTGAAAAATCCATCGAACAAAGGACTGCATGTCCAACTGAGGTGAGATTGAACGAGTATGAAAACCCGATCAAGAGACAGGTGATAATGTGGTGAATCATATACTCGAGGAAATCTTTGCGTCGCTTCTCAATACCGAGGATAGCAAGTAGAAGCTGTTGGAGCCAGAAAGCGAACTGTATCAGGTAATACCATTTCATAGTTGCATCCAAATGAGTCTTGGGATAGTCACGCCAGTAATACGTTGTGTCGGTCAAGTATTGGGAGTGATACAACAGGTACTATTATTTGTAAGAGCAAAAATAGCTATCAGACATGTTCCTGCATATTTTTTTTTTCCATTTTCGATCTCTTTCATACTTACAATGCCGAACGTCCACATGCAGCCGTCATAAAGAACCAGCCACCCTAAGAAATCGATAGAAATTGAGGGAGGTTTTTATAATCTTAATATTGAAAAACGGAGCACGTATTTCTTTCTTTTTTTTTTTTTTTTTTTTTTTTTTTTCTTCCTTCTTCTATTACCTTGTTCCGCAAAACGCAATAGTTTGCCTTCACGGGCATAAATTTGTTGCATATTCTGAACCTTATTATTCAGGACGGTTTCAGTGACGGTTCCTTTTGTCCCAAGCTTTTTCTCAGTATTGGCAGTTTGCGTTGTTTTCCTGACATTCTTTTTATTCCTGTCCCCGACTCCAAAATGCCGTCCGAGTGGGATAAAGACAAAAGTCATGGCTGCCTCACGCAATGCTGTCCAGATCATCACCCACACAGCCACCATATACAGATCATTCCATCCTTTTCCATAGAGAACCTGCTTTTCTCCAGTGAGCCCATCGACAATGATTTCCTGGTACTGTAGTGCCATAGCAAGCGAAGACCATGCTTCGTTAGGGTTATATGCCCCTGGCTTCATTGCCCACTTTTTGACTATGGCAGGACCTCCTAATGTGGCTCTTGTCCAGGACAGAGGCATGCGTTGCCAAAGGGGGGGCGGAATAAAGGCTGTAAGGCTTGCAATCCAGTCGACCTTGTGGCCATTGCGAATTTCGTTGGAGATAATGAGCGCATGAGCGGCAAGGACAGCGGCAATTATGGAGCAAGAAAGTACTAGCTGATGCTGTATCAGAAACGAAGACCAGCTCTGCTCAACGGTCCTTTGAACAGGAACAAGAATCCCATCGGCATTGTACCGGTATAGGGGTTGATCTGTTGCAGTGGTCCGCTGAAGACTCTCTGGTGGGGAGGGTGATCGGCCTTTGGTGGGATCGTGATGGTGATGTCTTCTGTGATCGTAGTGGTAGGGTTGTCCAGTCTGACTATCGATACTAGCTTTGCGGCGAAGCGAGTTGGATCGTTCGTGAGCAGAGGAGCGTGGTCTTAGAGTGGAAGAGGAGTCGTCTGTAATGATAGGACCATTGTTAATTGTAGAGGCCATGGTGGTTGAGGATATTTAGAAGCAGAGTCAATATCGAGAGCAAAGGAAGGAGCAATATGCCTGCTGATAGTGTCCTTCATGCGCAGTGAGACAGAGTGATTGAGTCTTGTCGGTCCTGTTAGTCCAGACGATCCTTAGTCCTTTATAAACTGAGTGAAGTTGACTAGCTTTAAAGCAAGGAGGAGAAAGAGCGAGAAAGAGTGAAAGGGTGAGAAGGATGGAAAGAAAGGGGGAAAGTGAAAACGGAGGGAGGAAGAGTGAGAGAGAAAATTGGTGGGAGAAAGATCAGACAAAAATAGCTCTTTTTTTTTATCCCAGCGAGCGAGACATGTATTCTGGGCATGTACAGTACAGATCTGAAGACAAAAAAGTCTCGAGTTCTATAGCCATAATTACTCTTATCTCATGTCATCATGGAGAAAGTGAAGCAATCTTCCATGTGTGTCTTTGTGTCAACAACAATGATCCCTTTAATGTTTGTTCTTCCATCTTTTGGTTTATATGCCTAATTGAGATAAAGTGGTGGCTAGGGTTATAATGTTACTGTAGGTGTACTTCTTTTTTTCCTGATACCATTGTGGGTCTGATCCATTGCTGCTATCGCGCATCTCCTTCATTTTATATCCGAGGTAGCCTTCACTCCTCTTGATACATCTTCTTTTAAATATATATATTTATTTATTCCGAACTGGTTCAAAACCAACTAACCAAAATGCCTGATGCCACCTGTCAATTGCTGTTTGTTTAATCTCAGCTCTATGCTTTCCCCAAGAGTATGAGCGTATAAATCGCAAGAATGAATAGAGGATGGAACTGGTTGGGAGTATTTGGCATAAAAAGTAAAAGAAAGTTGTTGAATAAAAAAAAAAAAAAAAAAAAAAAAACGATTCATATTGATTTGACCTGGCAATCACGAGCGCACCAGGGACAGTTCAGTTCATTTTGTCGTGAACCCATGTACTTTGTTATTCAAAGGCGGCGATTGAATTGATATGTATAATAACTGGCTGGTTTTTACACATTAACTGTCTCTAATATATTTGAAAAATATTTGGATGTCACCAAATGAACCGGGCAATATTAAAATGTAAAAAAAAAAAAAAAAAAAAAAAAAGAGTGCGCAGTAGTAAAGGAGTAGTAATAAAGGAGTTTGTATCGGAAAAAAAGACACGGCATGATTTTCCGCCGTCCATTGATCGCGCTCCGAGCATAATGTTTATTTATATATATATATATATATATATATATATATATATATATATATTTATGTATACTTGGTCAGTGATTCATATATTTTTTGAATAATCTTGATTGAATTGGGAGTCAATTATATTCCTTGGCACCAGTTCGTCACAAATGTCAAAATCAGCGTTTTTTCAATAGAAAATATATGAATCACTGACCAAACGAGTTGCAGGATATATACATAGATGTCAACAACAAGCCTCGTCTTTTTGTTCATTGTCACACAATTTTTTTTTTGTTCATCATTTGAATTTGACAACTAAAGCCTTTTATGCTTTCTTTGCCATTATATTACAGTTGCTTTAAAATACATCCCATGTTTTCTAACTTAACCATACCATTTGCCCTTCTCGACATGATCCTTGACACGACGCGTAGGAATCATGGTTCTCCGGATATCGTATACATCAATGAGTTGCTAATTATCAAGGATGTAAATCAAAAATGATCATTAGCATTATCACCCTTTATGTTGGCTTGTCCAAAAATAAAATATGGTATCAGAATAAAAGAAAACTTACTCTCCACATAGCCATATCAATGTCCATAACCATTTGCTTCTTGAGCAATCCACCCTGATAATCTTCTGCTGTGGGCATCTCTGTCAGCTCAACCATGGGTTGGATGTTGGCACCTTCCTTCGGCTCCGGAATCTCATCGTCTTCACCATATTGACCACGGTTAGGATCATCCATGTCCTCCTCTGTGATGCTCACTTTACCATCACGTACCAAAAAGGACAGATAGAATATATTTTCGACAGTCTGGCCAAATGATTCAGGGTTGATGACTAGTTCAAACAGATTAATCTTATCAGTACAATTCTCCAGAATCTCTGCAATCTGCATCACATTCTTCGTGGTCTCGTTCTCCTGTCGCGCAATATCTTCTTCTCGCAGCTCCTGAGGTTTCCTCATCGCGTTTGGATCTCTAACAATCTTTTGTCTGTGAATGGGCGCCCTTGATTTGTGTTCTACAGACATTGGTCCCAACCTAGGAAGTTTTATTACAAATAAAGTCAGCGACAAATAGTAAAGCGTGATGTATATTTAAATAAAAAGATCGAATTCAGGTTGATTGCGGTCACATACATGAAATCCATGGTAGGCGCTCTCCGCGTCCATTTGACGGCCATACGTCCAATCTTGGCCCAATCCATACCAATATGCTCGCTATCAATGTCATGGCCACCCATCTGATTGACTAGTCGCGTGAGATATTCCGTTTCATCGAATCCTCCTTGTCCCATCCGCAGATGTTTAGCTTTTTGCATACCCAAGTCAGCTGTAGTGACCAGCAGTTTTGCATCCAGTGTCGCCTCATGGGTTCCAAATACTACCCATAAACAAAACAAAGTCCAAGTTATAAAGACGAAGAAGAAGAAAGATGCAATATATCCCGTATATTCTATAAATAAGAACTGTGATAAGACAAGACTTATGATTCTTTACCATGCTTGTACAACCTATTTGCTTGATCTACATTCGCCAGAAGCCCATTATTCGTCGGGTCCATAAGCTCCTTCCGATGCTCTATAATATTGGGAAAATAGGTACGCTGGAGTAAATCATCCTGCCAATATTGTATGTGTCGCCGACTGAACTCAAGGGACAAGAAAAAAAGACTGGATATTTGAAAACCTATGTTTTACCTTCGGTGTCCGAGATGAGCTTCCGGTATTTTTGACGAATCTCTCTCTTTTCATTCTTTATTCGCTCCTTCTCTTGTTCTCTTACTAAATCGTCCTGCTCCATGTAATCATCTTGATTCATGTCTTGCTCCATTTCGTATGACATGATCATTTATTTGGAGACGATAAAAAAAGAAAAAAAAAAAGCGTGGCTCTTGTTCTGTTTTCAGCGATCTCTGTCCCAATTTTTAATTTACGGTCACACTCATTGTAATTGTATTTGTGTACTACAAATATCACACATCCATTCTTTTTACTTCATCCATTCACACCTATTCATGAACTCTCTTCCAACAGAACTACTCCTCCGCATTATCCAAGTCATTCTTCCGGAACAGCCCACATTAGCTGCATGTAATCGTATCAACCGACAGTGGCATCAACTCACCCGCCGTCTACTCTATGCAGAACCCAAGTTTCACCGCCTTCAAACATTGAATGCTTTTATTCGAACTGTCAACACTCAAGAGATATTGGATCAATACCCACACCTGTCCTCAGATGCGCAGTGCAGCTATTTTGATACGCAACATAATAATTATGTTAACCATGTTCGGGCAGCAATAGACACATTCGGCAATGGTGATCACAGCAATAATAGTACTGGTGATAGTGTCAGCATCTTTTTGGGACGAAAAGTTTATTCTAAACAAATTTTATCGTTAATGCCGCCAGTACCATCAAAATTGGCCGATATCACAGAAAATCAGGAACGGATACCCCCAGGAGCCCTTGTCGAAACAATCGATCTCTCCATGTTGCCGCATCGGTGGGATACAGTTCATGCGGAAACGATTCAATCTCTTGTTACTGGTTGCCCATTAGTCTCAACCCTCAACCTCAGCGATTGTAAACGCTTACGTGATAATGCAATCGATTTAATCACTCTCCGCCTTGCAGGCCGGCGATTAAGGTCATTAGTTTTATCGGGTTGCAACAAAATCACTGATAGAGCTATTGGATATCTCTCCATATATGCGACTGTACTCGAAAATCTAGAGGTTTCAAAATGTGATAGGCTTACAGACCGGTCTCTGCGCAATCTTGCTAAAGCAGCCAAATGCACTACTCCCGTTTCAGATACGAGTGAAGTATCCACATATTATGGGACTGGAAAGACAATCAAGAGCCTGGATCTATCGTTCTGTCCCCTGATTACGGAAAACGGGATCATGCACTTGCGTTGCCGTGCACCTCAGTTGACCTCATTAAATTTGGAAGGTTGTTATGGGATCTTGTCGGTTGACGATCTTGGTCAGAATGAATGGGAAGACACCGACGATCCTGATCTGGAATATGATCATTCAGATTGAGCAATTACTGCTTTTTTTTTTTTTTTTTTTTTTTTTTTTGTAAATATAATATAAAATAAAAGACTACGTACTATGGAACTATGAAACTACAAGACTATATTTTGTCTTTTAGTCACAATCGTCATTAAAGGGTCTTTCATGGGCAATGTAACGGATCCTTTGACTTGGGGTGTAGGATGGTTAGGGACTAGCTGGAAATGGAACCTCTGCAGCAAGATGCATGTAGTCGCCATGGCTTCGAGAATAGCAAACGTTTGTCCAAGGCACAGACGAGGACCGGCATTGAATGTAATGAATTTATACGGATTCTCGGGTTTGAACTTGCCGAATGGAGATCCACCCTGTTCATCAGGCACAAGCCATCGTTCCGGCACAAAAAGGCCCGCATCCACACCCCAAACTGACTTATTGCGACCCAAGCACCAGTTGGAATAACCAATCAAATCTCCTTTTTTGACGCGCGTGCCATCGGGAAGGACATCGTCTGCAACAGCCTGTTTGAAGTTTTTGGGGACAGGAGGGTGGAGACGAAGAGTTTCGTGAAAAACGGCTTTGGTATACGGCATCTCGTTCATGAGAACCTCATACTTGATTGCATCCTCTGAGCCCTTGAGGACTGTGTCAATCTCTTGAACAATATTCTTCATGATCCGCGGGTTCGCCATCAAGCTGTAGAATTGCCAAGTCAGAGCCACTGCTGTGGTATCACGACCGGCCCTACGCGATATAAATATTAATGTATATATATAAAAATTAGTATGACGGACAAACGATATAATCTCGTTCGATTTTAAAACGCAGTTGTTACTTACACCATAAAGTTCACAAATACATCACGTAGGTCTCGGTCTGTAAGTGTTGTACCGTCATCCCTTTTATGATTAATAAAATAATCCAAAAGATCTTGTGGTCGACTCGATTTCTGTTCAGGTGTCTCAGAGTGTCGGCTTGAAATGGCAAGGAAAGCATACTTATCCAATGTAGCGATTGCGCCCTGATGTCGCCTCCGGTTTCCAGGGAATTTCTCAGTTATGAACCAGAGTGGATTAGCTAGCCTGGCATCTGCTGCAGCCGTTAAGTAGTCAAATGCCTCTGCAAACTCGTTGGGGCCTGAAGATGTCAGTGATTTGAAGTCGATACCAAAGGTCAATTTCGCAAACGCATCCAAAGTCAATTTAAAGAAATTGGCCTGAAGGTCGATGGGAATGACTTCTTTTGGTGATTCGCTGGCTTCACTGGAGAGGCAGCATTGGGTTTCAATAACCTGACAGAGATCATGGGCGCTGGTTCTAAAGGCACCCTCAACTAGACTTCGGTAAAGTTTTGTCGTAAAAATGTTGGAAGCTGTCTTCCTATGAAGCCTCCATTCATCCCCATCAGTGACAAAGATGCCGTTACCGAGGACATCGGACAGAAGCCACCGGAAGATGTTACCTTTGACATAGTTATCAAAGTTAGCTATTGGAAAAAAAAAATGAAGCCGAAGATGAATAAAAAAATGAAAACATGAAATCAGTGAACCAATGTCATAACAAAAAAAGCAAAAAGTAATTAAAAAAAATCAAGGTGCTTACTTTTGAGGATATGTTCCATAAGTTCTGGCCGGTTGATAATGATAATTTGACCAAAGAACGGTAGCGTAATAGCGCTGTGTGAGGTATCAAATATTGAGAAGTATTGTGAGAGTATACATGTTAATCATCTTGAAGTATACGCTTAAAACGTATATCCATCATCGAAAGTAGGGAAAAGAGAGTAAAGACATTACATGACATCGCCGTGCTTAGCAGTATAATTGTAGGCGTACGACAGGTGATCATGGCGTTGGTTGATGACAGTAGGGAGGTTACCGATTAACGGATAGCCGCGCACAGCTTTCTTAGAAGCTTTGAGGTCTGGTCGTTGTGTGGTTAGAAATGCTCTATCGGGATACTTAAGTGTGGCTGCGACTACAAAGCCCAATGTGGCCAAGACCACATACTCAAGGGAGCTACGTTTGCGTTTGATAAGGTACTTCTCGAGGCGCTTTTTGAGGCCTATCCAAGCAATTACCGTAGCCATGGCTGTAAAACGGGGGATTTTTTTTTTTTTTTTAGCAAATAGAGACTGTAAGGTGACAATAGGATAATTTGGAAGAAAGAAACGCGGGTGTGGGCTTGAAGGAAAATGTGGAGAGGAGTAAAGGGGTTTATATATTAATACAAGGAAGGCGAGGCGAACGCAGAACGTAAACATCAATAAAGCCAAAAAAAATTAAAAAAAAACCCCCCTCTCTTCTCATAATGTTTTAGGGGGGTTTTACACGCGTTCTACACATCCAACGAAAGCCTACACGGTGGTCAAAGGCCGGACATTCATTCATGTCTTCGTTGTCGCCATGTCCTCTCGGATCCCCCCTTCTTTCCCTATGAGCCAATAGCTGTTTTTGCCCACAGTCTTAAGCCAATTATCAATAGACTTGAAGTCTTAGTTCAATACTGGACTATGTGGTTTCGCTTCCATGAGTGGATGCTTACGATGTTTACTACTTCCCATTGGTGTAAACATCGGGTCGCTTGACAAGCTGTAGACTGCAAGCACTGCTGATCATTCATAAACAAACCAAAAAATCGAAAATTCATGCCTTCAAGGAGGCTCCGGGCCGACCGAACTAGTTTACATCTTTGGATCTTTTTTGTCTGTTCACCTGTCTATCTTTCCTTATCATCTCGCAAAAAACTGGATAAGAGGAGATTTGTTGTAGTTCACATGCAAAGGATGGTCCAAGTGATCAAGGGGAAACAACGAGCATAACACATGAACAATAATACCATAAATGTGTAGAGGACGCGACGCACTGAGAAAGCACTGCATTCCAGTAAAGAAGTTGTAAGGACATGTATGCAGCTGAAGCTTACACAGAACACCCAAATTCTTCAAAAAGAAAATATTTTATTTTATTTTTAAAGCACAACAAAAGATACTTTTCTTCCCACGGTCTAATCTCACATTGTTGGATGGGACACAGGAACACTTCAATTAAACAACGATAACACCTATAGCTTTCAAAGGTTATTGAATGCCTCTGTTGCTACAAATATACATAAAGGTATTTGCGATCAAGGATGAAGGCACTTTTATGATACGCCGTCATTGTCACTTTAATTAATGCGACGGACTGCTCGCTATCCTGCAATGCATGTGTTTTTTTTTTGTTTTTTTTCTTTTGTTTTACGAACAGTTACTGTTTCCTACCCCTCCATCTCATTACACTTATTCCACTTCATTCCATTCCATTTGTGTCTGTGAATGGCAGATGTGCTCATGTCTCGTCCCTCGTCGGCCACGTTAGACACAGTGTCCCTATCGAAAAATTCCATAACAGGCCCATTCTCGCCTTCTCTAAGTTTTACTCAACAACTTTGTGTGCCTAGTTCAATTACCGACAGTGCAAACGCTTTGATCCTTACTCTAAAAACGAACAGGATCCCTACTACTGCTGCAGCGCATGGTATTAGACAGAGTTTCGATTCAGGGGGAGCAATTACGAGCAGCAGTGACAATGATCTCAGTTCCAGTTCTGGAGATATTCCTAGCTCAAGACCTAGTCCATTATCTATTCCAGAGATTCTTCAAGAAATATGTCTATATCTTGATAGATCAGCATTGAACTATGCAAGCCGTGTCTCCAAGCAGTTCAGAGCATGCAGTGCACCATTACTCTGGACAAGTATTCCTCTACAGGCGTGGGAGAATAAATTTTTCCAGGAAAACTGGCACCACCATGGGTCACAAATCTTGTCACTTCATTGCGGACCAGGCACAGACCTTGGACGTGTGAGCTTGTATTGTCGCAACTTGGTAGTACTGGACGTGTCCCGAATCCGCAATTCGATCAAAGAAAGGGCCGATGCCAATAATGATAATGGTGGTCGCATTCATCGTCAACAAAGCGTCATTACTACTCCAAGAACAACTGAGAATGGAAGAAAACCGACGATGACTATGACTATGACTAATCATATTGCTACCACGTCGCCACCAAAAGAGACCTACGACTCGTTCCTCCAAATGGCGGACGATCTTGTACAAGTCATCAGGGCCAATAAGGGCTTGCGCTCATTGCAATTAGAACCTCAGGGGAGATTCCCTCCTCACTTATTGAGCGCGCTTTCCCAGCTGGATAACCTTGAGATGCTGTCGTTGAATGCATGGAGGGATTTTCAAGAATACTCGTTACAATTAATCATGGAAATGTGTCCAAAGCTATTTCATCTCTCATTGGGCGAAAACGATTTTACACAATTCACTCTTCGAGCTCTCTTTGATTCAGATCAGTCACGGCTCCACAAGCCAAAGTTGATCGGCACAGCACCTTCCGAGACACATATCCTATTAGAGAGGTATGACGACCCAATCAAAGGGCGAAATGGGTCAGCAATGCCTCAGTATCAAGATCCGCTAGAAATATATAGTAAGAGAGCTGCTCTTTATACCACAACCTTTATACAGGATCCAGCATTAGATTTGTGCCCAATGACTCCTACAATAGCTATGACTCGTCCTCAAGATCAGCACCATATGCATCAACTAAGCATGAAGGGGCAAAACTTACCCAATACCCTACAGAGCCAGATCAGATCGCTCTCTCTACATCAAGCAGGCCTACGTCAAGAATTCCTCGTCAATCTAACACGCCAATGCCCTCATTTGCAACACCTTTCATTACTGGATGGATGGGGGTTTTATCCATCCTCGCGTTTCGCATCCATTTTGTCGCAAGTCTGCCCTAATCTTTCCAAAATCGAGTTTCGAGGACAAGCCATGGATCTTCAGGATGAATTCTTTGTCTCGTTGTGCCGACACAATCCTCAGTTACGATGGCTTCATGCTGGGGGAACAGGATTTACTCGAGGCGCGTTGGATGCAGTCCGAATACATTGTAAAGACATTGTGAGTTTGAATCTAGACGGCACTCGTGGTATCCAGAGCCCATCTTTAGACCATTTGCTTCGAACATGTGTATCACTCAAGGCTATAAGCGCGCAGGGGGTAGTGTTGAATGGTCGCGATGTAGGAAATCAAGGTACAGAGATGTGGGCATGTCGAGGACTGGAGACGTTGAGGCTAGACATCGAGATTTATGCCTTCACCCCTGCCTCTGCTGTTGCTCCAACGGAAGCAGAGCTTGTGTTCGATAGTGTCAAAAATGTACGCAAGCGTGTATACGACCAGCTAGCAGCATTAACGAGGCTGAAAGTATTGGGTTTAGGGGGGGGGCATCGTGTAGGGGGGGCGGAAGCAGGTATAGATTTGACATTAGAGAGTGGTCTGGAGGCACTAGACACATTACATTGTTTAGAAAGATTGGATTTACGAAGGATGGTCAAGACGCTGGGATGGGAGGATGCAGCATGGATGATTGAACATTGGCCACGCCTGTGCTTCATAGACGTGAGTAAAGATCGAGCCTCTTATAGTCGAGGATATGAAAAGATTAATAAAGCAATAGAATGGCTATCCCAAGTCCGACCAGGGATGGGTATATGCCTGTATTAAAAAAAAAAAAAAAAAAAAAAAAAAGAATTCAGTCTTAACTTTTATTGTATCGTCTACTCATAACTCAAAACTAAACTAAATTAAACTAAATTAAAAAAAAAAAAAAAAAAAAAAAACTACCACACAAATATATTCCTATTTTTTCTATGAACAGCTCGCATTAACTCTATGTCCGCGTTTGAATCTAAGAGGATACCCAGTCCCTGAAGTCGCGGCCAGACTTTGAACATCCAAGAGATTTCCGCACTCCTGATTGCATGGTTCAACCTCTTGACATCTAGCCGTTCAAGAGATCTCAATGTCACCAATTGATCAAGACCTGTCAGAAGTGACATTTCCAGAACATTCACTCCTCTGTCTTTCGACCCTCCACTTAGTTGTAGAGACCTCAATTGAGTGAGGCGCGCCAACTGCTGATAGAGTTGAGTCCTGATACGATCCGGTTCCCCAACAGGGTAATGAGTGCGTTTGGGCAGCAATATTTCTAAATAGAGTGATTTTAATTCGGTGCAGGCCCATTGATCTGTTGGTTCCATATCCCGAGGATTAAAATCAACACCATGAGCATCCAGATGAGTCAGTCGAGGACAGCCCATTAAAATCGCAAGAACCGAGTGACTGCTGAGAGAGGGACACAATCCGATGTCCAGAGTATCAAGTGTTGATCCACAGTGTTCGATCATGACCTTGACATCGTCGTCCGATAAAGCAGATCCTGAGACTTTGATTTCTTTCAAATGAGGCATTGTACAGAACAAAGTTTGAAAGAAATCGTCTGTGATCGATTGGTTTGTAAGATTAAATCTTTCCAATTTGGGACAGAATTGTGCAAGCGACATCATAAACCCTGTCGACAACCGGATACCAAAGCAACCTTGCATTGACAATACACGCAAGTCTGGGCATTGGGAAGCCAAGTTCAAGACGAGCTCGTCATGGAATATGACAGCTCCATCTAATACCATTGCTCGAATCCTGAATGGCACAATTAAAGTTTGCTCTTGCTGTTCTCTCTTCAGCGAGCTCGATTCCCTGTTCAGATTCTCAAGTTTAAAGGGATAGAGTGAATTATGACCTAGTGATAAAACTTCAATTTGAGGGCAGGAACGCAAAATAGCCTCCAATGCCTCAGGATAAATACCCTCCCAATGCTGTAGATACAGCTCCTTCAATTCGCGCATCTTTGCAATTTTTTCTGTCACCATCTGGAATGTAGTCCTATCTAATCGGACTTTCAGAGTTTGTAGAGATTCACAATTATGTTCAAGGATTCTTTCCAGAACGGTGCTACTCAAGAACCGCATCTGCTCAATATCAAGGTGAGTGATGCCTCGGCACCAAGGTGCTGCTATAGCATCGAGCTGAGCCTTGGCACTACAAGTAATTCGACGAACTCGAGAAGCGTTTCGAGTCAATCCTTGATGAAAGCCTTCAAAAACCCAATCTTCTGCCGTGATGAGGGACCAAATCTGTGATTGGCAGAATTGGGAGAGGGTGAGGTTAGGCGAAACAAGCGCCCCATGAAGAATATCCGAGTGAGATAAGAACTGGAAGACCAGTCTCCAGAGTTCGAGTGGAAGGTTGAGATAATCTGCTTCAAGCGTATTAAGGAGAGGCGGTGCTGTTGTAACTGTTCCTGTTGTCATCATTGTCACCGCACTGACACTCTTGTCAGCCGATGACCCCAACACAGCAGTTGATTTTGCGTTCAGGATTTCCGGATGTTGTTTTGTCATGGTGATGGATTGTCATGAAATGAAAGAAATGATGATGTAAGAAGGAAAGGGTATCTTTAAGATACTAATTAGAGCCCCTTAATGTAGAGCTTTCAGAATTCTCTAGAATGCTGTATGCAATTAGTGGTTCATAGAGCTGTCAATACCTATCATTATTCACAAGACTTTGGGGAGCCAAGGGATATGAAGCCACTCATGAAGTTATCCCAAACTGCTTAGGCATGAGAGGCATGTAGATTATTGATTTAAAGTCCAGTGCCAGTTGATTTCTTGGTTGTTTTAAGCTCACGACAGTGTCAAGGACGCTCAGTCATTGCGTTTCAAGCGCGGCAACAACTGCCTTCAAAGCGTAAAGTAGATTAGTTATGGTGCTACTGATGCTACTACACAACGCATCAATAATACTGGTAGTGGCCCCCATATCATTATACCAAGAAGCCTATAATAAAAGTTATAACAGGACACCATGTCAACTTAGATTCAAGTAGCACATTCATCGTCCGTTCTTACAGTACAAAAGGCATCAATGTGTTGCTGGTCCAAGAGCAATTGGCGACACTTTGGCTCTGCAAAAAAAAAAAAAAAAAAAAAAAAAAAAAGGAAGAGAAATAGAAATAATACCCTTGTCATGGATATCTCATGTTTACTAAGCTTCAAAGTGTCCCCAATATCCATATACGACGCGGATGACCGGATTCATAATTCATGTAGTGATAGCGAATACAAACCTGAATGCCTCCCTATCTCTACCTTCATTATAGCCACATTATGATGCAACGCTATCGGTTTATGCAGGTTGTGCCTGTGCCTCAGTTAATGACTTGATAAGCTACAAATGTATATGATGCCTATCTAATACTTTGTATGTTTTCTCCGTCGTTTCGTCCATTATTTGCTCCTGCAGTCTTCCTGTAGTTACCCGATAGCACTGATTCCTGAACAGAAATACTGATACAGCGGTATGCGGGCTATGTTAAGCTTTGACACAAATTTCAGTGTCTGCTGTAGACCTAATGAGGTAGATATTTAATAGTTTCTTTTCCTATTCAGAGAAATATTTGTAATATTTAGGCGCATTTCTCAAGTAAGGGCAGTTATTCCGCCTTGACATCGATGTAGTCACCAGACAGCCTTATAAATAACGTTGATTCCAAATCCAATCCTTTTTTGGTAGAAATGGTGACACGTCGCGGGGTTCAAATTTTAAAACGCGGCTGTGGCTTTTTGTACCTTTTCTTGAGAAGTCGCGTCGCGATTATTTATTTTCATGACTGGCACTTTTCAAGGCTTTTCATTGCATCCAGTTCACCCATCATTTCAATTTGTCCATTACCAACTTTCCTATCCCTTATTAATCGAGGATATTTGTCTGTGCACTTGTGCACTGTATATTGTGTATTTTTTTTTTTTTTTTTTTTTTTCTCTCTTTGTACTTTTACATTTTTACATTGTGAAGCAGCCACCTTGTTCAACATATGGACAACATTCCGATTCAGGCACGACCTATCGCAAGACCTCGTTCAAATTCACGAAGAGTAGGAGGCTCACAGCGCATTGCAGGCGATGCTCATGAAAACCTTCATCCAGCAGCTGGTTCTCTTCATATAGTCGACAGCTCCTTCTATGAAGAGAGTAATCCTTTCCTGGCAACCAGCAAACCAAATCTCTCTATCAATCGGGTCCCTTCAAAGCAATCCAATGCTGACATTAATACTATTACCAGTACTAATACTACTTCTACGGAGTCTATACCATCCCAAAGTGCCGATGTACCGACGCCTACGACTGTACTGCCTTCATCACCAAGTACATCGCAACAGCATATACAGCCTGAATCTCGGAGTAGATCAAAGAGTCAACGCTCTGGATATACAATCGATTACCGCAAGGTGACTACAGAAGATTTGAAGCAGGCCCGGAAAGAATTGAAAGCCTGGGAAGCCAGCTTTAAAGCGACCCACCAACGTGCAGCTACTCAGGAGGACATTGCTAAGGATGACGTTATGGGTAAGTTTTGAGATGAGTTGGATGCATTGAAGGTTGTTGATCCATCAGCTTTAATTTTTTTTTTTTTACATGAACAAACTCTAATCGATGACGTGTATAATATTTCAAGTCAAGAAATATAGGACATATGGAAAGATCAAGAAAGCGTTGGCAGCAAAGGAAACAAAAGTGCCAGAAAAAACCACAGAGACTTCAACAGGACAAACAACTTATGCTGAAGCCTCAAATGACAGTACAGTGCCTCGGACTCCAACAAAGGAGTCTCGGACATATGATGCGACAGCAGGGATGAGAACACCATCCAGGAAACAGGAAGTCGAATTTGTATCACCTCGCAAGGTCGTCAGCACAGCTGGTTTTATGTCACCCAGTCGAAGCAGTAAAAGTGGAGAAGATCGTTATCAGTTCCTTGCTGGCATCAGCACACCGAAATCACAGCGGATCAAATCCAATGGTCCATCGCCATCAAAGAGTGGTAGCAGTAGGAGGTCGATGGCTCAATCACCTTCTCTCAAATCACCTTCGAACCTCTTTACTATCAGTGAACACGTTGCGGAGAATGCAGAGCATTCATCTGGATTCCCAGTATCACCAACAATTAGAGCTGCGGCGATCCAGCGGCTGCCTCATTCTACTACACCCTCTCGTTCACCTCGAACTCCAACATCAATGAGGACAAATAGCCTACATCTGCCTAACCCATTCCAATCGCCGACACGTCCAAGGACGTCACCACTCTTTGGTGGTATGAACAACCGGCGTCAAAGGAAAATACCTAGACCATCAGCACCCGTCATTGCAGACCTTGTATCATCATCTTTGGCTATGCAAAGTTCCCAAGGATTCAGTGCTGATGAAGAATGGAATGTGGCTAGTTCCTCCCAACATTCAGCTGTTCAAATCACCCCTCGAACACCTGAGGCTGATATGACGGGAACAATCAAAAACATGGCAGAATTGATGTTGCCGACTCAATCAAGTCCCTCACGCACTTCAACCGTACCTAGGACACCAAGCCAACAACCCAGCCTGACATTTTCTCAGACAACTCCTGGAAGTGCCAGGTCAGATGTTGATCTCTTTGTTGTGCCAGCTGGCTTTCATTCGCATTACAGGAGGCGGACCATCCGATCTACTCTGCTTATGGCTAGTCAAGAAGAGGATAAACAATTTGAGGAGGAATTTTTAGGAACCCATCAAGAAAAGAATGCTAGGGCTAAGGTGGCCTCAAGTAATGATACTAGTATTCAGGATGCTCCTCTAAACGGCGTTGTCGTTGAGCAAGGCAATGACACAGACTGGGCTGATTACAACAGCGAACAAGATATGATGGAGCAGACGCCGTTTGGCCCAACCCGTAAAGCACTGCCAAAAAAACGATATACCCAGAAGAGATCGACACGTCTTCACAAAAGTAAGTTTCACTGATGGAATTTAGATTTGGAGCTATATATGAGGATATATTACTCATAGCAGCCTTTTAATTCTTGATGTCTCACGCCTGGTTTATGGAAATAGTTGCTGTTGCGCCCTCTGAAAAAGCTGAAGCAGCAATGCGTGCTACTAAGCCTTCATCCCGTTCACGGAAAGCGCCGAACTCTGCTGTGCAAGGTAGTGAAGAGGAGGATAACGATGAGGAGGCAACAATATCTCAAGAACAAAACATAAGACAGGAACAAACTAAGGCAGATGGGGCTGATGCTAGCATTATAGATGGCGTTAAGGAATATGGCTGGGGTGACTCGAATAAACCAATGGTCAAAAGTGATAGAAGCACTCTATCCACTACTGGTCAAAATCGAGTTGGATCCCGTCAGTCGACCAGCAAATTTGGAGGCCCTGTAGCTGATGGCAATTATGTTGCATATAATCTCCAAGGCCGTGGCTTCAAGAAAGGCAGCATTCGTGGCAAATCACGTTTCGCGAACTCGAAATTCAGAGGCTATGGAGCAGGAGGACCAAGTACCGGCCGAATGCCATTTGATCAGGAGAGTTGGCGCACGGAGTTCGATAAGGATATTGAAGAGGCCGCCCTGGCGATGACTTTAGCTGACAAAGACATGTTAATTGAGGATGACGAAGAAGACGAGGATGACACACCGTGGTATGGTAATGTCAATGATGTTACTGATCCGTACGTTGTGACACTCTCGAAAAAATATTTGCAGTCACATTTTGGAGATATTGGCGATCCAGATGAGTATATTGAGGAGATACAGCTGAGAAACGAGTATAATAGCGATGAAGATACGCAGAACAGCATTGCTGAGGGTTTTCGAGTGAATCTAGAACATGTTTTAAAGAAAGTGTGGGGTTATCCATCTTTCCGGGAAGGGCAGTTAGATGCTGTTAAGAGAATCCTAGCTTATGAGTCGACGTTGCTCGTTCTGCCAACAGGTTCGTGTCTTACCATTCTTCTTGTAGTATGTAACAACACGCTAGGTACTAAATGCTAGCGACCCCCCCTTTTTTTTTTAAAAAAAAAAAAAAAAAAAAAAAAAAATCTTGGCAGGCAGTGGAAAATCCCTTTCATACCAACTCCCTGCGTACATCTTCTCCAGACTTGGTATACCAAGTCTAACGTTGGTGATTTCTCCAATGATCTCTCTTATGTATGATCAAGTCAAATGTCTGCCTCCAAGGCTAGTTGGAGCTTGTTGGACAAGCGTTGAACAGTCGGTAAGTTTTTCTTTTATTAGCCTTTCTTTAATTATTGAATAAGCGATACCATAGATATCGATATAGTATTAAAGCGTGTCATTTGGAATTTAACATTATCACAATATGAACCATATTCCTTTTGAGCAGCCGGCTCAATTCAAAGATTTTATGGACAAGTTGACTTCGAACGTCATCAAGATTCTTTTCATTTCTCCAGAAAAACTACAAAGCCAGTCTTTTCTAAGCTTGGTCCGAGCAAGGCGTTTACCTCGCATTTCTTTCCTCTGTGTGGACGAAGTGCATTGTCTCTCAGAATGGTCTCACAACTTTCGACCAGCCTATTTGCTTTTGAATCAAGTCCTCAAAATGGATCTCAAATCACCATGTGTGCTTGGATTGACAGGAACGGCGACAGAAGGGACCAAGGACTCGATTTGTGCAATGTTGGATATTGACAGGATCAATGGTGTACTTTCTGGGCCGGTGATTCGTGAGAATCTCGCCATGACTGTGTCTATGGAGATTGAAAGGGAGACCGCCTTGCTTAACTTGCTTCACTCGCCACGGTTTGAGAGAATGGACTCGATCTTGATCTATGTGATGAAACAATCACAAGCGGACGCACTTGCAGGGTTTCTGCGCGTACGCAATTTCAGTGCTGAAAGTTACCATGCTGGAAAATCGGCTCTTGACCGTCAGCGGATCCAGCAGCGATTCATGAACAGTAGTTCACAAAAGAGTGCACTCTCTGGAAGTCAATTGAGTGCAAGGCCTATTGGTGCAGGCATATCAACAGGCGGTAGCGGAATTCGGGTTTTAGTCGCTACGATCGCATTTGGAATGGGGCTTAACAAATCCAATATCCGTAGCGTGATCCATTACTGCATGCCCAAGTCATTAGAGAATTATATTCAAGAGATTGGACGATCAGGCCGTGATGGAGCGAGGGCCTACTGTCACATGTTTCTCAACCAGGATGACTATCTCCGATTAAGAAGTCTGGCCTATGCAGATGGGATGGATTGGGGGACTGTTTTGCGATTGATCAGACAACTTTTCTCGAGACGAGGGTTTATGAGCTCTTCATCAGTTCAAGGACTCGGCGGAGTGAAGAGCAAAAAAAGGCGTGGACAGATGAAGGACAATGATGATGAGAATGGAGACAGTGATGGAACTTCTACAGAGGACAATGGCGTAAATCACCCTGGATCTAAAAAGCGAAAACAGAATGATCACCAGGCCCTGAATATCAGCGGATCAAAGTCAGGAATAAAAAGCGACCGTAAGGAACAAAATATTGTTTTATCTACGTCCAGCATATTGGTCATTCCCCCACTAATCGACAACAGTCTGTTAAGGACCAATAAGTATTCAAGGCGAAAGAGACTTGTTGTGATCCGTGAAGAGTTAGTGGAGGAGGATTTTGATATCAAAAAAGAGGTTCTTGCAACATTGTTGAGTTATATTGAGCTGGACCCGTCTCAACCAATCAAAGTTATAGGATCAATCTCTGCTAAATGCACAGTAAAATTTTTGCAAACAGCAGAAGAACTTTCTGAATTAGCAGAAAAGGTTCCCTTGGTTGACATTATTTTGAAGCAAGGTGTTATGACAGGACATAACACAGGTGGATCTGGCTCCTCATTTGGAAAAGGACGTAAGGGCAAGGCAGGTATTGCAGGGACCACTCTCTCGATGGCATACTGCTGTGATACGATGTCATTGTGTCAGGAAAGTGAGCTGTCGTTTACAGAGCTGATTCAGGAGCTTCAACAATGGAAGCGTAAGAAATGGGTCGTGTATGAATTGACAGATCCTGGGTTGTGTGTGGAAATCCAAAAGGAGCCTGAGGAGTGCATGTTGGAGCTTCGAAAGCAGCAGGAACAGAAACAAAAGCAGGCGGATGAAAACGTTGGAATGAACATGGATGTGGATTCTACTGATGAGACAATAGATAGAGATGGCGGACAGGAACGCAACTCTGAGACAAGCGAAAAGGATTATGATGACTTCATCAGGATGCTTGCGGATCGATTGCATCGAAAGCTTTGTGCAGTGGAGCGTGTTGGTGTCGCCAAAATTGATCGAGTCTATGAACTATTCCAGTCTGTGGCAACGCCCACATGGCAAGAGCAAAAAGTTCTTCAGACCACGGAACAGGATTTCGATGAGAATGAGGAAGTTAACAACGGTAGCTTTGATGGAGATGATGGGGATGGTGATGAAAGCAGCGAATATGATGAGGATATTGACCCAGAATATATTCAGATGCGATTACAAGCCAAGGCAGAAGCCAAGGCAAGAAAAAAGTCTGTTGTTCAGGCTCGGTGTCGTACATTTAATGGTGTCCGTGGCGTGACAGAATCCGAGATGGTGTTGCGACATGGCATTCAGGAATACTTTGCAAGGAGATCAGGCGAGGGCATCGGTGGTTTGGATGCAGAAGATTCTCTTTTTGATCAGGATGAAAGCTTGAATCATGACCAGTCTGATAGAGTGATGGATAAGACGATTCAGCTGTATAACTACGAGGTCGATATAGTGAGGGATCTACAACGTAAATGGCGCTCAGCTGTAGAGGTGGATCTTAAAGTGTTTTTGAACCAGTTGTGGCACCAGCAGACAGCAATTACAGAGAGCCATAACAACAGCAAGATGATGGGGGATTCACCTCGAATTGTGAGTAGGATTTTTCATGGTATCTCAAGTCCGAAGTACCCTGCATTGGAGTGGTCGCGGCACAAGTATTGGGCCAAATATGTACACTATGACTTTGCACAGCTGATGCGAATGGCCGACCAGATTATTAAGGAGCAACGACGGCGTGCCTCTCAATTACAACAGCAGCAGCAGTAACCAAAGAAACCGAAAAGAAACAAATAAATAAAAAAATAATAAAAAAAGTAAAACAATTCAATAGTTTATTGACGCTCAATTTTAATGGGTGTGGGTAGAGGAGGAGGAGTAAAGCTTGGAATAAAGAGGGACGTTGCGAAGGATCGTAGACCAGCAGCTAGGGCTTCCTTTTTAGATGTCTGCTGAAATCCTTTCAAGAGCACTATCTGGGGTTCACACGCAATGGCCCTGAGAAATAATTTTGTCCCATCCAAAGAAGTATCTAGTTTGATGATGGCGCTACAATCCTTATTAGCTCCGAGTTGCAGGGATAAATTCTCCAGCGCAATTGTTCCGATGTAATGACCATACATTCCGTGCTTTTCATGTTTTTCATCGCTGTCTTGTTGCGCTTGAGCTTGTCTTGGTTCCTGTTCTTGCTCCTGTCTCTGATGCTGTATTTCCTCCTGTCGTGGCTGCTGTGTTTGTCCTTCTTGTTGCTGTCGCTGTAGATCTTTGTTTTGGTCAATTATTTCGTGCCTAGGGTCCTTAATCGTATAGGGTTGATTGAGGTTCTCAGTTGAAGGGAAGAAGACTGCTAGGGTGAGATCGCCTAAAGACAGCGAGAGTTGACTAGGGTTATGGATCTCTAAATTTGTTTTAAGCAACAGTTCGTAAGGTTTTTGTTGTTCCGGAAGACCTGTTGCTGAAGTTCCAATCACAATGTCAGCACACTTGATATCGGGCAGATTATTTAACCCTCTCAAGGTCAAATCTGACAAAAAGTCAACACCCTTAATAGAATGAATCCCTAAAAATCCGAGGTTGAAGATGATATCAGCAGAACCCTTGATAACAAAGGTATGATGATCTTTGGTGGCTAATGCGCCCACAAATTCAGAGAAGCCAGCTTGTGAAGTAGATGTCTGAAAGATGGTCATGAGAGAATTAGAGATACGGGATGTGACAATGCCCCCAGAGACTGAAGCTGGTTGATAAGGAGATACTAGTTGACCCAAGTCGATGCCTTTATCCTACGAAGAAAAAGAAAGCGCGCGCACATGTTATTCCAAGCTTAATATTATGCTGTGATTATTATTGTTTTTCTTCTAAAAAATATTGAAGCATGTACGTGAATAACGACCTATGGGTGTGCATGTAAGGAAAACAAGAGAGTGAGAGGGTGAGTCCATTTTTTTCTTATTTTTTTATTTATTTTTTTATTTTTATTGCAGTAACGTTGATGAGTAGCGGAGTAGACAGTTACACGAAGTCGGACTTGCTGGATAGGCCAGGTGAATCCGGGGATATGGGTGAGACGAGCAATCATATGGTCGGATGAAAGGGTGGAGGTCCAGTCGTCGGGTCCAGTGAAGTCGATGGCCATATCCTCGAGCTCGATATTCTTGACGACGCTAAGATCGAACTTTTGTTTAATTTTATCCAGAAACATGGTGTTCTTTGTCGGTGTAGCTTATTTTGCGAAGAGTAAAGAACTGAAAAAAAAAAAAAAAAAAAAAAAAGGTAGAAGTGACGACGACGACAATATTTGCGATTGATCCAATCGCCATGTTTCTCTCTACTACAACTGCATAAAATATACAAAACGGTATGTGACCGTTTCTTGTTTATGAGTGCTCATGTCACAGGCAAAGGAAATAAAGATATGTATCATAGAAACATGTTCATGCATATAATCCAGAAAGTGTGGCTCATGGTCAATGTATTCCCCCATTGACACCATTGCCCGCAACTCCAAAAAGTAAAAGTGTAAAAAAGAAGACATGACTTTAGCGTAGGAGTAATAATAAACGTATAAAAATATAAATCGGTGGGCTCAGAGTTCAGCTCTGCTCTCTCTTGCTTTTCATTTCTCTTTTTTTGGCTTTTTTCAGCCCTTTTCCTTCTTCTTTATTTCTGTTCTTTCTTTCTCTTCTTTTCGTTCAATTCTCATCGCCATCATCCCTTCACACTCCTTCTTCAAGCAACTCCAGAAGAATCTCCTTTTTCTTTTTTCTTTCCTTGTCAGAAGGTAATCTCATCGCGTCATTCTCATCATTCTTTTTTTTACCCTACACTCTATTGCATCGTCTTAATGCATATTTATATAATTTATATATTTAAAAGATGGAAAAAAAAAAAAAAAAAAAACGCAGCTTTATTTTATTTTATTTTATTTTTTTTTCATTCATGTTGATCTGAATTCAGTCATCATTTCACACAGTTTATATAGTCTGTTTGCTTACTGTCCCCACAACACACTTCATCATCTGTCAATTGAATTGCTTAACTGAACTATTTGCGTCTTCCTCAATCCTTCATTGGAAGAAAAAAAAAAAAACTTCCTTCCTTCCTTATGCTAGTACAAATACACAACAATGCGTGTACTTTGCTTACTTGCAAAAAGTTTACACAACATTGGGTTGGGCATGGTTGTACGGGACAAAAGTTCAATGTGTTCATTGGATTAGATGGTGTTTGTCTAATTTGTGATACCCCTGCAGGGACAGACCACGTCTCACATATCAAACACGCAAACAATCTTTTTTTTTTTTTACTGTCTACAATAACACTTGAATAGCTTTGCTTCTATTCTTCTCTTTCTTGCTCTCTATCATCTTCTACTTTGCTCTCTTCCTCTCCCTGTGCGTGTATGTCTGCTATAGAAACCTTTGAGCTTAAAAGGAGCTGGCTCTCCCATTTTATTTTTGTGGTTATCACTCGTCTTCATTTCGATAACTAATCATATCTCCTTTCTTTTCACATTCAATACGATAGTCTAGACTTTTTTTTCTTTTTTTTTTTTTTTTTTTTTTTTTTACAATCTACTCAGGGCAAGACGGATAATTCAGATAGGAAAAAAAAAAAAATTACAATCCTTTCTTCTCCATCTTCCCTTTTCTCTTTCCTTTCTTCTCAAATATCTTTCCTCTGCCATCTTTTTTGTCCTAAATGACGACCCCTGCCAGAGGAAGCTCACGCAATGCTATGGATGGCAGCGTGTCGTCATCACATCCGCAGGTCATTCTCTCGCCCTTGCCACCTCGGGAAACATATGAACCCAATGTTGCTACTTTTGACTTGTACGAGTCAGACTATCCATCTCAGAGCCCAAATCCACTCAATTCAACTACATCTGGTGGATGGGATAACCGATCTGTCCCTGCAGTAGCAGGCCCAGTAGATAATTCTATCAAGGTGCCTTTGGATCTGGATCTAGGGAACCTTTCATTGGATGATCACAATAATAAAAGTAATAACATCAATCAAGGACCATCATCATCTGCAGACGATGCCCATGATTTGAATTCTTCGCATTTGCACTATTCTGAGCCAGAGGCCAAGAAGCCAGTCGAAAGGTCTGGCTATGTAGATGATACTCGCTTTGCTGACTCGGATTATGGACATGGAGCATCCTCTTCTGGCGGCGAAACTGCGTCATTCGAGCCCGGTGTTGAACTCAACCAATCAGAAGGCCAAGTTTCACAGAGAACACCTAGTGTGGATTCAAATCACTCTGCCGTCCGTGCCTATGCGGCTGCAAACCCCAATGCTCCAACCTATTCGGAATCGTCAAGTCGTGGTCAACGTGGAGAATATGGTGATTATGGTGCAGGGTACAGTGGTGCATACGGTGGCCAGGATTATGGCTATGCTGGTGGCGATTATCAACATCCTCCTCAGCGTCCTCCTTTCAGAGGCCCACCACCTCAAGGCTATGGCCAATACCCTGGAGGACATGATCCTCGCTACCAACAACAGCAGTACCCAGGAGGCCCAGGAGGCCCAGGGGGGTATGGCGGAAACGGATTTCCGCCACAGGGAGGATATCAGCAAGATCCTCAAGGTGATCAGTATGGACAGCCCTATGGTTCTGAATATGGAGGTGGTGGACAAGACTATTACCAGGATCCAAATTATCCACCACATCAGCAATATGGAGGCGGATATGCTGGCCCCAGTAATGGATATGAGTATGGTGGTGGATACAGACCTCATGGCCCCCCTGGACCTGGAGGTCCTCCTGGACATGGATATCCTCAACAATATTATCCTGGTGGCCCTGGTGGTCCTGGTGGTCCGGCTGGTCCCGGCGGTCCCGGTGGTCCTGGGCCTATGGGAGGAGCCAACTTGCACTCATCGCCTTCGATAAGAGGTCCTCCTCCTGGTCGTGGAGGCCCACGACCTATGGGGCCCGGAGGCTATGGCGTGAGGCCGCCAAACCGTGGAGACTCTGGTAGTAGTATGGTCAGTGGACGCCCCAACGCCCCAGCTCCTAAAAAGAGACCTTTGACAATGGAATTGTTGGATGAGATGCGTCAACGAGCTAAAGATAGCAATGATCCTGCAGCTCAACTAGACTATGCAAAGGCCTTGATTGAAGCTGCAGTGTCGTTTGGCAATGATGATCCAGATCCCAAGCGACAAAAGAAAACTAAAGAAGCGTTATTTATGGAAGGCCTCAAGATCATTAAACGGCTGGCAACGACGGGAATGGGTATGGGCAAGCCTGCTTATCCTGATGCACAGTTCTTTTTGGCTAACTGTTATGGTAATGGATCATTGGGTCTGCAAATCGATCATGACAAAGCGTTCAATTTATACATCCAGGCCTCAAAGCAGAACCACCCTGCAGCGACCTATCGTACTGCAGTTTGTCATGAGCTCGGCGCAGGCACAAAACGTGATCATAGTCGAGCAGTGCAGTTCTACCGCAAGGCAGCTTCTTTAGGTGACACAGCAGCGATGTATAAGCTTGGTATGGTCATCTTGAAGGGTTTGTTGGGCCAGCAGAGTAATCCAAGGGAAGCGATCACATGGCTGAAACGAGCTGCTGCCAATGCAGATGAGGACAATCCTCATGCATTACATGAACTTGGATTGTGTTTTGAGAAGGCTGGTATTCCCTCTGTAATTCCAGATGAGGCATATGCTCGAGAGCTGTTCACACAGGCTGCAGGATATGGCTATGCGCCTAGTCAGTACAAGTTGGGACATTGCTATGAGTATGGACTACTGACGTGCCCTGTGGATCCAAGGAGGAGTATTGCTTGGTATACACGAGCAGCTGAACAAGGAGATGCAGAGTCAGAATTGGGATTGTCTGGATGGTACTTGACAGGCTCTGAAGGCGTACTGAAACAAAGTGATACAGAGGCATACCTTTGGGCTCGTAAGGCTGCAGATAAAGGATTGTCGCGAGCAGAATACGCTGTCGGATACTACTCGGAGGTAAAAAAAAAAAAAAAAAAAAAAAAAAACTTTTTATTCTATTTTATTTATTCTATTTTATTGATATTTTTAAATTAATGTCTTTTTTTTTTTTTTTTTTTTTTTTTAGGTTGGAATTGGCGTAAAGCAGGATCTGGAAGAAGCAAGACGGTGGTATCTGCGCTCAGCTGCGCAGGGTAACGGTCGTGCAAAGAAGCGCCTGACTGATATGAAGAAATTGGGTGCTATGCGCCGAGTCCGTCATGAGCGAGGACGACAAGGTGGACAAGGACCAGAAGATGAAAATTGCAAGGTTATGTAGTTTTAGTCATGTTACAGGCTTTTTTAATAAGATAGAGGAAAAAAGAAAAATAGTAATAATAATAAATAGAAGCTGTCTTTCAAGCGATATTTTTTTTTATTTTTTTTTTATTATTATTATTTGAAGGTAATATACATTTTTTTGAATTCAAATATGCGATTAAAATAAGCTTTTCAAGCTGCAATCTCATTGACGTTGGTCATGCTCACGTTCTTGCTGCTACCATCTGCCATACGAATAGACTCGACGACACTTGGTGGGCGATTAGAGACTGATGATGGTGGAGACGTATCGAAAGTCTTATCCATGTCTTGATCAAATCCACTTTGTCGACGACTTGCATTTCCACTTGCACTTCCGCTTCCAAAGCCATGCAGTGACCGTGGTTGAGAGTTTTGAGATGGCAAATCTATCTCATCTGGAAAAAACGCTGGCATACCGTCATCAAAGCCTCGTCTCATCTCTCGAAGACGATCCTCTGATGCTGTCGGTCCTCTAGCGGTCATTGAAGGCAAAAAAGGTTCATCCAGTGACTTGTCAAACATATTGGCCGCTGTTTCCAAATCTGTCTTTATCCGTCCTGTGCTCCGACGATGTTGAAGAGTGCCGTGAAGGCTCAATCCACTGTGAGTGCTACCTACGCTGCTCAGAACGGAAGAAGAGCTTTGGCTGAGTTGTCCATCGCTAGAGTGATGCCGAAGACCCTGTAGATGGTGGCTATGGTTGCGGCTATGGGTCTGACTAGCGCTAGGGCTATTGCTCTGGCTATGGCTATGACCTGGGTGATGCTGTTGTGAAGAGGGTGACGAATGAGTGGTCCGCATGAGCCTCGTCGGAGGTGTAGCTCCAAAGCCGCCTTCTTCTTCTTCCAACTCATGAAATGCAAATGGTTGGAGTCCATTATGAGCTCCATGACGACTCAAGTTCAATTGTGAATGCATGTTCCGCTGTTCCAATAATTCAGAGGGCTCATATGAAAATGAAAAGTCTCGGTTGTTCAACAGCTCTGAATCCTGACCGATATGGATCATCCCTCGGACAGGAGGTGAATCTGGCGTTGAGGCTAGCAGATGTGACCGGGATCCAGAGCGAGATCTAAGTGAATGAGATCGAACCGATGAAGCAGGTTCGCTTGGCGTAGCAGGTGCGGAAACGGATGGGGATGTAGCCGTTTGGTTACGATGATGCTGCTTCCCTGCCTGGAGATCCACGCCATTGCTACTCCGTGTCGTGGATGTCTCGTTATGACCATTTTGGGTTGAGTGTGAAGTAGACGCTTGGTTCTCCGTTACTGTCGCCTCTCCTGAGGATTCTTCAGACTGTTTCGATTCTTGTTTTGCGGTCGAATTACTCGAATCATCCCCCTCATCACTCCTCGTTCCAAAAGCTTGTCTTGTCTTCTCTGATGATGATGCACTCTTGTCTGATTCCTCGGATATTGTCTCTATAGCTTGGACCTGGTTACCTTTTCCTGCTCTCTTTTGATCATTAGAAGATAGTGAGGCTGAAGCAGTATCTTTTCTTGTGGCAATAGATGCGGCTGTGGTGGTTGTAGTGGTAGAAGTGGTAGAAGTAGTGGTGGTAACAGTGGTAGCATTGGATTTGCTATCTAGTGCTGGAGGCTTATGTTGCTGTCCTATTGATACAATGGTGGCTGCTTTCTTCAGGACCGATTCTTCTTTGGATTCAATTGACGAGGCGTCTCCAAAGAGATGACGATCTCTTGTTGTGCTATTATTTAAATTCCGTGCGGTTGAGAATGGGTTATTCTCATGATAACCATAAAAGCTGGACATGATGGCATCTGGTTGTGGTGTGATTGTCCCAGTGGCCCCTGCTCCTGTGGTTGGAATGATGGGTGTAGAAGGAAGAATTGAGAATATAGACGAAAATTCCTCTGTTGTTGGATAGATGAAGTAAGGGTCAGGCCCTTGGGTTGTCATCTAAAGTAATAATAAGATTATAATTATAAAAAAATAATATGTAAGAGAAGATCAGTAACCCAGCATGGGGACAAACCGAATTTGCTTTTAACTTTGAATAGTGTACTTTTAACAAAACAAATAAACAAACAAAAAAAAAATAAAGTCCTTACAGGTTCTAGAATTGAATCATTCAATCCTTTGCTGGCAATACGTTCATAAATATCCACCTCTGCTCTGACGATGGTGGAAGTCTTTTGAAGAATAAGCTGTAAATTGGCTTGTTCACTTTCCAAGTTACTAAAGTAGTATCCCAACTTAATACGCTCTAGTTCATCGACCTGCATTGTCAAAGTTGCTAATGCTTGTCGAAATTGAAGAAGATCTGTATAAATAATGGATGAAAAAAAAAAAAAAAAAAAAAAAAAAAAAAAAAGAGGATTAGTTAATCATCCACAAAGAGGACAGCAAGCTGGTTCAATTTGGTATTTGTGAAAATATGGCCACTATGATTAATTCAGATGTTTTCTCTGTTGTATTGGGACTAGACTGATTGATGAGGATGACTAGAAAAATTAGGGAACCCCCTTTGCACCAAGGGGAGCATTTTAAAAAAAGGGTCAATGATAATTAATCACAAATCTGGCCAGGTCCAATCATAAGCGACTGTCAGACGAATTTAGTAGAATTGGGGTCAAGAACAATAGGAGCTTTTTTTTTTTTTTTTTTTTTTTTTTTTCTGGTAAGAGTTTCAAGGAATCATTCAAGTCTTTACTTGGCTTGCTTCGAAGAGAACTTGATTGTCAAAAGACACAGCCCATGGCTAAAGAAGTAAGGGGAGAGAAGCAAGTAACCAGCCCCAAGGAGACTAGTATGCATTGTGCATTATTTCTTTCCTCCGGTCGTAACAAAATATATACAGCCATGGATATTCAAAAAAGGGGAGGGGAACGATAACAAATCATGAATGCAATGTACGCCATTTATGGCTCATATGATCTGACCCACACATTCACACATACACACACATACACAGAACACAATAAATGTATCACAGCAAGTCTGCACGATTAGTAAGGTCGTGTCATGTCATGGGTCAAACTTTCCTGCCGTATCTTCTATTTGCATTGTGGTCTCCTGTCGGTCTACCAGACTTTCAGCCCATCCTGGAGTTGAAACAATGAAGGAAACAAATACACACACACATACACGCTCAAAAAAAAAAAAAAAAAAAAAAAAAAGATACAATGCTATTTATGTAGATTATTGGAAACCATACAACTCTCCTCTGAGCTCAGAACTTAGCCCATGTTGGATCCATAAATGGAAGAGAAACCGCGGGATAAAAGGAGTCTTTTCTTTCCAGTAACGCGGTATGATACAAAGGATTTGTGATAGCATAAGCAGACAGGCGGCAAAAAAGAAAAAAAAGAAAAAAAATATCCACAAATAACCATTTAAAAAATAAAAAAAAAAAAACACCACAGACAGACAAATCAGGTAAAACTTGGTGATCTGGAAGTGTTCAAAAAAATATAAAAAATTGATCAACTATGTTCATATACTTGCCTCGTTGTCGCCTACGGCCATTCTGCATGGATGCAGCCTCGGTCTCTTTGATTTTTTGACTCATATCGCGCATGGATCGCTCATATTGGGCTTCACTGGCCTCGATATTGTTCTTGTGTGTATCGAGATGTTGCAACAATGGAATTTCAAATTGCTTATACAGTGTATCACTCTAGAAAATAGATCACCCATTGGAAACGACCAAACTATCAGCAAAAAGTCTTTTTTGCCTTTAATACTCGGATACTGTCTTTTGTATCACATACCAGGATCTGATGATGGTTCGACATCAAATAGTGAAGTCCCGCTGCAGCTTGCAGGCTTGATGCTGTTAGGGGTTAGTCAATTTTTTTTTTTTTTTTTTTGTTTTTTGACTGTTAGTGAGGCGAAGTAACATTGGAGAATTGCAGGGGAGGAAAAAAAAAAAAAAAAAAAAAAAAAAAAAAGACTTTTTGGACCTACAGACGTTAGAAGCATCCCGAACAGCAGCTTTAGAATGAGCAATCTTCTCGAGTGCATAACCAAAGTTGGCAGCAGCTTTCGAGAGGGCCAACATCTGCAGACGATAGGCCTTTGCATTTGTGAGCAAGAGCTGAGTTTGGTCGACGGAAGTCTGCTGGTCAGCTCGAGTGATGATGACCGCAGGTCTACCCATACGACTATTCTCTGGCCCAGAAAAGGATGGGTTGAGGGTAGTGGGGTCAATCAACGAGACAGTCGACAACATAGCGGGCATGGGTCTCTCATGCGATCAAGTCGAACTATTAGAAGAGAGCGAACAAATGCCTAAATGCTTAAATGTTTGAATGCTTGAATGCTTGAATGCTTGAATGAATGAATAAATGCTTCAATGAGGAGGTTGGTGTGAGAATTATGAGAGGAATGTGAGCACAATTGTGGGTGAGAGTGTAAGGACAAGGTGTAAGGACAAGTGAGAGTGTGAGTTGAGTGGGGAGTTTAAAGCAGTAAAAGAAGCTATCGTCAAGTGAGAAAATAAAATACGAAATAAAATAAAATAAAAAACCAGAATAAAATAAAGGAAAGGAAATATAATGGCGTATTTGTACAAGCGAGGATGGAAAAGGAGAGGTAGAAGAAGCTTCTTTAGCAATTGAAGCAATTGGATGAATGAGAGCGAGAATGAAAGAAAAAAAATGTCAGGAACAAAAGAACAAAGGAAAGTTTTACTAGACCATTAAAAGATATTCAGTCTATTCCAAGTTTAGCGTACAAAATGTAGTCAATGGTGTGGGGTGTGAATGAATAAGTGGGGTGACATGGGCTGATTGATGTCACTCTTTTTAGGGGGGAAATTCTTTTAAAATTTTTTTTTTTTTGCGTTGACAACCTTTATGCTATTAATGTCCACGTTTGAATTTTCCTTGGTGAAAACACAGCGATTAGGATTATGAATGTATCTGATTTGTCAATTGATTTGCTTTGTTGTGATCCAAGCAATTGAAGGGGCTGGGAGGAGGAATAACATTTCTCTCATTTCTTATCCATCCTCATCCAATCCATCCCACTCGTTTGGGCCTAGTCATCTCTCTCTTCTCTCTCTTTCTCTTCTCTTTTTCTCCAATTAATTTCAACATGTCCTATCCTTGTTTATGTCTGCCCACATGTCGCTTAAACTCTTTCCCTCTTTCTTTTTCTTCGATTGATTTGCGTGCATGCATGCATGCATGTGTGACAAAGCCATCAAGCCAGTAGAAAAAACAAAGGGGGAAAGAAAAGGGCAAAAGTGATCGGAGTAGAAAAACACGCCTCAGCTCATTTTATTTTACGCAAGGAAACCAAAAGTAGGAGAATAAATAAAACAGTGACCATGCCACGCGATGGTGTATATGGGGATCCTATCCTCTATTGGACATTCCGTTCAGTGTTGAATAGGAATCTGTCAATTGAAATTCAACACTAAATGTATAAATACATAGTCCTTTTTTTTTTTCCTCTGTGTTGCTGTACTTATTATTCTCTTTCTATGGCCTCTTCTTACATCATTTGATTCAATTGACTGGTTTGAATGGGGTTAACAATCGGATTAAACCTTCCTCCTATTTCATTTTTGGTATTTGCTCCGCCTACATACATTTGCCATAGGTAGATTGACAGTTACCTATCATAATCCCTTGTGACCTTAGTTACATATCTAATTGGAGAACATGTATAGCCCATTGTACCAAGCATATTAAGGGAAAAAAAGACGCGTCGCATTAGTATATATTTGAGCCTTTGTGGCTACTGATTGATTAAACAGATGTAGAATATCAACCTTATGGTCATGCAAGGAACTCTATACGATCCAAAGTCTCGTGTATATAAAAAAAAAAAAAAAAAAAAAAAAAGTGATATTAAACAAAATCTACTTGGCTTACTCATCAGATCATCTTTCTCACGTTCACACGACACGACACTGTCATGCAAAGGATCGTCCTTTCAGCTTTTGCAGGGTCTTTGTCGAGCCCATTTCCGTTTCAAGAATTTATAAAAAAACGTGCACGTGTTCCTCTTTTGCCAACAATCTGAAACGATTTTACTCTTTCGGATATATTTCCAAAATAGAAAAGATACGCACAAAATGGAAACTCTTCGTTAGTAGTCGCAGTTGTTATGAATTAGCATTTATAGATAGAGCATCCTGCTAAATGTCTCAACAGCTTGGTCATCTCCCCCTCTCCCATTGTTGCCTAAATATCACTATCTTGCTCAGTTACGTCTATATACCATGCGCTGTTTGTTTCTGTACATTTTTGAAACAGGGCTATGCTATTTTCATATATCCGCTGCGCCTTTTTTTTTTTTTTTTTTTTTTTTTTTTCAAGTCGCGTTGAGCCATATCTCTGGTTATTCTTCGGCTAATTTTATCGCGATCCAGAGCCCAAGTCTCTTATACGCCGTCATGACCAATATGCTCGCATCACCGCTAGTAGCTTCGTTGATAAGAGAACTCTTGACTTTATGAAATGATGCCATCATCTTTCTCAGTATCACACCATCGTTTCCAAAGGTTTGGTTTTAGCACCTTGTCGAGACAATCGAAACCTGCTGATGACTGCAACACAGCCTCGATGAAACAACCCTCCCTTTGCCTGTCCTCAAGTTCAGTTAAGAACTAGCTCTTGCAACCCTGTGATCATTGACGACATATCGACAGACTCAACAAACAGGTCGTCATTACCCATGCTCAGATAAAGCATCCTCACCTCACAAGACCAATCTTTGGCCCCTTCAAGTGCTTCTAGATATTGTCGGATCGAACTCTTAAATTTAGAACGCGATCTAGGCTATATCAATTGGACGAGAGGACCACTATAACGCCTGCTTTCCCGATCTAGATATTTTTGTTATGACTTTTTTTTAATTGATAACTCTGATATTTGACCAGTTCATAGATCATTATTCAGCAATCGATTTACTTGTATAGACTTTCTTTACTTGTAACGTCGGGTTGGGGTCACAGTAGGTGCAGTTAACAACGATACCGTTTTTTTTGGTTGAGTGTTTTGTTTTCTCTAGGGTTCATACACCTTAGATCTAAAGGATATCTTGGATAAACAGGATCCGCCTGTCTTATACAAGACTGCTACTCTCGTACTTTCTTCGTAGCCACACCTCAGTTAAGAACGCTTGGGAGCTCAAATATATGGGTTTTTCCATCTATTGGCGTGTACTCTTCCTCCTATTGCTGTTATTTACCTGGCATATATAATACTGTGCTTAATATAATATGCTACCGTTTATTCCGTTAGAGCTCCTTTGGTCAAGCAATCAGGAGAAATGACAATCAACTTTAATCAGACAAGGGGTCAGGTTTATTGAGTCACATGGTATACATGTACAATATTCCTATGTTTTTTTTTTTTTTTTTTTTTTTTTTTTTTCGAGTCGAGCTGTCTAGATTGTTACATGAATATTAGAGACTTTATAGACATTAAAGATGAATTGTTTTATTTATATATAAATGTGTTTACCATTTTTTTTTACATTTTAGAAAAAGGGCTATGTACAAGCGAGTTGTGGAGAAAGTAAAAGAAAAAAAGGTTTGAAGAAAAAAAGAAAGAAAGGGCATGTTTACTCTTTCACTTGATGCAAAATGACAAAGAAAAAAAAAAAAAAAAAAAGAGAAACGTTCGACTCTTTTTTTTTTTTAAACTTCATGACGAAGCTGTGGAATCATTTTTGGACTTTGTTGTCTCAAAAGTCCAAAACAAACAAGAAAATATGCGACTAACTAAAAATGAGAGAAAGGGGGGTGGATGGTATGGAGGGAAAAGTACACAATGAGCAAAAAATACGGGTCAACTGCCTGTTTGTTTGCTTATTTGTTTTTGTTTGCCTGCTTGCCTGCTTCTTTGTTGTTTTTTTTCTATTTTTCTTTGGTGTTGTCCTCTTGTTTTGCTTTGTCATTCGTCTCTTTCCCTTAAAACAACCTAATCTGGTCGACCATGCCAACCCTTGGGTAGTGTCGAGGTCGAGGACGAATCAAAAAGGAGTCGCTAGTATGTCCGTTCGAGTCATAAAGATGGAATCGACCTCTTGACAACTGCAGGTCCAATGTTGTAGGGATTGTCCATTGAATAGAATCTGACCCAGGTGCGATTTGACCCAAAGCTGTGATCTTGGCTGCTCGATTATCACAGTACCGGTATCGGTCCTCATTTGCAATCCATCGAGCAGCTGTTGGTGATGATGATCCTGGGCAGGCACGTGTGCTGTATTCCAAAAAAATCATTGTATTGTTGCTATCTTCCTTTGACAAGGAACGACCTATACATAATATGTACGCAATGTAATAAACAAAATCAGCGAGTGTGCATTTTTGGGTTTTAGTGTTTAGGAAAAACGCGTTTGTCAAACTTAAAACCCCTATAACTGCATATTCATCCCCCTTCTCTCCTTTGGAATTCGTTCCAACTGCACTCCTCTCCCCTCCTTTCACTTGTGACTAAGACAGAAAGGTATTTTCTCTCTTTCCTTCGAGATCTTGTGAAAAGGAAAAAAAAAAAAAAAAAAAAAGGGAGAGCAGTGCGCTTGAAAATAATAATAAAAAAAGGATTCAGTGGTATTCTTTTTCTTTTTCGTTCTTTTGTGGTTGTTGGAGCCAACCAATATATATAACGGATTATACAAATTGTCGAAGGCACGCAATATACCGCAAGATACTGGGGAGTTTTTTTTTTTTTTTTTTTTTTTTTTTTTTTTAATGATCTGAAAGAGAAACAGAAACAGAGGCAGGAAGAGAAACACACAGAGAGAGCTAGTGAAACAAAAGAGAAACAACAGCAGTAACAAAGCTATGACTTACGAAGACGAATATTGACAGACTCTCCAAGATACCATGTTGTGGATCGAGTGGGGCTTCTGAAGAAATCAACACCTCGACTGGACTGTGCGGATACTGGACTGAGCATGATAGCAGAGAGAAGCGCTACAGACATGAACACGAACAGAGATGACAAGGCACGCTTCCATGAGGTGTATGAATGAGAGATGTTATTGTTATTGCGTTGGCAAGCCATGATGGTTGGTTTTGGTACAAAAAGGATGAGGGGTCGAGATACGATATAAAACTGGTAATGTGTGCGTATGTGTGGTGTAATAGCAAGATGTTAAGCCCTGCTAGTGATCAATGACTGGAACGAATGAGTGGGGTTGTGTAGAGATATCAAACAGCAAAAGAAAAGAAAAAGGAAAGAGGAGAAAATAAGGAGAAAGGATACAAATAAATAAAAAAAAGGATTTCGGACAAAGGATAGTGCGGTTTAAATACGGTAGAAGGCTGTATGTAGCAGTCGACGATGATGGTGATGATGATGGGTATGTGAGCACTGTCCATCTCACTCTGTTCGGGGTTATAGCGATTTTATATATATTTTTTTGTTTAACCTTGCTTTTTAAAGACTAGCTTAGCCTACATGCACAAGTAAGGTAGTCTTTACAAGTAAAAAGAAAGCGCATCATTACGCTTGGTCGGGACATGATCTCTTTCTTTCGCTTTTTTGCTATACAAATGGCTGATCCCAACAGACGCGTTTGTTCGTTGCCGATGTTGATATTGATGTAAGGATGTTGTATCATCATTTACTTGAGTAGCGAATAATTGACTTACCATTTTACCATCTTCTCTTCCGCTTCTTTTTTTTTTTTTTTTTTTCCAATGTCAAGGATCTACAGTTTGTTAATTTGGGAACCATTGTCTGTTCCTTTGTCCACATGTGCACAATTTCCCTCCCCTTGCATTCATGCTTGTGTTTCGGTAAAAATCTCGCCCAACAAATTTGAAATTGCATCTCGTTGATCCTTTTTCCCATTCATCTTGCAAAGCAAAGCAAAGTAAAGGAGAGAAAGAGGATGTTTAATCGGAATAACATTAATTGCCAATTTTTTTTACCCGCAAGCCCAATTTTGTAGCGGGGATCCATTTTCCTCTATTTTTTTTTAAAAAAGTATGCGTAATTGATTTGAGCGTTTTAAAAATATTCATGTCACCAACAAATGCTCTGACATTTCTTTCCCATTCTTAATTGCAATATTTTTTTTTTACTTGACACATTTTGAACTTCAAGTGGGCTATGCGCGGAAAATATGTCAGAGAAAGGGAGAGGGAGAGGTTTGGCGCTCAGATAATAATAATGATATAAATAATAAATAGCAGATCATATCATTTTACTCTAATAGTTTTTCCTTTGACTACCTTCCACATACACAAAACCTCTCATCCTGGCTGTTCCTTAAACTGCTTCCCCTGAGTAGAAGCTTTCTTGCTACCGTCCAGAGATGGAACGACAAAAAAAAAAAAAAAAAAACGGAGGACAAGAGTTAAAGTCGATGGAGGGTTGACTGTAGAACTTTTCTTTCTTTCTTTCTTTCTTTTCTTCATTTCAGTGCCATTCCTAATATTCTTAATATGCGAGTTTTTTTTGTGATCTCAAATAAATCGAGGCAAAGCAGTATTTAGCTCATCTGCATATCTGTCAACATACCGGCCTGATATCCACCCCCTCCTTTTTCGCATTGACCCCTCTTTCTTGTTACAATGCATAAAAGGGCCCATTCTTTGTGTATACATGTATATCGTACACAAGTACTTTTACAAAAGATGCCCACAGCCAAAAAAAAAAAAAAAAAAAAAAAAAAAAAGAGTTTAAGGTTGCTCAACGCATGTTGTCGTTGTTGTTTTTTCATGATTGTTAGATGGCCCAGATGGGGCGTTGCATGAGCGACAGCGATTTGTACACTATATTTTTTTGCACTTTTGGAGTTATAGATGATTTAGCTCTGAGCCAATAATAGCCAACACAAACATGTTCTTGATCTTAAAAAGCCCCTGTATCTATTGCTTACACACTTTCCTTTCACTTTCAGTGTGGCGCGTCATTCAACAAACAAAAAAAGTGAGAAAGAGGAAAGAGAGAGGAATGTTGATTTTATCCTGTCCTTATGATCAAAATATATATATTGTTTCATCGACATTAGGTCTGTTCGTCAATGGAGTGTGTACCTTACACTCCACTGCATTCCAATGTGGGAAGAAGTGTAGCAGGAACGGAATGTATATGTTATCCCTTACAGTGCGTGATTTGGATATGATTATTGAAGCTGCAATATTAATATTAATACTGATAGCAATACAATTATAATGATCCAACTTAAAATACGCGTGATATGTGTTCACTACGTGCATTTATTATGAAAGTGTAGCGATCTGCTGTCTTACTTCAAGCACAGATTCAGGACTTCCACTTTCCTTTCCATGATCATCGCTCAGCTTGACACATTCCTTATCTGCACACCAATGCAATTTGATCACAATATTCATTGCTGGACTCTTCTCTTTCTTTGACGTTGACGTTGGCACTGACATTGTTGTAGTTTCTTTAGGAGCAGTAGCTCTCTCAAAATCATTCGTAAAATGTGTCCCGATCCCAAAGGATGCCTCGATTCCTTGTTCCTCAGCTGCATTTAATAATCGAATCGTCCGCTCAACATTTAATCCATCCGAAAAGACAATCCTCTTCTTCCGTCTCAATTCAGGCCCTACAAGCGGATCTTCATCATAATGCTTCACAATCCGTTTTATAAACTCGAATGGGTCTCCAGAATCATGTCGTACACCCGTCCATTCTCTGGCCACCTGACCTCGGAATGTTTTCAAAAATGCCTCGGTGGTAAATGTATCCGTTAAGGCAATCCCTAACGCTTGATCTGGATATGTCTTGCTCCAGCGCTCTAAGCTCGTTGCATTCGCTCGACTAGCGTCCTTCAAAATAGCGGCTGTTCCCATAAACCATTCATGAGCCATGGTTCCGATCGGCGTTAAATTCATTATATGAGCAAAATGTAAATTACTAGTTCCAGTCAAGAGCCCTTTTTGTCTTTCTTTTCCTTCTCCTCCTGCAGAAGCAACAGATGATGATGATGATGACAATGACGATGACGATCCTGCAATTATTCCTTCGAGTACAATTCGATGAGTTTCATAATCTCGTCGTCGACGTGTCCCAAACTCTGCGAATTTGGCTCCAGCCTCAATTAATCGCTCTGCTTTTTTTTTGCAGCCTCAAACTGACCTTCGTATGACCAATCCTGATCTTCGAACCGGAAATAGGCCTCTGAGACAAGAGCTAGAAGTGGTACTTCATACAAAATCACTTGGTGCCAATTACCCGTCACTGTGATTTTGATCTTTTGATTGTCTGATCCTGATACTGAATCCAAATACTCAATCTTGACTTGTTCACTGGGTTTGAACCTAAACTCATGTTGTAACCAGTCCAAGTAATCTTTTGAAAGATATGGGCATTTGGTTTCCAGGAATACACGCTCCTCCGGGGTCAAAGAAAGATCTTTCATCGCCTGGATTTTTTCTTGTAACCATGGAATAGCTTTAGCGGAGAGCTGTGTTACCTCTGGAGACCGATTATTGAAGCTGTAGTCACAGGGAGTGTTGGGGTAGTGTTGTCGCACTGCCTGTTGCATAGTGAACTTGTAAAGGTCATTGTCGAGGATTGAGGTGCATGCCTTGGATATTTTAGGGATCTTTTGAGACACGTCCGCCACTGTTGCTACATTAGCAACACTATTGTCGTCATTGTTCTTGACTTTATCAAGCATGGAGGCGGGTTTGGAATGTTAATAGAGATGAACAGATGTGAAAAGGAAGAAAGGAAGAAAAGACATCAATCATTTGTGTCATATTTTATTCAGTTGTCGTTTCTGACATGAAAACTTTATTTGGAACACGCAGATTACCTAGGACAAAATTATGACATGCGAAAAAGTTAATTGGCATATTCGTGAGAAGAAATAAAAAGGTATCCATAGCAGAATTAAAAGGATTCATTCGGTGCCTATTGAAGTCAATGTACGAGGCAGATCATAATACATGACAAACTCTCTCTCAACCATTCAAAAAAAAAAAAAAAAAAAAAAAAAGAATCAACACAAAGAGTAAATAAGAAATAATAAAAATAACGCGATTTGTTTTTTTTTTTTTTTTTTTTTTTCTTTTTTTCCTCAACTGATGTTGGGTAAATCGGGATGGGAAAAAAAAAAAAGAAAAAGAAAAAAGGCAAGAACAAACCACTATCATAATGACAACAGAGAAAGCCCCAATTGCATCAATGGGTTTGTTCAAGCGTGACAGAACACCCAAGCGCCGCCTGCTTGCGACTTGAGACAGAAGCAAATGCCCTGTTTTTAACAAGAACAGTTCTGACTGGCAATGCACGTCTTTCGCTTATACTTTCTACCCTCATTGCCTTGATTCTTTTTATTATCTTTTTTTTTTTTTTTTTTTTTTTTTAAAAAAAACGGCTGTTGAGGTTGCTTGATCTTTGCCTTCGAACTCAGCTTACTTGAACGATTCTGTAATCATAATCTCTTTTTCTTTTCTTTTTTTCTTTTCTTTTTTTTTTTTTGCATGGAAATTGATTTATTACCTTTTTGATGTTCTGAATCCATGTTGACATGCATTAAAAATAAAAAAGCATTTCTGACTTTTGAGCTTGGTTAATATTTGATAAAGGCTCAAGCCCCTTAACTAAAAATGTTGATTAGAAAGCCAGTTTGCACACAGAGGGCAAAAGATGGTGTTGCTGTGGTACTCTTTGTGCCGAAGATAGCGCTGCACGGTCGGCAGCAATCTTTCTCCACTTTGCTGTGGAGAATTTTCCTCGTACAGCAAGCCATGTAAAATTACCTCCGCGCGACATTTATTTAATTAAAATATTGTTGTTATTCCACATGAGCCATTAAACACAAGCTGGTCTTGACATCGTATTTGAGCTTATACAGCCCGTACGCGAATGATTAGAAGAGACGGAAGGGGAAGAGAATACCATTTTGTGCTCTGAATTCAATATATCGCAGGCTATGAATGCGACAGAACAAGTAATACCCTTCTGGCAACTCTAGGATCATGACATACAGAGACAGTTTTCCATACCTAGGATTTGCAAATAGTCTATGATTGGCTGGTGTCTTTCTCTATGAGAAATTCCTATATAGTTTCTTATAACTTACAGAAAGTCTTTTCTTATATCATTAAGTCCCGAGCTCGGGCTCGACAACTTCATTTCTTATAGAGAGTGGTTTCTTGTAGAGAGAGTCGATCGTATTTAGTGATGGTGGAGCCTTGGATTGCACAAAGAACAGCAGGCTCTCCTTCTTGGACCTATTCCTGATTCCGTACTGGTTCCCACGCGGAACAATAAAATGTCCCCCAGTGGAGACCACAAATTCAGTCTCATGCACTGTCACTTGTACGATTCCCTTGATCACGTAAAAGATTGTAGTTGCGTTTTTTGTTGCACTGCTCACAGGCTTTATTCCATTGCGTTTGATCTTGATTGTTCCAGAAGCCAGAGAATCGGTATCTTCAAGACCTCGGTGAAATAGATATTGTCCACTCTCTACAGATCTGAAGCGCAATGCGTTCTTAGATTCTGCTATGACTAGTGGTAAGATATATATAATTTAGGAGCAGCGTTATTAGTCAAGAGATTGACATATAGTATAAAGCATACTTGCTATGCTGATTACCTCGTGAAGTCTTTTCATCAGTCCCAAATACAAGGACCTCTGCCTGCATACTGGAGACTTCATCTTTTAGCCCTAAGAGCCCTCTCGATCCTTGTAAGGCATGTTCGCCATCATATTCTTCCAGTTCACTCGCACTTCCTTCAATTTCATCCTCATTATCGTCAATCTCACGAGCCTGCTTTTGAGACTGCCGGTAAGCCAATTTGTCAGGGGCAGGATGTCCTTTGCTTGAATCGACAGCCGCCGTACCTTGGCGTTTCCGTTTTTGTGATTTTAAACCTGGTATTGCTGACACTGGGTTTTCGGCTCGAATAACAGACTTAATTATTGGTGTAGGCATATCCTTATCTCTACACACAACAACTCTCTCATTCTGCCAGAATTTTAGCGGAGCAATCTTTACTCGATGACTCCTCCGTACTTGAGATAGGAAATAAAATAAATACAAGGCTAAATTATTTACCGCACTAAACGATCGTCAATCTATCGCCGTCGATTTTCAAGAATGTAAAATAAAAAAAATAAAATAAAATAAAATAAAAAATACCTCCTTGTTCTTCTGTCGTAACATCTGGTACTACAGGCACTTCCACTAATTCTACAGGAGTCATATGAGGCGGTCCGCTTTGTGTCTTGTTCTGACTAGCAGAACTGGAGCCATCCTTGGTAATCTTTGAGCGCCTGCTATATGTTTCCGTTGATGACTCAATATTATTGCTTCTAGAGTTGCTCTTTGATTTCGCCCTTTGTGTTGATGAGGAGCGAACGCGCCCATTTTCTTTATTTTCATCCGCACTAGCTTCCGCCAGATCGCTTCCTCCGCTTGTGGTCTTCGCCTTTTTAGAGGCCAACTTGCTTTTTTTCGCTGACGCACTAGCAGCAGCGGCCTTACTACTTTGGTCAGTCATTTTGGAATTGCTTGTATTGACAATCTGCCTCCGCGGCATAGGATCTCTTATCTCCCTATGTTTATTGATCAAAATCTCATGGTATCCATTTCCCTCTTCATTTTCCTCATCGTACACATCTTCATCCGAAAATCTTAGTCGATCGTCGTCTTCATCTCGATCTGCTCGGCCATGATGGATCCGATCATCCTCTTCCTTGCTCTGGACAAACCTCTGTGCATTCGGCTTTGAAGTTGCCATATTTGCCTTTAACTTATACCCTACTGGCGCCCCTAATGAGAGTGGGTTTACCTTCTGTTGGACTGGACGTGGAGGCGTTGTTTCAACGAGTGGTGTGTCAATATCATCGATACCAACGTCAATACCTTCGCCATCGTCATAGCCTCCCGGCCAGTTTACATCATCGTTCAACTCATCAATTCCTTCATCGCCATCGTTGGTCAATTCTGATCCGAAATCAAAGGCTTTAGACCGCCCTGTACGTCGCGCCTCTACAATGCTCCTCATTTGAAGCCTAGAATTGGATCTGTGAGCTGAGACTGAAGTAGCAGCTGACTTTGCTGAAGGCAGAGTCTGCGAGGGTGAGCTTGCGGTAGAATTTATTTTAAACAAAGCATTTTTTTCCATCGAAGCGCTCACTAGGCGATCCAGCGCCGGAGAATTTGAATGAGATTTTCGTTGTAAAAATGGTGTGAGTGCGTGTTGTTCAAATGTTGATCCCGCAAGATTGTCGTCTTCCTCGCCTGGATCGATATCGGAAGATTCCTGTGTAAAGATAAGGCGCTTTTTGACTGCATGGAATGAAGGGGATTGATATTCGTCAGGAGCATTGTGATACATCGCTCCCCCCGGAAGTGATAAGCCTGATGAAGGAAAAAAAAAAAAAAAAAAAAAAAAAAAAAAAGACCAGACGTTACGAACTGAAAAATGCCTCACTATTCAACTAAAATATAATGGTGTCAATACATACCCCTCCTAGAGCCCGAGCCTTCAGATATAGGTACAAGCTGAGACCGACGCGACGTAGGTGTTGATAAAAGCTCTTCTGGGAGATCCTGCTCCAAATAATGCTGTTGATGTTGTTCCTGCTGCCGTCGCTGGCGTTGTGTTGATGGTGAAGGCAATCCTAGCCATGTACTGAAATCTTCGTTATCATGACTGCTACCACCATTACCATTTTTATTCATCATATTAATGCCTTGGTATTGTGAGCCATTATGGACGTTGTCATCCTTGTCATCGCTCCAAAAGTCATCAATATTATCAAGTCCATCTGCATCCTTTTTAACATTGGCCTTCATAGTAATTCCTGTTCGTCTGTTATCGAAAAGAAAAGAAAAAAAAAAAAAAAAAAAAAAAAAAAAACGGCATTGATGTGTTAGGACCAAAAAATAGGTGGTAAAAGCAAAACAATCTTGCCACCCATACCTTCCTACAACACCAATATCGAAAAAGTTATTGGTCCGCACAGGAGGCCCTCCATCATGATTCTATATGAATGCAGATTCATAGCATCAGTCATTGATGTCAATTGTCTATTATTATTAAAGTTTGAACTGAGATTTGTTTTCATTTCCATTGTTTCAAATGTTTTATGCATTACCCTGCTCATGGTGATAACGAACACTTTCTGTTTTGATTGCTATCTTTATTCGTTTGGATGTCACCAATACTGTTGTAAAGTTGTAAACTAGAAAGAGGTACAATAGGCACAGACAAGGTTTTATAATGTCACGGGGAACACGAGAATTTTTTGTCGCGTTTTAAAGCATGTTCCAAATTTTAATTTTATTACGAGTGCCGTCCTTTCTACACAAGTGAAGTGAGCATGTTGTGCAAGAGTGTAGACCTGGGGGGTACGAAGTAAAGGTAAAAAAAATGAAAATAATCGCATTGTATTGACACTAAAGAGGGGAATCAAGCAAAAAGCATATCATTTTCTTTAGAGCTCCTGCTTAACCTCATCAGCTTTGTCTGCAACTCGTTGAGCTTTTTTCTCCACCTGGTCTGCAACTTTCTTAGCTGCTTCGCTTGCCAATTTTTTTGCCGCCTCTTCTTCTTCGACTGCCTTTCCCTTGATGTCACCAACGGCGCCCTTAACATTTTTTTTGGCGTCATGGGCAGTATCGTGAACACTCTCTGCAAATTGCTCTCCTGCTGCATTGACTTTTTCTGTACTAGATACAACCTTGGCTCGAATGTTTTCAGCAGCATATTCAATCTTGTTTTTGATGTTCTCACCACTATATTTGGCCTCTTGAGCCACGTTTTTCGCTGCTTTGTTGATATTCTCCTTGGTCTCTTGGCTCTTTGCCTTCGCATCCTCCGCTACGTTCTTGGCTGCCCCCTCAGGGATGTTGAAAGCCTTTTGTGCGGCCTTTGATCCCTTTTTTGCAGCTTCCTCTGCTCCCTCCTTAATGTCGTCAACAACTTCAACTTTGGTGCGCCCTGCCTCACGAATAGTCTCTGGACAGAAGACATACTTGAGAATGTCACCAACACCATTAGCAGTCAATACCTCAGAGCTGAAGGTAAAGAAGCTTCGGACGACTGGAATGCTACTGAGAGATGTAGAGCCGTATCCACTACGACCGGTACCATTTGCGATGAGCGAAAGGGCGGCTCGGCCATTAAGTGAGTAAAGGATTTCCTCAGGGATGTCATTTCCGAGGCCGTTATAGACAAGGTTATTGATATCTCGCGCGTTTTGGGCAGAAGGTGAGCCAGAGTTTTCAGCTGTAAGGGCCAGGTAAATGATGGTGCGGACTTGAGGATCAGCAGGGTTGAGTTTAACCAAGCGTGCGACACTTTGTGCCATCTGAATCTCGATTGCAAGTTTGCCAACTGCATTGACGATGGTTTGTGTATCCAAAGATTTGATAGCTGAATCTGATGGAGCCGAGGCAAGAGCACTCGCGGCAAGACCATGGGTCAAGCTACTGTAGTAAACGATATCATCAACACCTTTAAGGTAGGCTGTATTGGTTGTCTCACAAACACGTGAAGGAGAGATAATGCTCTTGGCCATCCTGACTGCGTTTGATGATTTAATCAAGCCAAAGCCAAGGACATCCCAGAGGGGCGATGAATTGGGGCCTACATTACTATTTTCATTCTCTCTGAAGTCATCTTTATCTTTCGTAGACTCCTCGTTCTGGCTCTTTTCGTTTTCCTGTCCCTTCTGTTGAGTGTTTTGTCCCTCGTCTTTTTCGGCCCCTTCATCACGAGTTCTCTTAGAAGGAGGAGGTAAATTAATGACCGTATCGTAAATACTGCTGACGATGAGAGAGGCACATTGAGCATCAATCTCGGTCAGATTTGCTGCGGCTTTAAGAGCTTCGGGACCATGCTCCTGGATAACCTTGAGCTTGGCTTCCTCAAGCCTGGACCAGTCAGCGTCAGCACCATAGAAAATATTGCGTGAGACAGCCTCGATAATACCGTTGAGAAGTGGAAGCTTATTTTCCTTAGTATGGCTAGTATGGTCCTGTTGATTAGTAGTGAGGGACTCGGCACCTTGAGAGTTGATCTCTTCGAGCAAATGTGGTGCCAGTGACTTGACCTTGGGATTGACAAGAAACTGGTCCAGCGTAAGCGCGTCGATCAAAGAAGAGGTGGCCAAGAGGGCGGCCAACGAGATATTGAGAAGCACCTTCATGATAAAAAACGCTTAGTAACCCAGTCTGTGGTTTGTGGGGGGGGGGGAAAGATAGTTGATGAATTAGCAAGTGATGTTGAGAAGAAGGAAAATGAAAGAAAGACGTGAGAGAAAGAAAAGTTTGTCTTTGAAGGAACTCCACTCGCTATGTACCAATGCGCTGTGAGAAAAAAAAAAAAAAAAAAAAAAAAAAAAAAAAAGCAGAATACGTGATGTGATTGAAAAAGGGAGCGTGTGCTTCGACTGAACAATGGAAGACACAGACACGAAAAATAAATATAATCTTCAATGTAGTGAAAGCTTATTAGGTTATATTAAATAATAGAGCCAGGTTGGCTTGTCCAAGGAAGATATTTTATGGGTGACCCTTACTATCATAAAAATACATGACCACGGGAGCCAGCAACATTAGATTTGGGCAAGTATGACATCTAAGCATGGTCCAAGATGATGTATTGATTGCTACACAATTTCCTTTTCATCAATGAAAGCAAAAAATGAAAATTTTCACACTTGGTTGCACCATCGAAGCATCGAATCATCGACATTTACGTGAAGATATTCGCAAGTGTTGCCTGATGTGGTCACGCTTTGCTTCTTTTCTCGATCTTTTGACGGACGCCTCCGCTTTGCAAACATCCCTTAAAAAAAAAATGAATAAAGAAGTTTGAAAAGATATATATTTTTATGAACATTAATTATGGGAAACAAAGCGATTTATTTATTTATTTATCGCATGCATTATGTGGACAAGTCTTTTAGATGCGAGCCTTGGGGTTATCAAGCTCTACGATATCATCATACAACAAGCTAGTTAAAAAATCACCGTAATCCTTGCCAGTAATCTGGGTAGCCAGGTGCTTCTTGGCTTCAAGGATCTTACTAGCTTTGAAACCCTGCTCGCCCATGCTCTGTGCCAACTTGTCGACCTCCTCATCCAACACTTTGAGCAAGTACTCTGCGGTTACAGGTACGCCTTCTCTTGTCCTGGCCTGATGCCTTGCCCATTGCCACAACTGCGAGCGCGAAATCTCGGCTGTGGCAGCATCCTCCATCAAATTATGGATGGGAACACATCCCAGCCCACGGAGCCATGCTTCCATATACAACAAAGATACGGAGACATTGGCACGGATACCAGCTTCTGTAATAGCGCCTTTGACGTTTGTGTTAAGCAAATCTACAGCCTCAACATGGACATCCTCGCGACGGATATGAAGCTGGTTAGGCTGCGGCATATGCTCATTAAAGACATTCATTGCAATCTTAACGAGATCAGGATGTGCGACCCAGGTGCCATCATGCCCTGCCTTGACCTCACGTAGCTTATCATTATAGACTTTGTCCATGGCAGCCTTGTTAGCGGCCTCATTATTTTTAATAGGGATCTGTGCAGCCATACCACCCATAGCATGTACTCCACGCTTGTGGCAGGTTTTGATCAATAGACGGACATAAGCATCCATGAAGGGAGTGGTCATGGTGATATCAGAACGGTCTGGTAGGACATACTCAGGTCTCTGGCGTAATTTCTTGATAAACGAGAAGATGTAATCCCAGCGACCACAGTTGAGTCCTGCAGAATGGTCACGCAACTCATAGATGATCTCATCCATCTCGAAGGCCCCAAGAATAGTCTCGATCAAGGCTGTGGCACGAATAGTGCCACGGGGAATGCCAATATAGTCCTGAGCGGTGTTGAAGACATCGTTCCAAAGACGAGCTTCCAGATGAGACTCCATTTTTGGTACATAGAAATAAGGACCAATGCCGATCTCTAGCGACTTGCGGGCGTTGTGGAAGAAATAAAGTGCAAAATCGAAGAAAGATCCTGAAACAATCTGCCCATCTACTAGGACATGCTTCTCATCCAAATGCCATCCACGAGGTCTGCATTATCACGAAAAGGCGATGAAATTAGAACCTTTGCCCAGTGTTGTTGTTCATTACAGATATTGAAGACTGGCAAATTGTATTTACCTGACAATCAAAGTTGCAATCTTGCCATCCTTCCGGATATTGTACTGCTTGCCGTTGGGTGCAGTATAAGAGATGCGCTGGTGGATAGCGTCCTTAAGGTTCTTTTGGCCATCGACCAGATTGGAAAAGGTTGGTGCCGTTGAATCTATTATGTAAAGCCGGTTTATTAGCCAGTCATATGTTTTTAAAAAAGACAGTCTTCCACCGAGCCAACTTTTTTAGCCTTTTTTTTTTTTTTTTTTTTTTTATCCGTGCAGATCACTTTTTTTTCCCTTACCTTCAAAGTCAGCCATGAACGTTGCAGCACCTGAGTTCAAGGCGTTGATGACCATCTTGCGGTCTACAGGGCCAGTGATCTCAACACGACGATCTGCCAATCCTGGCGCAGGTTTGGCGGCTCTCCAGGTGCCATCCTCACGGATATGGCGAGTCTCTGGCAAGAAGTCTGGCAATTGACCCTGATCCAATTGTTGCTGACGGTCCTTGCGACGTTGAAGTAAAGCTTGACGTGTGGGTTCGTAGGTGCGATGCAATGTAGCGACAAAGAGCAGAGCCTCAGGAGTGAGGATTTCTGCCTGTTCAGGAGTAACCTTGGTGAGGATAGTAACACCTGAAACCTTTGTATCGAATGACATGATGAATAATATAATTTGTTGGAAAGATGAAGGAGGAGTAATCTATTTACAGGCAAGTGAGAGTGGGGAGGGTTAAAAAGAGTTACTGATGAAAATTCATGAAGACTTTGGTCAGAATCGAAGCGTATTTATATTAAAAAAAATAAAAATAAAAAAAGTCTGGAGGCGGAAAGCGTTGCGTCGCGTGGACTAGGATGATGATGGAATGCATAAGAAACAATGCGGGGAGAGGGGTCAATTCATTTTTTTTTTTTTTACAGTGCTTTGTTGCTTACTTCTAGTTCCGTGTCCTCCCGTGGAAAAGACTTTTTTTCACTTTTTTTTAGCCTATTCATCATATGAACACTCTCACGCCATGGAAGTCCTCGGGAGTGCACTCACATGACTACAGTTTTAGAGGACATAGTAATGCCATCATTGGCGGGATATTCTTCCTGAATGTGGCTAAATGTTATTATAATCTTTTCAACGATCTTTTACGTACAGTGAAAACGACGAAGGAAAGTCTTACGTTCATTACCTATGCCAATGTCTTTTCCCTGTCCCATCCCGGCCACCCATCCTTTCTTTGTTGTTGAAAAAGGAAAAAAGGCTTTATTGCTGATATTTTCGATTAAAGGGTTGCTGATCCATCAATGTATGCTCATATGGTCATTTTATAGTTTTTACCGTGTCTTTTTGCGTTTACCCTTTGGTTTTCAAACCGCAGATAATTTGTTGCTATTAGCAATGTTCCGTAATCAAGTCTTTTCCTGGATATAGTGAAAATCGTCTCTTGATCTGGAATAATTCATGATCAATATAAAGCGTAAGGTACACATTAGCTCTCGTTCGTTATACACATATTCCTCATTTCATTTGAGTCTACCCAGCTCACCATATTCACAGCTGATTGTCAGAAAGAAGCTTTTGGTATTGAATGAAATGTAATGTGCTTTATTACCATGAATATGAAGATTATAAATGATAAAGGAAATGAAAGCATGCACTAGTCGTGTATGCTTGGATGAGAAATGAGACTAAAAGTACAGCGAAATGGAAGCAAGTGTATACTGAACGGAAGGAGAAAGTCTAAAATGTCACAGAACATGGTGAATAGTTTATCTACTTCTTGCGATTGCTTCCCTTGGCCTTCTTGGCTATCCTCTTGGTCGCGCGCAGCTCCTTCTTCATGCGAGAATCCACCATCTTATATCTTCCCTTGACTCCTTTCGGGCGTCCTTTGTTGCCCTTGTTAGAACCCTTGGCCACAACCAGTTTTACTTCCTTCTTAGGTTTCTTACTCTTGGCATTTGCCTTGGCCATCAGCTTGGCAATGCCAATGGCTTTTTGCTTTTCCGAGATATCTTCTGTATCGTTGATGGCATCAGCCTTCTTCTGGATTTTCAATAACTTCTGCGCTGCCTTGTACTTTTTACGGGCCTTCGCCTCTGCAATCTTCTTAATCGGGCGTGCATCCAGAGCCTTCATACGATCTTTGATGACTTGGACCGCCTCCTTGGTGATCGGTAAGTTAGGTATATTATGCAACTTTTCGTCCTCCAAGAACCATGATGGTAGGCCATCCTTATCAGCGAATGCATGTTTTGTGAACCCTTGGTCAATCAAATCTGTCTTAGTGATCTTCTTGTTGACAAGCGATTGTGCAAGCGTCATAGCCTCTGCTGTGATAAGAGAGTACTCGTTGATCTGCTTACGCTTTTTGCTCTCTTCCTCATCAGATTCACCATCCCACAACTCATCATCCTCAAACTCCCGACTAACGGGAACCATTTCAATATCATCATCAACATCACCCTCCGCAGGCTATATTACACCATTTAGCAAAGAAGAAAAGATTTGTTAGTAAATGTCTTTTTTTTTTTTTTTTTTTTTTTTTTTTGAAGAATCAGGGTCATAAAACTATTCATTACCTCAGCTGCTTTGCGCTTAAGAGTCTTTCTGTTCTTGTTAAGCTGACGAATCTCCTCGTCACTGTCCATCTCGATGTCATTCTGGTTTTCATCTTCATTATCGTCATCATTGCTTTCATCATCAGCATCCTCCTCTTCTTCCTCTTCCTCCTCTTCGCTTTCATCCTCATCCTCATCCTCGTCCTCATCCTCGTCCTCATCCTCTTCATCCGCGCCGACTAAATTTTTAAACATATCCTGATCAAAGAACATTTTGGCCCCTTTGGTTAAACCGCTCTCAGTCTTCTGGCGAAGTTCAGCCTGTTCCTTGTCATCCAAGCCAACTAGTAATGGGTTCTTTGAGTTCTTTTTAAACATTTTCTTTGTGTTTTTTGTTTCAGGCAAGTCATCATCATCAATACCAGGATCTGAATCCGAGTCTGAATCCGAGGTATCATCATCAGGTTGTTGAAGAGCCTTCTCATATTCTTCATCCTCAGATTCAGAACCCTCATCTCCAGATCCATCTTTCTTGAAACCTTTCCACTCGCCTTTATCCTCGCGTTTCGTCTTGGCACGCATTTTAGCATCACGTTCGAGCTGACGTTCCTTGTACTGTGCATACATCTCATCCAGTTCCTCCATCAAGGCTGCATCATGCTCTTCATCGCTCTCCATCTCGTTCTCATTGACGAATTGGGCATCAATGTCCTCCCGGACCATACTCTTACTCTTTCGCTTTGAGATAGCCTTTGTGTCCTGTTCACCAGTGACAATGTCTTCACCCATGTCCATCTCCGCATTGAACTCTTCAGGATCCACATCTGTGTCACCTTTGCGGACCATCTTCAAGCTTCCCGCCTTTTTAATGTTAGTCAATGAGAATAATGACTGGCCATCTGGTCCATCCTGCTCCAAACCGATATCTGTAGGTATGATCATGCCCAACTGCATTCTCTGGACATTCTTCTGAACACGCTCGTTTTTCTGACGACGACGAATGCGCTCCAAACGAGACTCCTCAGCAGCTGCAGCTGCAGCGTGCTCCTCCACAGCCTCAATATCATCTAATGCTGTTACCTCAACGGTCTCCTGAGCCGTGGATTTGGGCTCAGGCTTCTTGTCCAGACCGACTTGTAGACGAATATTAAGACGCCACTTGAGAAGGCTCTTAAAATCCTTCTTTCCCAGGACTTTCAAATCCTCACAGCATGCCCTAATTTCCTCAGTTGTCTCAACACTCTTCAAAAGCTTTTCTTTGGATTCTTCAGAGTCGAATGAAAACTTGTTAACGCTGCCGAGAACAGTTACCGGTTCCTGATGAGTAATGAACTCCCAAGCATCCATAGTTTTGTGCAATATATAGTTTCCATCCTCATATCCTTCACGCTGACGCTTATGTTTTTCAGGATGGAATACATCCATAGGCTGTGAAACCATTCCAGTATCAATATCTGAAAAGACATGTTTGGGATCCAGGAACTTGGGATCAATCTTCTTGGGGGCCAAGAAATCACGACAAACTACGAAAATTTCTGCAGAGACATTTCTGGAAGAAGGAGGCTTGGTGGCCTCGACCTTCTTGAACAACTGTTGAAAGACCCACATAAGATTGTTGTAATCTTTGGATCGGAAGACCTTAGTGACAAACCAACCACCTTTGTTGAGGAACTCAGTCGCCAACTTAAGGGATTGTAATACCAGTTCAGATTGTGTAAACGCATCCTGTACCCATGCAGCACCAACATTGGGAGCACCATCGTGCAGTACACTTTATATATATTTAAAAATAGAAACAAAGAGAAAAAAAAATGTAAGCTTGTATTATTATATGTTTCTTTCACACTGTTTAAAATTAAGTAAATTAAATAAAGACTTACACATCGGCCTTCCAGGTCTTGAGTGTAGACCGAAGAGTGGCTCGGCATTTCTCGGTAGTAATGTCCTCGACAAAAGTGATGACATTAGGCAAGGGTTTGATAGGAGCCAGATCGACACCAACGATCAAACTACTGACTGGCATCATCTTTGCAGCGACCTGCAACCAACCTCCTGGAGCAGCACACAGATCAATCAAGACCTTGGATCGTTCCAAGAAGTTGTATTTCTTATTCAATTGGACCAGTTTGAACGCAGAACGAGCACGATAGCCCTGCTCCTTGGCCATGTGATAGTACTTGTCCAGACGTCCTACATGTGTATTGTTGAAAATGAATATATTTGGTCAAATAAATAAACAAAATAAACTTGTAGCTCTTGGACAGACGTACTGACGATTCACTTACCCTTTCCGGTCTTCTTCTGGATTTTTCCCATGATGAAATATGTTTATATAAAAAGGAAAATAACGTGGAGAGAAGGAATAAAAATCTTCGAACTTTTTTTAATAGTTCCTCAAAGGAACATATAAAATAAAACAAAAATACAAATTGGAAAGAATTAAGAGAAATGAATGGTCAGATGAAATGACTCAGGCTGGTCAATTGGAAGGATATTATGGATAGAAAAGATGCAAGGGAAGGAGATGCGCCTTGAAAGAAAGACATTCAACTACTAAACATAACACTCAAAGTCCAGTTTGGTTACTTTTTTTTTTTTTTTTTTTTTTTTGTGGCTTACCTGTTTATTTGTTGAACTCCTTCCTTTTTTGGAGAAAAGATCAAACTTTAAAACAATGCTTTCAAAGGTTTGGTTAGTTGACCTCTTTTTGAGATCAAGCTTGCCTTGAGAATACACTTGTAGTGATCAAAGATGAAGAATGCCACAACGGCCTATTCAATGTTGGAACTAGGCACAATATTGGTACCAATATCAACATAAGGGATAACAACAGTAGTAACAACAGCAATAACATCAAAGACACCTAAGCTTTCATGGTATATACTTTGCCTGATGCTTTTTTCCCCTCAGGGCTAGAGTACGGACGGTGTTATGGCCCGCCTCGCCTACGGACGCCTCATACAAATGATCTTCAGCTAGTTCGCTGCCATACACACTCTTTCTCCTTGGAATACGTGCAATAACGGAAAAGACAGCATTACCAAAGACATGAGAGCAGCCTTTTACTCTGATGTCATGACACTCTACTTCTTATATATCTGATATACTTGTTACATGTTAGTGCTCCAATTACTTCAATAGAATGAAATATTAAGCGCGTAGTGAAATACAAATATTGTCGCCAAAAAATCAAAAAAAAAAAAAAAAAAAAAAAAAAAAAAAAACGCGACATGGTGTCAATTGCGTACGTCTTGGCATGATAGAGCCGAGTCCTACCATGTAGTTAGTCTAGCACCATTGACGCAAGGAGACGGATATGGGTAGTTAAATAAGCACACCACACCACGCATTGTGCAGTCCACACGGGGAGCGCAGTAGGCCTCAATAGCATCAATCCAGCAGGCGCACTAACATGTAAAAAGTCTGCATAGGATAAATTGAATAGAATAGAAAAACACCCATTAAAAATGAAGTCACATTTACACTCATGCCGCGCGTCCTGCATCGATCGATCACTTTTGTGGGCAAAGAAGGCTGGGCTCAGCTCATGAACGCAAAAATGAAAGGTCGTTGGACATCATGAATTGCTCCAATATCCTATTCGCTTAGCCCTTTTTCTTTTTCTTTTTTTTTTTTGTTTTGCCTCCACACCTCTCTTGCCCATTTTAACGTTTTTCTCATTTGATTTCTCATTCTTATCGTTTTTATTTATCTCAGACATACACACTCATACATACTAGATCGACATTGTATTATTATATTATTATTATTATTATGGATTTCTCTAATACTATCCCTTCATCAGACGATACGGAATTACTCCAATACTTTCTTTCACAGGATACATCTAGTGCTACTGTGGATGACCTTTCCTCACTCTTTCAAGACCCCCCTCCCTCCTCTTCCCAATCAACGCCAATGCAGCCGATGCAAGCCACGGCTATTGCTAGATCATTATCATCAACAGCAACAGCAACAGCAACAGCAACAACAACAGCAACAGTAACAGAGCAAGCACAAACAGAGGAACAGGCACAGGCACAGGCACAAGTACAGGAACAGTCATCGCAAACAACAATCCCAATAGGCCACACAATCTTGCTACCCTCTACATCCTTCTCATATCGTCAACTCTCTCCTAATATCCCTCCACCAATGCCAGTTGCCCTTCAAAAGGAAATCTTGACTTTGAATAGCCCTATCACAACAACATCTTCGTCTGAATCGGATGTACATTCTGCGGTCCCTAGGCCAGAACCCATGTCTCAGGATATTTGGGTACACCGCCTACTACAACTTCAACAATTGCATCAAAGACATCATTATCAACAACATCAACTCTTGCAGTCAACTCTCTTACGTGGAAGCACTTCTTCAGAGACTTCGGATTTAGAGCACCGACAGCGACGACTTCGTGGCAGCTCCTCAGGAAGATCAGTATCTCCTGGATCATCATCGTCATCTTCACCATTAGAAGACCGCCACAAAAACGCCATTTATCCTTCTCCACCCATGCAAGACGATGCTTCTATGGACAGCGACGATAATAATAATGATGATGATGATGGTGGTCATCGTCGTTCAAGTGCAGGTGAATCATTGTCGGATCCCAAAAAACCAACTGCGGGAGAATTGAAAAAGATGACAAGCAAGGAGCGTAGGCAGCTCCGTAACAAACTGTCTGCTCGTAACTTTCGAGTTCGAAGAAAAGGTATGTCAGTGGCAATGAATGATATTTCTCAAAAAGTACTTGGGCTTTCCTTTAAATAATTTACCAACCCTATTTTCTATTTATATACGCAAGAGTACATCACTTCACTGGAAAATCAGGTTAAGGAAGCACGACGGGAGGCAGCAGATTTGCAGCGACGACTTATCCAGTCAGAACTCAACTGTCAGTTTTTAAGGCAAGAATTAGAGACCATTCGGCTTTCACAATCTCTGTTTACAGATGGGCGAATGTCCAAAGAGCACGCTAACTTGCTCGCTAGCCTCTTACACCCAGGCTCAGAATCCTTCCCCACAAACAATAGCAACAGCAGCAGCAATAGCGGCAGCAGCGGCACAAATGGCGGTGCATCATCAGCGATAGTATCATCAACTAGCAATATCGCTGGAGCATTCGACAGTAACGACAACAGCGCCGTTAACTTTGGCTTATCGACTGTTCCACATCTTCCACAGATTCATCATCAAACAGCCCCCTTAGATTCGCTACCTACAAATGATGGAATCTCTGACTTTAACAATATGAGCAGCAATACCTTAGCGATACCAACAGCAGCCCAGACAATGGCTTCTTCGACCTTTGAGATGACTCCAGCCTCACTTCAGCCATTTGTACCATTTGATGGTGATTGGGGATTGTTGATTAATAGAGCGGAAGTGCCAGAAATGAATGTAGACCTCAAGGATGAGTCTTCAACAAAACAAGCGCAGGCTGCTTATAAGGATCTTTTGATTCGATATGAAGTCGCTACTAAGCAAGAAGCCGAATTGGATGAGCAGATGCGTAGAGAACTCAGGGCACATGTGGAAAAGAAGCTGGCTCAGACGTATATGACCATGCCTAAGGATGAATCATCGCCATCAATAATGAACGGCAAAAGTAGTAGCGATGAAAACCTTATTCTTCAAACACTGGTGTATATGATGATGATCCATTTGACTCAATCTCTATTTGAAGCAGCGACGATGTCGAAGACCGAGTTAGTGCGATTGTACCAGGCCATAGATGAACCTCTTCGTGCGAAATTAGAAGAACAAGGAAAGCAACAGCAACAACAACAGCAATCAACATGCAAGTTTTCGGAATGGCGTGAACAATGGATTCGTAAGCACTGGCCTTCATATTACAACAACCGCCGTCGATTGTCTGAGTTATTCAAGAATGGACTAGTATGTTCTAATCACTCGAGTAACAATAGCACCAACAACTCTCAAAAAGGGGAAGTTGATGTAGTAGAAACCACTCGCAAGATGGAAGAAGGCGTGAAGGGTAAGACGGCAGAAGTCCCTAAGGTCAACTATTTTGTCCGTCATTATGTCCCTACTTGGCTCAAATGTTCTGACATTCTGGAGAAGGAACGCCTTTTGAATGAAGCCAAGGCTCAGCAACGTAAGGCCCGCTCCACTGGTAGCACTATACCCATGAAGGCCACTGCATAGTATATGCACGCATAAAAAAACTGATTTAATGTTATGTCTGAACATGAAATGCTCCATACTTATATTAACGACGTTAGTTTACATCGCCAAGATCACGAAATACAGAAATAAAATAATAGTAATTACAGTATGGCTGTGAGAAATCGATGTCATAGTATATAATATGTTATACCTGCCACTCCTGGTATTTTATATTATTATAGAATCAACGCAGATCTATACGCCGTTAATCTATCTAAACTGTCTTAAAAGCCAACTACAGCTACTCCTAATCTGATAAAAAAGCACTGACCACAATTAGAGGATTCACCAAAGATGATGCAGAAGAGTTGTCTTTAGAGCGAAGTCTTCTGATTGATAATGGATTCGACTCAGATCTTTTATATGCACTTGGGATTGGCTAATAGGTCTGCCAAATTGCTCCGTTCTGGAAAAGACGAAGGAATTGTAGAAGGGTATCTTCAAACACAGAAATCGATTAAATGGTTACATTGGGGCAATGGCTTCTCGCGGAGACGGCCAGGTTTGACCAATAGCAATCGATCGGGATGGCTCATGCAGACATGGAGAGTTTAAATAATTGATTCAATGGAGTAGCATATTTGACAAAAGAGGCGACTGGGGTTGAACGCAATAAAAAAAATGCGGGGTGACAGAGGACCGTGAGAAAGTAAAAAAATAAAATAAAAAAAAATCGACTGTTGTTTGCTAATGTCCGTGTTCCATGGCATCAATATAATGGTTACATCGACCAAAAATTTGTGTCTCCGCGCTTCTCTTGGATTAAAAAAGCTGCAATGTCTTCAGTGGGCCATTGGGCTAATTTGTCTGTGCCTGTCATTGTGATGCAGGAACAGAAAGTCAAAAAAAAAAAAGTCTTATTCCGATCAGGAACAAGTCGGGAGGAATTAACATGCATTCACCATACACACCACACAAAAAAAAAAAAAAAAAAATAGGTAAAAAATAATATATATATATATATATACATGTATGTATAATAATAAAATATATAACAGTAATAAAAATAGGTAAAACTAAATATTAAAAGCAAAAACAAATAATAGGTGGAGTGAACAACATCAACGAAAAATAAAATGAAATGCGCTGTTACTCTTGCTTGAGCGTGAAATGTTGACTTGCGTGATGGCCAGTCCACAATACCTGTCTCTTTCTTTTGACCACTCTGGCCCTTTGTGTCTTTCGCATAAAGAAGAGTCAGAGTAAAGTATATTTGTATATATTTACGAATGTGTATATATTCTTATTAATAACCATTAATATATTTCATGGTTACTGCATGAGAGCTGGTTTTTTTTTTCTTTTGTGTCCGTGGACATTTTAAAATAAAGCGAGATCGTGGAATGGCGTGAGTCACCCTTTTTTTTTTTTTTTTTTTCAAATTTATGACTCTGTTAAATCTCCAACTTTTTATATAGCAAGGACGCGTCATCTCTTTAGCTAGAGAGGCATCCAGGCTTGTCCCGTGGGACGCATCAGTAAATATAATACTGTAATCCAATAATATGTGATTCACTTTACTCTCACTTAGTCTAGAATTCAGGAACATTGGGAAATATAACATGTCAAATACCACAATAGGAAGCATAAATTAGATGGCGAGTGTTGCAACAATAGCATAGTCGTTATTGAGGATGCTGGGGGTATAAAGTTTTATGTGTAGAATAAACAGATATAGTGCATGGGTAGCATGGTTGTGTAGAAATATGCATTTTTATTGTTATCCATAAATGTTCTATTAAGTAAACTTACACTTCCCAAATGAGATCAGTGCGAGTAAGGCGGCCCGGAACGGTCTTATTACGAGCCATATTTTGGTATATGCGTCCACGAGGCCGTGACAGATTGTAGTGTTATGGATGTATACATGTATAACATGGTATTTCTTTGCCTTTCGGAAAGAGCGCGGAGCCAACGGGAAATGCAGGATGATACTGTAATACTCGTATATAAAATTGCAAGATGAAGGCTAACAACTAGTTATAATGGGAAGATGCACATGTTTCTGAATCATCACTCATTTGGAAGCTGAAAATACAATTGCATACTATAGCAAGCAAGGGAGAGATAAAAGTCTAGTAGATGCTTATGCATTTGTTTGGTTGTTGAACCTGATACATGTAGCAGATACATAGATGGTGCCTATGTTTATTAGAGTGTGAAGATGAAAGGTGTGCTCTGTCTCTTCAAGAGAAACGCGACATGTCCTAAAATTTATTGTGTGCATTTCAGAGAGCATGTTTTACATCGAATGTTGGGCTGAGACAAACGCGGAAAAAGCACCAATTAAGAGATCACCGACACGGTCAAATTTAAAAAGCTTTCTCTTTTCTCTTTTTTTGACTTTCCTCTTTTTCTTTTCCTTTTCTCTACCAACCCTGCCCCCTTTTCCTCTTTTCTTCTTCTTTCTTGCCCTTATCCTCCTGTCCTTTGTGTTGCCTGAGTGTGTATATCATTCACTTCAGCCTCTACATTTCTATTCTTCCCTGCCTTTTTTTCTTCCTCTCCCCACTCACACGCCTTTGATTGTCTTTACATTTGATACCTTCGTACCTTATTATACTTATTTTAACTCTTTATCGACTACAAAAGTATATTGGAAATGGTTCACGATCAACAGGAGCATACAGTCGATACGATCCGTCGTTCAACCACCAATCGTCCAGATGATGTTCTCAAAAAGGTTCTTGTCGCTAACCGTGGCGAAATCGCCATCCGCGTCTTCCGTTCTGCTCACGAATTATCCATGAGAACTGTTGCCTTGTTTTCGTACGAAGACAGACTTTCCATGCATCGTTACAAGGTAACAAATAATTAGGGAATTGGGAGCGTGGAGGATCGAGCGCGGAAAAAAAATTTTCAAGTTGCCATTGAGCGTGGGAGTAATAGGGGTATGGAGAGGTCCTTCCCCCCAAAAAAAAAGTCTTTTTCATCATGAAGTTTTGCTTATTATTTGCGGCAAAGTGATGAGGCAATGACAAGGTTTAAAAAAAAAAAAAAAAAAGTATAAAACAGGGTGTTGTCCAAACCTGGCGATGCTCAGAATGCGGGGTTAAAGTTTTTATTTTTTTATGTGAATGAATTTGAACACAGATGCACAGAGAGGATGGGATGTCATCAAAATTAATCATTCATCAGAGGATGTGACTGTCAATCATCCGGGGCTCGTTTTTTTTTTAATGGGTCATAGTTTGTCCCTCTTTAATTATCACACACCATCAATCTGGTCAGCACCAAAAAAAATAGGCTTTTTTTTTACTCACCTTGCAGTGATAAAAGGATGATGTGTTGGAATACAAAGGGCGAAGGAGATAGTGGTATCGATCTAAAATGAGCGAAATATTCTCAGGAGGGACATCTTCTGTCTTTATCTTTCTGATATCGCTTTTTGGTTTTGGTGTTTGGATGATTGAGCGATAATTGGAGGCCAGCCAATGGCCTTGATCATATATCATCTTGACTGTTGTCGATAACCAAAGCATAAGATTTAACAATAATCGAGAGGGGCTCGGTCTATTTTTTTTGCTCTTATGGGAAATTTATTCTTGTATAATCGATCGACAGAAAAAAAGATAAAAGATAAAGGGAGAAAACTGTGACCCATTCAGTTTGTCATGTTTGATTACATTTCGGGGGGTTTCTGTACGTCCATGATATGGTATTATATGATGTGATGCCCTCCTATCAATTCTATCCTCTTTCGGACATTATTCCTTTTTGGAAACTTAGAAGAGATATGCCAGAGCAATTCGGATGTAGCATAAAAAACAACCTTAGGAGGATCAGAGGATCGTTTATCATGCCGCATCATTTACTAACTATTTAACCAATTGTTTAGGCTGATGAGGCATATCAGATCGGAGATCCATCAAAGTTCACACCCGTCGGGGCTTACCTTGCACAGGATGAAATTATTCGCATCGCAAAGTTGCATGATGTCTCCATGATCCACCCAGGTTATGGTTTCCTCAGTGAAAACGCTTCGTTTGCCCAAAAGTGTGCGGACAATGGCATTGCTTTTGTTGGTCCTGACCCACATGTCATTGAGGCTTTGGGCGACAAGACCAAGGCTCGTGATATCGGTATGTCTTTTTTTTCTGTGTTAGCTTCTACCTTCAATGATGATGAAAATTGTTTTATAAAGATTTGGAAGCTTGCAGTCATTACTCATCATGAAGCCATATTAACCGCTTTTTCTTTGTTAATAGCCGTCGCTGCGGGTGTCCCAGTTGTTCCTGGTACTCCTGGACCTGTCAAATCGAGTCAGGAAGCAGAAGCTTTCGTCAAGGGTATGTAATGTGCTCTTGCAAAAACTGTCGCTGCTGCGTCAAACATTTCGCTGTACATTTGGACAGAGGAATACAGATAATTAACTCAGCTTTATCATCAATGCTGATTTATACTATCTTTGCTTAGAGTATGGTTTCCCTGTCATTATCAAAGCTGCAATGGGCGGAGGAGGACGCGGTATGCGTGTTGTTCGCAATCAAGCCGATTTCGCAGAGGCATTCGAACGCGCTACCTCTGAGGCCAAGCAGGCGTTCGGTGATGGCACCGTGTTTATTGAGCGCTTTCTTGACAAACCCCGTCACATTGAGGTCCAGATCTTGGCTGACAGTGCAGGAAACGTTATCCATCTTTTTGAGCGCGATTGTTCAGTCCAGCGTCGCCATCAAAAGGTCGTTGAGATTGCGCCTGCCAAATCGTTGACTCCTTCAGTTAGAGATGCCATTTTGAATGATGCCATTAAGCTTGCCAAACATGTCAAATACAAGAACGCAGGAACAGCAGAGTTTTTGGTCGATCAACAGGATCGTTACTACTTTATTGAGATCAATCCTCGTATCCAGGTAGAACACACTATTACTGGTATGTAACAAACTTTGTTGTCCTGTTCACATCACTTAGATATTTCATTTGCACAGTTATTAATTTGTCATTTTATCTTATTATTATTAGAGGAGATCACCGGTATTGATATCGTCGCTGCTCAGATTCAAATTGCTGCTGGTATTCTTTTGCCTGAACTCGGTCTTACTCAAGACAAGATTCAGATCCGTGGCTTTGCAATTCAGTGTCGTGTTACAACTGAGGACCCTTCCCAAAATTTCCAGCCTGACACTGGCAGAATTGAAGTGTACAGATCAGCTGGTGGGAACGGCGTCCGCCTCGATGGCGGTCAAGGATTTGTTGGTGCTGTGATCACCCCTTACTATGATTCCTTGCTGGTCAAAGTGACCTGCTCTGGCGCTACGTATGAGCTCGCGAGACGTAAGGTTGTCCGTGCTTTAGTCGAGTTCCGTATTCGTGGCGTCAAGACCAATATTCCTTTCGTGCAACGCCTTATCACGCACGAAACCTTTATTCAGGGCAAGTGCTGGACCACCTTTATTGATGACACCCCTAGTTTGTTCAATCTCGTCAAACAGCTTAATCGTGCCCAGAAATTGTTGGCATACCTTGGAGATGTTGCTGTCAATGGCCCTAGCATTGCTGGCCAAATTGTAAGTCGCTAGGCCAACTTTTATTTAAGCACAAAAATAGATAGTCCGCGATAACCCGGTACTGATCTTGTCATTCTCATCATCTTTTTAGGGTGAGCCCCAACTGAAGAGAGAGTTGTTGATCCCCACATTGTCAAGCAAAGAAGACTCGACCCAGACAGTTGATGTTACTGTTCCTCCCACTCATGGATGGCGCAAGATCTTCCTGGAAAAGGGCCCCGAGGCTTTTGCTAAGGCTGTTCGTGCTTATCCTGGTGTCTTGATCACTGATACCACCTGGAGAGACGCTCATCAGAGTTTACTCGCCACTCGTGTCCGCACTATTGGTAAGCTCTCTTCTTTTTTCCTAAAGAAAAAAAAAAAGAAAAAGAAAAAGAAAACTTTATCAGTCTGCTTCTTGTGGTTAGCCAACTGACCGTTTGATTCAACACATAAACTTCCGATAGATCTCCTCAACATCGCCCCTACTACTGCCCACGCTCTTCAAAACGCTTACTCTCTTGAGATGTGGGGTGGTGCCACATTCGATGTTGCTATGCGTTTCTTGCACGAAGATCCTTGGGACCGCCTGATCCAACTTCGTAAACTTGTTCCCAACATTCCTTTCCAGATGCTGTTCCGTGGTGCCAATGCTGTCGGATATACCAGCTACCCTGACAACGTCATCTTTGATTTCTGCGCCAAAGCTGTCAAGAGTGGAATGGATGTTTTCCGTATTTTCGACAGCTTAAATTATATTGAGAACATGCGCCTCGGTATCCAGGCTGTTAAAGCCGCTGGTGGTATTGTCGAAGCAGTCGTCTGCTACACCGGAGACGTCTCAGATCCCAAGCGTACTAAACACAACTTGGATTACTACCTCAACTTTGTACAGGAGTTAGTCAATGAGGGTATTCATGTCTTGGCCATCAAAGATATGGCTGGTCTATTGAAGCCCGCTGCTGCTACTATGCTTGTTGGAGCTATCCGTAAACGCTTCCCTGACTTGCCCATCCATATGCACACGCACGATACTGCGGGAACGGGCGTTGCCTCCATGTTGGCAGCAGCAGCCGCTGGTGCTGACGTTGTTGATCTTGCAGTGGATATCATGTCTGGTGTGACATCCCAACCATCGATGGGTGCCGTGGTAGCCGCATTGGAGCACACCGAAATGGGTACAGGTATTCGTCAGGAGGACGTGATTGCACTCAACAGCTACTGGGAACAGGCCCGTCTACTCTACTCTGGATTCGAAGCTAATGTCCGCGCGGCTGACTCTGGAGTATACCAACACGAAATGCCTGGTGGTCAGTACACCAACTTGATGTTCCAGGCTCAGCAGCTCGGCTTAGGCACCCAATGGAATGAGATTAAGAAGGCCTACATTGAGGCAAACCAGCTGTGCGGAGACATTGTTAAAGTTACACCGTCATCCAAGGTTGTAGGTGATTTGGCTCAATTCATGGTGTCGAATTCATTGAGTGCAGAGGAAGTGAAGGAGAAGGCAGCATCACTCAACTTCCCCACGAGCGTAGTGGAGTTCTTCCAAGGTTACCTTGGGCAGCCCTATGGAGGATTCCCTGAACCTCTTCGCTCGGCCATCATCCGTGGAATGCCCCGCATTGAGGGTCGTCCTGGTAAAGATATGGGCGAGTTTGACTTGGAGGGACTGAAGGCATCGTTAATTAAGAAGTATGGCAAGTCGATACGTGATGTGGATGTGTCATCAGCGGCAATCTACCCCAAGGTCTTTGATGAGTATCGGGCCAAGGTGGATGCATATGGCGACCTATCTGTTTTGCCTACACGCTACTTCTTGAGTAGACTCGATATTGGAGAGGAAGTTAATGTGGAGATTGAAAAGGGCAAGACATTGATCATCAAGTTGCTGGCAGTTGGACCCATCAACACTGCTTCCGGCAAGCGTGATGTTTTCTTTGAGTTGAACGGAGAAGGACGTAATGTGAGTGTGCAGGACAAGAATGCAGCAGTGGAGCATACGGCGCGTGAGCGTGCTAACCCAAGCAATACTGGTGATATTGGAGCACCAATGTCAGGTGTAGTAGTAGAAATCCGGGTGAAGCAAGGCACCATTGTGAAGGAAGGAGACCCGATCTGTATTCTGTCGGCTATGAAAATGGAGACAGTGGTAACAGCACCAGTCTCGGGTAAGGTCGAGTACGTGCCCATTCATGAAAACGACTCTTTGTCGAGCGGTGATCTTGTTGCACGCATTGTGCACGAGTAAAGAAAAAGAAAGTAAAAAAAAAAAGAGAAAAAAAAATCGCATCCATCATTCAAAAGATTAGCAATTAATCATTAGGCACACAAAGAATGCAAATAAATAACATTTCGTTACAATACACAACTACTGCAGTTGGATAGTTTGTCAATATACATTTTTGACTGAAGCCAACTAGTTTACATGTTGCCTCGAAGGATCTGTCACTATATCAATTCATTCATTAAAATACAAAAGAAATGAATAATCCATCCAAACAAAAGCATTTTCCCACGCGAGATCGACCAAATCGTCTGTGCGCACATACTGAATAAAAATATTTTTTACATAATAAATACATGTACTGTGAGCATGTCACCATGAACTTTCATGTAACATGGTGCATGTATACACATAGTGTTTATATCTTTGTACCACACAAGTGCAAATTGGAGTAATAGAAGTGATAGAGTGGTGATAAACTGTTAGATCACTACAGGCAAATGAAATACTGGATTTTATCAACAATTATAATGGCAAGTGTGATTAGCAGGATATAGGCTTTTTCAAAGATCGGCGAACACAAGAATCGAAGGACAGGACACTAATAACAACAATAATAATGATAATATTAATAACGCGACAGGTGTGCATTCTGTATTCGGGTGTGAGTGGAATTTTTTATTCAATGATCAGCGACAGCATATCCTGTGGATCTCACCGCATCTCTTGTCTTCCTTTTTGCTTTTCTTCCTTTACTTTCACCACTTGTAAGGCACCTTTTTTTTCTTTCTTTCTTTTCTTTTTTTTTTTCCGCTTTCTCAAACCTCCTCACATGAGGACATTCACTCATATCTTGTATAAGGATCATGTCAGGACAGATTCATTTTGTGACGCCCACCAACCGATGGATCGGAAGTATCCCACTTTCGACCACGGACCCACTCACACTCATGCCATTGTCGTCGTATCTACGGAAAGAGAAGAGGAATGGGAACGTGGGTGGACTATTCTCATGCCCACAGAAGCAGCATCAACAACAGTCGATATCACAGCAAACTTGTCAAGAGAACCACGAAAGTGACAACGAAGACGAAAATCATAAGGATATGATTGAGAACAGAGATGAGAATGAGGATAAGGAAGATGAAGACAGGGCACGGACAACCAATATAATAGGTAGATGGCTTTGTTTCATTATTTCTTTTTTTTTTCCTTTATGGATGATCTTGTACTGAAGCTTGCTCTCCTGTTAACTCTTTTTTTTTTTTTTTTTTTTTTCCTAAACGTTGTATTTCTTATTTGGCTGACTAGGACAACCTGTTTCGCTAATCCTTGCTCGGCTGCAAACAACGTCCCAGGGCTGTTCCTGTGGCTGTACAGATCCGTCACCACCCACGCACTCGAGCTATTACCATGCGCAACATCTCCTACGTGTCATGTTTCAGATCCAGCGTATACGGTCCCGAGCATTAAGGACTAATGTCCCGCATTACTTTGAAAGGCTTTGGAAGGCCAATGATGAAGGAGAAGAAAGTGAAGATAAAGAGGAAGAGAGGGAGGAAAAGGAAAAGAGAGCAAAGAGGAATGAAGGTAGAGGAGCCAATAATATTAATAGCTTTTCAACGCCAAGGTTGTCATCAACGCCGCTGTATCATCAACAACAACAGCAACAACAGACACCCGTTCTTTCTGATGTTCATGCGGTCGCTATCCCAACAGAGGGAATCCATGGAAGGACAGCAACAACATCGACACCAATAGCAGCAATAGATCAGATAGCGACGAAAACAAGCTCGAAGAGCAAAATCAATACAAAAAAGAAGGGCAAGATACCTCGATATGTTCATTCGCTGATTCAGAATCGGGAGCTTCGCAACCCATTGACAAATATGGAGGTGGAAGGGGACCCAACATTCTTTGTGGTGTTGGAGCCAGGCCGAGGAGGATGGTGGTATGAACCTTGGGCTATGAGTACTTTGCCGGATGGTAGAGTGAAGGGTTTAGAATGCAGTCCTAGCCATTACCGTCAATATCATCATCAGCGCCAGCAGCAGCAGCCGCAACGTCCACAACAGCAACAAGCACCGAGGCCGCCAAAAGATAAAGCAGATGTTAATGAGCCATCGGAGTCACCGAAGCCTTCGGCGCCTACAGCAGAAGTGTACGAAAGTGAGGAAGAATTAAAAAAGGAAAAATGGCGACAGAGTAGGCTTGTAGATTTAGACATTGAGTCGCAACATGAACTTGAATGGCGACGCTGGCAACGAAGTCTAGCCATTCAATCTTTTCAAGAACGTCAAAGCCATCAAGGTCTCAAATATAGGAAGAGTAGCAACAACACAACAACGTCGGCAAGACAAGTACGTGTCAGATTAGGAAGAGATATTGCGTTGTTGGAACAAACGGAACGTGGACTTCGTCATCCGAAAGGTGTCAGCAATGGGATGAATCGTGGAAATTTCGACAACCGAATTTCAAGCACGTCCTTAACCAGAAAGAACCCAAAGGCCACTACGAGAATAGAGGCAGGAGGAATTCAAAAGCAACAACAACAGCGGTCGGTGAAAGTATCTATTGCTCTTGAAGACGCAGAGCTAGAGATTGATAAGGAACAGCACGCACAACAGCAAAGAGCTACTGATTGTAATTGTATTTTAACTAAAAGCCGGAAATCAAAATTGAAATCACCTAATACTACTAATGATGGTACCGTACTTGTACCATGGTGGGATCCGGATCCGCAGCCTTTCAAGATGCCTAGTACCGGACTATCGCCATTTGCAATCTCAACACTTCCAGAGCCGGTAGCCAAGCACTTTGGGGGTGTTTCTATCTATCCCAGTCCTGATCCAAATCCTTCTGTCTCTTTAGAGGCCCTGAGTAGCGGCAGCAACATTAGCAGTATAAATCTAAAATCACAGCAAGAGGAACCAACAGTCTGTAGAAATGAGCAATCAGGCCCAGCGCCTCCAAGCGGAGACAGTAATGCCAACAGCAACACAAACGGATGCCGGTGGGTTCCTGTACAAGATGGTGATCGGGTTGCAGTGATGATTGGGACTAGTCAAGACTTTTTGCTGTTTCCGTCACTCCAACGATTATTCTTTCGTCACTTGAGCTGTGAGGACTTTGAAGATCGGGCAGGAAGAGTTGGAGTGATCCAATGTCCTGTCACAACTGTTGTGATGGAAGGACAAGCACAAGGACCATGGAATACCTATAACGGTGGATATGATCGAATGCACCAAGGGGAAAGTGGAGCAGCAGCAGTAGATAGTGATGGTGACAATCAAGGCATATACAGAAGGTCAGAGTCGATAGTGAGAGCCAATTTAGGATCAAGATTATCATATACGCGCATTCTACAGCGACAACAAGGCATAATTCCGTTATCACCAACTACACCGGTGCTGTCAACATCAAGAGCCATATCTACGCCTCCTGATGCTATAGTTAGAGGACAGCTCTCTTCTGTTGAGGGAAATGCATCTCAGCATATGTCTAGTTATGGATCAGTATCAGGATTAAGGGCTAATCCAGACACAGACATAGAGGTCTTTGACCCATTAAAAGCGACGACAGCAGCAAAGGATGAGCGCGATAAACAAACATTAGCTGAAACCAGCATGAATCATCACGAGAAAAGCCGAGAGAGTATGTCAATAGGACCAAAAAATCATTCCAAGGAACTGCCGCATGAGAAGAGGGCAGGGTTTGAAGCAGAAAAAAGGCAGCGAAGTCAACTTTATCAAGAGACGTTTGAACGCGAAGATTATGACTCTTCGGACTACTTGTTTTCATCATCGGGCGACGATGATGATGACGATGATTTGCGTTTGTACACAGATGGTGACTTTAACTCTAGTGACTATATCAGCAGCGATAGTAGCAGTGACAGTGGTAGTAGTGGTGTAGAAGAAGGTGAAGGAAGAGATTCCAATAGACGTACTACTCTGCAGAATGATGGACGATGCTGTTGGACGCTTAAGGAATGGGTCTACTATATCCTCTGCTGTTGCTGTCGTTGCCGTCGTCTACTCACAGGAGATGCTCCTGGGTCCGATGTCACCGATTCTAATATGCGAGAGACGCGAAGAGAGCGACGTCGCCGACTTCGTCGAGAACGTTGGCATGCCTATCAGATGCAACAACAGCAACGGTTACAGGAAGAATATAGTCAAAGTTTTTTCCTGTTCCGAATATTACCTCGAGGGATCCAACGGAGGATGGGTTCCGAAGAGATGAATCGGTGTTGTCAAGTGGTAGAGTTCTGTCGGTTTTACATAACCATCCTGGTAGCAGTTGGACTGATGGGTGCGATTGTGTATGCAACGATCTTGAGTCAGATGACGCCACCATCCTCGGCATCACCATTGCCTTTTTCACAGCAGCATCAGGGTGAACCAGCACAGGTACTCGGGCCAGGATCGGTATTGGTGCCAACGCCTCCACAGATACATTCATCATCCCCAGTTGTATTAGAGGTTGATATTGTATCGGAGACATCTCCATCTCATGGCCAGTTGGGTGTCAAAAGAAGTATTGATGACAACATAATGACTGATCTCAGAGAGAAGAAAAAGGACAGGGAGGGCATGGATACGGGCAAGGACGAGAACGAGAGCAGGAGTAAGAGTAAGGGTAAGAGCAAGAGCAAGGGCAAGTGCGACAGTAAGGACAAGAGTAATAGAACAAGAGCAAGAATGAGAACAAAAAGAACTCGACCAGGGATCTGAAACATCAACAGAAACAGAAGCAGAAACCACAACGTTGTCATCATTGTCAGCGCCACGGACCCCAGAGTTATATTCTATTTGTACCCAGACAGATAAAGATCTTTAATTGTTTCAGTTTCTGTCCTGATGGGCTAAGAGCGGATAGTGTGCTCATTGTTCTGTACATGTTGTACATGTACAGAAAAAGTATGAGGTTGTCAAAGGAATCTCGTGCGGAGGCTATTTAGCCGCAGAAAGGGCGCGAAAATGTTTGATCAGATGTGTGCACACACTGCACTGCCTCAATTCCCCAATCACCCATTCCTTTTTTTGCGATTGTGTCTATCCTCTTATTCCCTTTTATCCCCTACTCAGTCTTTTTTTTTTTTTTATTCTTCACCCTCACTCTCTCACTCACTCTAACACATTCACATACACATACACTCCCATCCTATTAGACAAACAGCATTCGTCATGTTCGACTGAACAATGGTTGCTCATTGACTTCACATTTGCATACTTGTCTTTATTTACTCTCTCTCTCTTTTTCACTCTCTTTATTCTGTATCTCTCTTTTTTATTCTTTTTTCTTTTTTTACTCTTTTTTTCTTTTTCTATTTTTTTTATTTAAACACGTCTCACACACACTCGTTTTACACAGACTTATTAATATAATACTACAATACTTGCATGGTGGTCCACCCCAGACTGGTTGGGGTGCTGCTGCGGGGCAGATCTGCCTGGAAAGGTCTTGCAGAGACAGAGTACTTTGTACTGCAGCATCACCCCCGTCGTCGGTCCAATGCATACCGTATCATCACCCGTGGGTTCCCACATTATCGAGGCAGGTGTCTTTTATTGTCATCATAGTTTTATATTTTAATATACCCTTATTAATATGTCTTCAATTGGCACACTGACCCATATTTGGGCTATTACATCAAAGAGATTCTCGATCATGTATAATATTGTCATCTTCAAGCCAAGCTGAATAAAAAAAAAAAAATAAAAATAAAAAAAAAAAAAAAAACGCCGTTTTGATCCATCGCATACTCCCTTCGCTCATTACTATTGTAAACTGTCATTACAACTGTAAATACACCACGTCTTTACGCCTCATCTCACTTTAAACTGGTCAATTTCCAACCTTCTTTTAACTCTCGCTTAACAGGAAAATCATAGGGCGCACAGAGCAAATATTAATGTGAAAGTGAAAGAAATGAGGGTTGTTCAACTTGTTCAACCTTCTTTCTTTATTTATCTTTCTATGCCACCAATGAATACAAATTTTGAAATAACAAAGATGCATTCGTATCATTCGACATGTGCACATGGAACAAATAACCCCACTTTTTATATTCACATTCATGTTCACTCGCCTGTCGCTCACACACTACACTATCTGACAAAGTACAAACCTGTTTCGTTTGTTGTTGTTCCTATTATTGAGCGATTTTCTTTTCTTTCATGAGCATTTTTTTTTGATCTCTGGGTTCATTTGTAATATTTCACAAGGAATATTTTCCCTTCGAGACAAACGATTGTTAAGTCTATTAGGCCAGCACATTATCAGTCGTGAATGGTGTAAATATACAATAGTAGAAATTTGCCCCCCCTCCCTTTCTCTCTCTTTCAATCTCGCTCATATTTCATTTCCCTTTTTTCTTTTTATTCATTTCAGAAGAATGGGAGGAATTTATCTATTCGTGATGATTGCATGCACAGATCAACTGGTTAAATGATGTGATTATGGAGGAATAGAAAAGGGAGAGCGAGGAGAAATAAAATGGTTTGTGACACCACAATTTAACCGGTCTTAATCTTCTTGCATTCATTTCTTTTTATTATATTTCAGTGGCCGAAGGTGACCTTGAAGAGTTACTACAGTCCGAACTCCAGTTCCTTTCCCGGATGGTCCGTGTGTCGATCCAGGGCAAGGTCACTTCAAAAAAAATCTCAACCTGGCTCAAGTCAACATTTGAGAGGAATGATATTGTAAGTTTCTACTACATCTACCCTCCCATTTCATTTTATCTACACAGCATCATATACTTTCCTTCAAACATTTGTCGAACACATGCATTCATGTACACATCACATCTTTTCCCGCATCCCAACGTTTTTCTACTGAATCCTTATAATAATTCTGTCATAACCTACTGCTTTCTCTCTCTCTCTCTCTCTCTCTCTCTCTCTCTCTCTTTTTATTTATATTGCCTTTCTAATCCTGCCATTTCACGCATTTTTGGTCTCTTACATTTTTTATTCCTGTAGTTGACTATCGCGCCTCCTGAGGATTGTCTATCCAAGAACCAAGTTCGACGTCCTAATCCCCTAGACACCCTACCTCAACACGACGCTGACGATTACTTGTCTGATTCATCATACGCCTCCCGTGGAGAATTGACGGATGTCTACTCTTCTGCCACGCGTTTCAAAGCTCAACGGCCTTTAAGAAGAGCTATTTCACTTGAGGACCTTTTAGCAGCCACTGAGCTCCATCATCAACTAATTCCCGTCGAACAGACCCCACAGTTTAAGCAGCAATCTTCATTACCAGCTTCGTCAATATCACCACCACAGCAGCATCGCTCCGAACCATTGACATTGAATCAATACCTACCGTTGAATCAACACTTGCTGCTGAATCCTATTGAAAGACCAGCGTCGTCTGCCTCTATCTATAATCGACGCCAGCATTCGCGTTCTAATATGTTAGACCAAGAAGTGACATTCATACCTCTGAAAGATCGCCCCAATTTACGATCACAATCACGATCGCAATCACGATCACGATCACGATCACGTTCACATTCACATTCTCGAACACGATCTATGCGTACTAACCGCCTTGCACGTCCTCAAAAACCTCGCGCAATGGCCATGAGTATCGATAGCGCAGCTCAGGACCGTGAAGATCATGTCGGTCTTCCTACACCTGAAGTAAGCCCAGAAGAGCTATCTGAAAGTTCTGAAGAGATGGTGATCGTTCAAGGAAAATTATTAGAAGAAGCAAGGATGGCCCGCTCCAGTTGTGACCAATCATTTTCAAAAGGAATTTATGGATCTTTCCCTGGCACAGAATTTGGGTCGGGATCAGGACCGAGTACAGGCGCGGGCGCAGGAGCAGAGTTACCGAGCTCCAGTGGTGAGACAGGTGCTAATACAGGTGGAGGGCCTTTAAGCTGGATAACAGCGTCACCATTCATTGATACTTTAGTCAATTGGATCGAAGGCCCTGAGCAACCCATACAGCAGAGAAACCAAGAGAGAGAGAAGCCAAATCCTTGGCTTGATATTCCGCTCCAATTCATTGCCCTCTTGACTTATCCAGAACCAGATCCAAAAAATGGCAACAAATTGACTCTCGCTAGTAAGTTTCACAAATACGAGAAGTAGGAAGAGGAAGCCAGAAGAGGAGGGAGACGATCGACAAAGGATATATGGTTTCCAAAAAGAAATTGAAAATATTAATTTTTTTTTTTTTTTTTTTTTTTTTTTTTTTCCCTTTGTGATGATTTAGTGGTGCGTGAGACAGCGTTTGTACGTCAGCGACGCCGGACGTTGCTGATGCTCACGGCGTACACGCTCATGGTGCGTTACTGCAGTTTTGATTTCTTTATCGTGGTCTTGTTTGCAAGCAATTGCGCCATGCTCTTCTTGATGAAGAATTCGGGTCGCATGAACGTGAACATGGCAAAGCGAGCAGTTCGACAAAGAGTTGGATGGGCCAAACAGTGGGCTGGCGGTATCTTCCGACGGGGTGGAACCAACAATTATAACACGAATACCAACAATGGTAACACAGCCAGTGCAGGGAATGGACACCAACCCGGTAGCTTTGGTAACTCACAGCAACATCTTAGCAACAGTGGTTGCTATTCTCCTTCTACAACAGAATTTGTGAGACATGTACAGGGATCACCTGTAATAGGGGAGTGTCCAAGCCCTGCTATGAATGAGGGGAGTCCACAGATGAAGAGGCGTGGCATTTTTGGGAAGCGTCGGACAGTCGACAATAGTAACCTTACTTTGGTTGCATCCGGCGCATCTGCCCAAACTAGTATTATTCCCGGATCTACAACAGCCACAGGAGTCGCATCGGTTCATGGATCCTATTCGCATACTGCGGTTGCTGCTGCTACAGCTGCTGCCGCAGCTGATGGGATCTCCATCATGTCATCAGTAACGCCAACCACACCAAAGCGGAGGTTTTTTAGGAGAAATAACATTAACAACAACAACAACAACAACAACAACAACAACAACAACAGCAACAGCAACAGCAGCAACAATAGTAACTCGCAAACCAACACGGGACCTCAGATGCCTATAAAATCCAAAGCTAGTACATCTTCGTCTAGTTCATCAAAGACTCTGGCAACACAGCCCCAATCTACAGAGATACCAGGAGGAGTGCCGAATAGATTGACAGCAATGAATATCCCACCTTCGTCCTCTTCTTTGGTTTACTTACAACCCCAAGCACAGTCGCTTTCCCAGTCTCAAATCCCAGTGTCAAGGCCCTTCAGTCCCCCTCTACCATATTCTCAGACCCTATCTACATCGCCTACATCTACTTTAAAGGATTCAACAACAACAGCAGTAGCAACGGCAGCACCTTTGTCTATGTCTTTATCTCACATGGATATAGCTGAGTGTAATGGTGATAAAAAGGAAGTCAGATGGTCCACAAAGTCGCAGTCAATTTCAGCATCATCAGTAATGAAAACATCGGGGATTTCACAATTACTGGGTCGGTCATGCCCCACTCCTACTCTAACAATGACTGGTCCTTCTAAGGATCATCACAGGCACAAACAAATAGGAGGAGAGACACCTGGTGTGGACCTGAACGTAGATGTTGATGTAGATGCGGAAGATGATACTGATGAAGGTGAAGAGGTAGACGAAGACGAATACAGAGATAAAGGCCAAGGACAAGGAAGAGACAGATACCGAGGCTGCCATGATGATCACTCGACGCTGGATGCGGTGACAAGTGCTGCAGCAAATGCCATGGAAGGCGTGTAATATAACTATACTAAATTGTATTATAGATTTTTCATCTTTTCTCATAAAACACTCATCTGAGACGTAAATCAATAGTTTCGCACCTTATAAAAAAAAAAAAAAAGGTCTTCTGAATGCTTATTCGTAACTTTTGGACCTTCAACAGTAAGAAAAAAAAAAGAGGAGGTAGAAAGAGAATTACGGCTAGGGGAAGAGGATAGCATGAGAGTTAAAAAAGGAAGAGACAGAGTTGAAGTCGTGATTGCCAATCGCACCATCATGTCTGTGCGCCTTGCAAAGAGAAGATCGTGTGGACGGAGCATGCGAAATGAACTAAAGTAAACAGTCGAGCGCTATGGAGGATTTTTTTTTTAAGAGCTGATAGGCTGGACTGATTAAATAGAATGTAAAAAAAGAGCGGTTGTACAAGATTCCTAGCAAAACCTAGAAAGCTTGGCTCAGGTTAATTCTTGCCTTCATATCGTCACAATAACAAAGGCGTGTGATCCCACAGCGGCAAGTCTTTAATTAATGACAAAGTCGTGATGGGAAGCATTTTAACACTTCTGATCAAAGTCTTGTTTTATTCTGTTCTTTGATTACGCGCATATTACAATGCGTTTGGCTGGTTTACCGCCTTATGTAAAAAAAAAAAAAAAAAAAAAGGATTCATGTCTAATATAATATCCATCAAGGACACACGAGTATCAAAGATAATATCAATTATTTGATATGGGGTATAGTACAACTCAATTACTATGTAAAGCATAAGTCCTATGTAGACAAATCACCGAAGTGTACTCTTTGGTCGTTCTCGATCGCGTACAAGAATGTCATATCCAAGAACAAACAGCATGTCCTTCCTCAAATTGTTCATGCCTGCTCCTGTATACGAACTGATCATTAATAGGCGTTCAGAGATGGCATGACGATACGTCTTTTTGAGCTCCTATTGTACGATTGTAGGTGTAAAGATGGAAATCACAAAGAGGTGGATATTTAGGAAATCAAACACGAGGTGGATATCGAGAAGAAAAAAAAGGCAACGCTTTTTTCGCTTACTTCTTGAACAAGCATGTAACAACGAGCCAGATCAGGTGGATTGACCAAATCACATTTGGTGAGAACTACTTGGAACTTTTTCGATTTACTAAATAAAAAAAAAAAAAAAAAAAAAAAAAAAAACTTAATGGGACAATTTTCATGTAGATCGTACAAACCTACAATGTTTTTAATATACTTTACCTGTCCAACATCGATAAAAACTCCTTATCTGCGACTTTGAGTCCATGACGAGCGTCGATCATGACATAGATCCGTCTCAATGTCTTACGAGAGCTCAGGTACTCTTCAATCTATTTGAGAGGTAAAAATTGCAAACATCAATATTTCACACGTTGAGAAAGCTCACTTGCAGACTTTTTTTACGAGAAAGAAGATAATTGTCCCACATACCAATTCTTTCCAGTTGTTCTTATCCTCTTCTTTTGCAAATGCAAACCCATATCCGGGCATGTCCACAACCACAAACTTTTCACCACATCGATAAAAGTTCAGTTGACGGGTCAAACCAGGCTTTGAGCTTACACGTGCTGTGTTTGGGGAATCAGTCAAGGTGTTCAACATGGTAGATTTGCCTACATTAGATCTCCCAACGATTGCAATCTCTTGTAATACAGAATCCTTGATTTCCCATTCTTTAGCCCGTTTCTTTGCTTCCAGCTCTTTGATTTCTTCAGGACTGAGTTTCAACCGCGCAGTCGCTATACTAGAACTCTCTTGGTCCTGAGGAAAGGGCGATGAAGAACTGAGGCTTTCTCTCGAATCCTTTAATAAACGATCGATTTCTTCCAGCTCATCAAATAGGTTGGGCCGAATCAACTTCAACAGGGCTTCCTCATGTGGGACGCTCTTCATGGTTGAAGCGCCTGCAACGAATCGCATTCCTGGAAATTTGACTTCTTCCTTCTCGACGATTTTTTTGGTCTTTTGCTCGAACCATACTTTTTTGGCTGGTAATCTATTCTCTCGTTGTTGCTGCTTCCATTCATCCGGCGAGAGTTTTTTATCCCAGGGACGAATGGTTTTATTGCCACGGTCGGAATTGTCAAAGGACCAAGTTTCGGCTTTGGCACCCAGACCCAATATTCGGATCTCATTCATGAGTTTCGTAGGAGGTGTAATGGATTTAAAAGCCTGACGTTTGGATATTGATGGTGTGCTCGATCCTTCTGAAGATGAAAGGATGGATGGTGACGAGGAGGGCAAAGATGAAGACTTGGAGATTGAGGCAGGCTTTGTCGCGAGATTGGCGTGATCCAATTCTACTGCTTCTTTCATAGGGTTATTTTCGCTTTTGGGCTTCTTTTTTAATTGCTTATGGAAATATGGAAGCCTTGCGCGGCTGGAGCAAGATGCTGAAAAATGACGGCTACAGACATTATTGAGAGCTTTAGTAGAAGTAGGTCGGCGCTCTCTTATTGGTGTAACTTCGGTAATAAAAGATCTGAGGAAGCTGATCAGATCTGTTTGGCGACATGTTTGATTGATCCTAATTCCCGATGACAACATGATTGACTTCGCTGCTACTATTGTAAATTGGTGCTTCTGAAAACCCTGTTTGTAGGTTGTTCCTGAAAGTTTTGGTACAGTACAAGTCAGGAAAAAAACTGATCAGTCAAAATAAACCTAGTTCCGATTTCTGAGCAATTGAATTGGTGGCTTTGTGTCATGGCCTTGAACTTGGGGGCAGGTGCATGTCATTCGCTATTGAAACAAAGCTCTCTCTCTCTCTCTCTCTCTTTTTTTTTTTTTTTTTCTTCCCACAAGCAAACAAGACTCAGACAGCGATAAAAAAAAATGCCAACAGAAAAGGAGAATGGCGAGCAGCAGGATCGTAATGAAGAGAGCTCATCCACCCTTGGAAAGCGTACTCATGAGGATAACCATGAACCACAGGTTCAGGAAGGCGATTCAGGCAAGTAGTGATGTCGTAAATCATATTGAGCTTGTTAAACGACGAGACAAACAAAAGTTGTTAATTGTATGGTCTAATGACTTGAATTGCTTAAATATTTAGGCTCTGAAGATGATATTGGTCCCATGCCAGTATCAGCTGCCGACGAGGTACAGAGCAAGAAGCGTAGGAAGCGTAAGTAAGCAGATCAAGTGATGGTGACATCAAGTACCGAGCATTACAGTGTTCAGTTGGGTTGGTTAGGTCAACATCTTACTTATCCTCCTATTTGTTATTTTTAGCCTTGCCTCATGAGCAGCTGTACATCTCTCGATTGCCTTCTGCAGAAATGTACGAGAAGAGTTATATGCATAGGGACGCGGTCAACTTTGTGGCGGTGACCAAGTAAGTCAAATCAAATTCATTTGCTTGCATTATCGAGGAACTAAAAGCCATTGTTCCAACCTGGCTAAATAACTTTTTCATTTCGTGTCCAGGACCGACTTCATCATCACCACTTCTGTAGATGGATTTCTCAAATTCTGGAAAAAGACTGAATATGGAATTGAGTTTGTTAAGCAGTACAGATCGCATCTCGGTAAAGAATTAGTATTACATTTTTCAAAGAGCGAATTTGTTTGCACCCATCATCAAATTTCCAATAAGGAGAATATTCTGTCCTTCGAAGGAAAAAAAAACGTCCACTGATCCATAATCGATCCTATGACTGTGTTTGCATTAGCTATAATTTCAGGAATCAGTGTGTCTGATGATGGTTTGCTCCTAGCTACTATTTCCCTGGATAAAACCCTCAAAGTTTATGATGTTATTAATTTTGGTAAGAGGTCGCAGTCAGATAGTGTCTGTTTAATCGATTACAGGAAATGAAGAATACATTGCTAACCTCTACTCTTAATTTTTTTTTTTAGACATGATTAATGTGATCAAGCTGGATTTTGTTCCTAGTACAGTATGTTGGATCCATAGAAGAGGCGAAGCACAAGCCAAAGCAGCAATAGCGGATGCAGATTCTTCTACCATTCATGTATTTGATGGTCGTGGCGATGGCAAATCCTTATTCTCAATCACTAAGCTTCATAATGGACCTGTGACTGCGATGGTGTTCAATGATAAATATAATTGTGTGGTTTCTGCAGACGATACAGGAGCTTTAGAGTACTGGAATCCGGATGAAGAACATGATTTGCCCAAGACAGTGGCATTTGAATACAAGAGTGAAACAGATCTGTATGAGTTCAAGAAGTGTAAATCGACTGCGACCTCGATTACATTCTCATATGACTTTGAAAAGTTTGTAACCATGAGTACTAAGGATCGCCAGGTCCGTGTCTGGAAGACAAGGACAGGAAAAATGATCCGCAAATATGACGAAAGTCTCGATGTCATTAATGAAATGCAATCGGTAACGTCTTCATTAAAACTGATTTAAAAAAAAAAAAAAAAAAAAAAAAATTTTACTAACCTTTTTTTTCATTTCTATCCTGTTCAAAACCAGACTGGACAAAAGATGTACAAGTTGGATGATATGGAGTTTGGTCGTCGCTTGGCAGGTGAACGTGTGATCACAAAGTCAACACAACAAGGCTGTTTAAATGCAGTATTTGATGAGAGTGGACACTTTTTGATCTACCCAACCATCTTTGGTATCAAGATTGTCAACATGCACTCTAACAAAGTCGTTCGTCTAATTGGGAAGTCTGAGCCTCAGCGCTTCATGAACGTGGCATTGTACCAAGGAGCACCCAAAAAGAAGAAGAATATGACCATGGTATTTAAACAAAATAAACAAGGCTATCTAAATATTCGAGATATTACTTGAAAGTAACAATCCTCTCTAAGTTATCTTTATTATTATTATTATTATTATTATTATTATATATTTCCTCTTTATAATAGGCAATGGTAGCGTCTGAAAACTCTGTACTCAAGGAATCAGAGATGCGAGATCCGACATTATTCTGTACAGCCCATACCCGCAGCCGTTTCTACATGTTTACAGAACGTGAGCCTGATCAAGGGCCATCTCATAAGGCAGACCGTGATGTCTTTAACGAGAAACCCTCACGAGAAGAGCAGGCGGTTGCAACAGCCCAGCATACCAAAAACAAATTGGGAACAACAGCTATTTTGCGTACCACCATGGGCGACATTCAGATCAAGTTATTTCCTGAGTTGGTGCCCAAGACTGTGGAAAACTTTGTGACCCATTCCAGGAATGGATATTATGATAATGTTATTTTCCACCGAGTGATTAAATCCTTCATGTTACAAACGGGCGATCCATTGGGGGATGGTACAGGAGGCACTTCGATCTGGGGCAAAGAATTTGAGGATGAATTTCATCATGATTTGAAACATGATCGACCCTATACAGTCTCAATGGCGAATGCAGGACCAGGGACGAATGGGTCTCAATTCTTTATCACGACAGTTCCAACACCCTGGCTTGACAATAAGCATACAGTCTTTGGAAGGGCTGTAACAGGGATGGATGTGATCCATAATATCGAGAATTTGAAGACAGATAAGAGCGACAAGCCCTTTGAGGAAGTCAAGATCATGAACATTGAGATTCGATAATCACTGAAACAAGTGTTCGCCTGGAATCTTTTTTTTTTTTTTTTTTTTTTTTTTTTTATTAATAAAATCGAACTTGTGAATTTTATGAGACTTCCAACGCGGATCGCTTTTTTCTAAAACACGAAGAGTGTTACAAGAAAGGGCTCTCAAGCCACGAAGGAAATGTCAAGTTTCTATTCATTCTTTTCCATTTCAACCCAGAGGTTTATTCCATTCTTTCATTCTTCATCCCTTTACCCTTCTTTCAAGATGCTTGATCTCATTGACTGGTCTTCACTTCCTGCTGGACTTTTACCCAAGTGGCTCTGGGTCGTTGGTGTCACTTCGTTCCTGAACACCTTCCAAGCTTTTGTTACCCTCAAAGCCACTCGCCGTCTCTATGCTAATAAACCTCATGAAGGTATTGCTAACGATTTTAATGAAATATATATATGAAAAGCAATAGCTAGTTTTCTTATACCGGTATGAGGAAAAAATGAATTTGCTAAACGAATCTATCTGTGAACTTTCCAAATAAAAAACAATAATAATAATAATAATAACAATAATAATAATAATAAAAAAAGTTACCAATCTTTCTGCTCGTACATTTGGAGTGTGGACCTTTCTCAGCTCTGTCATCCGTCTTTATGGTGCCTATAATCTCCAATTTGCACCGTAAGTATATAAGAAAAGTATGAAAAAAAAAAAAAAAAAAAAAAAAAAAAAAGCAGGCTCAAGTCATTAATAACTTACTGATTTTTTTTTCTTTTTTTACCTTATCCCAGAATGTATAACATTGTGATCTGGACTTTTGGAATTGCCTGGGTACACTTCGTGTCTGAGTTCGTTGTCTTCAGAACCGCCAAGATCACTGGCCCTTACTTGGCCCCCTGCATCGTCTCCAGTAAGTCGAAAGCGCTTTCCCCCCCCCCCCCCCCACCTCTTTCCTTTATTTTTTGGAATGTCAATAAAAAGCTAATAGTTAACTTTTTTTTTTTTTTTTTTTTTTTTTAAATTATACAAAAAAAAAAAAAAAAACCTTAGCCACCTCGTTGATCTGGATGATATCGCAATATGACCACTATGTTAAGCGCTATTGAAGAAAATGACATGTTAGTCTGCGCTCATTTGGATTGGAATCCTGTAGATAGAGAGAAGAAAAAAGAAATGTGCAGTGCATTTTCATATTAAATAGAAATAATTGTTACTTTTTTTTTTTTTTTTTTTTTTTTTCCATACATGTTTGGTCATTTATTTAATTAGGTAGACTTTTCTACGCGATCAAAGATCATTCACGTCATTTATTGAAAATGATATACATCTCCATGTAAAAAAAATAATAATAATATTGAATCACTTTCTTTTTCTATCTACCAAAGCAATATGGTGGGTCATAACAAGATCCAGAAAAAGAGAAAAGCTTTATTTAATTCAAAGGTACACTGTACAATAATAAAAAAAAAAGAATGTACATTCATATCTGTCTCACTCATCATAATAATCGTTCTCCTTTTTTTTTTTGCCAAAAAAAAAAAAAAAAAAAAAAAAAAAAAGGATTAATAGTTGTGACCGAAGCTTGTAAAGTTGCTACCCCAAGTCGTCGTATAACTCTCGGAAGTATGAGCAGAATGATTGACCGAGGACGTCTCACTGCCACTATTGTTGTTCTCATCGTCGTACAGAGAAATTTTTCGGTTACGCAATGAAGATAGCTCTGCGGCCCTGTTTAACCGTGATGTCAGCTGGTCCAGCTCAGTCTTCTTAGATTCATCACTATTGCTGGAAGAAGAAGAAGCCGATCCTGTAGAGGGTGTTCGGTTTGCATATAGATCCACCGGTGGAACAGGTAATGGCCGTGCAGACCCTTTGTCTAATAATGATACTGATGGCACTGATGATGAGGCTGCCATTGAAGCTACGGCAGCCAATTTGGGTGACAGGGCATGATACGCCCATGAAAAATATCCCTGAGCAGACGGGGCATTTATATTCGCGCTCGCATCAGTCGAGGTCCCTGAAAAGGCAGAAGATGTTGCCACGGTGCCGAAGCTACTAATGGACGTAGCAGATCTTGTCGAGGGAGTTCCCGCATCCTTATCAGCTAGGGATGAAGATGATGAACCTGATTGAGACTGTTGGAGATAGGAATAAGAAAAGAAAAAAAAAAAAAAAAAAAAAAAAAGATGGATAGAGACAGTTGTGCGAAATACTTTGATTAGGATCACCACACAAAGACCCATGTACTACCCATCAGCAACAACAGAATAAAACAAACCTTTTTGTAAAGATCAAACGCAAGGTTCTGTAGCATTTGGATGGCTTGTTTGATGTACTGCATGCCCATAGCCATGGCTTGCTTCTGCATATCCTTCAAAGCCTTGTCAATGTCGTGCTCATGCTGAGAAAGATATGGATCCACTACGGCCTGATAAAGATAGATTGAACCCTTTATGCGGGAAAATGGGACGCACAAATAAAAGGAAAACTATGAGTATACTAAAGAGTAGAATATCCCGTGATTACTCGCGGTTCTTTTTTTGTTGTTGTGCTTCTTTTGTACCTGTGTCTGAGGTAAGATCATCCAAAGAACAAAGAGTAACTTGATTTCATAGTAAAAAGGGAGCCTTTTTAATAAACGAATAAAAGAAATAAAAAGGAATTCAATATGTTTGTTTCTTATTCATTTGGTTAATTGCCCAGACTATCAAGAGGTACTTTACCAGAAGATAAATGTGTCCAGTACAAACTCGACCAGGCTGAATATGCCCATAACAGTCCAATACATGAGCCATGCTGTCAAGCGGGTGCTATTTCGTGAGTTGATTGCCTTGTACGACGCGTATGCTGGGTACTACAGAAAAAAAAAAGAAACTCAGATTAGGCTATTGTCCATCAAGACAAGACGAGAGCAATTGAAGGTAGAGTACTTCGCCCACTTACAACTGAGCCTGCAACCGTGCTACATTGGGGATAACATATATCCATGTGGGATCAACAGTGTCAGTATCCCTGCCATTATTTTTTTCTTCTTCTTCCCTTCTGGAGCAAATAGTGAGCCGCAGTATTTGCAAGGTTTTACCTGACTACTCGTGATATAAGATATAGAAGCATTTAAAAAGTTAAATGGGAAATACAACAAGAATGGAAGTAGGATGGATTTAGAAAAAAAAAAAAGAATGAAAGAATGAAAGAGTGAAACAATGAAACAATGAAACAATGAAACAATGAAACAATGAAAGAAGAGTAAACGCGCAAGCAAAAAAAAAAAAAAAAAAAAAAAAAAAAAAGACAGGTGTGGATGGAATGAATAGTTGACAGGGGGCTAATGGGAGAATGCATTCGTGAAGGTGTGGAGGCGTGACGGTCTTTATTTTGCAGGAAGAGCTTACTCTTGGGCGGATGCTGTTTGAGCCTTCTTTATTGTTAATATTATACAGAGATGATTGTGAATCTAAAAATCTATAATTTTCTATCACTAAAGTCCAAGGACAGTCTTCAGATCTGGGACAACACCTAACTTGAGTAGACGATCAATCATTTTAGTCTTTCCCCGTTCGACACACCAGCTCAAGCATTGACCATCAGGCATGACACCGTTTGTCAAAAACACATCCAAGACTTCATTGTGTTCCTCCACGCATGCCCAGCGAAGAGCTTTGATATCTGGAGGAGCTCCAAAGGTTAATAGTAGCTTAACCATCTCCACATCCCCTCTTTGCGATGCCCTCACTAAAGGATAATGATGTTGATAAGATGGTGAGGCACCTCGTAAGAGTAATTGATGGATCAAAGGTATAGATTCGCTAGATTTGAACAGTCGTCGTGGCATCGGGAAATCTTTAGGTAATGGAATGACTTTTCCATTTTGCATGTCATCAGTAGACGGCAGTCTTGTCGCTGAAGAAGAATCGCCATTATTTCCCGCATCCGGTGATCGTTTTCGTTGCTGTTGTTGTTGCTGTTGTTGTTGCTGTTGTTGTTGCTGTTGTTGTTGCTGTTGTGTGTTTGGTTCCGGTGTAGGAAGTTGATATTTCTTCCGCTTCTTCCTTGGTCGTTCTATTGTGCTTTGGACATTTGTGTCTGGTATAGAGTCAGAAGGAGAAATATCAGATTGCTTATTCCTTGACTGTACTCCTGTAGCGCTTTTAAGTAGGGCCTTTCTTGATTCCTCTTCAAGTATCCGTGTTTGTTCTTTATAAAAGATTCGGTCCAAAACGCTGAGGAGTTCAAGGTCAAAGAAGGTCCACCGAAGACCTTTTATGACAGCTTTGACATAGTTATATCTGTATCGCACAAGCAAGAATTCAGCGCGGGTTGCTATTGACTTTGAAAGTGGGGCGAGAATATGATTGATTTCTCGACAGACAAGGACCAATGAAGGATTCGAGGAGAGAGTAAAAATAGTGACAATAATTTCAGATGGTAATGTGAGAAATGTGGCCTTGGGCTTGTTTGGCATGTTATTGTCAAAAGTAAATTTTAAAAAAAAAAAAAAGTGAATGCATTTTTAAGATCAGTTTTTTGTGTTTTTTGAAGCCACCATGTGACCTCTCTTCATTCTTTTACATTGTAACTTTCAACAGCATCGCTTCATTAAGCATAATGGACTCTGCAAGCAGCCAAATTACAGCAGCACTTCAGGAAGATGTCAACATCCTTCGTCAGGAATGTGAGTGAGGGGCTAATTAACAGGATTTTAAAAGATTGAAAAAAAAAAAGAAGAGGACAGTGTGTTGAACATGGTTTTTTTTTTTTTTTTACCACAAAATTAAAAGTGCTTGCCTTGGAGGAAAAGCGCGCGTCTCTTTTAAAGCAAATTGATGAGGAAGAGAGAAGCATGGTCGAAGGTGAATACAGTTTTATGGGTGCCATTGATCAAGATATAACAAAAAAAAAAAAAAAAAAAAAAAAAGTAAATAAAAACGATACTTCAAAAGGAATGTGGTCTTAATAATGGATGTTGGATCACATTAAAGAACCTACAACGCTAGTACCTCCTACCCCAACCAAGACTGATAAAGATGAAAAGAGAATGCAGAATATCCTTATGGCATATCGTTTGACTGGAGTCACGTTGTTTAGCGTCAATGAACTGGATGAAAACGATTGGTCAGCATATCCCATGGATGGTTTCCCTGAAGCACCCAAAGAGGTAGGCATCCGCTTTGAAACTTTTGCTCAAGGTAAATACTGTAAGAAAGAAAATGCATTTTATTTTATTTTTAGTTGCCCTAGCTCTAATGCCATGCTTGTTGTTGTTTTTTTTTTTTTTTTTTTTTTTTTTTTTTTTCGATAGGAAAGTATCACGAACCGTATTATGTCATACTCAGAAAAAAGACATTGAAGCAAAGTGATGATAAAGATCAGCGAAAGGATAAAGATGGCGCTGCTGATGGCGATAATGAGCAGCAAAAACAGATGCAAAAAGAGGGTGATATGCTTTACGTCTACAAGCATACTATCCCACATTGGATTCCCTTACAAGAAGTTGAGAAACGATATCTTAATCGGGATGTTAATGTAGGTGGAGTACATAACCCACGTGGAAAAGTGAAACAAATGAATTCAGAGAGCAGTTTTTTTTGACATGCATTTGTTTAATACTGCGCCTTAGACATTCACACGAATAATCTCAGAATATCTTCAGGAATATGTGGCCCAAAGAGAGAGTGAGAATGCCAAAGCTATAGTAAGCCCTACACTGCCTGGACTGTCTGAATTATAACCCTCATTGAAGAAAGACCCTGCATTCCTCCTGAATATTCCGAGGCTAAGTGACGAAATAAAATCTTGCTGTTTCAAATTCGGATTCATGATTTTCCTTTTGCGTTAAAAAAAAAAAAAAAAAAAAAAAAAGGAGATTGATTGTTCCGATGAGCCTCTCTTTCTTCCTCCATTCCACTTCTTCATCCCTAATCCTTTTCTTTCATTCCATCATCACAACAACAACAACAACAATTATAATAACCATTATTTCTAATTGCTCCTACAACTCCAGACTATTTGATTTTATAACAAAAAATGTCGTCATTCAACTATGGATATGCAATGGGTAACGTCCTGCGATATGACTTGACATGGGTGGGCAACCCAGATTTGTAGCATTAACGGTAGCGTTGTATTTTTAACATATTATATATAGGTGATATGCCTGGCGAGAGGCGTATTGTCACTCCGCCAATGCTGGGAGAAAAGATCTCGCTTTCACTTGGTCACACCTCCACATTTGTATTTTTAGGAACTAAGGCAGAGATCCTTGAGTGGTTCAGGACAGTAGGCCCTACCAAGACAATCCAAGCAACAGTGTTCAATAATCGTCCACCATTGGATCTTGTCTTTGATCTTTTTCAAGTGACCAATCCAGACATGACATGGACACAATACTATCAATCGTTTTATCGATCAGACCCTACATTGGAACGATATCGATTAGAAATCCGACCTGAACAACCCAAGATCGACTCAGAGCTAGAGCCATTGTATAGGATGTATGCCAAGAGTGGCGTTTGTTTAGGGGATATGGCTGATGCATTGGAGAAGAAATGGTCGCAACCACCTGTGAAGTCTTATCTGGATATGGCAAAGGAAATGTTTATGGAAAGAGAAGAAGCCACCGATCATGCACAGGAAGTCGCTGCGGAGACCAAGAAAATAGATGAACAAGAACATGATGTTGAATTAGAAGACGTAGTTGTTAAGGTGCCAACGGAGAACAGCAGCCGCCCATGAAAAGGCAGAATATAAATTATATAAAATGTTGCGACAACCCAATATCCTGGAAACAGGAGCTTGTGTGACTAATCATCATGATACAAATGTCTATGAAGTGAAACAAAGTCATGTCGTGTTTAGAGACGCGTGCTTACATGTATCTTTATTATAAGCTTTCTGCATGCGATCCCACGGGATGCTTTCTCACCTTCTGAACATGAATATCTAAAGTGCTCTTAAAATAAATAGGAAAAGAGCGAGGGGAAATCCGATGACAGCTCCGGGGTTTAGTCCTCTGGCTATTAGCGATGGTATAATATACATGTGTAGTAGATATCGGCTGCGAAGAGGAAAAGAAAAAAAAAAAAAAAAGATTAAAGAGCAAATGCATGCAATTCTTTTTTTAAAACTTGTCGCAAAGCATTCACCACATTCCTGACTCTCCATCAACATTTTGATTAATCTCGAAATATCAGAAGAAGCGCCCTACTTTTTTTTTTTTTTTTTTTTCCTCATATATATGTTGGCTATGAGATGTACCCTGGTTTCTCGAGTCATGAAATCAACTTTAATGGTGAGATAACAAAGAAATGGGAAAGAAAGGCGGTTTAATATCATGCACGATGTTTGTGGCGATAATATCTAGGGACTGGGTCCTCTTTTAACTTTCTTTCTTCTGCATGCCTTTATCCAATCCTTAATCTGTTCCTGACAAATATCTAAATTCCGGGCAATCTTTCTTTTTTTTTTTTTTTTTTTTTTTTTCTCCTGCTTTTGTTTCCTTTCCTGCCTTGGTATTCATACTTTATATTCAATAACCCTCATCGCAATGCCTTGAAAATGAAATGAAAAAAAAAAAAAAAAAAAAAAAAAAAAAAGCCATCAAAGAGAACTTTGTCCATTCATCAAGAAAGACAATTAAACTTTTGATGCGCGGGAAGAATTGAGAGGCATAGCTCCCAGTGATGTTAAAGGTTGAACTGAGGTAGTACAGAGTACAGACTCTGTTCTTCGATCTATCTTTATCGCTATTTTCGAACTCAGGATAAGTGGAACTGAGATCCTGTATATTTGCATGACAAGCAAACGAAAGTAAGTAATAAAGTAATAAAGGCCAGTGCTTACATCCCCCTTTACATTCAGTATATACAAAGGGCGAACCCACATTTGTTGACAAAAAACAATGCCAGCTCGTGACCCAATTTGTTGTCTATGACAGATTGTGTAATACATTACCTGCCACTCTCTCTCGTGTGTCTTGTTGATATTAGGAATAGCATTGATGTTGATGTTTACATTGCACCGACATTGACGTTGATAGACTGTATACAGTACATTGAAAATATGCCTTTTTAATCTCTTTCTTCCTTGTGCCAGCAATGCAAAAGCTGCAAGTGAAGAACAACGATGACAACGAATCATTAGGGATGGGAATAAAGAGGATAGAGAAAGGCAATAGTCTAGAGGATGGAGAGAGGATTGTTCATCTGTGCATGACTTCCGAGAAAAGAAATGAAAAAAAAAAAAATTCATGCAAAAATAATAATAATAATTATATATAATAATATATAATAATACATAATTAAACTATACACCTGGGACGAAGACGCGGGAAATTGATAGCAAAAGTGAAAGGGAGATTGATCCGTTATACTCATATACGTCGACCAAATACCAATTGTACCGCGTCAAAGTGAGCAAAAAAGAGCCATGCTGGCTTTCATTTCAACAATTCATCAATCCATCAGATACTGAGAGGATTGGATAGGCCTATGAAATGCTATAGCCCAAGCATCGCGTTATGTACTGTATATGTATTTTGATTGGTTTCATTCTAGTCTTTTCAATGCATGTATGCTTTGTTCTCTCATCACCGAAGGAACGTCTGAATGAGTTGCGGGTGAAAATGATACTGGGAAGAGAAAGATTTCTCGCGCTTTTTTATTCCTCTTTGTTTGTCTCGCCGATTCATGCAAAAAAAAAAAAAAAAGCGCTGCATCCCTCGACGGGGTACCTAACGTGGCAAATCGTTTATTTGTCCATGGCTTGATGCCCCTTGGTTGGATCAATGCGTTAATAAGTCTAGCATAGCATGGTTCTTTTTCTGCAGTATTACCGCTTGGAATTCATCTTAATCTGATTTAATTCTTTTTTTCTACAACCTAATCGTCTTTCTCTTCTCCTACTGCTTTTTGATCTGTACATGTGCTTGTTATTTTATTAAAATAAAAAAAAAAGTTGATGTTTGATGTTCATCATCCAGGTCGCTCAGATATTTATTGATATTGTACATTTTATTAATACATTGCAATTGTCGGATATGGAGACATGTCTTTGTTTGTTATTTTGTTTTTCCCGCCAAACAAAACACGGAGGTCAAAGACACAACCTGGAGGGGAAAAAAAAAAAAAAACAAAAAAAAGACAGAGGCGACATTAACATCGGTGACTGAAGGCAAAGGACAAAGAATTCCGTTGACTGTGCTTGATGATGTGATGACCATATTCTCTTTCTTTTAGTATATACTACATTTTAAGAAAAAAAAAAAAAAAAAAAAAAGAGCATGGGATTGGAGATGCATGGGACTAGAGCTTTTTTTCGAGAGTATATGAATTAGGGGGCTAAAGCAACTTTACAGATTCAATTCATTCCATTCCCCTGTCTCCCGTGTAAATAAGCATGGCCAATGGTGTAGTCCACCCAATCACCCTCAATCCTCGCCTCAGGGTCAGTGAAATAAGCATGGCATCCCTGTTCACCATATTGCCCGTCTCTCTCTTTCTCTTTGCTCTAAACTTCTTTGCTCTTACTTCTTCTTCCTTCTCTCCTCTTCTTCCCCACCTTCCTTTGGGGTTGCTGCTGTTGTTGCTATTGCTGTCGCCTTTTCTACTTCTACTCTTTCCATCTCTACCCGGACTGTTGTCTCATTTTCCATTCCTATCTAACCACCACCATCACCATCACCACCACCACTATCTCAACTATCTCCACTATCTCCACTCTCTTTACTATCACCTATTCTCTTTCACCCCAACTCGACTACCAAAGCAGCAGTATCAATATCAGCATACCGCATCCTAACCACCTTCGGCACACATTTCTAGGCATATCTCTTCAGATTTGACAGAGCCAACAGGGGGTGTGATAAAAAAAAAAAAAAAAAAAAAAAGGCTCTAGACTTTTGAGACCCTTGTCTACAACACCAACTTTGAACGCACAACAATATCGATGACAGTATCGTAAGAGACATTGTCAGAGGTATAGTAAGGTTCAGCTTATCCCGCCACTCCTTAGCGCGCTCCATCCACTCAGTCTCTGAGTCGTCGACTTTGCATTTTACCATTTCCAACCGCTCTTGCCTTTACTTCACCCTTCGTCGTCAACATTCCTATCCCCATCATCACTCATCGTTATCACATTCTGAATCAAGTAGAGAAAGGAGGACAATTTGATCGATACTATTGTAGGATACAGCTCCGGCAGTGCCACTAACGGTTGGAACATTAGTGGCAAAAATAGCAGCACAACAGTCCTTCGAACAGACAAAACTACCGAATCAAGAGTCGGAAGCGGTGTACATCTTGAAACAAATATACGAAACTCAGGAACATTAACGGCATCATCATTCCTACTAAGTCGCGACTGACGACAGCGGGCTATCGCTACTACCTCCACTATCGCCTCAACAAAAAAGAAAGGAACAAAAAAGGCCAAGTGCACTGAGCTTGTTGGCGATCCATTTGTGAGTAATAATAAACAGACTATCAGCCCCCCACAATCTTTTCCTCACACCGCTCCTTGCCTTCAAAACCAGTCTTGATCTTGTTTCCATATTTTCCCATCCTACCTGATTCGCACCCAACATCTATAAGGGAGCTCTTGCTCGCCCTTATTCCCTGTCTTGCCCATTAGTCCATGATTTCTCACTTGTTTGAACCTTTCCTCATATAATTCTGCCCTGTGGCCTTGCTTAGTACCTTTTAGTCCTCTGCAGATCCACATATCTCTCGACCCAGTGGTTGCTCTCCCCCAATCTTGCGGTTCTCATTAAATAGGCCTATCTAACAAGCTTAACGTTCAAGCATAGGCATATTACCATTCATATCGTACCCTGTAAACATAAGGGTTGAGCCGCTGTCACGTCTGCAGCATAAGGGGAAAAGCATTCCATCTTTAACCAGGATCTAACAGGAAGAATTAATAGCAGCGATTTGCTTTAATCTGTCCATAACGACCATTAAGGCTACCAATACTACTTCTTATCTCTGAAGGTTAAGGAGATTCATCTTCGGTCCTCTTCTCCTTCATTTCCCGCGGAGCGGAAGATTCCTTCAACATTCGGGGGTTAGGCAGCTTGGGTCGGAGTAGCAGCAGTACCGCTCGTCCTGGCGGTGGCAAGGGCGGTACTGTTGCAGTCAATGACAGCTCCGTAGCATTTCCCAATACTTCTGTATCACCTACAGCATCTGGAAATGGATCTAGAACAAGCCCAGTCCAGAAACGCAAGTCGTGGTCATTCTTCACATCATTTAAGAACCGACGTACCTCAATGCCAGTGCAGTCTTCCTCAGTCGAACAAGACAAAGCAGCATCGCTCATCAAGAAGGGCCAGTTATCGCTGCTTATCGAATCCTCTCGAGGACTCAGTCAGAAGGACACCCACAGGAGCCCAGCACAAGAAACCAATGGCCACACTCTTTTGCAACAGCGACAGTTGTCACAACAATCTATTTCAAAGGGATCAGTTACTAATGCCAGTTCTTCTGACTTTACCCCAGTCCCTGCTACAAGAACTAGTATTGATGCATCTTCTACGTTGGTTCCACAAGAACGCTCCCTGCTCTCATCGGCAGGCTTTATGTCCCGCTCCCGAAGAGTTTCTACAAAGAGCTCTTCAGGTATGGACCATAATACATCTGCAGAACCCGTTAACAAAAACAAAGTCCACATCGAAATACTTCAGAATAAAGCATCATCCGACGTATCGCCCGATCAGCCATCTCTGCAACAATCAACTCAAGCACAAGCAATATCCCAAGTTCAATCTATACCCATGCGGACACAGCCAGAGATCCAATCTTCCCAGTCTCAACAGTCTCAACAGCCAGTACCGCAGAAACACAAGCGCCGAAGATCATATATACCTAATATACCTACAAGTTTGATCACCTCTAATCTGGCCAGGTTCGTCAGTGGGAATCATAACGCATCATCGCCAACAGGGTCATCATCCACAACAGGTGCTGGGCTAAGTCAAGCAAATTCACCGCGGTCACCTCGCTCTCCAAAGATAGTCTCAGCTGGTGCGCATGCAAGCACAGGTACGGGATTTCCTATCTCTGGTGGCCCTGCAGGCACCTCATCGTCATCTAGAATTACTGATCAGCACCAATCCAAAGCGGGAGACGACGATCGAAGCTCTTCTGCCTCACAACAATCCCAATCGATACTGACTGATGGAGCCGTGCTAACGATTGAGCAGTTCAAGTGGTGCAGTATCAGTTGTTGTAACGAAATAAGGAATCGAGGTAAGATTGAATGTTAAGAGAAAAAACAAAACAATATATATATTTATAAAGAAAAGAATATTAAAAGTTCTTGTCTTTCATAATCCTTGATAATAAAATCTTCATAGTGGCCAAACAACGGATTGAGTTTCACAAGCCTTCTCAAATGCCTTCTGGCTCAAATCCGGACGTTGCTATGAACCCGTCGACGTCATCTATTGTGCCCCCACCACAACGTAAACTCGAAAAACCTAGTAAAGTGAGTCGATTTAACAGCGGTCTCTTGCAACCTTTGGGATCTACACAGTCTGTAGCCGACACAACACCACTCAAAGATGATGCTCGTGGGACATTACAAGCCCTCTTGCAGGTGATGGCCATGTCAACGGCAGATGACACTTCCACATCAGGACAATCACGACGTGACAGTGCACAGGACCCTTTGGCGGGAAGTGCAACAGTAGCGTTCTATCACGGATCGTCCATGGCGCAGCCTCAAAATCCATCTCTACTATCGTTAATGAATGGTAGCAACAATAGTACTGGAGGAGGTTCATTTCAATCACTTGTGCCATCAGCGGCCTCTACCACCAACACAAATACAGCAGTGGGATCACCATCGCAACAACAGCAGAATCAGCAACACATCGGAAGCCCTGCGCTAAGGCGGCTGCGGAGCAAAAGGTCTCAATCAAAGCTGGCGCTTGCTCAAGCCAATGATGCAATTCTAAACCCTCTCTCACTGGAAGAGCTAGTCCGTCTATTGGCGTGCACACTTTCGCTAGCACCGGAAGAATGGATCCCAACCCATCTGTATGATTTCTTTGTACGACCCCAAGGGCGGAAATACCGCGACTTGGTCGAGCTCTTGCCTACACAAAGCCAGAGAATATTAAAATATGTGCTTGAAACTGTTGATGCGTTAGTTGATTCTGCGGTTATGGTCACTTTGACTATACTCCAACAATACCAACAGCAACAACCAGAACAGATAGATGCTTCAACGCCTGTTCCAACAAAAACCAAGAATACCGCCTCTTCAATAGTAGCTGCATGGAGTGGAGTTGGGTCGTCTTCAGAGAGTAGCAATCAAGGATCAGGTAGTTTAAGGCAACAATTGTCGCAGGTACATTTGCGAGCAAAGAATGACGTCTTTGGGACGAGCAGCAACGGAAGCGGTAACGGTAGTGGCAACAACAATAATATCAAGGCAGGATCTGACGCTAATGTGGTTGCCAATCTAATCTTGGCGCTCACAACTACCACTGAGTCGACGTCTTCGTCTCTCTCGACATCAGCTTTCCTTTCACCACCTCCAACGTCATCTGCTGCAATACAACCTGGCATCAAATGCAAGTTGACTGACCCATACAATTATTCAGAAGCAGATCTTCAGGAAATCGCGGTCCGACATCGTAAACGAAGAGCTATTTTGGATAGTTTTGCGGGACTGGTATTCCGGTCACGACAAGATGCATCGACCAATTATTATGGATCCGAAATCTCGTTGGGTCGAGATGCCATGATCCTAAGGCACGTGTCAGCGGCATTGGCAGAGGAAGTAGCCGCGGCACAAGCGGACGAAAAAGGCAAAAGCAAAAGACGGCATTCTTCGGTGGCCTCATCAACGCCTACTTCAGCAGCCGGGACAACAACGATGAATGCACGTCTTCAGGCTGCCGAAAGGGAACGAGAGGCACAACTGAAAGCATTTGAAAATCTAATGTTCGCATTTGAAGAGGAGTATAATGTACACAAGAAACCACTGCTCACTGCAGCTACATCAAAGCCCCATGCAGATGGTGAACTGGCAACAGATGCTAATGCAACTGGATGGACAGGGATGGCATCTAATGCAGCATACACGAGAGCTTTGGCGATGCAGAGTTTGTCCAATACTTCTCCGTACAGCATGACATCTGGTCAGCCGCATCTTCACACAACATCAGGATTTACTGCCCTGCCGCCTCCTCCTCGTCAGGCCCGATCGTTAACAAACGCTGCAGCTTCAACAGCAGCAACAGACCTGGCCACAGTCCGGTCATCGCTTTCATTGCCACCATGGCGCAAGGGCTCTGTAAACTCCAACTCCTCTTCATTGGGAAATAGCCACCACCCTCAGCATCAGAATCTGCACCTTCATGTACCAGCAATAGCCACAGCTTCAGCTGGGCCACAAGGGCAAGGGCAAGAGACCGAGCAAAAGAATACTGCTGAAGGGAGTTTTTTGAAAAAGGAATCATCCACTGCTACGGACATAGGTGTAAACACGAGCACAGCCTTGTCTGGGGAAAGAGCAAAACGACTCAATTCAGAACCTACAAGACCAAGACCTGAACTGTATACGCTCCTCGCATCATCATCCAATGCCTCTAATTCGGCACCCGTTACCCAAGACTTCACACATAAGCAAACGTCGTCCTCCACTTCAAACTTGGAAGGAAATAAAAACGAGAAGGAAAAAGGAAAGCCTCTGAATCAGAGCGAGGATCAGGAAAAGGATTCAAATGAGCCCAATAAGCAGCAAAGCCCCAACCAGCGCAGGCAACGAAGGATGTCGGCTACATTGTCAGCTTCTTGGTCGACATGGAAAGATCATCTTCTAGTCTTGGAGGAAGAGGAACTGGCGGTTTTAGAACATTCCTCGGACTCTGAGGAAGATCCTGCACTTGCACGTGCACGCCTTTTGGCAAAAGGAAGCACACCATCAACAACTACAACATCTGCAGCTTCATAAAAAAAAAAAAAAAAAAAAAAAAAAGAGTAAAAGTTACCAGGAAAGTCAAGGAAGGGGATGACGGCAAATGTACATATTGTCATATAATACCAACTTCACTTGTACACGCACGCATATTCATTCATAATCATCCACATTCAATTTCACCATAATCATGCAACATATCCTTACATCGCATCAAAAAAAAGTTCGAAGATCTACAGTTCCAAAATCATTGAACTAGGAAGGAAGACACCCGGAGGCGGCTTTAGATAAGTAAAGGTGATCATATCTTCCCTCAATACGATGGCAAAAAGGAAGCAAGCAGATGCAATTACTTCAATTTAGAATAGCCTTAATATTTATTTTAATTCCATTAAACAGCATAATTATCTAATGTCTCTCAAAGCAATACTTGTGCACGATTGCAGGGTAGGATGGGATCTCTGTTTATTTTATACATGACATGGCAAGAAGCCATAGAAATATACTTTTACCAAAAATTGAAAAGAAAAATAATAATAATCATCTTTATGGTAAATGTTGTGGCAGCGATAATTTTTGATCCTTTCACAACCACTATTTCTGAACCGTAGCTTTAGGAATATTTGCAGTAGCCATTGCTTTGGGTTTACCAAACAGACGCCGAGGTTGACTTAAACAACCAGGACAATTATGTAAAACATCATGGATGAATAAATCACAGTCTGCACAGAAGGTCTTGTCACACAGCTTGCATTGATATCGTCCCGCATCTGTCGTCGCCTGCAATTGAAGACTAACTTTATGCGGACTCAGGAATGACTTTTGGCATGAAAAACAGGCTGTTGTCGCAGCAGCACTGAAACAGGCAGGTGAACAGGCGCGGGCGGAAACATTTAGCAATCTTAATAGTCATTTTAGGTGGGTGCATTAGCAAAACAAACAAGAACGAACATACTCTTTCCATGCGACTTCAATAAAATTTTCGACCGGGAAAAGATGATGATAACTTCTGGCGAGCAATGGGCTGGAGACCAACGTCAGAGTACAGATATCACACTCTGTGGGTATATCGCACAATTTGGAATTGCACCGTGGACAAATGTATCCACCAAGTGTTAGTTTGTTATGACAAGCACAGAGTGTGGCCGCACTCTCGTTGGATCGTGCTGGAAATCCCATTTGTACAAGGTTAGATGATGTTTTTGTGGTCGTGACAGCCGTCGGAGGAATTACTTCGAATAACAAGTCGCGATAATGGCCTTCGTTCATAGCTACGCCAAATGTTCCTTGATAAAGAAAAAAAAAAAAAAAAAAAAAAAAAAGATTCTGGTAAGAAACATCATATGCTGATATGCATATCCTTCTTAATCCATAGATCTTTGCTACCTATCGTTTACCTTTTGTTTGTGTCGACAAAGACTTTAGTACTTGAACTTCTGCTGCTAATGCAATGACTGATGCACGGATATTATCCTGTACAAGCTGTGCTATTGTATCATGGATGTTTCCAGGATCTGTTGTCGTTAATGATCCCATGATGACTAAAATCTCCCGAGAACCATGCGCTGGTACGTGACTAAATCCAGCCAGAAAGGTAAATGAAAGAAAAAAAAAAAAACTGGATGTCAACAACTATTACAATTATTCATAAATTGGGAGACGCTCAAATACAGAGTATATATATCAGACTTGTTAACCCAGATTTTTTACATCAAAGAATTTCTTGCCAACTCCAATGCATTTTGCAAAGAGGGTTCGCCACCAACTTCTTGAAACTTCTTCATCTTGAGAGTACGAATATGTTCTGTGGGGTTTCCACTCAGTTCTGTCAACTTTTCAGCCAATCCGTCCTTTGTTCCGATCAATCCAATTTGGGAGATGGGATTTTGATCAAAATATTCGGCTACGAATGCTTCCAAATATGTAAAAGTAAGTGACAAACGTGAAGGTCGAAGGTCTTTCTCCTGCATTGAGCTGGATAGATCGACAATTATAAACAGGTGGCGAATAATCCCGCGTTGAATGGGATCAGTGTCCCGCAGTTGTCTAAAAGCAATAAAAAGAGATATTAGAAGCTGTGCGCCACCATTCCAGCATCATCAAGCTTCTCCTCGTGTGGATTTGCTTTATTTTTTTCTTTTCTTTTTTTTTTTTTTCTTTTTTTTTCCTATTAGCCATTTACCGCTTGCGCTTTGCCGCTTGTTGTAGACTGTTGACGACGCCAGCGAGACTTCCATGTTCATCTTCTTGAAGAACGTCCCAACTGCGTTTGTATTCTTCCTCCCATGCATAGTTGGCCTGGTTATTCTGTAATGATGAGTCGTCTACGTCAATAATATCATCGTCGTCCTCATCCACCTGTCTACGTCCGTTTGTTGCCATTCTTTTTTTTTTTTTTTTTTTTTTTTACTTTTTAATAGGGCTGAAACGAAATGAGAAATGAATAACTTTCACTGCAAAATAAGCTTTCTGTGTGGCTTTTGGCTATTGCTTTAAATGCTTTGCCACTGTTATGTCAACGGTTTCTATTCTTTTCTTTCCAACTCAGACTTTGAAGGATACGACAATAGCTTCAGCCGAGGAAAGACAGGACATAGTTGAATTAATCCTTTGCTCCTTGACATGAATTCATTCACATCGTCTTCGCCATCAGCATCTACTGTAGCCTATCCACAGTACCAGAAAGAACAACAACAACAACAACAGCAGCAACAGCAACAGCAGCAACTACAGCAGCAACAGCAGCAACTACAACTGCAACAGCAGCAACCACAACTACAACAGCAACCACAACAACAACTACAACTACAACAACAGCAGCAACTACAGCTACAGCAGCAACTACAGCTACAGCAGCAACTACAGCAGCAGCAGCAACTACAGCAGCAGCAGCAGCAATTACAGCAACAGCTCCGACATATACCATTACAAAAGCTATATGAACTACACAGGCTATTACAGCAACAGCAGCGACAACAGTCACCACAGCAACAGCAACAGCAACAGCAACAGCAACAGCAACAGCAACAGCAACAGCAACAGCAGCAACAGCAACAGCAACAGCAACAGCAACAGCAGCAACAGCAACAGCAACAAGAACTGGCAGTACTAGGAGTACTGGAACACTTACGACAAAAATCAAAACAACAAGAACAACAGGGGCAACAACAGCCACCGATATTGCAAAATTTACAACATGAGCATCAGCAAGGTCAACAGCAAGATCCACAGCCAGAACTACAACAACATGTCAATGGCCTACAGCCAACTCAGTCGTCGATCCCAATTCCTCCAATATCCACAAGCTCTGAAACACAAGACGTCATTGAGATCCAGTTGTGTATGCGCAGATCTTTTCGGCAGAATCGGACTCGCCTTGATCAAAAGGGTTGCCCTATCAGGTGGAAGCACAGTCTTATTACCGATACATTCCAGACCCTTGTTTCCCATATAAAAAGCCATGTCGAACGCCTTGGCAATTGGCAGTGGCGTGAAGATTCACCTCCTTATCTTCAGCCATATTTTAACTCTTATCCAAGGTCATATCTGGAGTTGACAGAGCAAAACTGTCGAAGACATTTACAAATGGCTTGGCTAAGAGAGATAAGTCGTTTGAAACGTATAGACGTCGCGGAGTCAAAGGATCGTGATTATCAAGCTTGCGTTAATATCCATGTCTACCTGGAGCCGAAAGATTCATCACTACCGACTGCAATGATTCCTAGTACCCATCCCAGCCCAACAAGAAATGGGAAATTGGCCTCGATATCAACCATACCAATAACTGAGGGAGCTATGCCGGCAAGGACACCGGATTCAGGGCATAGTTTGACTAAGGATCGATCAATAATGCAAGACACCAGACAAGACAATTCACTTAACACAATAGCTCCGCCGTCACTTCCACTTCCATCAACAACAATGGTACCGGAAATAACGGCAACAGCACCAAAGCCAGCACCCACCTCAATATTACCATCAACACAAACAACAATATCCACATTGTTGTTACCATTATTATCCTCTTCATCACTCTATTCACCAGAAATGATGACTCATCCATTGATCACTCCAGAACGAATTACAGCAGCCAAACGTCTTGTAGATATCGATTACTACCTATCAGCAAAGGGTATAAAGAGAATACCTCCGCAGGATAAACCCGCAGTACCGGAAGAAAAAAAAGAATATCGAGCCGTTAGAGTCAATTTGAACGGCAGTGAAGTGACTCTAGATGTGGAGCTAAATAGTCTCAAGGATGCATTGGATATCACTGAAACAAAGTGAAAAAGAAAAGAAAAAAAAATGCATAGTGTAAATAATTCAAAAATGGAAAATGGAGAAAAACAAAATAAAGTAGAATAGAAAAGTTCTTGCAACATCTTTATGACTGATGTAAAATATCTTGGACAACTATTTCTAAAAATTGCAATATTGCTTGTTATTCTCAGCATAAGTCTTCCATTGCTCACTAGCCTTCCATTCCGCATACTTTGGCAGACTTTCAAGATGGTCGTAGACTGCCATGATGGCTGGCGTCTTCTCACGGGAGATATGTCGATCGCCTGTGAGTGTAATGATATTATCAATGCAAGTCGCAGTCTTGATATCTGCCAATGTCAACTAAAAAAAATAAAATAAAATAAAATAAAATAAAATAAAATTAGCAAGTGGAATTGTGGGACTATGAAAGCGTAAGCACTTTTTTTAATAATAATAATAATACCTTGTTACCAACGTAATGGCCATTCGATCCATTTTTCTTCAGGGCTCGCTCGTGATATTCGACCCATTCTGGTAAGATAGACCCAGCCCAGATCTCCATCATTTGGTCATAGTTCTCTTTAGGGGCTCTAACGACAGTCGTAACCAGTTTATCGAACATGGACTGAGTCGAAGAATGATACATCCTGATCAAGTTATTCTCCCACACATTGTCCCCTGTCCAGCCATACTTTGAGCCAATATAAAACTCGATCACGCTCAGTTCTGCCAGCTCAACGGTCTCTCCTGTCGCAGGGACGGTTTCGTAAAGCACTGGCATAGCACCAAGAGGTGTGTTAGGCTTCTCTGCCTTCCAATCCTATGAAAAGGCGAAAAGAAGAATGAAAAGAAGAACATTGGAAAGCCAATTCAGAGTTGTGATGGGAACAAAAGTATGTCACTATCTCACTTACTACAGGATGAGTGAATGTATAATCAGCGTCAGACATGGCAAACATAGCGCGAAGACCCGTCACGACGCCATGAATATGAAAGTACAAAAGCTGGTACTTGTTTTCTTTAACTCTGCCCAGACGAGACACAGTCTCGGCAGAAGGATTTTGAGCTTCGACCACCATGATTATATGTGATAAGAATGTATGTATGTGTTTATCGGATTCTGTTAAGAGTAGATAAATGATTAAGGAATGAGCTTAGAGAAGGGGTTGTTGTTTTTACTTATTTTTTGTTTCGTTGTATCTGTTGATAAAGTGGGGAACAAGGGCCATTTTATATCTCGGTACACATCCATATCTCTCTCGTTCATTTTCGTTTATAAAAAAAAAGGAAATAAAGGATATACGCCGCATATTTTTGATCACGATTAGAGCTGAACGGTTAATTGAAATTACAGCTACGCAGAGCGGCGTGTGTTGTTTGTTGAACATGAGTTGACTACTTTGGAAATCTCCTCATTCGGAGGAGCGAATAATATCCGAGCGACTGAACCCTGGGTGTTACGGTAGAAAAAAGAGGAGGGGAAAGGAGAAGTTGGTATCTATTTCTTATCTGAGAGTACACATTCCCCCCCCCCCCCCCTCAAAAAAAAAAAAAAAAAAGCATATTATGCCCTAATTTGGAAACGCGGTTCTCGATCTCATCAAATGCTGCGCATCAAATGAAAATGTCAGATGACGACAAGCTGCAGCAAGCAAGAAGATTTTACTGAGAAAGCGTTACTTTGCAAATTCTGCTAACCCTTGCTCCGTCTTTTTTTTTTTCCCCAACATTAGCGCTCATTATAACATACCAGACCATAGAAGGCTTTATCAGATGCACCTATGTTGGAAGGAAACCATATTCCATCAGTTTCTATAAGCTACTCAGTTCGAAAGGCTTTATTGATTAGCTATACGGCTCCACTTGGGGCTTTATGGAAACCAAGGCTTTATTCTTTTCTATTCCTCGATTGTTTCAGATATATAAATATAAAGCACTGGATTGTTTGGTGACTAAGGATGGTGATAAACAATCCTAGGATAGCAAAAAACATCCAAGGTATGCCTGTGTGGCCATTCAAAAAAACGAACTACCCTTAGGGGCAGAGGGCGTGAAAGCAAAGACAACAATACATCAATTATTATTCTGTTTATCATCTTGAATGATGTTCACTCGGAAGGAAATAAAAACATATTGCTTAGCATTCCTCACGAATATCCATAATAGCTCTTATATTCGAGCCTACAAGTGCTCATCCCTTAACAACAAAAAACATAGATCCGGCTTACTTTAAAGACTTGAAAATATCTTTCTCTTTCTCAAATTAACATGCACAAGCCTTTTTTTTTTTTTTTTTTTTTTTTTTTAAACGGAACGATGGTTGACGCTAATATGAAGACGAGGACAAAGATCCTGTATTGTCTCTCCAAATCGCTCTGGTATACGGGCCGACACCTCCAGCTCTTTTAATTGGGACCAATGTTCCATCATCCATCTTGCTTCTTCTTCCCCCCAATCTAGCCAACCAGATGCAGGACGATAACACAATTCCCTCAATCTCTTCAGCCATTTAAGGTGGCTCAAAAAGCTCGAGTACTTGGTTTGAAGCCTTGACAACATGTTCACAGGGATCATTCCTGTATTTCGAAGCTTCAGCACTTCCAACTGCTTTAACCTTCCGATCTGTAAGAATTGATATTGGAAAAGATCCCAACCACCCGAGGACTTCCATGCTTCCATGTTTTTTTCGTTTGCTTGCTCAAGTTCATCGTGAGAATAAGAATGCTTCAGAAGCGTACTGAGCGTAATGTCCAGCTTTCTCAGTTCAAGGCAACTCCATGGGAGGAGTCGTTGCTGCCTTCTTGGAGCATTGGCACCATCCAGGTCCACTTTGACTTTCAGGAATTGAAGCCGTTCGAGTCCATTTACAAGGATCGAGAAGTGTTCCAATGGGATGGGACGCCAGTTTGTGAACTTAGTCAGGGTCTCAGAATGGTGCTGGACGAGCGCTTCTGCACAGCGATTTCCAATCGTTGCCAGATATGATATCGCCAGTGACTCAAGTGTACTATCATCTCCACCTTTACCACAACCGCCTTTACTTCTGATCTCATCAGCCTCACCCTCTACCCAACTTGTGGCACTATCACTTCTAATGGTGCTTTGGCTATGGCTGACACTACTGGTGTTACATCCCGTTGATCTTATCAGCTCTTCGATGAGCTGCTCTGTGCGTTGGCCACAATTCATGATATCCACCTCGAGATATTTCAATTGCCGTCTGAGTCCTTTCTTCATACTTGGCTTATTAGCTCTTCTAGTCTTCAAGAACTCAACGATCCCCTCAAAAGTTGTTTCATTTGTAATCCCCTGCAGAACCAGCTCTTCAAGTTGTGGACATTTTTCTAAAAGAGGAAGAAGAATTTGTTGTGTGGCGAAGGAGGTCAGCTCAATATGAAGGTGCTGAATAGCGGTGTATGGGGTCTCTTGTAAAAACGTAGCTGTGGCTGCTAGAACATCGCCGCTAGTGGTATCATCACTCTCAGTAGTAGGTGGAGAAATCTGTAACGACAGAGACTCACAACGATGACAGGCCTTGATAATCGTATAAAGCGTCTGCACTGAGAATTGGTTTCCGTTCAGTGTAACTGATCGTACTGGGGACTGCACGTGCTGTTGCCTTTCTGCTTCTGCTTCTGCTGGTAAAGCTGCTGCCACGCGAGAGGCAATTAATTGTAAGAACCCATCCAGAACTTGATGCTGCTCTCCATTAATCCCAATGATGGACAGGCTCTGGATCTTGCCGCATGTCGACAGGATTTGTAGACTTCTGGTAGATTCTATGGCCCATGTAAGGTCAGGAGGAGGAGGAGGAGGAGGAGGAGGGGGAGAAGGAGGATAAGAAGAGAAAGGAAGAGAAGATAATCGAGAAACAGAAAAAGAGGAACAGCCGCGAATCAAAGCTCTAAGGAGGTTGGGAAATGTCCAATCTCGAGTCGTGTCAGACATGATCATGTTAAACATGATTGTATCTAGTTGTTGAACGTGCTCTTTGTGGCGAAATAAAGCCGACAATTGTGTGTCGAGGATGCTTCGATCGTTTTTAGCACCATCACCAATACAGTCACTATTGTTGTTGTTGATGGGATCATTAAAGCCGATAAAGAAGGGATGTCGCCATAGTATGGGTGAGAAACATATAAACCAATGTTTGGAGACCCGGACACATTGTGTCAAGTCGTGCCGGGATAGGTACTGAGATATGTCATTGGAAATATGTGGTAAGTCGAAGATGGAGGTTTTCATGTCCCTTGACTAGACACCCTTCAATGATGGTTACAAAAAAAAAAGTAGGATCAAGGCTTTTGAGAAATGAGGCTTCAAGCAAAGAAAAAAAAAAAAAGAAGTCGACAGATGAAGGATACTAGAAAAAGAAAGGGTAGAAGCAACCCAAAAAAAAAAAAAAAAAAAAAAAAAAATGCAGGGTCAATTGAGTGGGAACATCATTGTACCAAGAGCTGTAGATTAGTTCAATTTCAGGAAATAAAAGTAGAATGAGGATTGGTTTGATTAAACATGCGCCAAAGGCGTGCTAAGATGGTGTATTATTTTTTGTCTTTGTTCACGCGCAACTCAATGTAATGGGCCGACAACTTTAATGCTTTTGATCAACCTTGGTCAGTGCTCTTGGACATCTTGTCATAAAGCGTCGACTCTTTTGGTTACACAGAATAGATGGAGTAGAACAAATGGGAAAAGGATATTCATATTTTTTTATGGCATGGAAGTGTAAGGACATGAAACATTTTAAATATATAAATACACATTTGTATTAAGATTAAAGGTTCATTGATCTTTATGGGCGGTGCAAAATATTCATTCAAACGCCATGACATGTGGACCAATAGTAAACACTTGGATATTAACGCACTGTTGTTACAAGGATCCATGGTCGAAGTGCTATTAGTTTTTCTTTGAAACTTGCTGGCAAAGGAGAAATCAAGGCAACCTCGCTCAGTCTGGGACAATGCTCTATTATCCATGCTGCTTCCTCTTCTCCCAGCTCATAACCAATGAAGTCATTTTTGCGGTATTTCAGTCCTCTCAGTTGCTTCAGTGTCCCAAGGCAACTCAAACACCCCTTGCTCAATGTTAAGACATCAACGCTAATCCTGTCTTTGAGGCTCAATTCTAACTCTCTTAATGCCTCCAACCTTGATATCTGTTTAAAAATGTAGCCAAGGAATCCTTGTGCAGACACGGTCCGTTGCATTCTGTATCTATGATTATGAACTTGATATCTTGCTACATTCATTTTAAGGCTCAGCTCTTTGAGCTGTTGACATGTCCACGAACATAAGATCAGGCTCCTTTCTCCTCCTTCTTCATCGTTGCTGTTACTGATCTCATCCTCTTCACTTTCATCAAGTTGAACTTTAACTTCTATCGACCGTAATTCCCTGAGCCCACTCATAAGAGTAATAAAGACTATATTTTTAATGAGGCGCTTGATTGTAAGTTTGGTGAGTGTCTTGGAGTGATACTGAACGAGAGCCATCCCGCAACGCTGTCCAAATGGCGTTTGGTACATTAGAGATAGAGATTCTAGACCTAGACCATTAATGCCAATACCCTTCCCAACATGACCAGCTTCATCGGTATGACCGTCACCATGACTAGACTCAGGTTGGACAAAGTATCCTGTGGAGCGGATTAACTCTGCCAAGAGCCTTTTTGTTTCAGTCTCATCATGTTTAAGAGTATTCATTATAAGGGATCTCAGTCTAAGTGGATATGTTGTACCCATCATCGTTGTTGTTCTTTTGGAGGCGTTCAAGGCACCGATAACACTCTGTAAAGGCTCAGGAGGCATCATCCCTATTAATCGAAGATCTTTCAACTGGGGTGATCTTTCTAGTAAATGTTTCAGAATGATAGAAGAGCCTGGTGAGACCATATCATAGTGGAGCCTCCGTAAGTTGGTGGTAGAATTATGGGCGCTAGTGGGCTCTAAGGGCATTCCTTCGTCAAAAGCCCTTTTCACAAGCTCAGTCAATTCTACCTCATTGAATTTCTGAGAGTCTTGGTACCGAAAATCACGGCCGTCAAGCTTACTATTAAGGTAAACATTATAAAACTTGGTGGTCCTTATATCCAGAAATTCGCATCGACGACAGGCTATAATAATACGTAAGACTGACTCGGCAGAGTATTTGCTGCCCAGCAGTGACACATGTCGTAGCCTGGGTAAACATGAAGGAGAAAGAGCATGGATTAACTCATCCTGAATCTGTTGATTGTCTCCATTGATCCCAAGGATAGATAGGTCTTCAATCGTAGATAGAGTTGATAGAAACCGTAGAGCCTTGACTGCTTCAGTTCCTGGCATTGTTGCTGTTGATACTCCCGTCGTAATCGTTGATTTTTGTGTCTCATCATCTGGGAGAAGAAAGGACAACGAACGGAGTTTGGGTAATGACCATGGATGTGCTGGGTAATTATCTAGGATCTTCTGGAACATTTTATCGTTGAGTTTCGAGATATCTTCATGATGGCGCAGCAACACTGAGAGTGGTGAATCCCATTTCGCGAATTCGATGGTGTGGTGTGGCTGCAAGTAAAAGCGCTGCCAGAGGGTGCGGGTGAAGATCAGAGACCATTCTCTGGAGACCTGAATACACTTTACTAGCTCTTGTAACGACAAGTACTGCGAAATGTCCTCCTGGATGTGTGCTATCTCAAAAATACTAAGCTGCATTTTGAAGTGGATGTTGAAAACATGAATGGGAGAGAATGTTGCCAATTATTAATGGACAGGTGCCAGTTTTTTATTTGGAAGATACACGTGATTGGTGCACTTCATGAATAAGGTCGTCCTTCTTTGCACCAAACCATTGACTCCTCCCGTTAAGATTTTTTGTGTGTGACTATTCTGCTAAGCCTTTGAAGGGTCTCTTTCTTATTATAATAGCTGGAGGTGTGCAGCTATAAAAACTGCTACCATGACCGCCTCTCCATCCATGCCAAAGCTCAATTCAATTGCAAACAGTTTTTAACTTTAAATATTGGGACATACATATGCTAAAGATCTTGTCAGAGATGCATTGTGGTTCAAAAGCAACCTTACATGTATATTACATAAAATATAAAGCAATGTTTTATGAAGGAAAGTAAAAACCATTTGTGTATTTGATATTATACAAAATATTTCACAGCTCTCTCTCTCACAAGGATGGTAAAGGTGGTAATGATGGCAGTAGCACTGTGTGCTATCGTAAAGTATGTTAGAAAACTATGTATAGGCGAAGATAGACAGAGATAGATCAATTAGGCACAGTGGGTAGTGGTGTTGGTATCGCTATAGCAAACTTGACCCGTCTTGCACTGGTTCAAGACCCAGTAACCATTGTTGCATTTGGAATACTGATTTGAAACACCTGGACTGACACAGACAGTAGCGTTAGGGATAGAACAACGACCCGTCTGCTTACCCGTGGGAATAGGACCTGTAGGAGAAGTCGCTGTAGGCTTAACACTCGTGATGGTAGGGATGGTGGTAGTAGGCTTCGTGATCGATGAAGTAGAAGGCTTAATAGACCCACTCTTGACTGGGTACGAGATATAACCTTTGCATGAACCTTGAGTCAATGGATCCACAGGAACATATTGATCGTGGTTCTTGACCTTGAAATAGATCCAGATCTCGCTCAAGGCACCTGAGTTGCAGTTGATTTGAGCATCAACGCCAAATGCTTTCTTGATTGCTGTGTGCATGTCTGCAGTATTAGGATTTGATCCAGGAGTGATACCCCCATCCGCAAGGGCCTTGTACAGGTTGTATTGCGATCGCAATGCCAATGTCTTGCTAAAGTAATTGTATACATCCTGGTCTTGAACATAGTTGGATGAACAATTAGGGGCCAGGTTGGAGATGCAGGTGCCATGCTTGGACCATTCATGGGCCCAGAAAGCGTTGTTATCGCCTTTGTATGAAGACCAGTAGGTATTCAATTGATCAATGAAGCCAGCAGGGGTTCCAGGGTAGGCCTTGAGGCGGGTTTCGATGTTCTATTCCAATCGCATTTGCAAAGGAAGTATAGCTGTTAATATCCATATCCACAAATCTCTTTGGGAGCTACTCAGGATAGGGAAAGATAAGTATAACCTACATCATAGATTCGATTGGCATCACAACCTGTAGAAGGACCTTGTCCTCCTGAGCATGTATCGGGCCAGAGTCCATGAATGGTGAACTCGTCAGCTGGTCCTAATCCGTTGTACCATTGAAGAGTCAAGAGGATCAACCCCATTCCGGGCAAGCAGCATGCATCCACACCAGACGATTCTGCAGTGCAGGAAAGCACATCAGCAGGGCAGGTGTCTGCACGAGGGGACAACACAGAGTTATACATCAAAGGGAGAGCCGAAACAGCAGACAGGGCGGCCAGCGCTACAGATGCCGTGAGAGTAGCGATTTTCATTTTTGATTCGGTGAGAGAGGAGTAAAGAGGTTAGGATATAGTTGAATGGCTATGAACCGTGGTGGATTTGGTTTGAAGATAGAGGATAGAGGATAAGAGGAAAACACAGAGTATTTATGTAAAAAAAAAAAAAAAAAAAAAAAAAAAAAGCAAAAAGTTGTGCATTGGAAAACCGTCTCAGTTGGTCATAACTGGATACAGTTGTTGAATAATATCGAAGGTATTGAATGTATTGAATGTATGGTTGTGAAATGTAAAAATCTACCACCAAAGCACCCCAATCATCGTACCTTAACTAAACGGAGTGGATGAGAAATGTATAATTTATAAAATGGCCGTGAAACGGGGGGTGATCGTTGAGCCTATATTACATACGCACACACAAAACAGTGCATTATGATTCCCTCATGGGAAGGGACCAAAATTAAGATTCTTTCTAAGCGTGAGAGCCTATCTTTTTCCTTCGGCCTATGGAGAACACAGAAAAAAGGGTTACAACACCATATTAGGTCCTCAGACTTGACCACATGGTTGCATTTAATGGGCTATGGAGATAGTCTTGTGCACATTAAAACAAATACACACATATATATATAATACTTCATTCAGAACCTGTCTGGCCGGGATGACAGATTTTTTTTTCGAATGGTTGGCCTTTTTCTTCTTCAGCCACGCTAAGCAATGCAAATAATAGCATTGAATGGCTGATGTATGAAATATATGAATGTAAGCCAAGAACACTTGCTTTATAAGACTTCAGTCGATTACAACGACCCCTCTTTCATAAGTGCATTATGGTCGCAAGAATGATTTAAATGAATTAGGGTTGTTTTTGTGTATAATTTGTTCCTGCATTGACACTAAAACATGATTGCATATAAATGTATAATTATTCAAATTATTCAACAGGAGAGTTTAATATGGCCTTATTTGTGACAAACATGCAGAAAGCTGAGCAAAGAGTTTTTGTTTAGCTGAAAAGGATAAAAAAGAAAGGCTAGAACACATTAAGGTACAAATATGCAGATGTGTCTTTTGTACAAAACGGCGTGCTGCAGCCTATCAATTCCATCAGTTCTCACTAAAGATACACATGAGTGATCTTACTGGGTCGAAGCACTGAGTGAATCTACCATTGGAAACACCAGAACTTTAAAAGTGTCCAGTGAAATGGAATGTTGGTGTCATGCAACAAACACATTTTTACACAAAGCAGATAGGAAACGGATCAACGTGTGATAAACACAAAACAAAAGACTCTAAGGCAAGAGGGAGGCTCACATTTCTTTTACAAGTGTTTGGCAAAGGAAGGTTGATGATTACTGAGATAGAAAGGAAAAGTGTGGGCATAAAAAAGGTTGAAACTCGGAACAAAAGTAGGTTGAGAAGAGAGCACTAGTTGACATGCTATTCAATCTGTAGAAATGTGTATCTACAAAAACCACATAGAAATTGACAGCGAATCAGAATTGACCGATGGATAAACGCGCGTGTGAACAAATTTTTAAGAGGCTGAAAAGCTTTGGCTCTCTCGAAACTTTGAACACGAATGGTGGAGTTGTAAACTTCATGTTGTATTTCCTTCGTCATTGCTCTGAATGTCAGAATTTCAGAAAACGTGCTCGGATGATTTGCCTATCCAGAAATACAATGTGTATGAATCCATTTCTTTACTACCAGTTTCTTTCACTCCTTTCCTTCCTTGGGGATGCAAAATTTATGATGCTGTATGGCCCGATGAAAAGAAATATCTGTCGAGAAAATCGAACCTTTGATATAAGCCAAAGACTGAGTTGTTGACATGCTCCAATAGGAGAGTTGACCACATTCATTAGTGATATTCAAGATAAAATTGCTGACATTAGTTAGTGTAAAACATGGGTTTTTGATGCGTTAGATTATCTAGACTGAAAGTGCCTCCTTTCTGGTAGCTCCGCGGGAATGCATGAAAACCATTGGTTGTCAAAGAGCATCCATAAAACTATGACGTTGGTTGTACAAAAAAAAAAGAAGAAACAGGGACAACAGGTTCTCTTCGAACTAGACGAGTGATCGGTAGCTTCGCTCACCAGTTTAGTGCTTTATTTACCTTATTGATACCAGACCTGAAAGCGCACATCTTAATGTACACACAACAATACAAACTAAGATTTTAAGTCCAAATAAGAGCCAAGGTCTTTTAAATCATCCTCCTGTCCATGATTGCCTTGGCCTTTGCGCCACTGACTCGTGTGCCACCTTCCTTTCTTACCTTTTTGTTTTTTCTCTTTTTCCTCTCTGTTGCATGTTCAAGCTACACGAACGATCTAGAAGTACTACGTTGGACATACCATTGATCGAAAGTCTGTATGATATGGGATCGATGCTGTCATCACCCACCTTTCACGAAAGACTTCCACCATGATGCAGGCAAAGCCCTTCGATTGAGCCTGATCTTAAAGCAACACATCAATATATCAACATAAAAGCGTGCATTCATGGTGGCAAAAGAAAAAAAATTAATTTATTAAGATATAATTTTTATCTTAGCGTGAAGCTCGATACAAACTTTGCATTGATTCAGAACGGGTGATTGATCCTTAGGCACATCAACCCTATTCGGGGACGTAATATTCTTGCGCAAGGCAACATCCAATACAACCTTTTATTAAAAAGCAGATAGATAACAGATTTCATTATCTACCTATTTCCAAGCAGAGTAGCTTATATGCTGTAGGCTGAAGATGGAGCTCTTATGCCTATTTGTCAGCATATGACGATTATAATCAAATACAAATCTTCATAGATCACATTCTTTTTTCTAGGAAAAAAAAAATAAAAAAAATAAAAGACATAAGAGACGCCTTCAGCATTATCCAAGGCAGTGAGCAGCGTCTGGTTGTGCTCATATGCGCTCTTATGATCATACGGAGCGCTTCTGGTAGCATCGCATAGGCTTGGATTGACTGCTTTGGATAGATCCGATGTTACGGACTGAGCATTGGAGGGTTTCATGGTCTGTTCTAACAGAAAGAGATCAAGTGATGTAGCAGTATACGCGTCAAAGTACGGAAGAGATGGCTTGGAAATAACAACAAAGGCAGGGAGTAATGAATCCTCAAAAACAGTTGAAAGAGAAGTAACCGGTTTGGATTCACTATTTTGTAGTTTAGGAGCCGTAGAAAAGACTGTGGGTAACATGGAATGGCAGATCAGTTCCATTCTTTCGTTGCTGACTCTCTTTATAAAAGAGGAGTGGTTTTCTCACATACTCGCTTTCTTTTACTCTTATGGCCGGAGATGAGGCAGGGGCCGATCTTGAGAGATTAGTAATTTTTTGGCCCAAAAACAAAGAGGGTTATCACGCATACAGTCGGTTTGTTTAGGCACTTGGGCGTCTCAACCTTGCATAGTAAGGATACATATACTTAATTCTTTCATATTCGTGGTCATTAATACAAGATTTATGATCATTAATACAAAAAACTGCATAAATGCCTCTTGGGTGCAGTATGGACCCACTTCTTGTTCTCACTGCTCCCATTCGCTATCTGATACTATTGCTCGTCATTCTTCTATCTACTTCTGTATACCAACTACTACCTCTTACAGCACTGACAAGGAGTTCATCGACAATAGGAGTACCAACCTTTAGGAGTATGATGAAGAAAAAAGGCTCCGACCCACCAGAAGCCCTACCTATATGCAGAGAATAGGATACCGCTGACCAGAAGTTCAGTTTTTCATCCGTTGCAGGCGTAAACACCTTGACCACCTGAAGTGGCATATCAAAACGAGCATAATCCATTGCTGCTCTTTTTTTTTTTTTTTTTTTTTTTTCAAAAAAAAAAGGAAGGCTTGTAATTGGTGACAATAAAATAAAGTAAATGAACAAGGAAAGAAGTGAAGAAAGTGAATGAAGTGAAGGCAGTGAATAAAGTGAAGACAGTGAATAAAGTGAAGACAGTGAATAAAGTGAAGACAGTGAATAAAGTGAAGACAGTGAATAAAGTGAAGCGACAAGGGAAAGACCTAAGGGATCAATACTACGGAATTTTGTCGTCATGCGGAAATAGCCATGGGACCTTGTAATATTATCGGCGCGTCCTGGAAATTATCAACCGCGTTGGGTTTTTATTGAAGCTGTCAAGACGCGTCGCGAAGATCATGGCGCGTTGGCGTGTTGGTACATTGGTGCCATGTCAGCATGCAATGATGGGCCCATGTATAAAAGAAATTGGGTTCAAAGAAAAATAAAAAGACAAAAGTTATCACCGCTTGTATCCTTCAATCGAGATCACTTCAACACTCCTAATCACCAAATTCAAACCCACTATGGCACTTACCAAGAACTAATCTGAAATTATCAATTTGGTTGACACTGATGACGACGAGCTCTACAAAGGTCTCGAGGCTCAGAAAGCCGCCTTGAAGTGGGATGATAGTTCTAATGTATGTGAGCTTAATGGTTCTTTTGTAAATTATTCCATCCTCTTGGTTATAAACATTGGTTCCTCTATTTTGCAATATCCATAGACTATTGGGATCAAAATTGAGGGAGGAGGCAGTGACAATGCCATCCCTCAGCCTCGCGCACAAGGCTCCGGGAATAAAAGTGATTCTTCCAAGCCCCATCTCCAGAATCTACATCGTCATGATTATGATGGCGGTATTTCGTTCATCCATCTAGCCTCCTCGTCACGGCCTCGCTCTCATCGGATGATTGTAGAGGAAGAGAGCGATGAAGAAGCAGACCCATACAACCCTTGGACGCCCCCTATATATACTGGCCACGAGCTTGACTTCGATACACCTGCCGTGGATGCGCCTGCTGCTGAAACCCCTGTCATTGACTCGCATATCATTAGCGAGACTGTTGACAGAAACAGTAACAAAGGAGAAGGGTCTAAAATGACCTGCATCTATTCGCAGCTTTAATTCGACGAGGATGAGCTAGAAAGAGAGCGCAATCCGGCACCTGAGGCCCTTTTTGATCAAGACGAAAATGGCTTTGACCTCGGGTATGAGGAGCCAAGCCTGAGAGAGATGTGTCGTAAAAGGAAACGCAATTCTCCTGCCACGTAATCCAAGACTACAGAAGAGACTGCTCAAAGATTGATTAACTACTGGACAGTACACATGTGTACGGTAGCTGAAGCGGCTAGGGGCGTTCATATACATCCAAGGAGCGCCTGGAGGTAATAATTAAGTTTAAAGACTACTTGTACTAAACGATACCTCGGGATATTGTTGCTAATTGTGTTTAGCTGGGGGTTTTCTTATAAATATATCACCATTCATTTTCCAAACATGTTAGAATCTTACCTTGATTTCTTCAAAAGAACTACCATAGAATGTTCCATGTTACAGCAATACTTGGATGACGTACTTTGCAACTCCCCTTCTCTCGACATGGGCATCCGTTGCAAAGAAAAACTACTTCGACTTTACAAGGATCATAAGATAAACTTTAACTCTGCCAAAATGACCGCTCCTTCTTCTACCTTTACTTTCTTGGGTTTTAAAATCAACCCTGTTGAAGGAACTGTTTCCCTTAACAAAAAGCAATTGAGTCAGGTCGACAAAATTATTGACATTATTAACATGGGAATGCCTTTACCATGCAAATTTGTTGAGAAGGCCTGCGGCCTATTCAATTGGTGTCGCGCTGGAAGAAAAAGTGTACTTGCGTTAACACGCCCTTGGTATACATCCTTGAACAGAGGTTATTACAGCTGCACACTAAATCGACGCGTTATACCTACCTTGAGACGATTGTTACATACTCCGGTATATTTTCGTAATTCAGGTCATCCGGTCATAATCGCAACCGACGCTACTTTGTTACAAGGATCCTTTGTCGCTGAATCGGTTGATCTTTCCTTTCGCGTCCCGGCAGGTCGTGGTATCGTTGAAAAAGAAACCTTTGCCAACAACTGGGGCTTATTTTAGGGACTTCACTTGTGGGGTTCTTGAGATATTGGAAACTAAAGAGATGCATGGATATACTTTTTAAATGGATAATGCACGTATTCACAAGTCTCCTCTGGTTAGAGAACTCATAGAAGAAGCAGGCCATTCTTGTAAATATCTTCCTCCTTACTCACTATCCCTGAATCCAATCGAAGAATGCTAGTCGAAGGTCAAGAACAGCTTCAAGAGAAGCCGTCTTGAGGCGAACGAAACCATGCGCGCTAGGTTCCAAGACGCATTCGGGCCGATATCCCGAAAGGATTGTCAAGGCTGGATTCGTCATGCAACTACAAGGTGTCTCAACAGAGAGATCAATCTATAGGCCTATAACAGTGCAGTTATAGTGAAAAAAGAAGAAACGCTAATAGATAGGATAATATGTATGTCAGGTCATTCAAATTGGTCTATGTTGTTAATAAAGACACCATGTTTGGATAACTGTGATAATCAATTCGGTTATCACGTTTGGACACATTGTAAGATAATTTTATTGGATAAAGCTTATTTCCCCATCGGAGCAAATTGAAAATGGGCAAAGCATTTGGTGTAACAGTTGAGTTCTAGCATTTTCGCTTGCACTTCAGGAGGCTCTACAGATGTCGCTTGATGACTGGGGCCTAACTAAAAGCGATATCATCTTTCAGCACGACAACGATTCGAAACACACGGCGAAGATTGTTAGGAAGTATTTGGAGTCAGTACATCTGATAGAGGGCCAGTGCGGAGTCTCTTATGCAGACCTATGATGGGTTTACGACAGAAGTCCACTGGAATCCTGTACCATTCAACCGATAATCGCTCCCATAATTCACCACAGCTCTTTGCTCGCTCCGGATACCTGGAGAGCCGCCTCTCCAGTTCTGCCCACATGTGTTCGATAGGGTCGAGGTCAGGATGCCCACGGTTGGAATGCCATTTAATGATGTAAGGTTATGGCTTGCAAAAGAATAAAGATAATTGGTCTCCAAACGGGCACAACCCATTTTGAATTAGTGAGCTAATTGATTAGTTTTTCAAATAAGACAAGCCAATGTCACAACACATAACTGTGGCGTAAAAAAAAGGCGAGAGCTTTATTAATGCAAAGGGTTATATATATACGGTTCCTAGGAATGAAAAAAGAAATGTACATTGGAATGAATTATTCATTCAAAATTGTATGTTAGTGTATCAGAATCCTGGATTTCACAATCTCATTACGTTGGAGAATTGACTTTCATTATTGATGGCTTTCAACGATCTCTATAGTTTTTCAGTGTTGATGCTAAGAGCAGATTAGCATCCCATCTGCTCCATTTGTTGTTGCGATGAGAAGCAGAGAGTGAGTTTTCTTAACAGCGATTAAGTTATTGTGGAGTGACATTCGGGTCTTACATTTAGATGAGACCAAGGAATTGTAATCAACAGAAAAGTGCGAGTAAAAAGTGTACAATAAGAAAAAATACATCAAAGTAAAGAATTACAAATAGAAAAGTATATAAAATATAATAGTAAAAAGAATGTTAATATCACAATTCCTAAAATATTGGCTGTCTTATCTGGGGAATTCAAGTGATGGCCGGATCCAAATCATGGTTTTGTTTTCTACTCAAGGTGTCAAACGCCCCTCTCAGTTCCTCCTAAAGCACAAAAAAAAAAAAGAAAGAAAGAAAGAAAGAAGGAAATTATCAGTCTCAGTCAGTGCTCCTATTCGAACCATTCGAGCCATCCGATACTCGAGCCATTCGATTCATTCGAACCATTCGAACCATTCGCGTCATTCGAATCGATCCGGGATAGAGCTTATTCGAAGCCATTCGAATTCGATTCGTTCGAATCGAATAGGAGCAGGCACAAATACACAAGTAATGGCAAACTACTGAATTCACAGGGATCGGGTTACTCCTGGCCTCTGCAGACACATTAATATCGGAAGAAAATAGTCATGGAAGTATGAATCTTCATTGATCCATCTTGATCGAGTCCAAAGAGCTTCCACATTAGAATAATTCGAAACTAATCGCCTCAATATATCTCAATCTGTGCGAATTATGTTTTGCACGCCAATGGAGCCCAAATCTCTGAAAGCAATTGCTATGTCATATATATCTAGTACATCTTGTTTTGTGAGACGTGGTAGGCTCTCCTGTGGAAACAGGAACTGTAGTTCAGGCCCGAGGTGAGACTCTACACTAGAGTTCCTTTCCATGAAAAAAATCCGGTTTATCGCTCTAGTTCATTCATATCAAAACGTTAGAAAATGTGTGTGTAATCCCAACAATATTTTTATATTTGCTACCAACATACATGCATTTTAGCAGATCGGTCCGGACAGTGAACTCCAATCTCAAGGTACAAGTTGGCATAGTCTAGAAGATTGGCTGTCACATCTACGCCATCTTGGGTCCATGAATCTTCAACACCAAGGTCAAAGCTGCCTGCGCCCTCCCACCTCATGGGAGAGGTTTTCATTCGCTTTCTCTTTGACAGAGTGCCGTCGCCATCAGGATCATCTGCTACATCCTCGGAAGGTGTGTACGAAGAGGTGGTGGCTTTAGAAGTTGTTGTTGAGTTGGAGGAGACAGGTTCATTGAGAGCAACTCAAGAAGCCGGGCTGCACATGATAAGATGTTCCTACATGGGTGGTTATAGAAAATCCATACTTACGCAGGATAAGAAATTTCCCAATTGGAGTCTATTTGAAGACACATTCAAAAGGATTAGCACTGAGTAAACGCAGAGAAAGTATTTAACGAGGATAAAATTGTGATTAAAAATTATTAATTTGATTGAGATATAAGTGAAAAAAAAAAAAAAAAAAAAAAAAAAAAGCGCGAGATATGCAAAAGGATGGGAATGAAGTTAAACATGATCAACGATGAAGGAAGCCGAGGAGAATTGGCATAGAGATAGTTTTAAAGGATGGGAAGAGTTATAAAAAGGTATGAAGAGAGAGTGATAAAATATACAGCGAATGAGAGAGGATTGAAAGCAAGATGATCAGAGCGTTAATGGACATATGAAAGTGTAATGAGACGGAGATATGAAAAGGGCGGAGAGAGAGATAGAAAAGGAAGTTTGGAGAAGGAGAAAGAGAAAGCATAGCAAGACAGGGCAAAAATGCAAGAGACGATTATAATAAAAAAAAAATAAAAAAAAAAAAAAAATAAACCAAAGAGAAAGGGTACATTTCGCGTAAAGCAAATCAGCGTGGTCTAATTAAAACTATTACTTTCAATTAAAATGCAACAAATTCAGATGAGGCGCTTTTATGATGGAGAAAGAGAGGGAGAGAGGCACGAATGCAAGGATTGTTGTTTAAATAGCATTGGTGTTTTGGTGCTTTTGACGACCTATTGCTTGTTTATCATTTTCTGTTCTACAAGATGAGAATGCTGCCTCTTCTCATTAATTTAGCAATAAAGTGCGTTTGCAAGCACGCGTACCTTGTTGAGCTATGAACAATGTAAGTTATTGTGGATTAACTAACATCTATTTTTATGATGCAATTGGTGTTCCCATTATGCTAGAGCCGAAACAATCTAGGAACTTTAATATGTCCATAGCTTGGCCTTAATTCAACTTTACTTGGCTTTACTTGGCAACATATAATTGATGCTATCCCATGTTCAAAAAAGGGAAATGAAAGTTTATGTCATATTCGATTGCCACTTGTCATTAGTATCAACATGAGCATGGCTGAAAGATCCGCGATCTTGTGTTCTCTAGATTCTTCCGTTTGTGTTTTAAAAAAAAAAAAAAAAATAATGTGATGCTGCGTGCAGTGTCCACTCCTATTTCATCCTTGTCAGCCCGAAAGGGCGGATGGCTTCTTCTATCAAATGTACACAATAAAACAGCATTTTTTCCGATTCCTGACATCCGACCACTCGCCATTGGACCATCCGAGACGAAATTTTAGACCTTTTATTTTTATGCCCAGCAGAACATGTTTATCCTGGCCGATTCACCGAAAATAGGGAACAATGTTATATAAAAGTACTAGAATTTGATCGTATCATCTAACACCATCAAATATTCTTTAGCCAGACCAAGTACTGTAATCCTTTATTCTTTTCCTCTTTTTCCTCTTTCACGTATCGTAAAACACAAAAAAGACAATGTGTTTAATTCTTTGGACATTACCAAATAATAACCATCCTCGCATCAAATTGTAAGAAACACTCTGTGCCGCTTTTGACCACCAGTATTGTAACAGCTAACAGTATATCCTTTAGCCAGTCCTCTAACTTTATTCCTTTTCTTCCTTTTGCAACTGCATACAGTGCCCTTGCTAGCAATCGAGATGAATGTCTTGACCGCCCTACGTCACATGCCAGCTTTTGGAACCTATCACGATCAACATCTGGTAACATAGCTACTGAAGCCGCAAGTACTGTAGTCCAGAAGGGCCAGCAGAAACAGAAGCACAAGCAACGCACAGGGATCCTCTGCGGAGTCGATTGCAAACCTCCCAGGGCCAATCTTCGATATGATCGGGACCTTCCAGGCACATGGGTTGGGGTCACGACCGATGGTGATCTTATAGCCTTGACGGATTATCTTGAAAAACAATCCTATTATGACAGCCGTCCTAAACCCTGTATACCCAAACCCTCAAGAGGGCAGTTGTGTGGTGATTTTTTGGTGGCGATGGCAGAAAAACATGGCTCTGAAAAGAGCTGTGAAGAAGCTGAGAAATGGATACGAAACCATGCCAAGGTCTGGGATACGGCATTGGAAGGGCTTAATTTGTTGGTTGTCCAGGGCGCTGGAGATCAGCAGTATGTTGGAGCCAACCGAGAAGGATCCGAATTACTGATTCTTCATAAAAACGAAACAACAGGAATGACAACTTCAATGACAGTGAAAACAGCGTCCGTTACTCCAACAACAACGACAACAACTAGTGCTGACACCACCACCACCACCACCACCACCAATATTACTACTACTACCAGTGCTAGCATATCAACAGGAAATAATCCTATTTCATCGCACTCACGCAACCAAACCTTATGGAAACATCTCGCTGGCAATTTAAGCAAGTTGTTTCGACGATCGATTCATCTTACACCAAAGTTTCCCTTCTCATCGGATCAGAATACATGTCTTCAGATTCCTCATGGAACGGTCACAGGACTCAGCAACAGTGTCTTTGGACGACCATGGCGACGGGTCGAGATAGGGATTGAGGCGATTGAAGCAGTTTTGAACACAAGTCTAGACCATTTTGGCTATGGACGAAAAGCTTCTCAGCGGCGGTCCTATTCCACCGATCGTTTGGTTCACAGGCCTCAGATAAATGACATTGATGACGATGATAGCGGCGTCTTCACAGCCTCAAAAACATCCGATACGGCTAACATCTACCATAGCATTAGCAAAACTATCAACAAGAGGCATGCCAGATCATTGAACTTAGTCCGCAATAGCCTTTACATGAAGGATGATGGCTTAATTGAAATGACATGGATGGTGATCGAAATGTTGAGACAACTTCGTATCAATACCAAACCACACCCAGAGAACCTCCATTCGTTTGAATTATTCACTGATGGACTTCAGGACCGAGTCTTTGTTCCTAGAGCAGATCTAGAGCATCTTTCACTGCCACATCTGAAGGGTGAATATGGAACACGATCTAGCACTGTGGTCTTGTTTGGTCGGAATGGACAGGCCGTCTTTGTGGAGAAGAATTGGTATGCACCACGATGCCCGAAGACTGGCAATCGACCGGTATTTGATGTCGATAGCACCGATGGCATTGTATGGTGGCAAGGTCAGATTGGCAGACCTTATCAAGAATGGAAACAAATCCAGGGACGAGAGTTAGAAGAGATTTTTGCCTGTGCACATGCTATCCCTAAAGTGTGCTAACCTAATCAGAATGGAATAAACAAATGAAATCCTTTTATAAACTCATTGACTCTCATTCATTCTCATGCAATAATGTGTAAAGCATTATGAAGACAAAAAGAGGAAACAAAGGGACATGACGTAGATTGTCTGATGGCATGCACTGTCATTCCCCCTTGCACCCGTTATCTGACTGTTTTTTTGATCAACACCTCATTGAAATAGAAGTGGCAAATGCGATAATAGGGGTTATTCACATGGATCACGCTGGACAAAAATCTATCGATTCAATTATCCGCCAACGCATCAAAGCACTTTGGCATTTTGGATGTCATGATGTTCTTTCCTCATCCCCTCCCTCCTTTTTTTTCTATTTTCGTCTTCATCAATACGACAGTAAACGTCTTCTTCCCTTCCACTTTCTCTTTTGCATATTCTGTTTCACTTTCTCACTTTCTTTCTCTGTTTATTTCTTTGCTTCATCCTGATACAGCAACAGAATCACAGAATCTTTCTAGCTTTAAATACACACAAGAGGAGCCAGCCCTCTTGGTCATAGACAACCTCTTTAAACACTGCTTTTTTATTTATTTTATTAACACTACACTTCATTGGTCTATCCCAAATGGCCACATTACATCACGACAGCATGGATAAAAAAAAAGTACAAGGTAGCAACAACTATAAGAACAAGAACAAGAACAAGAAGGGCTTGCCATCATCCTCTTCTGATTCATTAGAGTCCATCTCCATGACTACGCAGCCCCATATGCCTAGTTCGGTCTACAATCCGAATCCTTTCCCGCTAGACCCAGTACAGCCGGACGGAGTTAGCCGGCACAACGCCTTTTCTCAAAACAGAAATTACCATCAAACACAAGAAGGCGAGGCTTTGGATATTGAGATTGAAGAGACCAAAGGATTTGTTTCAGGGAAGAGCCGACGGAGTATAGATGATAGCCGAATCAATACTGGCGTCCTCAAAGACGACAGCAATCAGGATGTAACATACGATTATGAGCTCGCTAATAGAAAGAACAATGGCTCCATCCAAAAGATTAGTGCAGGGTTAAAAGAGACACTGTCGAACCTGACTAGGAATAGGGGGAAGGCGTGTGAGCGGGAAAACGTACAAGTGGACGCAGTTTTACAACACAATCTCCAGCAACAACAAAAACTCTTACGCCAGCAACGACAGCAGCATCAGTTACCACATGATATTGGAGAGTCATCCCGAGGTCGCGATCGAGAGCCTCAGCACACTCAGGATAGTCCACTTCATGGAGGCAGAGCTATGTATCCTCCTAATGGCGGTTATAAAAATAAAAGGGGTTCTTTTGTAGATTCCCCAACGCGCTCACGCCTTCATTCACTCTCACCTCCACCGCCACCTGGACTGCAGGATCGTAGGAGTTCAGGATCGTATTGGCCAGATGATGAACAACGCGGGCTCTATGCTGAACAATCGACCCCTTTCATTGGATATCAACCACCGCCGTTTTTATCATCATCACAAGATAGTTTGCGTTCATATCAACGCCCAACCAGGCCTCTGAGTCTGCCAGCAAGTGAATATGAATATGAAGAGTATTCACCAAGACAAGAGAGGTATGAGCAACGATACAGAGGTCGTGACGAAGGAAGGGAGAGGGAAAGGTGCGAGCCCGATGGGATCCATAATGAGGGCGCATTGAGCACAAGCCCCGGTGTACAGCGCCAAGCTGGATTGGGTCATATTACAACCTCTAGATCCGACTCTGCATTAGTGATACCATCTGAATTTGGTAATACCAAGATAGTAGCAACAGCGGCAGTTAGGCAAAACCAACGTGTGGAGACTCCTGATAGGTTAAGCAGAGCTAAGGAATGGGTAGCGAATCAACGCAAAAATAATCATGATATTGCAGCACCTACTGCAGCAGCAATGACAGATCGAGATCGAGAGGCAGCGCTGTCATCTATTCCAGATGCATTCCGCTCTAGTCGTGTTAGTCGTCCCATTCGTCCGGGAAGTGGCTATAGGTTATCTATGGACTCTGCAGATTATAGACTCATGACCTCACCATTACGGCCACCGCCACCGCGAGGAGGAGGAAGCTATCTGAGCAGCGCTGATAGGAGATATGGATACGGCCCAAAAGAAAGGATAGCCGCGATGAATCAAATCCGAATGCATGAACAGCAACAGGAACAGCAGTACCGCAATTATAGGGCAAATGTGGTAGATGATGGGCGCCACTGGGATCGCCGATCGGAAGAATACTATCGTAGAAGTCATCAAAATCAGCACCGTGGCAACGACAGGGTAGAGTATGAGGGAGGTTATGGCGTTGGTAGAGGTGGTGCTCATAGTGGATTCCATGGATACCCGCCTGGCGGCCCTGACGACATAAATAATGAGGAGGAGTTCGAATCAACGTTGGTTCCAGTGCCTGCGGCTGGTAGCCAATCCAATAAGAAGATGCCTGAAGATACTGTAGATTTACAAGACAAATCAAAAATAACAGCCGCACAGCAATCAGGAGTAACAAAGACAGCTGTGGATGAGGATGACGAAGAGGAAATAGAGGATCAGCTTGAGCCTCCCAAAAAACCTAACAAGAGGCGGCTGATCCTTCGCCTGATCAGCTTGTTCTCAAGTGTGTTTGTCCTCGTGCTACTAATTGCAGCATCTCCGGTAGGCAGAGCAAATACAAACATTGAGCTGGTTTTGTTTCTTGACTTGCCATATAGTATTTCCCATAATTATTAACAATAACTCATATTGAATGTCATCTTTTCCCGCCTATCAGGTGTCAAAGTCTCCCTCGCCGTTTTCGAGCCAAGCGGGGCTTGCGTTCCATTATATCGTTGCTATACTCTCAATGGTTGTGAGTTTTTTGTTTGTATTCAACTATTTGAGCCGACGCCTACGACGACGGGAAAAGATGAAGCGTTATATTCTATTCGGACTTGATATTCTTATGACTTTGATCTGGTTCGTCGATATCTTTATTTGCATCTCCAAGTTCCCTTGCGCCGTTGGTGGTCAAAATGGATGGTAAAAAAAAAAAAAAAGAAAAAAAAGGAAAAAAAAGGTCTATCTTTGATTTATCAACTACTTACTTATCTATTTTAATGATAATAGGTGCGATATGTATAATTCTAGCGTGTTTTTAGGAATGATTGCGTTAATGAGCTTCCTCATAGCTTTCCTGTGGGATATTTGGGGCTCTCTTGGTCGCCCTAAAATATTCGGAGAGGGACCTTGGATCAAACCGCCTCCACCAGGGTTTGATGGCAGACCACCATTTGCGAGACAAGGCACTGACACAAAGGGCCACGCAGTAAGAGGAACGCCGGGGGGGTGGCCTGCGCAGTCCCCTAGGCAAGGCTTCCCAACGAAGCCAAAAAATAGTAAAGCTCTTTGGTGAATTATCACATAGCGATGATCTAAAACATGTGCAATCATAGGATGGGTTTTCCATGCTCCCAAGGCTATTAAACCTTGAATAAATTCAAGGGAAAGAAAAGTGGCCCGTGCATTGGCATTATAATTATAACTATTATGAGTATGGTCAGAGCTTTCTTTTTTCCTCTTAAAACAACTCAATTCTCTACACACCCATGCACCGAACAATCCCTTTTGAAACATTTCTCACTATGTCTGCTTCCTTTTTTTTATTCCTCTTCCTCGTCTTCTCCCTCATGTATATATTCATTCGATTCTCTTAGCCGATTACTTTTTTTATGCTGTTGTCGTCAGTATGCTCAAAGAAACCAAGCTATGAAGCACATCAATCAAAAACGAATGCCTTAAAACTCAGTTGGAGAGATGAAAGCTATGTGTAAATCGCTGTTGCTGTCCAATGATGGACCATGAAGGAATTGTGGCTGGAATACAATGCTCTCCTCTTGCTTTACTAAATAGTCATCACACTCCCATCTCTCATTCCTCTTCCCCTCTTCCAACTCCCCTGCAGCCAGGAGTGTTATACAAGCAAAAAGAAGGAACAAGAGGAAGGTCAGGCGACCGTATACTTAGCATCTCCAGTTAGCAAGTTAACGAGCCACACCTTTGCTTATCTTACTACTAGTTTATAACTTTGATAGATGGCGCCCTCGAAAAGTACAATAAAAAACTATAGGAATCAACAAAATCAATTTTAAGTCTATTTTGTTTGACGACTGTTCGGGCTTCATATGAGGGTATATAAACATTTGAACGCTGCTACATGTCAATTTTTTAGCATACACATGGACTTTTATAAGGGATGTATCCATGCTTTGGCAAACATGCATCTTTTGATAACTACGTCACAGATCTTGAACTGTTGAAGCGCTGAAAGTACGAGGAAAGCGAGAACCATTTGTATTTTCTCTAGCGGGCGTAACTTCAAAATGCTCGGCCCCAAGGAATAAACCTCATATCTCCTATTACACAAAAGAGACAATACTGTCTTTTCTGCGGCCCAAAAGCACGCCATAACCCTATTGAAGCGTTCAGAGGCATTATTTGGCTCGAGATTCAAGGGTTAGATGGCTCTTAGTCAAGTTTTATTATTTTGAACAACACGAATCCTGTCTCTCAGTAATCTTCCTAAATGGCAGCTATTCAGGAATGCGGACTAATTCCACCAAATACTGGTAGATTTGGAAGATCAACAAGCATCGAGTAGCTACCTTTGATTTTGGGCTATTGGCACTTTTATGGTTTTTGGCGGGTCGAAAGAGTACCCATGCCTTTATAGTTCAGGGGCATCAATCTAAAGAAAGCGCACATTTATATGTCGTAATATGCTGTGTTGAACGGTGTTGAAAAGGGACACGGGCGCAAAAGGCGTAGTCGGTCGGCGTGGCTACTCTTCCCTTTATTCTCCTTTATCCATCTTTTTTGCTTTGCTTTGTTCCGCCTTTTTTTTTTTTTTTTTTTTTTTTTTTTCACAACTCGTATATTTCTTTGAGTATCCTCTTGTATTTCGCTGCTTAGCATATCCACCGCTTTTGGACACCTCCTCGGATCGCTTTACGGTAAAATTATCGTTTCCTCTCCCTTCTCCTCCCTCGATGTTTATTTTGTTGGCAGTGAATGCTCAAGCATTTATTCACTTTGACTCTTTCATTCATATACACTTGCATGTTTACACACAGATTATTATGAAAAGAATCAGACCTCTTCTTCCTTCCAGCCATTATCATTATCATTAGAAACACACCAACTCATGGGTAATGTTGATAACAGCGATAACAACGACTTTAGCAACCTCAGCTACGAGCCACAGTTTAAGGATACTAGTCAACCAGATCAACGTAATGATCACGAGAATAAAAGACAAAAGAAAAGAATGGCACTGGAGCTCGAGCAGCCTCCTGCTCTCAAATGGAGACCCAACATGCGACGAGCCTGGACCAGTACTGAGCAAGAGTCGCTCTATATCGCGGTAGAAAAATACAAACTTTATGGTCAATGGTATCAAGCCAAGACTCTCATGAACCTGGATAGGACTGCAGAGGAGATCGAACAAGAATATATACGACTTTATGCGGAAATCCCGGACTCTAACGAAGAATATGAAGAAAAATCAGAGGAACTTGAGAGAGCAAGAGAGGATAAAGAGGAGGGGCAAAATTGGGAGCTGCAACAAAGGCAGGATAATTATAGTTACATTTATGAGCTTAACGCGAGTAGACTTCGCACACCTTCAGTCACAGCCACTTCAGGTGAATCAAGCATGCGGTCCTCCAAAGACAATATGGCCATGTTGTCCGATTGCACCAAGGATGCGATGTCCAATCATTCTAAGGCGACGGTATCGGGAGTAATAACAACTTCAACAAGTCAGCCACTCCTTTGTGTTGAAAATGATGAGGATAATATAGAAGATGAGGACGATGACATGGGACAGAATCACGACAAACAACCACATCGGCAGCAGTATGGCCCGCATAATCATATTCCTGTCGGCACTGCACAACCTCCCGCACAGTTGAACCAACAAAATCAACAGCGGTACCAGCTACATCAACGTATGGCTCGTATCTGGACTCCAGAGCGATCAGAGTACCTCAAAAACTTGGTCGAGTTTTATTTTCCGGGATCTTACCGAATTAACTGGGTTTGGGTAGCAGCCCAGATGGGAAATGTCTTCACACGAAAGCAGTGCAAGAATAAATGGGAGATCATGCGCCGGCGCATGGGGACAGAGGAAGAGATCAATCTACTTAAACGTGGTTATCAAGAATTTGGGCCATCATGGGGACAAATTCAAGAAAAGTACCTTCCAGAGCGCTCTTCAGCTGGGATCTCAACTATGTGGAGCCTCTTGGAGACGCGCGAAGCAGAACAACGTCAGCTGAAACAGCAGCAACCAGAGCAGCGGCAGTCTAATACGGAAGTGCCACCAACAACAGGGCTAACGCGGAATTCACGTCATGGCAGACACCATTCAACATCATCCTTGAGGACACCCCAATACCCAGATGCTTCTCCCTTTGAGACTCCATTTGAGACTCCATTTGATGAGAGGGGTGCCTTAAGGAGCATGAGCGAGATAGAAAAGCAACAGCAGCAGCTAAATGAAGGATTGCAGAGAAAGCGAGCTATGACGTTGGATATTGAAGCCATGGATCTTAATTTTGATAGAAATCGCCAGTCTACAATCATCAACGAGCATTCGCTACTGGCAGCACAACCATTACCAACTATGTCACAGGAACATACTATTTCAAGGCATGTGCGCTATGCCTCTGAGGCTTCAGCACTCATACCGTCATCACCATTTCCATCATCAACACCACTGTATTCTCCAAGGATCTGGATGGATAGGAACCATCCTATGGCTTGGACGGAGCCATTAACAAGACGGCTGGAAGAGCTGGTACACCAACATTTCCCGAACCATCAAAAGATCAATTGGGTCAAGATCTCATCCATGATGGGCAGTAACCCCACAATATCGAGAGATCAGTGTAAGCGAAGGTGGTATTTGATTTCACAGAACAACAGCAGCCTCAGTAGCGGTAGTAATATTAGTAATAACTATAGTAACGACAGCAGAGATGATGATAATAGTGGCTTAAGTAATAATTCTCCACTCGATTATCATCGGGAAGGTGCCTGAGGATACGAATCTGGCAACGAAGAGAGGCAGATCGGGCTGTGTTCGTGTTGCATGGAAGTAACGCATAAGAGAAGTCAATATCTATATTAAAAAGATGAAAAAATTAATAGGTGGATTCATTGATAACAGCTTGAAGGTTCACTCATCTGTTGGTGGCAGGAGTCTTTATTCGATTTAGAGTGATTAAATATCAGATGTTTTTTTACCGAGAAAACACAGATAGCCCTACTGGATGCCAAAATGTGATTTGGTTGTCTTCTAATTTAATTTATGACTCTCACTTTTAACTTTTTGAAAGTTTATCCAAGACCGCGTCTACGATGAACTGGAGATTTAAAACGTAAACCTGTCCTCTTTGTTTTACTGTTCTAATCCTCAATACGCCTGTGTTTTTGAATCTCTGCTTCCGTTTTCTTCAGGGTCTTTGTTTTTCACCGCTTTCATATATTTTATCAGCTCAGCTTTAAAAAAAAAAAAAAAAAAAAAAAAAGATTATATTTGCCGCACGCTCCACACGTTCGACGTCTACTGTACCTCTCACAAGCCACTTGCCTGTCAAGTTCTGTTTATGGCGGTTCGAACTACTCGAAAAGCGTTCCTCCGCCGAGCGGCGCCACATCGGGTGTACGACACATCATCCGAGCACGGAAGTCCTGGCGGGCTGTGCCACATACCATCCAATCACGACCTGTGGAGGATTTAGCAGACCAGCAAGCGGAAGATGCAGAGGATGAAGAAAAGTTATATGACAGGATCTACAGTTCGATTGGCGAGTGTGCCCTACTTGCTCTCCTTGAGCAGGAGAGAGAATGGGAAAACAAAGAAAAGGAAGAAAGAAGACGTAAAGAAGAAGCAACAGGAGCTGAGCTTGGAGTCGAGCTTGGCTGAGTGGTTTGCATGGACACAGGTTGCTCTTCTTAGCTCAGCTGTGTTTGTCCTACTCAAGAGGACAACAAGCTGGAGCTTCCTCGGGTAGAGGGGACATTGGTTCCCTCGGCTACTGCAGGCTTATACTATCAAGCTGCTGCTGAGCTCGCCACTCCAACTCCCCCACCAGTCTACCTTGAACTAAAGCCTCTTTCGCAAAAGAGGAGTAAAGGCCATATATACCACGCTAGCCAAAATAGACCCCGTACGCACCAATTAGCTCAAGAGGCTGGAGAGCCAAGCTTTGACTACCAATAAATTCTCTACCCACCTAAAGGCTTAAGTGGCTATAACTCCGCAGTTGCTTTTCAAAGGTCGTATTTGGACGTAAAAAAGCAACAAGAGGTCAGTGCAGCATTATGGGAAGCACTGACAGCTATTGAGAACAAAGGAATCGATAGAACAATGATTGCAGCAGGATGTAAAGGAAAGTCATGAAAGGACTCCATTCACTCATTGTTTGTCTTGGGTGATGGTGAGTTTGCTTCAGGCTGTGACGAGACACTCTACTAACGATTTTTTTCTCTGCTTAAAAAAAGGCAATAGCAACAAATTGGATGGCACGCTTAATTAATAGAAAACGTTATCGACTAAGTTTTTTTATATCGTTGATAGATAAAATCACTTAGACTGAATACCATGTGTGCTGATGAATGACGCACTTCGATGGTGTGCTGCAGATGCAAAAACGTTAGAAACTTAGTTGGTTGCGCCATCGTATGTCCCAGTTGCCGCCAGGAGCGTGATTGAGATCACAATGGTGCAGACAACATAGCTCGGGCGACACATCACTTGACTATACATCAAGTAGGGCCTCCTGGACTATACCGGCCGTAAAACTCGTATTTCGTGGAGAAGCGACAGCTTTATAGCAATGCTAGATTTATGGTTCACGGAAGCAGGCCATCTACGGCTAGTAAACAATAATTTAGTACGCAAACTTCCATGGACGGTTTTTGCTCGCTGTGTAACATGAAATGATTTCATTCATGCCCATGTATTTAATGCTAAAATGCTTAAATTCCTTTTAAAACACCCATGTTGTATTCTCCATCTCGTCATTGTTGATGTGTTCCAGACCAACAATAACTAGCGATAACCAACAACAGCAACAATGTCATCACAACAATCATGTCATACTATCAATATCTTAGAACGTATTTCCTCTATATCGCTGTGGGATGCTTGATGGTTCTATGCGCAACAGTCAGAGAGCATATTTAGAATCTCTATAAAAACCCAATCTCTTCACTACTTTTTTCACTTGTAAAAAAATTCTTTCTCTCAACTATCATAACAGTAACGACAATCGAATTTAAGTAACAAACATGCCTCTCACTTTGTCAAAGTCCTCTCCTCCAAAACAAAGCTTTATCAGTCGCATCTTTGCTGGTAGCTCTTCATCCTCTTCAAGGCCTCGTAAGACTTCGTCTTCGGTGGCAAAGAAATCAAAATCATCAAAGTCATCACCGCTGATGAGTCGATTTCGCCGTACTCCTCCATCGACCATGGACAAACTTCAGGCCAAGTTGGACCCTTCTCCTAACGCCACACCAGAATCGATAGCCAAGAGGAAAGCCAAAAAGGCAAAAGCTAAGAAGGCCAGCCACAAGAATAGATCGTCTCTCTTTGGACGCAATTAATCAAACCACTTGTAGAAAATATCGTATCAGCCATATCAGTTTAAGCAGAAGATTAATAAGTAATAAAAATAACAAAATAAAAATAAAAAAGTGGTTCAGGAGTTACTTCATTCACTCTTGTTATACTTTTAAAATATTAATCTATTCATAGGCAACGTTTCTGATTAACTGATTATAGATATTTGTAAAGGTGATGACCATATTAGTAGGTTAAAAGAGAATTTATTGAGTAATAAAAATACAAGAATACATGACCGAAATAAAGTCAAGGAATTAATCCCTCCTCTCCGGTGGTGGACCGCAAGGTTGGAGCATTTTCTGTAAGCGGCGTCATGACAAAAAATATCGTTTTTTTAGGTTAACAAATAGGTGTGGAACCATATAAATATTAAGCAACTATTCATGAAAAAGAAAGAGACATGTCTTTTTTTTTTTATAGTAATAGTAAATTTTACCTCTGTAATGTTGAATTTGATCCGAGCGATGCTTTCATTCTCAGCAACAGCAAAATAAGAGATCATAGGATAATGTCCAACATAAGATGCGTAAGAATCTCGGGCCTGGTTAACGCCCCATTCGCTGAAGAAGAATAAAACAATCGATCTTTCTGTTAACGTCTGTCCATTCTCTTTGGATAACAGAGTTTAATCAACCATTAATGAGAAGAACTAAATCATGTTTTTCCCCCTCTTTTCCCTTCCGTTGCTTACTATTTGCTGGTATCAGGATGCCCAGTTCCTACGTATTTGGACTGCAAGTGCTCCAGCTGGCTGTTCAAATTCGAGCGATCCTATCGTTATACGCCATCATAAAAAAAAAAAGAAGAGTGAGCATATGACCAAATTGAGACTTAATAAGGGAATGCATCGCTATTAGTCCATCTACAACTCAAGTCCTGTCTGGATTCCTTGATGCTTGTCTTATTTACCATGATTGCTTAACGAAGTGGATGTTGAACTCAAGCATCCAACAAAAAACAGCCAGGATGTAACTCAAAATCTGTTTCATATCATGTGAACTGTTCCTTATTTATTCAGCCAATCAGCGTCCTCTAGTACTTAAGGACGAGGCTGCGTCACATAGCACGTGATATATCTTGAGCAACTTCACCTTTAAAAAGTGCCCATCTTTCATGACAAGGGATACACATGCATACATTGTTGACAATTTTATTTTTATATTGACCATGAGTAAGGGTTTTCAATGTCCTTTCACTATAAAGAACAGGATAAAGGAAGCAGACAGCACATAGTTTCAACTCACTAAATTATCTCTTTTCTTTCTCGCTGATCAACTCGGTATCAAATATTCTTTAGGCGGAAAACTTAGCCGTGAAGAATACAGGAAGCAAAAAGACTTGGAAGCAGCTCGAAAGGCAGGAACTGCTCCAGCTGCTAGAGATGAGGAAGGACGAGAGATTAACCCACATATCCCGCAGTATATCTCGGACGCACCATGTATGTATCGATTATTCTATTTATGTAGTTGTGTCAGTCGTCAATTTTTTTTATTTTATCACTTGTTCCTGAACGCAGAATTTTGAAATTAAACTCTCTCTATCGCCATTTTTGATTACGGAACCGATATTTTCTAGGGTATATTAATGATGGCCATACCTCATTGAAGCATCAGAGAGCACCAAAAAGAGAAAACGAACATTCGGACGAGTGGTACCAACGAGGACAAAGAGCAGTATGTATTGTGAAAATTCAAATGTTCTTTTTTTTATAAAGAAAATTCAAAAAAAAAAAAAAAAAAAAAAAAAAAAAAGTCAAGGTCCAATCTTTAACTTTTGAGAAAATTGTTTAATATCCTTTTTAATTGAATTTCCTCAGGGACCTGCAGCGACAAAATACAGGAAAGGAGCTTGTGAGAACTGTGGAGCCATAACACACAAAACAAAAGATTGTGTAGAGCGACCACGGAAAAAAGGAGCTCGATGGACAGGCAAGAATATCAAGGAGGATGAAATTATCCAAAATGTCGAAATGTCTTTTGATGCAAAGCGAGATCGATGGAATGGATACGATACAGCGGAACATAAAAAGATTTACGATGAGTATGAGAAAATCGAGGAGGCGCGGAGGAAACTCAAGGAGAGTGAATTGGATAAACAGGATGCAAAGGCGGCAGCCATGGCCAGCAAAATGGAAAACAATGCAAATGAATTTGGAGAGAGTGACGATGACGATGAAGACGAGGAGAAATATGCAGACAAATCAGATATGCCTGGACAAAAGGTCAATGCCAAAACAAGGACAACTATTCGTAACCTGAGGTAAGAAGCAATAGAGAAGGAAACACACACACACATATATATATATATGTTATGAAGCAAACGAGAAGACTCTCTGGTTTCTATAGCGCCTTGTTGCATGAGAAAGATCGTACTTAACTAACTATATCTCTTTTATTTTATTTTTTTTTATTTTTATTTTTTATTTTTTTTCGCTAAGAATTCGTGAGGATCGCGCCAAATATTTGTACAATCTTGACCCCAACTCTGCCCATTACGATCCTAAGACCCGCTCCATGCGTGAGAATCCACTCAAAGATCAGGATCCTAGTACATTAGTTTATGCAGGAGATAATTTCCAACGATACTCTGGAAACACATCAGATATGGCGAACGTTCAATTGTTTGCATGGCAGGCCGCAGAAAAGGGAACCGATGTTCATTTACAAGCTAATCCAACCCAGACCGAGTTTCTGCACAAGCAATTTAAAGAGAAAAAAGCAAAACAACAGGATACGAACAAGGAGAGTATATTGGCCAAATATGGTGGCGAGGAACATCTGGATGCACCTGCACGCGAATTGTTATTGGCACAGTCTGAGAATTATGTAGAGTATTCAAGAGCAGGTCGGGTGCTTAAGGGTCTGGAACCAGCCAAAGTCAAGTCCAAATATCAAGAGGATGTTTACATCAACAACCATACGACTGTTTGGGGCTCCTTCTGGGCGGATGGCAAATGGGGTTACAAGTGCTGCCGTTCGTTCCTCAAGAACTCTTATTGCACGGGCCTTGCTGGCATCGAGGCACATGAAGAAAGTACAAATGCTCTTTCTAAATCGTAATATATATAAGTATGTATGTATCAATATTAGTACTATAATATCTCTTTTTACTTTTTTTACAAAGATATCAATCCATGTAACCTCACAAAAGCTGTGGTTCCATGAAGAAATTGACTATTATTTGCATATAATCTGAAGGCTAAACCTGGTCAAACCGAGCCGTCACTTATATTACTTTGCCCCTAGAAAATGATATCCTGACAAATGCCACAAACGGTAGGCAAAATACGTGTGGAGCTTCTCATAATACATCATGGGAACTCTGAGTGGAACTTTTCAGTAAACAAGAGATACCAAATATGGAATATACCCTGGTCATTGTGACTGCTCATTTGTGGCCAAAAAAGGAAGAGTGGATTCAAATTTTAAACGGATTCGATGTGAAAATCGAAACGTGTACGGAATTTTGTTGGTTCCTTCTCTTCTTCATTGACCTTCTGGGGTAAATGGGTGCTTTATTTTTTATTATTAATTTTTTCAAAATGTATTGGCGATCAAGAGGCGATTTAATTACCAAAGCTCAATAAGATCATCACCCACTATCAGGCATCAGGAGTTAGATCAATTTTTCTGCTAAGAATACATCATCGACATTTGATCCAACATTATTGCATGAGGAAACTATCATCATTTGACTTATTTACAGCATTTCGAGATTACAGGATAAAAGCAACTATAATTCAATCAATCAATTAATCAATCAACCTGTTAATCAATCATGACGTGAAAGAGATCAATCAACAGCGAAACTTTTTTGTTTTGTACTCACTCCACCATCATCAACAAATTTTTTTTAATGTCTTGTAGAATTGATTCAACATGCCTCACTCATATGGTATCCGCGCCCGCACCCGTCACATGTTCGCCCGTAACTTCAGGGAGCATGGTATGCCTATCAAGCTTACCACCTACTTGAAGACCTACAAGGTTGGCGATATTGTTGACATTAAGGCCAACGGTGCTATCCACAAGGGCATGCCCCACAAATTCTACCATGGGTAATACTTTCGCTTTCTTTTTTTTTTTTTATGTGGTTACTTTAACAAAAACGTTAGTTTTTACAAAAAAAAAAAAAAAAAAAAAAAAAAGAAAAAAGGTCGGGAAGAGTTGTCAGGAATCAGCAGAAATCAACTACAGGAATCAGAGATCACTTTTTTCAACTTGATTTTGTTAGTGACGGAGGAAGAGGAGGAGACGAGAACACTTCACCGGGACGTTTTTAAAGTGCGTTTTTTTTTTTTTTTTTTTTTTTTATATAAATCTTGACATACTTCACTACTGGAAAGCAGGAAGGATACCCTTACAAGCTCTCAAGGAGCAATTGACTTTTGATCAGGCTTTTCCGTTTGTTCAAGTCTTACGAAACTTTACGACACTGTCATCATCATTTCTTATTTTTTTAAAAAAAAAAAAAAAAAAAAAAAAAGCTTTTTCTCGTTTCTTTCTTTACAGAGCGCCACTCTCTTTAAAGTTGCAGAATAGAAGGGACAACCTCATCTAGGAGGAGGAAGTGGAGAAGAAAGAGAAAGAGTAGAACATTTGGGAAGGCAATGTTTATTATATAATGTTAACTTTCCTTTATTGTCTCTGTTTATTAGTCGCACTGGTATCATTTACAACGTGACCAAGTCCGCTGTTGGTATCATCATCAACAAGAGGGTCGGCAACCGCTACCTCGAGAAGCGTGTCAACATCCGTGTTGAGCACATTAAGCACTCCAAGTGCCGTGATGACTTCTTGCGTCGCGTCAAGGAGAACGCTGCTGCCAAGCTTAAGGCTAAGACTGACGGTGTCAAGGTCAACTTGAAGAGACAGCCCGTCCAGCCTCGTGAGGCCCGCTTTGTCACCATCAAGAACAACACCCCCACCACCCTCAACCCCATCCCCTACGACAGTAAGTTTATTTTGACTACATCCGATGTGAAAAGAGAGAAAAAAAAAAAAAAAAAAAAAAAAAAAGCTTTTGAAGCCAATGCTTGACAGTCTCTAACATGTATGATGCTTGTTTTCTATTTATTTGTCCTGATTATAGCCCTTGTTTAAGATGCTGTGGTGTGTGGAATTGATTATAGTGTGGAAAAATCGATGCAAAGCAATAAACAAACGAAGCAGAAATGCTTCCACAGAAGACAACTTTATTTAATGAAGGGAGGTTTTGGTAACAGAAGAGTACCTTTTTGAAGATTATGCGTTGAGTATTGAAGAAAAAAAAAAAAAAAAAAAAAAAAAACAACTACAATATGTCAAAGGAAAGAGATTTTCAGATATTTATTTATTTATTTATTCGTTTATCATTTTTTTTTTTATCAAAAGGAATGCATGTATAAAAAAAAAAAAAAAAAAAAAAAAAAAAGTTAAATATGACCCATTACAATGCTAAACTTGAGTGTTTGGGGTTGAAGATGGTGGTGATGACGCCCGTAGATCCTTTGAGCTTCACAATTACATTCTGGTAGTGGATCCTTTTTATAAGGACTAGTACCACTCATATCATCATGTCCGTCTTTGACATCCCATTCAAAACCTCTCGTAGCAGTTGTGGTTGCCTTCGTATTTTGGCGAATGCCTTTTGACTTTTGCTCTCCTTTTTTCTTCTGACGGTGCTGTTGCTGTTGCTGTTGCTGTTGAGGCATATCTACGAGAAAACTTTCCGAAGTGGAATTCAAATCCTTACCCATGTCTTTTTCCGTCTCCCTTCCCTTATTATTACCCAACGAGGAGCAATTCGACGAACCTTCTCTTGTATCGTCACTACTATCACTACTATTCTGTCGCCATGAATCAAATCCACAGCATACACTTGTAAATTTGGCTTCGTCATAATCTTTGGATGTGACGGGCATGTAATTAGGTGAACACAGGCTTGAAGAGCGCCACCCCTTTTTATGGCCATAAACAAAAAGTGTAAGTATGGCTATCTTTTTTTTTTTTTTTTTTTGTGCAAAACTGCAAAACAACGATCCCCTACAAATAAACTTTACCCAACTCTGCATGGTGAAAAAATCGTCGGGACTACTTTGAAATTGAGTTATTGTATGGTTTGGACCGAGAGAGGCTGCAAAGATCTTGAACCAAGTCCTAACTTTCTCTCGTTTATCAACATAGTAACTGAAGGATCGTTTCATCGATACTATGCTGCTTTCATCGATTGTCAGAAGCGCATGATGTTCTTTGTTGGGAAGATCGTCTTCGTCCTCATTCTCCTCTTCACTGTCAGATCTTACAAAGAATGGCGAATGCGTAGACGATGATTTTGGCGAAGGGGGGGAGGAAGATAAAGAGGAGACTGTACGGACTGTATGCTCCTGTTGATGTATCTGATTTGCTGCTCGAAAACCCCAAGTTGACCACAATGCAAAGGACAATGATGGATTATTACTATGCGGAGTGTTATTAGCCCTGGGCTCCAATGAAGCTCCTGTTGATTGCGTTACTGAGGAAGAAGGAGCTGATGGAAAAGTAAAAGCATGCGTGGGTTGTCGCGGAGGTTTAGTGACAAGAGTATTATCGGGAAATTTGCGACGATGAAGATATACGCCCAACTGAACACCCTTGGGCGATGGTAACTTTTGGATGTACACGTCCCAGTAGGATCTATTAAATACGCATGAGCAAAAAAAAAAAAAAAAAAAAAAAAAAAAATTATTTCAATGAAGGATTAAGCCTTTCAATTCCCCAAGCTCATCTTCCCACTACATACCCAGCGTAGAAAAACATGTCAGACGGGGAGCGAACGTTGTCTTGTAGCTGATCAATGTCCCCAAACTCGACACTGATCCGGAAGGGTGCATACAAGGAGCATCGTTTGTTAGGAGTGATCTTATTCGGCACATTGCTCGATGACAAGGAAGCATCTGCAAGCTCGAGTCGCTGAGAAGGGGAGGAGATATCACCGATGAGTGTCCTATCCTGGTCTGGAATAGACCAATCCCGTTTCTCTCTCACATCTGATTCTTGGTTTTGTTGTTGATTATGGTCTTCGAAATCAAAAACATCCAAGGGTCCATCATCTTTGACGCTGCGGTCGATCATTGCCCGCAACTCTGTCTGATGCCATAGGGCTTCGTGAATCACCTCAGATCGCGTAAATCGCTCGCCTGTGAGGGGATCAATATCACGTAGGATGATTTGCAGCTGCTCAAACGACATGTGCATATAGATGATGCTTGTTGAGAACAGAGTATCATATACTATTTCATCTTCGTCTTCTTCCATCTCGAATACTGTATTTTGCGATGATGGGTGTTGCTGTAGATCGTGAGTCGATGTGGTAATAGTTTGCCGAGACGAAGATGGAAGATCTTGTCTCTTCTTTTTTCTTGCCATTGCCTTCCTCCTACGACTATGTACAATTTCCCGACAAAGTTTGTACCGCTCCCATTCTCCCGGGACCCAGAATGCGTCCGATCCGATTACATTTACAAGCCATGAAGCGGGTAAAGCTTCAAAGACCTGAAGACACTTGATCTTGGGATCGTCATATCCATTGCGACAGAGGAAGGTGTGGCAAGCATCAGCAATTCGAGCGGACCAAGGGTAATAATTAGTTTGATGAGTAAACTCGACCATTCTGGTGACATTGAGGGTTGAGAGTGTGCGAATGATGAAAGCACAGCACCGTTCACATAGTTCATCGATGCCTAAATAAGCTCCCGAGGCAAGCACAGACAAGGCATTCTTGGACGATAGAGACATAGTTGAGCGCATGATGTAATTATTCTTTGTCACTTCTCCTCCTCTTCCCCCCGCACCGATGTAATCCTTGTTGGATCGGATGTTGTTATCGTTAGAGTTACCGTCGCTCGTTGTTTTAATGGTAGCGGTATTAGTAGCAGTAACTGGTGATGTTGATGTTGCAGGTCCTAACGTTCTGTCATCGCTGTTGCTGCTGTTGTTAATACTGTCTTCTTCTTCTGTCCAGACACCATACAGGCTCCCGATCGCAATCTCAAACCCCTCCTGGGAGATGTTTGTGTCATCAAATTTGATCTCAACGACCTGAGATTCCCGTTCTTTCCATGGTCCTCGCTGGAACATGGCCTCAAAATAGGAAGATTGGGTCAAGATGAGCCGATGAAGATGATAGGTCTTATCAAAGACATGGATCGTGATATCACTTCCGATCCCTTGAATCAAACCTTGGGTGGCAATGTGACGAGCCAAGCTAGAGATATGCTGCAGTGCCCTTGAAGGGGTTGGAAGCATGGATGCCCTTGCTGCTTCAGAGTCAGGAGAAGGCAAACCGGAGCTGGAAGACGAGGAGGAGAAGATAGAACCAAATCCATCGCTGGTGACGACTGTAGAAGGTGTCAGCGTGGAAATAGAGGGATTGGGGAGCATTGTACACTTGTCGAACTCTGAAATGAAAAAGAAAAAGAAAAAAGGCCAAGAAGGATACAAAAAGATGTAGCCTTTGGATGCCAATTGGAAAAGTGAATGAAGAAAGTTGACCGGTGCTATTTAATGCCCTGTCCGTTTGTAATGCCACCGAGCCTATACGACAAAAAAAAAGAAGATATAGTAACAAAAGCAGTAAAAGCGAGAGGTATACACCAAAGGGAATGATATACAAGTTCAACAATGCGCCAAAAGAAAAATTGAAAACAATGAAAATGAGAGAAAGAAGGAAAAAAAAAAAAAAAAAAAAAAAAAAAAGAAACGGAGCCTAAGTGATATTTGTGCCATTGCCCAGATACAATGATAGGCACATGTCCTTCTGTTTTCAGGGGTAAAAGATCCAGCCACTTCTCCACGCACAGAGAGTAATATCTGAATGTCGCATTAGAAAGGGCTACTGCAAGCTCTTCTATTGCACTTACACGCTACCTTTATTTTCAAGTGATAAATGGGATGTGAAAGGAGCTTGACTAGTAGTTTTTTTTTTTTTTTTTTTTTTTTTAAAAAAAAGACGAAGCTTCTTTCTCACATTCTCACAATCAATTGCCTTTTCCTTCTTTTTGTTAGTCATCAACATACCCCTGATTTCTTTTCTTCTTTTTTTATAAACGTCACGGAATGTAGGGATAGTCAACCCCACATTTTTTTTTTTTTTTTTTTTTTTTTTGAACAATTCTGTCGTACATGCAAGAAGGAAATGTCCTCCGATTTGTTTTGTGGTTACGTGAATAAGCAATGTTCTCCAAGGTTTGTTTCTTTACATCCATATTAAACTATTTAAACGAGCAGAACTTTGGAGTTCTCGAGTGGCTTCATAGGCTCTTTTTTCTTTGAATAATACTAAGGTCCTCCGCATGGAGCATCCTTTCTTCGCATCAAAAGTATTCTTATGTATATCGCTGTAGTATATATTACCTACCTATACTCCTTGGCCTCACCTATCTTTTAGCTCATAGTGGACGTGAGGACACCCTCTGACCCAAAAAAAGATCATTAATACAGTCTGACAGCGCCTAGTGCGAAATAACATTGGGAGGAGGCCATTAATACTGACTAGGCCATAGCGCAAGGAGAGATCGCCAGCTCATTTTTATGATAAAGTAGAGTGGATAGGAAGAAAAGGATGAAAATCACGTTCAATTCCCATGTAAAAAAAAAACATTCCGAACTCTTTTAGGCTTCTTTGAAGCGTCGTAAATAAATGACATCTGTTCAGTGCTCAGACTTGGAAAAAACAAAAAAACAAAAAAAAAAAAAAATCCACGGATACTCAATTTCATCCATTGATCGGCTCAAAACGCCAACTTTTATTTGTTCTTTTCAGATGCATGTAAAAAAAAAAAAAAAAAAAAAAAAGAAGGTTCGTTTTGATCCAAAAAAAAAATAATGAAAAACAAACAAATGTGGGAGAGTAACTAGAGTAAAGTTTTTTTTTTGTAAAAAAGGAAAGTCAATAGTGATGTGCATAGTAATAATAAAAATAACAACAAAAACAACAATGGCAACAGGCGTAAAGGCACAAAGGTCATTCGAATATACAGACATATTTATTTTTGTTTTGGCGAACAAAAAGAGCTTTATAACATACGCCACGAGAGAGGAGTGAAGAAGGGTATTAAGCTTCAAGTTTTATTAGACTGTTGTTGCTCGTCAGAGTAACTGGTGGATTAAATGTTGCTGTTATTGAGAGGCATCACTGCTCATGCTGCATATTAAATATTATATTGACATCTGAAGTTTATTTGTTTGATTGTCTGAAATGGCCCTTTTGGCTTTTAGTATTTGTTTGGATTGTTTTCTTTTCCCTGCTTGTCCTACAGTCTTTCTTTGTTTTGCGGCCATATTTGGTTGAGATTGATAGACATTTAAAAGATGAATAGCTTTAGGTGGACATGAAGGACAAATGAAATGTTATGAAGTGAAGTGGAGGTGATTTTTCTTTTCTTTTCTTTTCTTTTCTTTTCTTTTCTTTTCTTTTCAAGAAGGCTGTCAAAGGACGTCAGAACAATTATATATAATGACTTGTGGAGGTGACGAAGGGTCCGTCATGATTCTAGTGTTTCTTTTTTTTATTTTTTATTACAAAATATATACCGCCGATACACTAGGGTGGATTAGTGTATGTTTATTTATGCAACCCCCACATTCAGCTGTTGACAGGGTTCACCCCACAAATTTTTTATTTGATTTTTCTGTCTGTAAGGTTCAAGCGATATTAAATAGATATTAAAATACCTTTGTTTATCGATTTTGAATTATCATTGTATCCTCTTTGCCACGGGAGATTTCACCATTGGAGGTCAGCACTGGGCCATGTTCCAGTAAGGAGGACAGGACAGGATGGAAAAGGAGTAGAAAAAGAAGCAGGGATTTCAAAAAGAGAGAGGCGAGAGTGCATTGCATTCTTTGGAACGCATGATGAGGATGTTCCCAGTCCTCTGGTGTGGTTTTTCAAAATGGGAGGGCTTTTTTTTAGCCACATTCATGTGTTCAATTTTCAAATGTGTTACAGAACTCTTTCTTGGACATTGTAAGCAGTACATAAACTGTAGACGTTGGTTTTGGCTTGTGGAATAGACCAATCCAATTTTGCCTTGATCGCCTTTCTTTTCGATAGAGTCCGTCATTCTACACTCCCAACTGTATTGCGTCAGGTTAGGAAGAAAAACAACAGAAAGAAGTGTTAGAACAGACCAGATCGAAAAAAACAAAAAACAAAAAATAAAAAATAAAAAAAGTATCCATTGTCCGTGGCAAAGCATGGTTGTGCACAAAGTTAGGTATATTTCTTTCCACAAAGAAACTTTAGAACCAATTTGATTTCGTACCTGATGGAGCCTGTCCAAATACACGTAAAACACAACAGATATTCAAAAGAGCTTGCTGAAGCCAACTAAATGCAGCAGTATTTCTCACTTTTCCGGGTCAAGCAATGAGGCCCTGGTCCTTGAATCGATGATTTGGCAAGAAAAAGCCGTAAAAAATACATGCATTCCTCACCCCTTAGTTTTGCATGAAAACGAGCTTTGCTTCTGTTGTTTACAGATGTCCCTTTTTTCTTTTTTTTTTTTTTTTTTTTTTTTTTTTTTTCAGAAGCAAGGAAAAGGTAAGAGTATTACACGTAGATTATCTGTCCACCCTTGATGGATGTTAAATCTGCCAAAAGATAAAGGAGACTTACAAGATAAAATCTTCTCAATGGAGCTGGAAGTTAAGAGGGTGTGTCCTCGAGTGCTTGACATGAGGGATGACGTTGTCCAATCTGCAGAGGAGGCTGACTCGGGAGCAGTGATCTCCGTATAACTGTAAGTAATATTATTCAGTACTATTTATTCTATTCAATAGAAATGAACTTTAGTTTTGATAGAAGAGCTTAGCTACCAAATGCGGCTCAAGCTCAAGTAGCTGCTTCTTGTGGAGAGACAAAGGGAGAGAAGTGCTATTGGTGTCATGAAGCGGAAAAAAAAAATCAGAAAGGAGGAGGAAGCCCTTCTATTCTTGTCAATGTCTCAAGGAGACGATGGGGGAAAGGATACCTTCTGGAGCATACATGAACTTTCTTTATTTTTTTTTTAGGTGTCAAAGTCCTGGACAACAGACACAAGGAATATTTTTATATATATAATATATCATAATTCATGAACTAAAAACATTAAATATTCATTTCTGCATCGAACAGAGATGGATACGGCACCCTCCTACGATCTCGTCTACGTTGGAAAACAGGAGTACAATCCACATGTACTCTCGGCGCCAGTGACTGTTGTTTAAACAAATGAATATTTGAGTTTTTAATGTCATTCAATTCAATCCGTTACATCAATATCCACATCAATATCAACAATATCAACATCATTGTCAAAATCAATGTAATGTCAATAACAATATCAATGTCAATATCAATGTAGTGTCAACAGTATGCAGCATTCATCCCCATTTGAGGAAGGCCCGATTTTATTTTGTTTTGCAGCAATCACAAGTGCAATATGTATTCCCTGTATAAAAAAAAAAAAAAGAACGGCGTTTTAGTTAATTATAACACTACTGCACAATATATAATTGAGAAGAATGGAGTAGATAGAGTAGATAGGCAACAGAACACGAATTCATTTGGACAATGACGGAGACAAGTATCTGGAGGTGTTATTTGTTATTCATCTTTCATAAACAATCTCGTGTCTTTATGTAAACACGAGCACGAGAAGAATGATTGTTTCTGCTAAGGGAAGCAAACTAAGCATTGAGGATATGGTCGTTCATTGAGTGTATTTGACAGTTAGGGTGCATGCGCATGTACCATACCCAGGATGGGATCCTTGTGAGCATAAATGTTAATATGAGTTCATCCGTTCTGAAATGAAAAATGATCTAAAAGCACAGAATGCATTGACTCGAGAAAGAAAGGAGAGGAAAGAGAAGAGCAAGAGTGTCATATGTTTGTTGCACAAAGGAGAACACAACGTTTTTTTGCTTTCAATGGCACATAGACTACTGCAGCTTGCCATTGGGACTTGGGACTGGGGCTAGGCTAGCCTTGCTTTTCATGGTCAAACCTCATTACCTCCACTTCCTCTTCTCCCTTCTCTCTCTCTTTCTCTCTCTCTCTGCCTCCGCTTCTGCTTCTGTTCCGTTGGCTTTTGCTTCTGCTCTATTGACTTCTGCTTTGCTTTTTTTTGCTTCCAATCTTTTATCTCTACTTCTTCTGGATCTGCCAGCTTTCATTCAGATCTCACTTTGTCAACATTCTGTTCATTCATTCAACCATTTTCATATTACACAATAGGGATTTATTATTCATTCATTCACTCACATTACTTGCATCGCTCAACTCACTCTACTCACTCTACTCACTCTACTCACTCTACTCACTCAGCTTACCCGGATATTCCTTCTCTCTGACTCGCTGTTTCATACCCATCTTAATCCATTTAGTTGATTATACCCTCATCCACTGCATCTACTCTTTTAACGCACATATAACTATCCTATTGACTTGAGCCGGACAAGGTAAAGTCAGACATTCAGATCAAAAGCCATCCTAGTTTCTTTTGCCCTTTTTGTCTTGTTGTATACTCTTTTTATTTATCTTTTTTTATTTTCTAAAAAATAAGAATAAAATAAAAAGAAAGAAAAAAAAAAAAAAAAAAAAAAAAAGAAGAGGTGGAGTTAAAGAGATCTTTCATCACATCCCTTCATGTTTCTTCAACATCTCAGGAACATGTGTCGTTCAAAAGCTGAGCTCCAACTCGATTTTTTTTTTTTTTTTTTTTTTTTTTTTAATTTATGGTACCAAAACGCAAAAGTCAATAATTGCGCAATGCTGATGCTGATGCTGATGCTGATACCGCTTTCATAACTGTCGTTGCTTCAATTCAAAGGCATTGTCTTTATTCGCAAAAATATCCTCTTTGTAATACTGAATACATTCGTCAATGATACAGCCATTTTCGGTACTTGCACAGGCTCATCATACGCGTGTCTTTTTTGAGTGTAGGCGTCCGCTCGGATGAGTGCTGCTCTTTTTTTTTTCTTTCTTTTTTTTTTTTTTTAATATATTGCAGCAATACAGTTGTTTGTTCCAACATTTCCTCTTGAATTCACCTGCAGACCGTGTCGTTAGCCAGTTATTAGAGGGATCTTATATATTGTTAATCACAACGGTTCTAACTGAACCCCTTGTTGCTTTTTATTCTTTTATTTCGTTCATTTTGCTTCTTTTCTTCTGTGCGCTAGAAGCCTCTGTTTGCATACATTAACTTTAGGCTCTTGCTTTAGTGCGTCAACAGTGCAGTAGGTAAGCCACTCGTCATGTACGCTAAAGGATATGATGAAGGACTTGGGTCTAAGAATCATTGTGACCCTGTCTTCTTCCCTTGACGCTCTTTTGTGGCGCATTGTTAGTGCTGGGCTGGAGCCAGATGCTGTGTGATTATTTTCACCATTAACACATGCATCGAAAAAAGAAAAAGTATCGTGATGCCCTCTTGTAGCGGTATTGATTCTCCCGTCACAGCTAGGCAAAACGCCTCTCTTTCTTTGTAATTATCCTTGGTCATTGACAGTTCCGTCCCACATCTTACTTGTGCCTTATTTTAAGAGAAAAAGTGGTGTGTGTCAAGGAAGAAAGGAAAGCGAATCGATTCGTACTACTCTTCGGTGTAGCCCCCTTCCTTTGTTTCTCCTTTTTTTTTTTTTTTTCCCAATCTTTCTCCTTTCGAACACCCTTTTCAATTATGGGAGGCTATTTCTTCCAAGGTTACACCCCTACTTTTTTGTTGTTATCAGTTCTATTGAGTTTCTGCTTGGGAAGCAATCAATGTAAACGGAATGTGAAAGGAATGTGTAGCGAAGACATGCCGTTCTGTTCTTGCCATTTTGTTCGGTACGCGATATGCGATGCACGATACGCGGTATGGGCTTCCATTATTTTCTGTTTATATAACCCTTGATCACATTCAGTACGTGCAGGTCATATAAATGATGGAAGAGCAAAGCGAATAGATGAGAGACATAGAAACATAGAAACGAATACAATCAACAAAACTATTGCTCATGATGCTGTGCAACCATCTGTCTATTCATTCAACTATCAAAAAGAAAAAAGGGGATGGGGAATAAAAGACAAAAACGGAAAGATGCAAACAAACAACAGAAGAGCCGACTGAGCAAGACAGCAACTTGCGCGTAGTCTATATTTCTCCACTCATCTTTTGTGGGCCTCCATTGTGCCCAACTTGGTGAGCGAGAAAGAGAGATTTGTCGATGCTTCTCTTTCACACTATTACTTTGCACACTTGGTGCACTCATCAATTTCCGGCTCGCTCTCTTTCTCTATCTTTCTCTCCCTCTATCTCTTTTTTTTTTTCCTTTCAACTTTTCTTTGTTGCCTTATTGCCTTTGCATGTCATTCCCTTGTTGACAAACTGAATACATGTATCTAAGTATTGGTAATTTACAAGAAAAGCTTTATTCTCGCCATATCCTACCTTTAGACCTCAACTCCGATCTAATCCGCCCAGCATTTGTTGTCAGGTACATGTCAATCCAATGCAGGTTACATTCGCGGTCCCTTTATTCCTTTATTCTTTAATTTATTGTGAACCAAGACCCGATCACGCCTTCAATTGCTGGCTATAGTTTCTCCCCAATTCCCTATATCCCTATATCCCTATATCCCTCTATCCCATTCTTTGATGCAAATCGAATACGTTCTCTATTACACGCCGTATCAGATATGCACAGTAGTATCATACCATCGCATAATTGTGTTTTCTTATGCTGATCATTTAGTCCATGTCTTCGAGAAGAACGCATGGCTGTATTTGCAAATTCTACGAGTGGTGTTACATCTTTTGATCTTTGATCTTCACTCTTCCTCATCACTTACGTTCCCTCTCCCCTTCCCCCTCGCATTGCCTTTCTTCATCTATCCCTTAAATTTTTTATTTCTCTTCTGGAGTTTTATGTGTACATTCATGTACACCACGCGTCAGAGTCGCGTTGGCTGTATTTACTGCTTGTTTTATTCTTTGCAGTCGCTTTTGATTCTCAATTGTCTAAGAGCAACAAACAAGAAAATGAGAGTCTAATGGTTGTGCACTGATGTTGTTTGAGTACAAAGGCTGCATTTCTTTTTTTTTTTTCCTGCTTCAGGCGTTCGTTGTACCTCGAAACCTCCTTATTCTATTGTTTATTGTTGTGTGTATCTTTTTAATCCAGTATGTGCCGATAACAGCAAGTGTTATCTTGTTGAAGTTGCTTCTGTTATTGTTGCTTGTGGTTGTTATTTATTACTTCAAGTCATTTCAACCACCACATCTTTATCTTTATCTTTTTTTTTTTTTTTTGCCCCCATCTTCATGTGCTCCCAATGCGTCGAGGGTTGTGTACGTGCTTATACACCAAACGAAAGCATTAATCATACACACAACGAGTAAAAAGCCAAAATGGCTAGTGTTGTCACTGTGTCTATTACATTGGATTTTGTCCCCGTCTAAATCCCCCAGCCACCCAGTGCACCTCCTTTCTAATTCGTCACTCAACTCCCTTTTTTACTCCACTTGACTCCACTTTCCTTTTTATTTTTTATTTCGCAACCTCGCAGCTCCACTCCACCGCCTGCCCGACCTCACAATTCTACTTTTTTGCAAATCTTGTTGGCTACTCTTCGTCCTGGCTTCTGCACGTGCACCTCTTCATTGTCCCCACTTGTCTTTTTATATTTAATTGTTTTTGTAGGTTGCTCTTGCTTTCTCTCTTTCTATCTTTTTCTCTGTATACACACATATACAAATACACAAATACGACTTACGATTCCATGCACTTTTGAAAAAGAAGAAGCCTCGCGAAGGCGCGCATTTATTTATTTATTTTTATTGTTTTTGACCATCCCCTTTTCTGCTTTCGATTCTCTCCCTGTCTCCTGTATGTGTCTGTGTGTGCATAGTGCAGGCCTGTGTAGTTGATGGGTGTCATCATCCTATTTTATTATGATGCGGGGGATGTTGTCTTCCGCTTGGTCCACTTTTGTTTTTAACGCCCTGCTGTTTCTTCGCTTTCCTCGCCTGGTCTAGCCTAGTCTAGCCTGGTCACCATGTCTACATTTACTTGCGCCATTTTATTTATGATCGGCAATCTTTCAAAGTACTTCCATCAGATAACTTATACTTTTCCCCACTATCTTCTACCTTATGTATCTAGAGCACGCAAGCGTCCGTGTTGGCGAGTCCTTTTATCTCCTAGTTCTTTGCTGATTATCTGGCCAAGGTCTCGAGTACCTGAACACGCTCTCTTCCCTTATTATAAGGCACTGTTATTCAGTTAGTTGTTCATGGCGGACATCCATACACGGACAGTCGAGCAGCAGTTGCTGCCAGCCAGTCCTTCGGCCCAGATGCATCACTCTCATCAGCTAGGCCAGCTGCAGCGATCCGCATCTGCTGTGTCTGATCAGGACGGAGTATTCTCAAGCTCTATGGATACAGGCTCAAGCCTTGTGCCGGACTGGATTCAGCCTCCCAGTGACTTTAACAATCTGACTTCGCTCGGATTTGACAGTATGTTTCAATTTAGCGGACAGCCAGATCCCTTCCCAATTGACCACACAGAGTTTACATCAAATGACTTTGGCCTCCCATCGGGGATGGCTGGTCCCATCTCCTCAATCTTTGACGCATCTCCGAATAGTATGTTGGTTCCTGGCAATTCACTCGAGAACGGTGTAGCAGGAGGATCCATGGATAGTAGCGGGTTTCATGGGAATGGAAATAGTAGCAATGGGGACAGTAGCATGGCTATTACATTGGGCCATACAGGCAATGGCGGCAGCGGCCATAATTCCTTTATCGGTTCTGATTCAGCAGATACAGCCATGATTGATCAAAATGGTGCTGTGAACCTTGATCTTGCGTTGAAACCGCATTATATGAAGAGCCTCAAAGCATCTGCTGCTGCTGCTGCCGCCGCCGCCATGGAACAACAACAGCACCCATTGCGGTCACAGCATCATCAACAACAACAACAACAGCAATCGCATGCGCATGCACAAGGATTTAATCCTGCGCAGATGGAATTTAGTTCATCCGAGTCAGGGCCAACGCCGTTTTCTTCTGCGCCCTTGTCGTCGTCACAGCAACAGCAGCCTATTATATTTCCGATTCAGCATCATGGAGAAGGGCAGCCCCAGCCACAGCTGCAGTCGCAACAGCAACCATTCGCATTTCAACCTCAACAGTCATTTATTCCTCAACAACAACAGCAACAATCCTCACAGCTTGAAGAGGATGCAATGTCACAGCATGCTCTATTTGGTCAGTCACGCCCTCTGTCTATGAGCGGGTTAACGGCGCAGCAGCAGCCATTAGAGGACATGGTGTTTCAACAACAGCATCAGCTTAGTCACGATATGAAGGGCCATTTCCGACATGCATCCACTCCAAATTTGTCAGAGTTGATAAAACAGGATGATTCGTTACGCATTCAGCGACAGCAGCTGCAGTTTCACCACCAACAAGAGTCGTCCCAAATCTCTCAACAGCAACACCAACAGTCCATGGCTTCAACGAGCATTCATCCTTTCTCGGTTGCGCCGAGCATAAGCAGCAAAATGAGCATAGCACCGACTCGGACAGTGACAAAGCGCCCCAGTGATTTACATGTCGACATTTCAGGCAGGTCCAGTTCATTCCGATTGAGTGGTGATGTTAGGAACGGCGATTTTCGCTTCGGAACTGAAGGCCGTGACCCCAGCGACAGCAGTATTTCTGCTCCACTATCGCCTACAAATGGCTGTGTAACCGCACCATTGACGCCCGCATTCTTTTCGCCCGCATTTGGAGAAGCATTAGGGAGCCCTGGATCGATCTTGTACCAGAATAGCCCATTTATTTTAGGCTCGCAAGATCGCAGCAGAGCTTCCATCCAGACAGACACTTCTATGGGATCCTTCATCGAGATGCATGCGTCAAGTGCTTCTTCTCCATCATCGCTTGGTTCGCTCAGTGAAGTTGGTCATCGCATGTTTAGAGCTTCAGCAGACTCAATGCACCCCCCTGTTGAGACAGTAACCCCCATGGATATTGCATGTAACTTTGACATGTCAGGTGACATGAGCTTTATTGACAAACAGGATATTACATCCTCAACTGTACAAACATCGTCGATATCCACACTTCAACATCGGGACTCGATTTGTCACTCTCCTGATCACATTGACCCACATAGTGTAGAGGTGAACCCCAGCTTCTTTGCTACGGCCTATCAAGAGGAACAAACAACGATCAAGATGGAGACAGCATCAACACCTGAGATTGATCATGATCATGACGTTTCGCGTTCTATCTTTAGTGGCGATGGGCCAATCCTAGATGCGCCTATAACGCCTACCGGAAACAACGTTCTTACAAGTCATAGCCATAGCCATTATAGTCATAGTCATAGTCAGAGTGGCACAACCCAGTTTACCAGGATTCCACGCAAACGTCGTTCTAATGAAGGCGTTTCCCGCTCACCCTCAGCTTCATCGCCTTCCAACAGTAGTAGTCCTCCAAGACCTGCTCGTAGCCGCACTATCTCTTCTTCGTCGTCTTTAGTTGATGAGAAGGAAGAAATAGCGGAATCCCCCAGATTGCCATGCCATGGATCTGCTGCTTCATTAAAGCCCATCATGTTGTCACCAGATCTCAAGCCGCCTTCAAACAAGACTATGAAGTAAGTTTTAATCTGTTACATTCTCTATTTTGCCATTACTTTCCATACCTTGCTCAAAATGCAGCTGTAACTTATTAATCACACGAAATATATTCTTGATAGGACCATCATCAAACGTTTTCTTGCCGCTAAAACTCCAGCTGCAGGGGGTGAAAAGTCAGTATTAATCCTTACATCAAAGGTGGCTCAAAAATCTTATGGAACAGAGAAGCGTTTCCTATGCCCACCACCTACGACCATGCTCCTTGGCGGTAACTGGTGGTCAGTGCCTTCACCAGGTAGTTGCAGTAGTGGTAACCAGTCTTTAGGAGAGACAACCAATCCCATTCCTACACCACCAAAGATGGTCATCTCAATCTGTGGAGAAGCTGGCAGTCAACAAGGAGTGATCGATTGGACGACGACTAAGGATGATTCTGTAACACCGATCGTGACAGGAAAATGTGTCTCGAAACAGTTGTATATCAACGATGCAGATGAGAAGCGTAAAAAAGTCGAAGTCTTAGTCAAGTTCTTGATGGCTGGTGATATCGAGCTAGGTACATTTGCCAGTCGACCTATCAAAGTTATCAGCAAGCCCAGTAAAAAGCGCCAGAGTATCAAGAACATGGAATGTAATTTTTATTTTTTTTATTTTTTTAATTTCTATCCTTTTCGCATTGTATGGCTTGATATATTATTAACATGTCGATGTTTTGTTTAATCTGAATTTAATCTTAGTATGCATCCATCACGGTACCACAATCTCATTATTTAACAGGATTCGGTCTCAGACAGTGTCAACAAAATATCTAGGGGTGTCCACGACGGCCCAGCCCTCAGCGCATGCGCCATGGAACTATGGTAATAATAACCTCAGGGACTGGCCTAGCCTTGATCCACTTCCTGATGCCTCAGTCAACCCTGTAAATACGGATGGAGGCACATGCTTTGTGGCACGGACTGGAAGCTGGGATCCCTTTGTTGTTTGGATAGTGACTCCAGGTCAGACCAGGACGGAAACTCTGCAGGAACACTTTCAGCGTCATCCAGGGTTCCCACCACCACCCGCCATTGCAATCAATTCGCCTCCGGAAAATGGGCCCCAGACGCCTATTCACTATAACCAACCGATTGTTCTGCAATGTCTTTCCACTGGTCTTGTCAGTCCTGTAATGGTGATCCGGAAGGTTGATAAGGGCAGCATGGTTCTGGGGGGAGGTTCTTCTGGCCAATTAGCAGCCGAATATGACCAAGAAGCTATCGGAGATCCAGTCTCGCAACTCCACAAAGTGGCGTTTCAGATCACGGGTCAGTCCACCTCTGCTGAAACATCGCAGTCCAAGCTTCAACAAGGAACATACCTCGCATGTCTGGGAGATGTTGTGGGCATGCAACGGGCGAACGAGGGAAAAAGGTATCTGCCAGATACCAAGGGCTCTGCCAACTGTTCTGCTTTGACAAATGAAGATGATGATGGTAGCAGTAATAGTGGCAACAGTACTACCCAGTCTTCAAGTTCGTTTGCGATGGATATCGTTCCTGAAATTCCAGAGGGCAGTGTCCCAGAGGTACTGATGTCTACCTGGTCAGAGGCAGCAAATAAGGCTATGCGGACGGGTGCATTTGGAAGCGCTGGTGGTGGCAACGAAAAGGCCGTAATCACAACTGCTGATGGACATAAGGTTGAGCGCAAGAGACGCGTATCATCTTCAGTCGTGATCAAGCCAACTGGCGGATCTACTAAAGCGATGGTCAAGTCGAGAAGGAGAGTCAATAGTATGAGTGTGACTCAAGCTGAGGCCCAGCGAATTCGAGCCGGTGCATTGGCGGCCAATAGCCAGTATCATCAGAATCCGATTCAAGTCTATGTCAGTGCTGCAAACTCGGGTGCTGTAGGCTCTACTGGTTCTGCAGCTGGAGCAGAGTTGGGAAAGGATAAGCTTGGTTCAAACAAGGAGACCGGTAAGGTCCTGACCATACAACAGCAGCGACGCCATTCATCTATCTGGACTGAAGATGTCACGGATGCTGCTGTCTGGACCATTGTAGGAACTGGTAAGAGATTTATTTAATTTTTTATGCATATTAGCTACATTCTGCTATTGTGTTTTCCTATCCCTGATGAAGCTGCTCTGACCATCTTCTTTCTGTTCAATAACAAAGATTGCGCCCAGTACAATTTCTGCACACCTGGAGGCAATGAGTCCATGTCACTGCCCCGGTCACCTGTGACGGCGGTTCCTATGGTGCTAGAAATCTGCCTAAATGGCCACCCATTTGGATCACGAGCCTCAGTAGGGCCTATCTACATCAACAGTACTGTAAATACTACAACGAGCTCTGGTAACAACAGTGGTGGAAGCAGTCATCACTCATTCAGTAAAAATCACGGAAACAAAGCTCTTCGGGTGATGGAGTCACATCAGAACAATGGCAATACTTATCAACAAGATGGATCGTTCCATCATCATCAAATTCATCATCACCAACAACATCACCGTAACAGCAATGGAGGCTCAGGGACACCACGTGTCATGACCCTAAAGGGTCATGGATTTTCACGAGATTTGTCTGTTTGGTTTGGAACGATTAAAGCCCCCGTGACCGAATACCAATCACCAGAATCGATGGTAGTCCATATTCCACCAGAGGTGACGCTAAAATCATCATTTTATTTCCGAAAAGATGATGATGATTTGGATGTAAGAGATGATGAAGAAGATGATGAAGGAAAAGGAGAGGATGAAGATCAGGAAGCAATGATGGAAGAGTCTGACAAGCACCTGCGATCGACCAATAACCGGTTCCGACGAAAGCGCGTTAAGGGTAGTCAGAGCGAGTCTGACTGTATTCCAATGTTGCTCGTCCGGACGGATGGTGTGATCTACCGGTCGGGTCATAGCATTGCGCTTGGAGAGCCCAAAGTTAAGGGATGAAAGTGATACGATTGTTTGTGGCAGAATCAGAAAAGAAAAAACGCAGGAACGTTTTTTGATTGAATATTGAAGCAGCATACAAAAAGACCTATACCCCCCATCTTTCCATCATCGCTTGTGCTTTTTACTTTTATTATTTGTGTTTTGCCCTTTTGATTTTTAAGATTTGAGAGACACTTTTATTAAAAAAATCGTATCTTTTTTTTTATGTTATTTATAAATGTTATTTTATTTTATTTTATTTTTGGTATTTGATGAGAGGTACTTTCTTGTGATGTTATGAGTATATCGGGAATACATGAAGTCAAAAATAATAAAAAGAAAACAATCAGAAACTAGAAACAAGAAATAGAAATAGAACGAAGTGAAAGATGGATAAGATACGACTGGTATAGAAAAAAAAAAAAAAAAAAAAAAACTTGTTGAGAAAGTGGATAGTGAAGAAATACAGAGAGGAAACAGTAGATACAAAAATGTCAAGAACACCACCACACGACTATCTTAATAGGGAGTGATAGAGAGGATGTGGTGTGTATGTGTGAATAGATGCGAAAGAAAGGAGGATAGGAAAAAAAAGGGTTCGTATCATTGTTTCAATCGTGCCACTTCTTGTCGCAGTGTCTCAATCTCTTTGTTGAGTTCTTCCTGTTCTGTTTTCATCGATGCAATATAATCCACAGCTTTGATTGAAAGAATAAAAAGTCAAAAATTGATTAGATTAATAAATTAAAAGAGCGGACCTTTTTTTTTTCTTTCATGCAACATCATTCAAAAAAAAAAAAAAAAAAAAAAAAAAGTCGTATGATGAATTCCTCTCTCACCCAACCCCAAACAAAAAAAAAAAATTTTTTCTTGTTTAATACCTTTGCTTAAAATTTCCCATTTGCTTGTCTTCAGACTCCGGTCCACAGGCAACGAATCCCGTAACTCATCAAAGAGCTCCTTCATCTCTTTGCGCCTTTTCCGTTCTGCCAGTTTGTGTGAAATTCTCAATTCGGGTGAACGTGAGTAAGGTGTATCACCCTTATGAGGAGGTGCTAAAGTGGCTCCTGCCGTTCCTGCCGTTCCTGCAATTCCATTGACTCCTCCCTCACCTGCTGAGCCTGGATAGCCTGGATATAAATGCGCTCCTCCTGCTCCTGGTGCTCCGCTCGCTTTACTGTGCGGTTGAGGTTCTGGACCTTGAGATGAGAGGTGCATTCTTTCCATATCACTGTTCATCCTCTGATCATAATCTTGCTGTACCACTGCTGGAATAGATGGAGGATAGCCCGAATGACTGAGATGATGTGACGGGAGAGGTCCGTGCGACAGTGACGAATGATGGGCATCGGCAATGGATGATCTTCTGGAGCCGGCCCCTGATGATAGCAAAGAGGGTCGTCGAGGTTGATGCAATGGATAGTGTGGCCGAGTTGCCATTGATGCTGTACCGGGGCCTCCTGGATGATGATAGGAAGGGTACGGATGATGATGTGGTGGAGGTGGAGGTGGATGTTCCATTGTTCCAGGCATCATCTTGTTACTACTGTTGCTGTTGTTGTTAATGCTATTGTTGTTGTTGTTGTTGTTGTTGTTGTTGTTGTTGTTGTTGTTGTTGTTGTTGTTGTTGTTGTTGTTGTTGTTGTTGTTGTTGTTGTTGTTGTTGTTGTTGACATCACCAGTAGCTGTTGCAGGTGAAGGCTGCAGGCTCAATGCGGGCACAACGCCTCCGGCAATTGACCCTCGTCTAGGTGGGCTGGATGGTGCAGAGTATGAATTTCTTGATGGATAAGGATGGTGATGATGACTGTGATGACTGCTAAGATGATTATGATAATGTGGACCATCTGGGATAGAATCTCGTCGTTTTGATGAATGACTGAGATGATGTTCCATTAAGCTAGGATGGCCACTTCCATTCGTGTTTGGGACAGAGTTGCTGCTATTGGGGGAATGGACCTGTGAGAGCGGTGTTGCAGAAGTTTTCCGCTTGACAGGGCCTACTCCACCCATGTTCATAACACCCATCGGATCAGTACCGTGAGCAATTGAGTGCCTTCGTTGGGGCTCTTGAGCTAACAATTGGCCCAATGGTCCTGCGCTGCTATGGATTGATGGCAATGACTCGCGTCTTCCTGCCAGGGCATGATCTGCTGCAGCAGCGACGAGGGCTGCCTGAGGATGAGGGTGAGAATAATGTTTATGATAAGGTGCGCTACCTTCGGACGGAGATGGAGACGAGGTGCCATTGTAATGACGGCCACCATTCACGGTATCGGGTACATTCCCAGTATTGGGACTGCCATTACTGTTGTAGTAGCTCGAGTTGTCCATACCCGAGACTGTGGAAGTTGTGGAAGCTCTTCTATGAAGATCGGGCCCATTGTTGCTACTATTATATTCTGCTGGATCGACTATTGAGCCTCTACGCGAGCTGCTCATATAGGAATGTAAAGGATGCGAGGGCTCAATTGGAGGTAAGGGTCTGCCTTGGAAGCCCTCTGAAACCGAGGTAGGGGTAGAAGCCGTAGCCAAGGAGGGTAGCGGTGGCGATGGTGTATTGGGTTGTTGTGGCTGTGGCGGTGGCGGTGGTAGTGAGGGATATCCGGAATGGTCATGATGGTATGGTGCACTATTGTGGGTGGGATGAGAAGGAGAGGAATAGTGACGGTCTTGGTAGGAATGATCTTCAGGATGAGAATAGACATGTCCATTGCCATTGCTGTGTCCATGGTCATTGTTGCCATTGATGCTACTGTTGCTACTGTTGTATCCAGGGTAATCATAAGTGCTGCTGCCATGTGAATCTCTTCGAGGGGAGCCCATAGTGTGGTCCATAGCGGAATCTTGGTCCTGTTGCTGGTGCTGTTGGTGGTACTGTTGGTAGTATTGTTGTTGCTGTGAGTGGTGGTACGGAGGGTGGTCAACTGATCCTCTACGAGAAGAAGGTGATGAGGAGATTGAGGAGGGCCTTGTAGTAGTAGTATTAGAGGTGGTGTTAGTCATTGCAGAGGAAGGAGTAGTTAATCGAGCGTCGTCCATTGGACTATCTTCAAAGGATGAAGAGGAGAGTGAATGCGAGTGCGAGTGCACTGGAGCGGTAGCGGTCATGTCGGAAGTAGATTTTAGTTATAGCAGCAATGGTAAAGTGCTGCAACGGCTTTTTCTTTTTAGTCGTATGAAGAAAAGAAGAGGAAAAAAAAAGGGGGGGGAGGGAAGAGGAAGATAGAAGTAAGTGTGCGAGAAGAAGAAGAAGGAGAAAGAGAGAAGAGAGAAGAGAGAGAAGAGAAAAGAAAAGAGAAAGAAAAGAATAGGAAAGAAAAGGGACTGGGCAGGATAGGATAGGCGAGATAGGATAGAAAAGGAAATAGACAGAGAGAGAGAAAAAAAAAAAAAAAAAAAAAGGTTAATGGGATTACAAGAAACAGCGATGGATAGCAGATTAAGGATTGAGAGAGGAAGGAAAGAGAAACAAAGTGAAGGTGAAGGATGAAAAGTGAAAGAAAGTAAAAAAGAAATGAGGATGATCCAAGGAATGTGTGCAATGGGAGAGACAAAAATTCTTTTTAGTCTTTTAATGTTCCATGAAATGCCATGTGCACACACGCACATACAAAATGGCGTATCGGTATGGGGGCATTGACAATTTGATACCTTGTCAACTGTAAACACAATTGAATCATATAAAAAAAAGGTATTCTACTCTAGTACATACTGCATCTGTATGTATTCATGTATACATCTGTACTCTATCAAATACCAAATACACGCACAAATTTTTTTTTTTTTTACCCTTTGTCTGTTCTGTGTCTGTGTCTGTGTCTGTCTCAGAGAAAGTAAGAGGGAGAAGAGAAAGAATGGAGAGAAAGCTAAAGCATTGAGTAATATAATATATACATCTGCATGCAGTAGAGCTTGTCTATAGACCAACCGCTTTTTTCATTTATACCATTTATATATACTATCCAACCAATTCATTTTTTAAACCATTAAACTCATCTCCCTTTTCATACTTCGTATCAACTGCCACATGCCACATCCCACATCCAAACACATGCCGCTCAACTTTTTATTTTTTATTTTATTTTGCTCAGAGAAAATATTATTCAACACAGACACATGTCATCTCATACAAAGTCAATGCTCAATTGTATTTTATATGTCTTTATACCCATCATACTTTCACACTTGCGCACTTGCCTGTTTGCTCTCACTTTGTTTTCCTATCTCTCTCTCTCTTTTTTTTTATACAATCGATCGGTTTGCATCATGTTAAGCAAAACTGCATTGAGAAATGCATAAAAAGTACATATAAAATGGAAATAGAAAATAGAAAAATTAATGTTTAAAGATAAACAAATCAATTCTCTTCATGAAACGTGGCGGGTTTGTCTTCGAAACACGCTCAATTGCGTTTTGAATTTTTTTTTTGGGAAATGAAAAGGATCACACGTAATACGTAATTGCATGTTCAATTATTTAAACTTTTTTTTTTTTTATTTTTTATTTTTTTTCTTTCCTCAAAGCTCATCATTCGTATACAACATTTTTATACAGTACAACATTTATATAAATACAAAATGTACAGCCAGCAAGAGAGTCGTCGTTGTAATAATCATATGGTCTGTGCTGAGTGAAGCATTTCTTTGCTCCTGCTTGCTCTGTTGTCATTTGCAAGCGTGGCTGTGCTAATTACTCTAATAATAATAATAATAACAATAATAATAATAAAATACCATGTGGTTGAAAACATCGCCTTAAATGATGATGCATAGCATAAAGCGAACTATTAACCTTCATCTATATATTTATATTTATCCCAACTCCACTTTTATTTTCTTTTCTCTTCTTTCTTCCCACTACCGCTGATGTTATTTATATTACTGTTCACTATCAACTTTTCCAAGCTCCGTAAAAACAAACTAAATGCTGTTATTTGGTCATAATATCCTATGATCATAACTGCCACTGCCTCATTAGATTTCATCATAATAATCTTCCGCATTGTTCTTTCTTTTTCCTTTTTTACACTAAAGTTAATGTGAAGGATGTGGAAGATGAGAAAGATGAGAAAGAAGGATAATGAAAGCGAAGGGCAGCTGTGTGGAATCAATAATATTCTGCTTCCTACTTCTCAATGTTTGCCATTGCAAAAAGTACGAGCCGTGTCAGTAACTACAGCTTCAGACAAGTAGGTCAAGTTTTTTTTTTTTTTTTTTTTTTTTCTTTTTAACCATAGCATTATATTTTCGAAGGTGAAGAATAAAAACAACCAAATGTAGTGAGTATAGTATGTAAACACTTTACTCATTCCAGTTCCTGACCAACTATTGAGCTTCCCGTTGTTGTTGATTATAAGTCTCTTTTTCGCATTTCATCTTTTTTAGTCCGTCGCGGAAAGGCTAGTCAAACAAATTCAGCGATCCAGGGGGTATAGGATGCAGTTCCTTCGATCATGTCTACGCCCGCACACTTTCGCTCTTACTTGCGAAATGGCCCTCTTCTCTCCAGATCGCGCAATCAAATGTCATTTACCGTTCGTTGACATGTGCTCTTCCATATCTATTTATCTATTTCATTTTTTTTTTTTTTTATATTTATTTATTTATTTTTCGTAGTCAAGTAGTACATGTCAAGGTCAACTAAATATATCCGACACATTTCGTAGCCCTCTTTTCCTATTCTCCCAAGTATTGCTAGGATCGTTTGATTTGCTTCATCTTTGCCATGTGTGACTTCAATTTCTTGTATTTATCATTCTGAAATAATAAACGAAGAATAAAAAACGAATTCAGGTGGAGCGATTAGTAATTTCAAGGAAGATTCAAGCGAGCCTATCTCTCCTTTATTGATCAAAAACCTTTTTTTTTTTTTTTTTTTTTTTTTTTTTTCCTTGAAGAAACACATTTGAATTCAACAGACATTACCTTGCCACCACGAGATTTATCAAATGTGACGGTCGATTCAGGCATGACTGCATATGATCCACGGTCCACCTGCGGTACTCTGACTGCCAAGCTCCTGCTGGGTCCAGGTGCTCTAAAAATGGAAGGCAACATACACAAAATCATATACCACTCCCTCCATTAATAACAATGATTATAATAAAACCATTTCTAGTCAATATCATCCAACATCAAGAACGTATATGAGGGTACTAATAGAGATCATTACTCTGAAGTTGGATTGCTGTAAGCTGCGGGACGTCTGCGCTGCGATGATGATCCTGCATCGTCAACAGCATAACTGATCTTTTTGTCCCTATAATCCTGACTGAGTTTGATAATAGGTCTACTCCATTTGTCTAAATATGTATAAAAGAAATATTTTAAGCATTCATGCAAGATTTTTTTTTTTTTTTTTTTTTTTTCCTAGTCTTGATAAACGTTGTAGCGTACCGACAAGTGCATGGGCCTTGCGCTTGATAGCAGGCGTTACTCGAGAGTCATCAACTTTGGTGTAGAAATATACGACGCGTCCAACTGAGCTGCTAACGAGATGGTCGGTCTGGATTGGCAACTAGAGTTGCCAAAAATTATAGTGTTGAAAGCAGATCAAGTATGTTAAGATTAAGTTCAGAAAGTCTGTCTCTTATAGTTCAATGTCCATTTTGTCCTGAAAACTGTTTAACGTTCTCAAAAGACGCCTTACAATCTCCAAAAGGTCCAGAAAGTCTTGAATGATATCTAAACTAGGGAGTGATGCATCCTGAAGGGGTTCCAGCCATAGCTTCATTGCCTCCAGAATGCCGTTTTCCAAGAAAATGTTGTGCATATGTGATCTATATAGATACATAGACATAGACAGTTCAATAAGAACAAGCTCATATGTTTTCAGAGCAAATATCAGTCTTTTTTTTTTTTTTTTTTTTTTTTTTTTCTTATCGTCATTAACCTACTTGTTCAACTGCTTTTTTACAGTAGGCAGCATTCTAACTTTTGCAAGTGCTGACTGATGCTTTAGCTTGGAATCAATGTCTGAAAATGCAGCCTCCCGCATCTTGGCAACAAATCGTGATGCACTTTCATCCAGATCCTTGTCCTATTTATTGCCCACCAAGAAAAAAAATAAAAAATAAAAATAATCGGGAATAAATAACTTTCCAGGTCAGAATACTTGAAAAAACTAAAAACCACTTTATCGCTCCTTATAATGGTCATATGCTGTGCTCGATTTATGCACTGTGTGTAAACGATACAATCAAGACTCACAAGTTCCTCATCGTCTTTGGCGCGCCTTCTGGATGACGTTTTCCCACTTTTCATTGCCAAATCAAAATCCTTTTCCAATTTCATTAAGGCTTGTTGTCTAGGATCCAAGGGTAGATCCGCACCGTCTTCTGGAAGATCCTTATTCTCTGAGGGTTTTGGCTTCTTAGCGATCCTTTATGAATATATTCAATCATAGATAGACGATTGAATGAGTTAAAAAATGATCACTTTTGTCCAATCTGATTCAATTCGAATGACTAGTCAAATATATTCATACTTTTTCTTCTTGGCCTCTGGCGCTGGAGACCCATTGCCGTCTGCATTCCTTTTTTTGAAACTGGGCAATGGAGTGCCTTCTTCCTCTGGTTCTTCTTCTATTAGAGGCTCTTCCTGTGTACTATTAGTTGCATCATTCTGTTTTTCTCCCTGATTGTCCTCTGTGTGATCTGGTTTTAAAAATAATAAAAAAGAATTAGACTCAATCTGATCATTGGTTGCTTCGTCAAATGACGACATCACCGAGAATGTCTCGCTCATTTACCTTGGTGGTTACGATCGCCATTCAAACTGTGATCGTCATCTTCGTCATAGTCATCGTCCCCAAAGGTATCGCGCAGAATGCGTTTCTGGTTAAGAAATCAAACAGTTTTATTATACAAGCATTAGGTTTTTTTTTCTTCTTTATACTCCTGCCAATAAAGGCATATCCGGTGCTATCGGTGTTAATGTAGGCGTTGACAGAGTATATTTAGTACCTTGTCTGAAGACATGGGAGTGTATGAGATGAGTCGAGGGATGATGCAAAAGAAAAATTAAAGTCTTTCTGAACGTTAAATCCTACTCCCTCGAATTTAAATCCAAGGATACCACTGATTGCTTGTAAGGCACACTCACCACTTCACACCATTTTACCACATCGATATTCATACTTCGCCCACCACATACCTTGCCACCAAAAGGGTCTCTCTCTTTTCTTGTAACCTACAAGACAAACAGACACGCACACCACACACGCAAATAAAAGTAAAGCAAAGAGTAAAAAACAGGATAGCTCCATCACCCTGTCTTGTCCGGCATCATTGTTCACATTTCGTTATGGCGCCTGCAAACCGAGCATGGATTCGGAGCAAGATGGCAGCTATCAGAAAGGCATCAGGCATCATCTTCTCTGAAGAGATTTTCCTGTCAATGTTAATTTGTCTTATTGCCAAGAACAAGCATCTGGTACTTCATACTGTTCCTGAGACTGTACCTGAACTCAAGGCTATTGTTGAGCAGGTAACGATAGTCTTACCCTTTTTTTTTTTTTTTTTTTTTTTTTTTTAAGTAAAAAAAAATATATATATAAATATAACATGTCCTCATTTTCGTTTCGGATTAACCAATCGAACTGAAAGCAGCAGAAGCCAATTGACTTTTTGTTATATTTTTCTTGAAGCATTCAGCAGTCGTCTTTGGATTGACTACTGCTACAATAGTTTGTCACGCACAGCAAACAAGGTCGGACATCATTGGGGCCATCACAGGACGGCATGCTGATATCAGTTCCTCAACACCAGGGCAACATTCATCCCATGGTAATGGAGGCGGTGGCGGCAGCGGCGCTGTCGGGAATGGAAGTTACATCGGTCAGCATCCTCATCATCATCACTATCAAAACAACAGCAGCGTCTACAGTCATCCACATACGCCTTCAGGACAGTACTATCAATACTCTAACCCTATGGATGAGTATGTGCAACGGAATGCAAAGCTACGATTTGAAAAGTCACGTAGATCTGTTGCTACCAACTACTCCGAAGCATCTGACTACAGCTTCCGACCACATGCAGAAAAAAATGGTGCGCCTTCCATTGCCTCATTTAGGACTGCGAGTGAAAGAGATCCAGATGGAGGGTCAATCCGAAGAGGGGGGCACCATTTACGTAATGACTCTGGTGACTATTCCCGTGGCGGCGGCGACGACTCAAGCATGACTTTACGGCGGGTAGGTCGGATCAAATATTGTCTGTCGCTGCTATTCTTATCACTATTAGTCTCATAACAAGGGATGTCGGATTTCCTTTTCAACAACAGTACTCATTTTTAACTCTTTTGCAGTCCGAGTCTAGATCAAAGCATACAGGCGATGCAATGGCGGATCATATTATCCACAGCCGTTCACGCAAGTCAACTATGGTTCACAATAATCCGGATTTTGATGGAAGCATTACTCATCACAACAGTATCAACAGTAAACGGATACAATCTCAGCAGTCACAGGCAGGAATGAGCTTTTTACATCCAGGAGTTGGGACGCCCATCCATTCTGCTTCTGGGCAAACCCCTGTGACACCTGTCGATTTTACGTTTCCTCGACGACGACATGAGAGTGTATCGAATTCTGGGATTTATAGCTATAGCGGTAATTATGGCTATGGTTATAGTTTTGGCGGTGGTCCTGGAGGAGAGACATCAGGGGCCACTTATATTGGGAGAAGGATCGCTCAGGCTATTATTTTAGAGGGATTGGAAAATGCCAGCCAAGAAGTTTATGCTATTCTGCTAGAGGTAAAAAAAAAAAAAAAAAAAAAAAAAGAAAAGACATTAGATTGCTGTTGTCAATTCGTTCGTCTGAACTGAACTGAGTTTGTCTTGATTTGAAACTATCCATAGATGATCAACAACAAGGAGATCAATGATAAGAACCGATATATGCTTCCAGACCTTCTCATCGTTGCAATCTTTAACTCACCTAATATTCCAGATAATATACCCAAGCAACTGGTAACTGGAAATCTTAATGTCATTAGGGAGAAGGGAAAAAGCTTATACAGCCTATATCAATCGAAATACTAATTATCTTCTCCTTTTAACTTTATTTATTTATCTGTAAATCTAGCTCGATTATTTTGCGATCAATGGAGCCTATCAATCTACAACACCTCAATCACGGATACAGCCTGTACCTGCCAGAAAACATGCATTATTCCGAAGAACGGTAATGTCATTGTCCTAAAAAAGATACGATTTTATTTTCTGGATGTTGGGCAAGAACCTTCAGAGTTAGCAGATAGTGTATTCATTGTATATTGTATGGTTTTTTTTCTTTTCTTTTTTTTTTTTTTTTTTTTTCTTTGTAGGAATGGGACGAACTCTCAAAGCGAATGAAGATGGTGGTAATATCGAACGATATGATGAGGTATATACGAGATGTTATCGTGGGCGTCAGGACACACGAAGCAGTCCATGGAGGCTTGACAGCGCGAGCAGCTTTGGATCTTGAGGCCATTTTGAGGTGTGTAATACCTTTTTTTTTTTTTTTTTTTTTTTTTTTTCAAGAAAATATTCTTTAATATATTAAATGCCCTTTTTTTTTTTTTTTTTTTTTTTTTTTTTTGGTAGAACATTGGCTGCAATCTTCCAGTCCACCTTTGTGACACCAGATCTGGTTACGATTGCAGCGGACAAGGTCTTTTCTCACAGACTGGAGCTCAAATCGACTAGGCGACGGAAGATGTTTGCTTCAGCGATATGTGACCCAACACCTGTGACCACGTCCCCATCGTCGCCGATATCCGCAGAGCCATCTACAACATTAACCACAAAATTAGCGAAAACAACGATAAAAGATGGTAAACTCCCTGCAAAAGGATATGGTAGTCAATTGAATGGACAACAGCGACGGCGGCAGCGACAAAGGAAGCATAATCGTAGTAATGCTAGTCGGGCTCAGAAAGACAAGGGAAGTAGTGGGGATTCTACTCAGAGTAGTGATGGCGGAGCGTCGTTCGTGGTGATGTCTGATTCAGACGACCGATCATTCAGTGGCAGCGTAGTTGTTTTTAGCGACTCTGAGGAGGAAGAAGATGAGGAAGATGAACTCTCCAGTAGTGATACTAGTGAAGAAGAAATCGGTCGCGGCCCTGGTATTCACCGGGAAAAGCAGCCGAAGAGTGAAAGCTTGGATCATGATTACAGGCATCGCCATGCGGGAGCACAGTTGAGGGCAAGAGTCCCTGGCACTGATCCTATGGACGAAAGGACTGCAAGCGATGTAGTGCGAGATGTACTTAGAGCTGTGTATCCGCCGATCTGATCCATCCTCTGTAGATCACAACTAGATATAGCACGTGATCTCACCACAATACACAATGCCACAATAGAATATCAGTGTACAAGTTCTCCCTTCTCTCACTCTCCTTACACCCTTCTTAAAAAACACATTTCGCCCATCAATCATGTCAACCTCCCCTCTGAAGACGCCTCTTGGCTTCAATCCCATCTCTTCTGTACCTATTGCACCCTCTACACCTTCAGTTGAGTCTGCACCTTCAGTTGAGTCTGCACCTTCGGGTTTGTTGGGACAGGCCAAGGCCGCATGGGCTAAAGTCAACAAGTTCCGCGATGACTTAAACTTGCCAAACCCTGGCACGTATGAGGGTGTCAACCGTGAAGTCAAACGTAAGACGACATATTAAAACAGATAAAGAAACAAGCAGAAAAAAAAGGAAAAAAAAAAAAAAAAAAAAAAAATAGCCGGAAGATGCAGGAAACTTAAAGAAGAGTAGATCAGAATAACTTTTTTTGTCTTAGTGGATTGCGATGAGCAGAGAAAAAAACAAAAAGATCAAGACTGGCTGAATCTTTCAAATTTGATCATTCAAAAACATCGGTACGATTCTCTTTACTGATCAGCTTTTTTTTTTTTTTTTTTTTTTTTTTTGTGGTTTGCGTGAATTAGAGACCTTCTTGACCAACCATGTTTTTGATGGAGCTCGTTGCGATATCACCAAGGTATTGACCCCCAACTTCCAGGTTACACATTCATTCGCGATGGGATCGGTCGCTGCCCCGTCCACTTATAACTTTGGTACTATCTTTATCGGTCAAGAGGTAAAAAAAAAATGTCCTATCTAGCTCACAAAAACTAGCAAAATCCCGTAATAGCGAAAATAATGCTGATGTAGGAAATAGAAAATTAATCAAAGATTTAACTTTTTTTGTTTAAAAAAAAAAAAATGCGTGGATTTAATATAGTCTTTCCTTTCGGGTAACTTGGATACTGATGGCAATGTACAGGCAAGAGCCAACTATGCATGGAGCAACCGTAATATCTCTAAGGTCCAAGCGCAGGTATATAACAAAAAAAAAAAAAAAAAAAGCTGTGATTTGTGATTGATGAATGAGGTCATTCAGCAGTCAAAGACTCAGCTAGAATCTCTAATTAATTTTTAATTTTTTTTTTTTTTTTTTTTTTTTTTTGTTTATCAGCTGTCGACGACTCCAGGACACTCAATGTTGCAGATGGAACAGGATTACAATGGCAAAGATTTCAATGTAAACCTTAAAGGCGTGAACCCGTCACCTGTAGAAGGCACTGGTATTTTTATTGGATCTTATTTACAATCTGTGACTCAACACTTGTCTTTGGGAGCAGAAGCAGTGTATCAACGTCCTACACCTGGTCAGGAGGAAACGATTTGGTCCTATGTGGCCAAATATACAGGCAAGGATTATGTTGCTACTGCACAGTATCAAGGATTCGGAGCATTCTCTGCAGCGTATTACTTGCGTTACTCTGAAAAGGTTGATTTCGGTACAGAGTTTCAGATGATGACTGCGGGTGGACGTCGGGAAGCCGTTGCGACAGTCGGAGGCAAATTTGAATTTAGACGGTCAACATTCCGTGGACAAGTCGATACGACAGGCAAGGTCTCCGCAGTATTGGAGGAAAAGATCGTCCCCGGATTCTCATTCCTGATCAGTGGAGAGATGGATCATGGCAAGGGTCAGAGTCGTTTCGGTGTTGGTATGATGTGGGAGGTTTAAAAAAAAAAAAAAAAAAAAAAAAAATAGCAACTATAATAAAAAAAGACAAGACAGAGTGGGATAGGACAGGATAGGACAGGTCAGGACGTAGGGCAAGAAAAGAAGATAGAAATGATACATATGCGAGGGGATGGAGAGAAATGGAAATTTTTGATGGAGAGGTCGTCGTTATTTTGTCATATAAAATGTATATCTATTTTCCAATGTCTCCACATTTTTTTTTCTCATATATTTTATTTTACAATCGAAATGAAAACAAGAGCAAAACGAGCAAAACAAGCAAAACGGCCGACAAAAAAAGCAAAATAATTTTTTTTCTTTTTTTTTTTTTTTTTGTTGAGAAAAGGATAAAGGATAAGGATAAAGGATAAATTTGGCAAAGTACATAAATCTTCTAAGGCTTGTTTGGGTAAAACAAAGCACATTTGGTTTAACTGACACCATTGCTGCCCGACTTGTAATGACCATTCGTAACAGCGTTATCTCCAGCCTCATCCGCAACCTCAAACTCGCCTTCTGCCAACAACTCCTCACGTGTCGACTGGCGACGGAAAGGGACCTTGATCTGCTGATCTACATCATCATCATCATGTCCTTGCATCTTGTACTGAAGATATCTCTCACGATCATGGATCGACATATTAGCTAAAGTCAATTCCGCTTCAGATCCTTCTTGAGGTGTGCGGATACGCGGTGATCCAGGCGCTGAGCGGGGGTTAGGAACCTTAGTACGAGGGCCACCCTGTTCTGCAGCACCAAAGTAGTCATCATCAAAGGAATCGGGGTAAGCTCTCCTCATTGCCAATTGACGAGCTTTGATATATTCCAATCCCATCCGTTTCCAATCCAAGAGATCCGACAGACGTTCTGTACGGTTACGTTGGTTGATACGCTGACGGCGAGACTTGTTGCAGAACATTAACATCTGTTCTGCCAATTGTTGAATCGACTCTTCCACAGACTTCATACGACGGTCTACAATGTAGATACCATATTCAGATGAGTCCACAATGTTATCATCCATAAAGCATCCAAAACCAGACAAATTGGTCGTGATACTGGGGACTCCCATGACTGTGCACTCTGCGGGAGTATAGCCCCAAGGCTCATAATATGAAGGGAAGACTCCCAAATGGCAACCACGGACAAACTCTTCGTAGTCAAGGCCGAACAATGGGTTGTTGGAATTGATGAACTCGGGATGGAAAACAATCTTGACACGGTCTGATGGGTGGTTGAAGAGACCGAGGCGACGCAGTTGAGTTAAAACAGGGTCTTTGCTGTCATCAGCCATGTTGTGCGTGACAATTGGCGGCAAAGTCGACCGCTTCAATGCAAAAGTACGGCGTTTGAGCAAGATCTGATCCTCATTGGTCAAGAACTGGGTCGTGGTAACATCACCACCACTGTTATAAAGAGAATAAGGTTGAAATATAATCAGATTTACATGTGCTGTTTTGAATTAAATGAGAACAATAGCAATAGTGATGATAATAAAAACATACCGAGCAGCCTTTTCGAACAAACGAGTTTCCATGCGCTGAGCAATATCGTGAACAGTTTCCTTCAGCTGCTTGACGACAGCTTGACCTTTGAGAGTCTCAACTGTGAATGAGTGCGTTTCAGCGGGGGTAATGATGAAGGCGACCACAGTGGTCGACGAGCCAGCGGCCTTTAATTTCTCGTTCAAGCCTAAAATAAATTGATTATGATATTTGAATGAAAAGAAAAAAATTAATGACGATGACATCGTGATCAGATTATATCCTCGAAAAAATATTAAATACCTCCATGTGCTGTCTGTCTGAAAAGTTAGTATAAAAGACTGAGACTTACGTTGGAGAGATTCAATAAACATATCGATACCCTTGTTACGGTATTCATATCGTCCAGCAGTGAAGAAATAGAGGGTATTGTCGAGATCAAAATCGTAGTGACCATAAAAGTGTCCGCGTACAAAATCGTGGATACGCTCCTTTGACACCGCATGTAAATTTTGGAACTCATGCATGGCCGAGAATTTAACCACATTCAAACCATTGGGCAATACACCATCTAAAGACATGTACACAAATAAATATGAGATAATGAGATTTAAAAAAAAAAAAAAAAAAAAAAAAAAAAACATTATTCGTAGCGAATGTGATACATGTCTCTTTCATCCAACATTCCATTACCTGGCTTGCGCTTCAACAGATGCTCAGCTTCGTAAGCAGTAATGTGAGAGACAGTAGTAAAGACATCGCAGCAGTGAGTAGCAGCGCGTTCGATACAGTAACGATGATAGATACCACGTTTGCCTGCCTCGTGGTCTACATCAAAGTTCCTGAGGTTGTTATAGAAATCGACGGAGCCAGCGCAGAGGTAACGGCCAAGCAATGTGGCATGGGTGGTGAAGATCGTAGTGACGTCGATATGACGTTTGCGACAAAGAGCGATACCCACACCAGCGAGCCACTCATGGAAATGAGCAATAATAACCGCCTTGCGCTCGTGTGCAACAAACTGGTTCAGACAAGACAAGACAAGACAGGGCAAGAAAGAATTAGTTTAGTTTTTTGGGAAAGCCGTAAATCATTTGTTAGCAGCCGATTAGTGCGCATAATGATTATCCACCCTTTTTTCCTTTTGCTTGTGCGTATTGTTTTTTGTTTGTTTGTGTCCAAGTCCCCTTTTTCTCGCAGTGTTTACATGTCACAGTGTGTACACAGATGAAGGACAATTGGTCTCTGTTGTTGGACTAGACATTCACTTCATTTTTTGCCTCTGAAACAGTTATTGTACTCTTATTAAGGTGTATGTCAGTTGATACAAGCGGTCATCTCTTCTTCTGATCCTCATGCCAGAACATGCGAGAAAAACAAAAAAGAAAAAAAAAAAAAGTAAGCAGTCAACAAGGCCATAAAACTTTGTGCAAAATTTCCTTCTTGTGGTGATAAAGCCCATTTGGGGTCCGATCTGTTGTTGTGCATTCTGTACTCCAACTTTTTTTTCATGACTTTCTTTCTCTCCATCGTAAGCGGTACAAGATGAGGATAGAGAATATAATCCACCCAATGGAAAAGTAACAAGGAAGATAAGACGGCTATGAGGACACTATGACGAGGTTGATAATAGTCAGAACTGACAAAGTGACTCGGCAATGCAATCCCGACAAGGATAGATACTCGGAAGTAGTACATAGTTAAAAACCATCCTTCATGAGTAAAGAGTTGTGTGTCCCATGATAAACATGGACAATAACCCCAACCTAACATTACAGTTATTCACTCCCATTTCATATCCAGCTTGCTCTATTTTTTTTTTTTTTTTTTTTTTTTTTTCTCCTTACTATCTTTCCTCTCCAGCGCCTCTTCTCTCCAGTTCTATTCTGTTTCCTTCCTTGCCTGAGAACTTAGTCCTGCGATTTTCTATTTTCTGAGAAAGCTTACCTCACCCAAGAACCAGGCTACAAGGTAGCCAAAGAGAATAGCCTCGTTTGTTTCATGATCATTGGGTGGTGAGGGGATCCCGGCTACATTCCAGAGATCGCCCTTCCACTCATCCAGTTTATGGTAGACTGAGCCGGTATCGAACAAAAGCACCTTAGGTGCACCCTCGATCAACCAACGACCGTATAAAAACTTGACGCCACGTTCTTTCATGGATTCAAGTGTCAAGCGAAGTTCAGGCGTATCAGGTTCGAGTGTTTCAACCTCCAAAGGTGCGGTCTTGTAGGACAAAGGCCCAATCATTGTATAGCGATCACCATATTCATGGCAAGTAACAGGCGCCTTGGATTTGAGGACAGTGTAGATTCCTCCAACTAAATTAAGAGTAAAACAAATCAAAAGGTGATCGTCATTAAAGAAACTGTATGCTCCTATTTAAAGACATCTACCTTTGGAAGATATAGTCCATGTATGAACCAGAGTGAACATATACCTTTGTTAGCAACCTCCCAAGCGATCTCAAAGAGAAGAGGCTTGTGAACGTTTCTATGTTGCTTTTCCATTGTCATTTCTGGCATATGTGAAAAAAATAAAGGTGAAGGTGAAAAAGAAAAAGAAATGAGCCACTGAATGCAAGTGAATGAGAGAAGTGAAGAAAGGAAAGAAGAAAAGGAGAAAGGACTAAAAAGAAAAAGAGACGGTGTCAAAAGACAAAGGAAGGCGGTGAGAGAAAGCAGAAGAAGAAGAAAGGAAAGAAGAAGAAAAAAAAAGCACTTTCTTAAATATGACGACAAAGGGACGCGATCAATTGAATTGAATTGTACTAAACAAAAATATAAACTGAACTCTTTAGTGCATTTCCATCGAGCAATTAGAATGACCCCATTGTCAACTATCTAAAACTTGATAACTCGCTAAATTCTTGGCTACTTTTTCACTACTGCTTAACTGGGTCAATGCATCTCTTGCTCCGCACACTCCACACTACTTCACTACTTCACTACTTCACTCATACGGTGTATCCTATCGTCTCTAGTTTATCTCTTCCTATAAAACCTCTCTCCATCACTGTCCATGTTGCGGTATCAGGGGTTAAAATGTTGACAAACTCTAACAAGATTACTGAATGATAAGCATTGACCAGCTCAACAGAAAAAAAGCCTTTTTTTATTATTTTGGATGTGCTGATAAACTCTCTTCTCAATAGGATGTCCGGCAAGCATTAGACCTCAACACAGCAAGATTAAGAAATATAGATACATATATCATTGCTATAATGTACATGTATGTACATGAACATGCATGCCTGAAAAGAAAGGAAAAAAAGAAAATTATAACCCAGCTTGATCTTCTAGCAAAGCAAGAAGGACCTTTAATCGTAGGGTTGTGGTTTATAGTTTTCCTTGCGTATACAATCAAAAATTAGTCCTATCTTATCTTTCTCGAAATGAAAATAAAATGAGCATTGGGCAACAAATCCATTAATGCACAACCATTGCCGTGATGGCGGGGTTTTTTTCTTTTACTTTCCTTGACACTTGGACAATACCGGAATGGGTTTCTTCACAACTTTCTATTACTACTTTTATAGGCTGATTATATTGACAAGTCTTTGCACACCCCAATCCTTTTTTTTTTTTTTTTTTTAAAAAAAACGGCCATTTTGCTATCATTGATCTCCCGCCCAGTTACACATTTGCACACTGATAGCCTTTATTCAAAAACCTAATCTGCGTACAACCTTTTTTTTATTTTTTTATCTAATCTCTCTACTCTCAATTGATGCATTCACGCACGGATAGTCTGTTGTGAGGTGGCTCGTGTTTCCTCCCTCATTCCTCACTCTTCCCTCATCAATACATGTCTAAATATCTGAAGGTCATATCCATATTGGTTTTCAAACTCGACACACCTCGTTCTTTCTTTTTCTTCCTTCGTTTAAAATGAAACAAAAGTAATCGACCTCCATGGAAAAAGCCTTGATATATTACCAGAGTTCATAATAATGTTAAGGATTATTCGCGAGACTAAGGCTTTTGCTCATACTGATAGCAGCTTCATCAGTTCGAGAAAACCTCTTACTCCCCAAAGTACCTTTGTTCAGAACACATCAGAAAACAGCATTACCATACATATCTCGGCGAAAAATATTCATCTAAGCTTTATTAACGATCGAATATGAACCAGGGGTTCATAAATCAATTTTAAATGTAGCTCCTGCTCTTTCAATCAATCCTAGTACACTTTTGTTCAAAGGACTCTCTTTGCAAAATTGCTTCCTTCAAAGGTAAGTGATTTCAGCTTCGGCCACTGCTCTAATATGAATTGCTTTGCAGGTATGTCCATTTTTACCCTGAATTCAGCAACCAGGGTTAAAGACCTTAGTTCCTTGAGAATAGCCAAGTCCATTAACCAGTCAGGCTCGACAACCAAATCATTGCCAAAAGAATGATAAACATATATGAACGCAATCGCTTCTGCCAGCATGGAGCACAAAGGAATCTAGTTTGAATAGTTGATCAATCTGTTTGTAAACAATTTGCCAAGAGCTTGGCCAGCTGGGCGACCTTGACCGCTGTAGCATTCTTATTCTTTCCTTGACTATTGCTGTTACTGTCACTGTCAATACTTAATGAATTTTGCTCCAGTGGCTTCAAGTGTTGTGCAGTCTAGCTCAATAAACAAGGATGTTTCAGAGAAGCTGCTAAGAGCTTGACCAACACTTATTGATCGATAGTGGACCCTTGCAACTTCAGCCGCTCAAGACAAGGTAGGGTCAAAAGAAGGACCTCGCCATATCATCTTTAGATACAAGCAATTTATCCACAACAAGCACAAGCTCTGTGAGATATGGACAATGACGAATGATGGTAAGCAGATTCCGAGGTGGTGAAATTTTAGAGTCTTGATAGTAGTCGCTAGAAACTTTGAGATAGTTGGTTTTGAGAGGAGGTATTGGTGGCCTGAATGAGGTCTTTGTCGTTAATTCTTTGAAACCTGATAATGATGATGATGGCGATAATGAGATATTGATACTAGTGGGGAGGAGGATACTAAAGAAACGATAGCCCCGAAAGGTAGAGGGACATGCTGGGCGAGATTAGGGCGAGATTTCGAATTGAACGCGCCAAACTTCATTTTTATGGATCGAAGGAATTGGTGATTTCGTTCGAGAGCTTCATATGGTATGCAATCAAGCCTGATGGTTGCTTTAGTATAGAAAAGCAGTTCCAGTTGGATAAATACTCCTTACTGATTAGCATTAAATGATACAAGCTCTACGGTGGCAAATATTGTGCCACAAGGTAGAGTAGTTCAGAAACCTGGATTGTGTTGGACTCCATGCTTGAATGTGAACATTTGGTATGAAATTATCGTTTATTGACGAAGCATAAATTTTCAATGGGACTGCTAGAAATGGACAGATGACACAAACTTTTCTGAGCAAAACAAACGAACTCCATAACGATTATCACAACATCATATCTGATGATAAAGACCTTAATTTACGACTGTTGAATTGGTTGACACGACGACCGTGTAGACAAGACTGGATGAAAGAGAATAAAAAAGTAAGACGAATAAAGAAAAAGGTGAGAGAGTAAAAGAGAGAGGAGAGAAGAGAGAGAGAAAGAGAGAGAGAGAGAGAGAAAGAGAGAGAGAGAGAGAGAGAGAGAGAGAGAGAGAGAGAGAGAGAGAGAGAGAGAGAGAGAGAGAGAGAGAGAGAGAGAGAGAGAGAGAGAGAGAGAGAGAGAGAGAGAAGTTCGAGTGAAGAGATAGCAGAAATAAAGAAATCACTTAATATTTCTCATAGATCCAGATGCCTTCATATGCATCCTCCACACTACAGCGGAGACCTTTCAGATGCTTCAGATCAAAGACCAAAGCTACAATGCGGACACCACGTTCGAATTCCTGGACGAGCCATTCTTCCATGTCAGTGCCCCCTTCTGGCGATAAGAAGACGATGATGACTGTCCATTCCTTGGATTGCATGATAGTGGAATGTCTCCAATTGGTGAGATCAGCTCTTTGAAATAATACCCTGCCCTCATCCACATATTTCTGTGCTAATACTGTAGATCGCTCGACCAGATCTTGTTCATATTCGATACCAATGGCTTTCTGGGCTCCAAAGAAATGAGCTGCTGCAAAACAGAATCGACCATCACCGGATCCAACATCGAGGACTCTATCTGAGGAACAAAGACGAACCATTTCTAGGGCCAAGAGGACACGTCGAGTAGATGTAGGGATAAAAGGTGCATAGGTTGTATCGACACCTTCAATCCATAATGGGAACTCCTGTTCTTCTTCTTTGTAATCCGGATACTGGTCGTAAAATTGCTTAAGCTGATTAGGATCCAAGGTAGAGATGGTAGTAACCGAATGATCAGTGGTAGCAGCTGCAGATATGCAGGAAGAGGAAACCATGGCTGGATTAGGGCCAGCGGCAGGTGGAGCAAGGAGAGATATGGAGGGACTCATATTAATGTAAAGAATAGATGGGGAATGAAAATGAATTAAATGAAGAGATGGAATAGAGGAATGAGTGTAAAAAAAAGATCAGTCCAGAACTTTTTGCAAAGAAATTTTTTTAAGGTTACTTGCTTGTATCAAGAATTCCTCATGATTGGACCCTGCACCACACTAACCACTTTTGTCAGAAAAGAACGCTGTAAATTATCGTCCTTTTCTTGATCAAAGACCTACAAACTATATCATCGGGGACATCGGCTTATTTCTCAACTGCATTCGGTTTATTCTAATTGATACGAGCAAAGTCATTGGCCAAGCATTGCAAGAGGGCGAGAAGCGCGTGGTGGCAAAAATAAAAAAAGTCACTTAAACATCATCACCATGCTGCATATGCCCTGTTTATATCATTCCCACCCTCCGTCATCCTCTTCCTCTTTTCCTGTCTTTCCTCCCATTATACAGTTCTCTTGGTTTCGCTATTTGTTCTTTCAGGCACCTTGTAAAGCTTGTTGCCCTTGTGCACAATTAAGAGTGAGCGTGATACTTTTAATTTTTTAATGGTGAGGATGATGGAGTAATATCAATGAAGGGCTTATTGATACTTGTTGTACACATGGTGTATTGACGTGGAGTCATGCCAAAGCCGCGATTCCCCTCTGAGCAGGTTTTCTTCCTTGATTTTCATGTGCTGACTTGGAAACTATCAAAGCTGAGAAGCCCCATTGAACCGTGTGCCGTGTTGATACGCAAATTTACCATTACCTTTTTCACTTGATCTTAATGACATTTACGCTATATTGTTTTACTGACGCAACCCTCTCTTCTACATGTCTTTAGCGTAAGCTGACGATCACTCGTTACTCTATTCCCTTGAATCGAACGATTCAAGCATGACCGCTACATCAAAGAAGGCGTTAAGAGTAACATTGTCGCCTCTTCATTTCACTGCTAGCGGTGAGAAGTCGCCATGGAGGACATAGCAGGTAATTAAGGCCTGATTAATTGAAAACATCGGACTTTATTTTGAATTTTTGCGCAGCATCCGGGGCGACAAACAAGGGAACTATAAATATAAATATTGTATGCATTTGACTCTTTTAATCACCTTTTCACTTTACTTTTGTTCCGCATACTCTTCCACATCGCAACGTTGGTTTCCAGGAACAAAAATGGTAGATTCAACAACTTCGTCGGATACAGCTGATCTGGTACTGACTAAAGACAACACTCACAATCTGATCTACTTCCCTTTCCATGGTCTGGCTGGTTGCATTCGAACGACTCTGATCCTTTCTGGAGAACCATACAAGTTCACAGACGTGTACCTGGCTGTATGATTAACTCTTTCTCCCTTAAGAAAAAAAATTGGAAAGAAAGATAAGTCATTTCAACTTATACTTTCCTTATCTTTCCGATGTATAGGATTGGCGTGCCCTAAAACAATTGACTCCATTTGGACACGTCCCTGTTCTGAAGGAAGAAACGCGGTCTGGCAAGGTACTGTACTAACCACCAAGTTTTGAATGCTACAAGGAAAATAAAATAAAGGAAAATAAAATAAAGGAAAATAAAATAAAGGAAAATCGCCAATGAGCCCTATGTAGCTCTATCGTTCATTCATTCATCCGTTTATTTTTTATATCTCTCAAAGGTGCTTGAACTTGCAGAGATCAGTGCCATTGAAAGCTTTCTGGCTAAGAGATCAGGTCTTTTAGGCAATGACTTTTGGCAAGAAAGTCTTATCCGGATGTACCACAGTTCTACACATTCTCTTTTCACCTTTCTAGTTCATAGCATTGTTCAATCTCCTAACGAAGAAGATAAACGTACATTCCTGAAACGTTTCAAGGAATCAAACTTACCTTCTTGGATTCAGGCTCATGAAAAACATTTGAAGGCCAACGGATCGAATGGTCACTATGTAGGCGACCAAGTAAGCTATTAAAATTACCTTGATGAGCTCATAATATACATATATATATTTATATATTTTTTAAAAAAAAAGATATGTCCGATTGACTAATTTTTATTTAATTTTAAAAGTTATCAATTGCAGATATTAAGACAGCATCTGTGATCGAGCATTTGATATATCTGTGCGGAAATGATGTCCAGATTTCCGAAGAAAAGACTCCAGCCATCATGGCTGTCAAGGCCAAGCTGGAGAAGGACCCTAAATATGCGGAATGGCGAGCTACCGAGCAATATCAAACATACACTGCAAAGAATATCGGATTCTTCGGGTTCTAGTCTTTTACATCGTACACTAAAATTATAGTTTGTTATCATTAAAAAAAAAGGAAAAAAAAATTATATTCATTGTAATGATCTCATTGTTTTTAGGCTAGCCCACAGATAGACAACTCTCTCATCTGGGCCAAGATGCCCTCTGCTGACTCCTCAAGTTCATAGCCCTCTGTCTCCGGTGGAAAGAACTGTCGCAGGCCTTCCAGAGTGCTGTGTGCATCCTGGGAGAACGACAATTGTGATTTGACGACCGCCTCAAAGGATGGGTCCAAGTACGCCACTCGACTATCAATGATCTTGGGGAGTTCTGAGGTCAATTGTGCATTGATACTTTCATAGGCCTCTCGCAATGTATTAGCTTCCTGTTCTGCTCGTGGTAATTTCGTATTATCCTCCGATGGTTTCTCCACTAGCTTACGGACTTTAGATCGAGCAGAGTCATAGTCAAGTAATTTCTTATTACGCCTTTTGATTGCCTCATTGATCTCTGGAAAGTAGGCAGAATATCTGCCTATAGGCTCTAGCACTGTCGTTCTGAATGTAGCATCCTAAAATATAAACAAAAAGAAAATAGAATAAGAACAGGCCTATCAATTGTACTTTCTTTCTCTTTCATTTCTTTTCTTTTTTAAGAATTTAATAGTATTTTGTTCTTCTGTCGTAACAAAAGAGGGTAAAAAACATTAAACAAACACGAACGTTACCACTTCGTCTTGGGTTTGCTGCTCAAGCTTGGCAACAGCCTCTTTATATTTCACGCCATAAATCCCCATTGGTGCTCCTTCATCATAGAATTGATCAATAGTTGATGCGATCTTAAGCTGCGATCCTGTCATATCTACGCTTGGATGAAAGGTAGGACGCGAATAAGTCTGCGTTTTGACAGTTGATTCCCCAAGGTTGGCAAAATATTAACAAAACATTATACATACGTCTCACGGCTTGTGCATATCCATTGGCCTCCTTTTGAAGCTTTTCAACCTTTTGCTCCAGACTGAAAAAAAAAATTAATGTTAATTTGAGGAAAGACAAGAAACATAATAACCTGATTAATAATAGAAAAGACCAAGGACAGAGTCATGGCTGCATTCATGTCCTCGTATGTTTTCATTTTTAATATCCATACACATCTGTCCACTTTTTTTTTACCTCCTGAAGCGCTTCTCCTCTTCTTCAAACTCCCGGTCTGTTGTCCTATCAATATTTCCTGTCTTGGACAACACCGAAGTGGTTGCCCTGGACAGATTCTTCTTAAGACCAGACCTACATAATGTCAAATAAAACACCCATAAAAGATAAATAAACAGGGCATACACACTTACGAATACCAAACACTTTTTTAAGGAGACAAGCACATTCATCTCGCTCTTACCAACTCATTGCAGCAATGTGATGTGTATTGTATTTTATAGTCTTGTCTTGGCTGTATAGATGGGAGAAATGGATGCTGCACAATAGGAAAAAAAGCTGATTCTACCGAATGTTAGTAAAAAAAAAAAAGGAAGGTAAATGTGATGAATGAACTACATAGATGTGAGCAAGTAAAGTCCAAAAAGGCTCAGCCCATCAGGCTGCTCCACAATGGCCGTGATTATATTGGATAATGTTTTTCTAGATCTAATCTTATTAGTAGCTATCAAGGTCTTCTCCTTCTTCTTCCTCTTCTTCCTCTTCCTCCTCGTCTTCTTCCTCGTCACCTTCCGAGGCTGCATCATCAATAAACGGATTGCGGACACGACGACGTCGCTCTGCTCTCTCTTCCTGTACCTCAAGCATACGAGCATCGTATTGATCTTCATCATCGTCGTCAAGTTCATCCACTTCTTCTGCTCCAACTGCTTCATCCTCATCATCCCTGTCTTCCACTTGGATCCGCGGCGCTTTCCTCCTTCTCTTCTCAATGCCAATATCACTCTCATCTTCATTCACCAGTTGATCTTGTTCATCTTCACTCATATCACTATTTGTAATTTGACTTTATATGCATTTATAAAATAAAAATTAGACATTAGCTTATGAGCTAAACACTCTAAGTTTTTCTTTTTTCTTTTATTATTCCTTTTGCTTACCTCTTTGTATGTATTCGTACATCTTCATCTTCTGTCGTAGCGGCAGATTTCTTTGACTTAGCACGGCTATCCTTGGAATTGGTGTTTACTGCCTTTTTAAATTCTTTGGAGTTTTTGGCCCTTGTAGAAGACAAAGGCTTAGATGTACCGCCGCGAGCCCTTTTCTTCCTCGAGTTGGTTTGAGCTACATCATCATTACTCGCCGTATCGCCATCTCCTTGCTCATCTATACTCTGGTCATGGTCGGACTCTTCATCAGATACAGCAGGAAGCTGCGAACTGATCTCCTCACCCCGAAGATTACGATGTTTCAAGTTACCAAGCCAGAATGCCGCTCCTGCATCATTTGTCTCCAACATCAGCTTAACCTCGAAAATAAGCCCTTCCATGGTTTTCTTGATCGAAGGAACCATCGCCATCAATGCCTGCTCTCTGGATGCCTTTGCATGCCCACAGACATTCTAGTGGCGAAATGCAGACACAGCACACACAGGGAACGTATCATTGAGTGAAACAGTAAGTTGAGCCAATGATAGAAGTAATTAGCAAGTCAAATGGTTCCATACCTGAAGTGATCGTGTAGCAGGTTGCAAGTGATTCTTGAATATTCTTGCAACCGTATCTTGATGTCCTCGGAAATGGACTCCTAAAAAAGGCAAGATTCTCTTGATGAACTGCTCCATAAACACCTTTGAGTGTTTCAAAGTTACTCCAAGGACCTCTCGTTTATCATTTGATTTGACAAACGCTGCCAATTGCTGGAAACAGAGACATAGATCTGAAATATGGTCGAATGCCGCTTGCGTATTATCAAATTTCTCCTCATCAAATTCCCCCACCAGTAGAGCAAGTTGAGTATGAAGGGCCTATTACCAATAACAGTAGAAAATAAATAAAATAAAATAAATAAAATAAAATAAAATAAATAAAATAAAATAAAATAAATAAAATAAATAAAATAAAATAAAATAAATAAAATAAATAAAATAAATAAAATAAATAAAATAAAATAAAATAAATAAAATAAATAAAATAAAATAAAATAAATAAAATAAATAAAATAAAATAAATAAAATAAAATAAAATAAAGATGGAAAAAGTTAGTTACGACCGCTGCTAAATCAAGACGATAAAAAAACTTAGACTAAAGTTCTTTTTTTTCACCTTTGTATAAGTAGTGAATGTACTAGTAGTAAGAAGTGGATGAAGCTCAGCATGTCCTTCATCTTGATCCAGAAAGGATGGCAACACTTTTGTCACGTATTCATTTATCATAGCAAGTCGCATGTCCGACTTTCCAATTTGTTGACTTAGAACATATGCGAGACGATCAGGCTGAAATAATAATAATAATAGTTAGCTTTAAGACCCCAAATAGCTAAAAGAACCGAAATATGTGTGTTACTAGTTTTCAATAATGAAATCAGGTTCACCTTGATGTTATTAGATGCTGGCCATCTGTACGATAGGACGTCAGTTGCAAGAGCTGACGCCTTAGTAGATGTCTCTGAGTTCACAGGGACTAAACTCAATAGTTTATCAATTATTTCAATAAGCAAAGTGGAGCATTCAAAGTTTGGCATCATTTTCCGCCATGCCGATAAATTATTAAAAGCTTGAACCGCCATTGCTGAAAGATTGACAGACTTTTGTACTGATGCCTTCTGCTCCTCCGATAGCTCATCCAAAGCAAGGGATTTGAGCAGCTCCTATTATATGGTTTTTGAAATGCAAAAAAACAACAACAACATTAATAATACTATAAAAAACAAAGCTACAGCACACCGGAACTATGGAATAAAGAATAGATTTTTTTTTATGATACTTACAAGCCGTAGCTCTTTTTGATCGCTTGCCTTGATCTCGTTCCAGGATAGAAGGGATTGTAGCACCTTTAATGAGACATTCAGGCATTCCATGATAATACTATGATCCACCATTTCTCCGTTTTGATCCCTGACCTACAGTATTACAGGGTCAATTTCAGTCTACAATGTGCAACGAGCCGCATATGTTTCTTTTTGATGCCTTAATCAATTGACTATTGCTCCTTATCATTACCTCTTCTTCATGATGCAGCGTTTCCAGCATCATCTTTGACTTCGTCGCAACATGTGGAATGATCAAAAGCACATTGCGAACAAAATCAAATGTGTTCATACGCACGAGCAGCAAATTATTTGCTACAGGCGGCTGTGGTTTTTTTCCGAATGGCAGGTTTGTAACAGGTAAAGGAAGTTTGAACATAATCTTGGCATGAAGGTCTTTAAGCAAAAATAATAGTTCAGGGTACTGCAGTTGGACGTTCTTGTCTTGAGTAATCTCAGATATTTCAAAGATCTCTCGAGTGATTGGCTTGTGGACACGTAAAACGTGGAACACATCCATCTAATATTTCCATGAGAAAGGAGGGAGGCATGTCAGCTAAGGAGTTTTTGGTGAAAGCGCGAATAATTTACTTATGCCCAGTAGGTCGTGGGTCATACTTCAAACTCTCTGAGATAAGGCGATAGAGATTCATATGTCACAATCTCGCTTGAGTGAACCGTGAAAGGTTTTTGTGGCTGGTCGATATCCATGGCTCGCGTTGACATCTTGCCCATCGCATTAGAGCTCACTGGTTGGATCGATAAAGACATTGGCACAGTCCCTCGCGAGACATCTTTGGCCGCAGCTTGACTGGCCTCCAATGGCCGGAAGCCAGGAACGCTTTTCAAGACATGTCGGAACATTCGCTCCAATTCCGAGATTTGCTGCAAACGGATAATAATTCGTGCTGTAAAGTGAATTGTATGTTTTAGTAAACGTATCGAGGAATTGTTTGTTTACAACTGGGTAAGAGAGTAGGTTAGTGGCGATGATCTTACCCATCGTTTGATCAGAAGCATCGAATGAAAACGCGTTTGAAATTTCGCGAAACCTAGTGTATACAAGGAAGTACGGCACTGTTTCAGTAAGGATCTTCCAAATTGACACCAGTGCTTTGAAGCCGCTACAATCAAACTTCACTCTCATACCAATTAATAGCACACAACAAACCCTGTGCAATCATGTGGCAGATCTCGATACTATACACCTCAGAGACATCCTATTAAATTAGAGAGAACATCCATATAAAGCAGTATAGTCAGAGGTCAATATCCTATAGTCCTTGTTTTGCGTGCCATATCGCGATCCATTACCTCGAAGTATTCTCGCTTAAACATGGTGATTCCACATCCTAAAAGCCCATCGATGTCATCCAAGCCATTTTCCCCGCTCTTTTCAGTAGCCTGTAGTAACTTGAATAGTGAGCACAGGTACACGGAGGTATCTTCAGTGCTAAACCCAGCACTCTGTGATGACTCTGCTATATCAGCACATAAACTAGGCATGATGCCGATCGATAGTTCTGACTCCTAATAAACCGTCATGAATTTGAATTGAGCTGAAAACATCAGTACTCAAAAGCCTTAGAGGTATCAGTAGTAAACATAAAAGGACAATACTTACAGGACCATCGAGATTCATCCAGCGCTCCATGGCTATATTCCTGCTTGGCCGCATTGTGAAGACCTCGTTGGCGGCGAAAACAAATGTTCCTGCAAATTGGTCAGAGAATTCTTCCTTGATCCAGAACACTAATTTTGGATCAAGATTGCCTGCAATAACCATGCTTGCAAGTTCATCGTATGTCAGGGCTAGACAAACCTATGAATGGTTTTCATATTATGTTGATAGGTTCATTAACGTCAACTAACGGTTTGTTGGTAGTCGACGCAAAGGCATTACACAGTAGGGATAAAAAAATATATATAAAGGTGATATGTACGGATGACTTTTGGCAAGAATCCCTGATCATTTGGAGATAAGATACTGAAATCTTGAGGAGTGGATCTGACTCCGCTTGGCGATGGCTGGTAACGGCCTGACTAGAGGAGCCTCTGCCACTCTGAGCGCTCTCCTTGACCCCGAATGCCTGAACCATGGCAATCGCACCCATGACTCCAATTTTCTTGAACCTCACTATTGGATTAGATAGTTGCTTGCGAATCAAGATGTGAAGGTCGTTAAGAAGTGTTCCAGAATTTGCAGAGGTTTCATCCTAATACAGAAAAAAAAACATCTGAGCTTAGGACATGCTGCATATCAAGGCATTGTTGAAGCTACTAAATAAACCTTTAAGCGTACTTCTCTAGCCAGTGACCCAAGAAGTAAATAAAACTGTCTGATCTGTTCGAGAGACAGATTGTCGAGATAATCTAATACGCCCTTGATGAATGCACTGTACTCGTTCAATGCGGCCCTTGAGACCCTGACAATGTTCTGAAGAACAGCTAACGAAGCGTCGATTTCTACCGAGGACCCACTACCAATATGCACTAGAAGAGAGCCTACAATCTCTTGACGATAAAATATATCCGATACTTGAAATGCGCTTGTATAGAGAGTGGAGGCTGTTCTGGCTACAATGGGGTGACTGCCGCTGGATCGGAGTAAGTTTTCGGATATCGACAGGACTGCTGGCATATATCTGTTTGAAGTTTTATACAGAATAGCCTGTTATTTCGCCAATACACGATACTCAGTTTCCACTTATTATAAGTTGTACAAATAAAATTTCACCTTACTCTCTGAGTGATATGCCATGGATCATAATTGTCTCACTAAGTAGCTTTCTGGTAAGTAGCCCATCAATGATCTTTTTGCGGATCAAGACCTCAATTTTTTTCTTGAGGTTGACGATAGAATGTAGAATCAAAATGACCATGATATCAATTACTTTGTATTGACCCTATACAGTTGAGAAATAATATATTAATAATATAAATGAAGCGAGAAGAGCGCGGCGTTCCATTTAAATAGGTAGTTGGGACTTACTGATTTAACTATATTAGCCAAGGCCTTATACCATGCGTCTGTCACAAATTTCTGGAATCGAATGCCAGTTTTGAGTGCATCTGAGAAATCAAATTGAAGAGTCAGATATGTGTGAAATTTGTGTAAGAGAGAAAAGGCTATAGTCGATCTTGAGTTTGTGAATGGATATGAAAGTGGTTGATTACCTAGAATCAAAACCTCGGGGGTTTGATTAGACGCCCTCTTAGATTTTTGATTTACATTCTTCTGGAGTTTATTGATTGATCCAAAATCGAGGTTGGCACGGATTGCCTCAATCACATCTTCAACAGTTTCGGGCTCGACAGTTTGAAGCAGGAATTTGATGACAATTGGCAGGTCATCCAGTTCAGCTGATTCAAGTTTGTTCATGACATGGTTCCTGGCATTGACCAATATGTCTGATTGTAAATTAAGATTGGATAATGCATCCAAAATGGGGACCATGAGTTCTGATGAATTCTCCATCAGCTCAACGAGACCTAGCACTACCGCCTTGATATCATTTCCCACGCAAAAAAGAAAAAGAAGAAGAAATGGTCAGTTGGCTCAGACAATGAAGGGATTCCATAGATCCAAGACTTAAATGAAAATCGCATTTACTCTATGCTCAGAATCCGGTATAATTTCTGGTAAACTTGTAATGATATCCCTCTGAATTGGCTGGGACGAGAGGCCAATCACCTATCAAATACATATCAATACCATTCAATAACTATTTTGGAAATCTTGTTTAGGCCACCATCAAAAAACCTAAGCTGTATGCGAAGCAAGTACCTCCAAAAGCTTAGCTGAAAGCTTTCCAGGCTCAATGATGTTATTTAGCCATTTTAATTGTTGAAGGATGAGTTTTGGTATTGGCGAGTCTATTTCGCTATATGGTAGTTGACATTGTATGCATAGTAAAAAGCAGCTCGTTATATATAAATATGCATCGAATTGAAACTGAAAATAAAAAAAAATAAAAATAAAAACACCTTTTCTGTATAGTTGATCCATTTCAGGTGCCTCAAAATAAATCATACTCATCATTCAGAAAACCAAATATCTGGTCAAGTAAAGCTTCCATAAGTCCTGGTTGAAGTATATCAATTCCCAAAAGTATGCGGATTAAACTCTCATTCAACGAGAATCTATCAATGTAAAAGGATCATTGAAGGTTACATGAATTGGTATTTTCATAGGACGCAATAAATACTGCCTAAAAAGAAAGCCTTACGAAGATATTCTTTCTGCAGAAGAACTTGAAATAGGTAGCAGGCATGCTCGTAAGTTTTGTGGTTTTTCTAAATGTTCCTGTAGACCCTCAAGGAATGATTCAACACAATCGGACCCTGAGTAGTTTCGCTGAATGAGTCGAGCAGTGTCCCGTTGGAATCGAGGAGGCTCTACATTCAGCATGTTAGGCGATCCATTCATGCCTAGAACCAAACCCGCCTCTTGGCAAATGGCGTAGAATACTGTTGGCCCTACTGTCAAAGTCATCTCTTGTTGACAAATGAGAGAAGGAAAATACTGGAACAAAGGCACGCCTTCTTTCAATAGGAAAATTGGTGGCGGTGGCGATGCTATGACATTTTTGCTTTTATTTATTTGAGACTATTTATCACTCTGATAAATATAGTCAATGTTTCTATGAATGTTGAAGGAACGGTGCATTCTCCTGTATCCATTGCACCATTTCTGGTGATTGTCTCCTCCAGAAAAGACCATGGATCCTTCTCAACTTAGGCCATTCTCGTACCATCCATCTCAATTCCTCAATTCCTATCCGATGTGGAAGACCATGGACACCCAGGATTCGTAGTTTATCCATGCCAGACATTAAATCTAGTCCACTCTCAAGCGATAAATCAAGCCCAGAGTTTACAGTCTGTTCGATATCAAGCGGTGCCTGATCGTACATTTTGGTCATCAGCATAGTCTCAGTGTTCATGTAATCTATGTCTGGATCACCTAACCAAAGTTCTTCAAGGTCTGTCATGGTTGCAAGACGTCCATAACAGCTGCGATGGGTCATTGATGCTTGATTTCGCAAACCCATAATTCCATTTACCCCTATATTCGATATCAATTCTCGATGTAATGGCCGCTTAGGGTTCCCTGGTGTGACTGTATGATCATTGTTTATTTGACTTGTCTCTGATGGGCCAGCAAATCTGTGCTGAGGCAGCAAAGGCAACGTAGATTGAAGAGTAGCGGCGGTTGATTCTTGCTGAAGTGAGGATTGATTCGAAGCATCGATTCGTAGCCGGAAAAACTTGATTGATCCTGCGGCAGCAATGTGTTTTTGAGCGAAAGCTCGGGCTTTTATAGGTGCAAATCCTTTAGAGTCAAAGTCAAACGGATTAAGCTTCTTTAAGTTCGGGCAGGTCTGGAGAATATCCATAAAAAAATATGGCGGTTGTCCTAGACAACGTGTTGCCGTGAATGATTCCAGTGTAGAAGAGTGTTGTAGTACAGCCTCCCGAGTCCTAGATCCAAATCCTGTTACGCATTGGAACGACAACTCCTTCCATGCTTGGCTTGCTTCAAGCCATTTGGCACAGTCTTCATCATCAATTGGAGCGTCTGTGTGTCCAACTATCAGGCTGTCGAGGAGAGGACAGTGCGATTTAAGTGCCTTTGAAAGACCCCAAATAAAGCTTGTTGATGAAGTGGAGACAGAAATCTTTTTCAGTTGCGAACAGCGCTTAATGAGTGGCAGGAACATGTCTTCTTCCAGCCCCCGCATCTTGCCATCGATAAGGATTTCATTGAGGCGAGGAAGCATTGGCAATGTTGGTACCCCGGATGGTGAAGAGCTAACTGTAGCATCATTGCTAATACTGCAGAAGTAAGCGGACAAACCGAAGTATGAGATGCACTTGCCTAAATGCGATAGTAAATACTGTAAAGCGCCTAGGTCCGGTTTCATTCGACGCTGGTTTGCCAGTTGTAGTCTTTCCAGCCTCGGCAGTGAGTCCACAACTGCTCGAAGAGAGGCACCTTGATCGAAGGGGAAGGTCATGATATCCAGCATTCTGAGACCATTTAATTGCTGAAAAAATGTTGCCAATTTTGCTTCCCAAGCAAGCATTTGTTTGGCGGATAGAAGGATCGCCTGTAAATATGGAAGCCGTGCCTGCTCGAGATCTTGTGTTTCTGCTTCATTTTCAAACTGAAGCCTTTCCTTTGTACGGAGCCAGATAGCTTTGAGATTTAATGAGTGGTATGTGAATGTTTCGAAGGGAGGAGGCAGAGAGTATTGGAATGATGCGGGTATGGCTAGTTTATGCCAGCTTATTGTCAGGGAATGGGGAAGTGACATAGCAGCTTCCAAGGATTCCGCATTGCATGTTTCAAGGGACCGTACTAAAAGGCTATTGATGAAAAGACCATGCTGCCCTGCTTTTGAAAGGAACGCAGCATTTTGTGCTGGGGTCGTGATAATAAGACTATTCCAAACAAGAGGTGTGAAGATATGATTCCAATCGCTGGAGACCAGAGTACAGGCCACAAGATCATTGCGGCTCAGATACGTTCCAATGGACAGGGTAAGCTCTGTAGTATCAAAAACCCTTTTGAGAGCCATGGCTGGGCACTAAATAAAACGGGATTGAAAATGGGTACGCAAGACAAGACGACAAGAGAGGTGAAGAATACGATATCAAGTGTGTTTTTTAATGTGATAGGTTGTGAAGTGGGAATCACCGATATTTATAGAGGTTCGAAAAGGCATTGCCTCCAACATGCATCGCCCAAAAAACCAAAAACGCAAAGAAGCGTCACCATTGTTCAAGTCTTTTTTTTTTTTTTTTTTTTTTTTGGATGTCCAAGCCACTGGAAAAAGCCTTTTTGACTGAACGATAAGTAAAGCAAGGAGAGATCCCGTATTCTATCACAGTCCTCATCAAACTCAAGGGCCCTCCTTTACCATCGCACCATCTGAGAGCAAAAAGAGAGCTAGGGGCGAAAGTATCTCAAGGTTATCCCTTCTCCTCCCGCTGTTCCCTGATTCCCTCCATTAGAAAGAGGAGGGCAAAAGAGACTAAGAGAAAAGACACGAATTCAGATCAGGACAAACAGCGATCTTCATTGACACATTTGGTGTCAACAAACAACCTCATCGACTAAGTGTTGAGGAAAAGGAGAGACTTTCCATACCTCGCAATCTGTGACGCAACGTTGAAACGAACACTAGAAAAAAAAAAAAAGACTTGTACTGAGAGTGCAAGAAAGCGAGTGTATTGTGACAATCCGAACTAAGGACGTATCCACAAACAAAAAAGTATTATCGAAAAAAATACTGAAATGAGCCAAACCAGCAGCTCAGCCGAACCACCTGTGGTGGGCATGGATGCCAATGAAGGAGCAAATAAAAACATTGTTGGAGCGAACAGTGGCTACAACACTCATACGGGTGGAATTTTGATCTCACTTAAGGCAGGTGGGTCAGATGTCATTCCCCAAAATTCATACGCAAATCAGACCTATTCTTCGGACAGTAGCATCAGTATGCTGCCACAAGGGGTCCAGCACCGAGAAAACCCTGTGGATGTTATGGGCGGAGGGCCATATCAGCAGCAGAATTTCGAAGCTGAAAAAGTGCTTAGACCTGAAGGGTATCATCCTTTGCAAACCTCAACCCGTCCAATGTTTGATCACTTTCGCTCATTGGAACCACTACAAGGATCGACTACGTACTTCAGACAGGGAAATATTGCGAATCCTGCTTTTAATAATGGTCCAGGCAATCCATACAGCAATGAAGAATCAAACGCTGCTTCAAATACCTTCGGAACTGACGCATACATGCTGGGTAACATTGGATATACAAATGTGAAAAGTGAAAGCGCTTATGGCACAGGACAAGGTGAATCAGGAGGATGGAGCGTTCCTCAGAATGGTGAATCAATGCTTCATTATTATGAACAGCCACATGGATATGAGCAATATGCCAATGCATATAAAGTGGAAGTGGATGCGCAGGCCCCGACCGATGATAGGTATCAAGACGATCTAAGCCAAACAGGTAAGAAGCACTCAAATAAAAAATCACTTTTCTCGGGAAACACCTGGTCTCGTATCTTTATCAGCTTGGATAGCATACATGCATACATTAGGAAGACAAAAATATAATGTTCAGTATGTGAGGGTACCAGAAAACACAATAGTTATACATTACAGGAATGCTTACTCGACGCAACAGACTTCCTTAAGGATTAGTATTACGGTTTCAAGTGAAGATGCACCTATAAGCTGCCCTTTTTTCATCTCTTCCATCTCTTCACCCCCTTTTATTATTATTTTTGTTTGGCTCACGTTCACTCCCATCGTTTGTATTTCGCTATCGAATACGATGTTATTCTTTTCATAGATGCTGAAAAGAATGAGAGACTCAAGAAACTCAGCAAAGAGCAAGTTCTCATTAAAGAGCGTCTAAGCAGAGAAAGTTTAAATCGCTCCTTATTTATTCGCAATCTGGGCGTAAGTCTCAAAGATATTGATATGACTTAGTGTCTGCGTTGAAAGCTATGTATATTGAACATAGTTCTTATACCTGACTTTTTATTTTTTTTCCTTACCTTCTTACAATTCTACAAACCAAGTATGCTGCTCAGGCAGATGAAGTAAGGAAATTATTCGAGCCATACGGAGAAATTCAAAGTCTATGCGATAAGATCCAAGATCGTGGCATGGCTTTTATCAGATATGTATGTCTTTTTGTGTAGTCAACCAATTAAGGGTAGTTAAATATACACGACAGTTCTTGATGCTGTTATTAATTCTAAACATGTGTTTGTATCCTAGTTCGATATCCGTGCTGCAGAATATGCCAAAAAAGAAGCTCATGGAACTATTTTGCATGATCGCGCAGTAAGTAACATGCTCAACCAATTCATTATCGACTTTATCACTTGTATCATGATTTCTCTAGCCCTCATTGCGATTTCCCCCCCCCCCCCCCCCTCCATTTAGCTTGATGTCCATTTTGCACTTCAAGGAAACGATAGTTCCAAACGGGCCTGCGAGGAGAAAGATTCCAATGTAATGCACATTTTACAGTCCACAATAGTGTCGGCTACTATCGCTTTATTTTGAAGAGATGGCCTATAATAGCTAATAATACTGTGCTTTATCTCTTTTTAAGGGCTCGCTTTCAATCAATATTAAAGGTATTGATGGAGCTAGTGTGAGTGATCAGGAGCTGGAACAATTTTTCTCTCAGTATGGCGAGGTCAGAAGAATCCGTCCACCCAATAGTAACAAGTTGTGAGTACATCTTATTGAATATGACATCCTTGTAGCGATATATTCTGACTTCAATGTTATTTATACTGTGCTGTGTCTTTCATCACCATTTTTTAGTCCTCGAATCCTGGAGTTCTTTGATATTCGTCACACTGTTAAAGCATATCATGATTCCCATGGAAAATATTTGAAGGATGGCAAGATCGAATGTTATTATGCCTGGGATGAAGTTACTGTGTAAGCAGAGCATTGCTGAGGCATTTAATTAATTGTATGCCTTTCCTCCCTCATTATTTAATTTTTAGTATTTTTTATTAATTTATTTCAATACTTAGAACACCGAGCTACTTACTTATAACTGCAAAGCATCAGTATCAACAACAGGACCGTCTTGAGCGAAATGACCGCCAGAAATCACGCGGTGGAAAGTATAACCGAGACCGTTCGGCCTCTCCTGAAAGAAAGAGCTTTAATAGTCTCAATAACAAAAATCAGAAGCGGCAAGGTGAATCCTCAACCTACCGGCCTGCTAATCGGGATGATTTCCGTGATAGGGAACATGACAATAAAAACCGGCGGAACAGAGATGATTCGAGAGATCGGTATCGATCTGACCACCAGGATTTAGACAATCGTCGAGATCGTCATGATCGTCGTGATAGTCCAGATAAGTATCGTGGTAGAAGAGATAGTTCGCGCGATCGTCAGGATAACTCGCGTGACGAGAGAGATAGCTCGCGTGAAAGAAGAAATCACTCTCCTGAAAGAAGAAGTAACTCACGCGATAGAAGGGATAACTCTCGCGGTACTGATTATAAGAGAGGGGGAAGGATCGACATCGATAGAGGAAGAGATCGAGGTCGTGATCGAGATAAAGATAGTCGTGATTATGATCGAAGCCGTGATCGAGATCGAGATCGAGATCGCGACCGAGAGCGTGGTCGTGATTTGGACTATGATAGAGATCGCAACCGAAATAACAACCGAGATGATAGAGACTTCAGCAGAGATAGTGATAGGACTCGTGACAGGAGTAATGACTATGACCGGAAAGATAGGTCTTATGATTATCGTGGACGGGATATCTCACCTAAAGGTAGTTTATTTCAACAAGATAACCGAACAAGAGCACATTTGTTCGTCAGGACAATAGTCGACATACTTGAGTGACTATATTACTTATTCTATCTACTTTGCCCTCATCTCTGCCTAGCAGTTCCGAATCCCCATGAAGCGAACCAGCTACAAGGTTATGTCCAGCCACCCCATATTGCAATAGCTGGATTGCCACCTCCACCGGTTCCTATTTTCCAGCAGTTTTTGCCAACCATACCTATACAAAATCAACTGAGCACACTGAATGTCAGTAATTCTCCGTTAACACCACAGTTCAATTCACTTGGTATGACAATGCAGGAACGTATGGAACAAGCGCAGAAGACACAGCAGGTAAAGGCTTGAGGACATGCGCCCATTTCCGTAATGTTTACTTCTTTTTCTAAAAATGTACTTTTACGACTCATACAAAATTGTCTTTACCATTTCATAGCTAATGAACAATATCATTATGCGCGCCGACAATGTTCCTACTTCATCAATGCCGGTCAATCTTAACCCTTCTAATTACGGACAGCAGACACTTCAAGACCCTCGCTTGAAAGCATTGAACCCTCCACAAACTCCTCAACTGAATCATCTAGCACCGGTTTCGCAAACGCTGCCGTCTGATTTTCGTCAAGTTGGGATGAGATCAGAGTACTCATCTAGTCCCACGAGCCCAGCACAACTAGCGCAACCGGCATACTCAACTGCTGATTCTCCGTTGACCTTATCGAAACCTATGGGTCCGGATATATCACCGGGCCCGCCAGCTGTGCCGGAACCTCAAAAGAATAATGCTGAAACCCAAGTGCAACAATTGCTTCATCTTCTGGTAAGTGCATGTATGAAATAGCCTGTTGGAGATACTTTCAATTAGGAAGAGGTAAAAAGCTAATTGTTGTATCAATTCCCCACATAATTTACTATTTTCATGTGTCTCATCATAGAGTCAAGTCCAACAGCAGAGTAAAGCGGCGATGCAGGCCAGTGCTACTGATGGTTCAGGAGTTAATTCTGGAGAGCCCACCGCTTCTGGGTTAATGGCTTTGATGCCTCATCTTGCTCAATTATCTCAGGCAGTTCAACAGCAATTTCAACCTCAACTGCCACAGCAATCATATGGCTCAGCTGCGTTAAACTTGGGAATGGGTATGAGTATGCCGATGGCACAATTAGGTGGTATGACACCAGCAATGCAGCATGCTCAATTACCAAATATGATGATGCCTCCACCTCCACCCCCCGTTTTGCCAAGACTGGGTGCTATGCCTCTTATACCGCCTGTCTCTCCTGCTATACCTCCAATAAATCCAGGAAACCAGCCATCACACCAAAGTGTGCCTCATGGAAGAGCACCTCTTCCCTCCCAGCTAGATCAGCTGCTTTCACAGGTTCCGTTAACAGACCAACAGAGGGTTTACATTGAAAGCAAGGGTAATGACAACCAGTATGGTGACTACAATGGCAATGACCCAAACCGAAGGGATAGTAGAGATAACCCCGGTCTCCCAGAAAGAACAGGATCTTCGTCTGTGAGTAATAATAGACGAGACTCTTATGATAGCTATGCTTATAGCAGTAACTGGAACGATAGTAATAACCGTGACAGCCGAACCTATTCCAGTGGAGGAAATTTACGTGATCGAAATTGGGATCAAACTGACTCAAATTCTAGCGACTACAGTTACAATAATGAAAACTCTAAGCGCCGCAGGGAGGATAGTGTGGATAACGATGATCGCGTGATTAAGCATCATTATAATGGCCGTCGTTCTTCTCTAAGTGGTAGCAATGATGATTACTATCCAGATCAGAACAATAGTCATTCAAGAAATCAAAGCAATAGCTATCGAAATGAAGATGATAACTCGTACCAGCCATGCGACAGCAATTTCCGCGATAGTCGTGGGGGTCGCGGCGGTCGTGGTGGCAGTCGTAACGGTCGTGGTGGCTTCGCACCTCGTGGTGGACGCGGAGGGCGAGGGACCTACCGGGGAGGTGGCCGTGCTGGATTGAGCGGTCAACGTGGAGGGGGGGACCGCGATGAATATCGTGATTCAGATGATTCGCGTAATAACAAGAACTGGGCATCACGGGGAGCACGCGGCGGTCGTGGCCGTGGTCGTGGGGGTTCTGGATGAGCATATAATGAAAACGAATGAAAAAAAAAAAAAAAAAAAAAGCATGTCCCGAGCACTCAGGTTAAAGGACTAACCTGAATCTATTTTAGTGCTTGTATTGCAGTTTCATTCAACCATTCTATGTGTTTAGGAATGGAAAGAAAAAGAGTACGGATTGAAATGAATTGATTTAATTAAAAAGAATATAAAGGATATATAGAAAAAAAAAGAATGTTAAACGCTGTTTGAGCAATAAAGATTTTCGTTGAAACAAGATAGGCGACCCATGACTTCGCCACGGCCACTCTAGTCTAGATTGTCTAGTGAGGCTTTCTTGGCTCGTGGTTATATAACTTGTTGGAGAAAATATAGGATATTTATTATTTTACACCTACCTCTTTGGTCAAGAAAAAAATTGTAGTGAAGTGAGCACAGTGCAATTCTTCATGTATTCATTTTTTAAGAAAGACAGTCCAGAGGTACCGAGAAAATTGATATTCAAAAGACGCGTCCTGTCTCTCATGAGGATCCTAGCGGCACGTGATGTTTTTTGCTACGGATCAAGTGTGAGCTAAGCCGCTCGTGGATGATAAACACAGTTAACCCCCCCATTACTATCGTCCAAGAAATTCCGGACAGCCAAGGACGCCTCTCCCTCTCTCTTATTCATCGCCATTAGTATATATACATACTTGCCAGGGATGTTCTCTGCTAGAGGTATGCAACTGACTGATGTCTGCATGCTGAGCTCATCCTTTTTTAATCATGCAGGACTACAGAGTAAACCATCACTGATCACAAGGAGCGATAAATGACGCTGGAATGAAAGACCAAAGTTCAAAAAGCACTACTCTGGAAATAAAGCTATTCTGGAGCATTAAATAACGATTTACTTCGATTAAGGCGATTTTTATCTTTATCGCTAATCCATGCGCTATCTGATGTCAACTCTAGGAATTATCACAAGATCGGGGCTGTCTCTGACTGCCGTCCGTACATGTAATGATCAGTAAACAATAATTTATTTTAATGTTTTTATTTTTTTCGGTTGATGCCAAAAAAAAAAAAAAAAAAAAAAAAAAAAAAAATAGACTAATGACTTGTAGATGCTTTCCTCTTTTCTTTTCACTATGATCTTATTAAGATGCTACTACGGCGACTGCACGGATTCCAACAAAGTTATCAGCAGCAGCCCTGAAAGCAAGGAGAGAGGCAGCAGCAGCGTCTGGTAAACGACTCACCAACTATGGCAAGGAGTTTCATCCACAAAAGACATTTCTTCATCACACATACACCGAACTTCTAGAATCCAACCGAATTTTGTTGATCTGCCAACACAACAACATGTCAGTTCCAGAATTAGTTCGGCTTCGTACAGACCTTGCGGCCGCTGGCGCTCAAATGAAGATTGTTCGCCTTGGTATCTTCTCGGCTGCGTTAAGAGAAACCCGTTACGCGAACTTGGCACCATTGGTCAATGGTCCTACCTGTGTGATCAGCTGTAATATTTCTCCTGAAGAAGAAGAAGAGGGCAAGGCAAGGGCAAAGGTCCCCCAAGGGCTGGAAGGGATCAGGAAAGTGGTGGAAAAGCATCATAAAATGATCTTATTGGGAGGCAAGATCGATGATGCCCTTGTGAGTGTAGAAGATATGAAGAAGATGGTAGAGATGCCTGGTATCCAAACACTGCGATCACAGTTGGCTGGATTGTTGAGTCAGGCTGGAGGTGGACGGCTTGTACAGTTATTGAACATGAATCCTACACTGTTGGTCATGAATTTGGATGCACATGCCAAATCTCAAGACAACAAGGAAGAAACAAAGGCATAGATGCGATTATTAGTTAGTGAATTAGTCCCTATTTTTTTATCCAACATAGAAAAAAAATACATTTTATATTTTATGGCATTGATCTCTCACGTGTATTTATTTTAACTATCATACCCACCCACAGTCACGAATACAAACAAAAAACAGGAAAAAAAAAAAAAAAAAAGACCATGTACTTCATTTGTCGCTCTTACCACGCACACTATTCTATTCATAATGGCGCCAAAATCAAGGGAGAATATCAACAGCGACATCGAGTCAAGTGATGATGAGGGAGTCATTAAGAACCTGTACGGTATCTTTTAAGATGACGATGGAGGAATTGTGTTGTGGCGACATTAGGAGCAGTTTTTTTTTTTTTTTTTTTTTTTTGAATGAAACGTAAAACTCATTGTTGTTATTATTATTCTGACACCTCTTTCCAATCCTCCTCCTCTTTTTCATATCGCCAATTATCCTATTACCGCCTTTCATAATGCTACTGGGCCTCTTTTATATAGGGATTATAAACCACCCAAGGATTTTTCATTATATAAAGCCAAGAAGAATTCCCTTTCAGTATTTGATATGGATGAGACAGTGAAGCACGAACTTTGGTTGATCCGAGTCCCAGAAGGCATTTCTAATGAAGATCTGGCCACGATGTCTATTACACTCCCATCTACAGCAGGTCATCCTATTCAGGGTGCACTGAAGAAGAAAGAGTCTTCATCATCAACTTCAACTTCTACCTCGACCGTCAAATATCAACTAGAGGCTGTCACGCCTGATTCAGGATTTGCAGGAGAGATGCTGGCGCTTCAGCCACTTGTACCTGATTCATCTAAAGGAGGACAACTTGTTCAAGCGCCTCTCGGCATTAAACATCATCTGGCATTGGTTGCACACCCCACCATCCCTTCTGGAGCACCCATGGCAGAAGAGATTTTGTCTAGACCCGTTCCCAAAAGACAACAGCCCGAAGGATTGAAGATGAGATTCAAGTTTGCAGGTTTCGATACCCAGGTACCGGGGGCTAAACTATCTGGATCAGGCAAGGAATTTGCGGAACGATGGAAAAAAACGTTAGAGAAGCGTCAGCGTGATGCAGAGGAGGAGCTTTTGAGGGAACAACAGGCATTAGAGGAGGAGATGGAAGAAGATGCGGGGCAAGATGAGATGGAGGAAGAGGAGGAAGAAGGGGAGGAAGAAGTAGCCGAGGCTGAGGAAACTATGAAGGCTTCTACTGCCGTAGCTAACCACCAAGAAGAAAAGGAGGAAGAAGGCGAAGGAGAAGAAACAGAAGCACAAGAAGCAAGTAGACCTGCCAAGAGAAAGATAGAACATTCAGAAGAGGATGTAACAGAAGGGAAGAAGGCCAAGAAGGAGAAGAAGGAGAAGAAGGAGAAGAAGGAAAAGAAAGAGAAGGGTGAAAAGGTCGAGAAGGATAAGAAGGACAAGAAGGAGAAGAAAGAAAAGAAAGAAAAGAAAGCCAAGGACTAGATCTCTTACTCATCCTCTCTCCCAAACACACGCATTCATCACAATACACATTTTTCATTATAACATTTCTGCATCAAATATGACTTTTTTTTTTTTTTTTTTTTTTTTTTTTTTTCATACATTTGCATTTTACACTTTTGTATTCACCGTTACATCTGCATGGTGAGATAAAATTGACTTTTCCCTCGGTTTTATTTTTCTTTTCTTTTCTTTTCTTTTTTTTTACAAGCCTTGAAGGACTAGATGTTTGTCATTTTATTCCGACTGAGTTCATCCTTGATACTCTCAGTGTTACTTCATGGCGCCTACTCTTTCCTTTTTCTTGAGATAATGTTCCTCAAGATGTTTTTTGAGCATGGGCATATTTTTGAGGGTTTCCTTACATTGATTGCATTTTAAGTCGCGTTTTGACATGGCTTCATAATTAATAACGTCTTGAGGACTTAATATGAAAGATCCTCGCTGTTGAAGGATCGTAATCACTTCATCAGGTGTAATAAAAAATGGTGTTGTAAACGTATTCCAATGGCGTTTCTTTGTCAATCCTGTACCACAAAAGTCCTGTGAGATAACATGCAAATGCAATTGCCTTATAATCACCCCCCCCCCCAAAAATAATAATAATAATAATAATAATAATAATAATAATAATGGAAAAAGAGCAAAAAAAAAAAAAAGAAAATTAGGTATATAAAATATACAGTAATATGCCTTTAATAGGTCAGGTATATAGGACTCACATTAAACTTGGGATAACATGGAACCCTATCTTAAGCTCGAGCTCTGGTGATTCCTCCTTTAACCTGAGATGTAAAAAAAAAAAAAAAAAAAAAAAAAAGAGAAACGAGAAAATATTTAAGCACCATAAATGATATGTAATGCTGCAAAGTCAAAAAATAAAAAAAATAAAAATGCTACCTCGTCACAAGCCAGTGAGCACGTTCTTTTAAGCGCTGGATGAGAGTGATCCCGCTAGTACTTGACAACTTGTCCAGTTTGTCAATCCTTTGTCTCGGCAGAACTAGCATATGTACTTTACTCTTAAACAAAAAATAAAAACAATAATTATTTTTCTTTTATGTCGTCTTTTTTTAATTCTTTTTGAAAAGAAAATGGAGCGAATATCAAGCATAAACATTAAAATACCTTTGGATAAGCATCCTTAATAATAAGATGCTCATGATCGTGCCAGTACGCAATTTCTGCTGGAACAGTCGATGGTTGTTCGACATATCCCTTGAAGATATCCAAATATCCGTGACTATGACCCTCTCCTATTGGTGTTGTAGTCACTTTATAAACTTTCCTTAGCCTTGCGTATGATCCATCCTTGCTGCTACCAATATCGTTACTACTACTAATTTTACTATTGACTGTCGTGTTTATACCAATACTGCTTGGTGTTGTTGTTGGGGATGGGGGGCTTGATAAGCGTTTTCTAGAAAATGAAGCTATAGTCCCTGTGTCTCCTTCTGCTTCTTTTAAGTCTGAAACTGGGCTAGAGTCAACTTTGTTGATGATTGTAGATGGTGCTGAGGCTGGTAATAATTTTCGGTATTTTCCTGGCATAGGGGCGGATGGTAACAGTGGTAATGGCTGTGACACTGAAGCTGTCTTTGTTTCAGCAAGAACAGGGATTTGAGAATTCTTATCCTTTCGGGCAAGGATAGTGTTGACTAAGTATAAAATTGAAAAAAAAAAAAAAAAAAAAAAAAACTTGGGGGTCAGAAACGACTTTATTTTAAATAAATAAATAAATAAAAAAATAAAAAAATAAAAAAAAAAGACTTTTGTTCCTTACAAAGATCAATTCGACCATCCTTGTGCTTTACAATCTCTTCAGCATTGATATATTTTTCTCCATGAACCATTTTGATTAGTTGGAGAATCAATTGAGCATTAATTAGTTTCGAGGTGTCTGTCAAGAATTGTGGAGGTCAATGCTAGTGTTTGAATAACCACCAAATGACATAATTCTTTTCAGTAGGCGCAGCAGTTAACTTTTTTTTTTTTTTTTTTACAACAACAACAACAAAAACGACAACAATTGACAATCATGTCTATTGCCATTCCATTTGACAAGCAAGAGTACTGGGCACAACGCTTTGATCAAGAGCCTTCATTTGAATGGCTCATGTCTTGGGATGCACTCGAACCTTACATGCAGCGATTAGATTTGTTACCAAAAGATCACTCTGTCAAGATTCTAAACCTTGGTTGCGGCAACTCAGATTTACCACTTGATCTCTATCGGTTAGGTTATCATCATGTCACCAGTATTGATTATGTCCGTTCGGTTGTTGATCGGATGAGGCAACGATGTGAAGCCGCAATCCAATGGCGATCATTATCCTCACCACCCAAACCTTTGTCTAACAGCTCTACGGACATCGGAACAAACGCGTCAACCCTCAGTTCTAATACATCTCCTTCCGCTCCATTACCATCACCAATATCAATATCATCACATCCAGCATCACATTCCCCTCCTCCTTCTCTCGCATTACCATTGTCGCCGTTATCCAACTCTATTCCGGAAGTAGAAGAATGTCCTCTCCAATTTCTTGAGATGGATTGCCTCGATATGTCTGCCTTACCTGCCAATACGTTTCATTTATGTATTGACAAATCAACTTCCGACGCCATTTCCTGTGGAGATGATGACCAATCTACAAAAATCCGTACACTTTGTGAACAAGTTGCTCGAGTGATCCAACAACCTGATGGGATATGGTGTGTCATCTCCTATTCTGGGTTCCGACAATTTGAATGGCCTGAGGGGACTCTCGGAGGTGGCCTATGGAAGACTGAACGGATTGAAAAGATCAGAGTTGATCAAGAAGTGTATCCACAGCCTTTACAGTCACAAGATGATACAGAAAAGAAAGATCAACGTACTATGCACAAAGACATTAGCAATAGCCATGACAGCAACAGCAATAGCAACAACAACAACAACAACCACAGCAGTAGCAGCAGCAACAGCAAGAAAAAGCACAAGAAAAAAGGGACTATCACTGAGGAGATGAGATGCACAATACATGTCCCCGAAGTGTTCCAATATCTCTATGTAAACCGACGTCTTTAATAAATATATATATAAATATAATAATATAAAGGATACATATTCACGCGTCCAAAGTCTCAATGCGCCAATACATTGTGATTGACGTATGAGGGATTTTACGAATTTTGACAGGCCAATTCTGTCATGTCAAAAAAAAAAAATCGCGCATTTTTTTCCATTTAAGGTTAGTATAGGTTGCTTTTTAAATATTGTCTCACATGTCACTTCATTCAGCAACCACAAATGTAAAATTAAATGCGATTAGACAAGAGAAATGAGAGACAATGAGCAAGGAAGCAGGGGAGAAAGAGAGGAATAGGGGATAGGGGGAGAGAGGCAAAGATTAAAGTCTAGGTTAATAAATGAATGCACTGTTTCCATAATACATGTATATATGAATGTGTTATTGATGATAAATGTCTTGTGCATTTTAATGAGTGTTCTGTTATGTCATGTCATGCATTGTGATTTTCAAGCTGGCTGGATCGGCGTTTATCATGAGACTTCATGCAAAAAAAAAAAAAAATGTCGTTGTATAAAAGGACGTGTTCGGTCTATCTTTTTTTACTTTTTTCTTTTTTCACTTCATCATCATTCTTCAAACTAAACAACCCTGCTTACATTCACTCAACTCATTGACAAAACAAGCAATCCTATTCTTCCATCATGAATCCTTGCGGTAACGAGGCTTGCTCCTGTGGATCCAGCTGCAGTATGGCTTTATTGATTTATATATATATATTATAGCAGAATTGTCTCGCGTCATATGGCGTCACTTTTTTGTTTTGTTTTATTCTATTTTATTTTTTTTGAATGAAAGACTAATTGTAAACATTTTTGTGTTTTACTGTATTAGCTTGCGGAACAACATGTAAATGCGGTAAATCTTCCGCTTCTTCTTCAGGCTGTGGTTGTGCAAAGGGCTCTTGCCCTTGCGAGGGTTCTTCTGGTGGCGAATGCAAGTGTTCAAAGGGCTGTAACAACTGTGCGGGCAAGACTTGTGGTTGCTCTGCTCCAGCCGGCGCAGACTGCACCTGTGGTGGCAAGTGCCAATGCCACTAAGGCCCCCCCCCCCTTCTCCTCCTATTTTTCTTCATGAATATGACAACTTTCTCTTTTTTTCCGATCATAAACATGTTGAATCCCTTTTTCAATTGTAAATACTCTTCATTTCTATAATCCTTTTTCTCTCATTAGAGAGGAAAGGGAAAAAAAAAAAAAAAAAAAAAAAAATCCTTTCATCAGAAGGGAAAAGTAAAAAAAAATGTTTGATTGCGGGATGGAACAGGATCCATGGAATAGGCTTCAGTGCGAACCTTCCCAATAAAAAAAAAAATCATGCTTCCTCATCTGGCGATAACGCATTTTCTTTACTCCCATCGTTTGTATCGTCTTTAACATTCAGTCGTGAGAAATAAAGAAAAAAAAAAAAAAAAAAAAAAAAAGCTTCTTTCTTAAAAGGGCTATGTAAGCCACGTGTCCCTTGTAATTCTTTTTTCATTTGAAAGTTGAAAGATGACAGTTAGTGTCTATGTATTTGAATATACTCGTGCTGATCCTATGACCAAAAAGATCTTCCAAAAAGGATCTGTTCCCTTGTTCGTTTCTTTTTTTTTATTATTATTAGTTTTTTATCGCTAATAAACACCGCCCCTTGCATCTTGTCTCCACAATTTTAAAAAAATGACACGCACAAAAACTGGACTAAGCAAGGAATATGAATCGACAGCCATTGGTACTTGAGAAAAGGTGACAATACCTGAAGCAGGAATAGATGGGTCATGCAACTGTTCATCGCGACGTTGCATAATTAGATGCAAATTAATTGGAAAAATAAAGCTAGAGGTACTGATACAAAGTGAGTATTAAAAAAAAAAAAAAGCCATAGTTATACGGTCACAGAGGAGAAGAAAGATCCAGTCTTTGCGCTCCTCCTATTCCTTATCTTGTTCTCATTCAAGGGCCTTTAAAAAAAAAAAAATAAAGGAAGGAAAAAAAAAAAAAAGTCATACAAATACGCTATTGAAAATTACAGCCATGAATAGAGTGGGGGGAGAGGATAAGCTAAAGAAAAAATATAGAATGCGCAAGCGATGCAAGTGCTGGGAGAAAAAGATGATAAAAGAGAAAGAAAAAACAGAAATCGAATGGTATAGTAAAGAGGCTGTAGAATAAAGTGGAAAAATGCAAAATGTGTGAGTCTTGGCAGGTTTCAATGCCATTGGTCAGATGGCCCATACGGCAGATCTGTATTGGTAGTCCTGTTTCGAGCAAAACCAGAAACAGCTTATCCAGAAAGCCATGGGTGGTTAACAATATTCTCTATGGTCGCACGACGCTCCGGATTCTTGGTGAGCATCCAGTTGAGAAGGTGTATACAGTCTGGCGACGACCGAACACGTGGAGTGATGAAAGGACCGGAAATAGCCTGCACAGGGTCGTTGAATGGGACTTCACCGTAAAGGATAGTGTACAACAAGATGCCTAATGCCCAGATCTCTGCAGCCTCAGCGCGATATTTTTCTCCCTTCAAGATCTCGGGCGATGCATCTAATAATGCATACAAATGTAGGGAAAAAAAAATCAGTAGAAAAAAAAAGCCACTTAAAAATGACTTGAACAAAAAATCTCAAATGCCTTTAGACATCAGTTCAGCGTACAATTAATAGTCCCATAGAAGCGATCAAAGAGCTTGCCCTGTGGCCGTGGGATGATCACTGCCGACCCAAAGTCAATCAACTTGACTCGAAAGTCGTTATCGATCACAATGTTCTCATCCTTGATATCCCTATGACAAATTCCTCTCGAGTTCAAATATTCAACACATTCTACAATCTGTTTGAATATCATGCGAGCCTGTCCTTCTGAGAATTTGGAGTGGTGCTCGATACACTCGAACAGATCGCAAGACGTTCTACGGACCAGAAGCGAAGCCTTTGGTGGCTCCATAAAGGGCTCATTCTCACTGCCCAAGTGACCTAGATTGATGGAGCTGGAGGATGAGGTTGTGGTCTGAAAGGAGGAAGAAGAAACTGAACTCGAAGTTGAGGCAGATCCGACAGATCCATCAGATCCAGTAAATCCAGAAGATTCAGCAGTACGTTGTTGATTCAGTGTCGCTGCAGCCATGGCTTCAATCATAGTCGTGTTGCTGCTGGTGGCATTCGAATTGTTGTTGTTATTGTTGTTATTGTTGTTGCTATTGACATTGTGTTTGCTCAAGAGAGGGTTGCTGGCAGACCAAGGGGTTCCATGGAGTTCCATGATCAAGTAAAAAAACTTTTGGTCTTGAAAAGCGTTGAGATATCCAATGATATTGGCGTGCTCGACATTACGAAGAACATAAATCTCCATTGGGATCACACCTAACTCTGGATCCTTGGTCCAGCCATGGACAGGCACTTTGTCGCGGAAAATGAATTTGACAGCGACTTCTTTGCGATCGGACTTGCGCGTAGCAGAGACTACGAAACCAAATCCACCAGACCCAAGTTCATCACCCAAGATGTATTCATTCAAGAAATCTGGATGTAATGTGTGATTTTGAAGCTGCCTTGCGGAAACTGTGAGTTTATCATGTGTCATAGCGATAGTAGCTGTGGTAGTCATAGCAGTAGGACATCCGTTGTCTGAGATGATGGGAGTTGGAGGCGGTGTAAGTGGAGGCCGTTGGAATGCATCAGGAGCACTGAGATAAGGCAGTTGCTGTGAAGGCGAGAAGTCAAATGTGGTGTCTGGAAGGGCGGTCATGATGTGCAGTGAGGAGTAAGGGCAAATGAAAGAATGTAAGAAAGCACAAAGGGAAGAAGTAAAAAGACGGTATGAAGGGTGAAGATGGGGCGAAACGGATACTATGACGGATAACTAGGGAAGAAAAGATAAGGAAGTTAGAATATGTGTAAAAAAAACAAAAACAAAAAATAATATATATATATATATATAAAGTACAAAGAAAAGAATGAAGAAAAAAAATAGACAAATAAATATTAAAAAAAAAAAAAAAAAAAAAAGAGTGAGAATGAGAGTAGAAGGAGAAAGAAAGAGAGAACCAGCAAAGTGGGATTTTTAAAAGAGAAAAAGACGTTTATAACGGAGGTCAATGATGGGATAAATGATGATAATAAATAATAAAAATAAACATTAGGCACAGAATGAAACCACTTCTATTGACACTTCACCATCCGTGTTTTAATCTATACGCACGTCAACGACGGCGACGAGGAAGGACGATAATATCCAGGAAGAGGAACGGGAAAGAAGGGTCCCATCTTTTGCACTTTACATTGTGTGTATGTAAGTATATGTGAATGTCTCCTTCCTTTTTTTTTTATAACTTGCTAAATATACAAATAAATGGGTACACATTGTATTAAACGGAAGGATATGACGATAACAATCCTAACGCATCCTATTTTATGAAATGCATAAAGAGATGTCTATATTCAGATGGAACGAGAACGGGGTCAAATGCGTGACGATAAAAAAAAAAAAAAAAAAAAAGAGCACTGGCAAACACGGATAGAGAAGTGAGAAATAGACGTTGAAGCCATTTTTTTTTGTGCACATGTGCACAAAAGTTGAATGCTACAAACCATGCACATTGTCATTCTCTGTAGCCCCATCAGACAAATTATGCATGAATGAATGATCATGCATTACAACAACAGCTACAGTAAAGGTTCCTGATGGGAAAATATGAGATCTGAGAGAGACAAATAACCAAAGAAATAATAATAATAATAATAATAATAATAAACAAGAAAAAAAAAAAAGAAAAAAAAGAAAAAAGAAAAAACCAGTCAGGAGAACGGAACAAGGGATGGAAGAACAAGGGGGTGGAAATATTACGCACAAAAAAAGACTGGACCATGGTTGTCCAACAGTGCAACTAATTAATTCCATAACAACCATTGCAAACCAGTTTACTTTTGCTCATTCACGTGTCCCTTTGTTTCCGCTTGAATCTTTCTCTCTTTACTGTCAGGTTCCGCTTTGTCCGGTGCATATTTTCCTTTTTAGTTGGCGCTTCTCCTTGAATCTGGAATTGGCAGGTTGTGCTCAAATCCCTTTATTTTCTTGCGTAAGGAAATGCAAACATGGGAGAGAGAAGGGGGTTGATGGAGGGGGTTGATGGTGAAAAGATAAAGGAGTAAAAAGTAAACGCGAGCTTTTTTTTTTTTTTTTTTTTTTTTTAGCAAATACGGGATCTGCATGAGAATGAGAAAGAAAGAGAACTGATGCCGATAATAAACAGAAGTATCAACAAAGCAAAGATATCTTCTACTTTTATATCATTACGAGATAACTAACCAAAGCTACTGGAAAGAGTACGGTGGAAGGATAGGAGAGGATAGGAAAGGAAAGGAAAGAGTCTATCGTTTGAACGTCTCACCGAACAATCGACTAGATTTCCTTTTAAAAAAAAGTTCTTTCACGCAATCCTCCGCACAGACTCCCGTGCTTAATTTTCCATGCACTTGTACCCCCAGGACACAAACAAACAATGATAATAAATAGACTTTGTCTACCAAAAGGAGACAAAAAATCAGAGCTTCTCATTCCGTTTCATTCCTCAACAGACATTGAAATGTGGGCTTCATGGAGAATGATTGTCGTATATAATGAAAAAAAAGTCTTTATGTTGTATACGTGAATCTACTAGGCGGTTTACATACCTTTTTCTTTTTATATATATGCTAAAACTTTTCTTCTCTCTTCTTTTCTTTATGCCGAATGTAGGCTATGTCAAAATAATGTATATATATTTGTTAGACAAGTTGAACGGGTTTTTGTCTGAAATGGAAGGTAAGGTGATCACAGAATAACAAGTGTTGATGATAAAGGAATGAAGGGATGAAGGGATGAAGGGAACAAAAAAATGAAAAATGAAAAATGAAAAATGAAAAATGAAAAATGAAAAATGAAAAATGAAAAATGAAAAATGAAAAGAGAAAAGAGAAGGGATTGTTTGTTGTTTGGTGGCAATTAGTCACTCCGATCAGGCAAACATTCACTTGACGCGTTCAATGACGAAGAAGGATTATATAATATACAGTCATTGGTTAGCTTCGCTTGTTCCAGACCCTTCCTTTTCCTTTTTTGTTTCTTTTTCTTTTTTTTTTTTTATTTCCATGACGCATGAAAAGAGTTTAGGAGTTGCATTAATTTACATTTGATAATGATATAGACAGCAAGTGGCTTTTACAGGGCATAAGCTACATGAAATGGTAAAAAAGTGTGTACAAGTGAAAAGAAGAAAAAGAACAACACAAATTATGAAAACCAAATGGGTCAGGAAGTCGATTAAGATGAGGAAAACCAAGATGCAGAAAGGAAACAAGAAGGAGACAAAGACGGAGAAGAGAAGGGGGAAAAGAAGACGAGGATTAACGAAGGAAAGAGAGTCAGAATAGATGAGGATGAAGAGAGAACCAGTAAGTTTGAGGGGATTCTGTTCGATTTTTTTTCCCTTCTTTCTTTGTATTGCTTTCTCCACATAGGCCTCATTCATTTATTCTTGTTTGTCGTTAAAATACATCATCTCCCATCAGATCCAACCAAAAAAAAAAAAAAAAAAAAAAAAAAAAAAAACTGTGCACAGATGTATCTATGCATTTTTGCATGTCGTGTAATAAACTGCACACAGATTTGAGTTTTATCTGTCTAAAGAGTGACTACAAAGAGAACCATCAGCTGATCGCCATAGAATTAAATAGATATGAATACATGTGTATGGAAGGCATGCAGGAAATAGAAAGACATTAATAGATCCTATCCAGGCCTAGGATTAAGGCGAGAAAGCAGCTTACCCAGTTTTAAATGTAATCCTTGTAAGGGAGACTATATAATGGATGAATGGAAATAAGGAGTGTTTAGTGTAGATTCATCAAAATGAGATTCATTCGGTCAATAACTTGGGTGTAGAAGTCAGTATTTTTCGCTCTCTCTCTTTTTTTATCTCAAAAAAAAAAAAAAAAAAAAAAAGAGAGCTTCATGAATATCCACTCTTTTATACCAACGCGGGTAGTGAGTTAACAGCGCCAGCAGTAGAAGAAGATAATGCTACTAACAGAGCCGATTGCCTGCTAATCTTCTACAAAAAAAAAAAAAAAAAAAAAAAAAAGCAACTGTGAAGCGTCGAAGGAAATAAAAAGGGGGACTAGTAAAGTAGTGATAGTTTGTCATGATAGATGACTTTTTGTTTATAATACACTAAAAATATGATGTAAATACAAATTTAGGGCAGTAAAAGAGAAAAGTAGATTAATCAAAGAGAGATAGCAGAGGGTGAATATGACCCAAGAGTGTGTGAGAGGGGTTAAAGAACATAAACAAGGGACATCCATCCTCAATAACTTGGGTCTTCCCACCATCGTTAACTGTTAACTGATCCATGTTCTTTTTTTCATTTTAATTTTATTTATTTATACATGTGGATGCAATTGGATGCATGAAATTTGTAATTAATGCTTTCTATCCTTGAGATTACTTTGCCACTCAAACTTCGTACAGATCTTCGATCGCCTTGGTCGTATCATCAATCATTTTCTATTTGTTAGGATAGGACGCTCCAAGAGAAATATTAGCATTATATACAATATTTACAACCATCTCGTAAGAAAAAAAAATGCATCTATTTATTTTTAACTTTACTCTCCTCAACATACTCTAATATTTTGCATTATGATCATTACCACTATGAGGGCTGCAAGTGATGATATGCGCAACATTGCATTCACTGTAAAGACTATACACAAACTGGCGGTCCTTGTACTTGATTGCATCACCAGTTACAATGATCAATGGCTTTTTTCTAACAAGCTTTATGCATGAAGTGTCAATTTGCCTCCAATGTCTCTTGCGAACAGAAAATACGGTTGATAGTCTTGCTGGCTTTGGTGTCGGTGTTAATATTACCTTTGCTGTTGTTCTTGCGTCAGCAGATGACTTTACCTTGGCTGTAGCAAGTACCAAAACTCTAACCTTCCTGATCGCTTCAGTCAATACCAAGGGTGGGTTCGGCGCCTCTACAGCTACACGCTGCACTATCAGATCCTTGCTGGTACGGCTTTGCCCAACTACTCCTTCTATTAACGTTATCTCTGTATTCAGTTATCTGCCATGTGCTCCATCTCAAGCAATACAGATATTAAAAATGGTTATATTTCTCCTCCTCGCCTTCATTTCCTTCCTCTCCCTCCACTGCTTCTTCATCTGCTTCTCCTCCCTTCTCTTTCCCTCCTTGCCCCTCTTCATTCTTATCTTCGTCCTTCTCCTCCTCATCTAGCCCACCTTCATCTTCCCTATTGTCTTCGGCTTCGTCCTCCCCCTTTTCTTGTATTTTTACCTTTGATAATCCCCCATTTTTGAATTGACGCCTCCACAACCCGTTACAAGATAGGAAACGCCCTCAGCAGAGATATCTCACGTAACTGTCCTTGTCACCCTACCAGTATGTGCAGTGACAGTCAGGCATTGATCTGAGTCTGGAGCTCATACGTGTGCAGTCTTGTCAAATCCTCCTGTGGCACTATATTGACCATCGAGCGAATATTCAGTCATACAAACGGTACCAGAATGTCATCAAAATATCTGCAATAACTCTTCTTCCTCATGGTCCACCACGTATTCTACTCCACTAAAAATTCCCAGATGCAACTTTTTTTTTTTTTTTTACATCGTGAAAATCCGCTAGAGAATTTCAGTACGATTGGACGTATTGTGAAGCACAGCTCACCCCCATACACGGAACTCTCTACTTATTACCATAGCACACGATACGGCGACCATTGGGTGAGTACACAAGGCTGTCCACTAACCTAACGCCAGCGTCCATCGTGAAAAGAGTGTTCCATGTTTTAGTACACTATAACTTGACAGTGCCTTTGCTGTTGCATGAAGCAACTTGTTAACCGTTGGGTGAACATGCTATGTGCTTCATATATCCACTATCTTCATTGTCATCGTTGTCGTTGCTATTCGATTGAAAAATGACTTCACCATTTTTCGTGCCTCATACAGATAGCCCACCCCCAGAATGCTCATAGATAACTTGATGGTCACTAGGCGAAAGATCCATCGAAGCGATCCTATTGCATTCGAAATTATCCTTCTCTTGTTCTCCTAGAATGTAAGCGACTTGTCCCAACCGTGGAAAATCCCAGAGACGTACATGTACGGGCTCATGACTATCGGAGATCGTGATTCGCTGATTGTTAGTGAGAAGTGGACGTCCATTTAGGGGCCTTTGTGCCTTGGCAGGATACAGACGAGCCAACCGGTTGTACATTTCGTAAACGCACAGTCTCATCCTCGCTTGACGATAGTACCATATAACAGCCAATGATCCAATGATATCTGTTATCTTTTCCGCCGGCTCTTCTTAAGAGTCGGTACAAGTTTTCCATTGGAAGAGGTGCATGGCAATTGCGCCTGGAGATTACGAATCTCGATGAGCGCAAAGCCAAAGGACCGAGCACTGAAAAGGGAGGTATGTCGGAGACAATCCAGTTCAGTACGCTTCAGGCAATCAAGCTTCGCTTGGACTCAATTATTAGTATATCAACTAAAATCAGCTGAATAATAGCGGGGATCTTTTTCCTTGCCCTTGTTTGGCACCTTGCTATCTATTGTACGAGGGTTATTCCTGAAGCAGTTCAGTTATAGGGATACATGGTATTTTGAAATGTTAAGCCTGTTTTAATCTGAACCTGTGAAGCGTGTATCCCTGTCATGCCATTACCATATTTTCGTGGAAAGTCTTTACAAGATACCCGCGTTGAACTTCGTAGTCGCGAAGTCGGTCGTGCGCGAGGATTTCTTACCGATAACGCAAGTCATTGGGACGAAATAAAGCCAGATAAAGATAAAAAGCGTGTGTAACATGGACACGATGAAAATGATTTGTCAAACAAGCACAGATGTTTATATACAGTACATGTATACCGCTCTATCAATCTTTTGGAAAAGTTTGATCTACACGCACCACTCCCAGATTGCTGGATGGTCAAAGTTCATGATTAAGCGTAAATTAAACATTTGGTGACTCGCCAACCTTTTTTGCAGCAAATGAACAGGAAAAAAAATGCTGGTTAAGCATTTCAAATTGCAACATGTGAATTATCCAGAAATAACTGCAGTCATATTATATATGTAAAAACATTTTTTTTTTTTTTTTACTTAATTGCTCATCCTTGATAAGGATCGGTTAAACACAATCAAAATTGGGTCTGAACACTTAGCATTGCATCCCACCCTTTTCCATTCATGTGCGTGTGTTTGAAATTAGCATATTGAGAAGCTTTATCTACTGCTGTGCTTTGCGTTGCATTCCTTGCAGCCAATGATTGTATTTCTTCAGTCTAACCATTTTATGGCACACAGTACATGAATATACACACCTTGCCTGTTAAACTTTTTTTTTTTTTTTTTTTTTTTTTTTGTATCTTTATAAAAGGCACGTCTTTTCATTCTTCTTCCACATTCTTCTTCAATCGATTGATTATCCTTACCTTCTACCATCCTCAAGAAAAGTGGAAAGCAAGTGTACGTCTTTTTTTAACTATCCTCTTGATGCGACCAGTAAAAACTCATAAATCTCAAAGATATAATAAAGTAATCTTTATGTCGATTAACCAACGCTATTGAATCTTCATCGAATATTAGGAGGAAAAAAAATGCCAAGCTTACTTCGTATACTCATCGCAGCTGTCGCTCTGCGCTCTGAGGTCGATTCTTCTTCAAGGCCAAGACCAAGTGCTTGTTTCAGCACAAAATGTCACGCAGAATGCCAAGCAAAATGCTACATATGTACCAATGCCAACATTCCAAAAGCGCCCTCCCGGGCCTGCTCCTTATACGGACATTTCCGATATGACTTTCTATGAGCATAATGACTATGGAGGTATCTATTGGTTCGCTTTATTTCTTTACTACAACAAGTGTATAAGGATGATCCCGAACAGCCACAGGAGCCCGTTATCTTCAATTATATACGCTCACGCCGACCAAACTGATAGGTATACGACCGTTCAGTTCTACGAAGGAGACAGTTGTGATGGAGCTTATTTCCGGGTGTCGAGCAAATTTAAATATGGACATACCTATTGGTCTGAGTTAGGCCCTTGGAACGATAGAGTTAGGTCTTTCATAGTTAACGATTTTCTTGAGGGGACGGGAACTGGGATAAAAAACTATCCAGATCAGCCAGTATATACTGATAGAACCTATGGACCATTTTCAAAAGTATAAAAAGACATCAGGCGTCGTATCAGAAGCATTTGCATTCGACTTTTTGGCGCGCTATTTAACCCTTTGGTCAACCAGGGAGCTATGCTGAGGCCGCTTGTTAGTGGCCACATTGTCAGAGACACTCTGAAGTGACTACGCCTGCCGAGGTACAGAGGTCAGCATTGGCATGCTTGGGTATGATTGATGACTTGATTTCCATCAGTCCCAAGGAAAACCTACTTTTGATTTTGACGTCGACCATGGACAGCGGTCAAATCTATTGCTCTGTTTCTCGTCGGTAGATTCACCAATGTTGCTTCCTTTGTGCAGTAGTTTTTGAAACGCAGGCACCACAGTGTCTCCTGTGAGCCTTAATTGTTGACTGGTGATTCTGGCGTGAGAATTTTGGAGGACGATTGTTGATTTTGTTGAACTAGTCTTTGGCTCCATCATTGAGTAGTTTAGCCCGATCTTCATTATCCAAGGGCTAGAGGATATCGAATGATAGGTTAAATGTCGTGGTCACATGGTACATATCCATAGTACTGAGATACGCCCTTAATCACTCAGTGAAATGATTCCTTGACTTATAGTAATTTTAATACCCCTGCAATCCAAGGGAGTGATTTCTGCAATCTGGCTAAAACCAAGTAGTCACGGCATTAATGAGCACCGGTGTCTTTACCAGCCCTTCAATCTGATTCCACTTTTGACACTTTGGTCGCAATCTCTTTCGATTCCTCATCATTGATTTTTGTCTTCTTGACTTAAATATGTGATTATGTCGGATACCCAGCTTCAAAGGGCACCTTGACTTTAGGGCATTATCAGGGTCACGACTAATAGCGCACGTATCGGATCAGGCCCTCTTTGCCCTCTCTATAAAACCTGCACCATCTTAGGTTAGTGTGCAAGGACATTGCTAAACTGCTGTCTCCCAAAAGATGTAACATTAAAGAGCTTTCAAATTCACCTTTGACAAACCTATGTAGGCTGTACACAATGTAAGGGTAATGAGGCTCCCCCAGAGTTTGGAGTGGTGTTTCTTGTAGTGCTTACATTGCATTACTAACCTACCCAAACATTAGATATAAAAGTTTACTCAGCAATGATATTAGACTTACTGACCTATCAAAGCAACGGATCAACTATAGCTTTCCCCTCGTCTTTTTTTTTTTTTTATATATATATTGCATTCCAGTTTAGAAATGACCTCTGGGGTGTCTTTCTTCTTTTTTAAGCTATCACTCGTTTTAGTATTGGTGCCAGTCCCTGTATCCTGATGAATATCATTTGACGAGTCTAACGTGCCTGATATATCGTCTGGCCCCTTTTAATTATGTGTGTATTTCTACGCTATTCTGATTCTAGCGTTGGCTGATAACATTGCCAGTACCCATTTTTATTTATTCTGCCTTCGATGTGTTGTTCATGGGCCAATTGTCCCTAGAAAATTACACCACCATCCCAACATTAGTCACCATGCACACGCTATTGGAAGACAGTCCTTGGTTGCTATTTGAGAAACATGCCATCATGACATGACTTTAGCGAGGAGTAGAATCTCCTCATCCCTTCTTATTACTTTCTTATGGCTATCGCTTTCGATATTGATATCTTCGTCCCTTCTGCTACCATAACGGACCCTGAGGATAGAGTAGAATCATATAGGTTTTGGTTCATGTCTACCAATCATCAGTTAGCCAGGAGCCAAAGCAGTAGTTAAAAAAGAAGATGCTTCTCTCAACCTTTTGTTCTTTTATTCCAGCACTTCTCTTTTTATTGTCCTGTCAAATGTCACTTAACCAAGTCTTATATCTACAGATGTGCTCTTTCTGTCTCACTCACGAACATATCTCATATCCCATATATCTCCAAAGATAGATACGCTCGCTGTATCTTTATTTGGTGTATCGTTATTTTAACCCATCATATCATCGATTTGACCCTAGCTTATCCCTGTAACATTTGCCTCGCTCCTCATTCGGTCCCAAGCCTCGACGTCTTTCTTTACATAGAATAAAACAGCGATATACCAACTTTTAGCAAATCATTGATATTCTTTAAAAGGTAATTTTATGAAGATCATCTTGCCATATTAGGGATTAAAATCAGTGTAATGTGTGTTGATGGTCTTTTTTTTGTTTTTGCGTATTGGTGACCATGATTATTAACCCGTCCCCATCTCCCAGTTACTCAATTAGGATGGATAAGAAATTAATGAAGCGAGTTGCAGCAAAGACTAATAAGAAGGTCGACCTGCTTTGGCATCCTTTTTCAATTCCTTTCAACGCTGACAAAAATAACACCGACTTCAGTTCTAGCAACGGTAATAATAGCTCCACTATCAGTAATCAATACCCTACTACTGCTGCTACAACTGGGTTCAGGAACCAATTTACAGACAATGCACGCCGGCTTCTTTTGGGCATCAAGATTAACACCAATAACCAGAATGACACGGATGGCGATGATAATGATGATGACAGTGACGATGATGAAGCGCGTGTGATTCAGGCAAGACGTGATGCATTAGCTGCTCTCGATCCAAAAAATAAGAACGCAAAAACTGCAGAGTTCAAGTCCTTTAAGGTCATGTCTTCCTCTTCATATATTCAGAGCAACGCGTTGAGTTCTGCTGCGATCAACAGGACAAATACCTTGACCGCGAAACAGCAAGAGCAACAGCAGCGGCGCCAGCCGCTGAAGTCTGAAGAAAGCATAGAGCAGTGTCAACCATCTATAAGCGATAGTGAACAACCACCTTTGGCTTCGTTTTTGCCTCATAGTAATATCAACTTTGAGCCATATTGTCCTTTGGCTATTTCTCCCTCCTCGCCATCATCTGTCCGATCCTCTTTCTCACATCAAGCTCGAAGCATTGCTTATAATAGTGATGGCACACTGTCTACACCAAATACCAGAGCCAGCCAGAACCCACGTGGAAGGGACCTCGTGCCAGAAATTCCTATCACATTTGCAACGCCATCACCTCATTTAGCGAGCAGCCATCAACATACACCATCCAATGCAGCCCTCTGCAGCTCAATCTCCCCAAGTTTTATTGCGGTGTCGTCATTATTAAATAGAACCACCACTGAAGATGATCAGGATGTTGGTACGGATGACTGTGGTCTATCATCAGCTGGTACAACGAAGGCTAGTGGCACCTGTCAATCTACTCGAACCTACAGAGATCAATCTCATCGGGTCGGGCCGCTATTCAATCAAAGCAATGACCAACAAGGGAGAAGTGTCAACGAAATAAAGCAGGGTGGAGAGCTTGAAGACTATATTAGCGCTCAAGTCCAGGAAAAAACGGGAATAACAAACTCGATTACCCCCGTCTGGCCTTTGAATCGAAATACTTTCGGTACTACTCAAAAACAGCATGGCCAACGAGGCCAACGAGATCAAAATCAAGAAGCACAGACCTATCATAAAAGGGATATCAGCATGAATGGCTTGGATCGGTGGGGTGCTGCTAGTGACATACCAATGCATGACTCGCCCATATCTCTTCAAAACAAGCGCAACTCCTCTGGGCTAGGGGTACCTGAAAGTCAGCCATTAAAGAGCGTGGTCAGTAGAAAGAAGCGCAGTAGAGATGGAGCAAGCGAGAGTGTGGATGCCGAAGACTGGACGGTACACTCACGCACGGTGGCTATTCATGACACGGTTGAAACTATCCCAGTTTCGAGCAAGTCTTTGAAACTGATTCCATTGGATGAAGAATACGCTACTATCTCATTGACATCTCCTCAAGTCCAGAAGTGCAAATTTGCAGCCGATTCGAGAGACATTCGTCTCTCCCGTGGCAGACCATTGGACGTATCGCTCGGAAAGTTAAAAAAAGGCGTATCATCGATTATTTCTGGCAACAATGCCCTTGAATATAACAGCAGTCATTATGCTACTGAAGATGAGGACATTCAGCAAACGGTTGATGATGGCTTAATTAAAGATCCTTTTATTGAGTATAGCGACCGTTCTAGCTCTGCAACATTTGGGTGCCATAAACCGCCAGCATCGCTTCCCCCAGATTTACATGAAGCAGTCCTGCCTCCATTCTCATCATTCCGAGAGCTCATCTCGTCTACTACGAGCATATTTGTAGCGAGACTCAACCCGTTATCATCTTTGTCAAAATACAACGGTGATGTTTCTCCACCTATGCTTTCACCTTTAGCACCTACATTTCTCCGTCGATCTCGCGCCATCGTGTTCAGTGAACATTTGGGGCTCCAAGGCAACAGCGATTACGCTAGAGATAGATATATTGGTACAAGGCGCAAGAACACACCAGCCATGTTTCCTACGATTGTGATTCCTCAGCATACGCCGGCTGAATTGAGTGCACTATCCGCAACCACAGTACTTTGTACTCCAAGCTCTGAGTCGCCGTCCATGACAATGACCCATGATCAGTATTTGTCCTATATTACGCCCTATAGAGAAGATTCACCAGCAAATGACAAAGAGCTATCAGTTTATTGCCTTGGCTCATCAGAGAATCATTATAATGGTTCAAATGCATCCCTACAACGAATGTTTGTACAACAGCAGCAACAGCAACAATGTCATTTGGAAGGATTGTTGAATACCCCTCAATCTACTTTTATTAGGACCAGAAATTGTCCCAGCCCGCTTGCACTTGCAGCCATGTCTGCTGTAGAGCGTCCACTCAGTCGATCAAGTATAGGGATGGCTTCAGGCTTCAACGCGGATTATCTGATGAGGTCACCATCCAACGATGAGTGTATTGGCCAGCTTAAGCGTAAACAGGAGCAATCCTGCTATGACAATGCTTTTATAGATGCCAGGAACAAAAACTGGTGCGACAAGGATTTGGGCCCGTCATCAAAGTCATTGTCTTCGCTCGCTACTAAAGTTGGGCATCGATCGGAAGATTTAATAAAAAATCAAGATGGAGGTGTCAGGGCAATTGATATGGACAAATTAGAAAGGGTACACCATCATAATCAAGGAGGCTGGAATGACTGTAGCTTTGGATACGGACCTGGTTATGCTCTTGATTCGCTTAATCAGGAAGAAAAGTTCAGAGTAAACTGTGAAGAATCAAAGTTAGCGCCAGGGCAGCAGAAACAACGTATCTCTGATCCTAATGACCTCTCGTCATTCACACCTCGAAGATTTCTCGGCTTTGGCTTCATGAAAGGAGTCAATAGAGGCGGCAATGGTCGTAACAGCAAAGAAAAAGTTAAAAACATTGGTGAAGAGGTGTCTCTGGACTATGGTCATTATAGTTGTAGTGATGATGATGGGAATGGCGATCGACAGCATAGCAGACAACCATCTGAGCACCTCGAGACTTGTGACAAAATGATACCTCTGCCCAAGTCATCAAGGTTTAATGGTATTTGCTTATGCCATAAGTTTATGAATGTCACCAACATGATTTTCATTTTATCTGGATTGGTTCTGTTAGTCTTGGGTTATCCAATCGCAACCAGCTTAAAGAAGGCAAAATTGGTAGGAGAAGAAGCTGCTAAAACAACAACCTCGTCGGCGTCATCCATCATAGCAGCAACAATAACCCCTACTACGAGCACAACAATACTGGTCAAGCTTCCAATGGCAAAAAGTATAGTACCAACCATTCCAATATCCGGGCATACATTTCTATCTTTGGGAAAGGATATACAAGGCGATATGAACTTGAGAGCGATTGTGCCCAAGGGTATAGTTAAAGTTGCACCCACGGCCATGGCAGGACGGCACGTGAAGCCTTTCTGATGTAAATATGTTTTATGTCCGGAGGTCATCAGACTAGGCCTTAAGGCTATTATACTAAGCCCTGCACTAGGCTGTGATCGCTGTAACTCAGCTGGCCAATCTCATCATTGATCAGAGGCAACGCAACCTAGATTGAGTTGGTCGCTGTATTACAATGACGGTCTCGTTCCCTACAAGTAGGAAAAATTGTAGAGCACGTTTAAACGATTGGCCTTCAACTTGCACCAACAACATACTTTGGACGTGGTAATTCAATGCCGTGTGCAATGACTCTATTGAAGGCAGTGACCTAAAAAATAAAAAATAAAAAACAAATAAAGATGGATATAACTGTGTAGTATATAGCAAAGACAGGCGAGGAAGACTGTCAAAGAATGTCTAGCAATCGTTTATTGGTCAAGTAAATAGAGGGAAGCTCCTTGCAGTAAAATAAGAACATTCAAGTGATAACATGGCACACTTGTATTCATGGGTGCTTCAAGCCTTGTTGTGCTACTGTACAATGATACATGTCATGTGCATACTATAGGCTATGAATACATTTGGTCTAGACATGGTATATCGTGAAGAAAAGCGCACAAACACTTGACCCAATTCTGGGCGACCAGGTCCAAATGATTCCAAATCGCTTATTTTGAGTCGAATAGTCCTTGAGTGTGGTGCCATCTTCCCCAAAAGTCAACTCTTCCCTCCGATCCACCTGATATCGGAAATGAAACGTAACGAAGTCACTTCATTTGGATTATTCCTGAAGTCCACTCCAGACTCAAGGATGGCCTTCCTGTCGCGGTGACCCAATCTTTTGGCCATTACAGTAAAGGAAGGCTTAACTCAAAGACAAAGGCCATTTTTCAAGAACTATACCCAAACTTCTCTAAAAGTTATACTCATTACTTGTTACTGTCTTCATCGGCTAGTCATTATCATACTTTGCACCTCAACAGCTAAGAAAAAAAAAAAAAAAAAAAAGAAAAAGAAAAAGAAAAAAAGAGGAGTGAAGTTCAATCCAAAAGGGAGGATCCGTCATTTCTGAGCAGCAAACCGGAGGCTACTGTCTTAGGAGCGTGTAACATTTGCCAATAGCTGGCTAGAGTGGTGGGACCTATCGCTTTTGTAGAGAGAACACCAACCGATGCGTTCTAGCCGAAGAAAATAGAAGTTTCGAAAGGTATAAACAAAATAATGCCAAAGGCAGTGTTCAAAGGCAGCATGAGATGAGGCTATGGACAGGGCTTTTCTTGCCTCGAATATACTGTAGCATAGGATATTATGTTGCAGGAAGTTGGTCTACACAGCGCTATGCGCATGTGAGGACGATTACTACAAATAAAACCGAGATACGAGTTTTAGCCTATTGCTCGGGCTGAGTTGGCAGGGATGAATGAATGGGTATGAGCAAATACGTAAAATGTTTATTGAGGTACAATAATTATATTGTATCTTTTTTGACAACGATAGCAATGCAAATAGCAATGATAAGTAATATCGTTATTGTTGATGATAGTGATAAGCACATCATGGTTGTATCAAATGCTTAGTCACTTTGATCAGTTGTCTTCTCCTGCTTATAAGCAAGGATGCATCCATCCTTGTACACAAAGCCCAAGCCTGGTTCGTTGCCATATGTAATGTATGATGGTCCTGCATGCCACGATTGTGGTTCTGATAACCAAATTAGATTCTCGATACACCTTCCGCCATGTTCGTAGAGCTCTTTAATTGCAGAGTCTTCGCCATCTTGATAAAATTCTTCATGCCAGCCGTCCCAGTCATCTGATAACACATAAACATCCTCTCTGTTACCTCTTTCCTCAACCAACTTTCTCACTTGATATATGTCTTTTGGAAACGCGTCACTTTCTTTACCATCATATTCCGACACATTCCTAGCTTCGACATTGAACACAGCTTTGATGTCTGTAGTGTAGCCGAGATTGCGTAGGATTGATACTACCCTAAGATCTCGTCCTTTTAGGATTGGCTTTGCCCTATGGCCTCCTGATTTTTGCTGACTAGGTGTTGGATACTTGTTGGCTAGACCTATTCCAATGACATACCCTGGGTATTTTGTATGAAGGTCACGCAATGACTTTTCGAGCGTTATATACAAACGGTCATGGTATGGAGTCGGCTTAGGGAGATCGAGGTACAACAAGTCATAAGTCAATGTCACTCGGAAGCCTTTAGTGACTTCATCAATCCTGTGCTTACAGTCCGGATAGAATGCGCACCACTTGATCGCCTTCGTAGATGATAAGTCATAGGCACTGTCTTCCACAACAAGCATACCTCCTTCATAGCCAGTAGGCAAGCATACAACGAGAGATGCAAAGATGTTGGACCGAGGAGTGTCAACATGCTCCTTGAAGAACCCATGGGTCTCATACACACATATCTTGTTGAGTGACGCGTAAATCGGTTTAGACGACTCCAAGATGTTGGCAATATCAGCTACGAATTTCGGAATAAGCTCGTGGTAGTTATTGGACAGTGTAAAGTCCTTTGGCTTCAGCTCTTTGCAGTTGCGATACGAGTTGTCGAAAACAGTACGTTCGTTCACTCCAAATCCTGAAGGAACACAGCTCTCTACTAGCTCCGAGATCTTGGAAATATTATCTGGAGCTAAAGGGAACTGCACTGATTTGGCTCCAAACCAAATAATGACGTTTTCCGTAAGCTCTTCCTCCCCGTATAAGCTGCGCACGTTCAATTCATCATCCATACTGCAGAGGCCTGTTCCGAATAGATGGGCTTTTACTTGAAAGGACAGAGTGGGAGTTGGAATGGATTTAATGAAATGGTCTGAGAAAAAGGTTTTTTTTGAAAGAGAAAAAAAAAAAAAGAAAAAGAAGAAAGGAAGGAATTGAATTGAATTAAATCAAGAGAAGAAATCATGACCTTTTCTGTTGAGTGACGCGTTTGACATTCACACAACACAGGGTTCACTCAACGCTTAACGGTTTATCACGTGATAAGTTACCGATGTTTTATTTTATTTTTTTCTATTGCCACCATCGTCAGCACCTCATTATCAGTGAGACAAGAATGCAGACCTCAGGACAGCGAAAAAGCTTCGAGAATCCGAATGCCAACAGTGCAAGTAGTAGTAATAGCAGCGGTAGCCAAAGCAGCAGTCAGGCTTGGCCATCGCCACAATCAGCCTCGTCATTCTCGCGCTTCCAGGACATCGAGGTGCCTCTAGGCGGCACAACTGAATTGAACGATGATGCTAAAGAGAAATCGCTGCGTAGGAGATCCTTACTGGATGAACGTGCAGCGCGTCGGCGCTCATTACTCTCCTATGGGGCAGAGGACGGCGATAGACGTCGAAGCTTAAACAACAACAACGCAGGCGGAAGCAGTAGTAACTTGGCCAGTCCAGGAAGTAAACTTCGACCTAGTGGCACTAGCAGTCTTCTTGGAGTTGTCGAATCGCATCAAGCACCATTACCATCATTACTCAAAGTGTCAGCCGATAGTTTTGAACAATGGCTCAAACTTGCAACTGACAACAAGATCAACGCCAACAACAGCTGGAATTTTGCATTGATTGATTATTTTCACGAAATGTCACTGCTGCGAGAAGGAGACTCGATCAATTTTCAAAAAGCATCATGCACACTGGACGGGTGCGTCAAAATTTATACCTCGCGTGTCGACTCGGTTGCAACTGAGACTACAAAGTTGCTTGGCGGCTTGGCAACAAGTGCGAAAGGACCTGAACAGGGTGGTTCAGAGGATAGGGATGAAGATGATGAAGAACAAGATAAGCCAGCAAAGAAGAAACACGCAAATCGCAGCGGTAACACTCTTGCTAAAGATTTTAGTACTCTCTCTCTCGAAAAATTTAACCTGGAATTCTCAGTAGATCCTCTCTTCAAAAAGACTTCCGCTGATTTTGATGAGGGCGGCGCACGTGGTTTATTGCTTAACCACCTACATATGGATGCAGAAGGAAAAATCATCTTTGATGCTGGTGATGCTCGTGATGAGGGCGATGATGAATACGAGGATGAGAGAGCTGAAGGTGGAGGAGAAGACGAAGATCGGGATACACAGGAGCAGGACGAAAATGAAATATCACCAGAGAAAAAGCTTAAACGAAAGATAGAAATTGAATCGGCAACGATAGATATCCAAAGGCTCCGGTGTAAGTCCACAGCCAAGGGGCTAATGTCACCATGCAGGTTCAAACGACTATCCGCTGTTGTTCTCAAGACTCACAATATTTTCTCTCGCTCTCTCTTTCCTGCTTTTTAGCCAAGTTTTTACCATCACTAAATCAAATTTTTCAAAAGGACATTTGTCCTTCTCTAAAAGATTTTCAACTTACAGGAACATCAGATATGGACTTTTCGTTCTTGAAGCGCTTTCATGATGAAAATGAGGATGAAGACGATTGGCATGCCGAAAACAATCAAGATAGAGATACTTTCGCTCTTGACAACTTTGATGACGACGTTGACTTTGGCAATCCAGAAGTGTACGATCCCGATAACACACGTGATCATGATATGGTATTAGAAGAACCGAAAGAGGAACCCCAGGATGATAACCGAATTATGGATGCATTTGGTGACTTGGATGATCAGATTGCAGCTCAGCGTGCAGGACCTGCATTTGACAACAACATTCTGGACACAGATGATCTTATGGTCAAGGGACACCCAGATATGTACTCATATTTTGACGCGGCTCTTTTGCGCAACTGGGCCGGTCCCGAACATTGGAAACTACGGCGCATTTCTAAAGGTAGATACTACTTTTATAATGATTTATTTCACATTAACAAATATTATATAGAGATGCCTGTATGGAGGCTGTCGTTCTCATATATTACTAATTTCTTTGATAGACAAAGCTGCTCCTTCAATTCCAGCCGAGGGAACTGTGCCTGGCGAAGAAGATGTGACAGCTGGCACAACCAAGAAACGGACAGGAAAAGTTCCATTGTTTATCAACTTTACAGATGCTCCGGAAGTAGATGAAGATGAACTATTTGCACCAGCAGATGCGTCTTCACTTTTGTTTACGCAGGCGAACGAAGCAGAGAACAGGAAGTCAAAGCATGTCCTCCCAGATGATATCCACTTTTCATCCAAGCAACTCTTGCGCATGTTTACGAAACCCAGCTTTATTGTAAGCTGCTCACTAGGAAAAAAAAAAAATTACTGTGTTCTGTCGATACCGAATACTTTTTATCTTCATTTATACTGAATAATCATCCCCAATAGATAAAATCCAAGACTCGGAGACATCAGTCTGGATATCTTCAAAACCCTGAACAAGAATCATGTAAGATACTGCATGATGGGATTGACCATTGCTGTTATTTCTAGACAAAGCACTCAACTCACTATCTTTTTTCTTTATTTTATTCCATTTATAGTTAACATTGTATTTCCAGATGAAGAGTTTTGGGCGTCACATACTAACAATGTGGAAGATAATGATGTCGCTGCACTAACAGATCAGTTGGATCAGACTCAGATTTATAACGACTACATTGAGGATGACGAGGATGATTATGGATTCCAAGAACAGGGCTTCTTTGCCAATGTAGGTGGCGACAATATCGGAATTGGTACTATGGGTGGAATAGGTCTTGGACTTGGGCTTGGACTTGATGGCGATGGTAATGACTATGCGAGTCAACTGGTCTCTCAACCCAAACGTGTCAAGGCGGCATTTATCAACTTCTCCAAGACTGCCAAGAAGGTAGACGTCAAAAAACTGAAGGACAATATTTGGAAGGAGATGACTCAACAAGCACTGAAACGACAGCCAGTAGGCGAGGATCTAGATAAAGGGAGGAGCAAGAAGAAGGCCAATGTAGAGAGTAGCATGGAAAATGGCACTGAGGCAGTAGAGAATATTGATGCAAGCATGGGAGATGAAGCCGAAGGCTATGTCAAGAAGGAACAACGATTCACGGAGATTATTGGTGGTCTGAACAAGATGTATCCAGAGCATAAGTTGAAGGAAATTTCAGTACCATTTTGCTTTATCTGCCTGTTACATCTTGCGAATGAGAAGAATTTATCTATTGAAGGTTCCGAGAACCTAGCGGAGCTGATAGTTAGGCAACCGTAAATGCAAAAACATAGGGTACATTTTGCATTTTATATTTCCATATCCAATCCATATCCACAACCCCATTCCCGTCCATATCCACATCCGCATCTTCATCTACCAATCTACAAGGGTACATTGAGCATTAGTTCATGTGTCCACCTTTTCCTTACTTGTCACTGTAAAAATAATTACGCTTTTATTATTTTATTTTTATTTCATATTTGACTATCATAACCTGTCTACCTGGCCAGAAGAGTCTCAGCTCCAATCATGTTGTGTTGCGTTGTATTTTTATTGATTGTATTACAAAAATGTGCATAAAAAAAAAGAAGGGCTGCGCCTGCCATCGAGTATTCTTCAAGCAGGTCTGTGCATCTTTTTTTGCCCCTGCTTTCAGAAGCTATTTCATCCCGCCTCCTTTCTTTCTTTCTTTCCTCTCCTTTTTACCTCTTGACCTTTAGAGACAAAGAATCCACTTTGCACCCATTTAACTCCACATACTTGGCAAGACTCTACAACAGCAGAAAAAGCTCTTCTCTAAAGCCCCCCCTTTTTTTTTTTTTTTTTTTTTTTTAGTATATATACTTGCTTCTTTCCTCTTCACCAAACTCACCTCAACGTCCAAAGCAAGCTCCACTATGGCAACTTCTCCATCCAAGTTGGCCCAGCAAGTGTCTTCGCCTGCTAACTCTGATAGACCAGACATAGTGGCAGCGCCAGTGGCAGAAGAAGCACTCAGAAACTTACTTACTCATCTCAATCTTGCTGAAGCAACAACAGCAACAGCATCTCCAGCTGCAGAAGCAGTGATATCATCACGCAAGAAGAATGATGATGAAGACACTACAAGCTGGACAAGTGACGATTTTGATTTGCTCAGCTCTGGTCGTTCTATCAGCAGTATTGATAGAAATCACAATAAACACAGTGATGAGGATTCATTCCAAGAAATTACATACGAAAGCGACGACTACTCAGATTGGAGTTCCGATAGCAATGGCTCGTCTGTTGCTACCCCTCGACAAGCTCGGCCTTTGTCACAGTCTCAATCTCAGTCTCAGTCACATTCACCCCAGTCTTCGCCAACGGGTCCTTCGTTCCCTTCACCTTCTGCACCACCTGCGTCAGAGCCATTAAATACTACTGATGCTGCTGCTGATAGCGATAGTGATGGTGATAGTGATGATGATGATGCGACCGATTCCATTACGGTTGTAGCAATGGTTTCTACAACTGCACCAGTAGTAGGATCCTCAAATGTGGCACTACTGCCGATAGTTACAAAGAAGGTTAACTGTGCGCGAAATTATTCACAACTTCAGTCAAAGAGCTCCAGACGTAATCGAAGCCACAAGAGAGATTGTCATGGCCGTAATGCTCCACCAGCACCAGTATCAGCCGCAACGGATAGGGATGTGGCTATTATTGAGCAAATTCCGAACTCATTATGGGTCAAAATCTGCTCGTACCTGTATCCATCTCAACTAGCGCGTCTTTCACAGGCAAACAAGATGCTATACAAGGTTGTGACGGGGCTTTCTTGTTGGACCCTGTGGTACAACAACAGGATGCATGGGCTACCAAAAGTCACAGTACAAAAAATTCCCGAATTAATGGCGTCACACAACTTTATGCTTTATATGTGCGTGCTAAGTCTACAATTGTGTGAACAATGCTTCCGCAAGTGCGACGGACGACGACAACCAGCTGGAATGACAGTAATGCCCTTGCCCGTAGCATGGCAGCCCTCCTCATTGCTACCTCCACAGTGTACACAAGATCGTAAACAACATGGTGATAAGGGACATCGGGAACAAGCGCAAGAAAAGCAGTGGACAATTCGACTCTGCTTAAATTGTCGTAAACAACATTTTGAGAAATATCCCGAACCACTCCCCGAGGCCCTTATGGTTGCTAAAGCAACGGTTTATAAAACAAAAAGGGAGATGAGGGCAGCATATCACCTTGGCCGACGGCAGTTTCAAAAGATTAAGGATCGAAAATCATCTGGAACAGCGAAGAATAGAGGAACACCACCTGTGTTATATTCAGAGGCTGAGATATTACGCAGAGCCCGTGAGATGCATGGTGGTGATGTTGGAGTCCAAGCGTTCGGTAACGACGTGTCAGGTCTGTGGGAGACGATGGTGCATCGTTGCGCCGAGTACCATCATCGACGAATGGAGGCGGAACAGGCTCTTAAAGAAGGCAGCAACGAAAAGTAAAAAGCTGGAGTGTGTTGAGGTCAGACAAGCTGACAAACTCAGCATGTTTTGCATAAGTCACAAAAGGTGAAAGTGAATAAAAAATGTTTCGCATCAGCACCAACGCAAGACATTAAGACGTAAAACTTACAAAATTTCTCGATCCTTAATCTGATCTTGTCATGATAATATGTATATCTTGCATTTCTATTTCTTTTTTTTTACGTCTTTCATCTTTCTTCTAATAGCTTGATCTTTTCTTTGAAGCACTCTTAATTTGTGGCCTAAATTCCTTTTGGGTAGAACTTTATTTCCTAATAATAACTTATTGCACATTACTTTCCTTTCACACAGCTCTTTCACAACCCATCAACCCCTTGACGCATTTCGCATTTTTCAAATCAAATAGGAAAAAAAAAAAAAAAAAAAAAAAAAAGCAACATTCCTTAATATCACGTAAAAATAATATAAACATTCCAATCCTTAAAGGAGCGAAAGAAAAACAACAAACAAACAAACAAAAAGATTGCGGTATGGACAGCAACGAAAAGAATGTAAAGATCGCGGAGTACCCTACTGCGACCGGTTATGATTTAGGGGGATCCAAGGAGCCCTTATCGCGTAAGATACTATGTAATTATCAGTTCTCATAGATTGAGCATGGTCGTTTAGGATCCTCATTCATCCCGTATTCTTTTGGTAAAATTGGCTGTTCCATAGCATTGAAAGAGGATTCAAATCAAGAAGACAATAATGAATATAATCAGAATTTGTTCCAACAAGGGAACACCAAGCAGCAGTAAGTTTGTCTAAAAAATTTTTTTTTTGTGTCTCATATTTCAAGTAATTATGAGACACTCAATTTCAATCCATTTCATGAATTAGTGGTGGCAAGGGCCTTACTGGGCGTTCTCCTTCCTCGTCCAAGGATAACTTGCCAAGTAGATCCATGAGGTGCGTGAGATTATATCTAAAAGTTGATTGTCTAGTCGATAACAAGGATTTGTTGAATGTTATATTTGAATATTTTTATGCTTATTGTATATATTTACGATAATGTTTGTATTTAGTGTTTATCATGGGTTGAGTGCTTCACTATTCGAACACGCACCAAAATTTGGCCAAGATAATGGAAGCGCCCCGGTTGCCATCCAGACCTTCCACGATAACAAAAGGTGTTACAACTTGGAGCAAAACACCACAAAACCTAACTCTACCTCTGCGAATACTTCTCGCAGTGTTACATCAATCCCCTCTCATACCGAGCACATTAAGCTGAAAAACGCTAGTGCTGTAACTGGTACATCCAAAAACCAGAGCCATGCCGCTCCTCAAAACACTCCCTCTGCCTCGTTTGAGCTCAGTTCTAGTGAAGCCTTAAAAACTAAGCTTTCGGGCCCTGCCCTTTCGTCTGAAAAGAAAAATCAGAATGGTCAAACTGCTGGCACTGCTGCTGTAACTACCACTTCTTGCCCTGCTGTTGCTCCTCAAGGCGGCAAACTGTCTCAGGAGGGTAGTGATAATGTCAATAGCCCTGACCTTCACCGTGGCAAAAAGCATCTGGACGAGGAAAAGAATAACGAACAACATTCTGCGGATCTACACCACACCAAGGCGGAAAAGCATTTCATGAGCAAAGGTTCCTATAACCATGACTCCCGTGATGGCAACAGCAATATGCCAAGCTCAACTACACATGATCACTCAAGGGCTGCTACTCAAAGCCATGAGACCCACCCTCAATCTCAACACTCTGAAAGAGACTTTTCAGAAGGAAGCATGGCTGCCCAAAGTGGCCTTGAGAAGCAGCAGGGCTTTGAGGACACCTACGCTGATGCCTCTCCATCGATCGATGTCAAGCGAGGTAAAGAAAGATACTATGACCATAGTGAGGATAAGGAGGTACAAGATGGACACCGCCACTATTATGAGTACAGTGGAAAGGATCTGGATGCTCCTATTGACGATGTTCATCCACCAAAGGCTATAACCCAACCTCAAGCTAGACCAGAGATTGAACCATCGGCCAGAAATAATGATCGTGAACGCCGCCCTTATGAACTCAAAGGAGAAGACCTGACTGATCCTGTCAACATTGAAGAGCTATCAAATCCTGAACAATTTAACGAAGCTGAATATCATGATGCAGAAAGACATCCTCTCCGCCGCAGCCGCAGCCAACAGCATCGACAGCCAAGCAATACTAGAGGCGTTGGAAGGTACAAGAGTGACTCTCACCTCCTAGCTCATGAAGCTATCCAGGGGCAAAGCCAAAAGTGTAATGAACAACAAGCATTCTCTACTACTTCTGAAGACGGCAGCAACTCCATGACGCGTCCTGACCCTGCTACTCCTACATCTACAAAGCCAAGGCAAATGTCACTTACAAGCCCCTCTAGATCTTCTAAGGGAGATGGCCACCACTACTCAGATATTGACACTATTCGTGGGCCTTATAGCGAGCAAACCGCTCACTCTAAAAGTGACCCAGCCCATTACAAAGGCGATCGTCGTAATCTAGACATCGAGACTATCTACAGGCCTCACCATAGTGAACAGCAACCTCCATCCGAGCGTGACTCTACTCATTTTAATGGAGATGGCCACCACTTAGATTTTGAAGCCATCTATGATTCCTATAGTAATCCCGACAAGGCAGATCGGGAAGTCGAGCAACCTTCCAACTACAACGAAAGTGGCAATCATCGCAATTTGGAAAATCAGCCCTTATGTGAGTCTTATCACGGCTCTAGTAGTGACCAAGGCACACTTCCAAGAACACATTCACCTGTCGTGGCTCCGCAACCTTCACTGCCTCCAAAAACGGCTGAAGTTCCAGCGGGCGCTGACTCCCAGAAAAAGAGTAAAGTTACTAAAAGGGCAACATGGAATGGAACCGAGGTGCCCAGCAAGGAGGCAAAAAAACCGAATGCTCCAAACCCTCTCTCTTTCGGGTTTGGATATAAGGACTACAAGAAGGCTGCAGTCCTTAATGCGAATAAAAAAGTCGATTCTACAACCTTGGCTGCTGCGAATGTCCCACTACCTTCTTCGCCTTCCTCATCCAGGGCAACGGACAGCGTGAACTGGGGAGCAGCTGGTGCTACGTTACCATCTTCACCTTCAGATCGATCCGGCTCTATATCTACTCAGTCACATAAACCTGCTGATATTCAAAGCAGCTCTTCGTACTACAGCTCTGCCGCCGACAAACAGCAAAGCCATCCTAGTTGGGCTCCTGAAATGCGCTCGTTCTCTCCCAGCCAAGACCGTCCTATTCATATACAGGAGACTTATCACGCTCCAGATACCAATCAGGGTCATCTTCATCAACACCATCACAACCACCATAATCCTATCCACAGCCGTAACCACAGCCAAAGCAGCCATATGAGAGAAAGCAACAGCTTCCGCTCAATTAGTGACACCAACAGAAATATTAGTGTTGGTAGTAGGCCGCAGGGTGGCCACTACCTAACACAACCCAATAGCTTCAGCCTTAGGAAGGTTTCAGTCTCAAAGATCCTAGGTCGCATACCTGCCAATATGAGTCGATCGCATGTGCCACCCTCCAAGACATCAAAGGGGTCATTTCCCGCAAAAGGACCTATATTTGAAAAGGCAGCACCAGTAGCTACTCCTCAGGCTATTTCTCATGACTATGCTCAGCCTACCATAGCGACTCCAACTCCAGTTCATCCTAGAGATGCCTCTCTGTCTACCAGTGCTCTGGGGACCACTACTGGTGAAGTCACGCCTAATACAGCGGGGACCGATGCTACCATTGCTTCTGACTCAGTAAAAAATGTGGAGGAAAGTAAATATATCCTTGACCGCAGCAACAACAAGGTTTACACCGGCGATCATCATACTCCAAATGGTGCTGCGCTCAGGCAAACCAAGGAGGACTTGACTCTATGCCCTGAGGAACAAGGCTCCTATCCAAGAGCAGACAGTCTGGATGAGCATGTGAACCCGGTCCGCCCTCATCTTGATGACAACCAACCCATTGTTGGTGTCGAAGAGGAAATCCAGTTGAACGAGAGCGAGATGCATGCACACCACGATGCTCACCCAAGTACTATAGAGAAGATCAAAGATGTCCTTGGTAGCCTGGTTCCTCAATCGGACGAGAATAAGACGCATACATACCACGATGCTCATTCAGACACACTGTACCCTGAAGAACAAAGTTCCTATCCAAGAGCGGACAATATGAGTGATATTCCAAACCCGGCCCGTCCCCATCTTGCTGATAACCAGCCCATTGTTGGTGCTCAAGGAGAAGTCGAGTTGGACGAGAGTAAGATGCATGCGCATCACGATGCTCATCCAAGCACAATAGAGAAGATTAAAAGCGTCCTTAGCAGTTTGATTCCCCAATCAGATGAGAGCAAGTCGCATACGCATCACGACGCCCCCTTGAGTACTCTATACCGTGAGAAACAACATTCCTATTCATTGGAGGACAGTCTAGATGTGGCCGCGGACTTTACTCGTTCTCGGCTTGATGATTATCAGCCGATTGTTGGCGTTGAAGAAGGAGCACAGTCGGATGAGAATAAAATTCATGCGCATCATGATGTCCACGCAGATACTCTGTACCCTGAGGAACAAAGTTCTTATCCAAGGATGGACAATGTAAATGAACGTTCAAACCCACCCCGTCCCCACCTTGATGACCGTCAACCTATTATTGGTGCTGAAAGAGAAATCCAGCTGGACGAGAGTGAGATGCATGCACGCCACGATGCCTATCCAAGTACCATAGGAAAGATTAAAGATGTCCTTACCAGTTTGGTCCCTCAGCTGGATGAGAGCAAGATACATGCGCAACACGATGCGCACCTAAGCACTCTGTACCGTGAAAACAATCTAGGTGAGCAAATGGACCCGGCCCATCTTCACATTAATGACCATCAACTTATTGTTGGCGCTGGAGACGTTCAATCAGATAAGGATAAGATGTGTACGCACCATGATACTTATTCAGGTACACTGTACCCTGAGGAACGAAGCTCTTATCCGAGGACGGACACTCTGGAGAGGCATGCGAACCCGGCTCGTCCTCATCTTGATGACAACCAACCTATTGTTGGTGCTGAAGGAGAAGTCCAATTAGACGAGACTGAGATGCATGCGCATCACGATGCTCATCCAAGCACAATAGAGAAGATTAAGGGCGTTTTTAGCGGCTTGATTCCTCAGTTGAATGAGAGTAAGACGCATGTGTACCACGACGCTCCCTTGGGCACTTTATACCGTGAGAAACAGGATTCCTATCCAATGGAGGATAATCTAGATGATATTGTGAGCCCGTTCCGCCCCCACCTTGATGACCATCAACCTATTGTTGAAGCTGAAGAAGCTTGGTTGGATGAGGACAAAATGCATGCGCATCACAGTGCTCATTCATGTACACTGTATCCTGAGGAACAAAGCTCCTATCCAAGGGCGGACACTCTGGATAGACAGGCGAATGCGGTCCGTCCTCATCTTGATGACAACCAACCCATTGTTGGCGCTGAAGAAGAAATTCAGCTGGACGAGAGCGAGATGCACGCACATCACGATGCTCATCCAACCACTTTAGGAAAGATCAAGGGTGCCCTGAGCAGCTTAATTCCCCAGTCGGATGAGAATAAAGCGCATGCGTATCATGGTTCTCATCCAAGCACTCTGTACCCTGAAGAACAAGGTTCCTATTCAAGAGTGGAAAATGTGGATGAGCGTACAAACCCGGCCCATCCCCATCTTGATGACAACCAACCCATTGTTGGTGTCGAGGAGGAAATCCAGTTGAACGAGAGCGAGATGCATGCACACCACGATGCTCACCCAAGTACTATAGAGAAGATCAAAGATGTCCTTGGTAGCCTGGTTCCTCAATCGGACGAGAATAAGACGCATACATACCACGATGCTCATTCAGACACACTGTACCCTGAAGAACAAAGTTCCTATCCAAGAGCGGACAATATGAGTGATATTCCAAATCCGGCCCGTCCCCATCTTGATGACGATCAACCCATTATTGGTGCTGAAGAAGAAATCCAGCTGAATGAGGCCGATATGCATGCGTATCATGATGCTCATCCAAGCACTATAGGAAAGATTAAAGGCGTCCTTAGCAACTTGGTCCCAATGTTTGGTAGTCAAAAGGACAACGATGGTGAGACCAAGGCCATGGATAAAGGCGAGGAGGAGAGGAGCGAGCTAAGATTGAAGGAAGAGGCAGCACCTACCACTGCTACCGATTTTTCTGAATCTGATATGCATTTAAATGGAGCAGCTGGAGTTGTGGAAGTCGCTGCGGCTTTAAGGGCGGCTACTACTGAAGAAGAACAAAAAGGTAACAGTTGCTACTTCGACTGATTTCTTTGATTTTTTTTTTTTTTTCAGTCTCTAAGATTTTTTTTTATTCTTCTTACTAGCCGCTAGAAAGGAGGAAGAGGTGTACTCAATCTCTGCAAATAAGCTTGAGCCTGTGCTCAAGGCGCCCACAAATGACACTATGACTACAGTGTTGATGATGAATAAGGCTAATTCAAGCCACCCATCAGATAATTCCATACAAAATACTGTCGTTCCGCCTATAGACGATGTTGATGACGAGGCTCTCATTAGGAGACCAAAGGCCAAACTTAAAACCGCTGAATATGCTTCAACAGAGGGTTCAGATAAAAGGCATCATCAACCCATCCCTAGCACTGCTGCTGCGCTGTCGGCTGCTACTGCTGCTATTGCTGCTGGCGCAGCTACGACTGCAGCAAGGGCCAAGGATGCTAGCAGCTACCAAAACATGGATGAAACCAGTATCACAGAACATCATGATGGAAATGATAACGACGACGACCAGATTATCACCCTGGTGACTATCAGTGATAATGATGCCTCGTCAACTTCCAAACAGGAAGACATTGATCGCCCTATTACCTCTTCTATGAGTGATAAGAGCTATGACAACGATCTCAGCCCTACTTTACACCCTAGAGAGATGGATGTTGCAGAGAAAAAGGCATACGATGGCGGCGCTTCTGAAGCGATGGCCGTGTCTCAACTCCTTGACGGCGATGATGAAGCCGTGGCTACAACCACCCAAGGAGATGGTGCCGTGATTGCAACTACAATAGATGATGAGGCCGCTATTACAACTACAGAAGACAAGGAGGTGACAGCTAAAGATGGTACTGTTGACGGAGATCATACAGTAAAGCGTGAAAATGATGATGACAACCATAAGGATGACGGGTATGCGACAACGACCAAGAGGACCAAGAAGACCAAGAACTATCTCAAAAACCTCAACCTCTCGGCTAGGGTCTCAAATATTGCGACTCCTGCTGCTGCCGCCGTCAATGATGCTGCAGTTTTATATAAACAACGACAGCCAACTCGCCAGAAACCCGAGCTGACGGTCAAGGAGAAGGATGTTGAAAAGCCCATGGTTCCCAAAGTCAGCCACCGATTGACCTTGACAGAGGACGATGTTGAAAAGCCTACGGTCCCTCATGTAGTCTATCTCTTGACTTTAACTGAGGATGATGTTGAAAAACCGGTGGTGCCTCAAGTAAGCTATGTACTTACCTTGACCGAAGACGATGTCGAAAAGCCTGTACCTTTCCTTTCTGCTCCACCAACCCTAAGTTTGACTGAAGAGGATGTGGAAAAACCAGATCCAACCAAGGAGCACTACAGGCATCCAGTCATTCCTGCAGTGCCATCCAAGCCTGTTTCCACATCAGCTATGAAGGTTGCGCGTGCACCTCAACCTATGATCCCTCCAGTGCCTCAGAGGGGTAAAGATCGATTGCCTCCCATGCCGGAGATTCATATGCCAAAAGTGAACATTGCTATGCCAAAGATGAACATTCCCAAGATGCAACGACATACTGGGGAGAAAAAGAATAGAAAAATGAAGTTCCCTCAAATTTCAATGTCCAAGATGCCTGCAGTCCATATGCCGACTATCATCAAGAAATCCAAGGTTTCACCACAAACAGCTATGACAGGCAAGAGTAAGGGTAAAGCCAAGGTGACTACGGAGTCTCTTGTGATCAGTGAGCCCATTATGGTAGTTGAGCTCGACAAAGCACCATTGCCAGTAACCGAACCTTCCCTTCCTCCTAAGACTGAGGTCCACATCGAGGAACTAGCTGAGATTCATCCTGCTGAAGACGACACTCCTTCCGAGGATGTTTTAAAGTCTATAACTGTTAGTGTTCCTCCATCCCCACTGCTAGTAGCACTCGCTGTGGGAGCACCCAAGCCTGCGAACGAAGCTATCGTGCTGTCAGAGTTTCCCGTCCCGGTACATGCGCCTATAGCAAAAAGGCCTGTTATTGTAGACGTAACAACTATTGCTGCTACAGTCCCCGACATTATAGTGAGGACAGAGACCCCATCGCCCTCAATTCCAGTAGTAGAGTCGCAAATTCCACTCCCTCCAAGCCCCCCACCCGCTCCACCTGCTCTAGCGGCAAACCCTCCAACTCCTCCGCCTCTTCCACCTGTTCTAGCGACCAATCCTCCGCCTCCTCCGCCTCCTCCACCTATTTTAGCAACTAATCCCCCAACCCCCCCACCCCTTCCACCTGTTCTAGCGGCGAATCCTCCAACTCCTCCGCCTCTTCCGCCTGTTCTAGCGACTAAACCTCCAACCCCTCCACCTCCTCCACCTATTTTAGCAACTAATCCCCCAACTCCTCCGCCTTTTCCACCTGTTCTAGCAGCTAAACCCCCAACTCCTCCACCTCCTCCACCTGCTTCCGCAGTTAAACTCCCAACTCCTTCTCCTGCACCTTCAACTGCGGCAGTAAGTCCAATCCCAGCCCCTGCCTCGACTCCAAGTCCGGTTACAGCACCTCCGACTGTCACAACCAACTCTTCGTTTCAACCAAATGATGATGTCCCAGGAGTAGACCGTCCCAGTTCATTGGTCTTGACCAAAAAGATACAAACCACACATTATTACTATGACTCTGAAAAACAAGAAGAAGAGGACTTGGATGAATTTGGATATCGCAAGGATCGTGATGTTAGTCGCTATATTGATCCAGAAGTGTTGAGCAGGAAAGGAAGTAAGGGCAGTAGTCGAGACAAGAATAGAGGTTCAAGGTATTCAGCGGATGTAGGTCGTACGGATTACCACAATCAAAACCATACACAACCACACGGATTCCATGGACAAACCACACAGTTGCAGAATGATTACCAGTATCAGGCTTCACAACAGCCAAATCAGCTGCACCGACTGCACCAATATCCAGTAGACACGAAGCGCCGTAGCATAGCGTTTGTTGGAAACGATGGAGGTTACAACACTCAACCGCGCACAGAGGATGGGCAACAACACCAACAATCTTATCAAATTGACGTCGGAAGTCATAAACCTAACATTGGATATGATAGAGGATATAATACTCAACCACATAAAGAATCCCAGCAAGCGTATCGACAACAAGAGCATCAACAGCAATATCAACAAGATGGAATGATTGTAGGAAATAACGGTGGATATAACCCACAGCCTCGCAAGGGTCGTTTTTAATTACATTTAAAAAATAAAAATAAAAAAAAAAAAAAAGGAAACTCCATATTGAAAAGCAATATAGCCATTACCATTTTACTTCTAATCAATTAATCAAATAAAGTATACATTAATACTTATATACATTCTTTTTTTATTAACATTATTTTCTCTTTTTATACATGCTGTTCACTGATTCTCTTCTATTATCCTTTTAAGCAAAAGACGCGGTCGCTGATGGTAGTGATGGCACCATCCCTACCAAGTGTTGTTGACCCATGGATACATCATTGTGACTAGACCCATTCTCAGTTTGGATGCTGTTCTTCTGCTTTTCGGTCTCATTTGTAGCTGCCACAATCGCAAACATGGGACTTAGTTGGATCTCAGGCGAGGACATGATCCTAGAAGTCCGAGGCGAAGGCACAAAGAGCTCTCCTGCACCATTAGATGGCGATGAAGATGGTATCCATTCACCTGATGCAAAAAGTTGTTTTGGGTTTCCAGGATGCGTCCTTGTTGGAGTGGAGGGCATGGGGGCTGATGCTGCTAATGTCGTAGGGGCTGGCGCTGCCCCATTAGAGTTGACACTGGTTGTTGAAGGAGAGGATGCGCCCGAAGAGGCGAATCCACCCGAAGCAGAGTTTGATCTGACGACCTGATCAAACCGCATCGAATGTCGTTTCTTCCGTTCAGGTACGTCCCATTCTGAAGGCAAGCCCGTGAATGAATCCTGTCTGCCATGATGTCCTGGTCGTGTTCCCGATGAGGGCATGGGTGAAGAAGGTTGAGAAATGGAGACGGACGATGATGATGAAGTGTTTGTTACCGCTGACGAGGCTATACCAGTATTACCACCACTGACAGAACCTCTATTGCCATTCTTTAGAGCCTTGAATGGATTCAAATCTTCAAAGACCTGGTCAATTTTTGAACTTCCTGTCGACCACCGAGCAGAATGTCCATCGTTGTTATTGCTACTGAAAGCTGAGCTTCGAGGGATGTCGCCAAGTTTATCAGCTTGCTCATCACGGAATGAGAATTGTGCTGCTGTGGACGATGGTGATGCTTGCTGGCTAGCACCGATCAAGTGAGCTTTAAATTGACTAGGTGACATGATGCCTGGTGATGATGAGAACCGAGCTGATTCTTGACGTGTCCGTGCTGTGACTGTATCAATTCGCGGTCGAGGCTGTTGTTGTTTCTCCATATCCACTCTTGATTTCTTTTCATGCATAGCCAGTGAATTGAGTGATGACTGCAACATACTCTGGCGCTTACGTTCCCGAGCATCATGCCCATTTTCGTGTCCATCGTCCTCAGAATCATTTAAATCTATAGTTGTATCCACGAGTACATGGGTCGACGCTTCGTTCAGGTCTGCAAACAATAAGGACCTTTGATGACCAGCTGTTGCCAAGGGGATGGATCCGGCTCCATCAAAGGCTTCGTTAATCGATCGTGTTTCCTTGGGCGTCCTGAACGGATCCGTCTGACAACTCGATTTGCTTGCAAAACTCATGCCTCTGGCTCGCCTTGATGATCCGGCTACGCTCTCCATCCCATCTATGGTTGATGAGATCTCGCTCGAGATATCGTCTGCATCCAGGATGCCGCGTTGGCTGCCGTACATCGAGGGCGTATCATTATCAATATCCAATCCTACAGCGCCAAGTTGATTCTGTCTCTTATTTGATTTGTTTTTCTTGAGCGAGAGTCTACTGTTCCTTGTGGCTTTATTACCCCCTTTACCGCTCTTGATCCGCTGCCCCATCTCATGTGAATCCTCCTCTTCGTCATCGTAGACAGAATCAAGTGGGGACATTTGGTCGCCTGAAGGAGGCTGCTCTGGCTTGGGTGCGCTCAACATACGGACGCCATAGATAAGCACGGCAATACCGACTAGGACCAACAGGAGGACCCATGGTTCATAATCTCCGAGCTGATCAAGATAAATGGTTGAGTTGATCAATCCAAATGCAGTATAGAATCCATAAAATGTAGGTACGACCAGTACAGAGTCATAGAGTTTTAGTCCTGTGTTCAAGCAGTAGACCTTGTATTGTATGGAAAGGAGGAGGAAAAGAAACCATTAGTTGTGGGGGAAGCATTCGAGTGAAAAGTTTGTCGATTATAGATCATATTCAGTCCTCGCTTACCTGGAGAATCGCAGTAAAGACCAAGACAAAAAGGATAAAGAAACTCAGGTAGTCCGTGAACTGGTTATTGCCTGCCAAGGTCGAAGTAATCAGTTTAACACCACTTTTTGCTAATAGCAGAGTTTCACTCGCCAACAATCCACCACAAGAAGACATGATCATGGCCACCACTTTCTTGAGTCTCTGATCCCTTGCTTCAGCCTCGAGGCCTTCGTCTCCTTCCAATGTCAAGCCAGAAGCTCTTGCGAAACGATTTGTACCCAGTAGCTTTGTAAGCTTGGTCTTCATATTCTTTCGTAGCTGACCAGATTCGTCGTCCAAAGAGATGGCCCAGTATGCATACATGCCCAGAGCCAGGAATGCAAAGATGATCGTGTTCAGGACTGAGAAATAGATGACGAAAACAATTCTGGAAAACAAGTCTTTTAAATCTGCAAGGGTCATCTTTTCCTCAATATCACTTGCCGAGTTCATTGCTCCAAAGACGACAATCCAAACCACAGAGATCATGACAACAATTGTGCCATACACATCCTTGCGTGTGATTTGTGTCCCTACCAGGATCTTTGCAAAAATAAAGTTGAAGATCAATGCGATTGAACCAAGTGGAGCGACCCACTGTGTCTTGAGAAAGTCTATATAAAAAATAAAAAGAGAAAATAAAAAAGGGTACTGTTGTCAATAATGTGAGAGCTATTTGGATTAATTTTAATCACACCGAATTATTTTATGAGAGAAACTTACTAAGTGCAATGGTACTTCCAGCAAGTTGGCTAATGATGTAGAGATATAAACCAACGTGCCACATAGGTCGACCACATTCGTTCCGTTGTCGCTCTGTAGACAGAGCACTGTTTTTGACGTGGTCCAGCTTCAATAGGTTAAGGCCTGCGGCGTTCATGACCGAAGCAATCAGCGATACCCCAAAGCCGATCACAAAGTCAAAAAACTCGCTGCCTGTAACTGCCATGATGAATTATGTTGTCAAGGTGGATAGAGAATGTGGAGAGTCAAAGAGAATAAGAGAAAAAAAAAGGAGGGAGGCGGCAGAGTAGGAAGGTGTGGAATCACAAGTTGCGCAAGAAAGCTGAAGCCTTTTGTTTTCCAGTTCCAGTCTCACCAGAGCAACGAATAGCTCAATGGATATGGAGAGGAAAGAGACCTCTTTGGAAGAATATCTCAGAATCAAGTGTAGAAAAGAAAGAAAGTAAAGGGAGTGTAGAGGGATATGAGATGAAAAAAAATGAGATGAATGTGTGGAAACGGAAAGGGAAAGGGAGAAGGAAAGGGAAAGGGAAAGGGAAAGGGAAAGGGAAAGGGAAAGTGAGGAGAAGAGAAAGCAAAAAGAGGAAAAACTTAAGCTGCAAAAGCCTTTTGTTTTCTTCGATGTTGGCTTTCTCGGAAAGAGTTTAGATACAAATGATACTAAAGTCGATTAGAAGCGGAGAGGTAAGGGAAACAATTGAAACAAGTGTAAATGAAAAAAAAAAAAAAAAAAAAAAAAAAAAAGGAGAAGAATGGTGTAGACTGCAAGCTGGATGGAATGGAGATGCTTTTTTGAATGGATGTAGATGGAAAGTAACGTGTCGTAATGTATGTTTTTATGATATATATATAAAAAGAAGATATGATTGATATTGTTGATATGGTTACAAGAATATTAAAAAAAAAAAAAATAAATAAATAAAAAAAATAAAAAAATAAAAGAACAATGAATGGAATGGAATTGTATGCCAACAAATAAACAGAATGATGAAAATGATGTACAGGATGGAGAGGATGCACAAAGGATGAAAGGGATGGAGAAATAGAAAAGAAACTTTCTGTGTGCACAGTGACTGTTCCAGAAATTGGTTTTTTACTTTTCTTTTTATCCCATGCAACCATGCAATTAATTGTCAATGTCTGCATGAACGAACGATTTGTGTGGCTGTTGCTGTTGCTGTTGCGGTTGTTATTGCGGTTGCGGTTGCTGTTGCTGTTGCTGTTGTTGTTGTTGTGTAAAAAAAAGAAAAAAAAAAAGAAAAAAGGTGTTCATCTTGTCTCGGACCAGAGTTTCTTGGATTGTGCAAGACCATACTTTAAAGACTCTGTCTCATCGTTATTATTTCTCCTCAATGTCTCCGAGTTGCCAGGGCTAAAAATACGCTGTGTGCATCCATGTTATCCAAATCACAAGTGTAACAAAAAGTTGACTTCAATCACCCAAAAAGATCAATCCCCCAGGAAAATATTTTCTTCCTTCCCGCTGGGATGTACCCAACTAATTTAATTTGATGCGTGCTATGCTCCAATGTTCTTATCCAATGTTTGTTTGCTTGAATTGTGCCACATGGGATAAATTACCAATTTATTAAAAGACAAAAGCGATATCAGACGTCAGCAAGGGGTGTGATATCCTTGTGATGAAGCACAGCTTAAATACTGCAACATGAAGATATTGGTGGCGCTGAAAGAACAGGGACGTAACCTCTTATTGCACACTGGAATGTTGCAAATGTCATTTCAGAGGCTAACCATGGAGGACGGCGAGGCTTCTTTCCTCTCCATTGCTCATCTTTTCTTCCTCCCTTTTAATCTCTCTTTGGTCGCTCATGCTTATTATAAAGACCATTGACTATCGCCACCATTTACGTGAAAACTGGCGAAGCACAACAAATACAAGAGAGAGAGAAGAAACAGATGAACCCTTTTTTCTTTATATTTATATACAAATAATTTTATTTTCTGAACACCACCCATGGTCTCCGATGAGACATCTCTCGCTCAAATTCATCCATATTATCACCGGCCACTTCGATCTCGACCAGTCTAGGCCAGTTTTCCTCTATCCAGGCGGCCTCCTTCGCATCCCACTTGCAGGTAAAAGGCTCAGGAATGTATTCAACTTCTCTGAGTTGCTTCAGTCTATGCAAACGATCCAAATAACCGCCATTTGCTGCTACTGAAAAAATATCTCTTAGGTTTGTACCAGAAGTCCTAATGTTCAACACTTTCATCAACTGGAGTTTGCCAATCTCTGAGAATAAATAATCAAGACTTCTTTCTGCTTGTGGTGTCATCCATGAGCTGGATTCGTAGTCTTCACATTCGTACTCTTGAGCACAAATGGTCAGCTCCAGCTTACATAAGTCTAAACATGCCCACGGCCTGAAATCCAAGGATGGGAAAGACGTTTGACCTGGAATGGATAAAGTGGATCCATCTTCATGCTTGTTGGTGCAATCTTTGTCATTGTCAATGTTGTCATCCATATTTTTATGAAGATACACATTAATGTCGAGCTTGACGTCGAGAATGTGGAGCTTTAAAAGTCCACACACGAGCATTGAGAATACACTCATCGATAACAGGCCTTTATGTGCGAATCTAGTGAGCGTTTGTGAGTGATGCTGCAACAACGTGGCTGCTAACAGAGGTGAAAATGGTGAGGCCGCTTCAGTCACAAGTGTTTCAAGGCCTCCACTTCCATTTCCATTCCCACTACTGTGAAGATGTCCTCTGCCACTACTGGTGTCGTTGTTTGGGTGCTTGTCAATATAGTGCTCAATCTTACTGTGATATTCTATTTTCCCTGCGCCTGCGATCTGGAGCAGCTCAAGCAGCATTCTTTCGGTTTCAGTAATCCCTGACTCGGAACAGAATTCTACATACAGGCGGCATAGTCGTGGATAATAATTTGACTTCATAAGCTGAACAAGTCTCTGACACTTTTCATCACTCGCTGTAAAACTCTCTAAATGCAACTCCTCTAAATCAGGACATTTCCCTAACAGTGAGGTCAAATATGCTTGAGCTGAATACTCTAGAAAATCAATCTTCAATGACCGGATCTTGGTGATGGGCATCTGTTCCTGGATAGTGATCTCGAGTGCATCGAGGGCTGGGATATTCCTAGCCTGTGGTCGATTTAGTACCAGCCTGAAATCAACGATCTGGCATCGAGAGCAAACTATGATGAAAAGCTGCTGGACTCTCTGCACAGAGTAAGCTCGCCCATGCAACATAAAGTCTCGAAGGTTGGGTAATGAAGATGGGTTACTGAGAATGCTTGCCAAAAGATCCTGTGCCTTGTCATCATCTCCATCCAGATACTCTAGCCATAATGTGTCGATAGACCTTAATGTCCCTATGAACGCTAAACTCTCTGCTGGATCCAGCCCTGCGTTGAAAACATTACGGTAGTACATCCTCCGAAGATTAGGAAATTCATGTCGATCAGAAGCAGAGGTGGAAACCAGCCCACTGGCATCAAAGTTGTTGAGGTTAAGGAACTTGACGTGCTGTCGATAGCGCAAAAGGCTTTTAGCCTGCGCCTCAAGAGTCTTAGCATCGAATCGGTAGTTAGTTATATTGGGACTAGACCATAGGGGGGGTGTAAAGTACAGAGACCAGTCCTTGGAAACTCGTACACATCGTGCAAGATCACGCCGAGGCAGGTATTGCGAAATACAATCCCGAATATGCGGAATATCAAGAGGTGAGGTTTGCATGTTGGAGATCGGAAAGTGGGGGGTAGAAAGAAAAGTGTAAAAAGAGAGAAAGAGAGAAAGAATGGAAGAATGGAGGAGATGGGCGTCAGCCCTGTGAAAGTTCAATTCCAGTGAGCCCCACAATGGTTTTATAGTGATGGGCCAAAAATAAGGTTTATTTCTCCGTGGAGGCCAATGCATTCATTAGGACATAAAATAATGCCCGTGCATGCTTTTTTTATTTTTTTTTTATTTTATGTGATATGCGATAGGAGCAAGGTCTAAAGCAGATAAAGCTTGACATCGCTACCATCATGATTTCAGATATGCATCTCTTTTACGGCATTCTTACCATTACTTCTCAATCTGATTTCAATTGACCTTGACAGATGCTTCTCTATCCCCATGGAAGCACTAAACTCTTAGGACTATAATGAAGCTATTTTTTTTGATATTTTGTCCTATGCGACTGAACAAGGTAGATACCATCCTCAGTACCAAGATGTCCCTCATACGAGTGGACAAATGTTCGAATATTATCAATTGTGCAAGCTTTGCGATGTGTGAAAACATATACTATGTCTACCTCCTGCCCCTCTTTTTACATGTACTGTCATACCAATATTACTTTCCGCTTATTTTATGCTCTTGTAATCTCTGGCATGAATGTCCAAATTTGGCACTTTGAGACTTTGGCACATTCACGGTCTAGAATCTATGGGCCCAGAAAGAGCTGAATCTGAGATGTTGGCGGAGCTTTGGCCCTCACTAATGTTGTCACCACCAAAGAGCAAACTGCTGTTGACTCAGAAGTGACAGGGGCCGTGAGTCCGTCCATCAGAAGTGAAGAAGGGCCCATTGAAAATGCTGTGCGTTGACGAATATGGGTAATATATCAAGGAGGTACCTAAAAGAGAGGGATGGGTATATTACCCAAAGTACGTGTACATGTACATGCTACTCTGTCCCTATCATTTAGACGATTGTTGATGCTGTTGCTACTGTTATTTACGATGCCGCCTCTAATACTATTGTCGTTGCTGGTCGCTACTGCCATCGCCAGTAGCTCTCTCTCAACCTCAACTTACTGCTCCACTGGAGGATGTGATCGGTCACACAAATGACTTGTAAAATTGGTAATCTTTTCATTATACTAAGAATCGTGTGCAGACACTTCAGTCACCGACAATTTCTTAGAGCTTGATCGAGTTTCCAGCAAAGTTTACTACTCATAATTCGTCCAATTCATGGCATTTCTTGCAAGTTGGGATAGACGCACTTGTCGGAGAAGCGATCCATACCAATAGCGTTATAGGAACGCCCGAGGATCGTTACATTGCTATGATGTCGTAAGAGTTAGTGTCTACTCTCTGATATGCTATTCCAGGATGGCATAAGAGTACGGGTTTGAGGTAGAGAGATCATTCTTTGTGAGTTCGAACAGCCTCTATTAGTCTATCAAGGGACAAATATTGCGAGATGCTGTTTTGGACAAGCGATATGCCGAAGAAGGCTTGAATGCTTGGGGATGAAAGTGAAAGATTGAAAAGAAAAAAAAAAAAAAAAAAAAAAAAAAAAAGGGGTATGGCTGCGTCCCATAACAAAGTACATTACATGTAGGGCTTAAATGAAAGACGGTTTGTCTGTTGTGAGAAGCTTACTATCAAGAATGACAGGAAGTCCATCTTCATGTCTACTGAAAACATGATAGTGGTTGGTTTTCCTTCTTTCGGTCTTATTCTGAAGTATTTAGGGTTTTCCTGGCATCGTTGGACTAACGACAGTATTTTGGAGGGAAGAATCCAGTGTAACATGCAGTAAAGTGTTCATGTGCCGCCGTCATAAGTCTTTCCCCTTTTTTGCGATTATGATATGAAGCTGAGGCAGACCCCAAAAGGTGACCACATAATCCAACATGCTTTAAATGCTTGTTGACATGTATTTCAGTGCAGATGGGATAATTGATGTTATATTTATCCAATATAAACATGCATGCAAAATAGAAACTCAAAATGATGCAACCTTGCACTTCTGTCAAATAAAAACTCCTCTTTGGTTCTCTTTAGTCCATCTGGTCTCGTCATTCATTTCTATTTTGATCTTGTTTCTCTGATTCTCTCTCTCTCTCTCTCTCTCTCTCTCTCTCTTTTTTTTTTTTTTTTTTTTTTTTTGATTGTCTCCATTAACAATTCATTCAACACATTAACTGCAATCCAGATCGAGGATCTGCAGCTAACTTTGACTCAATGTTCAAACATGTCTACCCTCCTTGGCACAAGCCTGTGCAGCGATGTCTTTTTGTGATCGCTGCTGTCCTCTGCATTACTCTTCCTGTAGCTTATGGCAAACACCATAGCATCTCCTCAAAGACTCTCGGCGCTGTCCTCGGCGTCTTCTTTGGCCTTTGGCTTATTTTTTCTGTATGGAAGAGCACAGATAATTAGGATCATTATAATCTGAATTCCTATCCAATACTTAAACTAACCGGTTTCTTTTTTCTTCTTTTTCTCACCCTTGTCTGGAGAGAATAGCTCATTGCCCGATTCTTGATTCCTTCACCTGTGGTTGAGTCCAGCTTACCTATTTATACTCACTCACCAATACGTACACCCGTCGTCCTTCACTCTCCCAATCGCTCAGACGCACAACCTGCGGCACCTGCTATTCGGCTTCATCCTCCTCCTTCCAGTGATGCATCCCTGTCACCATCACTACCACCTATTCCCTCTGCTGTGGTCAAAGGACCACGATTTACACTCCCTGAAAGCACCTCTACAGATGATTCTTCAAACTCCTTGATGCCTTCTCGAGCACAACACAACGTCACCTTTCAGACTCGACCAAGGGGTAACACAGCGGATTCGACTAACTCACAAGTTTACCCAACATTCGCAGTCTATCGTCAGGCTCAGCATGGCAACTTTGAAGCCTTCGCTCAGCGTGTGAAGAGAGCCTTTGCAGTATCACAAGCACAACAGCAGCTGCTTAAAGAAGACGAAGATCGCCGCCAACAATTGGAGCTAGAGCACCGAAAAGAATTACAACAGGATCATGGGCTGCAAGCGAGACCTAGCAATACCAGAACGCGTTCATCCTCCAGCATACTCAACCCTTTCCCATCTTCCGCCACAACAGGATCATCGAACAATAAGAACAACATCAACGCCACCGGTACCAGATCACGTTCAGCGTCAGCGGCTAGTATGATTGGCGATATTGCGGAAAAGATAAAAAACGGATCATTTTTTAGACGACCTACTATCATTCCGTTGGCTACTAATGCAGCAACAGCAATGGCCTCCCATGAAGGAGATAGTTCTGTGAGCCCTGACAAAAAGAGGAATGACAATAATTTAAAAATATGTGAGCCATCTGAAGTTGAAGCGATTGGCGAATCCGGAAGTTCGTCAATGATTGAGATCAAAGCCACATCCTCGGAAGAAAATCACCCGCAGACCGGCAGTGACCCCGACAGAGTGAGGTGTCGTTCAAACGAGCAGGAAGCCGACAGCGATGCTATAGATACCAAAGTTTAACGATAGTCATTTCAATTGATGACATCCAAGCAAATCATTCCAATTATTAATACATCTGGAGTGATTTTCGACACCCCGATTACTCTCACTTCCTTACCATATGCCTCTACCACTAATATCGTTTTAGAATTTTACCTTTGTATAGTATATATAGTGATATTTTTAATATAAACCTTCCTATTCTCCCAATCTCTTTCAAAGACTCAACAATAAAAAAATTCTAATAGTTGATTGGAATGAATGGCGCGATTTAGGTATTTGGACCCTCGGTCCCGCTTCAATATGACGAAACTGTCAGGAGCTTAGTGGATGTTAAAGTATGGGAAGATCTGCAGCCCAAACACAAGATCGCTAAGAAGCCTTGAAATGTACTTAATTCCATGTAAGAAGAACTAGACCTTTTTTTTTTTTTTTTTTTTTTGCTTTACCACAAAGACTTGAATAAAATAATCGTCCTGATGAGTGTAACAATCGGAGATGCTGATTAACTCACAGAATCCACTTTCTTTACAGCACCGGGTAGTGTTGCCCAAATGGATGCTGGAAAAGCTTGGATCAAAAAGCGCTAGTATCTCTTCAGGATTCGGAATGAACGAGCGTGCTGTTTTCGATAATTCGTATCGTAACTGCAAAGAGCTGAAGCCAAAGGATTTTATGCTGTCCAACAACTATCACGAGCTTATTCCAGGATTCGTGGCTGAGGTTGCCAACATCTTGGAGTCGTCAAAACCGATTTATGCGTCACTCAACAAGATATGTGTGTATGAGACCCATGGGTTCTTCAAGGAGCATGTTGACACTCCTCGGTCCAACATCTTTGCATCTCTTGTTGTATGCTTGCCTACTGGCTATGAAGGAGGCATGCTTGTTGTGGAGAACAGCGCCTATGATCTATCATCTACGACGGCGGTCAAGTGGTGTGCATTCTATCCGGACTGTAAGCACAGGATTGATGAAGTCACCAAAGGCTTCCGAGTGACATTGACTTATGACTTGTTGTACCTCGATCTCCCTGAGCCGGCTCCATACCATGATCAGCTGTATACAACTCTCGAAAAAGCAATGCTTAAGCTCCACGCAAGGCATCCAGGACATGTCATTGGAATAGGTCTAGCCAACAAATATCCAACACCTAGCCAACAAAACTCAGGCCATAAGGTCAAGCCAATTCTGAAGGGACGGGATCTTAAAGTTGTAACGATCCTACATAGCTTTGGGTACACTACAGACATCAAGGCTGTGTTTAAAGTTAATGCACGCAATATATCAAACTATGATGGTGTGGAAAGTGATGCGTTTCCAGAAGACATATATCAAGTGAGCGAGTTGACAGAAGAAGAGCAGGAGAATGGAGAGGAAATTCATGTATTATCAGATGTTTGGGATGGTTGGATTCGAAAGTTTAGTGAGGAATACGAGTGTGCAATTGACAAGCTCTACAAATATAGCGGAAGATGTATCGGGAACCTAGTTTGGTTATCCAAGCCAAAACTGTGGCATGCAGGGCCGCCATATATTGCATATGGCAATGAAGCAAGCTTGGGATTTGTGTACAGGGATGGATGTATTCTTGCTTACAAGCAAGATGAGACGAGTGGCCTTAGTTCCTAGGTATCTGATATAACCGAGACTTGTCCATCATTACCATTAGCAACAATTAGATATCACTCAGTTATTGCACCCCAAAAACCCCAATAAACATACTTTACACTTTTGTTCATTCCCTGGGCTCGCTGAGTATACTTGAACGATCTGATAGGCTTGTTCCCAATCACCTTCACTTATTAAATTGACAGTGAAGGGATTGGGAAAAAAATTGATTTAAAAGCTGATCGCTCATAAAGTAAATCCTTGATGTACCTGTCACAAGAGCCTTAATGCTGCCTAATACGATTGACTGATGCAAGGAACGGGAATGTCTTTGTTTTCTTGACTTGATGGCTCTATTGGAGGAATCTGGGTCGAGCAGCCTGTCAGGGGCTTATGCTTAGTACAAGGTAAGGTGGCCTTTTCTGAGTAAGGCGAGTGAGTATGCAATGGAAAGGGCAAGAGGGCACAAGAGTAGAGTACAAGGAAAACTAGGGTGTTTATTCAGGATACTTGGCAAAAAGCTATCTTAAAATCGAGAACGGGCATTAAGAACTTCTGGGCGGACCTTCTTGGGTAAATTCGTTGTTAAAATCCTAGGAGTTGAATAGCTCATTGTGTGCGACACTGACAGACCACACATAATGAGAAAATTTACCACTCTTCGGATATACCGAAGCTTACAGATATCATTTGCAAGTAGTTCGTCTTCTGGGAACAGGATTTCACTGGCATGCTGTCAATGGCGACAAAGATTGCTGGCGCGTCTTGTGTGGATTTAGGATTGATTCGTGCCAAGTTGCCAATGCTCTTGGAGAAGAGAGATGCTTCTTTTCAGAGCCATTGGAACAGGACCTGCTTGTTGTTGCTCGGCGCCAAGGGGTTAATAGGACGAGCCGGTTGGCTGGCAACTGCTCTATTTCCCAACACGAGGCACTTACGTTCGTCCTGAGGGCGCTGGGACAGGTATTCCCGTCGTTCCTAACGGGGTCCTCTGCCAATCTATGGTGCTAGAGATAAGAGCTATGAAGAGGGACTTGGAAGGTTGGTGTGAGCTTCAGAGCACTTTGCTATTTGGCACTGGTATTGGCAATAGGATGGAGCTTTTGTCTTTCTTTTTTACTAAATAGGTAGCGCAGTGCTACAAACGCCGAGGGAAGTTTACCGGGTGCCATCACGATTAAGTGAGGTCAAGAAGTGAAGAGAGAGGCTAACAATTATCACAACAGACCTGTCTCCAGTCATATAATCAAAAGTAAATTAAGATTTTTTTTTTACGATACTCCAGTAAGCATCTTCGTGGCCAAGTAAGTGAAGAGGAGTGGAGCACTAATTTTTGTCCAAGAAACAAACTCTAAAATCAGATGATCACGTGGAGATCAGAAAGAGTTTGCATGTTTTCACGACAATCCTCATCCCAACATTGGTCCTTATCGCCAAATGGTTTCCAACATTTTTAACATTCCTGAACTTGCTAGCTTAGTAGCGCTGCATCTGTCACTGTGCGACTTGGTTCAATTGATGCTCACTTGTAAAGCGTTTGCTTCTGTGCTGGAACCGCACCTATTTTCCAAAGCAACCATCAGACCCGAACGTTTAGAACATGATTTTCTTTTTCGGAACCTTCATCGCTTTCGATCCATGAAGATTCGTGATTTAGAAACTCTTAATCTCGGCTTGGCCCCGTTCGATGCGTCTGAATATCCAGGAGCTGCCGAGGCTTCACTGTCGTCATCGTCGTCGTCTAAACTTCAAGCTGAGTTAGGGGCAATGGTATCTCTAAAACGCTCTACATCCCCCCTCAATCTTTATAGCCTTCTAGTCTCTTCTAAGAACCTAACTGTCCCGGCAGCCAAGCAACTCCTCACGATCCTTCATCATTGTTCACAGCTTGCAGCTCTCCAGCTCGATGTCGGATGCATACCGAACATCGATTTATGGGGTCGTCAAAAACTTTTGGATCTCATCTTTTCGCCCTTGCCATGCCTTCAAAGACTCGACCTGCGGAAGTTCCATATCACTCAAAAAATATTACTTCGGTTCTTGAAGGCTATCCTGACTCATCCTCAACTAACAGAGGTGGAGTGTAGCCATATTTATGTTAGAGGCGCTACTTATCCAAGGTCGGCTCGCTATTCAGATGACTTTACATCGCTTTTGGACTCTTTGATCAGAACCGCCGACCAGGATATAGAGGATCGCCCCAACAGGAGCATTGCCAGCAAAATTAGTGGAAATAGTAGTAGCAACAATAACAATACCAACAGCAGCTACAGAAACCCTAACTTTGTCTCTAATATTAAGGCGTTGGCATTGCCATTTCATGCTGATGGTTATCCAGATTTATTCCTCGCTCGCCTCTTTAAAACATTTTTGCCTAATTTGGAACGATTTCGCGTTCCGAGAATATTCGAGGAACATTACAATCAGGACACCTTTCCAGATGATATTTTCCCAAAATTACAGCATCTAGAATGTTCCTTATTCACACGAGACGCTTATGATGATAGGGCAGCACTTGCTATGATCAAAGCATGTTCATCTGGGTCTCTCAAGAAGTTTTCGGGACAATTTTTCGATGATGAAAATTATTTTTGCGAGGACAGAGGTGTATTTTCGAAGCTGATTAAGCAACATGCAGAATCGCTTGAGGAGATTGAACTGGAAGACTGTGAAGTGGTTCACAGTAAGGATCTTCAATTCATGTTTTCCAGGTGTCGTCAATTGAAGCGATTTTGGGCCCATGCATGCGATTGTGGGCAGGTGGCAATACATCTCGAGGATATCGTGAGTAAAGAGTGGGTTTGTACAGAAATGAAGGACCTACAATTAACGCTAGGTCAAAGAGGAAGCTCGGATGATCCACGGAGAGGCAGCGATGATAGTGATGATAGTGATGATAGTGATGATAGCAATATCATTGATGGTTTTGATCAAGACAATAGTGCTATTATCTGCGAGGATGAGAATGGTATTCCAGATAGTGTCAAGAGGCATGCAGACGATGAGATATCATCATCCGATTGGGGAAAAGCTTGGCAAACTGTGTATAAACAGATTGGTCGCTTACACAAGCTAGAGGAATTAACGCTTAGCGTTGACAGAAGCGAAGTTGCAAGAACTATGCGAGATTATCCTACACATCATTTCGAATTGGATTTGAATATCAAGCATGGCTGGTTAACTGAGTTGGCTGACCTCAAAGAGTTGAAACATCTATGCTTAGAGTATAATTTTTGGGCAGAGATGGATATGCCAGAAGTGCGATTCATGTTTGAACAATGGCCTAAGCTGGAAAAGATCACACTTACAGATCGCTCTTTAACAGATAATCCTTTGAATGAGTCGCACTGGGAGTGGTTGAAGGAGCAGAAGCCTAACTTAAGAGTAATTCATACTGATTATGATGACTGTTATGACTCTAATGATTGGGATGACTAGATTTTCATATCAGTAATATAGTATATTAAAAAAGAATTTTATATGATTGCATAAATAGCATCAAGTTTACGATCTGCGCTGGCGCGCACTATACTTCTGCTTCTTCACTTTTGTATCATGTCCTTGGAAGGCTGCAATACTGTACAAAACGGCATTGACCTACCTGATGACAAGCATGCAGAAAAAATCGACCTATATGAAATTAACAATATGACAAGCTTGAATTGCTACGACTCAAGCAAACATATAAGCAGAATTACATTACCATATGACATACCTTTTTTTTTCTGATAACAAGGACCCTCAGGGCCATGGGATTTATTTTCTATACTCTATGAACAAAATACTCCAGAAACTATAGTCAATAAACAGTTATTACTGCACAAACGACGAGAGCCGCTGCATCAATGAAGATTTCTCACTTGACCATAATATAAAAACAAACAGGTGTGGGGTCGAATGAATCGAGAGATGAAAATAGGCAAGGCGTTGGTGGGCCGAAGTTCTTGTGCGACCAAGAATTGGAAAGAAGGGTCAAAGGGCACTGATCTTTTGCCACTAAACAAGTTCTATAACTTTGATTATCCTGTTTGCCTTTGGGTATTTGAATGGCTAAACAATCCACCCTCCTTGTTTTTCCCTTTCGCGCATTCAAGGAGAAACGGAATATTGGAAGATTCAACAATCTATGCCATAATAAAAATCCATGTGTGCATGAAGTGAGCGCGCCTGTGGCGCATAATATCCGTAGTGCGATTCCTAACGACACGGTTTTATTCAACAACTACTCAACTCAGCGACATCCGCTATTTTTGAGTCTATCTCACTTTTCTTGTGTCCACAAATGGCTTGAACTCTCCGCAAACGAATTTTCGCCATAATTGTCCAACATACCAAGATCGAGTGTTTAGTCTGGAAAAGGACAATGAATTCATTGTTAACATTGCCAACATTACATTGCTTTAGGGGCAATATTCCCTTCTTAGCCGAGGGCACCTAGCAATGTAGGCTGTTTCAGGAGCATATAAGGGAGCAGTATCTGATTGAAAATAACCTGGATCCTACTGGGAGGAACAAAGGGAAAATGGGCCATCCGACAGTTAAAGTGTAAAGGCTCTGCTATTTGATCCTCGCTCCTCCTTGGCTCGTCGTCCGCTGCCAAGGCGTCCAATTTGATCCATTTGCAGTATCTTGTCCGTCAGGTTGAACCTCGTGTATCACTTTGAAGCATCTCTTGAACTAGCGTTTTCATTACTATATACAGGCGCTTTTACTCATTACCGAGCTTGTTCAGCGTACTCTTATCCAATATCCATAGAGTCATTGGACAGCAGCACAACCCCAGAGTATGCGCATTATGTGTATCCATTATACTTATTGGCAACACTAAAGATTACCGACCCTGGATTTCTATAACTTTCGACCTTTAGATAGGATAGATTGATCTCGATATAAGTCAAAGAGGCGACATCAATATTTGGACTGCATTCGACGACAGACGTTTGCAGGCGTATTCCGAGATGCTTTCGGATTGTATGATTAGTTAGATACCACAATTGAAGAAGCGTGAGAAAGAATATATGGTAGTGACAGTAGTTTAAGCTTCGAAAGGTGCTCAAGTATTTATTCAATGACTGCGTTGACATATCAGATGAAGTGGTGTCGCTTAGCAAACCGCTTGTTGACTCTCTGGATGTGGAATAATAATTTGCAGAGAAAATGACTTGTCAAAGTTGCGCGGGACACTGTTGCACTGAAAGATAGCACACAGAGATAGACGCAGTGCAATTATGAGGATATACCGAGGACAAGTGTCATTGAACGCATCGCCACTATTGCCACTGTTGTTGGAATGACTGCTGATATCGTCATGGAAGGTGTTTCATTGACGCACGGCTACATGAACTTTTGGTTGATAAATTAGTGAAAGAGTTTGTCACCATGGATGCAATTCTATACTATCCTTTGTTGATTCCATTCACAATGAATGGTGTCGGAAGATCGATCATCTAATGTGGAATATGAAGTGTAATGATGTGAAGTGGGAACTAAACCAGAAAGAAATGTGTTTGAGAGTTATCCTTGCCATCCTTTCTTGGGCTGTACCATTGGGCAGAAAATTTGTCCCGCAGCAGAAAGGTAAACTAAGGAGAAAACGAAGTAAGGCCAAAGTTGGACTAGCGTAGGAACAAACGAAAAAAAAAAAAAAAAAAAAAAAAAACATTAAAAAAGAAGCTTCCCTCTCATTTTCTGTCTTCTCTCTCTTCGCCCACACGCTCATTTAACAATAGGTAAGGTGTTGGATGTAAAGTGTAAAATCACATTTGTCAAATGTCATTCTTATAACTATTGCATTACTCTTTACGCTCCTATTCAACTAGCTACATTCCATACTCTTTTTCCACTCTACTCTACTTTACTATTTTTTTTTTTTTTTTTTTTTTTTTTTTTTCACTGACTCTACACAATCGTGTGAGAGAATTCAAACTCTAAAACTTTGCTCATTTCAACTGCATTGGCCATGAAATGAATCTCATCAATGAGAGATGGGCCAATATTATTCAATGGCTTGTGTGATATCTATCCAGTTCTGTGGCCTTCTAGACGCAGTTGCGTGTTTGTGAAGGTCAAATATTTATGGTGCATATTTTGAATGTTGGTACATCTGCTGTGTATGTGAAATGGCCCTTGCGGTGGGGCTCAATTCTCTTTCCGCCTCCGAGAAAGTTACATTGCTCTGGTCCGCTGAGGCTGCTAAGGCTGTAAATCCAGCGGTTTCGAAAAAATAATTTTTTTTTTTTCTTCCCACTAGTCTTCTCTTCCTTGATCTTCTTTAATGGTGGCACACTCTGCGCCACCAGACTTCGTAGGAGGTCACTGTGCATAGAGCAGTTTTTTTATTCTTTTGATCTGCTTTCGATTGTGCACAAAAGTCCAGCAGATCATTCAGATCACACGACAACTTTTTCATTATATTGAATCTCCTGGAGAGAAATGAGAAATGAAAAAGGGCCTTTTTTTCTGTCCTTGCCTAACAATCTTTAATGAGATGACCCCTGAATTGAGTTGTACAAGACTGATCATGAGAGTGTTTTATGTACATTGATCAAACCATGGTGACTGGTTAAAAGGATTGCTATTTATTGTTACTTTTCCTTGCACGATGTGAATATGATTATTGTCTCAAGTGCAATGCTTAGAAGAGGAAGTAAAAAAAACAAAAAAAAAGACAGTTGATGGCACTCCATGCATATTTGTATTCTTGTTCTCAAAAGAAATAGCCCCTCATAACTTGATAAACGGTATAAAACCACAGTGGTTTGCTTCTCTTCTCCATTTTCTATTTCTTTGATCAAATTCGCTTTCTGACACCAAGATCTTGTATATTATATTCAAGTCTTCGATCTCCTTATTTTTTTGTCTTATATGTGTATTGTTGCCGTAGTTCGTATCAAGAGAAAGGAAGGAAAAGTAAAAACAAATGACAGATGCAACTACACTTGTCCTTGAGCCTACAATCTTGGAGGTGATTTGTGAGTTCCTCAGATCAAACGATATGGTCGCATGTAGTCAAGTTTCCAAAGTCTGGAACACCAACTTTACGCCGCACTTGTGGCACACCATCGATTTTGCGGCCCGACCAAGCTTCAAAGAGTTGCATCCACAAACTGTGGCTAAAAATGGACATCACATCCGCAAAGTGAAAAATATCACCAAAAGATCAGAGCTCAACTTACTCCAGACCGACAGCGTCAGTCGTTTACAACAGCTCCATATCAGAACAAAGCCAAGGAATGGCTATCATCAGCACGCACTTGAGCTCATCCGGCGAAACCTACGCACACTTATCACACTGGAGATCGAAGGCAGTAAATCTTTGACTGGCCATGAAACACTTGCGCTAGAGGAAGCACTCATCGAGAATGAGTCTCAAGGTTCTTTAACCACAACTGTCGCTAGCTTTGCTACTACCACCATTTCAGACCTTCGAATAAGACGCCTTAACATGACCCGGAGCTCATTTTCCAAGGTCCTTTTTAGATGTCCCAATCTTAATGAAGTACAAATCCTTGACTGCAACATCTTGCCTGAAGAAAACCAGGAATTATTTCAACATAACGGTGTCACTAGTATTTTCATGTCACTAACCCGTGTGCTCTGGCCTGATTCTAACAGAGTGGAATCTAATCCTCTGTTGGTACATTTCCCGAATCTGGTGTACTGGGACATCCGAGGTTTTGAGATTGATTTGAATGATTCAAATGCAGCACTCCTCCGAAGTGTAGTCAAAAAGTACAGCCCGAATATCAAACAATATGACATGCGGAACGCTAATGGGACCATGGTTCATGACTTGGCCGCCAAGGTGTTCACGAATATGCAGTATCTATGCTTTCGATATAAAAAAATCAATTCAAACTTCATTCTTGGCCTGATCCGTAACCAGTCAACATTAACAGTCATCCGAGCCGACAATCCCAAAGTCGCAAATTGGAGCTACAATTCAGATAACGTCTTTTTTGTGAACGACACGTTTCACGAAGGATGGATGATACACTTGATGATGTCGAGATGTCCCAACCTGACATTTGTAGATCTTCCATGCCATGAGATGGATATTCATTTGGTCGATCGGATCCCATGGAATTGCAACAGCCTGAGACGTCTTCGAGTTCGGATCAAAGGATTGGATACAAAAGAATTGATTATGGCTGCAATCAAGAAATGGGCTCAAGGCCATTATACCAAAAAACGGGCAGCAGCAGCGGCAGCAGCAGCAGCAGCAGTCGCGGCAACCGCAGCAACCGCAGTGGTTAAAGAATCCATTGAGAGTAAGGATACTGAAACACTGTCAACGACAACAGAGATGATGAGTGATGAAGAATCCAAGAAACATGAAGCTAAAGCTACAGTACCTTCAGTCGCTGGAAATGACTTTAGACCTGGTTCTATGCTCCTAGACACGACATCAGCAATAGCCACAACAACAACAATGACTTCTGCTAATATGGTGAATGCTATTGCCGCTTCAACAAACGATGGATTACAGGCATTGGGCTCCCATCCAATTGTAAACAAGGTTGCCACTCATCTATTAAAGTTTGAACTTCTGGAAGAAGTCTGGCTAGGTTATGGGATTTGGAAGGTGTAAACTCTGGATGTTTCCTGGAATATAATAAGAAATAAAATAGGTAACAATAGGTAAACTAAATTATCTAAATTATAATAATATAGATATAAATATGGGTATATGAGCTTTTAGTACGCGTTGCACTCGTGTTTCGTGTTTTAGTGTTTTAGTGTTTTAGTGAGCTGTGGAGGAATTTTTTGCGGGGAAAGCAAAAAAAATAGTCCACGAGGACACGAAGTGACAGCTCTCGGTTCAGACTAAATGATTTGCACGTGCAAAACAAAATCCTTTTTGATCTCCACAAAGTCAAAACTACAATTACATGTTGTGTAGATGGGAAGTGCAGACAGCGGCGACCTCCAGATGATATTTTTGTAGATAAAATTGTTAATACTGCTGTCTTTCTTTTCGATACCTATAAGTCCAAACATACATTGCTGTTGCATTTGGATCAATGCTACTGACCTTGACAAGTAGAAGAAGGATGAAACAGACAATGGATACTAATGATACTAATGATACTAATGATACTAATGATACTAATGAGACTGATACTAATGATGTTGATGATGTTGATGGGGTTTAAAGCTTACAAGTACAGTACAAATTAAGATCTTGAATGCGAAAGCAGAGGGAGGGTGAGAGTGAATTGAGAACAATTGTACTACCCAGCCGATCACATTGCTTGGCACGCAAAACCGCATAAAATAGAAAGTATAAAAAAGCTCGATCTCCGGCCGAGGAAAGCTTCCTTTTTCTCTTTCTTTCATTCTTTTTAACAAAAACCTCCCTCTTTCTCTCCACTTCTTTCTACCACCTCATTTTCATTCACCAAACATCTATATCATGTGTAAGTACATGTTGTAAAAGTTTCATTGTTTGTTATTTTACAGTCTCACCTGAGACCAACACGTCTTCCTGTTGAAGAATGATACGCTATTCTCGACTTGTCTTGCTTTCACCATCATTATTGCTTTTATTGTCCCTGTTCATTCGAGTCGATCAGCGGGCTGTAAAGTTAATCACCATGGCTTTCTTTCAAGATGCCACACATCATTTCTGAATTCACAGGATGTCATGCCAATCATCCATCATTCCAACTAGTCGTGTTTGCACCTTTTTTATTAAACAGGAGCGAAAGAACAAAAAGCAGAAAGCAAATAGAAAGATATCAGTCAACTCTTTTTTATTTATTTATTTATTTATTTTTTTTTTTATAATTCCAAAAGGAGAGGTCTAAAGTGATAATGAGATCCATGAACCGAACCGCACTCCTAATTTTTATTTTTTTTATATTTTTTTTTTTTTTTTCGTCGAATGAATAACTAGCTCTCCAGGTCGACGGCTTCAAATCCTCTGCTCTCCTCACTCAGATTGATGAGCACCTCAAGACCCTTTCTGATGCTGAGCGTCAAGAGCAGGTCAAGAAGGTCAAGGGTATCTTCCAGTTCAATGTCAAGAACAAGGAGGGCAAAGTTGGTAATGTCTTGTAGCTGTTACAAGTTATCTGTAACTTTATTTTAGACTGTTTGTTATGACATCACACTCATTTACATCTGTAAATTATTGTTATACAGCCACTTGGACATTCGACTTGAAGACTGGCAACGGCTCCATGCACAAGGGAACCGTTGACGGCAAGAAGCCTGATATTGTCATCGACATTGCCGATGATGACTTCATTGCCTTGGCCGAGGGCAAGGCTAACGGTCAGAAGCTCTTTATGTCTGGCAAGATTAAGGTCAAAGGTGCCATCATGATGGCCACCAAGCTCGACTCTGTTCTCAACGCTGCCAAAGACAAGTCTGGTTTCAAGGCCAAGCTTTAAATGATAAAAAAGAAAGTATTTTTTCCTTTTCCTTTCATACTCCTCCCTAAGAACGCATTCAAACTTGGATCCGTTATTGTGAATAATAATAAAAAAACGTGTAACATTATCCAATTATATCTGTTGCACATAGTGCTACACAGAGTGCTTGGGCCGCCACTCCGGCTCACTATTCTGCAACTGGACAAAACTAATTGCGGCGTGTACAATGTACCCATTCCCTTTCTTTTTTTCAATCCTATTCTGCCATTATTTTTTCATTTGCTGCTACCATGCTTATCATCAAGTGCTTCCTTCTCTCTTTTATCGGTAATATTTTATTTTTCAAGTCGATAATGATCCCGCTTTCCAGTCCATAAAATCAATCTGTTTTTGCTTTGCTAAAACCCCTTCCTTGTTACTGAAGTGAGTATGGCATTAACCTCGAGCAGAAGCAGTGGTGAAGCTATAGTTAGCTATACCCGTCTATCTGGCGAAGACACAACAGATCCGGATGCAAAAGTGGGAATTGATATCTTTAAGGATTTTCGCAATCATGCTGCAGCGGCTGCAAGTATCCTTGTGTATAGTGCTGAAGTAGTCGACTATCGACCTCAGGAAAAGGGAATAATCTATGATGACAAGATCTATGGCCGATACAAGCAAGAGATTGCCAACTTTAAAGGCTTCAATTTGGTGAACAACCATGCAGTGTCATTAAAACTCTTGGACAATGACTAGAATGAACTTTATGAGGCGATCATGAGCAAGGGCTATCAATCGGGCATCAATGATGCTAAAGAAGTGGCAGAGATTTTTGTGAAACGGCTGTTACCATGGAGGCTGTATGGACTTGTAGCTCGAGCCACGGAGCAATGGCGATTAAGCCAGGTTGTGGTCCGCAACATATGGAAGAAAGAGGATGAAGGCGGGGGTGATTTGGGTGGTAATGATCCAGAAGAGCGAAGTGTCCTTGTTGAGATTATTGATCTTAGTCTGAGACTCGAAATTGATCAGGAGACAGGTTATGTTGAGATCGCCAGCAACCAAAAGGCGGCGATTCGGACTGCAGCATGGAGTGTTAACGGTTTGTATCTGAAAAGATATGCTAAAACTCTTGCTCAAAAGATCCTTATCTGGAGCGTGGAAGAGGCGAATGAAAGACTTTCAACTGGTGGTTTAATGGAGGCACAGGTGCAGGTCTTGAGTGGCTTTGAGGCTGAAGATTTTTTGAAGGCTTGGATGAATGATAATGATCTTGCAGCCAAAAGCCGGCATTCCCACGTACTCGTAGCTATCCCCGTTAACGAATATATCGCCAATTTTATTTGGTCACGATACCTTATATTTTTAATCTAAAAACGATGATTGAATTGTTCTGGTGGCATCTCACTACGTGACGGACTTGCAACAATACTCGTAACAAGCGAGCTAATTGGCTGCCAATACACTCGAAAGTATTCAAAAAATATAAGGTATCGCGACCAAATGAAACGGGCTATACATTCCCTTATAACTTTAAGGAGGAGTTTTAAAATAAAAATAAAAGACTTGTGGAGGTAGTTGGTTGGTTATACCAGGTGTGGAACTTAACATGGTAGTTATTGGGCCTTGTCTGAACGCTACATTATTCGCTGTTATAATTGACGGGGTGGGAAAAAACCAATGTTATCAGTCACATTTATGCATCTCGATCTACAATGTTGCATTTACAGCATATGCTTTTAATGACGTTAATGTCCATCGTAAAATCCCTGCTGCAAACACAATTCCTCTTTTTTGCCTGACTTCTATTCTTCTGCTTCCGCTCCATCTTCGCTCATTTATTGCTTCTAAACTAAATATTCCACCTCGAGATTCATCCCTGAGCGAAAACGAGAAAATACATTAATGATCTTTAAGCCCATTCTTCTGAGTTGCTTTGGTAATACCAATGGAAGTTACTTGATATTGATAAGATACATTACTTTTTTCACAAAGTATTCTTGGACAAAATAAATAAATAAATAAAAAAAATACTTTTACTATAGCAACCTTGACGCTGGCTTTATTCAGTCAGAATAATAATCAAGCGGTGCTTAGCAGAGGACTTTTAACTAGCCTGGATACGACGAACCCCAATGATCACGGTGAGGCAATTTTCGAGAACCCAAAGAACCATGCTTCAGCTGTCGCGAGTATCCTTGTTTACAGCGCTAATCAAGCAGGATTCCGGCCTCGGGAACGAGGGATTTTGGATAGGACAGAGACATTTGAGAATTATATCCGCAAAGCGATCGATTTCCCTGGGTTCACAAAAGCCTATACAGAATATGAGCCATTAGAGTTAACAGGAGACGTTCAACAGTTTGAGCAAGAGGTGATCAAGAAGTATTCATCGAATATAAATAAGAAGGAAGAGATTGCAAGGGCTTTAACAGGACTATTGAACAGTCTCAACAAGGTGGACCTTGGTACTAAAAAAAAGTTCCAGAGTCAAAAGGATTGGTTATTAACATTGACAGTAATCAACAAACCAGTGAATTATTATGTGACCGTAACAGATGTAATTAATGTGAGCTTGAGTTTATTGATGGACACAAAGACCAATACGTTTCGACTGAATCGACAACATGCAACCTTGGTGGTGGTTCGGTTTGCGACCAATCCAGAGTTTTTGAACCAGTTTGCGAAGCAGATCAGTAGTAAAATCCCGACAGTCAAGGTCCAGGAGGCATTGACAACATTGTCGACCGGTGGACTGAAGAACTATAATTATGTTTGTAGCAGCATTAACAACAACGACAACAACGGCAACGATAGCAATGGCTGGAAGATTCAAGGCCCAGAAAGCTTGACAGGAACTTGGGATTGAATCCTATAAGGTGCACGAATGACACGTGAGAGTTTTTTTTTTTTTTTTTTTTTTTTTTTTTTTTAAATTACATGAATACGATAAAAAAGAGTATCTCGAAGTGCTGTCATCAATAAAAAAGCAAAAAAAAGTCTGTTGGATTTTTTATTTTAGAATATGACTTTTCTGTGTACCATGAGTCTCGCTTTTAAGATTCGAAATATTGATCTTCGGCCGGGAATTTTGGACGATCCTAGTCTATAGTCAATCTATAGAAATGAGTATGAGGCAGTTAGTCTAACAGGCAGTTAAGAACAGCATTCAAGTCTCTTTCAATAGCAGATACAAGTATGCTCCCACGGCTCGAATATCTTTTTGGAGAAACGAAAAGGCTCATTTATTCCACTTGTGTTTGTACTAGATCGTCTCGCCACTAGACTAAGTTTTTTTCCCGCTCTGGTGCTTCTCTGCTATTCATGCATCTTCGCCAAGATGAAGATCAAAGCAGAAAAAAAATGCTGAGCCTCTCGCGTGTTCGATATTCTTGTACCTACCTTCCCTCCCTTTTTCCTTTCCTTTCTTTTTTCACTTTTTTTTTAGGTCACTTTCACTTCTTCACACATATTTCGACTACTTATCCTCTCATACTCATATCATGCTTATCCAATCCTTCCTTCTTGCTTGCTCTAGTACTGTTAATTAGTATAGGTGCATCGGGCACAATGCTTGACATTCTTCATCTAAACCTAATAGAATGATCTTTTTTTTAATCGCTCATATTGCTTTTTTTTTTTTTTTTTTTTATTTTTTTTATAGCTACCGTGGCATTGGCTCTTGGCAGTGAACAGGCCATTATCAGCACTGCACGCCTAGTTGGTAAAGATATTACTGATCCCAGAGCGAATGGGGTCGAAATCTTTCGCAACCCTCACAATCATGCTGCTGCCGCTGGGAGCATACTTGTGTTCAGTGGTGAGGCTGTTAGATACCAACCTCAACAGGACGGCATTCTATTTGATAAAAATATTTACGACAACTACAAACAAAATTTTTTTGCCTTTCCTGGCTTCGCCTTGAGCTACGACACTCTTCCGATCTCGTTTGAGTTGAATGGTGACCGCAGACAGCTCCGCGACTCACTCGAAAGAGCCTATAATGAAAACGATAACCGTAGCAACAATGACGCCAAAGAGATTGCAGACGCGTTTGAAAAATTGCTGCCTAGGAAACTGAATGATAAAAAGGCGCAGGCAGCCAAGGATTGGACCTTGAGTCAGACGTTGATTCGAAGTGGAGAAGACAAAAGAGTCTATATTGAGATCCATGAACTCAGTCTTACGCTTACGACCAGCATGACCACGGGTTATGTGCAGATAAACAAACAGACAGCAACGATCCGTTCTGCCAAATTGAATGTCAATGATCGGTTCTTGACTTCTTTTGCTGATAATCTTGCGCAGAGGATCCCCACGTTGAGGATAAGGGACGCGATAAGAATACTTTCGACCAGCAACCTTCAGCTGTTTTTGGCCGATTTTGATGAAAAAACTGATGGTTCTTATGGCTCTGCCGCTGGTACTAGACGTACCCACTCCCGTCAGCGCTTTTACTCCCTATCACAACTCCGAATGTAGATTTGTGAAGTGTGGCGAAGTAACTTTTTTATTTATACATTTTCTAAACGATGTCCATCATGTGCTATTCTTAAAATAAAACGTTCAATTATGCAAATATGCAGTGTGAAGATCGTTTGCCGATTGGTCATGTTGGTTTTGATGGATTTTTGCCACTTGCGCAAGTGCGCAAGTGGCTGTTACACAAGGATGAGGTTAGGCAAGTATGCAGGCCAAAAAAAAAGGTGTCAGCATTAAATCAATTCATCCATCAAATCCGTTCACAGACACGCTCATCTTGATCCTTGCACTAAACAAGAAAAAAGGATCATTGTTGAAGATTAAAAAATTGTCCTGACACCCAATACCGTCATTTGCGCACCGGCCATCTTCAATATCCCCGCTGTCGTTAATGGATCGAAAATCGGTGTCACCTGAACCCACACCACCAGTTTGGACAGCTGTGGCTAGTTCTGAGGACAGCAACAGCGAGAATGCCCCAGCTTACTCATCCGAGCCCGTATGCGTGTCGACGCAACAGCAACAACAGCAACAACAGCAACAACAGCACCACTACCAACAAAATAGTCGATGGGGACAAGGAACCCTAGCGTCGATCCTGCTACAACCACCCCCTCGTTATGCTGAAGTCCACCACTCCCCCGTTAGCGGAATGTTCAGCTACCCACCTCCTTTAGCCTCTACGTCTATTGCTTCAAATCCTGCAATATCAACTACTTCTGCATCGACTGTGCCATCATCGTCTTCTACTGTACACTCATTTGTATCGGTACCTTATCCTTATGATGTTGAGGACCAGCCTTATTTTCAAAATAATACCAGTACTAACACTATAACGGCTACACCTTTCAATGCTATCTTCGGCTCCGCCACTGCCAGCAACCGCAGCAGCGAGGCCTCATCATTATCGAATCCTTTATCATCTCTTCTTAACAACAATTCAAATGTTCGTTCAAACACGTTTGGACGCTCCTCAGAGATGCCAGACTGGCGCCACGCAAGTATTAGTAACATCAACAGCAACGGTAGTAGCATCAGTAATAATAGTAATGGACAAATCAATGTTAAAGAAAGGATGCCTTTTTACAATTGCCACTAATTGTTGGCTTGATCTTCCGCAAATAACAAGGCTTCATTTTTCAGTCCCAGTAGGTCCATTGAACGTGCCTCTTCCACCCTCGGTTGCTATCCCTCCAAATCTATCTACGTCACTTCCGCCACAACATTCATCAAGTATACCTTTCCAACATCGCCCACCCCTGCGCCGATCATCATCTTATGAAAGAGGCATAAGGGCGTATCAATTTCATGGCCCACAACATCAGCAACAATCGCATCAATACCAACATCATCCACACGAATCCGTCCATCACAACCCTTACATACCGCCGTCGTTTACCAGTAGTCGTCCGTTCATACCTCCCAAGGTCAAAGGGTATGATTTCCGAGATGGTTCTCAAGCAGGAAATATGGGTCTAATGACTGGAAAACGGATATCGGATGGTATGCCGGTCACTGGCAAGTTGCACCAGTCCCGTCTTTTGCTGCAGCATGAGCACCGTATTTTGAAGCGTCTACAGATTGTAAATGCGTGGTATGATCCATCATGCAGTACACAGCTATCATCGTGTCATACATCCAACGAAGGATCTACAAAAGCAGCGGAGACGAAAAGGAGTTCAGCAATAGCAGACTCTAGGCTTGACATAGCAGAGACATCAGGAAGAAATGTACACGAGCCCAACCATAATGATAACAATAGTGACGCGGAGACAGAAAGATCAAGCTCTGTTCGTTGTAAAGTAGATAATCAATTAGCGCCACTGTCTGAACCAGGGCTTAGAGAAGATGAAAAGTATTTCAACCGGGTTGTGGAAGATTTTGTGGATATAGATCACTCTACAGAAATGTCTGTCTTGGTCATGAGACGCCTGGGACCCAACTTGCTCTCATCATTGCATCATCGTTTCCTAGGATTGGACGAGACGGATGGCTACCAAAGCCCGGAATTGCGTGCTGGACGGCTACAGCCTGCAGTATCTCCCTTTTCGGATGTGTACACCTTTCTAGTGTTTTGTCTCAAGGCAGCATGTGTGTTGGAGGCATTGGAGCGAGCTAACTTGGCACATCTTGCATTATGTCCGACCGCACTTCACTGGGCTCTGCCCGACTCAGATGTTATTGAACCCACCACATCATCGTTACCAGAACGAGGGAATAAAGAAGAACAAAAGGCGAAGCCATATGAACCAAATCCAACTTCATTGTATCATGATCCAATTCCTATTATCAGTGATAATGATACAATTACACCTCAACAACATGTTCATTGCTCATCACGTTCGCCTCCAAAGCCACAACAGCAATCACCGCAACACGGCTTCTCATGTGAAAGTACATTACACAGCGGTTTCTTCAACCCATATCATCCTGGTTCGGATATCAATAAGACAAAGCTACGGCTGTTTGATTTTACACATTCAAAAATTTTGAGTCATGAGCGGGCCAGAGCACCGAGCAATATTGTTGAATGGCAAGTTCCAGGGTATTTGGAATACCATCTACAGTTTTTAGCGCCAGAACAAACCGGCCGAGCAGAGACATGGATGGATCACCGCACAGACATCTATGGGCTTGGGGCTACTTTGTTCACATTGTTGACAATGCACTTTCCGAATCGCGGCAATGACAGTGTTCAGATTCTGCAAGGTTAGTATGTGATGGCGACAGAGAAGAAGAAAGAAGGATGAGAAAAAAATACTGCGAAGCTTGTATAAGTAACTATTAGCATACGGATAAATAAGAGATTTCTTTTATCAGAATCTGACAACAAAAGACGTTCGATTTGTTCGCTTTTCAGGCGTTTTGTCCAGAGATCTTCCGCCTTTGGATACATTTCGACCAGATATGCCTCCGATAATTGATGATATTTTAAGGAAAATGACGCAAAAGGTACCTAAAACGGTATTATATTTGATCATGAGTATGGCTTGAAGTTCGGAGCAGATTGTTTTAGTGTCAAGCTTTTTTTTTTTTTTTTTTTTTTTTCAACATATATAAATAGCAACCGAGCCAGCGATATCAGACCGCATTTGGTTTCAAGCAGGACATTCTTCATAGCCTTAATCTCTTGCATGCGACAGGAACAGTATGTTTCCCTTGCATTTCTTTGTATATATATTCCAAAAAAAAAAAAAAAAAAAAAAAAAAAAGCGGAGGGGTCACTGAAATATCTCGTCTTTGTTAAAATCATAGATCGAAACATTTCCATTGGGTAAATACGATGTCTCGCATCAATTCATTCTCCCCAATGCGGTGTTTGGCCGACGGGAGGAGCAACAAATGATTTCCGCCGCGATTTCGCAGGCGGCTAGTGCCTATCAGCATTCGCTTAATAGTGATCTAAATCTAGATCTGAAACTGTCAGATGCAGCCACAGCATCTAGCTCAGAGGAGGAGAAAGGAAGAGGAAGGAGGCGGGTAGGAAGCGACCTTGCAGCATCGACAATAGCATCTGCAGCCGTAGCCGCAGAAGCGGCTAAAACTGTAGCGGCTATGAACGATCATTTGGATCATTATGTGTTTGAAGATGAGATTGTTTCATTACGAAACCAGGGTTCGGTCAAAATCCCGCTTTTGTCAACAACACTCCTCCGAAGCCCTAAGCCCTTCGATGGTGGTAAGGCAGTTCATCGAGGATCGGAAGCTACAGATCCGGTCGTTCGCGCCATCTTTGTCAGTGGACCTTCTGGTGTTGGAAAGTATGTTTTTTTTTTTTTTTTTTTTTTTTTTTTTTCTTTTGTAAATCTTGACTTATTACATGTATCAAAGGCTCGAAGCCATTTATATTTAATGGAGGTATTATTATACTCTCGTTGACGTTATCGTCACAATGATAATTGGTAGAACGGTCCTTATTAGAGGAATGGCCTCAGTAGCTCGCAACTCTGGGCTATTCGCAGGAGGCATTTTTGAGGCTGAGGGCTCTGCGCCTTATTCCGCCATCTTGTCTTGTATTCAGAGTGTCCTTCAACAGCTTCTGACTCAACACACGGATGCATTAGCTTCCCTAGTTGTGGCGATTCGGACAGCGTTTGAGCCGAACTCGGGCATCGGTATTATTTGTGATTTGATCCCTGAACTAAAATACTTCTTTAGTGGGACTGAATTCCTTGAGAGCAAAGATTTATCTCTGTCGCACTCTGTGGCTCGATTCCATGCGCTGATTCTGAAGCTAATTCGGGTAATCTCGACTCATTTTTTCATGACCTGGTTAATCGATGATATTCATTATGCGGACGAAAACTCCATTGCACTATTGGCGACGCTGGTCAATGTCAATAAGCGATTACCAATTGTTCTAATCATGACTCATCGAGATACAGTCGAATGCTTGATAAAAGTCAAACAGATCCTGGGAAGCAGTAATGTAACGGAAAATAACAATACGAAAAATACACTCCATGACCCTCTAATGGACGAAGTCTCAAGTCTGGGCGCTGCAGGTTCTGCAAGTCCTATTCCCGCCACCAAGACCACGGCCACTCGAGCCACAGGCTTTCCATTGGTGGTACGTGGCGGAGGTGGCGTTCGATTTATTCGACTTCAAAACCCAACCTTGGAAGTCATTCAAGAGTTTCTTAAAGTGTTGTTGCATCGCAGTATTGAGGATGTACTTCCACTAGCTAAAGTATTGCTTCACAAATCCTGGTTGACGATCCGACAGTTGGTCTTGGAGTTGTATAGAAACCAAACGATCTTCTTCAACTGTCAGACTCGCGTTTGGGACTGGGAACCTTGTACAGAGACTTTGGCAGGGGTGGTCCGGAAATTGACTGGGGAAGAGTATCTGTTTTTGCAGAATCGATTCCGAGCATTGGATTGCGACACGAAGAAGACGTTAATCTGTGCAGCGATTTGCGGGTCCGTCTTTACCATTCAGGACCTACAACGGTTAGCATCGACGGCTTATGTGTGGAACACCACTCGTAGCAGCCACTACAACCACAGAGACGAGAGTAATGACAATAATAGCAACAATGGCCAAAAAGGACAAGGGAAAAAGCCGCCATTGCCTGAAATATGTCGTCAGAACCATGCGCCCGAGACTATTAACCTTGATACCAACAAAGGATGTAGTGCCATGGCAGGATTACAATCAGCATTGCGGGAGGGAATCCTGGTATATACGTCCGTTCCAGATCATTTACGATGGCATCATGGTGTTATGCGCAAAGTCGCTCTGGGGTTATTAGATGGGACCGATGAAAAAGAACGAATGCATTACGAAATGGCAAAGATCTTGTTTATGCTGCCAGGACAAAAGCTTAGAATCGCTAGTCATGTGTTGCAATGTATGAACTTGGTCAAGAAGAAGTGTCTCCTAGCATCTAAGCAAAAGGATGACGAGCCCGAAGAGCGTCCTTTCTGGGTTCCAATAATTGAAGAGGGATCAGAGGATTATGTTCCAGAATTGGATGCTCAGTCTTTGAGAAGCGTTCTTTCCCTCGCAGGAGAAAAATCACAAAAGAGTGGGGCTCAGGATTTAGCGATAGCGTATTGGAATGCGGCATTGTCGTTGCTACCGGAGAACTGCTGGGACCCACTCCCTGAAGAATCAGATAATGATGTACAAATGATTGGTGCAGATGATGAAGTTGGAGCAGAATTCGGTATTCAGGATGAGCAGCGTCCAAAGACAGCTCTTTACCAAGAAGCACTGAAGCTTCATTTGCAGTGTGCGGAGGCGGAGCGTTGGCGTGAGAATTTCGATCAGGCGATGAAAATCTGTGATATTATTTTGGCTAAAACTATAGATCCAATCGATCGAGCAAAAGCTTATCAGCATCAAATTGAGATGTCAGTCTGGGCGTATAGTCAACCAATACAAGCGACTCGGATTGCGATTCAATGCCTTCAGGAGTTGGGAATGCCGAAGGATGTATCTTTTACACCGACCAAGGAAGAGATTCGACAAATGTATGATGAGACCCATCAGATGGTCTTGGAGCATATGGCAGAACTTCAGCGGCCTGAGGGACCAAAAACCTGTAAGAATGTGAGAATCAACATGATGTTGAAAACCCTCTCGATCTCCAGGTAAGTCTTTTTTTTTTTAAAAAAAAAAAAAAAAAAAAAAAAAAAAAGGCATAAAAGCACGGATAAACTTATTATATCATATCATGTGCCATTTTATTACGTGATTCAATCTTAGCGCGAGTTTGTATTACAGCAATGTACCGTTTCTAGCTGTGGGTGTGGCTCAATCTATGAAGCTGATCTGCGAACATGGTATCACTAAAGATACAGGACGTTCTCTAGTCTCATTCGCGTTTACGCATTCGACCTGGCATGGATGCTTAGAAAATGCCTACGAACTGGGAAAGTACGTTTTTGTATATTTAGAGAGGAATCCTTGCAATGATGTTTCTAAGGAGTGTTTAAGCTTATGTCTAATACCTTTTTTTTTTTTTTTTTTTTTTAATTAAAAAAAAAAAAAAAAAAAATACAAATACTTCATAGATTGGCGTGCGAAGTCTGTAAAGATAATCATCATGTTAAATTTTTGTTTTATCTGACTGTTCAACAATGGGGAGACCATGTCGCGAATTCCATCCCTGCACTTGAAGAAACCTTGCAAGCAGCGGATTTGGCATGCGATCGACTCTTCCATACAGCTGGCATGATCCATGTATCTGTTATGCGAGTTCTGCTTGGACGGGTCCACTTGCGCGACTGCTTGAGTGCCACCGCGGATTTAATCATGAAACATGTAGAATTTGGGCCTAAATCACATGGTGTGGAAGTGATGCAGGGGATCTTGCAACTGATCAAATGTCTCAAAGGGCGGACTATCTCTACCAACAATCCAGAAACCATTTTTGACGATGATACTGGATTCATCGAATCCCAAATTCATAGAAAACGAGAAAAAAAGTTGACACTGGTCCATAATAATAGCACGTATGCGATGCTGAAGATTGTGGCGGCGTTTGTATTTGGACATTATAGCTATGTGAACGAGATAACATCCTCATGGCATGATGACCCGAACTCGATGATGAATTTCGAAGGCTCTTGGATCACGTACTTGATTTTTACCGTAGTAGGCTTAACATTACTGAGCCTTTTAAGGATCGAAAAGGACATGGGGGCTCGTAGGGAACTACACAAAAGATTATTTGTGATCAGGGATAGGATGGCGGTTCGTGCTAAGAAATTTCCGATCAATCATGCAGCTATGTTTCATCTTTTGGAAGCTGAGATTGCAGATCAAGAACTGACAGAAGATAAGGTGAAGCCCCTGCCACGGCATAGAGATGAGGACGGTGATGACGAGAATATTACCATTCCTGAACATGAAGGAACACGAGATCTCAAGAAGGTACTGCTGTTATATGAGAAGGCGATCAAGTATGCAAGTGATGGCGATTTCCCCCTTCAGCTGAATTTCTCATATGAATTGGCTGCAAACTGTCATTTGAGACATGGACTTGTCACGAGCGCGAAATGTCTAATGGTAAATGCCTGTAAGGGTTATCAAGCCTGGGGCGCTCGTGGTAAAGTCCTGTGGTTTCATAAGACATACCCAGAGATCTTTGGATCACCGCCCGATATTGAAACTGCAGTGCCAGCACGAGGACTGTTTTATCGACCTAGCGACATTGAGTATAACAGCAACGGTCGTAGTAGTGGGTATCGTCCTACTGTAAACTCTTTTGGCTCTGCTAATCGTGCTTCTACAATATCGTGTGGTCCTAGCACGTTCATTGGAGGAGGAACAAAAGCAGCTTCAGGCCCCTCCATCATTGGAACGTCGCCTTGGTTGAGCGGCAGTAGTCCAAAGACGACTTACAGTCCTAGTGGATATGGTAGTGATGCAGTTTCCGCTGCTGCTGCTGCAATTGCAGAATCATGCATGACAGCACATTCTAGCTGTAGCAATAGCAGCACTAATCATAGTGGAAGTGGCAACACACCCGGAAGTGCTTCATCATCTTCAGGTCCATTGTATCACCTACAGAATAGTTGGCTTGCATCACCGCTATCGCCTGAGCTCGATAATACGGACTTGGATGTTTTGGATTTCTCGTCTGTGATTGAAGCCATGCAGGTGATTGCTAGTGAGATTGATCTAGACTTGTTACTGGTCAAATCTCTTGGTGTATTGAACCAGAGTGTGGGTGCAAAGGGTTGCTGCATGATCATCTCAAAAGATCACGAAATGGTTCTAGCGGTCTCACAGGGAGGTTTGGGACAATGCGAAGCCGTGAATCCACCAATGAAGATCGATTCTTGTACGTCTCTTTTCCATGGAGTGATCAATTATGTGATCCGTACATCCACACCTTGCTTAGTCACAAATGCTAAGGATGACCCGCGGTTCAGTGCAGATGAATATCTGAAACAACGATCCGACTTACGAACAGTACTGTGTGCTCCAATCTTACATAAGGCAAGGTTGGTGGGAGTATTGTACATGGAGGATTTTCCGGCTCGAGCATTTGCGAACAAGCGAATGCTGGTGATGAATTTGCTAGTTCAGCAGTTGGGAATTTCGATCACTAATGCATTGCTATATCAATCCGTGCAACGATCAGAGACCAAGCTAAATGGATTATTAGAGAATATGCCCTGTGGAATTGCCCTGTGGGATGCAACAGCTGAAAAATGCCAGTACATTAATTCGAGCTGGCAAGATATGACGGGCTTCACATTGGATGAGATTTTGGATTCTGGATGGACTATATTGGTACATCAAGACGAAACCGCTATTTATACACAACGCTGGCGAGACCGTGTCCAAGCAGGAGTGCCATGCCAATGGTACTAAAAGTCTAAAAAAAAAAAAAAAAAAAAAAAAAAGCTAAGGCGAACTCTTTTTCATTTTTTTTTAATCATTTGATCTGACTTATTCTTTTATGAATCTATTTATTTAGGGAGAGTCGATATAAGTTGAAAGATGGATCTTACCGCTGGGCGGTTGTGAGAATGCTGCCGATAATGTCGCCTTCAGTTGACAACAGGGTCATCCAATGGCTTACAGTGACGATCGACATCGATGACCAGCGACGTGCTGTTCAACTAAAATCCAATTTCTTAGCCAATATGAGTCATGAGTTGAGAACGTAAGCGAGGAGGGATATTAGGGTGTTACGCTTTATCGAGCTGACTCAGATGCTACATGATGATAGAATAAGGAGACTAACGTAAGCCAATTTGCTCTCCTATACCTTATGTTAGCCCATTCTCTGGTATCTTAGGCATGCTATCGCTTCTTCGGGACTCACATGGACTCTCGCCTGAGCAGTTCGAGTTTGTGGATATGGCCAAGGCTTCCTGTGAAATGTTAATCCGCATTGTTGATGATTTATTGAACTTCAGCAAGCTTGAAGCGGATAAAGTCACGCTCGAGTATATTCCCATGGCTTTTGAAGAGATTCTTGGAGGTAGAAACTTAATAATCTATTTTGTGGAATGTATTAGTTAAACTGTGCTTCTGAACGGATGACAACAACTAATCGACTGCATTACTCTTAACATTGACCAGATGCATGTGATTTACTCGTGCCATTGGCCTCACGCAAGGGCTTGGAGCTAATCATTTTGTTTGACGAAACGTTGCCCATTACACTAATCGGTGACCCAGATCGGATGAAGCAGATCTTGATGAACCTAATTGGCAATGCCATCAAATTTTCTACCAAGGGTAATGTCGTTATTCAATTCTGGCATGAGAGGCGCTCTCGCGAAGAGATCATTCAAGCTCGAAACAGAAACTCTTCCAAGGCTTTGCGAATGGCATCATCTTCTACAAGAATTAGCAGTAATAGTGACGCCACGGGTCCCAGCCCTAATGATACCAGCAATGGCAATAATAACTGCGAGGTGCCAAGAACCGCTGCGCCTGCTTCATCGACTTTTTTCAGCCCCGCGACGCCACTGAAACAGGAACAGGCGACAGATTTAACAAATGAGGATGATTCAAGATTAGGGGATGAAATCATCTTGCACTGTTCAGTAAAGGATCAGGGCATTGGCATGAGTCCTGAAGAACAAAAGATGCTTTTTGTGTCATTTCAACAAACCGATAATGGTACGACTCGTAAGTATGGTGGCACAGGACTCGGGCTCTCGATTTGTGCTCAACTTATTAAATACATGCAAGGCAAGATTGTTGTTGATTCCGAAAAGGGTAAAGGGTCAACATTTACCTTCACTGCAAAGCTCCGGACCCAGACCGAATATGATCAAGAACAAAGTCCTGCGGAGTCTGCAAGGTTGAAAGAGTGTGAGAGGATCCTGTATACAAGGATGGATGCTATCAAAGACAAACGGATCTTGATCTTGTCGCCAAACCGACAGCTGAGACAGCAGATCGTTAAAGTTGCGCACGGTGCTATTTGTGAGGAATACGATGATTTGGCTTCTGCAGTCTCAAGTGGTGCAGTCATGATCACAGATGAATGTTCAGACGATACAGGAAATTGGGGTCGGATTCACAGGAAGAATCAGCAGCAGAAGCGTAACGAGACTAACATGGACATCGATAATGCTTCTAGTCTCGAGACAGGACAGGGTTTGATGCAACATTCAGATACTACTGCTCTGTTTGGCAATCCCGATCATAATGGCACTGATGGATTGCCTGATCCCAAGAGCCTGAAAAGATTTGATCTCATCCTAATCGACCATGTTTTGGATTCTGCAGAGTTGGATCGTATCTATCCATCTCCTATAGTTGCATTCGTCCTACTACTGGCGCCTACCACGGAAACTCTGCGATGGATTCTCCCTCCAGCAACTAAGCGATTGAACGAGGAGCCTGAAGAGCCTGAATGCGGGCAGCTCGACATTGGAGGCCGAGGGAGGATTCGTCATGCGTCTGAGGCTGACTATGCGGCAGAAAGAGCCATTGGACATGTGCAGCGAGTGTCTAATGAAACAAGTGCCATTCAAAATAGTGCAGCCTTCACTAGCATCTCACGAGGCAGTAGTGTGGCAAGGCCTCCTCTGGCGCCTGTCAGATTAGCCAAGAATCCGTCACAGCTCTTTAAGAAGCGTAAATCAAGGGGCCACATCACTGTGACCAGACCTGTACCATATAGCGGTGGAATAGGGCCTGATAACAAGATCAGACCAGCTGAGATGGAGACGACGACATTCCAGGTTTGCAGAATGATCAAACCTGTGAGAAGAATGAAGTTACTGCAGATCCTTTACAATGCTCTCAGTCAGCATGAACGGAGAATGGCAGGGCTGGAGTTGGAGAGTTGTGGGTCGCAGACAACAGCAGATGATGATTATGCATACACTACAGCCGCTAGTAGTTCTGGGTATGATGAAGGAGAGGATATCCATCCTGTGCTTGCCAAACGACATCAATCCTCTGTAAGTGAAGAGACATCATCATGCGGCACCTTGTCACCCACTTTAGATTCACCCACTGGGTCGTTGCTGTCCATGTCATCCTCGTCATCTAGGTCGCCACGGACGCAATCTAGATCTGCATCGCCCATGACGACAGTCTCTTCCTCTGGAGCAGGTGCATCTGCATCGTTAAAGCGGCGACGAGACCAAACGACACCTGATGTAATCGGGTCTGGTAATAATAGCAGCACTAGCCATGAAAATATGAAACGGCGTCCAAAGGCTAGTAAGCGAGTGCCTCCTACATCCCCTATATCCACATCGGTATCAGCGCCACCGCCAGCTTCAATTCTTGTCAACCGATCGGAGCATTTTTATAGCCGTTCTATTTCTTCTGCTTCGAACACTGCTACTGTTACTACGAATTTTCTGGACCCGATAGCTGAGAAGGATCTACCTAGGAACCTAGGATTGAGTGGAGCTATGATTTCCGGATCAGGGTTAGGTGTTGTGGGTAATATGCCGAAGAGGGCGCGTAATAATGATGCGTTGACATTGTTGTTGACAGCTTCTGAGCTGGAGAGATGTCGAGGCAAAAATGTTCTTGTGGCTGAAGACGATTTTGTGTCGCAAAAGATTTTAGAAAAGTATGGTGAAAGAAAAAAACCTTGCTTATTTTTTATGACACTTCGAAATGTATCAAGGGAAATGCCAGTAGCTAATGTCACTTTTTTTCCTTTTTTTTTTTTTTTTTTTTTTTTTTTCCTGTAGACAACTTTCAAAGCTCGGTATGAATGTGGTCATTGCTAACAATGGACAAGAGGCTGTGGATCATTGGTTATCTGCAGATCGTGGACATTACACCATTGCAATTTTTGATCATGTAAGAAATGATGTGTTTGGATCATGTGTTTCAAATATCATATTTCCTTGATTCTTTATTTAATATATTGCTTGGAAATTACATTTCCTGATATAGCATATGCCTATCATGGATGGACTTGCTGCTACTCGGAAACTACGCGCTTTAGAAGCAGAACATGCACACGAATGCAAGGATGGAGGAGAACAACAGCCAATACGTATTCCGATCGTGGGTCTTAGTGCGGATATCCAACAGTCCACTAAAGAGGTATTGTTTGATGAGTATATGTAGTTTTATTGTATGTTCATTCTATGAGTAACATGAAAGCTGACATTGGTAACTTCTTCCATCTTTTTTTTATTTTAGTCGTGCATCAAAGCTGGTATGGATGAGTACATGACCAAACCCCTTTTGACTAAAGGCCTGGCGCTATTAATCCAGCGCTATTGTTGCAAATAATCACCAATACAGAAATAAATGCTATTTCTCACTCGACACCTAAAACTCTGTCATCACTGCGAATTACCTTGAATCTTGAACACCGCGCTGTCCTTAACCCTTGCTTCCATTTTAAAGCATAGAGGTATCGTAAACATAAATCTCCATCACGATCAAGACATATTCTTGACTTATCTGCAACTTAGGCATTCACTAACATAGATGATGGGTACTGATATGCTCTAGACATTATATAAAGAAACTGAAAGAACAAATATTTTTTATAGCCTCAAAGTTTAGAACGCAAAACGCGTTTCCGACGCGTTATATCGTGTTTGTTGGTGACAGCAGAACTTCTCTTTCTTTTTAATGCCTCCTTGTCATCTTGCTTCTTTGGCCCCTCTTTCCCCATCATTCATTACTCTTGCTTGCAAGCGTCGACATGGCTCTTCTTTCACTCACTGAAGCACAGCCCTTAGCAACGATCGTCTTCAGCATTCAACCCTTGGTTAGTTCCATTTACTTTCATCTTTCAAGGAATTGCTCGGTGCTGTCGCTTATCAAAGCTCGCTCGTGAGACATTCAGCCAACATATCTTTACTGACTTGTATCTCCCATGGAGATCTATTTCTAATAAATGGGCTCGACTAAATGTTCATGCCTTATTCACTACTCGTTTACACACAGTTCGATCTATCCGCACTATCCTTCACAAGGCCTATCCGCTTATCGCCAACGCCCCTTCTTCGGCCTCGTCCCTGTCATCAATTACCTCAACTGCCTCACTTCCTTTACTACCACGCTTAACTGTGTTGCAATATGGTTATTCGGTCATAATGGGGATAATGCGAGCAATCAAAATAATCAACTCAGTAAAATATGTCAAAGGTTGGTTCCAAAGTGGTCCGAGGGGTCATGTGGATCTGTGCAGTTGTGCAGCTGTGCGAGGACTGACCTTGGGTCTTGAATTGGACGACTATTTGAATCGAGATGTGAGCAGGAAAGAGGCAGAGCAGTTACTAAACATGGCACGAGAGGCGATTTTCGGTGAAGCTTGGGCTATACTACCAGGTTGAGTTGGAGAGCTAGAAGAAGGTAAAACAGAATATGAAAGAAGGGAAGAGAGAGATGCTATTGACAGTATCTCAAAAAAATTAGTGTTTGAGTAGCGGGAGCTCGGGTCGTACTGAAGGAAGCAGTCAGGACCTCTATTGCAGATAGGCGATATAAAGCTGCTGTACAGCTCAGATGGAGAGCAAGATGAGGATATGAACTACTGGGCTTGCTTAAAGCTTGAATCTCCTCATCTGTGTTTTTTCCATGAATGGAAACATGAAGGGATACCTCTGGAGTCCCAGCTACAGACAAAAAGGCTGACTCGATTGGCAGATCATCTCTACTGCATTATTCGCGAAGGCTGGGGGGCTCTCCAGCGTATGATTCAGAGAAGATAAGCGGACAAAGGATGATGGAGCAAGCGTTTTAGGAGCGGTATGTGCTGGCGGACCTGAGGACATTGAAGTTGCGAGGGCTGAAGCTATACACTAACCGTGCCACTCTTTCATGCTATCATCACCAGCAGTGGCCCAAGGTAGTATGGATCCAGTCTAGTCTAAATTCACAACGAAGTCTATTTTTTTTAAAAAAAAAAAAAAAAAAAAAAAAATCCGACAGGGTGCATTCCGCACCGTAGTTTCCTGGTCGTACATACTTTTTTCCTTTGCCAAATGCCGCGCGCGCAATAAATGAGGCAAGGTTTTATTTACATAACTGAACTGTATTAAAAATGCTCACTGGGGTCCTGTGTATTTACAAAGCATGTTGCTGACGGAAGTGAGTGTGGGAAGAGGAGCGAGAGGCATCACCAGCACTGAGCCAAGCAGCCAACAACTCAGCCGGCTCACAGTTCAAAGAAATCAACCCACTGGTCGAAAGCTTCATGGTCACATCCTTCACACTCAAAGTATGCATATTTCTAGCTAGCGTAGGGGCTTGTGTTTGAAGAAAGGAAGAATCGACCCTGTAAATCTCCATTTGGAAATCAGCTTCTTGCTCATCGAAGTGGAAGTTGCCAGAGTCGTCAACTCTGGCTGTCATAGTAACTTCAAGAAGGCCAGCTAAGACTTGGTCGCTGCCTACGTCCTTTTGAATTAGGGTCTGACTCAAAGTCCACATTTCAGCGGACTGGGCCTCTTTATCATCGATTTTCTTGGGTAGCAGCTTCAAAAACGCATCCGCCACCTCCTGAGCTCCATTGAGACCGTACAAGTTTACAATCCTTTCATGGAATTGATCACGATCACCGCTCAGGTTGATGGGAAGATGATATAGACGATCGGAACGGAAACCAGGGAAAGCGCTGACTGCATTTTGTACGCAGTAAAAGCTTGCTTATCGTAAATGATCCCCTCTTGCTGAGGCTGGAAATTGCAATAGTCAGCACTGTAGCTAAGAATGCTCGCAACTGCTGCTGCATGGTTTTGAGGGCTACTGAAGATCTCTTCCCCCTTGGCACTTGGGTCGGTGGTGTCCTCGCCGACGAAATTACCGATGCTAATGATAGCATTGGTTCCGAAGGCCAATACTACGGTGGCTAGTTTTGTTATGCAAAGTAGGGTAAGGAAGAATTGTTCGGACCAGTCTTGTTAAACAAAATATTCGAGCAGTGGCGTCCAACTAAAGCGGTATATAGACGCCCGTACCAGTGCAAGCAAAAACCACAGACTTGAGAAGAAGCATGATGTACTTGACGTGTCTTAAGTAATGATAAGCGAGTAGGAAATGGGGGATGTGGAGTAGAAAAAAAAAAAAAATAATAGGAAAGGCAATATTTAAAATACAAGAGACAACACTCACGTACAAATAGGTTAATCAGAACTCATATCAGCATTACTATCGGCATTTTCGGTAAAAGGAGTGAGGAATGGGAATTTCTTTACAATTGACGTAAAATTGTGTAATATATTCTCAAAGTAAAGGAGCATGGATTACTTCCTTGCCGAAACTGTTATGCAATGCTGCTTAACTACATCCTTTATAGAATAACGATAGATTTACTTGAGATCATGGCATGCAGATAAAGGGTAATCCAGTAAATGCCTTGCCGATTGGCCGTGTACTGCCAGAAATTGGGAAACAGTAGCTCAATGCTTTATGCGTTGCTGTTTTGCTAGGTTTACTTTGATCATTGAACAAAATGGGTCATTTGCACTGCCTTGAAATCAGTGCCAGGCCTTTGAGTTTCAAGGCAAGTCTATAAAAGAAATATGGTGGGGCAAGGAAGAGACTGCCACATAAAAAGATAATAGCATCTCTCAGCTTCCTCATCATGACCTACTGTGAAGGGACTTCTAATTCGATCAACCATGTTATCTGGAGGATAATGGTGGCGTCTTCGAATATACTTCCCTATATTTCGCAATAATAACAGTTTAAATGCACTATCATCATCATCGTCATCGGCAGCTTCTATGGTTCGCCTTCATCAGTCGGCTTGCTCACCGAGGCCTTGGTCGAATAGATCACAAAGATGAACGACAATAACTACTAACTCAGACATTGTCCTGCCTCAGGATGCTTTTTCGGCTTTGATCCTAATTTACCAAGTTACCCAAATCACTATTGAGATCATCACCCACGTACTAAAGACACTGGAGCTGAAAGGTACGAGAAGAACACAAAGCGAGTACTTGCATATGATCTTAACTTTTTTGTCCACGACTTGGTGCCTTGATAGACTCAGCACCTCTCTATCTAGAGCGTGGTAATACGGCCAGAGGCGTTAATCCTGGCCATCAACTCCACCGGAAGCGCCAACAGGGTTATACGTACAGTCAATATATTACCCGAGGTCCAGCGCTCAAGTTTCAGAGCAAGAAGTAGCCAGCAAGAGAAAATAGCTGTGATGGTTCAAATGAGTGGGTAGGGAGACATTGGATATGCTATTCTATTGGCTAGCATGATGCTGGTATACTCAGCCAAGCCTCGCGACTGACACTCAAGACCAATCCTAAGATTATATCAAGCCCTGAAAAGAAATGAGGGTAAAGTAATAGAGAAGTAGAGCAGGGCCAAGTAAACCCTGAGAACAGAGTAAAAATATTCAAAAAAAAAAAAAAAAAAAAAAAAAACACGAACAGTCAATTGAAGCAGTCGAAGCATGTAAATGACAACATTATGAAAAGATGCATATGCTGAGGGTGTTGGAGCTGAAAGGCCTCAAGCCATTCATTATCGATTTTAGAGGTATCGAGGTTAGATTGGATTTAGAGGAATGGATTTGGGTTTCACTAATTTTGAAAACGACCTCTTGAAGCATTCAGGCCTCAAACAACACGCTTTAAAACTTTAATGGAAAAAATTATAGATACGTATTTGCTATTTGCGTTTTACTTTCGTGCGCATGTGTGCCTATCTCTCCGTATGCTTGCCAATGACTTGAGCGTTTAATGTTGCGGATATGTTAAAACCTGTTGAGAGCCATCAGAGCTAGAGACCGAGGCTGAAGGCATCTTCAGATTTGAAAGAGGGTTCCCACTTGAATTGGCTCCGGATGACGCTGCCGCAGGGTAAAAATGTGTTCTCGCGTCATCCGAGGTTGGCATAAAGATTGTCTTGTTACCACTATGCCGTGCCATGGCTGCCATCGATTCGAGGTATCGGATCTGCATGGCCGCAGGGGTATTTAGGACTTTGTAAATATAAAAAGTAAGAGATTAATATGTATTATTTATATTTAATACAATAAAATATGAAGAAGGCCGTTTTTTTTTTCTTCTTAACATTTCCACATAATACGCACATTCAGCAGCTTGACGCATCAGTTTAGCGCTATCGACTTCGGATTGTGCCTGAATGACTTTAGACTCGGCCAGACGTTTGGCTTGAGCTGCGGATGAAAGTGATTCTTGAAGACTCTTTGAAAATTTGATATCTTTAATTAGAATGCTCTCGACCTTGAAAGAAAAAAAGAAGGAAAGAAAGAAAGAAAAACAAGTTGTTATAAAAAGCTGAAAGCACGCCATTCTTTACGCGTTTCTTTCTTTTTTTTATAAATAAAAAAAAAAAAAAAAACTTACGGTGACTCCCCAAGCGTGTGCAGGGTCGTCAATAATATCCTGAATTTCATGGGCCAACTGCTCGCGATTTTCAATGATTTCCTGTAATAGTCTAGCGCCCAGCACCTGTCTCAGCGTGGTCTGGGTTCGTTCCACTAGTGCCTGTCGGACATCGGAGACTCCATAGGTTGCTTGAAATGGATCAATGATATGCCAATAAATGATTGAATCAATATGAACATTGACATTATCCTTGGTCATGATCATTTGGTTAGGGATATTAGAAATTTGAACTCTCATGTCCACGTTGAAAACTCGTTCTGTGTAAGGGTTTAAGCGAATCAACCCTGGGTCTACTGTCTTGTAATACCGTCCGAAACGAGTAACCAACCCAATGGTGCCCTGTTCAATGGTCTTGTAGCTAAATCGATAATTGAATAGGAAGCTTAATTAAGTTAGATATACTTACACAGTTTGTATTATATACTATAAGAATGTATGAAGATATGCAGCTTGGTACTTACGGGTTAGGGCAGCTAAAACCAAATATTAATGCAAGTTGTATGAGAAACACAAGAGCAGTTCAATGTGTTGACCATTGTAATATTAATAATAATAATAATAATAATAATAAAAAGGTTTGCATATTACCAAATGCAGCATGGGATCTACAAGGGACGAAAAAAAAAAAAAAAAAAAAAAAAATTAGTTGACAAATGAATCATTTTTCGATACCCTTCTCCTGTTATAACTATAATATTACCATGCCAAAAGTTCCGATGCAAGTACCAAAGGCATTGACCATCGTCCCATAGAATCCAGTGACTCGCTGAGCAGGAAACTCTATTTAATATAAAAGAAAAAAAAGAAAAAGTTTATTGCCATGTGTGCGAGAAAAAAAAAAATCTTGGAAGGAATATCTATTCGTTAAATGCTTTCATAAATACCCTGGGCATAAGACTTTGTGGTAACATTGCCAGCATCCATGGCTGTGTTTCTCTTAGGCTGACTATTCACAACAGCCACATCCCGCAACTGCTGGATACTATTGCTGTTGTTCTGCATGGAGCACTCAAGTGAATATGGTGTGTTTGGGGGTGATTTACACAGTGGGCTGAGAAGGGATAAAATTAATAGAGAAAAGGGATAAATATGTCAACAAGAAGCACTTAAAAAGAAAATGAAAATGAAAATGAAAAAGAGGAATGAAAGGTGATGTGATGTGATGTAATATGAGATGTGAAATGAAGAGATGGAAAGAGAAAAGGATATAAATGTCTACTTTGTTTAAAGACTGCACTTTTTTTTTTTTTTTTTTTTTTTTTTTGGTACAAGTCAAAGTCGACTTTTGGGCCAGGCTCATATTTAGCCATGCTATGAACACAAAAAAAATAGGTCTACTTCTGCAAGTCACGTCGTCTAGAATCGTAGTTAATCAACGCGTATTAAATACCTCACATGACTTTTTATTTTGCTTATAAAAAAAAGCGAGAGAGCGAGAGAGACAGAACTCTATGTCATGATCCTGTATTCTCGTTAAGTTTAATAGCCTCTAGAACCTGTTGCACCTGTTCCAATAGGTCCGGCAATGCCTCATCCACCTCTTGTTCACTACGAGGATCCAGTTCACTGTCCGCCAAGTTGCCATCTGTACTATCTGAGACTCCGCCTTGCACTAACATTTGGGCTGAATTTCCATGATGTTGGTGCTGTTGATGCTGCTGTTGTTCAATTTGCTTTCGATTGGCTTCCAGCAACGACAAGCCATTCATCAGGTTCTCTAATGCTTCTTCGGTCTCGTTTGCATCCATTCTTTTTGGTAACCGCCTGTTATTCAGACGTTTCATCTTTCCAGACCCAGGATAGGACGACCGCTGAGCATCATTCGAGTCATCATCGAAATCCACATCTCCATCCACATCTACTCTTGTTGATAGCTGTTTCCGGGCAGCTGCGCCACCCCTTGGGTTCATAGTCGATGACCGCTGTCTTCGTTCGCCCATATCCATCCGATCATCATCCCCCTCGTCATCATCGTCTTCATCTTCATCCTCCATATCTCCAAAATTGTCATCAGAGTGGGGGTCGACTCTCCAGAGGCCACTTCCACCGGAGGAATTACTCTCCTGATTAAGGTACTCGTGTTGTCTCATATATTTATCTGCTCTTTCCCAGGAGCGCTCCTTCTGCCGCTCTTTCCCTTGTTCACTGTGTTGCATCTTCTGTTGACGGACCACATACGGTCGAAGCAAATTGACAATATCACGGATCTGTCGCAGCAATGCCTGGGACTGTGAAGGGGACGACGAAGAAGGATGACGAAATGTGGATCGCGTAGCGATCTGATTGTTGTGGAGGTCCAATGGTGATGATGATTGTTCTTGTGACTGCTTGACACTCTCTTGTGCACACGACAATAAATAACTTAGTCTTGATTCTGCAAGGTCTAATGGAGTCTTGTGTGTCATAGGTGATGCAAGGGTCATATCCGCTCCTGTATATTTTGCATTGTATGATTGATCATTTCAGAATTTTTTTTTTAAAGAGGAAGGAAAAAAAAAAAAGAAGAAAGAAAGATACGTACCAGCTCTGAGAAGTGCAGCCACAACATCAATCTTATTTGATATAATGGCTAGAGAAAATGAAAGAATTGTATGTAATCTCATGGTATCAATAACATTGGATTAATTTATAAGGCAAAGAGGATAATGAAAACTATTCCTTACCAAGATGCAAAGGCATATTGCCCGCAATATCACGACCACAATCAGGGCGCACACCTCGCTCCAATAGGTACTCTACAAGTTCCAAATCTCCTGCGGCTGCCGCAAAGTGCAGAGGTGATCGCTTCTTGTCATCAACGCAATAGGGCGACGGCGCAGGATATGAATCTAGCAGCTCACGCACAGCATGGACAGCTGATTCAGATCGAGAGGAAGATGATAACGATGACGACGTTGATGATGCAAATGTAGAAGAAGAAGAGGAAGGTAAGACAGGCGAGCAGTGAGATTGGTATGGTGTACTTGTTGAAGAGGTTGAAGAGATGACGAACAACTCCAATGACTTTTCACTATATGGAATTGATGATGAAGATGAGGACGATATGGACACAGGTGCAAATGTGTTGGATGCAGATGTAGATATTAATGCCGATCCAGAGGATGACGAGATGTGACCCCATGATTTCGTAGATGGCACATTTCTAAGTGATCCGGGGGTTCTCAGCGACATAATACCTGCATGCGATGAGGACGTGTGAGGTAGATACGCAATGCCTGGATAACCTGCCTTTGACTCAAATGCAGTTATGGCTGGCCGCTGAATTCTAATGTCACCATATTCACGGTCTGTAGTGTTGTGAGTCTTCAAGCTATTAAAACGAGTTGTTGATGTTGTTGTCCTTGATTGAAATGTATCCATGCCTGTAGAAAATGATTGCGATGATTGTGACGATGATGATGGTAACGATCCGTGAATTCTCAATCTTGATTCGATATCAAAATCTAGCTCTACATCTGCATCTGTGGGAGTGGTGTCCTCGTCCTCGTCCTCATCCAGAGAAATGTCAGGAGTAGGGCCATGCTCTGTGATGATGGCCCCCCTAGCATGTCTCGCTCTTCTCAATTCTCTCACAAATGTTGTACCCGTGATCATACCCGTTCCAGCGGATCCTGCTCCGCCTCGTGAGGATGCTGCTGCAAGCAACCTGGACTCTTTCATGGCGATCTCAAGAGCTTTTTGGATCGGAAAAATGGATGTAGATGGTCGATGATGATTGCCGCTTCCTGCACCACCACTTAAGGATTTCACAGGCAATAATCCTGAACTTTGGTTCTTGCCCCCATAGAGATTAGCCTCGCTGCGTACATGGCCGTCAAAAGAGCCATGGATGGTTAACGGACTATCATAGTTGCTGCTGCCGAGACTTCTACCGTATCCTATCCCGCGCCCATTACTGATGCCAAGAAGACCACCAGGAGGCCGAGGAGGCCGGGGTGGTGGTGTGGCATTAAGATTGAGTGAAGGGAGATGCTCCAGATAGGCAGAGACAGATGAGGCAGTCGTCCCCGCCGCACCGGGGGCATCTGCAGTGGATGTGGTAGGCAAAGCAGAGCCGCCACCGCTGCTCGAGGAGGCTAGATGATGATGGCGCATAACCTTGTGATGACCATATCGAGCTGTATGCGACCGAATGCGAGGAGCGCCAATAGTTTGATGCAGAAAATGATCCTCGTACTCTTCTGAATCCTTTGCAGTCCCTTTTCCTGAGCCGCGCATGTTATGTATCACTTATGACGTACAAGGGTTGTTCTGTCTTTTCTTGAAACCAAACTATTGCTTTTGCTTTATTGATTTCCTTGGTGGCGAATAAATTAGTTAGATGGTTTATTCTTCCTAGATGAATCTTTTCTTGACGCTTCGTTACTTATTGATGGAGATGATTGTGAAAAAGAAATGTCAATTTTAAGAATGGAGTTGTTTACTAGCATTTATTCATCAAAAGTTAAAATGTGTGTCGTGTGTCTGTGTTCTGGATGTCTGTGTGTTTGTGGACAGACATGCTGTTCGATCATCCGAAGCATATTGGTGGCGTAGAGCCTGCTCGTGACTTTGTCTCTCAATGTCATTTTACCATAATCGTTTCTCAAAAAGAAAAGCATAAAATTAAGAGACAGTTGTGCAAAGCTTGACAAAAAAGATGCAGCACGAGTTTGGCACCAGAGCCCCAATAAAAGAACTATTAATGATAACGATGGTGTGCTGCATGACCTTTAATCCAGGAGATAAAAAAAACGCGATTCAAATATATAAATTTAAAGAAGAGGAATACTCCATATGTCAAAGACCTGCAAAAGCAGCCAAAAGGGAGAGGTTTTAGAAGAATGATCTCAGGAAATATACGCGGCCTGCAAGGAGAAACACCCTATTTTCAAAGGAGGATTCATGCTTTGCTGTACGTATTATGAAACTACAACTGGACTAAATGATCCAGCGAATGCTTTAGGAGAGGTTGGCACTTACCCTTTCTGTGCCTGCGAATCTGTAAAATATACGATTGTGCAAAGATTTTCCCTTCCCCTTCGAGGACAGTGGTCTTATATAGTATATATCGCTTCTTTTCTTTTCCTATCCTCGCTTATCAACCTTACTTACTCCAATCGACGATCCTCATTCCTCACTTACCGAAATGGATCAAGTATACCATGCTTCTTCTCGAGTTTGTAGTCCTTGCTTATACCAGTATGAATTTCTGCAACCTGCTTGTGTTGGATATGATACTCGAATGCTTTATTCAACAAGGCTGAGCTGAACAATGAAGCATTGCATTAACTGGCAAAAACAATCCTATTTTTTTTCTTTCTTTTTTTTTTTTTTTTCCTCATTACAAAACTAGCTAGTGTCGCAATGGCGTTCAGTAAATCTATCATTATCAGTAGTTTCCATGGCAAAAACACTTCTGATACAAATACCAAGGGAGCAGCCATGTAGCAGCAATTGCAAGCATTCTCGGCTCTAGTGCTGACTCTACCGAGCTCCTAGGCAGGAATCATTTGCGTCGAGGGTACCTACTTGAAGTACCAAGATAAAATCACAACCTTCTCTTTATCTTCAAACGCATTAACCCTCCTCGTATCCATCTGCGATCAATTCCATGCAGCTATCAAGGATGCGTACGGTTCCGATGATGGTCAAGCAGTGGCGGACGCATTTAAGAAAGTATAACCCGAGAAAATCGATGATGAAAGGGCTCTGTCCGTTAATAAGTGGGTTTTGGGTCAGACTTTGATTCGAAAGGACGGTAGTGATTTTGTCTATGTCGACCTTCTTGACATTACTCTGTTAGCCAAGGTTGGTGGCTATGGCGATTTTCAGTTTGAACAGCAAGACACCGAATAGCGTGTTACCACTCTCAAGCTTGATAGACGGTTTGTTATGGCCAATGCCGAAACCCTTGCTATTAGACTTGATTTTTACAGTGTGGAGAATGTAATGTGGAGACTTTCAACCCGTGGTTTGAAGTCTTTGGAAAGTAACTCGGCTGAGTTGTTGACTTCTTGGCTCGATAGTAATGATACTCCTTGCCCCTCTTCTCGTACTCGCGTCCGTCAGCATCTTTACCGTCTTCCTCAGTTTCACATGGGTGGGTTATAAGTATAAGGAACCCTAGTCAGCGTACTTGATACAATTGTGCAAATAAAGTCTCTTATCAATGTTTTAAGCGTACAACATCGAGGGGATGAAAAGAAAAGGAGAATACGACCAGAAATCCATGGTGAATGCATGGAAATGTTACCAGATAAACTAGAGACTAAAAAGGAAAAAGATACACTACCGTCTTGGTCAACTTGGCCCTGCCAATATTTGAGCAAGTTAGTGAAAATTTTCATAGCATTTGGTTTATCGCTTTCAAATTGATTTGGAACGACGGACTCGGAGCCCCTGCCATTGTCATGGATGAAACGAAAGTTACCAGTCATTGGTAAATGTATTTTTTACTAATGGGAGATGGGTTCAATGGAACGGTGAGACGCTCGAAGAAAGATGTGGAAGCTGTGAAAGATATGATTCATCGCTTTATACCGAAGCTCACAGTTTGATCGTTCTACAGGTTGGATAATGATAATTTTATCTGTCCTCAAAGATATGCTCTCAAAGATTTGCTCGAAGGTATGCACAAAATAGTAGTGAACATTGATGCCAATGTATTAGTCAATAGAATTATGAACGAAGCACTGCCAACGAAATAGTCAACGAAATAGTCAATGGTATAGTCAATAATATAGTCATTAAAATATTCAAAGATATAGTCAACGAAGCAATCAATGGTAAAGTCAACGAGGCAGTCCATAGAGTAATCAACGAAGTGGCCAATGAAGCAGTCAATGGGATGGCCAACGAAGCGGTCGATGGAATAGCCAATGGAATAGTCAGCTAAGCAACTAACTGAAACGGTCAACTGAGTTGTCAATGAGACAGTCAAGGAAATTGTCATCGACATATCTTGCTGTCATAATTTAATCGATAGTGTGCTCACCAGACTGCTCAATTTGGGAATGAAAAAAAATCTTCATGCGACTCAAGCTTCATGACAAAAAGTGGGCCAAATAATTTAAAGATCAGGCCAACAAAAAAAAAAAAAAAAACTTGACTGTATTTATACAGATACCCAAATACAACGCTTTGCTAAACCCAATACGAACAGTAGTAATCATTCTCTGTTACGGGGTCATCAAACCTTCCCATTTACCTTGGCTATATTTCAAGAATATGTAACATAATCAGCTAGTAGGCTGTTAGCAATGCTATAGTATATATATTGTTATACGTTACTATTTCTTCGAAAGAGAAGGGTTCAATTATTACCATTAGCAACACTTCTTTTGCACCAACCAGCTGTTTGTTAATTTGCACGTTCCCCTACTTCCTAATTTACAAGATGAGTAGCTTCTGCCTGTGTGAAAAAAATTAGAGATTTATTGACTTTTTCGAGTCATATTAAAATAATGATAATAATAAAAAAGAAATCAATTGTATTCCCAATTGTCTAGTGCTCCATTCCATGAAAAAAAAAAAAAAAAAAAAAAAAAAAAAGAAGAATGTCTACTACAGATATGACTTTGGAAGGGGAACACAACAATTCCTTCGCCGTTATAGATCCGTCTCTCCTCTTTCTTAATTACACAGATCTATCTGCAATCTGCAGATTTAGTTGAGAACACCACAGGGTCCACAAAAACTGGAATGAACAATCTTATTCCACGCAAACTCTATTGGGGAATATTAAAAGCAAAAAGTGGCAAAGGAAGGATGAAATCATTTGCTCATTTATGTCTTTTTTTTTTTTTTTTTTTTTTTTAATAAATTATGGACGGAAGCATTGCTGCATGTGTTAGTAAGGGATTGTGTTTCGATAATATGGAATGCTCGCAATGGATGATTGCGAGACGGTGGTGCAAATTTTCTTGTTTCTTTTTTCCGTTGGATCATAACATGTGCAAGGATATCGTGTCATGTCGTGTCATGTCATGTCGGGTCATGTCATTTGATGTTTGGTTTATCGATCGAACCTTCATAACTGCAATTTTTTTTCGGAGTTAAAACAAAGTAAGGAGGTAAAAAAAGTATAAAAAAAAAAAAAAATTAAATTGCAATTGCTGATGGCATCGCCTCCCAGATGATTTAAAGCCATTCTCCTCTTGTTTGATTTTCTCCTTGTAATTTGTCTTTTATTTTATTTGGTGCATGGACAGTGTATACACACAAGTTACACACCACGCCAGCATGAATACAGAAAACAATGTCGATTTAATAATGTTTGTGCTTTATTGTGCTTGGAAGTGTGCAAGTGTAAGTGAATGTAACCATTGCGTTTAGTTGTATGATGTGGAACGTGCATCTGCACTGCCTGATTTTAGTTTGTGTGTACAAGAGCAAAAGCACAGACACACAGACAGTGCCCGTCATGCCCGTGTCATCTGCTTGGGAGGAGAAATTTTTGATTTTAACGTGTGTGGTATGGTGAAAATGTAATAGAACAATTGTTCCGAACAAGACACGCACACTTCTCACTCTCCTTTCATCCATTGTGATCACTCTTCTCTTCTCTTTTCTCCTTTTTTTTTTTTTTTTTTTTTTTTTTTTTTTCTTCATCCCCTATTTAATTCTCTTCTTCTTTTCTCATTTACTACTCTCTCTAATTAATTAATTTATTTATTCATCTCATTAATTCATTCCATTCATTCGCATTCCTTCATTTTCTTTTTTTTTTTTTTATTATTATTATTTTTTTTTTTATTCAGTCTTAGATCTATTTGTTTTTTGGCATGGCCTATCCACAGGTCAAACTTGCGCCCCTACCTTCAAAGGAGGCCAACCCTGGACATCACCATGCTGTCGAATATGACCTCTACGAAACTGATAGTGACCCACTCGCCCCACAATATTTTCCTCCTGCCCCACCTTCCTTTGGCTCCCCTGCCTCCGCAGCATCTTCCAATAACTCCAATTGGACAGTCTCTGGTAGACAACAGCAACGCCTCTCCTCCTCTTCTACTTCCTCTTCTACCTTCTCGCATCACACTGCCACTGCCGCTACTGCCACTCCAACATCCCAAACATTTTCGGACGAGAGTAATGTCAAAGTTCAAGTTCCGCTCGACTTTGATCTTTCCTCGCTCTCTCTTGACAACAATGATAATCCTAATGGTTCACCACATGGCTCGACTCCTACCCCTTTACACTTCTCAGAGGGTGAATCGAATGAACCCGTCGAACGAAACGGCTATGTGGACGATACCCGTTTTTCGGGTTCAGACCAAGGATCTGTCATCGGAAGCTCCTTACCTCTCGTTCATCCTCCTCCTCCTCTAAATGCCGCTGCTGGAAACCGTGCATCAACTGATTCTTCCTCCTCTAACAAACGATCCTCTTATGGATCCGGGATCAATATCGGGATCAACGGTTCTGGTCAATATGATCCCTCACTGTCCAATTCTCCCAAGCGTGTTACTAGTGTTGATTCAACCCACTCGACCATCAGGGCCTATGCGGCTACAAATCCTAATGGGGCAGAAGTGGGAGATTATTCAAACACGACTGCTGCATCTTCATATGCGGGCCAGGGAAACTACGAATACGGATATGGCCCAGAATATCCCCCTCATCCGCCGCCACATCTGAATCCACAACATCCAGCACCTTCTCACGCTCCACTTCAACGCCCGTCTTTCAGAGGTCCGCCTTTACGAGGCCCTCCTCCATCTCATCATCAACAGCCCTATGGTCTACAGGCACATGACCCTCGATATCATCACCCTCAATACAACAGCCAACAACAATATGCAGGATCGGAGTATGCCACTAATGGCAATGCACAGGATTATTATGGAGGACCAACACCTGCAGTGGGCTATCCTGCAGGAAATGGAGTGGTTAATGGACCTGGACCGGGCTTTCGACCTTCACATGGGCCACCAGGAGGATATGGGCCTGGGCCTGGGCCTGGGCCTGGGCCTGGACCTGGACCTGGACCCTATCATGGTCGCCCAGGAGCTAATTTACAGCCATCACCATCTTTACGCGGAGGAGGTCCATTTCCCATGGGCCGTCCCCGCCCTCCCATGATGATGGGTGGACCTGGTGAACCTTATGCCGGAAGACCTCCACCATTTAGAGGTAATGGAGTACCTCCCCCTCCAGGAGCAATGGGAATGAATCCTTATAATGGAGCAAGAGGAGTAGGAGGTGGGGCAGCGACACCACCACGAAAACGAGTCTTGACGATTGAGGTTTTGGATGAGATGCGACAGCGTGCGAAGGTGAGCAATGACCCAGCAGCACAACTTGAGTATGCTAAAGCGTTAATTGAGGCGGCGGTGACGTTTGGAAACGACGATCCGGATCCTAAACGACAGAAAAAGAATAAGGAAGCTCTCTTCCTTGAGGGACTCAAGATCATTAAGCGGTTAGCGACGACAGGGATGGGCATTGGGAAACCAGCCTATCCGGATGCACAGTTCTTTTTAGCCAACTGCTATGGAAATGGATCATTGGGCCTACAGATTGATCATGATAAGGCCTTTAATCTGTATATACAGGCCTCCAAACAGAACCATCCCGCAGCAACGTATCGAACAGCTGTATGTTATGAACTTGGTGCAGGCACCAAGAGAGATTATAGCCGAGCTTTACAATTTTATCGAAAGGCAGCCTCTTTGGGCGACACAGCAGCGATGTACAAACTAGGCATGATTCAGTTGAAGGGTCTGTTAGGTCAACATAGCAATCCTCGTGAAGCGATCACTTGGTTGAAACGAGCGGCTGCGAATGCAGATGAAGAGAATCCACATGCACTGCATGAGCTAGGGTTATGTTTTGAAAAAGCTGGAATTCCGACTGTCATCCCTGATGAGGCATATGCACGCGAATTATTTACTCAGGCCGCAGGATTAGGCTATGCACCCAGTCAATTCAAGTTGGGTCATTGTTATGAGTATGGAACCTTGACCTGTCCTGTTGATCCTCGAAGGAGTATTGCATGGTATACCCGAGCCGCAGAGCAAGGGGATGCAGAATCCGAGCTGGGGTTGTCGGGTTGGTACTTGACAGGAGCAGAGGGGGTCCTGAAACAGAGTGATACAGAGGCCTATCTGTGGGCCCGAAAAGCAGCCGATAAAGGCCTTGCAAGGGCAGAGTATGCAGTTGGCTATTACTCTGAGGTAAGCACATGACATCATGATATAAAAATAAGTAATCAATTATAATATAGTTAATTAGCTGCTTATGTATACAATTCTTTCTCCTTATAAATGTATATAGGTTGGAATTGGCGTGAAGCAAGATCTAGAGGAAGCACGACGCTGGTATCTTCGTGCTGCAGCGCAGGGTAACAATCGGGCCAAGAAGCGGTTGACAGACATGAAGAAGCTGGGAGCTATGCGACGGATGCATCATAACCGACAACGTCAGGCAGGACAGCATGGACCTGAAGACGAGAACTGCAAAGTCATGTAGTTGTGACATTTATCAATGTGCTCATTACTTTTTCTTATTCATAGCTTGTCCATAATTTATTTAATTTGTATAGACAATAAAAAACAAAAAAATCTATGATTCATTGAGTACCGGTTATATACATCATGACGTTAAAAAATGACGGTTCAAAAATGTAAGATGTTAAAAAAGTTGAAATAGACTAAAAAAATAAAAATAAAAATAAAAATAAAAATAAAAAACGACGACAATCCGTTAGCATTCAGCTTTTTTTTTTTTTTGTTTTTTTAAAAAGGAAAGCATAGTTTTTGTAGCTTCTTCTCTAATGTTTTCTTGATTGACGAAGGCTGTCGAGGACGGTCGATGCATAGGCCCAAGAGAGGACAGACGGACATAATGGGAAGAGAGAGAGAAAGACGAGTGAGCTTAACTTGCATTTTTTTTTTTCTTAACCGGAGCAATAAAAAAGACAAAAGGGCATTGCAGGCAGAAAATGGTATAAAAAAAAAAAGAAAGAAAGAGTTGACATCCTTTAATTTAGGAATCGCCTAAAGGATATAAGGAAAAAGCGCTTTCGTTGCTTTGTTGCTGTTTGCTGCCTCTGTTTGTGCTAATGCTTGCTTGCTGTTCTTGATTTGCCTTCTCGTCACTTTTTTTTTTCTCTCTCTCCCCTCTCTATTCAAGAATATTAAAAGAGATGCTATTGCTGCTGTCGCTGCTGACTATTGCCATAGATGTGCTTTCCACGCTGTTGGAACTGTGTCATGCCCTTTCCACTTCCAACAACGCCAACTAAGTATTTTGAAGAAAGAAAATATCAGTTAGATGATAGTATTTTTTTTTTTTTAAAAAAAAGGAAAAAAAAAAAAAAAGTTAAATATTAGCTTTTTTTCCCCCCTTTTTTTTACCTTTGCCTTCAGGATTGTCTGGTGTCGCAAAAATACTCTTCTTAAGAACAGGTGCAGCCTTTGCGCCTCCTTTCTTTGCGCCTCCTTTCGCAAAATTCTGCCATGCCATCTGTTTCTGAACCTGCTCATTGACTGTCTTTGGTTTTTTAGCATTATTTTGTCCGACTGCTGCTGCTGCCCCTGCTCCTGGTGATTCTGCCCCACGTTTCTTTGAAGACTCATCAGCAGCTGCTCCATGATGATTATGTTTATGATGCTTTTGCTGATATTTGCTTTTATCAACAGGTGGCTTCAGGTCCTCTGGTCCGACGGTAGTAGGGGGACTAGATTCATAACCTTTATATTGAACCGAGAAGACCTGTCCTGATCCTCCAATTGTCAAGATCGTAGCCTCATAAAATTTCCCATCAGCAGGATAGAGAGCTCGACAGCGATCACCTACAGCCCAATTTCGTGGAGGAGGAGAAGGTTGAAAGACGGGTTGCTTTGATGGATCTAATTGAGATCGTGCTCCTGAGATTGTCTTGTCTGTACTTGCTATTGATGGCGAAGCTTTGTTAGGAGTTGAAAAACCAGAACCGTGCGCTGAAACAGGAGATGAAGTGATGGACGGACTGGATAACGACGGTGAACCTGCTGCCGTTATTCCTATTGCTGTAGTAGCTAGTGTCGTTGCCACCGCCGCTGCTGTTGTTGATGCTGCTACATGCGCCTGTTGCTGCCTTTGCTGTGATAGCATATTCTCTGTAAGAGAAACTAGTTCGAGAAGTTCAGTCCTGAGGTTCAAGAGTTCTTCATTTTGAGGATCAGCTTGCAGCGCAGACTCGATGGTTGCTACCTCGTTCTTCAGATTAATCAGTTCGGTTTCATCCATAGTGATCTAGAGGTCTAATAGTCTAATGGTTTAAAGGTCTAATGGTGTGTGTGTGTGTCTTTTGGTTATAGTTTACTGCTGTTCGATGCTAGTACTTGATACGTTTTTTTTAAATCGTGATTGATCTTTGGTTCGAATGGGAAGGTGTTTTTTTTTTTTAATGTTCTAGATCAAAAAAAAAAAAAAAAAAAAAAAAAGTCTTTTCTTTGCTTGTGGAAAAAGAGCGGGCTCCTTTTTGGTGATCACGTTTTTTGACTTGTCCAAATCGGGCAAGTGCGCTCTATTCCAATCAACCATTTTCAATAACAACGACAGCTTGATTTTCGTTAAAAGACCTACGATCATTAGATATGATTGTCTCGCAAATCGAAAAAAAGAAAAGGAAAAGATATCGTCGTTCTCCAATGTCATGCGCCACTCTTGCTACTGCCACCAATCTCTAACTATACATTAATATATTATTTATCCCTTATCCTGTAGAGAAAAAAAAAAATTTTTTCAACCAAAAATGGTTGCAAATTGAAAAAAATTAGGGTAAATTTTTACATTTGGTTCGCACAGATTTTTTTTTTGTTGTGGCTTTTTTACTTGTTACCGTAGTAAATCACATGATATATGGCTTCAATCGCCCTTTCCTTTTTGATATGTCTAGTCAATTACAGGCCTCTTACTTAATAAAATTCTTGTAATTGACTAGTGCCTAAGCCACCCTTGACATGGGTGGCCGCATTTGAATGAGCATGTTGAAAGAATCATTCACAATGAAATCTACTTTTAATACATCCACAGATTCTAGAGATCAAGCTCTTTCAACTTAGCTTAGGAATAGGGGGAGTCGCAAATAATAGAATTTTGCATAATTGGAGCTTTAAGTAAAAAAAGACGATTTTTTTTATAAAATTGCAACCAAAAATAGTCGGAATACAGGATAAGGGATAAATGCACATGTAGAAGTAACACCAGAAGAATATGCCCAATAGCCCAATAAGAAGCCTTTGAGCCCAATTAGAACATGAAATCATCTAAAAAGACAACTTTAATTTAATTTGAGATTGCCAAACAAAAGAAAGCTGTGACATTTGATTGTATTGAGGCACCGCGAAAATCGCTAAGTGGAAGAGTTATCTCAAATACTCCTTCCCTCTTCCTTTTCCTCCTCCTCTTCCATCTCCACCTCTATCTCCTCTAGATCCATTGGAAGATGTGTACGTTTCAGCCTTAGATGAACTTGATATGCTCGAGAACATGGAGCCATTTTAAGAATGGATAGATATATGGAATGAGTCATCAAACGAAGGGAATTTGGAGGAGTGAGATCGAAAAAGAGGAATAGATTAGAGGGAACATTAGTACTTGTAATGGTATCTGATAGAAGCTATAGCTTCTTATGCAAAAACACGGCAATGAACGTGAAGGTAAAAGATTGAGCTTGGATATAAACGCTCTACTAGATCACGAAAGAAAAAGAATCATAAAGCACCTGCAGAGAGTACCACACCCTTTTCAGCATTTGGATTTACTGTGGTCGTAAAGAACCTCGTGAACATCACGTCAGAGAATACAGCAGAGGCCACTGTTGATACCAATGAACAAGAACAGTCGGTCAGTATAGGCAAAAGTCCCACTCTATCGTAGCTCCTACTAGGATTTAATGATGATACTCACACATTCCAAGTGATTTTCCTAATTTCAAGAGCTTTTCTCTTCTGTAGCACAAACACAACCTCCAACACATATACATCTAATACAACAAGATTTGCATGAATAAAGGATCATCAGTTTAATTAAATCACTAACTTTGTCGTTTACACTGAACAAGCACTGAGGAATCATGTTAAATATCCAGATGTACGACAAATGGTTTGAAGCAATAGAATCATTAAAGGCATTGAAAATTATGGAAATAACTAAACAGAAGTCCAATCCTTTAAAAATGAAGGAGGCTATCAAACTCGTATTAGTCTAATAGGTTAACCATTCAGCACTCGTTCCTTACAGGCAAACGCACCCGTACAGACGCACGGGACACGAGGAAACGACTCTATTTTCAGTAAAATATACTGTTGCAAAGTATATATTGGCAGACTACTTACTTTTGCAAAAAAAAAAAAAAAAAAAAAAAAAAAAAGTTAATCTTTGATAAAGACCTTTCCGTTTTATGATCGGTAGTAAAGCTTTTTTTTTTTTTTTTTTATTTTTTTAAACAAGGGTTGCTATGGATGTGAATCATTACAGACGTTTATATGGAACGCTAAGCTCAGTTCAAGTATACGCGTTACTCCCCTCCCTCTTCATGATCGATCGATTTTAATTACAACTTGCTTCCGCCACCTCCATTGGCACTCCCTCCATTCACGAACCCTTTGTAGCGTTCATACAGGTGGATTATAGGTTCGGGAGCATCCAGTTCTTTGACCGCCGGCTGCCCCTTTGTCTCCTCCTCCTCCCCTCCTCCCTCCTGTTGTTGCAGCCATCCGATGTATGGTTTCATCAGACTTGTTTTAGGATTAAATAGTGTCTCAGTACCGTAAGTTCCGGCGCAAGTCAATGAACTTGCACCATCGACTGGCAAATTGATTCCTGTGATATATGATGCCGCCGGCGACAAAAGGAACACGACAGCAGCAGCAGCCTCTGATTCCGTCCCCATTCGGCTGGAAGGATTCTTTTTTTTTTTTTTTTTTTTTTTTTTTTTTCCACAAAAATAATCACATTAATAAGTAGCTCAAGTGTATGAAGAAACCACGAGCTTTTTTCTCTGTTCGCGTATAGTTCCAAATAAGAGCCTTACCTTCCAGGAATTCTTAATGAAGTTATCGAGCACATGCTCAGGGTAAGTTTTCAAGCCAGAGGTCATCATCATTCCTGGTGACACACAGTTGATGCGGATCCCATTAAAAGGCCCCCATTCGATAGCCAATGTCTTGGTCATGTTAATGACACCAGCACGAGCTGCACCCTTGGTTTTGAAGACATATGAAAATAAATAAATAAATAAATTATACTTGCAGACTATCAAATCTATTCTTTTTTTTTTTTTTTTTTTTTTTTTTCAGTTACTTACAGAATGAAGCATGCCAGGGATTCCATTTCGGCAATCCAGAGTAACATTAACGATACTACCACCATGTTCGCCCATATAGGTGTCAAACGCAGCCTTACATAAATTGAAGGTCCCCATCAAATTTAAATTCACGACCGCGGCAAAGCCATTGGGTGATAATTTGGATGCGGGTGATCGGAACTGTCCACCAGCATTGTTCTAAAAAAAAAAAAAAAAAAAAAAAAAAAAATAGGAAGAGCATAATGACATTAGGAATAGTAATAAAAAATAAAAAATAAAAAATAAAAAATAAAAAATAAAAAATAAAAAAAAAAAATAAAAAAAGTCGCGTCATGCAGTAATACCACGAGGCCGGTCAGCTTGCCATGCTTAGCGACGATCGCTTGGACAACTTCAACAGCCTGTTTCGGGTCGCGAATGTTAAGGGCCATAGTCTCACACTTCCCACCCAAGAGTTCAATCTCTCGGGCAGTGTTGATCAATTGATCAATTTTTCGAGCCGCAATAATCACGGTCGCACCAAGACTATGACAGATAATCGAAAATTCTTAAGTAAATCAAGTTGTTGAAATTCATGAAAAAAATAAAATGGTAGTAAAACTCGTCGATGGATTGTATATTCTGTTATCTAACCTGGCCAATTCATGTGCCGTACATCTTCCAATGCCTGTACCGCCGCCAGTGACCAAGATGACTTGATCCTTGAACAGGTCCTTTTTAAAAACAGAGTTGTATCCTTTAATCATTATAAAAAAATAAAAAAAATAAAAAAGAGAGAAAGAGAGAGAGAGAGAGAAAGAGAGAGAGAGAGAGAAAGAGAGAGAGAGAGAGAAAGAGAGAGAGAGAGAGAAAGAGAGAGAGAGAGAAAAGCTTGTCAGAGGAGAAATAGATTTATTCTGAATACTATACATCAGTGCTCCTATTCGATTCGAACATATCGAATTCGAATCGGGAACGAATCATGGTAAGTTCGAATCGATTCGAATGGCTCGAATGGCTCGAAAAGCATTCGAAATCTAGATATCTATTCGAAAACGAATTGAATTCGAACTTGCCTTATTCGAATAGGAGCACTGCTATACATCAAAATGAATGTGATATATTATTCGAAAAAAAAAAAAAAAAAAAAAAAAAAAATTACCGATCATGGACATTGAGCGCAATGTGTTTAAAGACAATATACTGAGAGGATAAAGGAAGGAAAGAGAAATAGGTAGATGGATAACCAGGATGTATTTATAATCCAACACCTATAAATTTCTGCTCCTTTTACATGTTTGTAACCAAATAGCAAGGATAGCGTTGTTTTTTTAATCTGATGACTGATCTAGATATTCTCTACTACACTAGACTACACTAGCTGTTTCTCTAGTACCCTCCACTGCCTTGGACAACTCTTTTGTCTTCATATTAATCTTACTGCTTCAGTTACTATTTTGATCCTTCCGGGCTTTCTGGTCATTATCCCTGCTATGATCTCCATCAGCAGTTCTCTTGCCCTCCTGTGGTAATACATGTGATGTTCCTCGGTTCTTGACTAATGGCAACCATGCAACCTGGGGTCGATATGATACTGACTCGGCAGATAGCCGGTTTTTATACCATTCAGGCATACAGGCGATCATGATCTTACGTATAAGACGCTCTGACCAAGTCTACAACAGGGAAGAGAAAAAAAAAAAAAGAATTAGGATGTTATTGTACCATATTCTTTATTAAATCCTATTTTATATTTCTTTACCTGACTGAAGCACACTTTGGTGTACTTGCGACTTAATTCAAACGCGGTCACTGCACGATGATGTTGCTGTCGGTAGTACTCCTCAAATGCGGCTTTAATGCTATAGGCAGAGCGATTGGGCATATTATGGATACAATTCGCAAGTACCACAGCATCTTGCATTGCAGTTACCGCACCTTTGCATTATGAAGAAAGAAGGTAGGAGAATATGTCGGTTTATATAATTGTTTATGATGAGGTATATTCAAAGTCTTTAAGTTCATACATATACCTAAACCAGCTCCTGTCAACATCTGTTGGCAAACAATAGAAATAGAGTATGAAGGAAACAAAAAATAAAGAATCGTTTTAGCAATCATGTTCTAGAACACTAAAACCAAAGTCATCTATCGCTTTTGTTCTCTTTTCTAACCTTGTGGCACGCTATCAAAATAAAAAGAAAGAAAAGTGATCAGTCCAATTTTACAATTTTCCAAGTTTTTTTTTCTTCTTCTTTTTATTTTTCCTCCTACACTTGGCTTACCATCACCAATGAGCACAGTCCTTCCATGGAACCATGTTTGAAAGATTTTCTCCTCTAAAGATACTCTGGAAACCAAGTGGGGAGGTGTCATCCGAATAAAATCTCCAAAGGTGCCACCCCATGGAGACGGATGATCTTCAAATTCTTTGATCATCAATTCGTTCGCTTCAGGACCCCATTCGGAATTCTTGAACCGCTTTTCCTTGGCCTCAGCCTCGGACAGACCAGTCCCTATCGACCAACAAACGCGCTGGCCTGGTGCAGAAATCAGCGCAAGCTGAAAATAAAAAAGTCAACATCAATGCCAACGACAAAATCTCACACAGACAGATAATAAGTGAACCAAAAAAGCAAAAAAAGAAAAAAAGAAAAAAAACCATACAATTTGTTTGTTTTTTCCTTGAACGGATGAGAAATGTGCCTTAGTATCATTGAGTTGTGGATACTTTTCAGGGTTCAAGGGCTGTGCCACTCCAACCATGACGATATTACCGATCACAAAATCCTCAGTGTCAATTTTGGGTAAAAGGCCTTTTTCTTCCAATTGTTCGTAAAGACTCTGTCTAACGTTGCTATAGGCGCCATCGGCTCCAGCAAGCATGTCACCTTGACAGACAAAACCATCTGCACAATGGATAAACACTTGGCCATCTTTCTCTTCTAACCGGGTAACTCGTTTCCCATAACTAATCTTGCTGTCTGGGATCTGACTCCGGAGCAATGAATAGAGCTTGGAGCGCTCAAAGATCAGATCGTCATATCCCGATATTCTATTTTTCAAAATTAATAACAAAAACAATGGTAATAAAAAGGCTGTTAGTTTAAAAGGTAAAGTAAGATTTAAAATGCATTTACAAATAAATGAAGGAATGTAAAAAATCAGGGGAAGAGGAACCTACTCTTTCCTTTTCTCCAGATTCAAAGATCCAATGTGTTCCAAGTTGTCTGAATACAGTTCCAGGGAGGGACAAGGAAGTGAGATGGCTTTAAGTTGTTCCAGTAATCCAAGTTGTTCAAAGGCTGGTTGAATGTTTGCTCCAAGCGTCAATGCCGAGCCTATTAAAGATGTTTGGGATCGTATCAAGTGAATATTATATATATATCTATTAAGACGTTAAAACACATCTTACTTCTTTACCTAGCGGACGAACTTCGGTTGCTCGTTCAAAGATATGATAAGAAAGTTCCAATCGCTCCAGGAGCATACCCAGGAATAAACCACTAATGCCGCCACCAACAATTATCACACCAGTCCGCTGGATCTCTTCTATTGACTCGGCTGCTGTATCATTCGACATTTTTTTAAGGGAAAAAAAAAAAAAAAAAAAAAAAAAGATGAATGAGAAGTGAATGAAGAAAAAAAATAACAGTGGGTTTTTTAAATTCTCATCCGTTAATTATTTAGGCTTTTTATTTCTTGTTGCAGATTGCTATAGGGAACACGGAGAACCGTGAGTATATCATGCCAGAAAGTTGATTTGTTTAATTGCATGCAAAAGCCGACAAAAGATCATTTGCACTGCGCAGCTCCCGAAAAATTCCACTTAGATCTTCTCAAGAATAAGGATTTCAAAGTTCATCTATGGTGCCGGACCATCGTGTACGCTGAATTTAGATTGTTATAAGTCGGTCCAAGCCTAGAACTCGTCTCTGCCTGATCGAATCGCTTGCTTAGCCCACTCCACAGAAGATTATCACCAGTCAATGTAAACCGAGTTGAAAGTGATATCATTTCCAAAAATAAAAAATAAAACTCAGTAAGGCGCGCAGTTTTCCAAGAAAATGGGCCGTAGGAGCAAGAAACCATTCTTTTTTACTATCTTTTTTGTTTTTGCATCCTTACATGGAAACTAAAAACGCGTCTCAAAGAAAAAAAAATCTGGACTAGGCCTGCACATGAGAAATCAGGATAGTTGTTACGGCCCTCAGTTTGTCTCAGAGTCTATTTCCCTCGTTATCATCTTCTACGCATATGTAATTGCTCGTTTCTTGTCAGCCAAGTGGCCACGGAAAGACCTACAAGAATATTAACCTTTTTTTTTGTGTAGTGGTCAACACAAAAAGTTTATTTTGTCGCGTGTCCCACGTCGTTCTTTCATCCCATCACTGTTCATTTCACATTCTTTCCGCCATGTCGATGACATCCTTTTTTGACAATTCCTTGCTCAGGAACTACCTAACTGAGTACCTGACTCAGAAGGACATCGCTATGTGTGTTCTCGTATCAAAAACATGGTATCATTGGTTTACACCCAGTTTCTGGAGCCATGTGCACTATGTCCCAAGTCTACTGATGCCCATTCAGGTACAAGGGTATCTACCCATGTATCACCCAGAACGAGCCGCCGCCATCCTGCGCCATCACCAATACACCCGAACTTTGTCAACCATCACGACTCAAATCCTTTCTACTCCAACGGATGGCTGCTCGTTTCCTCGTCTCCAAAAACTTTATGTGATTTTACTAAACCCTGGCACCTCAGAAGAAGAGCTCCTGTATGAGTTTATTGACAATTCGCCTGTGCTCGATACACTACACCTCTTCCATGGTCTAGTCACAGATGGTATTCAATATCAACTACCACGGACCTTGCAAACCCACCCAAGTTTGTCAAGCCTCACTCTAACGATCTCACAGGCAGTAGAAATACCATTTCTAGCTCAGCTGGTGCAGCATTGTCTTCGATGCACCGTCCTTGACCTTGAGGCTCTTCACATTTCGCGATATAACGGCGATGTAAAAATGCTCATGAGTAGTAATGATAATATAGCAGTTCATAATGGACTGGGGTCAGGAAAAGAATCACAAGAAGAGGATCGAACATCACTACTGGATTCAACGCAATTACCACCAACAAAGCAATCTCGGATCCGGAACTTGAGCCTCAGGCTCTCTGAGCACTGTCAAGAATTACCAATTTGGATCTGGCTATTAGAACGATCCTCGTCACTGGAAACATTGTCCATACGAGCAGACATCATATCAAACGACGCATTCGACCAAATAGCCGTACTATTCAGGGCTGACAAATGTTCTTCTCTTCAACATCTAAAGTTGCAAGACCGTATCAAACACTACAAGATTTATGACTTCATACGATCTCTTGGTACTGACAAACATGCGGGCGCAAGCACTCTCGTCAGTAGTCAAAACAAAGCCATAGCGGCAAAACAGGCAAATAAGGGACTTGTATCTTTCATGGACTCTTCTTTGGTTAGACAACGGGCATATCTCCTGGCTCTGGGCCAATACCATGCCAAAACGTTAACATCTCTCATACTTTCGATTTTCCGTAACTGTATTGAGCTGACATTGCTCTCCGATCTTCTGAACCAACTCCCAAACCTACTGGTCCTTAATTGTTTTACAAGCAACAACATTGTGGATCAAGATTATATCAATAGCAGGAAGTCTGTCGTTTCTCAAGGCTCTAATGAAACTAATGACAGGAGCAATCTTGAGCTATCATCGCCACAGTTGCTGGCACCATGGTCTTGCCTTGGGTTAAAGCAGCTAATATTACGCTTAGTGACGATGGTAGAGGATGTAGAGCTATTAATTGATCAAAGTAACACTGATTCAAATATAATTAAGGATAGACGTCTGAATCAGTTATTCCAGCAGATCGGTAGGCTGAGGAGTCTTGAGAGCTTCCGGCTGGATTCGCCATCGGACCTACTGCTTTTAGAAGAAACGAACAGTAACCTTACTTACAACAGCAATGACAGTAACAGAAGCGGCGGTAGAAGGCGAGTTCTTGGTTGGTTGAGTGAGCTGAAACGGTTAAAATGGGTGGATTTAGCCAATTGTCCCAATGATAAGATAGGCTTACGAGAGGCACAATGGATGTTGAATTATTGGAAAGGCCTTAGGGGTTTGACGATACAGCCTTTGCAAGCTGGAGACCGACTTGTAAAAATTAAAGAGTTTCTGCAACAACAAAAGCCATGGATGACATTTGATAGTAGGATGAAGTACTAAAGCAACTGGTGAAAGGGGGGGGGAACGTATACACTGTACCATTTCTGCCCATATACCCATTTACCTTTGTTATATTTCGCAAAAAAAAAAAAAAAAAAAAAAGACCTTGTTGTTCCTGAACAGAGGCATGGAAAAGAGCCTGGAAGCTTATTTTCATTTTTTATACAGCATTTTTTCCTACATGTGTTTCCCCAATAATTCCATAAAGTAGTCGCTTTGCCATCTTTTTTGCTTGCTTATAGTTATAGTTAAAACTAGCAGGGACTAAAATAAATAAAAAAAAAAGTTGTCCGGAGCGCACTACGGGATGTTCAAGCTTATCATGCTCCGTTATCTTTTTTTTTTTTTTTTTTTTTTTTAACGCCACACAGAGTGTATAAGCTACTTTTTCTATCAGGCCAAAGGCTTCGTGATTTACATTGTTCTAAACTCTAGCGTATGATGCACACAGCACAGACCAATTGTGATCTGGCATTCTGACATTCTGGTGAAAGGCGCCATATTCCGCAGCGTACGTGCACAGCTTTACTCATGGCATTGCCACATGTTTGTCAGAAGGCATACTTTTTACTGGCCAACAGAGCACCGTTTAGTAACCAAGAATGAATGATTTTTTACTCTTTTATTAAATGTACAGGGGTTGGTGGTGGTGCACCCCATCAAGTAGAGCGGGCCAAGTTTCTGCAGTGATGATATACATTAAGATGAAAAACAAAACAAAAATGCAAAAACTATGACTAAAAAAAAAAAAAAAAAAAAAAAAAGATTCCCAGCGTTGTGTCCTAAAAGTTTTCAGCAAAATATTAGGACTAAAAAGTATCTTTGTTCCTAGTAATTGACAAACTTCCTATGCACTGCGTAAAATTAAAAATGATATAGAATGATATGAAGTATCCATGACGCACATGGAAAAGAGGACGGAGAAACAAAATAAAAATACAAACGCAAATATGCATTGAAGATAAGTGTTGAAAGAAATAAAATCGAGAATGAAAAACAAATGAAAAGGATAGCAGACCAAGCTATGGATTGGTGACATGTTATGCATGTACACCAAACTTTTCTTGGAAGCGAATCAAATCACCAGTCAATTTGTCCATCAGTTCAAGGCTGGTGGTCGGTGCGGGTTCCAACTTGGTTACAGCAGATCCAGAATCCCTACAGTGCGATAGATCGTCGTCATGACTTTCCAGAGGATTGTGGGGTGGTGTAAGAGGTTCATGAGTAGCATCAGACTCTGGCGATCCAGAACCATGGCGATGGTGTTGATGCTGACGATCATGGACAGACAACGGTGGAGTCGATAACAATGGAAGCTGGTCATGTACATCTAGAGGAATGACCTTAATAGTCATCTCTTTAGCACTACAAGTTTCCTTGATAGAGACCTTAGTATCAACAGGACTTCTTGGCTCATGTATGCTATCTAGAGATGAGGTGCTATCCATGCTTGATCGGGACAAATCAGGGCACACTTGACTGTCACCATGGATCAAAGAAGAGGCATTTGATGCAGATGCCGGCAAGCGGAACAATGACAGTTCATCGTTCATATCTTTTAACTTTGTTGCATACTCCTTTGAATCTTGTGGAGATTGGGATATGGTCTTATTCTTGCGGTCCGCCATGTCAATTTGCATACGAGAAATATATTCGAGAAGCTGCTTAGCACGCCTGGTCATTTCCTGAATCGTCATCTTTGAGGATGGGTATCGGACTGTTGCCGGTGGGGTGGGAGCCATTGGCTGAAGAGTGCCTTCATGACCTGGTACAGGTGTTGTGTGACGTGATCCATTTTTTGTGCCCTGTCCACGGTCACCACTTCGCTTAGCAAATGATTTTTTGCTGGCCAAAGCAGGTGAGGTTACAGAAGGTGAACTTTCGCTTAAGTAATCATGATCATCGTTGGTACTAGCATTTCGCTTATTACCCCGCAAATAGTTTCCTGTTTTACGGGATTTTGGATGATGTTCTATAGAAATTGAATATAAAAAAAGTAAAAGCTTTGTTAACAGGGTGTGTTTAGAAAAAAAAAATGTCTAGGTGGTGGACTGCACGTGAACAAACCTGAATAGTCTGCGCTCAAATCATTCTTGCCAGTGAACTCATCTTCTTCCTCAGGCGAGTTTGACTCAGAGTGGATTGTCATCTCTGATTTGGAGTTCGTCTTTCTTCGCTTGCTTGAAGAGACTGCATTGTCCACAGAGACACTTCGCTTAGTGTCTTCCCCATCAGCACTATATCCAGTCTTGGTACTCACTGCAGTAGAGCCGTCTTGATCCTCGTTATGACTGCTGTGCCCGTTCATATTTGGGGAATTAGAACGTGACCGTGCCTTGGATACTGACTTGGCGGAGGACTTCTTGCCCAAACTTATGCGTCCGTTATTGGATGATGATGTTTTTGGAGAAGAGGAAGAAGAGCTGAGATTTGCTGACAGACCTGCTACTCCTGTGGCATTATTTGCTGAAGAAAATGGTGGTCCAGAAGTCTTATCTTTTTTCTTTTCGGATGATGAGGATGTGGCGGATGCAGAAGTTGAAGAGGATGTGTGCTCGTTTGATGTCTGGTCTTGTGGATGAGTCTCAACATTAATATCTGAGCCGATGCTCTCCGTCTTTTTCCGCCTCTTGGTGGCGAAGCGTTGCGCATATTCTTCCTCGAGCTCATCCTGATGCTCCTCATTCCACTTCTGCTGAGCCAACATCAGATCCACAGGAATGGATGCTTCTTTAGAATTCATAGTGCTTCTCTTTTTAGTAGGTTTTTGAGTTGAGCTTGATTTTGAGTTTGAAATACTACGTTAAATACAAACAAAACAAAGCCATTAGTCTTTAAAAAACGTAACGGCGTAAGCGATAGTGCATACATTTTTAGGGTTAAATGACTTACAGCTGTCCATGAACAACCTTGTAGGGGTGGTTATCGGGTTGACATGACTCGCAATAATATTTGTCTGGAGTGACCTCGCCATTGCCTAGTCCAACGCATGGGCAGTGCTGCCATACTTTACATGTCTCACATTGAATCATAACCCCTTCATGATCTATTAAAAGCATTCAAAGAACATACAGATTAGCATAATGAAGGGGAATGAAATGTGTGCGAAGAACAAAGAAATCCCTGACCAACTAACGGTAATATGGTTTAATGCTTTGTATTTGTGTATTGTGCCGCTTGTGTTAGTGAAATGCTTGTGGTTTTGGACAGGTCCGATTGGGTAAAAAAACTGATGCGGCCACAGTCAACAGATTCGTCATAGCATATTCGGAAATATAAAAAAAATCAAACCCCATGAATGGTCCAGAGTCAGCTCGCAAGTGCAGTTTTTGGTCCACTCTTTTTTTTTTCCCTCCTTTCATTACTTCTCCTTTTGCTACTACAAGCTTGAAATGTTGTGTCGAAGGAAAGACATTAGGCTAACACAAGGCTTATACAAAAAGCTGAATAAAAATTGCAAATGCAATTACAAAAAAAAGTGACAATCGCCAGCCGCTTCCGGACAAGGTAATGGATGGATGGGAGAATGAGAAGGAAGAATAGGATTGAATGGAAGAGCAAACAGAGGCAATAGGCGGTACAAGGGGTGGAACAATACTAAACAGACAGGCGAGGGTCAAGGCAGAGTCGGAACAGGATAAGAGAGTGAAGGGAGGAATCAAGGCAGAGACAGAAACAAACACAGGCAGACAGCCAGGAGAGATAATAATGTAGAACAAACAATTGTTTTGGATTCTGTTTTGCTCTCATTCATTGCCATCAGACGAACACACTCATTTCCTCATACATAATGACAAAAAGGATATTTCCAAGCTTGTGGTATGGATACTTACGTTGTTGATTGCAGACACAGCGAGTCTGACCACCATCATCATCCTCTTCTTTCTTTCTACCCTTGGAGTGCCCACCACGGTTGCTTCTTCGGGGAGATGCTATATTGACGGTAGTTATAGAAAGAAGACCAACAGTTAGTGGTTAAATTATGCCATTGAAGTTTGCAGTCTACAGATGAATCGTGGTTGCAGGTGGAGTATGACTATCAACATTTTGCCAGCGAGTACAAAAAAGAATGAGCGTACCCATTGTATTTTTTCTCGAATAAAGAGTTAAGAGTGCTAATTGCAAAATGTAGTCGTTCGAAAATAAGGAAATAGAATATGAAATGGTTTTTTGGAGGTAGGTGAGGATGGATGCGGATGAAAAATGAAGGAGGATCGAGTGAAAGGCGACGAAGACAAGACAAGGAAGATTCACTTAGAACGAGGACAAAAAAAAGAGCTGACTTGAACAAGTTGAATGAACAAAAGAATGAACCAGTGCAGAGAAGAGAAGAGAAGAGAAGAGAAGAGAAGAGAAGAGAAGAAAAACAACAAAGTAGAGTTGTGGATAGGTTGAAAAAGAGAGGGGAAGGAAGAGAGGAAGCGAGAGAGCGAGAGAGAGATTCAGTAGAGCGAGTGGATGGCGGAGGAAGAGAAAAAAAAAAGGCGCAAACACCAACAACAGTGGACAGCCAATATTAAAAAAATAACAACATTCAACATTCGTAGTGTACCAATTTGACAAAAAAAAAAAAAAAAAAAAAAATTAAGGGCTGTTGAGAGGCAAGCCCCGTGATGTGTCATGTGACTATAACCAGCCCGATGAATTTTATCAAGAGAACTTTAATGGCGATACTGAAACGGTAGTTTGCTGTAATCGGATTACAAAATGAAATCTTAACAATTTAAATTACAAAATTTGTATTCAATAAGTATATATGTGACTGTGTTTTCGCACCAATTGTAATCCTGCTTGTAACCTCTGCAAATACCTCCCAGGCTATACTGGGAAAAAAAAAAAAAAAAAAAAAATGTCTCATGCATTCATGCATTCCTTTTCTTCCTTCTTCATTGCTACACCCAACACCTTTCCAAACCCTTCTAAACCGAGTAAGCTCTCCTTCCCACTCACTCATTTACTTTCTCGGCGTTCCTGTCTCTTGTCCCCGTAACCCCTTTAGAAAAAAAAAAAGATGGATTCAATAAAACGCAATACCAACACCCTCTAAGAGAGTAGGAGTGCTTCTGAGCAAAGGACCCATTATGTATCCCATTTGCTTAGAGCCGTACGCCGACCCTCTATGGCCTCAGTCTCACGCCTTCTTTCTTTATTTATTTATTTTTTTTTTTTATATCAGCAGAGCTAGAAACAGATTATGAACGTTACTTTTGAACCAGAACAAAAGAACGTCGTCCCAGGACGTTCTGCAACTGACAGTTGGTGCGGGATATCCTCTATCTATGTTCAAGAAATTTATGAAGATCTCGTGGAGCAGGAGCTATAAGCATCTGAGTGCTGTCTCCAGGACACAGAAGCTAGTTGGCGCGCGTAATCGTCTGTGTTTTGCATTTAATCATTTTATGATCACTCGGGGACAAAGTATACGAGATGCCTTAGTGAGCCACTTATTTCCCCACCACTTTGCGACTGCTGGAAATGGACACCAGTTCGCACTTGGGATTGTAATAGCAATCCCTCAAGGAAAAATGAACAATGATCATACGCTCCATTCTGTATTTATTCGTAACAAGGACGTAGAGATTTGCCCTGTTGGATGCCTCGCTTTTTATCTATTCGAGCAGTGGATGGTACGTATTGGCTGCTTCTATGGGTTGCTGTTGAAGATTAACTCAGCATATAAGCTGTCTATTAATATTCATCCATGATTAAAATACCCCTTTACCTTACACAACAGACGAAAGAATCTACTCCAAATTTCCGCATGCATGACTGGAAATCCCAGTACCTTGTACATGCCTCTGACAAATACAAAGCGATGGATGCTGCGACTCTCTACAGGCAAGTGAAATTATCAGAAATGCAAATACGCCATTACATGAAGTTTTTGTACTCTGTTTCCTAACCAATAGCATAGCCATACTCAGATCTCTAAGCGAGGTGATGAAGCTAGCGCATTACACATCATCCAAGGTTACTCATAGTGGCCGTAAGGCTGGGGCGCAACATGCGCAAGCCAATGGGGCTAGCATCGAAGATATTGCCCAACATGGTAATTGGAACCATCGCCGCTTGGTAACGCATTACCTTAGTCCGGTAGCGCAGACTGTACCATTTAAAATGGCCGGATTTCTCCACGAGAATGAGGATTTCTGGCTTCCGCGGAACACCGTTATACCGCCTGTTGAATTACAGAAGCAAATCTTTCCATTCATTGAGGAGCTGTTTCCAGACAATGTCGATTGGGCCAGATGGATGGAGAACGTTATGATGGATCGTCCCGAAGATCTGAATCGTCCTGACAATGAGTCAGTACCTTATCCAGCTGAGTACATTCCAGCCATGCGAATCATGCTTATCCTAGCCCACTTGCGCAAGGTTATTTTACAAGATGCAGTTGCTCTGATGGCGTGCAATGGCGATCCATTGTGTATCTACAGCCAGCACCACGTTTTCACTAGTAACCCTGTGTTTTCGTCGCAACTGTTCCAAGAGTTTTCTTTGCGACTTCACGATGCCATGCAGAAGACACAATCACCAACAAACGACAGTCTCCGTTTCAATGCTCCAGTCATCCATCAAGAGCTTCAAGCCATCAAATCGAGCGTGTCATCTTTGGATCATTACGTACGTGATGATTTTATGGGCGCACTCCAAGCTACAGCGGAGAATAGTAATGCTGGCTGGTCTAGAACATGCAGTCATATGCATCGTGAGATGATAACCATCGTACAAGGGCTTCAAACTGTAATGTCGAACCTTACGAAGACAACCGCCAGGTCTTTTGGGCATTTAGCTAGTGATATGGAGAACGAGCATCGCATTCTGACGCAACAAGAGCAGCGTCAAGCGAAAGAGCAAGAACAACAGTTGAATGACCTTATACATCATATACCTCCAAGGCAGCATCTCCAGGAGCAGCCGCGGGGATTTGAACAAAGGGGGATGGATGCTTTGGAGCAGCAACCAGAGCAGGATGAGCGACCAGGCCAAGACGAGCAACCAGGCCAAAATGAGCAACTAGACCAAGTAGACCCCGAGGTGCAGGAACAAGAGGAAGATGGAGGGATAAATGAAGCCATGGAAACAATGAAGTTGGAATGTTTAGCGGATAAGATTGCAGAGACTTACTTGCAGCTCCCAATTGACCAGGTCAGAGCTGCAGCCCCAAATTTCTCTATGTTGTCAAGGGTCACCCCTCTTTTTCCTCTTTGGGATGAATGGTTTACGGCCCAGGGGGCAAAGCCATCGATTTGGAGTTTGAATAGGTTCCAAAAGGACTGGCGCAAAGGCTGGAATCCTAATCTTAGGAACCAGTATATGCTCAAGCGAAGAATTATCTTTGCTACTCTGGCTGAGGTCCTGAAGACTGAAGGACCAACACTGAACGACAGAGTTATAAAGGCAAAAACGACAATGGATACTGCAATCAGGCAAGCTGGATCCTCAAACGCGTACTTTAAGTCTATCCAAAAGAAGAAGGGCAAATAAAAAGCTATGGTTTTGATGTACTCTCCAAAGTGCACCGCCGTACGAATTTTTTATACTCATGATAATATATATTTTTGAAAACAACACTTTATTCCGCAACTGGTTTAAAGGTTCTATACACATCTAACAACAGTGCTGCTTTTTCTTGCAAAAGCTTGTTACGAGGCGAGTCCACATTAACTGATTCCAGTTCAGTGAGAACCGTTCGGAGCTGTCGTTCTGACATCTCTAGCGTCGACTCTGGACGGTCAGTCTCTGTTGCAACTGAAACGACAGCAGCCGGTGCACGTTGCGAGGCCCTAGCTAACGCTTCTAACCGTTGCAATTCCGTGTTTTTGATCAGCCTGAGGTCACGACGCTTCAGCTGCTTGATCAGCGATGGTTCATGAAGCCCGAAAATCTCAAATTTGCCACGCGTCACGGGTTTGCTGGACAAATCGCGTTTTAGCACTCCCTCTAGAAAGAGGATCTTGCGAGGACTCCCTTCATCGCCATCCTGATAAAGCTCACTGTCTTCCCGCTCCCTGAAAGTACAGAATGGACCCTCAAGAAAGAGCTTCTGGATTTCGTGTATATTTTTGGTGGGACGTTCCCATGGCACATAGTGGAACGCTAGGGCAGCAGGTGGACCTTCTAGGGAAGGTGAGGTCTGGCGACTTGCGCTCTTGTCGTTTTCCAATTCCTCACGAGCGCGTTTTTTGCCAGCAACTTGGCTGGTGGAAGAGGAAGCAGTGTTGTTAGAGGAAGACATAATTTAAGTAATATGAAAGCGGGTAGATAGATATAATGACGTGGTTTTGTGAGATAGATTAGTTAAAGAGGAATGAAAGAATGAGAAGCAAAATGGACTTCAATTTATTGTTCTCACCTTTCCTTTTGTCAGCTTCATCCTCATTCATTCCTGACATTACAAATCAACCTTTTCTTGCATGGCGTGATCTCATTTGCGCCAATCAGCATTAAAGGTGAAAAAAAAGGTGCCTGAGTACCTAGAAAACTTCATAAAAATAGCCTAGGTATACAGTGCATTTTTTGGGACGCTGAATGCATGATACGTAAGTGGTAGTGCAATATAATCGATGGCCAGTGCACGTGATACCAAATAAATTTATTCATTTGTAATTTCTGTAAAGGTCATGTGCACTACACTGTATAAACACCTGAATACTGCCACATGCTATTGACCACTCTACGTCCCTTAAACAATATTCTTAGCATACATCTGAACTTTTGCAAGGGATGTGTCAACACTTCGACAAACATGTAACATTTAATGGCTACATCACAGCCCTTGGATTGTGGAAGCGCTGAAAGTATGCGGAAAACGGGAACCATTTGTGTTTTTACTAGCAACAAGCGTGGTTTTAAAAAAGTTTGCCTCCAAGGAACAAATCCTATATCCTTCATTGCTCAAAAGAGACAATCTTGTCTTTTCTGCACCCCAAAAGCTCGCCATAATCCTATTGAAGCGTTCAGAGGCATTATTTGCCTCATGGTTTGAGGATTAGCAGACTTTCAGTCAAGTTTTATTGTTTTGAACAACACAGTAAATCCTGTCCATTCGAAGTTAATCCCTTTGGATGGCAGCTATTCAGGGGATGCTAATCAATTCTGCTAAACTATGGTGAAATCAGAGCAGATTTGGAAAACCAACAAGCATCGAACAGTCGCCTTAATAAGTGAGCGAGGATCTCTATGACGCGCATGGACCATGGGGCGACTTTTCAAATTCTTTTTTATATAAGAAATACAAAGTCGCCCCCGGCTAAACATTCCACCGAGGAGTGTGGCCCTTCGTCTTGAAGAACAATAAAATAAAGGCGAAACAAGGTAATGAGTGGAGACTTGAGTAGATCGACAGTGGCAATAAGATGGTTGATGTGAATACAATTTCTACTGAGTGGAGTCTCAACCTATTGCATAGTGCATCATTGAGAGAGATTCCTATGTACTCGAACATTGCTTC